TTGCACCGAGAAAACGTGCTCACAGTGCGTCATAGACACTCCACAGGCAGAGGCGGCGTCGCAAACCTGACGTCGGCAGCGAACCCGCAGATCGAGTCCCCGCCCCCGCCGAGCTACCATGCTAGCTCCGAGTTCACGTCCTCTGGACGGGGCGGTGCGGGCAACATCCGGTCGAGGTCTGCGTCGCGGGACCCTGCACAGAAGGACAAGGGGCACGGGTTGACGGCGCTGTGGAATAAGGCAGCGCATGGCGAGGCGGCTGTCGGGGGAACGGTGACCCCGAACGCCAAGAACTGAACGATTTACATATCCAAGTGGGGCCGTTGCCGATGTTTCTGTGAAGTTTTTTTGTTTCGAATGAGCTGCTGCGATTTATCTTACCTTGTACTGTTTGTTGTGCCGAGGACGCTTGAAGTTCATTGATTACCCTCTAAATATTGTTGTGTACATATCATAGACTACGTCGTCGGATACATACGCAATGTGACAGCTAATGATGGATTAGAAGGTACGAGAGGGTGCGGGTGACGAAGATGTGCCGAGATTCAATTTACGACGCGGATGTTCCGAGACTGACTTCGCCTCCGCGTTGAAATGTGCCCACGGTGTAGGAGATTTGTATCCCGAGGGGCTGACGAGCGAGTTCACTAGGTATCATTACTTTGTTCCAGATGCACTGGAAATTGGTCTCGAAGATTTCACCTCCGGGCAGGAAAAGAGTTGGCGGACAGAGCGGGGACGGAGGAGGAGGGGCGGGCGAACAGGACGAGAAGAAGCAAGGCATAGTCCAGACCGCTGAGACTGTTCACGGCGATCAGCAATGGCATCCAGTTCAGGGCAATGACGACAATAGTGGCATCCCGAAAGACCCGGTCGAGCGTCTTACAACACGGGAACCCTCTGCTCCTTCTTGCCTTATCGCCATGAAGACGGCAGACTCTCCCCAACCAGAACGACAACACCAAGGTTCCGACCCTGACTCAGGCAACAGTTCTACCCCCAAGGCCAGCGCTGCCTCCGACAGATCTGGCTCTGATTCGGCAGCTGCAGCACCTATCCCCACCTCAACGACCTCAGGCCTCCCCAGCAGGGGAGACATCAAGCACGACAAGCGCCCGTTCACCCCCCACTCCAGTGGTGCTTCCTCCGCCAGCTACCCAGCAAATTCTTCCCCTCCCAACCCCTCCAAGTACTTGCGCTCAAAGCCTTCCAACATCACCCTTTCCTCTGACGATTCATTCTCCCATCGCCACTACGCATCCCGCCCTCCCAAGCCCAGTAAACACAAGTCTCGCGTCATCGCACCCCTCGCCACCACCCAGTTTGCCTACCCCCGCCAATATCAGCACTGGAGCGATCATCACAACTACTTCTTCCTTCCCCCTACTACCCATCGCCAACCACGTGCCAAGCATTCCATAGTCGCAGCCCCAAGCAAGAACAGCACATCGACTGCCACCCAATCCCTTTTCTTCTCTCTCCAACCTTCTCCTTCCCGCTCCGCTACTTCTCCTTCTTCCATCAGGCACAATCATACCTCCGCGGCACCGTCTATGCGCCTGGCTCCCGGGCCCTCGGACGCATACTATGCCATCATTCAGGAGGTCTCCCGCCCGCTCCGCGATCCGACCGCTGTGCATTCCAAGAAGCTGCTCGTGCTCGATCTGAACAACACGCTGCTCATCTACGACTATTGGGTCGAAAAGGTCTCGGCCTCTCGCCCATCGTCGCCAATGCTGTCTAGCATCATTGCAACACCCGTGGCGAGTCACTTTCTTCCTTCATCCTTCGTCTCAGAGCCGTTGGCGCCACAAGCACTAACACATGCGCAACTCCAGGAAATGCAACGGTCGCAATCGCCCCACCCGACAGAGCAGCCCACCGACGAGGTCTACTACACCTGGACGATCGCACGGCCATATGTGCCTGCGTTCCTCGACTACATATTCCATCCCCAGACACGTGAATGGCTGGACACGCTCGTGTGGTCCTCGACGGGCGATGCGCTTGTCAAGGACATGATGGACACCGTGTTTGGGGACCGCCAAGGGATGCTCAGGGATGTGTGGGGCAAGAGTCAGTTAGGGATGACAGGCAAAGGCAATCGTGAGCATACTTTCTATCTTCGCGAGAGCAATCTGGCTGACGGACCGCGCTTGCAGATCGGAGGTGGAACACGTTCAAGGATTTACAGCGCGTTTGGGACGAGATCAAGCCCGGCGGTGCCCCTGGTTCTCCGTTGCCTACTGAATCGTCAAGCGGGACCACGGCTTTCTCACCGCGGACGACCATACTACTGGACGACTCGACACTGAAAGCACGCATGCAGCCATTTAATCATCTTTCTCTCCTGCCCTACACGCGCGAAATCTGGCTCAGCGATATGCACGCTGCTGCGAAGGACCGTATGGCTGTGAAAGGAGGGGACCAGAAGGCGAAGAACGCGTATTCCCGTGTGCTCGAGAGCGGGCTCGACCCCACCATGCTGGCTATCGTGGGTTTGATCGAGGAGATGAAGGGGGAGAGCAACGTCGCGAGCTGGATCAGATCGGGCGGTGTTTGGCATTCGTCGTCAGATGGCGGTCAGGGTAGAGACGAAGGCGAGAGTCAGAGCCCAAGCGCGACCGGATCGAGTGGTGCGGAGTCCCCCGTGTCCCCTGCGCCTGGGTCCGCCGTGTCGTCGTCCGGGTCGCCTCTGACATCCGCGCCCGTGTCCCCTGGCACGGATAACGAGAAGAAGACCTCGGTGATGACGTTTGTCTCGTCACGCTCGCCCCCTGCGAGCCGCTCTGGCTCGGGTCACGCGTCGGCACCCACGTCCGGTACCCCACAGTTTGCGCAGTCTCTCCCTCCCTCCTTGTACGCAGCGGACTGGTCGTCGCGCACCCACGCACAGCCTCATACTGCGCAGTACCCGCATTCGCACCTCGAATCACGCCTCCAGGCTCCACAGGACAAGGACGAGAAGCGGCACGATAACTGGTTTACGGACCGTGCGAATCGTGACTTCTGGGTGCAGCGCGGGTGCGCTGTGCTCGAGGAGATGAGGATCGAGATTAGGCATGGGTGCTCAACGGAGCTGCCGAGGCGATATCGTGATGTTGTTTGAGGGCGACAGCGACGGCGATCACGCCGCGGTTGTTGGCCAGAAGGTGATGGAGAGGGAGGTGGGTGGAGAGGACGCTGTAGTGCTGCAGGCGGCGCTTTAGGCGGCTGATGCCGCCATGGACGAGAACTTCGCTTGATACCCCCCGATTGACTGCTGTGCTGCACTAGAAGAATTGTGGATTCCGTGTCGTTTGCTAGTGCTTTCCCCTTGTGCTTCTTTTTTGTCTGTTGCTTTCATGTTTTTGCTTTCAGACTTCCATGCTGCTTTCCCCAAAGTCCGGTCACGTACATCGTCATGTATATCAGGAAATCGCACTCGCGTGTACAGTTGTAAATTACGCATGTATTAATGTTGCTTGATTGTTATAGCAGTGATGCATTGACGCCTTAACCTTGTACTAGAAGACCTTCGCGTGGTTCGCTAGGCAATGGTCCGGGATGTGCCGGGCGGTTTCGGGTAGTCCCGCACCTCTATCGTAACCGTTCCAGCCATCGGTTTGTCTCCCGCGTCACTCCCTGTCACTCCTAGCAGCACCAAAGCATGGATGTTCATAATCTACTCTCAGGATCTCACTTCGGGCAGTGTGCTATCATAAGTATGCACTCGGGCGTATACCTCGCTCTTCGCATTGTCTCAAAGTCCACCGTGCATCCGGAAGGTCCGGATTCGTGCATGGCCACAGGTCACGGGAATCCTGTGCTACTATAAGTTGCGTCCTGTGTCCTCCTCTCCTTGTTTCTGTTCTCACCCTTTTCGAAGCACTACGCAATTCGTGATACCATCCAAGGTTTCTCGGTGACCTTCGATAGCACATCGCCCCCAGCTGCCCAGCATTCCACGCATCGAGCTATTATATCACAATGAATTACGATCTCTCAAGGCACACTATCCCAAACCTGGACGCATGGCTTGACTTCGTGCACGCGGTCGAGGGTCACGCTCTCCCTTCCAAGAATAACGGCTGTTCATGAACGTCCATCACTGGCGCCCTGGCGCGTCACTTGACTCTTGTCTCACCTTGCGGTTTAAGAAGTCATACCCGTGTCTTGGCTGTGATTCGAGCGGACCGCTATCTGTGACGATCAGAGGGCGTAAACGGCATGAACGGGTTGTAAAGCCGTCCTCGTCGCATGGGCACAGCGCTGATGGCTATAAGTATAAAGCAGGTCTATATTTGCTCCTCGAGTGCGCCCAACGCTGATATTTACGTCAGGACACGCAGAGCCCATTTTTTCCCTTTTCATCATCACCATCGTCCTCTATCAGTATCTGTATTTCGTGATGAGGTTTAGCTCAAGACGTTCGACAGTCGCCATGCTGCTTCTGTCGTCGGCGTCAGCGCTGTGCGCCGTATTGGGCCCTGTCATCGATGCAAACTTCCCGGATCCGGCGATGATCCAGGTGAACGGAACCGCGTTAGTCCTCCATCCGGTATTGCGTCTAGCGTGAGCTATGTACTGATGAGGTTGTGATTGCTGTTGGTTTTGCAGGTACGCATACGCGACCAACAGCGGAAACATCAACGTCCAAGTCGCTGTTTCTCACGACAGCGGCGCGACATGGAACCTCACCGGGACCGACGCGCTCCCGGATGTGGGGTCATGGGCTACGAATGGGTCGACATGGGCGCCCGACGTAGTGCAGAGAGCGGATGGGACATTCATCTTGTGTGCGTTTCTCTTCAGGTATATTCGTTGCCCGAGTCACAGCCTGACGCGTCAAACCCGCAGACTACGCAGCCGAGAACCCAGATATCAACACGCACTGCGTCGCTGCAGCGACGTCTATGAACCCCGAGGGACCTTTCACGCCACAGAGTAACCCCATCACATGCCAAGCCTCGGGAGGCGGAACTATCGACATTGCCGGGTTCCAGGACACGGATGGGACACGGTACGTCGTCTACAAGGTCGATGGCAGCTCGTTAGGAGGCGGCGGTCCCTGCGGGAACGCGAACGGCGCGTTCGCGACGCCCATCATGCTCCAGAAACTAGAAGCTGATGGTTTGACGCCAACTGGGAACCCTGTGGAGATTTTGGACAGGATCGCATCAGAGGACGGACCGCTCGTCGAGGCGCCTGTGTTAATTATCCACGGCGGAACGTGAGTCGTTCATCTTGAACCGTAAGACCGACCCTTACCCGGCCCATGCACAGATACGTCCTTTTCTACAGCAGCCATTGCTTCAACGACCCAGGATACGATATCCGGTACGCCACTGCAGCGAACATCTCGGGCCCCTACACCCGGCAGGGCTCGATCATCGCCACGGGTGACTACAACCTCACCTCGCCCGGTGGCGCGACTCCGCTTCCAGACGGGAGCTTCATGGTCTTCCACGCGCAGATCAACGCAGATCCGCTGACGAGGGCGATGTACACTGCTACTTTGACATGGAACGGCACGTCAATATCGGTGGCATAGGCTGTGGCTGAAGATTACGTGCATGCACGTACGGGTATTGTTGACGCATATCTATTTATTGCAGAGGCTCTCCTTTCATGTGAGAAATCCGAATTTGCCTGACGGTGCTCAATCGTTTGCGTCACTCGGTGGGACGGCACCAGGCGGACATCCATATGATGGAGTGTTATCGTCTGTCGGCCTCCCCAAGAAAGAAATCAATGGTTTACAATCGTTGAAGGCGCAGGCTCTGTTAATCCATTTGAGTCTTTGTAACGCGCTACTGCAATGGCCCTGTTCTAAAGACTCCCGCCATGCCAACGAGCCTTTGGTTGAAAGTGGTGTCTACTCCGGCCACATCATGGAGATGTGCCAGACGTGCGGGGTGGTCGAGATGGGATCGATTTCAGGCACGGCGTTCGACGCAGGTGAAGCAAACCAGCTCACAGGCACCAGAAGGCACGCGATATCCCCGGCGTGCGAATCTGCCACGTGCATACCATCCTCGCTTCCATCCTTACCTTCAACGTTGAACGTGTTGTACACTACAAGTTGCGCGTATACCCTTGGCTAGCGTGCATCTCTTTTACCACCTCTTCGAAACCCCCTCCGCGAAACATGACATGCGTCCGGTCTCCGGACGCGCGCTGGCCACGGTCACGACTGACCGCCACTTCTCTCCTTGACACGGCATTATCCATCTCTTAGTTCGATTCAATGCCAACACACTTCGGTGACACACGACTCGCCAGCATTCCCACCTCAAAGCCATGTCGGTCTGCCAAGGACCAACAGGGATTAACGTTTAACTACACTCAACACTATCTCCCGAGGCACACCCCGGACTTAGACACAGCACTTGCCTGTGTGCATGCGGCAGAACAACAATGTGTCCCTGACCCATCATCTGGCCTTCATGTTTTCTTCTCCTGCCGCGGTTCGAGAGGTCATCAGTTCAAGTAGGACGCCATTAGGCGTGCCGCTAGGTGCCACTGTCTGCGAGGATCAGGATTGCCTTCATGGTGCGGTCCGCCTATAAAACCTTAATCATCGTAAATATGTCTGTCTATCTTCCTCTACCATTCTCGAAGACACCCCCAGTTGACATTTGCGTCAGCCCACTTGTATCCAGCCTTTCTTTGCCGTACATCGTCTCCTTTTTCTGGTCTCGAGATGCCGTTTTCAAGGCGCTCCGCCGCCTCGACCTTGCTTCTTTCCTCTTTGGCATTAGCAGCCGTCACGGGCCCCGTCATAAACGCAAACTTCCCGGATCCAGCGATGATCCAGGTGGGAGGAACCTCGTGCGTCTCTTGATTTCCCCTGTCTGAATGGGTGTGCTGACCATCGTCGCTGCTCGATTTGTAGATACGCGTATGCGACGAACAACATCGGCGGGGCGATTAACGTTCAACTTGCCACCTCATCCGACAACGGCACGACTTGGGCGCTCACCAGCTCTGACGCGCTCCCAGACGTAGGTCCATGGGCTGTAACCGGGTCGACATGGGCACCCGACGTTGTGCAGAGGGATGATGGGACCTTCATCCTGTGTACATATGCACCCATACCTCTCCACTTGTACACTGCCTTACACCCACAAACCCTAATTATGCAGACTACGCCGCCAAGGACCCCACAGTCACCGACCGCCTCTCGCACTGTGTCGGTGCGGCAACCTCGACGAATCCCAAGGGACCTTTCACGCCACAAAGCGCACCCATCTCGTGCAATGCCGCAGGAGGCGGATCCATCGACATCTCCGGGTTCCAGGACACAGATGGGACACGCTACGTTGTCTACAAGGTCGACGGGAGCGCACTTGGCGGAGGTGGCTCCTGCGGGAATGCCAACGGCGCATACGCGACACCCATCATGCTCCAGCAGATGGAAGCCGACGGCGTCACGCCAACAGGTAATCCCCAGCAGATCCTGGACAGAATCGAATCAGAGGACGGGCCCCTCGTCGAGGCGCCCGTGGTTATCCTGAAAGACGGAAAGTGAGTAACTCATCTTCAATTGCCGCAGTTAGCGCTCTTGCTAACCTATGCGCAGCTACGTCCTGTTCTACAGTTCCCACTGCTTCAACGACCCCGCGTACGACATCCGTTATGCGACCGCGCCGAGTGTCGCGGGCCCCTACACACGCAAAGGCGCTATCATCTCCCCAGGCGATTACGGCCTCGTCTCGCCCGGCGGCGCGACGCCGCTGCCCAGCGGGGACTTCATGGTTTTCCATGCGCAGATAAACGCCGACCCGCTCACGCGTGCGATGTACACCGCGACACTGACCTGGGATAACCCCTCGGTGGCGTAGGCTTTGGAATAAAGTACGTGCTTGTACGTAGAGCGATGTGTATTCTTCAGATTTAGGGCTGTATGGGCTTCAATCAACTTGCCTTCTCTGGGTATTCTTTGACCTTGTGTCACCCGTCTCCACATTATATCGGCTCATTGCTAGTGTGACCACCGACGTACGTGTTTTGGCGGCGCCCACAGCGTGAAAATCAAAGGGACTCTCGAGCAGTAATAATAGCGCTGAACCCCTCGTCATCCGCAGCAGCTTCGTCTCCCCGCCCCGCAGAGACTCTATGACGCATCCGCGAAGAAACCTGCCGTCAACAACCCCTAAAGTCGGTGCGTATAACCCCCTGTAGTGTACGTTCTGCCCCACCGCTCTCCTATTCCTCCATCTTCCCCGTTCCCTTTTGTGCAGCAGCCAAGCCAAGAACGATGCGCCCCGGGCCCGACGAAAGCGCGAGTGTCGTCGCCCAGTCTCAATCTCCCGCGATGTGCGGCGTCCAGTCGGAGGTGCACCACTTCCACCACACGCTCGACAGCCACCCTCCTGTAAGTCCATCGCATTTCCCCCCTTTTCAATTTTCTTCCTCCATCCTTCGTTCTCATCGCTCGTCTTTAATATTCCCACCTCATCAAATACTCTGAATCTTGAATCTAATCTTCGTTGTGGGCGAGCCAAGCAGACATACGACCTAGCCGCACCCTCCAACGCGCCATCCAACGCAAGTGCGGACGGCACGGAGACCGTCCGCCAGAGCCAGCTGCACCACACGCCGACCATGTCCATGTACGTCTCCCCCGGCAGCGGCCAGCCCGCGCACGAGAACGGGTACGCGGAGGACAGGGAGGTGCCAAGCGATGGGCGGTACCCGGGCGGGCCGAGGAACATGAAGGTGCACCAGAACCAGTGGAACACGGGCCTGTTTGATTGTTTTGGCGACTTTGGGACCTGTGCGTTTTCTATCCTTCCTTTGATTCGGTCATTCTGACGTTGATGTTTCGTTATTTTATGTTGATATCGCAACAGGCTGCCTGGCGTGCCTTTGCCCGAGCATCGTCTACGCCAAGAATAAGCAGCGGTTCGAGTACCTCGAGCTGTATAACGCGTCTGATCCCGAACACGGCGGTAACGGATGCAACGGCGACTGCTGCTGTCACTGTATGCTCACGCCGTGCCTGTGCTTCGGCTGGGTCCTGCAGGTGGGTAACCGGTCATTTACGACTGTTAAAAGAACGATTAAGCTCAGCCTCGCATCGACGTTTACCAACAGATGAGCACGCGAACGGGGTTACGTGTGAGGCACAAGCTGGCTGGGACGCCGTTCAAGGACTGCATGGCGTCTTGCTTTTGTTCGCCGTGCGAGCAGACACAGAGCAGTCGGGAGCTTGCATCAGAGGAAAACTGGATGAGCAGGAGGACAGTCAGCATTTTATGAGGTGCGAGAGCTCGACGCTCATGACAGCTAGGGGGTTGGTTCACAAAGAAAAGTGGGTCCGTAAAGTGATGGGCCGGATTTCGGGATCGGGAATGGTTTGGAGTTAGTTTTACAGTGATCATCAATATTGCTATCTCATGACGGGGACATGTGCTCTGTATTCGTAGAAGGTCCAAATAAATTGTCTTCAAGTTGCCACATACACGGTAGGTAGTTGGGCAATAGTCATACACCCGCGTGCGGACTGACTCAGTAGTTTTCGACGAGACGCGTAATCGCTTCCTCTTCGCTACCTTGACCCATATGAGCGGCTAGGCACTTGAATACAAAATGTTGAGCATGTATAGTTAATAGCGCAAGAAGGCAACTGACCTTGTTCACAGCGAGATACGCCTCGACGGCTGGCGCACCAAGCACCTCCTTCATGCGCTGACTCGTCTCAAGCTTCGTAATCGCCTCTTCCCAACTCAACGCCATCCTGTCCGTGACCCCGTTCAGCGCCCTCTCGGCATCGTCCATCTCGCTCGGCGCCTTGTCCGCCGAACAGTCCTTTGCCTTGACCTCCTCGCCCGTGGCGACACCGTCCATGCCAGCGCCTATGACAGCTGCGAGTGCGTAGTACGGATTCGCCACGCCATCGATGCACTTGACCTCAAAGTTCCGCGACGAGGCCGAGTGAGCATTACACAACCGGATCGGAACCTCTTTGTTGTCAATTCCCCAGGCAACCCAAGTGCCGCCGGACCAAATACCATCGGCGACGCGGGCGTATGAGGCGGGGAGGGGAAGTGTGAAGACTGAAATGGCAGTGAGGTGCTTGAGGATCCCGGAGAGAAATTTGGCTTCGAGGGTGTTCAGGTAGGGAGAGGTGGTGGAAGCCGGCTGAGATGTTGAAGGTGTATGAACAGAGATGTGGGCGTGGCATGCGGTACCACCTACATGCAAACGAGGACGTCAATGAGGATAGGGTGATGAAATATGGAAAATTTATCGTACAGTTATCAGAATACACACGAGGGGCGAACGTCGCGCGGAGACCATGCTTGGATGCGACGTTGAAGATTACCTGGCGGGTGTTGATAAGAGCGTCGACGGCCTCCAGTGGTGGCAAAGGCCCGGTCACGACTTCGTACTGTCGTACGGTACATCAACCGACACGCACTCGTAGATGATGGCCCATTTACGTACCTGACCAGGAGCAGATTCGGAATGGTACATCTGGAGCTCAATACCCGACGCCTTTATGCACTTCGCGATTTCGTCCAAAACCTTTTGGCCGCTCGTACCCGCATTGAAGGCACTCGAGCTGCACCATCCGCTGTCATTGATGGCCTTCGCGGGGCTCGTCGATTCAAGGAGGATGAATTCCGATTCGAATCCTACGAGGAACTCGGCACCATGTTTCTCCTTCGATTCTCTGGAGGCGGTTCGATTAGATGATCTCTGCCAAGCAACAGGCTAGGATACGTACCTGGTAACGCGACGCAACAGCGTCCTGGGGCAATACGGAACTTCCACACTCTGACCACCCTCAACCTTGATGGGCACCTTCTCCTCAAAGAATCCATGAACGACCGCGTGCCCGTCCGCGTATGGACAAAGCCGAAGAGTAGCCAAGTCGACTGCGACGAGGTACTCGCCGATCCCAGTGTACCCAGGCGGGAGCTCACTCGAGACAGCGACAGGGGCGCCCGTCGTCATCGTCACTCCAGGTCTGGATGTCCCTAGGATCTTCTTGAAGTGCGAGAGGGGGAGGATGCGACAGCGAAGCGCGTTCCCGACGTCGGCCCATTGAACGCGGACGAACTCGATCTGGAGGGTGTCGAGGTCCTCGACAGACAAGGTGCCTGTTGATACGTTTTTGAGGGTATAATGGATGGTAGAGTCTGTGGATGTCATTGTTGAAAATGGGCGGAGAGATGACAGGAATGTGGACATGGAGGAGAGCATTGAGTAGTTGGCTCCAGGCGCAGACTAAAGCTTTATATATTGAACTTGAACGTGAGTTCCTGAGTTTACATCATTCTTCAAGTATCCCAGAGTTGAACAGCAGCATGAAAGTCCGCTACAAGGAGAATGTTTCCTTGATGCGGAGGATGGCATGGCGTGAACGGTGGGGGCGACAGCTTGCATGCACTGAAGCAGAGCTTGACATGGAACGTTCATTTTAAGGTTTCGTCTCCGAGTCCCACGGCCTCTTGAGTTCTATGTCATTGATGTCATCAGAAGTTGGACCTACTTGACTTGAAAGCGACCGCGACATGATACATCTAACACCGCACCTGAGCTATTTGTTCTACCGTGACATATTAGGGGGTTGGTGTATATTCTGAGTACGTGGGGTCGGCACATCTGATCCTTGGTCCGATTGCATCGGGCTTCAATTCGTCTCCACCGCAGTCCCTAACAGCACCACTGCATGTAGCCAAGTTACATTGAGGCATCAACATCAGAATCAAGATATCTCACATAGCCGCTGATTGTTTGCCGTTGAATGTCTGTCGTCTCATGTGTTATTATTCGTCGTCTAAAAAGGTCTGGACATGTTTGAATTTCTCATTCACGTTTAGTACTATCATCGATAGTAAAAGACGAAAGAGCCCATTATGAGCAGAGTAGTTTACGGCTGTATGATATGAGCGTTTCCTAACCTCATTTTGGGCGCTCGTTTGCGCTCAGTCGTTCAGCATACATCCTTATGGCTACACAGAAATCAATCAAGTAACAATGTCGACCCGATGATCATGGGCACGTCGCATCCCAGACCAGCCGTTACCTGATCGATCAAGGCAGTCACACGCAAAACCCGATTGAGGGCATCATCAGCATTCTTCAGCCCTTCTTAAATCTTCTGATGGTCCATGAAAGTGCGCCTTTCTTATAATGGGCAGCACGGCCGGGACATTGCCAGCCCTCTACACATCTGCATCAGCATCGGCAACTATCAACTTCACTCGTTTCTCACCCAATCCGTTGAAGGCGGGGTGAACACCCCTCGGAATATATATAGGTCACGGTGGCCATCTGGGGCGTATCTCGACACCCAGTTAGCCCGTTGTCCGTGGACCGTATCCTTGCAGGTAGTACTTCTTCAACATGTCTGCATCCATTTCACGTTCTTACCTCATGACTTCTCAGCGCCTATGAGCACGACATCCAGCCTAGTCACCACTCAGCAGGGCCTCAACCGAAGGCTTGTAGAGGTGCCATCGTTGCTCCGGTCCCCACACAAACATCTCCCCCCTCTTCCTACGTTAATCTCAGGCGTCTCACATCGATGGCTGGCCTATGTCATTCTGGTCTGCACCGCAAGCATGGGTCTGGCTTGCTTGGCCCTATCCATATATCTCGCTATTGTCATACCTGGCCCTGATCACCCGTTTGCTCCAGGATGGGATGCCGAGAGCGTCGCCTCACCAGAGATACTGAAGCTGGGCATTAGTGGCATTGTCACCCTCTGCGTCGAATCTCTCGGCTACATTCACGAAATCACGCTACGCTCAGCACTGCTCTCGGAGGATCGACTGCAGTTTAACACCAACGGTCGCCTGTTTACAGCTACAAAACGGCGTCGTTGGACGGGGCCAAATAGTGTTCTTAGCAATATATTCATGACAATTTGTCTTATGCTCTCGTTTACATCAGCTTCGGCTATCATTGCTACAGAATCCGCAGGAAATTCTAGTGGTAATACCTGGCAATTTGTCAGCGCCTGGGAGATCCCACTTTTTACCCTGGGTATTTGCATTCTGGCACAGACATCCGTTGTTCTATGCGGTTTGCGGACAATTCCGGTCGCAACGTGGAGCACAACAGCGCTTAGCGTGACCTCGGATCTAATCCGCTTACGCTATATTCGTCGCAATGCAGGTCGTTGTATGTGCGATATATCCGATGCGAGCATATCTGTAACTCCTCGAGCTCCTCTGCTGATCCAGCCGTCGGCCTGGCAGGCACGTCGGGATATTCGAAGAATCATACTCACCATGTGGCTCTTTACCCTTCTCTACGCTGCGTGGGGGGCTTGGTGGCTTGTGACCTCGACACACAGCCAAGACGAAGAATACTTCAAATGGAATTGGACATTTTTTGTGGGAGACAACACTCCGGGGACGTTATGGACTAGCTTTAAAAACGAACACTCAATCAGTACGCCGAAAGTATGGGCTATTTACTATGGTTTCAATCTCCTGCAGCAAGGCTTTCTGGCTATTGCTCTGCACCTTGCGGGAATCGTCGCGTGCACTCTGCAAGACGAGAGGTCATGGAGACAGGCTACCAATCCTGGCGGTGCTAGATCAAACATTAGTCCTGTAAAATCTGTTTTTTCCAGCCCTCTCAACGCTTTTGTGACCCTCACAAAGCCTCTCCTTCGTAAGCAGACACTCTCAATCTAGGCATGATGATACCGTGCTGATTTATGAATTCAAGACTGGATGTCAAGCCTGAGCAGTTTCGCGGATACAGGAATAAACTTCATAGACATGACCTGGTACCCAGTCCAGGTGTGTATTAAGTTTTCTTCCTAATGCTCCACATTTCATAACCTTATATGACGCCATTGTAGATGTTAAATCTTGTCTTCGTGCTCGCGGTCTTGATGACTATCCTCACCATTCTCGCAGTTCGTCGCCCTCGAGGGCCTCAACCTTCTGCATACGTACACATTCAGACACTTGCCAATCTCATCGACGAGTGGCCAGCTGAGGAAGATCGCCTGTATTGGGGAGATAAGGGCTACTATGAGCTTGAGGACGGTGACGACGTTTGCGCGCACTCATGGGAAATAGGGGAGAGGTGGCGGCATGCAGGGACGAGCTCGAAATTGTTGGGTTCAGTTCACCCTAATGCTCTATACGCGTGAGTTCTGGCTCAAAATGGGGCGTCTAGTGGTCCTTGAGCTTGAAAGTCCACCGTGGCATGTCAGGTGACTTCATTAATCAACTTAGTAGCGTATATTCTATAACCTACGTTGAGAGGCTAGAGGAGCCGGAAGGAGCTTGTTTGTGAAGAGTATTGAGCGTCATCATAGATAACACAAAGTATCCTTTTTCTCGCGATTTTCACTACTGAGAGATTTTATTTTTGTCGATTGTCGATAATACAGTATCATGCACTCAACGTCGACGGAAGCTGAGCTGGAAAGATGGCATAAACAACAAAGTCGACGGAAGAGGAAGAGAGGCAAACCATCCTGAAAAATGATACACATAGATCACCTTTCTCATCGTTCTCAGGCCTTTCAAAAGCTGGTCCGAGCTATCGTGCATTCAATAGGTCACATATAGAGACCATCCGGCTCACTTTGAAAACTTTAGGGCGACTGCACTGATAGAATTTGATGGACATTATCTTCTCTTGACAAGGTGCTGTTTAGGTAGGATAGCTTCCTCAAATCCTTGAGTTAGCCCCAAAGACAAAGATACTGGTCAGAAAAGCAAGAGAACTTACACATGACATTCCAGAGAAAACGCTTGATGTAGTTTGCAGAGTGGTGACCGGATGTAAGTAAGATGGAAGACATCGTACCGATGTGATCTTCCGTTGTGATCGCGATCAGGCTTTTCCCATAATATTTGAGTTGTTTCTCAAAATCCGATCTGCAAAACATCTTCCCCGATCACACTGACCCCGTGATGTGTGTTCTGATGTTATGTAGTTATATTTTCACGCAAGAACCCATTGATGGCCGCCCTTTACGTTTACCAGCGTTAAATACCACAAACGTTTCGTGCTCATCTCAACGCAAACCACCTTCGTTTCCACGCCATTTTGATCTAGGCTACTGCTTTTGTAATGAGCTCACGACCCGAAAGACAGTCAACGTCCGAGCTCAAGCTACGCCGACTTGTAGAATACAACCAACGGTTGAGAGAAGACCTCGCGCGACCGTGTATGAAAATCAGCGAGGCTTCAGCAAGGTAAATGATTTTAATTTTGCATGAGCATCACACGATGTTGACACCTGCCTGACTATATCTAGTCTCATCCGGTACTGCAAAAGTACACAGGATCACCTGGTGCGTGACCTAAAGTTTATTTATGGGTCGGGCCCCTGCCCGTATTTCGGTTGGCAGACTCATGTGTATCGACTTTTAGGTCCCTTCTGTGTGGGGTCCTGTGAAGGACGATCCTTATGCGCCGCATAATTCAGGACCCTTCCACAATTGCGGTTGCACCTTAATGTAATATCTATTGCTTGCCCTACTGTAGTTTTTCTACCTTAGGCTCGCGGTGGCGTGGGAAGTCGGAGCTTTAACGTATCTTCCGTAACCGTCTGTCCCCCCTATAGCTTCGGGGGGCCAAAGCGAGGGTGGACAGTTAGTACTTTCGTGCTCGCTCGGGCTTCAGAGTTTAGTTAGCCCTCAACACTGACAGCGAAGGCAATCATAATGGAAATTAAGGTGCCGTATACACTTTGACTAAGGCCCCGGCGGCGCTCTTAATAACATTCCTGACGTCAACACAAAGCTAACCAACCTCGAGCTTGATTAATTGTATTTTATATGCTGTAGGTAAACTCCTGACTCACGCCCTCGAGGTCCAGCGCTTATTATACTTCCACAGGCAACAGTTGTACAGGTGCGCCCGATGATTTAGTGTCAACATAAGGTCCATGTTCACCGTGTTCTCAGACTTTTATGCGCCACCAAAACTATAAGAGGTTGGGCATTGTAACATATTGGAAGATCTAACACTGAACTTTCGGGCCTTAGTGACACACGATGTATACGTTACATGGTAAAATAGGCTGCGATGAAGTTTGAATGGCGAGCTGACCTTGAAATTTACTGCTGAAGGTTCTCTATGTCTTGGTTCTTGAAACCGCCAACACGATATGCGACATGCTTATGGTGTACGAGCCTTTGATCCAGCGTTAGGGTAAGAATACTGTTGCCCTTGATTATTGAAAACTCACAACCATACATCCGCGCAGGCTCCGATGAAGCTCTCGAACTCTCCCCTTTGTGTAAGTAGCAATTGTTTTACCGAACGTTTGCAACTGAGTAAATACGTTTCAGTGCTAATTGCGGTTGGGTTCGCTTTAACAAACATTTACTCACGCATTGTTCAATTTACTCTTAGTATCTGGCTCCGATCGTGACTGTACGCGCACACTAAAAACTAAGTACAACAGTCATTCAAACCAGTTACACTGCAAAAATATATATACCTGATTTTCAGGTATGCACAAGGTACGTGGCATCTGATTTTGTTTAATCATACGTTCTTGACCTGATTTCAAAGTCATGTACGTCACCGTTGTGTACCTGATGTATAAAAATGATGTACTTTGACTTGAAATATAGAATCACATTGACTTACTCAGATCGTGATCATGAATGCAGGTCGCCGACATCAAGTGATAATCACTGCATTATAGCATGAGTTTCATTTGGTTTTCCAGCGTAGTGGCGTGTGAACTCTTACCTTTATGTGGCTGGGCGCGAGGACTTAGCGTGAGTAGCACGCATCCAGACATCCATCCACCACCACGATTTCCTGCAGTCCTCAAATATGTCCAGATCATCGAAAGGGTCGGTGGGAAGCTGGCGGGCTCAGATATCGACGAATGTGAGTCTTTCCCTCTCCCATCTCCCTTCGCTCCGCATCCCTCTAGTTCTTGGCTAATAAAGTCCAGGTTTAATTCTCGACAAAACGATCACGGTCAACTCACCAAAGTGGATTGAGAATGCGAACATTCTGGTCGCCAGCACAATGGAGCAGCGCCCTGGACTCTCTTTGCCCGTTGCGCGGTGCTGACGGGGTTGTTAGCCATGGATGAAAGTGGATGGGACGAGCAAGTTGGTTGAGTGTGAGCAGGTGGAGAAGGTATGTCTCCAAAATTTCTCTTCTATCTGTTTACACCGACCCTTTCATATCCCTTGCCAGCTGCTAGCTACTCTTTCGTTCTTTCCCCGTACCATCCTGTCTATCTATCCATCACTCTTACCTCTTGACAACTGCTCGCCCGCACTCCATACCACCCAGGACAAAAGGCATGAAAGCCAAGGTGGATTGCACTGTTATGTCTGTAGAGAACGCTGCGCTCCCGCACGGCTCCGGGACCGCGTGCTCGGCGCGGAGGGCTTTGTGCTCGTCGACACGGGCGGAACACTGCACGGGTACAGCAGCAATGTCACACGGGTGCGCTATACTTATACACATCCTCGCTGGCTCTTCCCCACGCTGACGTCCTCTGCAGACCTTTGCGCTCCCCGATAGCACGATTCCCCAAACCAACATCAACCTCTGGCACACTGCACACTGCACAGAGGATTGCACTCGCGACCGCGCACGAGGCTACATGCTCGCTGCCGCCCGAGCCATCCATTGAGTCCTCCAGTGCAGGCTGCGTCACACGCGGAGCTCGGCTTCGTCCGCAGCGGCTCTCGGCAACGGTTACTCTGATACTGACACTGGCCCCTCTCGTGCACCGCTCGTGGGTGAGCACGCTGCTCAGAGCGACTGAACCCACAAACAAAGATCGGGTAGAACAGCTCATGTCCAGTAGCTACATATTTCGCTGTGTAGTACATTAATAGAATTGATTTTATTGTGATTTTCGTGTGTTGGCGTCGTGTGATAACTGTTCTGTTTTTCCATGAAAATCAATTACTATGCATGTGGTCTCGTTTTTTTCACCAAAAGAATCAGGTACATGTAAGGTGATTCGGACAATGGAATCGTACAAAAATGTACATGATTCATTTTCGGGCAAGGACCTGATTGTCATGACAGAATTCCATTGATACTATATACCTAATGAATGATAATCGCAGATTTTGCACACGATTTGTGCTCATGATATTCAGGTATGTCCGGGTTCACAGTGTTAACTCTCAGATATTCATCTCAACGCCTGTGCAAGTATTTTTTTGCGTAGCGTGTCACGATCGTATGCAAATCCTATATCGTTCCCCCAATCATCGGCACTCCGCTCCGTACGATACCTTGTTTTATGCATGTCCTTTGCTCGGCCCACACGTGGGTGTTGTGCATGTGAATAGGTGGTGGAATTTCGACCACTGTTTGCTTGGTTTACTTCAAACAGTTTGCAGAATTCCATCAATTTATAGGAGCAGTGCTTACATGGCAGGTGTCGACGGCTGTGGCAGACGTCCTAATTACAGTGTCTCTGGCGTGGAAGCTGGTATTTTAATCTTAATCCCCATATTTCCTCCCGTGATTTCTAAAATTCTGCTCTTGACAGTACCAAAACAAGACCGGGGTTCCTACCACCGACGATATGGTCAACAGAATAATCCGCCCTGAGTCTTTTTCTATCCCGGGTATACCAATGCGAGAATAACGATCTTCAAATAATGGTCTAGACTGGGTTTATAACCGCAGATTCTGCGATCACAGACGTATCTTTATTCGTAGGACTCGGAAGCAAAGTACGTCCACTCCATCATTTCATGATCTGCCGAATTCCATACTTATGAGGCTTCTTCAGACAACTGTGTAATCCCGTTCAGAATATTGACACAAAAACGCACCACGTCAGGACTTTCTCTCATCTTGTGCCCAGGCTAGGGAAACGGCTCAAGTGAGTCCTAAGCATATCTCATCTCCGACAAGCGCCGCTCACCGTGCCTCTACATAGGGTGTTTATGATATCGAGTTGGAAACACCGGCGGATCAACTGACCAGAGCAAATCTTGCCCCGAGGCATTATGTCAGGGCGCAAGTCTCGGTGATGCGGAGGCCGGCGGGCACACGTCCTCTGGTGTAGAAGTGACTCAGCTACTGCGGTGGAGCAATTCACCAGCTCACCTCCCGTCAAAATATGATCTTTGACGCACATCGAAACTCAAAAGAAATTTTAATAACCTTGTAGAATGGCACGATGGTCGTCGTATAACGGATTGCATATATATGTATGCAACACAGTTGGAATGGGGTGTCATATAACTTGCAGTTATGTCGGATTTTATGGCCCATTCTTTTGGTTTTTCCTATACATCCAGACACTTGTTTCGACTAGTTTATTCAGATTCTCTGCAGACACTTAGACCTTCTATGTAACGCGAGAAGTTGCAGGCTAGCGCTAGTATAACCGACGCGACTCGCTCAAATTAAGCCGTAGCTTACCTCTCTTACCCACACCTCAATCAGACTCGACTAGATACACGCTCGGCGTGCTAGACTATACACGTTCTTGTCGGTTAGTGTGAGCCCGACATAGAGACGAGCCCACGCGATCTTTACACATGGAAGGGCCAATGCACTTGATGTGCATGCTCTAGCGCCTATGGAGGGAAAGGACGAGCGGAACGGAAAGTGCCCTGTCGTAACGAGAAAGGATACGAATGTCACATTTCGCACAGCGGCATTCCTTTTGCATGGTTCGGACGTTCGCAGAAACCAAGGTGGTATAAAAACAACGGACAGAAGAGTCCATTATAGCACATTGAATTATTAACTGAGTACGAAAACTAGGCGGAACAGGTCGCACACGAAATCATATGTCAAGTAATACTACGAAAGCTATGTTGACCAGCGAAATGAAGAGTCCATAAATGCAGGCGATATTAGTGCTGCGTTTTTGGCGAAATGCATGCAAATAAAGTAAAGGTATGGTCCAAGAGATTCCCCAACTTCTCACATCATCTGCTGACCGAAAGACATACCGTCCGACTTGAAATCGAAGGAAAGGAACGCCGGGCCGGCGAGAGTGACATTATCGCTGGTCATCGAGTCGCTCGAGGTCGCGACGGCGTACACGACGCCCATGAGACCGTCGGGAATGGTGACCTGGCCGTTCTGCACGGGGACGATGGTCGTGTTCATCCCGCTGATGAAGCCCACGTACATTCCGTTGGCGCTGCTCGCGTCCGAGCCGTTGAACGAGACAGTGGTAGCCTGGCCGGCGGTCATGTCCGTGCCGAAGGTAAGGGCGGGGAACGCCTTGACGGGCAGCGCCGGGTTCGAGGACGGACACGACGTGATGATGGACGTCGCGAGGGTGTAGATCTGGTTGAGGTCGAGCGGGGTGTCGAAGGCGCCGTTCCACGGGTTGGCCTTGAGGACGGCGGAATTGACCCACGCGGAGTGGCGAGCCTCGACAGCGAGGATGGCGGCAGCGGCGGTGAGCGTCCCACCCGAGAGGTACTGGGCAGCACCGGAGTACGCGGAGGTGCCGACGTTCTCGAGCAGGTAGGAGACCTGGGCGAAGGACTTGGCGTCTGTCACGGGGCTATATGGCCAGGTGCGTTAATTACTTGTATTGACGGAGGGAAAGGCGGAGGAGCTTACAAGTTGTAGTCGCAGGCCTGGGTGGCGTCCTCGCCGAGAGCACCAGTGAGGAACTGGACGTGGGTAGCCTCATGCTGGGCAATCTCGGAGAAGCGACCGGCAGCGAAACCGGGGAGGCCAGCGTCGATGAAGGACTGCTGGGTGAAGTTGTTGATACCCTCAGCGTAGAAGGCGTTCTCAAGGTGCTCGAGCGTCAAGGCATAGTTCAGAATGTCGGTCACTGCAAGAGCTTGTTAGTGGGCCTGTGGGAGAAGTGCAGACGGATGAGAACTGACCTGTGGGAGCAGCACGCTTCTCAGCGGGGAGGGCAACAGCAACAGCGGCGAGGCAGAGGGAGGTGAAAGTGGCGGAGAACATCATGTCTGAGTAAGGCGAGTATGAATGAAAGCGCGTCTGGATAGAACTGGGCCTGGGGAGGTCAGGGTAAGAAATGGGCGCCTTTTATACGTGTTGAAGCTGGTGCGGGTCTCAAAACGAATACCTTGCAAAAGTCCAGCTCCGGAATGAGAAGATTGACAAACGACCACCCGTTGGATCAGCTGCGAGCTTCGAAGCGGGTGCGATCGAGAATTGCCTTGTCGACTTGCCGAGAAGCGCACATCCATCAAGGAATAATTCCGAGACTCATCTCCATCGCTTTCTCGGATTCAGCATATTCCAAGTTGCTCACGAGTCCTTGCTTTCGAGGCCAATTATTCGGAACTTTGAGTTACTATCCGGACTTCAGCACTCACATGTTCTGAAAAGGCCTTTTCCATGCACCATTGGAGTAAGACAGTGGCGCAATGGGTCTGAATAAACAAGCTAGGTTTACGTCATTATTAAACCAAGACACATCTTCGGTGCCAGTAGAAACGACATGGCAGAGATGTCAAGTCCAAAATGGGTCAAACGTACGACAGCTCTGTGAAAGATCCATTCATATTGAAGACATGCAGTCCCAGTTCGACCACCGCCCCAATATTCCTCCGCCTCGTCTTTCTGATGGGAAGAACTGGAAGAGTCGCAGAATCGGATGTCCTCACGAACAAATGAGAGACAGGTTGATCAATTGACGATCGAAACCTAGTGCCCTGGCCATAAAAGCCGCGTTCGTAAGGGTTCCTGCAGCATCTACTGAAAGAGTTGAAAATGCTGAAACCGTTGTGGCACGACGGACCCTAGACTGTTGAACAAGTCTACAGAGCCTTATATCCATTTTGTCGAATTTCCAAGATCTACTTGGCTCGGCGTAAACATACTAAACAAACTCGAGACTACGTTCAATTCAGCACATGTTCGAGTCACGAATGTCAAATGAATGCCTACCGCTTGTGGGACCTACTCAAAAGAAACCTGATGTGCCGAGCAGCCCGACGGAAGGCAAGAGATGGGATGTCAGTATGCCCCCCGAGTTGCCCGAGGTCGCGAACATTCCGCTAGACGCCTGCAGGAATGACTTTGCCCGAAGCAGAAAGAGATGATCACAACAGAGACCGACGCGGGGGACGATCGAGCGATGATCGAATCATGGCCTCAGGCATGTCGCAGCGGGAGGATCTGCTCCAACGGAAGGCCAAGGCACGACCGAAAATATGTCGCGTGCTCATCCTAGCGCAGGGCCGCACCACGGGGAGTGGTTCAATATTTCAATGTCATCATATCTGCTGTAATGATTGGGTAGCAAAGATGTCGGTCGTTCGCGGCCCACTGCGCTTTTCCACACTTGCCTGCTCTACGTCGGCTCTGTTCGTCCCCCCTCGGTTCTTGTGTCCGCACACTCAAGACAGAAGAGGTTCTCCTAGAACGCTTGAATCTCCGCACACCGCAGCGTCCAGAGTTCGCCTAACGCCCGCCTGCCGAGGTAGCCAAGATCACTCTGGTCAAAAGCCTACCGTGAAATGAGATATGTTTCAGTTACTCTGGTTCCGTTGTCGTTTCATGGTAAGACGGGACTACGAATATGATGTTCGGGATTGCAGCATCGCCAAGCGCGCCCTCAAGAAAGTCGATATGGGTGACGACCTGGGAGAGATTACCTGCGGCAAGGTCGTAGAGACTACTGTTTTCGAAGGCACCCTGGTGGTAGAGCGCGTTCTCCCGAGGTCTCAAGGCCAGCGCATCGTCCAGGATGTCGACGAACATGATACGCACCTTACTCGGGGTAGTTGACTACGCGTCTTGGAACGGAAGCGGCCCTCGCCACTGTGACTGACAACGCGCTGCAGCGAAGGTACGCGCCGTCGAGTCTCACTTCGATCGAAGAGCCAATAACGAGCTAAGCACAGGCTTCATCGCGGATAACAAAGGAAACCCCGCACGCAAAAGTATTAGCACGTTGAGTTGAGTGGAGGCAGCTTTTACCGTACGATAACGGGACAGAGACGACAGCGTGTTTCGTGCGGCCACCACGCTGATAAGCAAAGCCTACGATGAGTGAAGCGTCGAAGCTCTGAGATTCTGATGAGACATAGGGTTATCCGCAACCAAGAAAAGAGCACCCTTGGAGACACCAAGATAGAAGCGCATTCGGGTCACTGCGTACACTGCGCAGTGTGAGACATTGAGCAAGACACCGTGCCGGTTGCTGAGTGGTTGCTATTTGAGATCGTGAGTCGCTCAGGGTCACGAGCCAGTGTGAACAGCTGTTAAGCTCGTATGAATGTTGGATGGTCGGTCCGGGGAGGTGTAAACAACGGTGCACATATGACGAGGCATCGGGACCTCTTGATTCTAAGAACGTGCCCGATGGACACGCAAGAGGGCCGAAACCTGGCGAAGCCTATACAGCTTATCCGTCGCAACGAGGAGATCAATCTGATGGAAGGTAGGTCTGCGAAAGCTATATAGGCGAGTGTGGATGGGAGGCATACGTGGGCGAGAAGATAGGTATCGGTTCCGCTCCGATCAGGCGTCGAGGTCGCGAGGCTTTTGCGTCGACGGTGGCGATCATCCCGAAGTGCCAACGCCTTAAAACAGCGTACCTGATCAACACGCTGCAGTCAGCTCACTCGTCGACATCCCCCGTATCTATCATCCACCGCCCACCGTATATTCGCTCGTCGTTGACCATGGGACCCGCTCCATGCTCAGGTGAACAGCACACGGGCGCAGTGGCAGTCCGCATCTGGGAAAACAATGGAGTCATCAGTTTTGGTGTGTTGATCAGCCACAGCGGTGGGAAAGTTACATAATCAATGTGGCACTGGCAGCGAATGAGGCCCGTGCGGACGACTCCCCATCGCCAGCCAACGCCGTCAGCCCCCCACCCACCCCCGTCCCCTCCCTCTCCCCCTTCCCTCTGCCCGCCCACGCCGACGACGACGATGCCTGCACCCCCACAGTTCCCCCAACAGGCCCAACAGCCCTCGTATCCCGCTCTTTACCTCTACCCGCTCAACGACACCTTCGTCCCCAAGCACATCTGTCTCGCCGGCGGCCAGCGCATCAAGATAGGCCGTCAAACCAACGCCAAGAGTGTCCCCGGAGAGCGTAACGGCTACTTTGACTCGAAGGTGCTCAGCAGACAACACGCCGAGGTCTGGGAAGAGGCAAACAAGGTGAGTCGCCCGGTGTGAACTTTCTTGCGGGCCGCGGGCTGAGGGCACCCTTCCCTTAGATATTCATCAAGGACGTCAAAAGCTCAAATGGGACCTTTATCAATGGTGAACGGCTCAGCCCGGAGAGCGTCGAGTCAGAACCATTCGAGCTCAAAAGCGACGATATTGTGGTGCGTTGTCCTTTTTTCCTCGCCGCATATACCCGCCGCTCACTGCCTCGTTGTTCACTGCCCGCCCGCCCCTCTCTCGCACGTGTCTACTTCGCATGGCCCGCAACATCATTCTTGCATCCGTAGGAATTCGGTATCGACATTATAGGCGAGGACAACAAGACGGTGCTGCACCACAAGGTCGCCGCCCGCATCGTCTGCGTCCTTACAGAGGAGGATGTCCAGATTGCTGCGCGGGTCGAGCAAATGCACGCCTCTTCCTCGAACTCCAACACTTCACCTTCCGCCACCTCCCCATCTCACATGATGCCGCAGCAAAACAACTTCTCCTTCCAGCAGCAAGGCCAGCCGCAGCGTCGACCAACACTCCAGAACCCCGCTCTCGGTGGCATGGGCGGCATGGCGAACATGCGGCCACCCGGCAAGGGCGGTCTCACCTTCGACCATATCCTCAGTCGGCTGCAGGGTGAGCTCCAGAAAAGCCGCGATACTGGCACGGAACTGCACTCCCTTTCGAACGCCATGAGCGACGTTCGCGATACCCTCGGTGGGCAGCTCGTAAGTCGATTTCATTTTGGCCTCGTGTACGGAGCGGCTGGCTGATCAGATTTTTTTCGCGCGTACAGCCCCCCAATCTCCCTCACTACCCCTCATCCCTGCCCCCCGTCCGTGCTCCTCAAGAACAATCTGCCCATAGCTCCGAGTCAGGCGAACCTGCCCCCGACAGCACCTCCTCGTCAGGTCTCGCCGAGCTTCGGTCGGAGCTCTGCGAGACGCAGTCCTCCCTCGCCAGTTACGTTACCAAAGTCAGTGCGCTCGAAGACGTCCTCGCAGAGCACGAAGCCATCAAGACCGAGATGTCGTCCCTCCGTGATCTCATGGAGGAGCGGAAACGGGATATGGTTACGAAACAGGAGGACGAGCAAGAAGAGCATGACGAGGAAGACTTTGACGACGCGGCGAGCATATCCACCATCATTCCGCACGAGCTCGAGCGCGTCGAGGAGGAGGACGAGGAAGGTGCCAGCGGCGCGCACGAGGCAGAGGAGACGGATGACGACCGTCGACGACGACGAGAGGAGCTTGGTCGCCCTCGCACGCCGGAACCGGGTAGTCTCGGCATGCTGTCAGAGGACTCGTCAGCGTCCGGCGAGACTCGCCGACGGTCGAACACTGGTCCCTCGTCGAAGGCCATCGACGATCTCATGGAGCGCCTGACGGCTCTATCAACGAAGCTCGAGAGCGCCATCGAGGTCAACTCGGAGCTGCGGGCCCAGCATGCCAGCGCCCAGACCACCATCCAGCAACTTGAGAGCAAGGTCGGCAGCCTCGAGGCGCTCGTCGTCAACACGCAAGAACGGGTGCGGATGCAAGAGGAAGAGCGCGAACGTGAGCGCGAGGCAGCTGCCAAGGCTCCCCCTCCTGAACCCGAGCCGAAGGAGGAGAGTGAGCGCGAGTCGCTCACTGCGCTCATCTCCGAGTGGAAGAAGACGGTCGAAGGCCAGTGGAGCACCGTGCGCGAAGAGTGGACTGCCGAACGCGATCGCCTGGCCAAGGCCCGCGACGAGTGGGAGGGCAAGATTAGGACGCTCGAGAGCGGGCTCGAGTTGCGCATCTCCTCGTCAATCGCAACCCAGGTTTCGAGTCACCTGCAGAACGGCCATTTTTTACCCCACGGTGACATCAAGATCGGCCTGAACGGGACCCACGGTGGTGGTCTCGTCACTCCCCCTAGTCCGGTCAGCGTCGCGAGCAATGGTCCGCGCAGCAAGGGCCGGAAACGCCGTGGTCGTGCGGGCGGGACCGGATCGCGCTCGACGTCGCAGTCGCCGGCAAGATCCCTCTCGCCTGTCTCCCCCATGGACCTCGGGAACGAGCGGACGCTCAACGGCATCAATGTTGAGGGCCTCGCTGGCAAGAAGGGTCTTCGTAGACGACGAGGCTCCCACTCACGGTCAAGGTCGCGCTCGGTGTCGCCGTCGATCGACGAGAACGAGAACGAGGATAGCGAGGCGGAGATGGGTATCGGCCCGATAGACTCAAACCCGAAGATGCGGTATCCGTTCACGCCTGATCCTAGCATTGGCGACTCGTCGTCGTCCGGGTCGGCGGCGCCGAAGGAGAAGGATGAGCTCGAGCTCGAAGACTCGATGACGTCAAGTGCGGTCGTCGAGGCTGGCCGGAAGGGTTACGTCTCCGACGGGGTTCGTTATTTGTTATCTCATGATGTACGAAGTATTGACGCGCTGGTTTTACAGCAAATACGAACAGCGATGAGCCTCTTCGTCGTCGGCGTCGCGACGGCCGTTGTGCTATGGCGTGTTAAACCGGACTCACTTAATTAGTGTTCTGGTGCGACGCGCGGTGCCTCCCCTATGCAGTTTTCTCTCTTCTCAGCATCTTTCGTTCGGCATTCGGCGAGGGGGTGAGACCCTCGATAATACAGCACATCAGTAATCGCGGATCGGACTTCGGCACAAATTCTCTATCGTCCAGCATCCGGTTGCCTCCACTCATCCTCCTCCATCGATTCATTCATCCTTGATTGTTCTCGCCTCCGCTCGCGGCGCACGCAACGCTCCTTCACCCACTCTCGCCCACCCCCCTCCGCCGCGTGCGCTCGCCACTCCTTCCTGTCGCCCCCACCCTATGCCTCGACATGCTGTTCGCGCAGCAGCCTCATGACCTCACGATAATCACGACGACTACCCACTATCAATTATAACACAAGTTCAAGTTCTCGCAGTTGCAGTCGAATCTTCAGTTATTCGCCATGTGCCGTTGTCGTTTGCCGCCCCGCTCGCGTCTTCGTCCGTTGTCCGTATCGTCTTTATCGTCTCATTGTCTATTGGCTCGTCGCCTAGTCAGTTCAGTACGCCATTATCTCTTGTCGCCTCGTCTTGCCTTGCCCCGCCAAATCCTCGTATTCATATGCACGTTCTCGCACCAGCTTATTTTCTTCCTTGGCAGAACTCTAAACTCGACAAGTTTCGTCGACGCATGTCTCTAGCTATTAGCTCTCGCTCTCGATACAGATTTCCCACTTTCTAATTTATATGATTCTTCGCTCGTGTCAGACGTACAACTCTTGGATTCACGCGGTTCCGCTTTCGTAGTTTTTTCGGTTGGTTTTTGGATGGGCGATGCGTATCCGGTATGACCGTGGCGCGGGGGTCCAGAGCGGTGTTTGGATCGAGGGCATCGGACTGCCTCTTTTGAAGAGAGCTTGTGGGGTGGATAGGGGGCGAACAGAGTACGAAGGATCAAGATGAACGCGAAGATGGAGACAACATGTAAGGCGCAGCGACGCGGTCGAGCAGGTGCAGAAAGCCAGAGCAAGACGAGAGGAGAGGATGTGAAGGAAGGTGATTCACTTTAGATTAGATTATCTGTTTAATGCGCGAGGTTTGGATCCGGAGGTTGGTGCATACACGTATACGTATGAGTACGATACGATAGACGCTGTAGCGTAGCTATAGCCACACACGGAGGAGGTGTTGTCGGAGGTGTCGGAGGCGTAAAGAGCTTGAAGCTTGACGCATAGTACATATTACCCATTCGTTCGTATGTTTTGGTATGGATTTCGCAATAAGATTATTTGATTTCTTCATGGCGGTGTGGTAGGAATTGCCGGTGATGTCGATGATGGCTGTGACCTGGTGTTTTCGCGCGTGGCTGCCGCAATCGGTTCTGCTTGCGTCCGCTTCCTGTGTCAACCACAGCACAAGGCCGCCTATGCTGCCACTTACTTCCGTGGCGGAATGTTGTAAAAGGCTCAAGTTGAGTTCAAGTAGCTTTATGTATGGGCGTCCCTTAGGTTATCACGACAACAAACCGAGTCGAACCGTACGTACACGTTTGGCTGATTGAACATGTAAGCGGAAGGCGTCAGTCGACTGGATTCAGCTTGCTGTGATCAGATAAAACGCATGGATGCTGAGCATAGCACAGCTTTCTCACAAGCGGGCAAACTTCGAACCCATACTCGTGTATCGGCCTATTATTGCCTATACATCGCAGTGCTATTGCGAAGCTTCCGATGTGCCTTCAAGGCCTTATTCGTTGATAAACCAAGACGAGCGCTAGCAACGTGGAGGCCGGGAGCCTGTCGGCCGATTCAGCGATGGAAGGGCCGGATGCTGTCATCAAGCGCTGAACGCTGAGTGCTGGCGTACTGTATAAGTATTACCAAAGTATTACGGACTCGTAGCGTGTAACCTCATGCGAACACACTGTCTCTCAAGGTCTCAACACTATCATAACTGGCAAATTCTATCACATAGATCCGCTCGCCAGAGAAGAATAGCCCCTCGACGGTAAGTTAAACAGCACCATTGGAAGCTGCTATAGTGGACATACTGGAAATGCATTAGTTGTGCTTCGCAATTTACTATTGTTTTATTGGGAAACGCTACAACTTATAATGTTTCGCGCCAGTGCATTTCCAGTATGTCTTCTACGTTGTCTTGATACATAAACTCACCAACGATGGTGTAGGTGTAGATTGTTTCCCGCACTTTCTTCTTTCAAGCTGTGAGGGTTGCACGCAGAAAATGCCGGTATTAGTTGTACTTCAGTTAACCTGATTCACAGAAACTCGATCGTGAAACTGAAATCAAGATGCACGAGCTCCTTACACGTATCAACCAACTCCTCGGACAACATGTCCATAATCAAGTGCCGAAGCGCCTGATATACATCCCAGAGAGACGACTTGTCGACCGCAGCTTCGTCATGGCACACTCGCGCGATAGAATATACAAAACCTACATGGGGCGGTCGATCAAGGTGACCGAAGGGTCTCTGGAGCAGGAAATCCGTCAAAAAGTGGCGTACGCGATGCTCTCGCATAGATGGGGGCGGAAGGAGCCGACGTACTCCGAGTACACGAGGCTCTGGGAAGAAACCGAGTTCAGGATGGAGAAACGGGCAAGGGATCCGGGGTATGTCAAGTTATGGAGCTTTCTCAATGGGGCGTCCGCGAGGGGAATGGAATTCGCGTGGGCGGACACGTGCTGCATCGACAAAAGTAGCAGCGCCGAGCTCGACGAAGCGATCCGCTCAATGTTCCGCTGGTATCGAAATTCGGCGCTATGCATCGTACACCTTGCGGAGACGCGCTCAGTGAATGACTTCCATCAAGATCGATGGTTTAGAAGAGGGTGGACGTTGCAGGAGTTGCTTGCGCCGCCAAAGATTAAGTTCATGGACCAAGAGTGGAACACACTGGCAAGAGGGGAAAACGACAAGAAGTAAGTCTCCCAAGCCATTTTACGCTACTACATTAATGTCACATTATACGACACTTCAGAGATGAGACAACTCTTTACAGTGTGAACAAAGCAACTGGAATCCCCGTAGAAACCTTGAGTGGGGCCTTTGAACCACGGACGGACAAGTTCAGCGAGAAAATGTCCTGGGCTTCGCGTCGGAGTACCACACGTGCAGAAGATTCCGCGTATTCGTTGATGGGTATGCTGAATGTTAGCATCCAGACAGCCTACGGAGAAGGCGGCCCCCGTGCGTTCCGCCGCCTCCTCGACGCCGTCGTGCACAAAGCCGAAGATCCCTCCGTGATGTACTTTCGCAACTTACATCTCCCCGAATCACCGGCCGATTACCTCCCAAAATCATACACAGTCAGCAGTGCATGGAGCATCAAAGAGCCACTCAACTACAGCCTCGACCTGCGCATGGGCCGACGCGGGCTCAAGGTGAAGGCGCTCGTACTACCCGTCAAGCGTGGGTACCTGTACCCGAACGCACGTTGTCCAGCGCTGAACAACGCGTTCGTGACCCTCTCCGCGCCGCCGAACAAGTCTGGGTACTTCGTGGACCACAGGTACGCACTCGGCATCGTGAACTACTTCCGCATCGAGGGCACGTCGAGGGTCGTTCTGCCGAGGAGAGTCATCGCGTACCTCCTCGGTTCACCTCCGGACCGCAGGGATGAGCTGTGGCACGCAGAGGGGTGGCAAGGAGACGTGGACCTGATGTGCCATGGACGCCTTGAAGAGAGATGGAGTGTTTTGAGGCAACTGTTTGAGATCGAGATTCCTGGGCGTCCGACGAAGATGGACAAGCTGAATGACAAGCCTAAGTATTCCAGGAAGGCTAAGCGCCCCAAAGAAGGTGGTAAGGCAGAAAAAAACTGGGGGTCAAAGGCTTGGGAGGAGACGGGCCCGGGGTATTTCTTCTTGGACGAGGAAAACGTGGGTGCAGAGTACCATAACCTATATATACGACCAAGAGACTACTGAACATAACTGTCCCTTTGATGTTAGTTTCAAAAGGGTTACATGCCCATATGAACAGATGCCACCTTTCGCGCAACGTTTAGTAGATAACGACAACGTCCAGTGAGATAGCCATTCTAGGAGTGGTGAAGCCGGATGTGACGATCACAGCATGTTAGAAAAGTTGAATTGAGCGAGCATGCAATCAGCGAACACGTGGTACGAGCTCACAGTAGTCGTACGAAACACAGGCTGAAACTACAATCACGTAGTGGTCTATACTTGCCCGGGTATGCTTCTGAGCTGTCGCCATTCGCTAACAAACCAGGGCGAGCGCTAGAAACGTGGGTTCTGAGAACTTCGCAGAGATCTCTATATAGGCGAAGCATCGGAAGCTGAAATCAAGCGCTGGGCGTTGATATCTGAGAACCAAGCATCTGTGTGCCATATGGCTTTTATCAGAGGATAGTATTCGAGCTTGTGTATATGTAACACAAGCTGTGACGCGTACCGTAGCCTGCGCATTCGTCGTGAACGCCCATTCACAAGAGAACAAGACGTACCTAGGAGCACGGGGTGGATCACTTAAGTAGCCCGAATCAAGAATGCTGGTGTGTCTAGCGGTTGTCTCAGGACCGAAGTCTGTAAATAAGCACACCTCGATCCTGACGATATATTTAGCTGCATCAGACTCCGAGCGCTCGTACCAGTACATAAATCGAGTGTAGGCGAGGTCCAGGCCTGAATCGTTCACCAAGTTGTCCTGGTCTAGGGCGGAAGGTCACGCACACGAAGAATCGGTGGTGTGCCTGTCTGAGCCGATCTAATCTTGGCCCTGTGGTGAGATTACCTGGACGCCATCTTCTGTGGTTAACCTCCGCATGTAAGTCTCAGACCATCGCCTGCATTCTCTGAGAAGCCATATGCTCACTGATTTTACAATGTGAATAGACACATCACCAGATTACAAACTCGGAACTGAGATGCATAAACTCCTTGCGCGTATCGACCAACTCGTTGGCCAGTACATCCACAACGAAGTCCCAGCGCGTCTCATATACGTACCCGAGCGGCGGCTCGTGAACCGCAGCTTTATCATGCACCACGCGCGGGAGCGAATGCACGAAGCCTACTCTGGGACGACGAACAAGGTGTCCGAGGTATCTCTGGAGCAGGAGGTGCGGCGGACGGTAGGGTACGCCGTGCTCTCGCATCGATGGGGGAAGAGGGAGCCGACGTACGCCGACTACACGAGGCTCTGGGAGGAGTCCAAGTCCGGAGATGGGTCCGGCCCGGAGGTCGACCGACGCGTGGCGGAGCCGGGGTACATGAAGCTGTGGAATTTCTTGGAGGAGACGTCTGCGAGGGGTATGCAGTTCGCGTGGGCGGACACGTGCTGCATTGACAAGAGCAGCAGTACGGAGCTCGACGAGGCGATCCGCTCGATGTTTCGTTGGTATCGGAACTCGGCGTTGTGCATCGTGCATCTCGCTCAGACACGTTCGGTCAAGGATATGGCACAAGACGCATGGTTTACGAGGGGGTGGACGTTGCAAGAGTTGCTTGCGCCGCCGAAGACCAAGTTCATGGATCACGAATGGAAGCCACTGGTAAAGGGAGAAAACGATAAAGAGTGCGTTTGCTGATCTACCTGGAGTTCTAACCATTCAACTCACGCCGGATAACAACGTAGGGACCATGATATTCTTCAAAGTGTCAGCAAAGCGACTGGAATCGGCACAGAGACCTTGAGTAAATCCTTCGAACCACGAACAGAGAAGTTCAGCGAGAAAATGTCCTGGGCATCTCGCCGCAGTACCACCCGAGCCGAAGATGCCGCATATTCACTGATGGGTATGCTGAACGTCAGCTTCCAGACAGCCTACGGCGAAGGCGGCCCCCGCGCCTTCCGCCGCCTCCTCGACGCCGTCGTGCGCAAGGCCGAAGATCCCTCCGTGATGTACTTCCGCAACCTCCACCTCCCCGAGTCGCCCGCGGACTACCTCCCCAAATCGCAGACGGGCAGCAGCGCATGGAGCATCAAGGAGCCGCTCAACTACAGTCTCGACATGCGCATGGGCCGACGCGGGCTCAAGGTGAAAGCGCTTGTACTGCCTGTCAAGCGCGGGTACCTCTACCCGAATGCGCGTTGCCCAGGACTGAACAACGCATTTGTCACCATCTCCGCGCCACCCAGTAAGTCGGGCTACTTCGTGGACCTCAAGTACGCACTCGGGGTGGTGAGCTACTTCCAGATCGAGGGCACGTCGAGGATCGTGCTCCCCAGTAAGGTTATCGCGTACCTCCTCGGCTCGTACCCAGATCACAGAGACGGTATGAGGCACGTCGAGGGGTGGCAGGATGGGGTGGACCTGATGAGCCACAGTGCGCGTCTCGAGGAGAAGTGGAGCATTTTCCGAGGGCTATCTGAGATCGAGATTCCCGGCTGTCCGACGAAGCCAGACAGGTGCAAAGAAAACCGGTTCAAGGACGGCGGCAAGGCACAGATGGATCGGGGTATGGGGTTTTGGGAGGATACGGGTTCAAAGTGGTATATCTTGGATGAACGGAAGGTGGGAGCAGAGTACCATAACCTTTATATACGTCCGAGAGATTCTTGAACGAGTGCCACCACCTCCATCGAACGCGGTTTGTGCCGAATCAGACAAACTCTTTTTCGATGTTCGTAGGCCCATAAGGATCGAGGTGGGAGTCCGGGTGCCTAGTGAGGCGTCGACGGTGAACAATAGGTGCTTGAGCTTTACCCCTGAACCAGGAGGTACTACTTCGTTGACTTCGTGCCGCTTCGAGAACGTATCCTGTATGGTTCAGCGAGCGGTGCAGTGAAGCCCAGGAACTTGAAGCAAGTCGGTGCAGGTGGCTGTAAAAGAACAAGCCGATGACTCGATTCCGCTGGCCCAGTGTGGGAGTCAGTGTATACCCCTATCACAGCCAGCAGCCGACAACGTTCCTTGCCGCAGTTTACATATCATGGAACAAGTTCCCCCGCCTTTTCGACTCGCTTGTTTTCCGTATCACGTCTGCCGAGTGCAGCTCCCACCCTCTCTGTTGCTGCACGCCTTGGCAGGGCTCACCCAACCGGCACCATGAAGCGACTCTTTCGCCGGCTCAAGTCTGACAAGGACCTCAACGCTTCGTCTGGCCCATCAAAGAACGCAAAAAACGGGAAGAAGAAGGCGGGAACAGACGAGCCGGACGAGTTCGACCGCGACCGCGCGTGGTGGGAGACAGACGAGGACGTCGCGTACTTCCGCGCCCAGGCCCAGCGCACCCAGACGCTCCAGGAAGCCCGCGCGTTCCTCGATGCCCAGCTCAAAGGTGCCGTGTCCCCGCCGTTCTTTGACGACATCGTCCTCGACCCGGGCGCGGCGGCGGGAAAGACGCCCGAGGAGCTGCTGCTCCAGCAGCACGCGCTGTCTGCGTCGATGCAGGCATTTGCGCTGGGGCGGTTCGGCGAGGCGAAGCAGTATTTGCTTGCGCTGAGCGGGAGCGAGCATCTCCCCGCCACGTGGTTCCGGCTGTCGTATATCTGCCTCTACCAGGGGTATCGCACTGAGGCAGCGGAGTACGCGGAGAAGGCGAAGCAGGCGTTGATGGACGATGAGAAGGCGGACAAGGTGCAGGATCGGGTAAAGAAGAAGCATGAGCGATTCAAGGATTTGCTGAAAGTGTGGTGGGCATGCACGGTCGACGAAGACTATTCTGTCGCGAAGCTCGAGGGACCGGAGTCGTTGAGTGAGCTCATGGAGTGGGCTTACGAGAAGTGGCTGGTTGGTCTGGAGGGCAAAGACTATGATTCCACTTCGGTGCGTCATGCCCTCGTTTATGTCTGTGATCACTACTCATCATTGCGACTGTGTACAGTGCTTCCTCCTGATAATGTATTGCGACGTCACGGGCTCCAACCCCTACTATCCCGGTCGAGGGCACGTTGTCGAAGCGATCATGGAGAACCGCCTTCGCAGCCAACACTATGCCGACATCTTCCAGCTCATCATCTACAGCGAGAAATCGCGCGGCTGGGGCGACGGCGCACGCCTCCAACGCGAACTCGAAAAGTACCCATCTTCAGGGCGTCTCTCCGCCGACCACACCGCCCTCCTCGCCGCTGTCAAAGTGCACCGCGCGGAACAGCTCGAGAAAGACGGCATGGCGGGCAAGGAGCGCGAGAAGCTCTACATGGCCGCGCTCAAGGACTACAAGAAATCCGGGCACGCGTGGGGCCACCTCACCATCAAACTGCGCCAGCTGCTCTACGAGAAATCCGCGCCCCTCACATTCCGCTCCAAGGTCGCGGAGGCGGACAAGCTCCAGGCGAAGTTCATCCAGGGCATGGTCGACGTCACCGAGGGCTTCGCCGTCGCGGACTTTCCGAAGCGCCAGATGGACTACTACGAGAAGCTGTTCGAGATGCTCGCGCCGACGAGCGAGCAGACGAGCTACGATATGGCGTGCGAGCTGCGCGGGCTGTATAGGCGCACCGGGCGGTGGGGGCGGTACTGGGCGACGCATCTGATGGTGATGGCGTTCGAGGTGATGCAGGTGCCCGAGCTGGGCTCGTTCCTCGAGGACGCGCAGAACGTGCCGCAGGTGTTCCTCGATGCGGACCCGGCGCTGCCGGTAATGCGCACGCGGATCTTGTTCTTTGTCGCGTATAGGACGGGCGACGCGGACAGGGTCGTCGAGCATGGGCATGCGTTTCTCGAGGCGATGCTGATGCAGCATGGCGAGGCGGTCGCGAGCGAGGTGGCCGAGATTTTGGGGGCGGCGCTGATGGTGTTCGATCCGCAGGCGCTGGATGTGGAGAAGCGGATGGAGAGGTTCGAAGAGGGGAGACAGTTGCTGTGGACGTGGGCCCAGAAAGACTTTAGGGGCGCGAGGGATGCACTGTGCGTGCGCAAAAACTTTGTTCTCGCTCGCGGTCTGCTCGAGTTCAAGAACCTCATGCCGGACCCCGAGGCTGCGGTGGAGGAGGCAAAGAAAGCGCTGGCGGAGGCGCGCCAGCTCGGTGGTGGCGGGGGAAGGCCGCCGCCAAAGTTTTCGTTTCTTTCTCTTGGTGGCCAGCCAGAGGCTGCCGAGCAGAGGGAAAGGAAGGCGACATTTGCCATCCGTTACGCGCTCGTCGAGTCGCTCCTGTTCGACGAGTGGGAGGTCGAGGCTATCAAGGTCGCCGATGCCGCACTTCGCGAACACGGCCAATATGCGGCGCAGGATGTCATCGCTCAGCTCAAGCTTCACACGGCGAGGCGGCGTCTTCGGTATACAGACACGCTACAAGATGCGCAGACAAAGCACGACACGCTCGTTGTTGCGGTCAAGGAGCTCGCCGAGGCGCTCGATGTATTCGCTCAGACCGCGCAGATCTCAGACATACTGGAGTGCAAATACTGGCAAGCCGCCGCTTTGGTCAAAGCAGACCAGCCAGAAGCAGCGAACGAGGTCCTCGTTACGTGCGTCAAGCTGCTCGACATCCTCATGGACGACGCGCCCGTGGCCTCCGGCGGCGGCGTCTCCTCGCTACGATATAAACGCTCGCTCGCGACCAGCACCGGCGTGCGCCGCATCTTCGCGCTCGGGCTGCAGATCGCCCTCGCCGCGGGCGACGAGCAGCGTGACCTCGCGTGGCAGTGGGCGCAGCACGCCAAGGCGCGCGCGCTCGCGGACATGCTCCGTCTGAACGGGAGCCAGATGGACCGCGTCCCCGCGGTGTACTTTGACGGGCTCGCGTGGGCGTACCGCCATGACGCGTACGTCGAGATGAGCGTCGACGCGCTCGCGCCGCTCCTACGCATGAGCACGCTTGCGAAGCGGCTCAAAGCTCCGCCCGGCAGCGGCGGGGCGAGGCTGGAGGAGCGAGCGGACATCAAGCGCGAGATGCACGAGCTCAAGGGGATCATGCGGCAGGACCCGACGGGCAGCCTCGCGGGCTCGCTCGCGGTGCTCACGGGCGCGCCCGCGAGCCTGGACGATCTTCGCTGGGTATCGCTCTGCACAAGTGAGCGCGTGCTGTTCTTCGACTGGGTCGCTGTTGGCGATGTGCTGTACCTCATCCGGGTGGAGATCGCGGACGCGGTCGTGTTCCCGCCGACGCGGCCCGGCGAGCGTCCCGCGGAAGTCGATCCGCGCATCCGGGTGCGCAAGCTTGGGATTACGGTCGGTGAGGTGGAGCATTGGAGGTATTCGGGTGTTGAAGGCAGCCGATATCTCGACAGGCGAGAGATGAGCGGGCCAGACGCATATGAGAACCTCAACATGCTCCGCGCGCTGGTGGAGCCTCTGAAGGAGCTCAGCGAGCCGGGCGACATACTCGTTCTGTGCCCGACTGCGCCGATGCACGGGATTCCGCTTCACGCGATCGGGATCGAGGAGGACGAGGACGGCGAGATGACGGTGCTGTTGGAGCGCAATCCGGTGGTCTACACCTACAGCCACTCGGTTCTTCGCCAGTGCGTCGCGCGTGCAAAGAGCAACGTGTCTTCCCGCAGAGGTGCCGCGTTCTTCGGGGTATACGAGCACCTGCCGGGGCGGGAGAACGACGCGGAGCCGGCGCGCATCGTGCAGACGCTCGAGGCGCTCGCGGGGCAGACGCAGTTCGAGGAGAACTGCGTGTTTATGCTCAACGACGCTGTCACGCCCGACGTGTTCCGCGACGAGGTGAGCAAGGCGGCGTCGCTCGTCCATTTTCATGGGCACACGCTCGACGCGGGGGTTGCGCTCGAGCAGGCGCTGGTGCTTGCGGGCCAGGCGCGGTTCTCGGCGGAGGACGCGTTCGACCTTGAGCTGGCGCAGGCGCCGCATGTGACGCTTATTGCGTGCGCGTCGACGGACCAGGCAACGGCGCCGGGCGACGAGCCGTTGGGCATTTTGTCCGCGCTGCTGTTCGCAGGTGCCGGGTCCGCGGTGGGCACGCTGTGGAAGACGGCGAGCGCGGATGGACGTGCGTTTTCGAAGGAGTTCTACGAGGCGTTTGAGGAGGACGAGTGTCTGATTGGCCGGGTGTTTGATGTGGATGCGGGTGTGCGAGTGATCAATCTCGCGAGGGCGGTGCAGAGGGCGGCGCTGGCGAGCAAGGCGAAGAACGAGACGGAGGCGCCGTATCATTGGGCGACGTTTGTGTTGTATGGATGTTGGTTTGGAAGGGGTTGAGGAGGATGGGTGCTTGGATTTGCGACGGAGATGCTGATACCATGATGATACCCCACTGCTGCTTTCAGTTTGCTATCGACTTTACAATGTATTTTCTAATTAGATACCCTCTATTTGATGGGATATGTTCCCATTTCAAACCACCAGAGTTTCAACGCGATTATTGACCGGATGATATGTAGCCGAAAGACCGTGTATAAGACAAATATTAACCACATTTTGGCTTCGCGCGTATGCAGTCAAGACATAGACAAAATGGTCAATATTGTCTAGCTATCAGCCATGAATCTGAAGTCAATTCCATATCATTGCGCTCGTCTCGATTTACATCCCTAAGAATTACTGGTGGCTGCAAGAGCAGCGCACCTTCCCGATATAGTCATATACCCCCTGAGCTTCTCCTGGAGCTTCCTCCCTGGCTTCCCTCGTCCGCGCTCGCCTCACCACTCATCATCCAGCGTCCGTAACACCCAGAAATCCACCCGGACATACACTAGGATGCCTGAACCACCCAAACGACTGCTTGGCGACACAAACAATGGCCGGGGACGCGGTAGGGGATTCACGAGAAGTGCTGCCAACACCACCAGAGGAGTCTGTGCCGGGCGCGGGAGGGGCACGCATACACCCACCTTCATCATGCCCAGCATGCCTGCAAGCGCAGCTAGGCAGCAGAGGGACTTGAGTGTGCCTGCTGGCGGGGCAGAGAGGGTCTCAAAGCGCCCTCGCTTGCAGTCAATGCCCCCCAATGGCCGGATGGGATCTTCTTCTGGTTCGTCAGACAGTCGAGCAAACGCGACTGAGCCACTCACCTGTTCCCCACCTGCTGCAGTGCAGCAGGGCTTTCCTGACCACCCACCCCAGCCTGCTGACTTCTATCCGAACGTCTATCCCGAGCAGAGCTCAGGAGAGACATCAACATCCTCTTCTGGAGCTGAAGCCAGCACTCCCAGCGGTGCTTCGAGCGGCACTGATGAAACTGTGAGTTACTCATCACAGATCTGTATCAACTTTACTCACCTTAGCTGTAGCAGCCAGCGATTGATCCGGGCCTGATTACGACTGAAGCTGTGCGCATACAATCAGCTCCCCCACCTCGCCCCATCCTTCCTCTGCGACCAAACTCAACCACGCACCAACCCTTGGCTGCGCCTGCTATTGCCAAGCGCACAGCCCCTTCACTGAATGTACTTGCTCGTCCGGCTGGCGTTGGAGGGGTCACAAGTACCCGCATACAATCAGCCAGCACACAGTCCAATGCACCGACTCACCAATCGGCTGTTGGATCCCAGCGCATAGCCAGCCAGGTTGCTGACCTTGGCAATCGCATTCAAGACCTTCAGACGCGTCTTCGGCAAGCGGAAGCTGACCTCAAGGACGTTCGAGAGTCTGCAAAAAAGGCCACGGAGGAGTCAGCACAGGCCAAAGAAGAGGTAGAAAAACTACGTGCTGAAAATGCGCAAGCCATTACCGAGCTTCGAGAGGCCATAGAGGCTCTTAAGGCGCAAAGTGGAGGGGGATCAGGGACATCAGACACAAATCAGGATGCGCTGCAGGTATGTACTCACCGATATCACCTATCCTTGTTATTCATTGTGTTCCCAGGGGGCAGTGCGCGCTGCAATGCTGGCCGTGATGGGTCTGAATGATCCCTCAGAGATTGATGATTATCACCCGCTCGAGGATGGTGGTTTCTACAATCCAAACAAGTCAGTACATCCCAACCTCTCTTTACCGTGGGGCGCGAACCGTGTCTGGCACCTACCTGTGGGCCAGTTCATCTACGACAACCTTGGGAGCTATGTTGAGAAGGCCGATGACTTGAAGAAGGGGAAGACTGTCGGAGATATTGTCGGGAGGATGAAAGTAACGTGGAAACATTGGTCGCAGCAGTATCGTAATGCACAGAAAGAAAGGGCGGGGGCAAACAAGAAGGCAGTGTCGCAATTCAACATGAAGATCAAGGGACGAAAAATTGGAGTGAGTACGAACCTTATCCCCAGGTCTAGCTCACTAAGGTCCCTCTAGAAATGTAACATGCGGGCGAGTGCTCGGGAGGAGACAGGGTACTTGGATGAGGAACACGACTGGTATTTTCACCCCAACTATATGAGCACTGACGAGAGTGCTCCACCGTCAGATGAAGAGGGAGAAGAAGGGGAGATGGCTGAAGAGGGTAGGCAGAAAGAGAGTGAGGCAGCAGCGGAATTTAGTGATGATGGACAGATGGCGAAGCCTACGAAAAAAGCGAAAACTGCAAAGGCTGGAAATGCGTCAGCGGGAACCTGGTACAGAAGGAGGCCCACCTGGCAATCCCAGTACGTCCGTGACATGGCCGACACAACACTGAAGATGGGGGAGGAGATGCGAGGGGCGAGGGGCCCGCCCGCACATGTCAGGGTCGAGGGTGAGGAACGCAAAAAGCCCATCCCCAAGGTTGCGTATGAGGATGGCTTCCCCGGTGTTCCCGATTGGGGTGTTGGCGACTCGTGGATTGAGGAGCATCCGGAGTGCTGGCACCTTGTATTCTACGCTGAGCCAGAAGACTCGGACTGTGAGTAGATTCGCACCATCATTGATGGAGATGCTCACCTGCAGATTCTCCAGATCTTGAGGACAACGCCGGCCCAAGTAACTTCTCAGGATCATACGACGATGCGATGAGCACGGATGGTGCTGAGAGTCTCAGTAGTGGCCCTTACCTTGGCGATGTGGAGATCACAGAGCCCGAAGCAGAGGAGATGGATGAGATGGATGAGATGGATGAAGTTGTCGACTGGGATGGGAAGGGAAAAGCGGTTGACAGCAGGGAGTACGGATTCTCAGATGAAGAATGAAGAGAAGAACTTCACAAATGAGCACATAGATGATCATGCAGCTAGCTAAAACTTACGATATCTTGAACTTGGTGCCAAAAAAGTCTTGATGAAACGACGTCTTGTTCGCTTAAGCGTCTTCCGGTTCTGGATGTCCCTATTGGAGATTAAGTAGAGGGCAATGTAAAAAGACTAGAGCCGACCAAAAACTCACATGGTCGTAAGCAATGGTAACCCACAGGCTGAGTCCCTTCACGTCGATAGGTGCAAGAATAAAGTGGCCTGTCAATGCGTCAACTGGTACCACATCAAAATCATCAAAAGTGTTGGCATGCCAAGTGGCGACGCCAAGATCAGCTTGCCTATGCAGCGTTAAGTGTGGATAACTGAGTGAGATGACAAAGACTCACCAAAGAGCCCAAGGCAGCTCCGGGATATCATTTCCACCAACAAATGGACGCACAACAGCAAGATAGAGGTTGAGGTTCTCGTTGGGTCCTCGAGGCTGAGTTACATAGAAAAGGTGGACAATCTCGACGGGATGCCGACCATAAATATACGCATGCTTGGCAGACTCGCCCCGGTGGAAGCTTGAGGCACCGTAGCGAAGGGATTTGAACCAGATGTATGGATATGTGGAGACCTGGCCCGAGAAGACGTAGCCAGCACCATGTATGGCGCCATTTGGACGGAGTGTCACAGCGTCCTGCCATAGGTCAGCGAGGAATGTATACACAAGGTTGTACAGGTCTCCAGTGAGTCGCATGGGTTGGGGGTGAGCGGATGGCAAAACTGCGGAGGGCTTATCTGATTCTTGCATTGATGTGCCATGTCGGTCCTTCTTGTGTGATCGTAAGTGCTTTTTGAGGAGCGCAATTGATGCATCATCTTCCTCGCTGCGGTTGGGGATAGCTTCAAGATGAAGCATCTAGGAACAGATCATGTCAACGACAGAACAAGAAGTGAACACATGACAATATACCAGCTCATGATTGAACGTTATTGCCCACCATCGCCGCATTAGCGTCCCCTCTAACTCACCACCTTTGTGTTGGTTATGACGGAAACGCGACAACCGGCCATTGTTCTGCTCATAAGGGAATGTCCAAAGGCCGTAGATAGGACCATACTTGTAAATTTGCTCTTCGATATGTAGTGCGTGGTGGAAGTATGGGGTGAGGTGAATGTGCATGCGGGCCCATGTTTGGATAGAGCGAGCAAGGGCAGCACAGCCACGTTGAACATCTACTGGTGATATCGATCGTGTGGCGAGGATGCGTACTGCAGCTGAGAACTGGAGGATTACCTCGTAGTGGTCTTGGAGGTTGCGGTTGGGCATCGCTCGCTTGATCTCTTTCAGGCGGTGTTGGGGGGGGTGAGCGTCTGTGTCGTAGAGCGCCTCAAACAACCGTGAGCGCATGGCTTTGTCCCAGTTAGCCTGGGCCTTGGCCGCTTTTGTCTTTGCTCCAGAAGGTGGGGCATCAACGTCTGGGATCTCACCGTCCTTCTCCCACGCGACAAAGAGACCGACGAAAAGTACGGCGATAAGGTTTCGCCACTGGTCTGCTTTGGGCGATCCCTTTCCTCGCGCAATCTGAAGGGAGGCAAGCGGTCAGCTGAGATTCAAGACAAGTCAACGTTGCAAATACTCACCGACGGAGGTAGACGAGTAGCCTCCACCGGCCATTTGAGGGATTTTAAGAAGGCTTCAAAGCGGGCTTGTGGGTTTTGACGCCGACGAGCATTGAGAAGGCCATAGGTGGTGAGGATTTTGCTGACATGTTTGATGAGCCCTTGACACGACATAAGCGCAATATACGGAGGGGAGAAACATCAGACTTACCAAGAAATATACAGTGCATGAAGTCGATAACACCGCTCTTGCCTGGCATCCAACCCGGGATGAGGTTGAGAGGTGTCCAGAGGACACCACGGCGAAGTTTGATCTCATTAGCTTGAGTTTCGTCGGCATGCCTTGCACGAAACGAATACTTGAGGTGCCGCCAATCATCGCGCGGCTCAAGTTCCTCGATGTTGAAGCCCGCAGGGAGGGCGAGCATGAATGACTTGACAGGACACTGGTAACAAACGTACGTCTTTGAAGTGTGGCCCTGTAAGCCATTGACCTTGCGAAAAGAGGGGAGATCGGAGATGTTGACCGATAGGCTGATATGGACATGTTCTCGGCTCGGATGGTTGTGGACAGCAAAGTCGAGACCATTCGTCAGGCGGATGACACTGCCGACGAAGATGTCCATGAGATTATTGAGCTGGGGTAATGTTGGTTCGTCGGGGCCAGGCATGACCATGATGAGGATGGTTTCTTCGGGGAGGTAGCGAATTTCGTGAGGGTTATTGCAGATCACCACGTAGAACGCCCCTGTCGAGTGGTTGTCATTCTTGACAGATTGAAACCTGTGAAACATTAGGATACGTTACACACTTCAGTAAAAAAATAAAAAGACGTACCAGTCAATATTGAACTGAAGGACAAGGCCACAAGGGAGTGACACGAAACGTTGATGCAGCTGTTGGACATCAACATCTTGTACTCCCCATGGCCCTCCTGTTCGACGTTCGAGACCCGCCTGGATGGCACGCCAGGCCCAGCCATCGTGTATATCATTCATGGGCTGCATTGGATCGGGGAACGCGTCGAACCCACACCCATCAAAGTTATCGGAAGGAGCTGCAACTCCGGCGTCATCACCGGGACCTCTCCACCGCTGGAGTTGATCCCATTTGCCTGGACGTAGCAGCAGGCGCTGCAGAGCACGCTCCAGGGGAACATATGGCACGAGCTTCGTTGGCGTACGCTTGCGAGAGCCATCAGCCATTCGCTTCTCTCGAAAGGTGAGGCCAGGGCAATCCTCGGCAGGACAATGAGGGGATGGGAGGTCATTGAGAGTGGATGGAAGATGGACAGTCCAGCAGTGGTCACAGACGGCGAGGTACATGATGAAGTTGGCTGTGGAGAGCCCGAGGCGCTTGAGAACGGTAGGGAAGGTGAATGCCCAGTCATCAAGGCCAAGGAAACTGAGCTCGGGATGTTGCCTGCGGAGACCATCTAGACGGCGGTGATGAGCCTTGAGACTGATGTTGACAGCTTCGTGGGTGGAGCCGTGGAACGCTACCGAGATGAATGCTTCGATGTAGATACCACGAATGATAGGGTGGTCGTCAAAGACGGATGCGATGCGATCGTGGTGGACTTCAAGGTCTTCAGTGTTTGAGAAATCGAACTCTTCACCCATTGCAGTGTAAAGTGCCTGCCCAAGGGCCTCAAAGCTGTCGTCTGCATCCTCCAAACTGTCGTGGTCGTCCTCTGGATCGCTTCCCTCGCAGTCGAGATCTTCTCCAGTGTTTTGATTGCCCAGCTCGTCCTCGTCTTCCTCGTCTTCCTCGCCCTCCTCGCCTTCTTCGTCCTCATCGCCTTCTTCGTCCTCATCGCCTCCCTCGCCTTCTATTTCCTCGCCTTCCTCACCTTCCTCGTCCTCATTGCCTTCATCACCCTCATCCTTGTCCTCACCCTCCCCTCCAATGTCAACCTGCCTTTCGTCATCTGTGTCGGGATCTGCAGCCAGAGGAGTCTGCGAGAACATCGAGGAGTCATCATCGCTGGCGTGTGCACCGTCAGAGGGTATCCAGTCGTACAGTGTATCTGAAGGTAGCTGTAGGGAAAACACATCAACGTTGCATGAATGTTCCGGGGCATTGAACGCATATAACGTACCTGTCCCTCATCACCATGTTCGCCGTATGTATCACCCTCGTTCTCCTCCAATGCGTGATCCACCGGCAACGTCTCTGAACGCGCTGGAGCCAGCCCATCCTCCTGCACTTGCTGATGTTTGGCAGCGTCCTCAACTTCATCGCGTTCTCCATGCTCCTTTGCGGTCCTATGCTTCTGTAGTGTATGGCCATCGGGGCCTCGACAGCACCCGAAGGCTCGGCAGGAGCACTTGACAAGCCTGTTCCGTTTCCTGACCATAGGCTGAGAAGAGTACGTTATTACCCAGAGCTCGAAGGGAGAGAGAGAGGTCAAAGGCTCTAGGTTGAGCGTTTGGGCAATGCGGCGGCGGGACTTAGACGATTTCGAGCGCGAAGGATTGCATACGACGGAACAATAACATACGATTGCGGCTGGACGTGGTAGGAGTACAGGAATAGCGTACTCAGTCAATACGCAGCTTGAGACTTAGTGGCTGTGCTACACTGACTACATATCATCCAGTCAATAATCGCGTTGAAACTCTGGTGAACACTTGCCCATTTACTGATGTGTGGTTCGTACACTGATAACAAAAGAACAAAGGACGACGTTTTGAGAACAAAAGACAGGGGTTAGTCGTGGTGGCTGTGCTGGGCCGCACCTCTGCATCTGTTGATTCTGTTCCCGCCTCCTTGTCCTCATCCTACCAACAATCAATGCAGACTCCTGTCCCCTCGTCCCAGTCTCTTTGCGCATTCCCTCGTCGGGGATGAAGAAGAGGTCGTATCTCCGTACGAAGCGCGTGCCGGCACAAACGCGCTCATACTACACAAAACGGTCCCAGCGCGTCTATGTATGGTGAGTCTATAGCCTCCCAACAATGACGGCGAACAATGGCTGTGGAAACCACAATTGCTTCCTTGTTTCTTTTATACAGGTCTGATATCTCTAGGCTTCTTAATAATAGTCAGATCCCTCTCACTAACCGCTCCCCTTCAGACAACTATGGCTACCTCGACGCAGCCACCAGTGTATCCTTCTCTTCATCTATACCCGCTCAACGGTACCTTCACAACGAAGAAAATACCCCTCGTTGACGGCCAACGCGTACGGATATGTCGCCAGACTACCGACAATCTCCCTTTGCCGAACGAATGCAGTGGTTATTTCCCCGCGAACATGAAAGTGATCAGCAGGCAGCATGCTGAGGTCTGGGTGGAAGGGAACAAGGTGAGTATTGACTTGTGAAGGGCGCATCAGATCATCCGCCGGACTCTCCTGAAGGCGTATGTTCTTAGATCTACATCCGTGATGTCCAAAGCGCGAATGGGACATACATCAACGGCTGCCGTCTCAGCCCGGAGAACATAGAGTCTGCCCCGTTTGAGCTTAAAAGCCATGACTTGTTGGTACGTTGTCTCACTTGATCCATCACACCTCAATCGCCTCGCTTCTGGAGTGACGTTGATGTACGTACTCACCGACGCAGGACTTCGGTGTTGACATTGTTGACGTGGACGGCGCGACAGTGCTCTACCGCAAGGTCGCAGCCCGCGTCGTCTGTGTTTTGTCAGAGCAAGATCTCCAAGTCGCTTCTTTGGCTGAGGGCATGCACTCTTCTCCGCATAACTCCGATGCAAACACCGTGCCACCGCTCGCACTTGCCTTGCCTCCTCGGATACCACGTCAACCACATATCGATCCCCATGAGGGAATATCACCACAAAGCACGCCGACTCTTCGGACTATCACAAGCATACATCTGCGATTCATGCACATTCGATTCAACCACAACGCTACTGGATAGCTACATACAAACGATAAATGTGCTAGTATCTTTGGTATAGTTCTGTGCCATTGAAATCTAATATCATTCGTTTGCTAAACGCTGTTTGTGAGGTATCATCCGTCTCTTTGTACGTGAATCGCGCCCCAACTCGACGTTGAGATGACAACATCCATTCAGTAATCTCTTGGTCGTATGTAGAGGTTGTGATATTCCGCCCCCATCTTGCGTTCATCCAAGAAATAGTACTTTGATCCCGCCTCCTCCCAGGACTCCCCATCTACACCTGTTTCACCCTTGTTGCTCTCTTCACATCGCTTCTCCACCCGCTTACACTTCACTGTCTCCGTCGGATATCCAGGGATTTCGATCTCAAACAACGGCCTGATAATGCTCCACTTTCCCACATGCCGCGCGTGGTACATCAGGTCCACATCGCTCTGCCACCCCTCAATGTGCCGCATCTGATCCCTGTGGTCCGGATACGAGCCCAGCAGGTACGCGATCACCCGGCTGGGCAGCACGATCTTCGATGTGCCCTCGATCCGGAAGTAGCTCACCACCCCGAGTGCGTACTTGTGGTGCACGAAGTACCCAGACTTGTTCGGCGGCGCGGAGATCGTCACGAATGCGTTGTTCAGCGCGGGGCAGCGTGCGTTCGGGTACAGGTATCCGCGCTTGACAGGCAGCACGAGCGCTTTCACCTTGAGCCCGCGTCGGCCCATGCGCATGTCGAGACTGTAGTTCAGCGGTTCCTTGATGCTCCACGCGCTGCTGCCCGTCTGCGATTTGTGGAGGTAGTCTGCGGGCGATTCGGGGAGGTGGAGGTTGCGGAAGTACATCACGGATGGGTCTTCGGCCTTGCGCACGACGGCGTCGAGGAGGCGGCGGAAGGCGCGGGGGCCGCCTTCGCCGTAGGCTGTCTGGAAACTGACGTTGAGCATACCCATGAGGGAATATGCAGCATCTTCGGCTCGGGTGGTGCTTCGTCGGGATGCCCAGGACATTTTCTCGCTGAACTTTTCTGTTCGTGGTTCGAAGGATTTGCTCAAGGTCTCTGTGCCGATTCCAGTCGCTTTGCTGACACTTTGAAGAATACTCTGGTCCCTACATTATTACACCTACGTGAGTCGAGCTGTTAGAACTTCAGGTAGATTAATGAACTCACTCCTTATCGTTTTCCCCTTTCACTAGTGGCTTCCAGCTCTGATCCACAAACTTGATCTTCGGCGGTGCAAGCAGTTCCTGCAACGTCCATCCCCTCGTGAACCACGCATCATGCGAGATATCCTTTACCGAGCGCGTCTGCGCTAGATGCACGATGCACAGCGCCGAATTCCGATACCATCGGAACATAGAGCGAATAGCCTCGTCCAGCTCCGCGCTGCTGCTCTTATCAATACAACACGTGTCCGCCCACGCGAACTGCATTCCTCTCGCGGACGCTTCGTCCAGGAAATTCCGCAGCTTCACATAGCCAGGCTCTGTCGCGCATCTCGAGCCCTCCAGATCAGATATATCGTTCAACTTGGATTGACGCCTCTCCCAGACCTGCTTGTACTCGGCGTATGTCGCCTCTTTCTGCCCCCATCGATGCGAGAGCGTCGCGTAAGCGACTGTGCGGCGGACTTCTTGCTCGAGGGATACCTCGGATATGTTGCTTGAGTGCCCGGCGTAGGCTTCGTATATCTGCTCGCGCGAGTGCGCGAGGACGAAGCTGCGGTTGACAAGCCGCCGCTCGGGGATGTAGATCAACCGCGCAGGGACCTCGTTGTGGATGTATTGCCCGAGGAGCTGGTCGATGCGCGGGAGGAGTTTATGTATATGCGTATCAAATCTGCGATAATGTTGCTAAGCAGCAACAATTCAGTGAGCACATCCTTTCTCAGAGATCATGGATGGTGATTTGTAACTTACTATCCCGTATTCAAGCATATTCGCGGGCATGAACGAGACGATTCACTGAAGGTGGCATCAATATCGCGATAGTCACTGGGTCGGTGACCGTCCAGTATAGACACGCGTACAGGTTATTGCTGTGCGTGAGCTTGAAAGTCTGAAAGTCACAGGAAAACGCGTCCAACGGTGAAGCTTTGAAGTACTGAAAGATATCTACGGTCGGTTCATACATCAGCCCGAGCACGCGAACATTGTTTGATCCAAAAATATCAGCGTTTGCATTGCATCAGAACGTGCAAGTTACGCACATCAAACCTACACGCTTCGGGCCCGCAGATAGACGCCCGATGAGATAACCAGTCTCGATGCTTGGGATATCACCTCGTGACTCATACCCGAAGGTTTGACCTTGACCCGCGGGTGGATGCTGCTGCTACGATGCGTATCGGGTCTTGGAAGGTATGTTTGCATGATATCGTGCGTCTTGTTGTGCTGTTATACGGTACGCCGGCCCTCGGCGCTTATTTTCAGTCTCCGGTTGTTCCCTTACTGATCACTGGCAAATTCACAGGATCCACGTTGCAGGCGCCCGTCGTGGTTTGTCAGCGGAAGGAAACTCGGCTCGGAAGCTTGGTAATACTAGTAGAACCGCATGCAGTGAGTGGAAGCGCGTGGATTACCGTGTGAGTGTAAACTTGGACCTTTTGTGTAGGGCCTTGAAGTATAGATTTTAATGAGTTTGCTGAATTAGGTACGTCCGAAAGCGCTCGACAACACAATGCCTACGGAGCGCGTTCGAATGTTCACATCCTCGTTTGGTAGCATTTGCCATGATGGTAAAGTAAAAGCGTTGGGGGTCGGAATTCTTCAGGAGGAATTGCGATTTACCTGCAGTGTGGTGCTTGTCGATTTTTCTCTCAGCGGAGACCGTTAAGGACCTACAATGGGTATTTTGTGCTGTCATCCTCCACAGGTAGTCCTACTTCAGGTACCTTTAAACATGAATATCTCGCGCATCGTCAACAGATTGATTGTGGAAAGTAAGTAAATACCGCTATTGTGCGTGGATTCATCGTAATATCCAAGTGCTATATAGAATAACAATTCCTGTCACAGCCATAAACTCAGACCAATAGCTCTATCGACGGCGTATGTACACGTCAACGTATTCTGCCTGTACAGAGGTCTCGTCTAGTAAGAAGTGTGCAGAGTCAATTGGCATTTTATCTCTCCGCAGGTTTCCAGGAATTTCAAACGCCAACGGAGAAGAACAAATGGACAACCTCTCTGCAGACTGGACTGAACCAGTTATACTCTCCGTTTCCCAACCGTTGCCGCTCGTCTCGTGAGTACTTCGGCTATCTCTGAGAAGGTAAGCGATGACCTTCTTAGGGAGAGCGACTACTTTTGTTGCTTCTAGTCGACAATAGCTGACGATGCCGATGAAAAACCCGGGCTTCCGATGTTCTAACCAGTCTTCGGTAGCCCTCATCTCTAGCTTTGAGGTCGCATTGTTCATTGTGCGACATTGAACGATCCAGTGGCCCTGGCAAGTGTAGTGCGGCTTACGAAAGCTAACCTTGGCAGGTAACACGAGCACCCTGAGTTGCACTCCTTGTCGTCCCATGCGCATGTCAACGGAGCGACTGAAAGGTTCTTTGATGTTCCAACCAGTGAAGGGATCAAAGGAGTAGTACGAAGCGGCGGATTTAGGGAGGTGCAATCCATCGAAGTAGAGGACTGAGAGATCTTCAACGTCATGAATTACCGCCTTGATGAGACGGTGAAAGGCTCTAGTACGCCCTTCTCCGTACGCAGACCGCATGCTAACACCTAACAAGCTCATTAAGGAATATGCGCTGTCCTCCGCTCTCGTGGTTTTCCTAAGGGCTGCCCAACGCATCTTGACGTTGATTTTGTTGGTCGTTGGCACGAACGGTCTGTTCAGAACCTTCAATGGAATTTGAGTCACTCTCGCAATTTCTTCGAGTAACCTATGGGCTTCATTGCTACAGGACGCTGTTAGGGAGATAAATGCACGTTTATACGTAGCACCCACTGATTTCTATCTTTATCATTATATGCATCAGCCAGCGGTTTCCAATCTTTGTTCAGGAATTTAATTCTTGAGGGCGCAAGGAGCTCCTGCAAGGTCCAGCCTCTGTTGAACCATTCGTCTAGATGCATGTCGCCGACCGAAGTTGTCTGCGCGAGATGGACAACGCAGAGCGATGAGTTTCGGTACCATCGGAACATGGACCGAATCGCTTCGTCAAGCTCGGCGCTACTGCTCTTGTCAATGCAGCACGTGTCAGCCCACGCAAAGTGGATCCTGCTCGAGTATGCTGTGTCAAGAAATCTCCATAGTTTGGTGAGCCCGCTGGTTTTGCGTGCCGTCTCAGGCGATTTGTGTGTTGCAATACATTCACTGTATGTCACCTCTGCCTGCTCCCATCTGTGCGAGAGAGTGGCATAGGTAACTGTTCGACGGATTATGAATCTGCATAGCTGCCTCTCGTCAGTAACATCTATGAGTTTTCCAAGTATCTTTGGCCGAGCGGGAAGAGACTCTCTCCAGCGAGAAGGGCTGCCATAGACATCTCGGAGCAAGTGATTTCGAAAGTACTCTTCCACGAAGCTCCTGTTAACCATTTTTCTCTGCGGAATGAATATCAAGTGGGCTGGAACTTCGTTCTGTGTGTAATAGCTAAGCTCTTCAAAGAGCATTTCCTTTTGTCACATCGATTGAGAAGTCTCCTATCAACATGCCTGAAAGAACTTACCCCAGGTGGCGGCATTGTCAAGGCCATCTGAACGCCTTGTGTCGAAGTAGGCGGATCGGACCCCATATATACTGTGCCAATAGGCTGTTGTTTATTCTTAGATTCCATCGACAATGTGATTACCTTTCAGAGAGCGTACCTGCTTGCCGACTAGGGTGCTGCTACCGAGGGTGGAATCATGATGATGGTATACTGCAGACATGATCTGCAGGACGTTGGTGGTCGATAGATGGATGCTGTTATGCCTAATATACCCTCTACGCAAAAGGACTCAGTGTATACCAGTGCAAAATGAAGGAGGAGGATGTAAGAGGTGACAGTGAGGCTTTACCCCGCGAATTACTTGCTGTTATACATGGTACATACGCCATGGCTGTACGTTAGGAACCGAGGAAAATATATACTGGGGAAAACAAATATGATGCGGCATACAAAGAATACAGGATGAATTTCAGGTACCTACTTCCTGTATAAATATGACGAGAGCTATTAGTATCAGTTGGCTGTTGGTTCTGCAATTGCTCTAGTGTTTTGATTTCCTTCGAGTTTTTCCTGTTGCACATCGGCTTTAGCTCCTCATCAGGAAAACGGCACATTGCTTATGAGATCTGATGGGACTTATAACAAGCTTATTACAGCTTTTCGGCACCTGTGTACTTAGGACAGAATCGGATAAGTAGCACGACTTTCATAAGTGCGGATCAAATCGCCGGGCCTCCATAAGCACCCTTATTTCTCGCAAGCTCCAGATCGTTAAGAATAAGTGCATTGAGGTTGAAAAAGGTGTTGCATAAGTAATACGAGAGGGCATAAACAGTGGTAAAGGACATAAGTAGCATACTGAACTAGGCAATTTCGAATGCATGGTGGTCGGCATATCGGTTAACGTAGAAAAGCTCAAATGAATCTAGAGACTGATGGCAAGTCATCTCCTTAGGTACGAGTTGCTCTCCGAAGAAGGGGAGGAGATGGGCGGCTCGGACGAGCGAATCAACGTGTAAGACTTCGACGTGCTTTGATCCGGTGCTGTTGAACGACGGCCGTACCATGTACATGCCTGTCTTATCGTCGCGAGCGTCGCCGTACCAGTTGTACCAGTGCACGACGACGCACGGATGCACAATGTCTTGATGTTTGAACGAGAAGAACGCGAGGACGCGCGCAACCTCCATCGAGAAGATCCCGGCGACGTCCGGCTGCGTCATGATAAATGCAGTGTCGTAACGAGCCGCCTCCCCTCGCCATACTGGCGTGGAACGAATGCGCTCGCGTCTTAGTCCCGAGGAACCGCACAAGTCGCTTGGGGCACGAAATACGGACACGGCGGAGTCGTAGACTCGGAGTTTGTCAGGGATATTAGGAAGGTCTTGAGGGGGTACTGAGCGAGCGGTGCGAAGTGTGACGTTGGGGTGGAGTTGGGAATAAAGGAAGCGACGTGTTAGGCGCCTGATGTTTGGAACGTTGATTTCGTCGGCGAGATCCTGAAAGGTACGCGAGCGGGCTGGATCTAATGGTGATTATTAGTATACACTCGATTGCGAGGGATATGCTACGCACTGGATTTTGCCGCCAAATTCACTTCTGCCATCAACGTAGTCCCGTCGATCTGAGGCTCATCCTCGCACTCTTCCACCGAACGTGACCTAGGCTCGTGAAACTGTAACGCGTTTTCAGGAGCTGGAGGCGGCTCTTGAAAGTGATTACCCTCGGTAACTATAGAAAGAGATGAGTGTGATGCCGTCAACTGGAAAAACTATCTACTTACGATCCTGAAGAGCACGAAGCGGGGCAGGAAGGAATATTGGATTGAGCATGCCGCGAGCAGCAAAGTCAATGCGGATAGCCTTCAACTTGTCAAGGCGCTGGTTTGTGACCAACATTTGCCCGAGAGCGTCGAAGCGGCTCGAGCGCCGCCACGGTTCTTTGACGGCTTCGATATGTTTTGACTCGGTAATGGACGAGCAGAGGCCATTCGGGGCCCCATATTGCCGGATGAGGTGGATGTAGTGGACGAGTGAATGCTGGCGGGGAAGAGAGAGGGACGCAGCAACGCCGGACTCCTCAAAAATGGTCCTGTGATGGTGGAACTCTGCTAGTGCGCGCTCGAGCTCGGTGATGTCCGTGTCGGTGAGAGTGTTGCGCCGGACTATGTAACAGAACTCGAGGAATGCGCGAACAGCGCGGACCATGTCGTCGGGAAGGTGGTTCTCGATAGCAGGTAGGTATACCTAAAATACGAGGTTAGGAAGCGCAGTTTGCATAGAGAAATTGAACGTACTTTCATCAACGCCTTCGAGTCGTCTCCTGTCCACTGCTTGAAACCTCGACCTTGAGGGAATCGTCGTAATCCGGCAAATGGGGCAGCTATAGCAATCCTGGAAGAAACTAAGGAGATATTCAAATGACGCAATCTCGAGTGACATACCGGCGGTCTATGTCAGCTAATATCTTCTTGTACTCGCGCTTCGGATAGCTGGCCTTGAGGTACTTGGTGACCCAGTCAACAAGGTGATCTTTGAACGTTCCTTTGATTAGCTGATGTAGGATATCGGGGGCAATAAGTTCGTGGATGTCGGCGCGCGGAAAATCATTCGTGAAAGGCTACGTGAGGGTAAGGATACTATAAAGAGTAATAGATAAGAAAGAGCGCACCACTACGTTTGATATGATCCCGTATGTATCCCACAATGTTCCTGGATGCAACTCTTCAACGAGTGCTTCGGTATGTTCGCGGCACCGGCGTAGTGCACCACCATCAAGCTGTTGGGGACGTGCGAGACACCTGCGGAGACATATAAGAAAAGGGATCATGTTAACAAAGAAGTGCTTACCGGGGACACCACCCTTGGACGACGCCAGCAAGAAGGACTTGCTCGGGGTAATCAGCGATGTATGGTCCAACACCCCATATGACACGGCGATGATACCCGTCGCCAAATCGGATCACCTCGGGACATGTCATGCCTGGCTTGAAGACTTGAAGGATTGTGGAGATAGATGTGTGGTAGAGTTGGCGGCGGAAATGACGGAAGTGAGGGTCGTCGGAGCACGTTTCGTCGGCTGAAGTTTGATGAGTTCTTGATGAGTTCAACTGCTGCTCAAAAAGAGGTCGACAACGTACTTTTCGGAACTGATAGAAATCCAACAAGAGCGACAGCGTTACAATGAGCGCGTCGAGTAGAGTTATGGATGTTACCGGGGGAAATATAAAGAGGATAATACTCTGATTGGCCGGTTGCGACAGACACTGTTGTTTTGTCACTACCCAACACGAAGGGAACAAAAGTTGCCCCGTGAGTGTGCACGTCATTGGCTATCCTTGTCTGTTGCGAATCAGTATTTGGTACATATCAGATATTGGTTTTGCTTACCGCCTGGTCCCATGCCCAGTCACCCGAGAAGAGATTTCCGTACTGTCGAATTCCTGTGCTGTCGTAGTCGCGGTAGGGGGTCAGGTCAATGTCGTCTTTGAGGTCCGGGCGGCCGAGGATATTCTTGAGGATCTCACGTGGGTCGCGGAACCAGACATCATATGATGCCTCCATCCACGAGGGTATGGCACGCTCGGGTCGTGGGCCTTGGTATGTGACGTGAAATGACTGCCATGCGACATCTCCATTCTCGATGCCATCAATGGCCTCGTACATCTTGGTATGGTCAACACACAATGGTGGAGCGTTATGCTCTGCGAGACTTGCAGCCCAGATCTTGCAGAGGGCGTCAATGTGGGTTGCTGACATTTGAACGCGTCGATAGCAGAGGTCGGCTGTCTCGAATTCGAGTTGGTTACGAAAAGGGAACCAGTCCCCTTTCGGCCGACTTGGGGGTGGAGATGGAGGAGCATCCGGTGGTAGAGAGTCACCGTCAGGCGAACATTTCCGAGCTACAGGTAGTCATGTCAGTACGAGTTTCGAAGACTGAGAGTACAAGCACATACCGGTCAAATACTTGTGGAAGAGGCGTTGTAATGGCCCCATGTCAACCTGTTCACCGATGGCATGGTCAACATCTGCTGCTGATGTGTCTTCTTCACGAGGCGAGGAAGGTGGTGTTCTATTATCCTTGTGGCTCTCGTCATGGTTTTCGGTGGCACTGAAGACGATTGGAGACAGGAAGCGGGGCGGAGAGGAAGAGGGCGGGAAGAATGGAGGTGGTGTGAATGGCGGAGGTGGGGTGGGGTGGTGATGCTGATGCTGACAGTGGTGGTGTCGGAAGTGAGGGAGGTGGCGAAGGTTGTGGCTGAGAGTGGGGCTGAAGCGGAGGCTGGCTGGCCAAAGGAGGTGCTGGAACATGCCAGCGGCGCGTGCGGATGATGCGACGGTGGATGAGGTTGTTATGCTGAGTGAGTCCGCCCTTGCTCCTGGCGTAGAAGTCACACCCTTCGATTGTGCAAGCGTACCGCGAGGGGGCCATGGTGGTGGTTCGGGAGTACGGAACAAAACGGAAGCAAATTGTTTGCTGTTCGGTGCGGGTTGACCGGGCGGTGCTGAATAATTGGCAAATTAGTGTCACAGTGACTTGGTTGACCTTTGAACACGTACAGTCACACAACCACTGAAATTTTCTTAATGGCCAACACCGCTGAACGTCGAACTACCCGCTCTGCTACCAGCAATGTTATCACCCCCACAGCTTCAAGTTTGCCACCGGTCACCCGTCATCGCAAGCACAGCACTGCAAATGAAGCCAACGAAATCAATGTCGGGCTCGGCACAAACACTGTTCAAAAACGTACAGCACCGCGCGAGAAGTCCACTCCTTCCGCTGGAGCGTCAGCTGCTCCGAAGATTCCAGCCTTGAAGAAAGGTGTAACACCTCAGGCTGCCGAACTCGTGGCAGAGCTTGAATCGGCCATGGCCATCACACAGGCGCTGAAGACACGACCTGGACCCAAGAAGCCGCTCAGTCAGCTCGCAGCCATCACTTTACAGCCAACTAACCCACCTTCAGCTGCACATGCAGAGCATGTGGTGGTGAAGCCGGCATCGGTTGTGTCGGCTGCGGCTGCAAGACGTCGGGGAGAACAAGGTCAGCTTTCAATCTTCAGCGCAACGGAGTACTATGAGCTCACGTTTCTCTAGTCGGGCAGGTCATGAGGGTGAGGGAGAAGGAAAGGACAACAGGAGCCAAGAACGCGAGAAGCAGCAAAGCGGCCAACAAAGCCGGCATCAACGTCAACCCACGCGCTGCTGAGAATGGCAATGATTGTGATGTTGAAACACCGTGAGTCAGCTGCTTCTGCTTCTTCGTGTGTTCATCAATTAATTGTCTCCGCTTTGCCCTTGCCTTGAACCGCATGCTGCTCCTCACCGAATCCACCATGTACTATCGCAATCTGGTGCTGGCAATGTACAGCACACCTGCCACATTCGACACCCTCAATCCCCGAATCAAGGTGTGGAGCACCAACGTTTCCCGGTCCAGCCCGACAGATACATCACGAGCAAAGTCCACTGTTACCTCCACTAGTCGCAAGAGTGCTCTCACGACTTCATCCTCCGCCACCTCTCTCTCAAGTTCTACCAGCGCCCACCAGTCAAAGCCTGTTACCAAACCCGCTCCAACCGCCTCCATAGCTGAAATATCCCAAGAACCCCCGCACTCACTCCGCGATGAGGACGATGAAGCTGGCATTCAGTGTGAGGCTGCAGCTATGCGGAGCCACAATGGGCGGACCTTTCAGGTGATGTTTGTTTTTCTGTCATGGCTGATGACCATCCGCAGCTGATGCTTTGCCAGGCGTCGGTAGGAATCATACGAACCTCTAGTCCATCAAGTACCGAGCCTGGGCTGCCTTTCACGCAGAGGCCTCAACACCCCCGCTCTATCGGTACTTCCCAGCCCGCTACATCTTCCAAGAAGAGGCCTCTGCCGTCATCATTTGATGAGCCCTCCGAAAATGAGGTCTCCGGAGCAGAGGATGTAAGTGCATCTTTTTGGAGGTCATAGCGTTGTATTAACCCCTGGGCCTGTTACAGCTCGAATCCTACGAGCCGCCTTTTGGCGACAGCGAGGATGACGAGCCCGGCAGTGACGAAGAAGCCGAAGTTGATCACAACCGCGACGACGGCACCAAACGCAATTGTGATGAAGATGCCGAACGTGATCGCAATGAGAACGCTGAACACGATTGCGACGAGGGCGCGAAACAAGATGCCGAACTCGATTGTAACGAGGACGCCGGATGCGATTGTGACAGGGACGCTGAACGCGATCGCGATGAAAGCACCGAACTCAATCGCGACGAGAGCGCTGAACTCGACCACAACGAGGATGGCGACCAAGAAGAACAAGACGTCGAGATGGTCGACAACGCCGCCGTGTCCGAGGAAGTGACCGATACAGCAGCATACGAAGCCGCCGCTGGTGCTGAGGGAGATCAGCTTATGGACAGCATGGGCGCTGACGACGCGCCTGCATCACACGAGGGTGTCAAGGGCGTGGATGACAATGAGCAGGAGGTGGAGATAGTTGCTCACTTTGGTCCCTCGCGTCGTGTTGGGCGTACTACAGCGTCTGTGAGTGTATTTGATCCTTTCATCCGCAACTGAGTTCATTAACACAGCCTCTATTCTACAGACAGCTGCAAAGGCTTCAAACCCCATCGCGCACCGCGCCAAACGCGTCAAGCCAACACATTCATCCAACAACCCTCCTGCAAACCGCAAGAAGGCGAGCGGCAAGCCCAAGGTTACGGACCTGCCACGTGAATGCCAGGAGTCGAGGGCGTTCGGCACGCGTCTAATGCCTACGCTTGCCCTGTGGATGGGCTGCTCGTCAAAACCATGGAACCCTCTCGACGAAGAGATTGAAGAGGCATGCGCAAACATCTACCGGGTGGTGTTTGACCGTGAGTTTTCGGACCTGTCTCTTTCTGAGCAGTCGGCTGTCCTGAGTATTGTATGTCTTTTATTTTTCTGATCCTCCTCCCATCGCTGACGCTATCACGTTTAGGCTTGCGAGCGGTTATGTATATGGCGCAACAACTTCAGCTCCACTGCTGTTGCTGCCCTTCTCGTGCTGTTGGGCAGCCGTGGCCTTTCCTCAGATGCAGAACGTGTTGCATTCGCCAAGCGGCTTCTTGTCCAAACTGCCTTTATGTATGAGAAGATTGAGAACGGTAAACCCACCAACCTCTTCGAAGGCTCGTATTTTGTCATTGTCCTCTCATCCCATTACGCGTTCATCAAGGGGCATGTCGACGTGCCCGAGTTCCAGGACCTCATCGAACCCGATTACCTCCCTTTTGCGGCCTACTCGCTCGCAGCAGCAGCCGTAAGTCTCACATACTTCATATTTCATTTTACTAATCTAATTTTGGCTAGTGCGTTCGCGCGATTCAGGCGACCGTTGATGGGAAGATGGCCAACGTCGAGAAGACGATCACACTCATTGTCAATGCCGGATGTACCCCGGAGAGTGGGTGGGGCGGTGTCAAGCGGGCAAAGGGAGTCATTAGCCAGGCCAATCGCAAGCCAAGGTCGGCGAGGAAGGGTAGAGGCAAGAAGACCACAGCGGCGGCATCAGACGTGTCTGCCGAATCCGACTCTGTGACCAGCTCGGCCCCCTCTTTTTCCGAAGCAAACTCCGGGGCTGTCACAGCCGGATTCTACGCATCCGTCATGCGATGTGCCGAGTCTGAAGACGCGTGGCGCCTCAAGAACAGCTGGGAAGCTGCTGCCGCGCAGGTAAACACTTCCGAAGAGGACGAGGAAGAGAGCGACGATGACAGCACCGACAAGGTCAATCTCGGCCCGTACGGGCAGCTCAGGATCCAATGTACGTCCCTCGCCCACCCTATTGACCAGCTAGTACTCTCAGCTCATGCACCATTGTTAGGAACGCTACCAGGCAGGGACGTCGGGGCTGGTAGGCGATACTACATCAATATTACTATTACTATTGTAGACTTTCATTTCTGCATAATCGTAATCGACGCGCTTTGTTCTGATATAAGACGTGTGATAAGCACATATAAGTAGTACATCGAGCCGTCCATAGTCACATATCACTATCATAAGTCAGACAATCTTACCAAAAATACAGCAACCACGCGTTTGTGACTTAAGTAAAACATTCACGTACTTCGTCATAAGGGCAGGGGCAAGCAACCCCCTGCTTTTCATAAGGGTATAAAAGCGATGTTTTAACTTATGAATGAGAAAGTCCTTACCAGTGGCAAGCGGACGCTGAACTTATCGCGGGAGCACTTATTTCCGGGCTACTTCCGGCTAAGCGGCGCATAATTTCCCGATAAGGCAGCTGTCGTTTTCCTGATGCTGCCTCACTGGACCTCTCAATATAGTTGAACCTCAGCGCTCGGCAAGGGAGGCGCATACCATCTTTACTCGGATCTGCAGTTCTCAAAGCATGATCGAGAATCCGTGATAACATCATACCAGACACAACTCCTGTTTGAACTACAACACAAGATGGAGACGGTTCGGATAAATGCGTGTCTTGATTGTATGTGCTTCACGTTGCTTAACTTTGGTGGGACACTGCCCTTGGAGTGGCGCTTGTTGTGCACTCGTTTCAAGCGCCTGCTCGGGCTAGCCGGTCCGAACCGAACCGATAATATCTACTAAATGAAAGAGCCGAAAATACCAAAAAAGTAGGTTCAGCTCGGCAAAAGTCAGGATAATGCCGGTAAAGCAGCTTGTCATTTTCCTAATGTCAACGTGTAGTAACCTTGATAAGAATAAAACGGTAATCTACCATACAATGAGTTTAACAACAGTTTAGCAATTAAATTCATAGGTTCTGATTTATCGTATTTTCTACGTTGAAAAGCGACAATTGCGTGATGCTCTACTATTACTTTACTCGTATCTTCAAAACTATGCCTGGCTTGGCATTGTACATGTTTCACTAGAAAATTATTCCAATAAAATCTGCGAATTTAGTTAAAATACCTCGGCCAAGTAGTTTAATAATCTCTGCATACCCTTCCGAAAATTATCCGATCCAGGCACCAAGTTTTATTTAAAATAAATAATGGGAAAGTATGCTTATGACTCTGGGACATATGGTGACAGATATTCAAATTTCAAAATATATTACGGGCACTCCATATAGCAGCCAAGTCATGAACCCGACCGGGCTGTCGAAAGTGGTTCGAACCCCGGGCCACTGCAGTGTGCTTGTCGCTGTCCTCCAACTTCCCCTTAGCGTATACCGTTGAGGCCCTGCAGTGTTATTGTATGCTATCGTCCTCCGCAGGTAGGTATAGTTCAGGATTCCTTCAACGGTGATATCTTGCGCATTAGTCAATAACTTATTTTAGGAGGGTAAGTAAAAGATCAACAGCTCTCTTGACGACGTATGTACACGTCAACGTATTCTGCTTGCACAGTGTCTTCGTCTAGTAAAAGTTGTGTAGAACTTTCAGTTGACCTCCCATCTCTCGGCGGATTTCCAGGGATTTCAAACGCCAACGGAGACGAACAAATAGAAAACCTCTCTGCGTACTGAACCGAACTAATAATACTCCCCACTTCCCAACCGTTGACGCTAGTGACGGAAGTACTTAGGTTATTTTTGAGAAGGTAAGCGATGACCTTCTTAGGGAGAGCGACTTCGTTTGTAGCTTCTATTCGACAGTAGCTGACAATGCCGAGGGAAAATCCGTGCCTCTGAGTCTGCAACCAATCTTCTGTGGCCCTCACTTCTAACTTTGATGTCGAGTTGTTCAGTATGTGGCAGATAACGGTCCAATGGCTCTGGCGAGTGGAACGCGATTTGTGATGGTCAACCTCGGCGGGTAAGACGAGTACCTTGATTTGTAGTCCCCGTCGCCCCATGCGTATGTCAGCGTGACGAGTAAAGGGTTCTTGGATGTTCCAGCCAGTGAATGGATCAAGGGAGTAGTACCCAGCGGGGGATTCAGGAAGGTGCAATCCGTCGAAGTAGAGAACCGAAAGATCTTTCACGTCGTCGACGACTGCCTTGATAAGACGGTGAAAGGCTCTGGTGCGTCCTTCTCCATACGCGGTCCGTATGCTGACGCCTAACATGCCCATCAAGGAGTAGGCGCTGTCCTCTGCTCTTGTAGTTTTCCTGAGGGCTGCCCAGCGCATTTTGGTGTTGATCTTGTCGGTCTTCGGCACGAAGGGCTCGGCCAGAACCTCTAATGGAATCTGCGTCACTCTCGCAACTTCTTCGAGTAAGGTTTGGGCTTCACGACTATGGGATGCCGTTAGGGAGGTCAGCGTGCATTCTGAGAGAGCGCTTACTTGCGGTTATCTTTATCGTTGTAGGCTCCGACTAGCAGTTCCCAGTCCTTATTCACGAATTTGATTCTTGATGGCGCAAGGAGCTCCTGCAAAGTCCAACCTCTGTTGAACCATTCGTCTCGATGCATGTCGCCGAGGAAATTTGTCTGTGCGAGATGGACGACGCAAAGCGCTGAGTTTTGGTACCAACGGAACATGGACCGAATCGCCTCGTCAAGTTCGGCACTACTGCTTTTATCGATGCAGCATGTGTCAGCCCACGCAAACTGGATCCCGATCGAGGATGCTGCATCAAGAAAACGCCACAATTTATTGCGCCCGCTGAAGTTGTACGCCGTCTCAGGCGGTTTGTATATTGAAATACATTCGCTGTATGTCACCTCTTCCTGCTCCCATCTGTGCGAGAGTATAGCATAAGTTACTATTTGGCGGATTATGAATCTGCATAGCTGTCTCTCGTCAGTAACATCAATGGGTTTTCCAAGTATCTTCGGCCGAGCGGGAAGAGATTCTCGCCAACGAGAAGGGTTGCCATAGACCTCTCGGAGCAGGTGATTTCGAAAGTGCTCTTCCACGAAGTTCCTGTCAACCAATCTGCTCTGCGGAATGTATATCAAGTGAACTGGGACTTCGTTCTGCACGTAATAGCTAAGCTCATCCAAGAGCATTTCCTTTTGTTGCGTAGTTTGAGATGTCAACCATTAACCAAAGTGAGAAGAAATTTACTTACCCCAGGTGGTGGTGTTGTCGGGGCCACACGGACCCCTTGCATCGAAGAAATCGAGGTAGATTCCATATACATTGTGCCAACAGGCTAGTTCTCATTTTCATATATGCCATTGACAAAAAGACTAGAAGACGTACCTGCGTGCCGACCACAGTGCGTCTCCTGCGGGTTGAACGGGAGCGTACCTGGGGCATAATTTTGTGGGAAGCTGGTAACGGTTGACAAACGGGTGCTTTATATCCTCGACATAGAAGGAAGCGTCGGTTCAGCATATAAACATTTGGGCGACGATGCTGTGAGGGGCAGTGTGGCTACTCTGGAGATATCACGGTGCAGATGAGATACAAGTATAGGTTGCATACACTACATAGCTGTGGAGGAAGTCACAAGCAGGATATCAGATCCGATCTATAAAGAAAATCCAGTATAGGATGTCTAATCTCTGATCAGACAAATTCTCATTGCTGTATACTATAAATATGACGAAGACTTTTCATAGGGACCGTTGGTAACTGTTCATTTCATCGAGTTGCTCCAATTCCTCGCCACAGCAAGCTCCGAAAAAGTTGATCCCATCAAGACTAACGATCTTTAGTGTCCGAATCATTCAGTTTTTGATCTTATGTGGTTAGTCTTTGTTTGCTTCCGAGTTCTTTTCCATCTACCCTTACTTGGCCCCTATTGTGGGACCTCTCAGTTTGCGAATGTCGAACCTTAGAACACGCAACAATCCCGTAAAGACTAAAACGGTTCTGCGGAGCAACAAGTGTAAGACCCAAAAGCTGTCTACTGTCTATGATGATGATGATGTGTCGATATCCATGAAAGTACGGTGTGATGCAACAGAAATCTCGTTCTCCACGTCTACAACCTCGCGTTGACCCATACCTCCTCCCCCTCACATCTATTAAGCCAATCGCATGCAAAGAATCCCTGCCGACAACTTCTACTTCTTAGCACCGCCCTTCTTCGCGGGCACGAATATCCAGCTGAGAGTGACGAGGAAACGGAGACCGGTACCGACGCCGAGCGTACCCGCGGAGCCGACAGAATCGAGGATGGCGCGGCCGACGAAGCCGCCGAGGAAGCACGCGAAGATCGCGATGGCCTTGTGGTCGCGCGACTTGACAAGTTTACGGAGCTTGAACAGGGAGGGCTCGGCCATGAGCTCGCACCAGGTTGTGGTGAGGACGACTATAGGAGTGAGCGAGAGATGTTAGTGTCGTGAACGAAGGCGATAGCAGAGAATGGAGTGCCGGGTCAAAGACGCGAGCGACGACACCAAAAATTATATAGAAGGCAGGGAGGAGGATGGCAACCACACAAGAGAAAAGAACTCACCAGTCGTCGTAAACTGCGTATTCACCCTCTTCCCCATAATCCCCTGCAACCCCATACTAGCGCTCATAAACCCCACACAGACAAACGACAGCGCGTTGCTCCACGCGATCTCGCTCCGGGCATTCGCGATGCTCGGCTGGCCGCTCTTCCAGATCGCGAGGGCGGCAGCCATGGTGAAGAGCGTCTGGATGAACGTGCCGAGGGCCATCCAGGCGCGCGTCTTGGCGCCCATCTTGTCGCCGATGCGCCCGACGAAGGCGCCTGCGAGAAAGGTGAGGACCGAGCATAATGCGAAGCGATCGGGGAGCTGGAATTCGTAGTTGTGCGTGCCGTTGAAGAGGCGGGCGAGCGCGAGGGAGAGCTAGGTGTAGTTGGTAGAGTCTTAGCGTCGGTGGCGAGAGAATATAAGGATGAAGGAGTACCTGAACAGTGTTGCCCGTCTGGAAGGCACCCCACACGTAGATGGCTGAGAAGATAACCGAGTTGCTAGCGGGAGGAGGAGGGTGTCAGTCCAGAGCCCCTGAAGACCACACGGAAGCAGAACGGAAGAAGACTCACATGAGACCCGTCATAAAACAGTACGCGACGAGAGGGAACGTCGACTGGTCTCCGTCGACGTCCTGCATGAGGTGCACCCGCCAGCGCTCGACAGCGCCGGCAGAGCGCGTCCCGCTCTCATAGTCCTTGTCGTCGTCGGACATGTAGGAGGTATAGGAGGAGCGGCGTAGGTGGTCGGATTCTGTGGAGTAGTAGGAATATATGTGACTGGCTGAGACGGACGTCGATGCTCCGGTCGTTCCGTGATATCCGTCCGGGTCCGATCGGCCTAGGTAATACTCTAGCGCGTCGTCTTCGTCTTCGGCTCGGTCCCGGTACTCTTCCGCTTCGTCGAAGAGGAGGGTCTCGTCTTCGTCGTAGGACGGCTGGCTGTAGTGAGTCTGTGTATACGGGCGCTCGTCGGAAAGGTCCTCGATGTCAAGGTCCCCGAGATAGTCTAACTCGCTGTAGGCGTCCGCTTGGGATTGCTCGTCTGGGCCGTAGCGTTCCTCGCGGGGGACCTCCTCTTGAAGGTCGTCGAGGTCGAAGACACCGAGGTGGGCAGAGTACCCAGAGATGACGCTGCTGCGGCTGGTACGCTGACGGCGGGCCTTGAGTGCCTTGCGCTGGTAGGAGGAACGACGGAGGGGGGTGAGGGGGATGCCTTCCGCTTTTAAGGACTCCGACGCAGTGCGGTGATGGAGCCTCGAATTAAAGGGCATCCATGCCAATCAAGACGTGAGTCTATGAAACCTAGAGATAGCCAGATATTCAAATCTCATTCTTGCGGCCTGTGCGAGAATCCTCCCGTGGGCGCTCGTCGTTTCGTTACAACACGGAACGAGGGAACTTCCCGCTCAATCCCCGCCGTCGACGGACCGCGCCAAGGCAGCTCACTACAAGGTGCGAGATCTTCTCTCTGACCTGCTCACTTCCTGTACCTTGAACAGGAGAGATCTGGTCTGTGTTTCTTCGCTGGTGTCTGTGATTATGCTCTATGCCTACAATCCCACTGGAAACGCCAAGCAGCCATATGTGAAAACTCTCCGTGCGAGCGGGTCCTCGGATGCCCGTGCGCACAGTCAGACTATCGACCACCCGGATACACCGGACGGGATTGATACTACGATTTGCCCTTGACCCTAGATAATCACGCCAAGTAGCGAGCAAGGACCTCGATTCTGATAGCACCACTCTACTCTAAATCAGCTCCAGACTTCAGCTGATCCGACCCGCTCAAACAACGCCGCACATTTTTCCCGTCGAGCTTATGAGAACTCGGATCCGGATAGGAGTCGACCATACGTTCGAGGTTTTCTTCAGGACGTCAACGTCCACGGACCGGGTCTTAGAGCGTTAGTGCCGCATATCTGTGGTCTATGTATCTGGCTATCGATACGAAGATCTACCGCATTCATTTCCAGCCCTCTCGTCCGAAGATCGTGGCCTTCCTGGATCATCATTACCACCTCTGAACCGTCCTGAGAGTCTCTTGGGCGCCAAGTACCCTCGTCAGACGCACGGCCGGGCCGCTCAACGTTCGCGACGCGATTGGACCCAGAGACACACCCGCCGAGCTGCGATAGGCCCGTTTCTCTCCGAGTTTTCCCAGACAAACGCTTCTCATCTCGAAGTCTGCGTGCGTCAACCAAGTGCTCACCATTCGATTGGCTGCTGTATTTATCTCAGCGTCCTGCCATGCGGTTGGTCCAGGGCTTTCAGCCCGACAGACTCTGATAGGCCGATTGTCTAGTCACAACTTCTCAGGCGAACCTTGTGTTTGAAACTTCGCCGGTACGTACAGCGGTATTAGAAGATGATTCATCATTGGCCAAGGTAATGCCGACATATGCTTCCTTGGCGGTTTCTCCCTTGCGTGCCTATGATGAGGTATGATCGCCGGTTAATCTTTTAGGTTTGACTGTTTGGCCATGACGACTGGTAGGGTCGAGCTCTGGAGGGTTTGCCAATTCCGCTCTTGCAGCTAAGATGTTTCAAAGTTCTATCAAACGCGACTGTGGACTGAAATCCCCAATCTATTATAAACGCAAACCCGTAATAAAGCGGTATAACAACAAAAGCAGAATCTATGTAATGTGTCTATGCGATGCGTGAATGGAAATAAGTTATAAGTCAAACGAAGTGCGTTTCGAATTCGTTGTTCGTGCATGCCGTCGTATTGGACGTCAACAAGGCTTGATCCCAATTGAATCCAACGATACCCTTGTAGTGCGTCCTCCCTCTAGTCTTGACCTCCTTTGAGGCAGAATAGAGGGAGGAATCCACGATCTATGCGTGATTTCAGCTTTTGAATCGCCTTCCTCGTGACGCGCTCCTCCACCCCTCCTCCACGACGATACTGCGGCTCACCACGACAAACCACTCCGCTCTGTTCGCCCCCTCCAGATATTTTCCTCTATCCTACCATCAGACGTCTGCATCCCGACCCGACCCAGCCCCCCTCACTTCTTCTTCGCAGGCATAAACACCCAGCTAACCGTGATCAACAGCCTGAGCACCGTACCGATACCGAGCGTCTTCGCGGACCCGATGGCCTGCAGGATGGCGCGGCCGGCGAACCCGCCGAGGAAGCACGCAAAGATGGCGATGGCCTTGTGGTCCCGCGTGCGCACGAGCCTGCGGACGTGGAAAAGTGTTGGCTCGGCTACGAGCTCGCACCAGGTTGTGGTGAGGACGACTGGGGTAGGGAGGCGGGGTTGTTAGTGTTGATGAGAGAGAGAATGGTAGATGACGCGAAAGGTGGGGACAGGGACACCAACGAAGAACAGCAGAACTCACCCGTCGTCGTAAACTGCGTGTTTATCCGCTTCCCCATGATCCCCTGCAGCCCCATACTCGCGCTCATGAACCCCACACACACAAACGACAGCGCACTGCCCCACGCGATCTCCCCCCTCTCCACAGCCACACTCGGCTCGCCGCTCTTCCAGATCGCAATTGCGGCCACCATAGTAAACAGCGTCTGGATGAACGACCCCAGCGCGAGCCACGCGCGCGTCTTGGCGCCCATCTTGTCGCCGACGCGCCCAATGAACGCGCCGCCGAGGAAGGACAGGATCGAGCAGAGTGCGAAGCGGTCCGAGAGCTGGAAGGTGTAGTTGTGTGTGCCGTCGAAGAGGCGCGCGAGTGCGAGTGAGAGCTGGATGGTGTTGCCCGTCTGGAACGCGGCCCAGACGAACACGGCGGAGGTCGTGATGGAGTTGCTGTGCCGAGGAAATAGGGGGGATGGGAAGCGAATAAGGAGAGAGGGAGAGAAAAAAGTCAGCTGCTAGCGCGAGAGGAGGTGCGGAGGGGTTCGAGTGGATGGGGGACTCACATGAAGCCGGTCATGAAACACCACGCGACGAGGGGGAATGTCGACTGTTCGCCATCGACGTCTTGATAGAGGTGCGTCTTCCACCGCTCCAGTGAGCTCTGGTTGGTAGAGGACGACATGCTGCCAGCTTCATCCACGACAGACGTAGGAAGAACAGATTGAGATGCCATCGAGTATCGTTTGGGTAAGGATATGGACGTAGAAGTGCCGACTTCGGTTCTGTACGGATCGCGTCGCTGTAGGTAGCGGCCTACAAATTCGTCGTCGTCGTCAAGCGCGTTTCCGTCTTCGTCGTGCTCTTGAGCGTGATACGTTCGCGAGTGTGGCTCGTCGTCGGATAGGTCCTCGAGGTCAACTTCGTCGAGATGGCCCAGTAGCTCGTCGAAACCTTCGTCACCGTTCTCGTCGTGGTCGTCGAGGTCAAAAACACTGAGGCGAGCCGAATAAGCGGAGGAGCTGCGCTGGCGGCGGCGGGCGGCCTTCTTGAGTGCCTTGCGCTGGTAGGAGGAGCGACGGAGAGGGGTGAGGGGGATGCCTTCCGCTTTTAACGACGAGGTGCGCTGATGGAGAAACGGCATTCGCGACTCCGAGAAAGGATGCAATCAGAGCACTTGGGCTTGGCCATCCTCTCGTCCCGCCAGTAGTTCGGCTGCCCTGAGCGCGTCAAGCACGTATCTGCTCCCTTTTTGGTGCGAAATGAAGGAGGTTTCCGCATGAGTGCCGCTGAGCGCTTGGTCGCCAAGACCATCGACGCGCTCGTCAATTCATCCCCGACAACTCTCAAACGCGCGATCTCGAGGCATCGATGTAGAAATGGAAGAAAGGCCCCCCCCCTGGCAGGTATGCTGGTGGAGGTGTAAAAGAGACCGTGTACGCGTGGATAAGCTCACTCCCACCTTTTTCTCACGGATATCGTCGTTCTCGGACTTGAGAAATTCAAGACTGACGGGATCACGATAAGCTTCCGCTGAACACTTCACCTTGAGGGTTCTCAAGAGTCACTCGTATCGGTCCGCCGGGCTTGGCCCTGGCTTGGTTCCGGATCGTCAGGCCGACGCACGCGCGCCAAGCGTGCTTGCTGTTGCTGATAATGCTGTTTGATTCCGCTCAAACTACGCATCCATCCAATCGTCAACGTTCAACTACGGCGTCCTCGGACAGCGCGTCAACATTACCAGTTCTTGTGAGTCTCTTCTCGCGTTTCGTCAGTGAGGACCGAGGTGCTTAAGGCCGCATATCTCGGAGTAACAGATGCTTATCTCGCTATCGATGCACTCAACAGTTAACCACGCCCACGGAATGAAATTTCCAAACCACGAGCTGAGCGCTGAACGTTTGAACAGTGGATATCCATTCTTGAACTGTGGTCTATCCCTTCTTGGGGCATTTTTCTCTCTCCTAGTGCGATCATACAAATTTGACACCCTTTCCAATTGCCCTATAGTTACCTCTCTTGAACGCCAGGACCATGTTTCGATTCCTCGGCGGCCTGGTCCAGGATCGACGGCGCCCTAGTGCCCTGCGCTAATCCTTATTATGGTGTGCTGCCATCAGTCATTCTATCACTTTCTCGAAATCACTCCTTGATTTTCATTGGTGTGGACAACATGTGTAACCTTGAGCTTATCTTGATCACGATGTGCGCTCAACTTAGAGGTACAACGTGCATGTCCGTACTGTCAAGCCGATATTGCTTGTGGACGTTGTAGGTTCGCTCTACCCGTGCAGGTGTTCGCAACCCCTTCAAAAGCGCAGTGCAATAGCTCGATCCGAGGACAGAACAACTAAAGTAGAAGGAAAATAAACCGGACCGGACCCCATAATGTAGGATATCCGCGCATCTGCATCGATGTGCCTGCTTTAAAGAGATTGACGTGGCGCTGACTCGCCCAAGCAAAGTCTAAGCCATTCTCCACAGCAATCCCACAGCCTTTGATTCACAGGTGCGCTGTATAGTTAAATAGCAACGAACGGAGTCTACGGATACAAGTTCGACCCCCCTTTGCATAAAGCTGGTTTCGTCTTCTCAATCATATAATTTCTCCCAAAAGCCTAGTGAACAAAGTAATGGATGACTTGCAAGCTGCTGTCATAACAGGCGTGAAATATGCCAATGTACGTTTCCATGGCCGCTTCTCATAGTAGATGCGATGCTAACGTACTCTGTTCCTTAGTATATGGATGGTGAGCTGTCAAATACATGTCGCCCGTAACCCATGTAACCTTTTCGCTTAGTTTCTGTATGCGCTATTCTGGTAACCACGCTCAGACTACCCTTTTCTCCCTAGTCTCATGCTGCACGACAGGTTTACGACTATTTCCTCAATCTGCCAGACGAAGTAAAACATCGATACCTTGTGTCATTTGCTCACCATCCTGATCCACGGGCAGATATTATATCTCTGGTCGGAGACAACGCTTGGGCCAGGGAGATCGCTGTTTATCCTGACCCGATATTTGCCGTTTGTGATGTTGATTTTGGACCTAACGTGTAGGTTCACTCTCGCCAACAAAGAGAGAGACTGAAATGTCCCCCAGACCAGTTCATTCCTAACCCAGTTTTTGATGTGAGTCGCCAAGAGCGCCACGTATGGGTTTTGCTAAAATCAACACCAGACATGCAGGACCCTTAACTACGCAATGATTGGTAAATATTATCCCTCGTTAATGTTCGACACAACTCGTAGCTCACGTCACAAGCAGCAGTAGGATGGGTTGAATTAATCGCTTCCGACGGTAGGATGAATCATTTCTATCCATGGTAGCTTGACTGAGGCTCACTGTTGTTCTCAGCCCTGTTTGCATTGCGAACATACATCATCTGGAACTGTAATAAAACTATTCTTGTTGTATTAGCTGCTTCGATGGCGGTGAGTACCTAGGCCCAGAGAGGAACGCCGATAAACACTCATTGTCCTTAACCGCACAGATACTGTCTACATTTTCTCTGAGCATGTGGATTGCATTTCTCCCTAGTAGCAAGTGTGCGTTGATGAACGATCTGAATTTGCTATCTAAACTCATGTTTCTTCAGTATTAACGCTAAATACACCGGGAATATCTGGGTGTATTCTGAGTCAGGAAGGCGACTACACCAAAACACGCGCCGCATATATCATCGTTATGGTGTTCGTTATTGTGAATGAATTGAGTGGGTACTCGCAAATCCCAGGCTGCATGAAGCGCTTACTAGCTCAATCGACTAATTAGTAATACTCGCAATGACCCTTGCTCGTATCAATAAAAGCTCCGATAAGTCTTTCTCCGGACTTTTGGATAACTTGGTGCATGGTGGATTGTTCTACTGTGCTTGTATGACTGGTACGTAAAGCTCTATATCTAGCCTTGTCTTTCTTCTTCTTTCGTACTAACGGATGGTACAGTATTTTCAATTGCAAACCTCCTAACATGGTGCATTCAAGTTTGTGCCCTATCTATAGCTAATCGTCTGTGTAGCTGATGGTGACACAGGGAAGCTATCCAGGAATACTCAACGTGTAGGTTCTTTATTGGAAATCAACTCCCATCTCATGCTGTGTCTATTGGGAACCCAGGTACCAGACCACTTTCCACGCAATAATGGCTTCACGATTTCAGCTCCATACGTTCAATGCATCCAGGACGTCACACACGCAATGCGATTCAACAGTAGCTTCACTTAGATTTGCGGAGAACATGAACCAATCATCACAGCGGGAAATCAATGAGCTTCTGGTTTGACGATTATAGAACGAGGGAAATTTTATGTACTTCGTAGTTTGTGTCGACATTATATCAGAGCCTATGGCATAATCCAATCACTCCGTTTCCCCACACAGATGAAGACAGATTCATGACAAGCTGCCTTCGCGACGTGCAAAGTTTGGCTCGCCAGACAACAAAGAACGTTATGTAAGATAAAACAAAGATATCAACAGTGCCAAAGTTACGCAGAACTGACAAGGTATAATTTCTATCAACCTGCAAACGTGCATCATCGTCAGCATCCGAACACGCCAAGTAAACAAGGAGGAGCGTACCTCTGCGTGTATCAAGGTTACAAGGTGGGGGTATATATATCAAGATGAAGCGCTCTTCGTGTTTAATGGACGTTTCGTGGGGGTCGTGAAGCTTGACGAGCGCGAAAGGAGCGCCGCGAACATGATGATGGGATGTGAGACAATTTGCATGCGACATTTATTTACAGTATATGCGATGGCGGTCTAAAGAGTATCTGCGAAGTAACGGCGTTAGCGGGAAGAGTGGCGCAGAGCGTCAAAAAACGCACGTTGGGGGAGTTGGATGACGGAAAGGATCTTGAAGGTAATGTGCCAGAGAAGAAGTCAAGACGGTAAAAGGTAGGAATATGAATACATAAAAAGAAGGAAAATATTTGGGAAAGTCGGGTAAAAGTAGTAATACAGTCTCCACCGGCACTGCAAAAGCTCTAAAGTATATATAGCAGAAAAGTGGGAGTGGAGAAGAGAGCAAGAGACAGCAAAAAAAGAAATAGACATGTCTACACCGCCGCGAGCGAGGGTAACGTGGAACATGTCGTAAACTGTGATTATTTGTGATGTTGAGGAACGTCCCGCGTCCAGGGTAGAACGCGCACAGGCAAAAGCATGCAATAAAAGATGGCATCATTCCCCTTTCCTCGCAGCAACGAAGAGCCATCGCGGCGCCAAATTATGCAGCACGCTCGACATCGCTCAAATCCAAGCTCTCCGTCCGCGTATCGATCGTCGCCCGGCTATCTTGCCTATGGTAAACCAGCTGTACAAACGTCCACTCATCAGTGCCCGAAAGAAAAGAGAGCCAGAGAAAGGATTAGCCACGCACCCCACCAATCGGCCGCGAATAGTCCTCAAAGTCCCGCAGAGTCGTCACACTCCGCCCGCCTTCATTCTCCCCATACCTCAACAGCCCTGGCCTCAACAAGCCATCCGTACGTGAAAGCATATCAGATAGTGCGGGCGAGGGTAGCGGCCCGCTCGCGTTGAGCAGCGAGCTCAGCGTCGGCTGCTCAGGGAGCGGGATGGCGCCCGGGCGCGTGGACAGCGGCTCTGGGACCGGCGGGAGCGGTACCGGCGCTGCAGAAGGGAATGCACTAGCAGTGGCGAGGGAGGTGGGAAGGAACGGCCATGCCGGGACGTTAGGGCCTGCTGAGCCGCCGAGGAGCCCGGCGGAGGAAGGTATTGATGCCGATGTAGCGGCTGCTGGTGCAGTGGAATCCTCCACCGCTGCATCGGAGGTGGAAGGTATAGGCGCGGGCGAGAGCTTGGACTGGTCAGACGGGTTTCTGGGAAGAGGAAGCGCGAGCGGCGATATGGGTTCCGCGTCAGGATTAGAGAGCACGAAGCTCATCGTAGGCGTCCTCTTTGGCGCGGCTCCTCCTCCGTGGCTTCCCTCGCTCGTAATGGGACTACGTGAGTTCGAGTGAGCGTGGGTAAGTGCGTCCACAGATGTGAACGGCGTCGGCGACAGGGCATGAGGCTCGGTCGAGAGATCGATGGGCATCGGTGGTGGCGGACTGCCAATAACTGGACCATTCCCGCCCGACGACTCGGCACTAGAACTCATACCACTTCCCCGCCCACCTCTCAATCGTCCAAGGAAATCCTTGACGCTCTTGAATGGGGCTGACGGTGCAGACGACTCCCCCCTCCCTGCGTCTCCGCTCTTTGTCCGTCTCTTTGACGTCGACACCGATTTAGATGGCCCAAGCAACGCACTCTGACTCGAGCCGGTCCTGTTCAGCCGACCGCTCTGCTGCGAGCTCGCGTTCCCGGACGTGCTCCTCCCCGAGTCGGAGCCTTGTCCACGATAGGCGTGCGCAGCAACCTCCTGCGAGCTGCCCATCATATACGCGCCGGCATTACGTCCCGACACTGCAGAACTCGCAGGGTACCCGCCGTGTCCCGACGAAGAAGAAACCGCATGCCCCGAAGAAGATATCGCGTGTCCCTGAGAGTTCGAGTTGGCACCCTGCGAAGGGTCCCTAGAGAGCAGCTGTTCGTGGCCGTGCCCAGAAAGCGAGCGCGAGTGGGTGTGTCCCAGGGAGTGGTCATGTCCAGATGACGAGTGTCCGACGCTTAGGGTGTGCGCGAGTCCCTGCCCGGCGTTGTCGGTGCCGCCGAGCCACGCTCCTGCCTCGAGACCAGGGGAAGACATGCGTCGGAGGGACGCCGTTCCGGAATTAGCATTGAAGTTGGCAGGGGAGAGATGTGGTGCGGAATAGGCGCTCGGCGGATGAGGTTGACTGGGGAGGGACTTGTTCGTGTCGTACAGTGCTGTACCGTACGGACCGCGCTGAGCAACTGGGGGAGGTGACGGGACTTGCGGGAATGGAGTCGACGACTGCTGCGCGTTGCGGTTGGAATTGGCGTACGCCATAACCATAGACGGGCTCATCGACGTAGCCATGCTCATACTTCCGCCCGTGTGGTGCGGCTGGATCGGTGTTTGCTGCTGCTGCTGCTGCTGCTGCTGCTGTTGATGCTCTGGATAAAGCGCAGCCAGCACCCCTGCATACCGATTCTGCATCTCCTCCTCGCCGCTCCCTCCTCCAAAGCCACCATGCCCATACCACCCTGTGCTGCCGCTCTCGCCTGTCGTATGCCCTCTGACCGAACCCATGTTAGAGCCCATAAACGCGCTCCCTCTTCGACTCAGCAGCTCTTCAGGCCCATCATCTTCACCGTCCAATGGTCCACTACGACGGCCCACCGCACCCGGAGGCCTGTTTCCTGCAGGATCGAAGTTGACAGCCCCATTCGCGCGCTGAAGACGTCGACGGGCGAAGAAGAGCCACGCCGCTCCAAAGCTAATCGCAGCTAACACCCCAATGACGATCCCCGCGATAGCGCCCGGTGAATGCACGCCTCGGCTATTGTTCGGTTCCCCGATACGCTCATCAAACATAGACCAAGTAAGGAAATGCGACTACGCACCTCGTCGTCGTGCCCGCCACCTGCGTGCTCAAGCTTCCGCTCGTGATGATCACCCACGTGCTCGTCACACGCCCGGGGATCGTACTCGTGTATACGAACGTTGACGTCCACACCTTGGGGGTCGTCCTGACTGTGCTCGTCGCCGTGACCCGGGCGGTCGTCACGATGCCCGATGGCGGCATGCTCGGCGTGATCACGAAGGAGCTCGTCGAGACCCGGTATGGGTCTGTGCTTGTCGTTGGCGGAGGAAGAGACGAGCTATCCGGTGTGGAGGAAGTCGTGGGTCTGTCCGGCGAGGATGTTGTTGTGGGTCCGTCTGGCATGCTTGTTGTCGTCTGGGGTGGCGGCGGATCGCTCGACGTCGACGTCGGCGGAGGCGGGATCGACGATGTCGAGTCTGACGTCGATATTTGAGATTATGATGGGTGTGAGTTCGGTTTGGACAATGATGCAAGCATATATAGACAAAACAGGCAAGATATGAGCGCATATACCCCATGTGACCGCGATTAAACGTACCATCTCCGGGTAGACTCGTGCTAGAAGCGGAAACACTAGATGACGTAGATGCAGGTGAGGAGGTGCTCGAGTTGGGCAGAGACGAGGATGAAGGAGAAGGGTTGGAAGATGGATTAGAAGAAGATGAAACCTGCGTCCGCGGTACGGAAGAAGGAGTGGTCGTAGTCTCATCAGAAACGAGTGTAGTGGCGGGCGTAGATGAAGACGGCGTAGAAAATAAAGGCGAAGAGGACGCAGGCGAAGAGGAAGAAGAAAGCGAAGAAGAGGAGCTAGAAACGTACGAAAGCACAAACCACTGTTAGCGCTCTCCAAATCAAGAACCATGGTAGTCAGCAACTCCAAAACAAAGTATTCGGGGCAAACGTTAGATCGTTTTGGCGTGTCCATCAAGGGGGATTGTGCGCGCCAGTGATACGTCCGTAAATGTATCCCGTATCCGCTCCCCGCGGTTTTACACTCATGACCATGATGGTTATTCCGTAATATGTACAAGAAAACAAAGAAAGGGGCATAGAGATTGGGACGCAAGTACTCACAGTAACGGAGTGGATGAGGCAGTCAGAGACACATCGACCGGTCCTATTGAGAGTTGCCGTGCATGCATCATGTTGATGAGAATACCCTGTCTCCACGAGGAGGAAGGAGATGGTGAGTAGCCGTAGTAAGGGGGAGAGTAGAGGTATGGGGAGGATGACGAGGGGGGAGGGGAAGAGTCTGAATGAGTGAAGACGTCGTTATCATAGTCGGCAGGTAGCAAAATGGAAGGAGTGTTCTTAGAGCCAGAGCCAGAGCCAGCGTTTAGGGAAATGGAAGCATGATGTCGATAGCTCGGCGGCGTTGTCTCAAATCGCGCAACGCTACTAGCGCGTACCAGGATATCTGAGTGAGCAAGCGGGGCATAGGAGGCGCCGTCATTCAGATTGCAACTCTCTTGAGAAACAAATTGCCCGCGCGGTGGTACGGATTGCGGACGTGAGTCGCGAAAGAGAGGAGTTGAGGCGCTGCTCGTTGTTGACGAATGCAGTCGAGAGGAAGATGGAGAAGCGGGCCCAAGTGGCTCGAGAGGTGAATCGGGTATCGGCATGGGATCCGAAATGAAGTCGCCGTCGGTTGGACAAAAATAGATGACCAGCGGGGATGGCACGGGGGACGCGGTTTGTGTTTCGAGCGTCGTCGCAGAGGACGATGCAAATGAATATGGGGGTGGTTTGTCGATGTCCACGTCTAGAGGGAGGCCGGGCACGGGGAGACGGTGGCACAACGCGACGTCGTCGTGCTTGTCGCGACGAGTGTCTGAGAGCAGTGCGAGGTCGTCGAGCCACCGTGGATGACGGATTAAGGAGAGGGGGGAGGGGGGCTCGAGAAGGGATATAACGTGCAGAGGCAGCAGGTTCACGTTCTTCGACGCCGCCAACGATGACAACGTTTTTGGTAAGCTGCACGAGGGGATCAGATCGTCGGGTGTACTTCGCCACGGAGTGAGCGGAGAAAAGGAACACCAAGATCACGTTTGAGCCTCACCTTGCTGTTACCTCACAACCCGCAGCAGTTCCTTAGATAGACGGTGCTCCTCGTCGTGGGTCTGTCCGTGCGAGGCTCAGCAAAGATATTTGCAGGAGAGGGAGAGCCAAGGGCGGGAGAAGGAAACCGAACAAGGTGCAGCACAAAGAGGAGATTTCCTACTCAATGCAGCATGCGGACGTGGTGTCCAACCAACGGGCAGCTGCAAGTGCCAGTAATTAATTACGTAGATATCGCTTTACCGATCATCCAACGTCATCCCGGCGAGTCCAACACGCCGTCAATAGCGCAGGTACCGTGGTTTATTGCAAGTAAATGGTTTCTTCAGCTCCATATATTCCCGTAAAAGCAATATTCAGCAACTCGACCCCTCCTCTCGAAGCTTTCTTGTGTTCAATCCCGGGGAGGGTGTTTGCAATTTGGACAGCAGTACTTATAAAAAGTGCTTGACGACGACGCGCCGCCGAGAAGCCAACGTTTCAACGTCAGAAGCGCTGCCTTTTGTGGCGACAAGAAGTGATCCGCGCCACTGTGCCGGAACTTTTATTCCGATCCGTCCCCATCCTCGTCCTCATTCGGGCAATCCATTCCTCTTTCGCTCGTGCTGAGCATGACGTCGTCATCCTCTTCTCCCCAAAGAACAATCACGTCGAGCATCTTCTTCTGCTCTCTGTCGCCCACCCCAAATATTGCGGTCCCCCTGCTCGCGGTGGGAAGTAGAGATAAAGTGGAGAATGACCATCAATACAGCCCTCCCGGCCTCAGTCCCGCCAACTCAACAACAGCCGAGATACTGGCGCGCTCCCCATGCGGGGCATCGATCCGATACACCACCTCGGTGCACGCCGTACGCCCTCTTTCCCGCAACTCCATTACCAAATGTCTGCCACCTCACATCTCCCTCTCACTGAGTTTCAGCTTGTAACCAGGGTGTAAACATACGCATATGCCACGCTATACACTTTCACGCGCTCGAGGCTCCTTATCCTAATTCTGTGTTTATGCGTCTCTCGCGGGAGAGTTTTCCCCTCCTCTCTTTATCACTGAATCACACGGGCTAACTGCACTCAAATAAGCGCTGACACAGCAATCTAAGTCTCAGATACGCCGCCGTCGGGCTGTCTGCCGTCAAAATCCACAGCGTTCGCGTCAGGTACCTGATAAGAATGTAGGATCATCTAATCACCCGTTGGCCGCCGTCGGCACATTCACAGTCTGTAACGAACTCTGAAAGTCTAAGTTATCTCTCAAGCACAGATGAACTTACTTAGGACGTGCTGCCTTTATCTGTAGGTTCAAGTTACGGATGAGAGGTGGTCGTCTGACTGTAGCTCTCTCAGGGCCTTCCGAGGCGAGACTTAGCTGAATAACCCGAGCTCACACGCGAAATGCACTGACGCACAATCCTGCATCATTCTCGAGTTCTGGACGCCCTTTCCTGGGATGCGAGATCGTTTGAGCGGCTTAGCGCCCAGTCGACTCAACCAAGAACGGGACCCCCGCAAGCTGCTAAAAATCCTCTGTCATCAGCATCTAGGCCTTGTTGCCACCGACGTCAACACCGGCATACGTTAACACCAGCAAATGCCATGATCGTAGCTGTCCTTTACATATTCAAAGTTCCGACCAAGCCTCGACCTCATTCAAGAGTAGACAGGAAGTGCTGCATCCTCTGTATCCCCCCGCGCGCCGCTCGTGCTTTGCATATCATCCTTATCCAATGTTGATTTCGACCTGTCAGGTACACGCTTCGATGTACTCGCGCGTGCGATCTGCTTTAATATTGCATCAGAGTCACAAATTCGTTCAGTCGTTACACCTTCGCGGGAACATGAGCGCTCAGAGTCCTTGTCAGGTCATTTAACGTTTACTTCTCAGTCAACCACGCAGAGGTTATGGCGTATTTTAATGCCGTGTATCAGCCTGAGGAGGATTACCCACGTTCTCCGTTACTTTGCAATAGACTGTGCTTCTTACTGAAACTAATCCCTTCGCTAACCCTCACAATGTCACCTAGAGCCATAGCCTGCATACAAGGTGATCTTGGCGCTCCCGTTGCTTCGTGAACGATGTGGTCGAGCCACCCATACGATATTGCCTATCTTAACTCCTCGTACCTGGATTCAAAATGTGGTTCACTAGAACCAGAATCAACACACGCAGCGAGGGCTGCACGCCATATTCGCGCAGGTTCCCGGTTACCGGGGGGTCAGCCCGGTGGACACAAAAGGTATCCGCATTCCCCTTATTTGCGGATACAAACCTCGTGGCACTATTCCCCCGGAGCTTGAGAGAATACCGTTGCTTCGGGGTTCAAAAGCACGCACGGCTTCCACTACAGGCAAACCGCCTCATTCGAGTGCCTAAAATCAACAAGAAAACGACCTGGAATGGAATCATTTCCGGCAATATTTTCCCTTGTCGAAAAGACACTAAATAGTTTTCATGCTCTGGCCGATTTTCAGGCGGCGGAAATCATATGTCCTTCCATTTATAGAAAGTTTGCCGGCGCGGAGACTGAAATCTGACACCAACTTGCCATTTTAGGGCACTCGTCGTCTCAGAAAATGTTAACTTTTCTGTCCTGCGGAAATCTACAAGAAAATGATTCCATTCCAGTTTATTTTCTTGTGGATTTTCGACATGAGAATGAAGCGCTTTGCCTGTAGTGTTCTCATCTCGTTGTGCCCCGGGATACGCCTAAAACTTGATCCCGTCATTAGCACAAGGGCGACAGTGGACAGGACGGCGGCCGGCGAGGCTCCTGCGAGGATTTGTTCTGTTGGCAGCACTCCTTTTGCCCCGGTACGACCGCGTTTTTACCACGGAGTCGGCATACAGCGAGCGAAGTCGACAAAGCAAAAGCTTTGATAGGTTGCAAAGAGCACGTCACAACCAATGATGAGAAAGTCATTTTTTGTTTGCAGTTATTTCTAGCTTTTGTTTTCGCAAGCTAAGCGCCACTTCCGTGCTGACCGCTTTCGCCGAATACATATGAGTACCTGCTTGTGTATACGAGTCACCACCTTACCTAAATACCGATCAGGAAGAACATCATACATGACCATAATCCTGCTGTCTCCACCAACTCGATGGCAGCGGAGATGAGTGGCTGCCTTGCTCTCAAGGTATGCTGATGCAAAGCAGACTTGGGCATGCCGACTTCGATGTGACTTCATTTTATCTGGGAGTTCCAAGTCTTCTCTTGACACCACGATATTGCACAGCATGCACATCGTGCAAACGCTTAAAAACCTCAGTTATGTATAACTTCGACCAAAGAGCCTTTAACCGGGACACCTTGGTGAAGAGAGGCTAGTGAGTGAACACTAGCATTGCGTATGCCACCCCGGGAAAGCGGATCACGTTTCTAATTCCAGGTAGGCAAGCCCCGAAGTTAGTGGCATTTCAGAACATGAGTTGTCCGAGTCATGGGCTAACAACCACTTACAAGCAAGCATATCAGGGACTTCAGGGCTGTGTCGGGCACCATAAAGCGTGCCAGCTAGATTTGTGTCAAGAAAGAACATGAACTACTTCAATGAGGAGCAAGTTCCCTCGGAGCGGTTGACCGGAACCGGTCATCAGAGAATACCGAACATCCGGACTGCTTCTTCCGACCTTGTCTTCCGAGTTCCGACGCCGAGGTGTCCTCCTTCCTGTCCATCACTTAATATTTAATCAGGCATCTCGAGGTAGATGCTACTCGCCTACCGTCGTCGAACGAGACGCGAACAGAGTCAAGGCTTACTTCGAGCGCCGGAAACATCTTGGACTAATCGGCCGAAGCTGGGTATTTTCTTGAAAGGCGCGGTTTTGAGGGCACAGTGACGGTTTGATTCAACCCTGTGACGCTGCCTCCGTGATGGTAGGGAACTTGAAATCGGGGCTCGCGCGTTTCTGCCTGAAAACCGGTCTTAACTCCTTGTACCACAATCTGGCGCTAGCCTATTGATAACTCGCACTTGCATTCGCTTGCCAGGAAACCGACATCAACGTTCGACGCTTCCCTGCTAGCTGGAAAAGGACTTGTCCGACCGTACAGGGCCCTATCAAAGTGAGATACTGTGTAGCTTGAAACCGGATTGATAAGTTAATCTCCGCTAAGTTACAGCAAGTGAGTACGCGTATCACGGCTGTCGAGATTTCCGGTATTGAACAACGGAGCAGCTCCCTTCTCCGCACCATCCCTCTGCTATGGAAGTCTTGGATAGCATACGCATAGATGACGAGATCTGGCGCTGCATACATGGCGAATTTCACATCGACCAATCTACATACCGACTGTCGCCTGGTCGACCGAGAGTTCGTCCTCAGTCAGTTCCGTCGTGAGGTCCGCCGGCGGCTAGGAGGTATCATGCAGACGCCAGATAACGATACCGGGCGTTTGCAAGCCTAGAGAAACGTCTTCTGGACCACACTGGATGTCGTGACATACGCGACGCTGTCGCACAGGTGGGGAGACGGGGAGCCGATCTATGCAGACTATGTGCGGCGACGGGGAATGCGCCAACGCCAAAGTGAGCAGCAGCGCCGGCGCCAGTCCACCATCCACATGCATCTCTTTCAGCGCCAACGCCCGGATACGGGAAGCTCGAGCGACTCCTTGCGGAGACGTCGAGGTACGGCATCGAGTTCGCATGGTCGGACGCGTGCTGCATCTGTATGGATGGCTTGGGCCGCCGATCGTATGACGACGCGGGGAGAGGACGCAACATACGCGCTGATGGGCATGCTCGGCGTCAGCATCCAGATTGCATACAGCCGCCACAGCGAAGGACGTGCACGGGCATTTCGGCAATGAAGTACTTTTCATGTTAAATGGAGATTTCGTGGCGGGTCGTGAAGCTTGAACAGTACGAAAGGAACGACGCGAACGATGATGGAATGTAAGAGGATATGTATGTGACACTTATGTATAGTATGTGCGATGATGGTCAAAAGGTGTGTCTGCGCAGTGACGGCGTTAGCGGGAAGGGCGGCGAAGAGCTTCAGAGGGCGTACGTTGGGAGAGTGGTAAGACAAGAAGGTTCTTGAAGGTTATGAGGTTGGCGCCCTGGATAAGTCGTCAGGACAGTAGAGGGCAGGGATATGGATGCATAAGAACAAGTATAGGAAGGAAACCGTTTGAGAAAGTCAGGTAAAAGTGGTAATACAGTCTCCTGTGGCTCCGCGAAAGCTCTATAGTAAAGACAGCGGGAAAAGGAAAACGGAGAAGAAAGAGATAGCAAGGAAAGAGTAGGTGTGATGACGTCAACCCTGTGACTGGTGACGTTGGGGAATCCCCCGCGTCGGGAGCTGGTCGCGTAGGCATAGGCAAAAGCATGGAACAGAAGATTGCATCTTTCCCCTTTCCTCGTAATAAAGTATAGCTGTCGTAGCACATTACACAGCAAGCTCGATGTCGCTCAAATTCGAGTTCTCTGTCCGCGTATCGATTGTCGCCCGGCTATCCTGGCTGTTATCGACCAACTGTACAAACATCCACCCCGTATCAGCATTGATCTATACCTTGTCAACAAACTGATAAAGAAAAGGAACGTACCTGACCAATAGGCCTCGAATAATCCTCAAAGTCCTGCAGAGTCGTCACACTCCGCCCGCCTTCATTCTCACCGTATCTCAACAGCCCTGGCCTCAACAAGCCGTCCGTGCGTGCAAGCACATCGGATAGCGCAGGCGAGGGCATCGGCCCGCTCGCGTTGAGCAGCGAGCTTAGCGTCGGCTGCTCTTGGAACGGGTTGGCGCCGGGGTGCATGGACGGCGGCGGCGGGAACGGCGGGAGCGGTGCTGGCGCTGCAGAAGGGAACGCACCAGCTGCACCAGCTGAAGTGGCGAGAGAGGTGGGAAGGAACGGCCATGCGGGGACGTTAGGGCCTGCTGAGCCGCCGAGGAGCGCGGGGGAGGGAGATGTTGATGCCGACGTGGTGGCTGCTGGCGCAGCGAGATCCTGCTTTATCGAGTCGGAGGTGGAAGGTACAGCCACGGACGAGAGCTTGGACTGGTCGTTTTTGGGCAGAGGAAGCCCGAGCGGCGAAACGGGATCCGCGTCAGGGTTGGAGAGGACAAAGCTCATCGTGGGCGCCCTCTTCGGCACAGCTTCTCCGTGGCTCCCGTGGCTCGTTGTGAGGCTACGTGCGTTCGAACTTGCGCTGAAAACCGCGTCGAAGGATGCCGACGACGTAGGCGACAGGACATGAGTCTCGGCTGAGAGATCGATGGGCATCGGCGGCGGCGGGCTACCAATGACTGTAACATTCCCATGGGACGACTTGGTGCTGGAACTCATATCGCTTCCCTGCCCACCTCTCAACCGTCCAAACAGACCCTTGACGCTTCTGAGCGGGGCCGAAGGCGTAGGCGCTTTCCCTCTCCCTGCTTCAGTATCCCCATTCTTCCACCTCCTCGACGTCGACTTGGTCGGTCCAAGCAACGCACTCTGGCTCGAGCCCGTATTCGGCCGAGAGCTCGCATTCCCGGACGTGGCCCTCCTCGACTCAAGGCCTTGTCCACGATAGGCGTGCGCAGCGCCTTCCTGCGAGCTGCCCACCATATAGACGCCGGAGTCGTGTCCCGACATTGCAGAACTCGTAGGGTAGTCACCGTGTCCCGAGGAAGACATCGCATGTCCCAAAGAAGATGTAGCGTGGCCTTGAGAGTTCAAGCCGATGCCTTGCGAAAAGCCCCTGGAGAGCAGCTGTTCGTGACCGTGCCCAGAAAGCGAGCGCGAGTGGGTGTGTCCCAGGAAGTGGCCGTGCCCAGACGATGAGTGTTCGGCGCTCAGGAAGCGCGCTCGCCCTTGTGCAGCGTTGTCGGTGCCGCTGAGCCATGCCCCCGCACTGAGACCAGGTGAAGACATGCGCGTGAGGGGCGCGGATTCGGGACTGGCCTTGAAGCTGGGGCTGGCAAGGGAGTGATGCGACGCGAGATATGCACTGGGCGGATGAGGTTGGCTGGGTAGCGATTTGTTGGCGTTGTAGAGTGTCGAGCCGTACGGACCGTGCTGAGCAACCGGGGGAAGTGACGGGACTTGCGGGAACGGTATCGACAGTTGCTGCGCGCTAGGGGTGGAATTGGCATGCGCCATAACCGTCGACGTACTCACCGGCAGCACCATGCTCATGCTCCCGCCGGTGTGGTGCGACTGGATTGGAGTTTTCTGCTGTTGCTGCTCTGGATAAAGCGCAGCCAGTACCCCGGCATACCGATTCTGCATCTGCTTCTCCTCCCCAAAACCCTCATGTCCATACTGCCCCGTACTGTCACTGCCGCCCATCTTATCCATTGTGGCAGAACCAACATTGGAACCCATAAAAGTGCTCCCCCGCCGGCTCAGGATCTCTTCAGGCCCGTCGTCTTCGCCGTCAAGAGGTCCGCCGGGGGCGCTTGAGGGCGTGTGCCCTGCAGGGTTGAAGTCGATGGCCCGAGCCGACCGCTGTAGGCGTCGATGAGCAAAGAAGAGCCACGCCGCTCCAAAACCAATTGAGGCCAGCACTCCGACGACGATTCCCGTGATGGCGCCGGGTGAGTGCACGCCTCGGCTGTTATTTGGCCCCCAATACGTCCATCAAAAAGAGATTGGTTGAGAAATGCGATTACGCACCTTGTCGAGCCTGTTACTTGCGTATACAAGCTTCCGCTCGTGATGACCACCCACGTGCTCGTCACCCGGCCAGAGATCACGCTTGTGTATGTGAAAGTTGACGTCCACGCCTTGGGGGTCGTCGTGACTGCGCTCGTCGCCAGCACCCGGTCGGTCGTCACGATCCCTGACGGCGACACGCTGGGCATGACCACGGAGGAGCTCGGCGTGACCACGGAGGAGCTCGTCGAAACCCGGTATGGACCCGTGCTTGTCGCTGACGGGGGAGAAGACGAGCTATCCGGTGTGGAGAAAGTTGTGGGTCTGTCCGGCGAGGACGTTGTTGTGGGTCCGTCTGGCATGCTTGTTGTCGTCTGAGGTGGCGGCAAACCGCTCGACGTCGACGTCTGCGGAGGCGGAATTGACGATGTCGAATCTGATGTCGACATTTGAGATTATGGTGGGTATGAGTTTGGCGTGCACATTTATTAATGCATGCATATATAGACAGAACAGGCAAGATATGAGCGCATATACCCCATACAACCGCAATTAAACGTACCATCTCCAGGTATACTCGTGCTAGAAGCGGAAACACTAGATGATGTAGGTGTATGTGAGGACGTGCTTGAGTCGAGTGAAGATGAGGACGAGGGAGAAGGGTCAGTGGATGTGATAGAAAAGGATGAAACCAGTGTGCGTGATACGGAAGAAGAGGTGGTCGTAGATTCATGAGAAACGAGTGTGGCGGTGGGCGTAGGTGAAGACAACGGGGAAGACGAAGACGAAAACGTTGATGCAGATGAAGACAAAGGTGGAGATAGAGACGGAGACGAAGACAAATGTGGAGGTGGAGATGGAGACGAAGACAAAGACAAAGACGAAGGTGAAGACAAAGACAAAGACGTCGGGGGAGAGGAAGGTAAAGAGGAAGAGGCAGGTAAGGAGGAAGAGGTGGGTAAGGAGGAGGACGTAGGTAAGGAGGAAGAGGTAGGTAAGGAGGAAGAGGTAGGTAAGGAGGAAGGGGTAGGTAAGGAGGAGGACTTGGGTAAAGAGGAGGAGGAAGGTACTGGGGAAGAGGAAGGCACAGAGGAGGAGGAAGGCGGAGAAGAAGGGGACGAGGAAGGCGAAGGTAAGGAGGAAGACTTAGGTAAAGAAGAAGAAGAAGGCACAGGGGAAGACGAAAGCAAAGAGGAAGGCACAGGGGAAGACGAAGAAGGCAAAGGCGAAGAGGAAGGCGAAGGCGAAGACGAGTATAAAGGCAAAGATGAAGAGGGAGGTGAGGAAGTGTAGGAGGAGCTAGAAACGTACGAAAGCAAAAAGCGCTGTTAGCGCTCTCCACATCAAGAACCATAGCAGTCACCAGTTGCAAAATGAAGGATTCGGGGCCAATGTTGGGGCTCCGTTTTGGCAAGACCATCAGGATTCTTGTGCGTCCCAGAGGTATACCCATGAACGATGGCTTTTCCGCTCGCGTGGTGAAGCTCATTCCAGCATGTACACAAAGAAAACGGGGAAAGGGGGACGAAAATGAGGAAGCAAGTACTCACGGTAACGGAGTTGATGATGTTCCCAGCGATACACCGCCCGATCCTGTCGAAAGTTGACGCGCATGCATTGTGTTGATGAGGACGTCCTGTCTCCACGACGAGGGAGGAGCTTGCGAGTAGCCATAGTAGGGAGGAGAGTAGAGACACGGGGCGGATGACGAAGGGGGAGGGGAAGAGTCTGAATGAACGAAGATATCGCTATCATAGTCAGCAGGTAGCAAAATGAAAGCAGCGTTATCAGAGCCAGAGCCAGTGTTTAGGGAAATGGAAGCATGATCGCTATAGTTCGGCGGTGTTGCCTCATATCGAGTGACGCTCGCGCGTACCGGGGTATCTAAGTCGGTACGCAGGGAGTAGGAGACTTCATCATTCAGATTGCGGCACGGTTGAGAATCAAGTTGTCCCTTCGGTGGTACGCGTTGTGGACGTGAGTCGTGGAAAAGAGGAGCCGCCGCGTTGCTGCTTGCTGATGAACACAAACGAGAGGAAGATGAAGGAGCAGGCGCGAGTGCCTCGCTAGGTACAGTGTCGGGTATCGGCAATGGATCCGAGGTGAAGTCATCGTCCGTTGAACAAAAATAGATGACCAGCGGGATTGATACGGGGGACGCGGGCTGTGTTTCGCCGGGTGTCGTCGCGAACGATGAGGCTAGGGGATATGGGGGTGGTTTGTCAATGTCGTCTAGAGGGACGCTATGCACGGAGAAACCACGGGGCAACGTAACATCGTCGGCCATGTTTGTCGCGTCGCGATCGGGTCTACTTCGCCACGGAATGAGCTGAGAAAAGGAACAACGGGATCACATTTTGAACCTCACCTCGCTGTTACCTCACAACCTGTAGCAATTCCTTGGTGCCAGGCCCATCAAAGAGATTGGCGGGAGGGAGACGCAAGGGCGAGAAGATGAAATCGAACAAGAGTAGAACTTCCTACTGTTTTTTGAATGCAACATACGGACGCGGTGTCGGGAGCTGCGAGTGATGGTGGGTGACAATACTTGGTAAATGACGTATAGTTTTACAGATCATCTAACGTCATCTCGCGTCCAACACGCCGTCAATAGCGCACCGTGGGTTATTCCAAGTTCATCGCTCCTCCAACTCGTTTTGTGGTGTTAACCCTATGAACCTTTGTAATGGCGATAAAAAAGTGTTTGATGATAACGCGCCGCCAGCACTTGGGGCAAATGCCGTTATTACCTCCGAGAATATCATTCCAGAAATCTATCGAAAAGCAAAAGTTCGCTAATCAATTTTCACGAGGAAGGAAAATTCATCAGAGAATTCACCGGAAAAGGAAAAGTATAATTGATGACTCAGCCATTTGGCGGGGGCTCGGAGGCACTTAATCCGTATCAGACAATCTGATAGGATAACTTTTGCAATGGATTTTCCTCGGGAAAAAACTAGTTGGCAGATTTTTGCACCTCGATGGATTCTTGATCGATATTCTGGTAGGTAATATCGGCGTTTGCCCGTAGTGCAAGAAGCCAACGTTCCAGAAGTGCTGCCTTTTATGGCGATAAAAGTGAGCCACGCCACTTTGCCGGTATTTTGTTCACGCTGAGCACTGAGCACGAGTCATTGTCATAAAAACAATCCAGTCGATCTTCCTCTTCTGCTATATGGCAGCGCTGCGGAGGCCTGCTGCGCCTTGCAAGGCCTCCCTGCCCCGTGGGGGATAAAGAGATAAAGCGATCAACATCCACCCCCCAATCCCGCTAGTTAACTCAGCGCGCTCCCCACGCGGAGCATCCGATAGACGGACACCACCTCGGTGCATGTTGTACGCCCTCTTTCCCGCAATTCCATTCCTAAATGTCTGCCATCTCACCTCCCTCTCACTGAGTTTCAGAGCTTGTTATCAGGGCGCGAACATGTGCTTGCGCCACGCTGTACACTTGCACGCGTTCGAGACACCTGATCTTGCTTCTTTGTTTGTGCATCTCTCGCGGAAGGGTTTGCTAGCTCTCCACCTCAACTCTTGGTCGCCGAACTGTACGGGCCAACCATCTCAAGCAGGCACCATGTCTCAGATAAAACCTATGTCAGCCTTTGTCAGCCATTAACCATGTCGCTTTCGACCGTCAAAATCAACGCGTCAGGTACTAGATCAGAACCTTGGAGCATCTAATCGCCGCGGGCCGCCGTCGACACACTCGCAGTCTATAACGAACTCTGAAAGTCTAAGTTTCTCTCAGGCACGATTCATTGACGTCATACTTGGAGTAGAATAGACAAGAGCGCTCCTCCGACTCGACGGAGAAGGGACGCCCTCAGTCAGCATCCTCTGTTTCTCGCCAAACAAAGGCTACACCGGCGTCATCATTGACATACGCTGGCCGCAATAAGTACCATGATAGCAGTCGGCTTCTACAGATCCAAAGTTTCAACCAAGGCCCGACCTCAGTCAAAAGAAGCGCTCATGGCTTGTAAGCGCAGCACTCTCTGGGTTCTTCGGCACGCGTTCGCCGCTCGTGTTTTCTATGCCATTACTTTATGTCCGCCGTTGTTTTTACATGTCAGGTACGCGCTTTGCATGAGAGCTATTTGCACAACAAATACGCTCGACCTTTGCGGGGGACACTTGACGTACTGAGTTTATCAACGACCTCGGCGATGTCGGAAAAGCGTAGGCGCTCCGAGACCTTGTCCCAACTCCTCCAACGTTGACCCCTCTGTCAACCACACGTAGAGTCCTGGCGTATCCTAGTGCTTTGTAATCACCTAAGAGGATCGACTGCGCTCTTCCTTTCCCTATCACACTCTGCTTCTTACTCAAAATGACCCCTTGGCTCGCCCTCACAATGTTACCTTAGAGGCCCAGTCTGTATGACCTTAGCGACCCCAACACACCTATATAACCCCTCGTATCCGGTAACCATAGTCCACTAGCCCAAATCAGCCCACGGGAGTAGCTTACAACGAGGCCTACACGCTAAGTTCGCGCAAGTTCCTGGTGCCTGGGGGGTCAGCCTGGTGCAGAGCACAAAGGGCACCTGCACTTCCCGTTGTTTGTGGAAAACAAAACTCGTGGCAACATTTCCACGGAACTTGAGAGAACGCTGTTCCTTAGGGGTCAAGAGCATGCATGTATTCTCACCCTGCGGAGTCCCGGGCTACGCCTAAAATATGATCGCGCTACGAACAGTCGTTGGTAGGTCAGCGGCCGGCGAGGCTCCTGCGAGGATGCGTTCTGCTGGCAGCACTACTTTACTCCAGTAGGACCGCGTTTTTACCATGGGGTCGGCATACAACGAGCGAAGGCGACAAAGCAGAAGCCTTGATATAAGCTCGATAGGTGGCAAAGAGAGTGGCTGGCCACCGGAGATTGCCGAACTTCCAGCCTGTGTACTTCTTCCGTATTCCGACACCGAAGTCTTCTGCCTCCTGCCTTGATTCTACTTGCCTACTCTCATCAAAGGAGCCCGACGCGAAGACTAGGCTCAAGTTTCCCTCCGAGGCCCAATGATAACCTGCGCTGGTCGGCAGAAGCTGGAAGCTTTTCCTCAAATGCATGGTTTGAGGCACAGCTCGATTTGGTCTTGTCGCTCTGCCTCCGTGATGGTAGGGAACTTGATATCAGGGTTCACGCGTTTCTGCCTGAACACCGGTTTTTAACTCCTTGTCTCCCCAAGCCAGCGCTGCATTGATGACTCGCACTTGCATTCGCTAGCCAGGGAACCGACATCAACGTTCAATACTCCCTGCTAGCTGGAAAAGGACTGGTCCAGCCGTACAGGGACCTATCAAGGTGTGATACTGAGTAGCTGGAAGCTGGAATGATCCATTAATCTCCGCAAAGCTACAGCAAGTGAGTATGCGTATTATGGCTGTCGAGATTTGCAGTACTGAACAATGGAGCAGCCCCCTTGTCTGCGCCATCCCTCAACCATGGAAGTTGTGGATCGCACCCACATAGACGAAGAGATCTCGCGCTGTGTACATGACGAGATTCCCATCCGACTAATCTACATCCCAACCGGCGAACTGGTCGACCGAGAGTTCGTCTGCAACCACTTCCGTCGTGAGATCCACCGACGACTAGGAGGTATCATGCAAACGCCAGATAGCGAAACCGGCCGCGTGCAGGCCCAGAGCAACGTCTTCTGGACCACACTCGACGTCGTGGCATACGCGACACTGTCGCACAGGTGGGGAGATGGGGAGCCGAGCTACGCAGACTACGTGCGGCGGTGGGAAGCGCGCCAGCGCCAGAACGAGCAGCAGCGCCGGCGCCTGTCCACCACGCACGTGCGTCTCTTCCAGCGCGGCGCAGGCGGAGGTCCGCATGATGTCAACACGCCTCCGCTAGCGCCAACGCCCGGATATGAGAAGCTCGAGCGGTTCCTTGCGGAGACATCGAGGCGCGGAATCGACTTCGCGTGGTCGGACACGTGCTGCATCGACAAGAGCAGCAGCGCTGAGTTGGATGAATCGATTAGGTCCATGTTTAGGTGGTACAGGAACTCGGCGCTCTGCGTGGTGCACCTCTCGCAGACAACGTCCGTGCTCGACATGGGGCAGGACGAGTGGTTCCGTCGTGGATGGACGCTCCAAGAGCTCCTCGCACCATGGAGGGTCAAGTTCATGAACAGGGACTGGCAGCCGCTCACGAACGACGAGAACGACAAGCGGATCAAGAGGGTGACCGCTGCAGACGGGGAGCCACAGTCGACGTCGGGGTTCAGCGTCAGATCAGGTCTCCTCGGCCGGGGTAACTGGAGCATATCCAATCAGACGTTGATCGGTGTCGTATGCGAAACCACACGTATCCCTGAAGCGGTCTTCGAGCGCGAATATCGTCCACGGACCATCAAGATCGATGAACGAATGGGTTGGGCCGCCAATCGTATGACGACGCGGGGAGAGGACGCAGCGTACGCGCTGATGGGAATGCTCGGCGTCAGCATCCAAATTGCCTACGGCGAAGGGCGTGCACGGGCGTTTCGGCGCCTCTTCGAGGCCATTGTCCAGGACGTTCAGGATCCCTCGGTTCTTCACTTCCCGCATCCATATGTACCACGATCGCCGAGCGACTACCTCACAGACGACCCCATCGATTGGCGACGGTGCAAGCTTGCGCAGCAAATAGATATGGGCACTACGCGGCAGGGTCTTCGTATTCGTGTCGCTGTCATATCCGCGGAATTCGTCGGCACTGAACCCTCTGGCAGTGATTTTCGATGCCAAGCTCTAAACGATACCAAATTTGAGCCCAGGGATCTCAACTTTGACCCGCGAAGAGTGTTGAAGAAATCGGCTCTGGGAATCGTCGCATACTGCGAGGTGGAGGCAAAGTCAAAGATCGCCTTCTCGGAACATGTTATCGCTTATCTCCTGACATCTTCTTGGGAGGTTCATCATGAGGATGGCCATGATGGCTGGGGGTCCTGGACCATTAACGATGGCGATAACGTCGAGAAATGGCAGCTTTCTTCATCGTTGTTTGGTTTCGACATTCGAGGTTCTGACTTCTCCAATGCTGTGGACATTACCCAAATGCAGGTTTTCTTCGTTGACAAGCAACACGTTGAGTATTATGACCTATGTGTTCCGTCTCATCCACATTTACGGTTAGACATGTCGCGATCGTAGTCCCTTCATGTTGCTTGCGATATTTATGTTGACAATTCGTCTGAGTATGTTGCTACCTTCTAATGGCCTTATTTACCAAGTAATTACAAGTAGTTCTCGGTCATATGGTTTGGTCGGCGTTACTCTAGGAAGGACCCACTTACCAAGATTGCGACCTGAACCATAACCCCAAGTTAGGTGCACGGCCCGGACGCTAGCACCCATGACCGCCTCCCAGTCTTCCATATGAACACCATGACTCTCAGATGGCTCTCGCACCTATATAGACCCGCCTCATCCGCCCAAGAGCGGCTTTCCGTCCCCGCTATCTAGCGCAGCACAAACTCATCACATCACAATGACATCGCACGCCCTTCTCACTGCCTTCAACGCAGCCAAGCCCGCGCTCGGCGCGTGGATCACCCTATCTGAGCCTCTTACGGCACGCCTCGTCGCAGGGTCGTCGCCTCATCTTGACTGGGTCGTCATCGACTGCGAGCATGGGCTCATTTCGCTCAATCCGGGAGCGTCGAACTCTATCCAGGCGATCATGAGCCTTGGGGAGAAGGCACCGAGCGCGCTCGTACGTATCCCGGCAACGGGTGCGAGCGCAAGCACGAGCTGGCAGATCAAGTATGCGCTCGATGGAGGCGCGAGGGGTGTTCTTGTGCCTATGGTGAGCTATACCTTGATAGATGCATCAGAGAGGAAGCGTTGACGTGAAATTGGCGAATGTAGGTTGAGAACGCGGCCAAGGCACGCGAGATCGCTTCGGACGCGCGATTCCCTCCTGTTGGACGGCGTGGGTTTGGCTCCCCATTCAACCATGGCTTCTGGGGGCTCTCCGCGGCGGAGTACATGCAAGGGGCAAACGAGTCTGTTATCGTGATGGTACAAATCGAGACCAAAGCCGGTGTGGATCACGTCGAAGAGATAGCAGCTGTCGACGGTATCGGTGCGTGAGGCGCTTGTTGTCCGAAGCGCATAACCTAACCTGGGCTTGCGGTAGACGTTCTGTTTATTGGTCCATACGATCTATCTTTGGGGCTTGGGTACCCACCCCCGTCGCCTGACCCGCACCCTGAGGTCGAGAAGGTCATTCATCAAATCAAAGATGCCGCTCACAGCAAAGGAAAGAAGTGGTGAGGACCATTCCATATTGCTCCTTCGTATCCAAGGTAGCCTAACGAATTAATAGCGCGATGTTCTGCACGAGCGGGAAGCAAGCTTACAAGCGTGCCCAACAAGGGTTTGACATGGTGTGTTGGCTGATGTTTGATTGTGCTTGGCTGAGGTGTTCTAATCGCGACGTGAAGGTCAACGTCACCAATGATGTGGCAGCAATGTCGGAATCGCTTGCACTGAATCTGGCAGCGGCAGCTGGTGAAGGCGCGGCGTAAAGAACTACTTGGGACCTGCTGGGGCCTGCTGGGGTTGCATCAACTGGTGGAGCAGGATCAATTCCATGTGACAGGCAGTGACGTGCCGATATAGCAGCTTATAGCAGCCAGCACAATCTTGAAGTTGAGCTAAGTAACTGTATCCAGGTTGTACTTATATTTTGTGCTTTGCACCGTAAGATGAAGAACTCAACAGACATAGACCAGCGGCGATGAAGGGACTAGTGGCAGGCACAGGCACGTCGCATCAGCAGGGCCATTCATCTCATCCGGACGTCGTGTATTTTGCGCGGGGAAGAAGCAAGGACTTCGGCAGCACTCCCGAGACGTGACATAAGGATCAACGCATTCAATCGAGCTCTCAGCTGAGCTGATACCACTTGATAGTGGTTGATACCATCAAGATACGTTGCCCCTAAGCCCTAAGATGATCGAAGAGCATACTGAGAGCATGTTCGACAGAGACAAAAATCTTTTGGAAAACCACAGGTAAGACTGTGCAAGTGTATAACGAGAAGATTTACATAAAACCTGAAGCCGCGCACGAGAGGACATTCAATACGTCGGAGGTAAAGGCGGGCTCGGCCCTCGGATATGCCCTGAAAGAACCCGGCCTTTCAGTCCTGGCGACGTTTTACATACGAAATTCACTCGGCGGGCTTGACAGGTTCGAGAGCCCGCTTGACATGTGGAAAACACGGCCAAGCAGCTCCGTCCGTTATATAAATCTGCCAACTCACCTTTGCTTACCTCCCAACAACCAGTCTTCGCCACTCACCAGCTCAACCAGCTAACCCCCACACATTCTTTACCAACCCCACTCTCATTATCATCTAAGATGTTCACCTCCGTCCTTGCCGTCCTCCCCCTCGCCGTCCTCGCCGTCGCGACTCCCGCTCGCCTCGACGTCCGTGGCCAGTGCAACACCGGCTCTGTCAAGTGCTGCAACACGACCACTGACGTAAGTGTTTTATACCGCATTGCATTCGCGAGACCTCGGGGCTGACATGCTTTCTTCTTCGGTGCACAGGCTAAGACCGCCAACGATGCCCTCAGCGGTCTCCTCGGCATCACTGGCATCCTCGAGGGTATCACCGGCCAAGTCGGTCTCGGCTGCAGCCCCCTCTCCGTCATCGGCTCTGGTGGTGGACAGTGCAACCAGAAGCCCGTCTGCTGCACCGGCAACACCTTCGTACGTAACTTGTCTTATCTCGCTGCTATCTGCTTTTGCTAACCTTCTCCGTAGAAGGGCCTAGTCAACCTTGGTTGCTCCCCCATCAACCTCAACCTCTAAGAGGTTTATATCCCTAGCGTGTTAGCGTCATTGATTAGCTCTGGGTTTACCTATTTGCATTAGCGTAGTAGGAACTCCCAATCGAATATCTTGGATTTGATTACCTTTCTGCGTGAGCGACTAAGAACTGAGATGGTATTCCGGCCATGAAGAACACTGGCATTATGCTGTCTGCTGGGGCTTGACCTCGATTGAATAATGAACCTTGTTGACAGGAACACGATGCAGAGCATGTCATTTTGTCGCGTGCGAACCTTGTTCCCAACAGTCATCAAGGTACGAAAACCAATATTGACCAGATGGCTCCTGCCTAACACTTCGATCAAACCACGGGTAAGCCATACTGGCATTCAGGTCAGCGTTCGTTTTCTTGTGACCAGTACTCACAAATCGTCACAGAAACCTCGCTTCACCTGAGATTACATGCACAAACTCCTCACGCGGATTGACCAATTGCTCGGACGATACGTCCATAACAAGGTACCCGCGCGTCTCATCTACATCCCAGAACGGAGACTCGTGAACAGGAGCTTCGTACTCGAGCACTCTCGCGAGAGGCTTTGCCAAGCCTTCGCCGGTTACCCTCGCAAGGTATCAGAGGTATCCCTCGAGGCGGAACTCCGGAAGACAATCGCGTATGCGACGCTCTCGCACCGATGGGGCCGGAAAGAGGCCACATACGCGGACTACGTTGCGTTCTATGAACGGTGGAAGAACGGCTCTGATATGGCGCGGCACTCTCAGGATCCGGGATACGTGAAGCTATGGAACTTCTTGGATGCAGCGTCGGCCAGGGGGATCCAGTTCGCATGGGCGGACACGTGCTGCATCGACAAGAGCAGCAGCTCTGAGCTCGACGAGGCGATCCGCTCGATGTTTCGCTGGTACAAGAACTCGGCGCTTTGTATCGTACACCTGGCGCAGACGCGCTCGATCGAGGATATGAACGAAGATGAGTGGTTCGGCAGGGGATGGACGCTGCAGGAGCTCCTCGCACCTTCGAAGATCAAGTTTATGGACAAGTGCTGGAACCCACTTGTCAGTGGTGACAACGACAAAGGGTAAAGCATTCGTGTTTACGCTGATAATATGCATCTCATACCGATGAACTTGACAGGGACGAGAAGATTCTTGGCAAGGTCACGAACGCGACAGGTATACCCATAGATACACTGAGGTCCTTCGAGCCACGAACAGACAAGTTTGGCGAAAAGATGTCCTGGGCCTCTAGGCGGAGCACGACGCGGGACGAAGACTCTACGTACTCACTGATGGGTATGCTCAACGTCAGCATCCAGACCGCTTACGGCGAAGGAGGCCCCCGCGCGTTCCGCCGCCTACTGGATGCAGTTGTGCGCAAGGCGGAAGACCCATCCGTGATGTTCTTCCGCAACCTGCACCTCCCCGAATCTCCGGCAGACTACTTCTCAACACCCCATACTGGAGGGGGTTGGGACATCCCGGAGCCACTCAACTACAGTCTTGACTTGCGCATGGGACGACGAGGCTTGAAGGTCAGGGCTCTTGTTCTGCCCGTGCACAGGCTGTACTTGTATCCCAACGCTCGCTGTCCGTCTCTGAACAACGCATTCGTGACAATAGCTCCATCGGTGAACAAGTCCCTGTACTTTGTGCACCAAAAGTATGCACTGGGTGTCGTCAGCTATTATAGGATCGAAGGGACATCACGCGTCGTTCTCCCCAGTAAAGTTATTGCGTACCTTCTTGGCGCCAACCCGGAATCCATGGTCGAGATGCATGCAGAGGGGTGGCATACGGAGGTTAATCTTGTGAGCCACGCCCGGCAATCCGCAGAGAAATGGAGCATCGTTCGGCCGTTGTTTGAGATTGAAATCCCTGGGAATCCAACAGCTCGCGGGAGGTTCCCAAGCAGAAGGTCGGTCTGTACGGATAGTAGGGTAGCCATGGGAAGCGGGATGAGGTTTGATGATGAGAGGTGTTCAGGGTATTACCTGATAGATGAACGGAAGGTTGACGCAGAGTACCATAACCTTTACATCCGCCCCAGGGAGTCGTGAATGTATGATAACGCATGCAATCAAGTTGTCTCAAAGGAGCAATATTGGTGAACCAAGGGTTTCAAACAACCGTTCGAGACATTTAGCCTCCAAATTTCTTCGAAAATAAAATAACCCGGACTGATCTTGACTATCATGAGAAACTTCATAGGATTGGAATCGCAGGGGCTCACTTGTGTCCTGTAGTATGAGTGGGTACCGGAACGAAATCAATGCTATCCTCCCACCCCTACTCGCCGTGGCGTTAGTGCCTGTACCGATCCTTCCAGGTTCAAAATCCGGCATGCCAAAACCGGAGCTTAGCTTTCTCAACGCTTTCCAACTGCAATCACGCGGAGATGGGGACGAGATAATTTTACTGATGCTGATGAAACAGCAGCAAGATGCTACAAATTTTCTACGCTTAGATTATAGCATCGAAATCAAGCTGGCCCAGAGACGTTGCAATTGGCCAAACAATAAGGTGGTACTCCATAGCAGATTCAAGAACGTTGCAAGGTTCTCATGTGAGGGCGAGCTGTGTCTCTACTCTGCAGGTCCTTGCTTCTTGGATCAAACGCCGTTTGTCATCCTCCCGAGGAGTGCGGTCAGTGCAGATACATTTGTTCGTTGCGAAGTGATCCATGCTATTGGTGATTTCCCACTCCAAACCGGAGAACTCGTCAGAGTGTTAAATACTCGTTTATCCATACACAGTTTTCGCCAGCCACACGTCGTCTCGCATAGGTCGGCATCCCTACTTGTCATGGATACCCCCCTCACGCCCTCCGAAGAATCCTCATTCATTCATTCCGATGGCAAGCCATCGTCTCCCCTCCTCAATTCCAAATCTCATGGCTTCTCTCAACGCCTATTTATCTTCGTGGTACTCCTAGCCATAGCCATAGGCTTCACAGGCATCGCCTTTGGCATGCATCTCACCATTGTGGTTCGAGACAACGGAGGTTTAATAACCACCTCTTGGGATGCTACAAAAGTCGGCTCGGAAATTCTGAATATTTCCACTGCAGCCTTTGTCACGATCTGTACAGATGCAGCAGGATATGTTCATTCAATTGCCTTACGTTCGGCTCTTCTTGCAGAAGAGAGGCTTCATTTCAATACAAACGGGCGTTTATTCACAGCAACGCGAGAGCGCAGGTGGAAAGGGGCCAATGGTGTCTTCAGCAATATCCTCATGGCATTTCTGTTGATGCTATCATTCAGCTCAGCATCCGACCTCTTTCCCGCATACACCGTTAACCACGGCTACTCGGAGTTTCAGCTCATTAGCATTTATCCCGCCCCTCTCTTTACACTAAGCGTCTGTGTTCTTCTGTGAGGATCTATCGCCATTTATTCCCTGCGAACAACTCCAATAATAACCTAGGATACGTCTGCGCTTGGCGTCACTGCTTCTGCCCTTCATGCTAGTATAAATCGACCCTCTAAGGAACGTTGTATGTGCGACGCATCCGATGCTGGCGACCTCCGATCCGCTCGAACCACACGTTCTACTCAGTTATCGGCATGGAAAGCGCGTCGGGACATCCGTATAGCGCTGGTCATCACTTGGCTCGTCGTATGCATGTTTGCCGCAGCAGGGATTTATTGCCTATGTTTCAGTTTAAACCACGCAGAAGATTACCTACGGTCTTTCCAATGGACCTTTATGACGATCCCAGGCGCGCCGTCAATCGGTTTTATGCCAACAATGGACTGGTTTTGTAATAGTCCTGAACACGGTCTGTGCCACACGCAGAATCTGTCTGTGGCGTACTTGAAGCTGTGGGCAACCATGTTTGCACTAGCTTTCGCTCAGCAAGGGCCACTTGCACTTGCTTTGCATCTCGCCGGACTCGTTGTCAATACTTTGCAGGACGAACGGCAACGGAGGGACATGAGCAGACCCTGAGGCCTCAAATTAAGAATGGGCGCCATCCAGGCGTTTCTCACTGGTTCTCTAAACGTGCTTTTTCTGTTAGCAAAACCACTTCTTCATAAGTAGATAAATAGACCCTCGCTTAGAACATATTTGCCGATGACTAGTTAAACAAAGATTGGATGCTTAGCTTGAGTTGCACAATCGCTATGATGGGCAGTGGCTCTACTACGTCTTGGACTTGGTATCCGGTTCAAGTAAGCTCACATGAGATATTGACTTTTCTACTATCTAAAAACCGTTGACAATCATTTTATGACAGATATTGAACTTTTCCTTTGCCCTTGCAATATTGTCGGCCATTCTCACTGCAGTGGCGCTGCGTCGTCCTAAGGGGCCCCAGCCTGCCGCTTACGGACACATTCAAACGCTAGCCAATCTCGTCGATGAGTGGCCTCTCGAAAGCCAGGAAATTATTTACTGGGGACACAAGGGATACTACGAATGCGATGACGATGAACAACAGAGTCAAGCCGAGGGAAGAATTAAAAATGTGGTGCCACGCGGGCACAAGTTCGGAACCGTCGGAGGCGGTGAATATGAACGCATTGTACGCGTGAGTGCTAGTTTTCTATCGTTGTTAAATCAAGAAGGTTTGAACAAACTTACGATAATATTGATGCCGCAGGTGAAAGAGCACGGCTCGTCTCGGCTGTAAAAGCATGCTTACGCTTTACGAGTCGACGATCTTGTGCCAGACCGTATATAATCTATTCTTCAGCGGTGCGTTGTACTGGGGTACGCGCCGCTTTCTTGGTATATATAATGTAGACACTCGGCCTGCACTTCGCTAATATTCCCTGTAGCTTCTTCTCGTACCCTTTCTCGCTGAACTCCGGAAGAGATATAAACTTCGTATTCACTCCATTCCTTGTGACACTTCTCGCGATTTATATGGCCCGTCAACATTCCCTTGAGTAGTATTATCCTCACTCGCTACCCATCGCGTTAAAAGCTACCTAGAAATGCCACGCTTTAATTGCCTATGGGTGCTCTAGAGTGGCTGTAAACAAGGTCAGAGACTGCGATGGGAAGAGACAGAGAAGGTAGTTATGTGCATACCTGAAAATCAGGTACATATGTTTTTGCAGTGCGTGGGCGATGGCCTGTATACCGCGCGGTACCTCCTGCCAGAGAACGTGGTGCACACCAGGGCGTACTGGAATACATAAACCATGAGGCGGGTATAAACATGATTTACAGGAGCGTGTTCCTTGTAAGCAGCTCGTTTAGACGACAAGAAATTGGGTTCATATGAGAGAGGCAGATTCTTTCGAGGTGGGCTGCCGGGGCATCGGGTTAGCATGTCTTTCAAGGCTGCCAGCACTCCTTAGATCATGATCAGTAGCTTTTGCATTCTTCGTCCGTTATATCGCCGTATTCATTTCCATCTTTTTATAGAACTGAGCACTCGTCAATTTGTTGAGAATGTTTGCTCGATGAAGCGGAGCGCTGAGCAACCGAAAACGATAGCGGCGTCCCGAAGAAGCCTTTACCCCTGTTTATGTAAGCTTTCGCACGATCTTTCTCGTTCCGTCAAGTGCACCCGAGCTGCTCAATTTCTTCACTTTGTTTGCACTTTGTCTTTGCCCTCATCGCTGTGTCCCCTCGTATTAGTTTTCAGCATTTTCGCCTCATGTTCCACTCTCACTCGCTTCCCGTCGTTCATAGACTCGCTAATCCTTGCACACCCTCCTGCATGGGGTTTTGCGGAGACTATCACGCTGTGTCGTATTTTTAGGCGTCTTCTACGGGACAAAACGGGCTCGTCGGAATCTCCGCAACGTCCGCACGGAAATCTCTCATATACGCTCGAGGGCATTCGCGCTTGAAACTGCCACTGGTCAACTGCCCCTTTCCTCTCTACCTGACGCTGCTTGAGGATGTCTTCTGACGAAAAGGACGTAGAAAACGGCTTCCGATCCCCTTCGCCGTCTACCGGCGCCGTCGAACGTTGGAGGACGTACCTCTTCCAAGACGTCGATGGCAAGCAATGCTCATTCCCCCTGATTTCTTACTGCTTCATGACGGGTCTTATGTGAGTAGTTGATGGCTAGGTCTAAGGGCCCTCTAAAGCCCATATTCTCCCTTACAATTCATATCAGTAACTCTGTTGGTTTCTCGGCGATCTACGTTTGGATGGCGTTCCAGACAGGCAACACCGTCCAGGTATGTTCTTTCTATAGCACCGCTCGGGAAAGATACTCATCAATCGGTCTTCGCACCACCGTTCGATTGCAGCTCTCGCTCGCAGTCGCCCGTCTCTTCAATGGTTCGCACAACTACGAATTCCAGCTCCCTGACCGTCTTGCTCTCTGCTCTCTGCTCACCTTCATCGGGGGTGCCTTCATCGGGCGCATCGGCGACAAGATGGGAAGCAATACGCGTGCCTGGCTTGTCCTAGGCACGTTCATTCAGACGGTCTTCACTATGGCTGCGGCGATCGCAATCTGGAAGAGCGGAGAACCCGCGGTCGCGGACGCACGGAGTGACGTCGCGTGGGGAAGCGCGCTGTCGTTCGTCTGTGTTGGGTTTATGAGCGCTAGTATGGGCTTGCAGGGGATCATGGGAAAGAGGGTGAACACGCAGTTTACGACGACTGGTGAGTTCCTTCCCTTTCCCTCCCCCGTTCATCATTCCCCTTCTCCGCCAAATCCACACTTGCATCGCCACCCATCGCCGCCCTGTGCCGGTCGTCGGTTTACAGATCGGTAGCCGGGCTACATCTCCCCTATCGTTTCGCCCCCCACTTCCCCTCACATTTGACGCGAAGCTTACGTACCCTCGCAAACAGTCGTCCTCACTACGACCTGGTGCGAGCTCATGGCCGAACCCTCTCTCTTCAAAATACGCAAGCTCGTCAAGTCGCGCGATCACAAGGCGGTTGCTATCTTTGCCTGCTTTGTCGGTGGCTTCGTTGGGCGTGCGATCCTTGATCGTGTTGGCTCGGCCGGAACGCTTGGCGTTGGGACAGGCCTCAGGTTCCTGGTAACGCTCAGCTGGATATTTGTTCCTGCGAAGAAGGGTGCTGCGAAGAAGTAAGAGGCGATACAGTTGGATTAGCTTTCACGATCCAAGATAGAATCAAGACTTGGAAGTACATCCATTTGTGTCACTGATTACACGCTCTCCGCGTTCAACGCGCTATACTACATGATAATTTCATGGCATCTGATCGTAGAATGGTTTTTATCACTTGCCAAGTGTCTAAAATACACCACAAATCTGGTCCGTGGTATGGAGTGGACATCTCCGAAGATGGCTGAAGCCGTTACCATGGATAGGACATAAGCTTGATGGCCTGTATCATAATCATGGAAGCGATGGATCATAGCCTCCGTAAATGTTCTATGCGAGCGTATAGCGCATTGCCTCCTATTGGAAACTCCAACCATTTGATCAGATCGCGATTGATTCTCCAATTCAGCCTGATGAGAGGCCGACATTGCTTTTGCGATTTTCCCATACTCGGTTTTCTCGTCTTCCTCCGTCATGTCATGTTCTAGAGACTAATCGTTTCGTAGCGGTTTCAGATAGGCAAGCTATATTCTCGCGGCAATATGACACCATCGTGAGCGGCAGATCACCACCATCGACAGGAGAACTTCTATGCGTCAGTGTCCACGATTTCTTACAGGAGGAATGACTTTTGACGCAGCTGGGATTATATCGTATAAATCCAGCCACCCACCTGATAGACATACCGATACCATAGGAGGGGATAAAAGGGCGAAACTGTACACTGGAGCTACTGAATCAAACCGTCTATTTCGTACGACGTTTAATTTTCCCATTTGTTTATTTCTGATCGAGTACGGTCTAAACATAGTTGGTTACAGCCATACGCACATCAGAACAACAAGAATGATCATCATATTACCTTTCGTCATAGGCGACAAAGAGTTTTTCAGGATAGCTATAACAAGGTGCAAACGGTACGTAGTAGCTTTGTGCTCATCTTCCCAGTTGAATGCGTAACCCTCTTATGGTCCCGTCAAGTGATCGTTCACCCAGAAAAACAACAACAACCTCAGAACAAATGCTTTCAAAGCAGCCAGGCCCCAAAGCTACCAATAAACCTTTGCCTCCACTCCCCCCTTCCAGTCATAAACCTCTGTCCCGGCTGATATCTATCATTACTCTCTTACTCTCACTGCTCGTGGGATTATTGTTAATCGTTCTCGCAGTGTGCGGTCTCCAAAGCCGAGATGATACTGGCCTGGGCTGGATCGGTATCTTGGCTAACAATCAGAATCCCAATGTGCCAACTGTCTTATCGTTGTCTTTAAACGGCATGGTTACTTTGTGCACAGAGGCTATAGGCTATGTCCATGGGATTGCCTTACGATCGGCCTTAATAACAGAAAAGCGACTTCATTTTAATACTAATGGTCGTCTGTTTACGGCTACGCGGGAACGTCGTTGGACGGGTCCTAATGGTGTACTCTGCAACATATCTGCACTCCTTACCACAACATTATCCTTCTCGGCCACCTCTCTTGCTATCACGTCACAGCCGACAACTGTCGGCGACAGCAGTCCCATTTTCCCCATATTTGTCTCTGCTCCATGTCTCATGCTTCTAGGATCCTGCCTTATATTTCAAGTATCCCTCTCCCTCTACGCTATTTTCACAACCGAAATTGTAACGTGGGAAAGCACTGCACTTGATGCAACTGTTGTATCAATTCGGTCCCGCCTTGTCTATCACCGCACTGGCCGTTCCATGTGCAGCATTTCCGACCCTGAACATGTTGTACTATGCTCAAGGCTGCCTTGCTTTCCTCAACCTTCAGCATGGCAGGTACGCCAAGACGTGCGTACTGCCACTCTTCTTATGTGGCTCTATGTCTCTGTCTACATCGTCTGGGGTTTGGTTGCAATGCGTATCGCTGCAGGCGTCCAATGTTGGACTCTTTTCCCCACTCAGGGCGATACACCGATGTCATGGAACATGGCCGAGGATTGGTTTTGTTCGCCATTGGGTACCTGTCATGTCCCAAACAACGTGATTACCGCCCTGAAGATATGTGCAGTTGCTCTGGCTTTTGCCTCGCTACAACAAGGCTTGCTAGCCGTCACTTTGCATCTAGTCGGCATCATTGTCAACACCGCTCAAGACGAACAGTACTGGAGGCAGCTAGGCCATCCAAAGGGGTTGAGGTTGGACACAAATACTGTGCTGCAATTCATCACTAGCCCTCTTAGCGTATTTACTCTCAGCAAACCTATATTACGTATGGTCCCAACTCATTCACATTCCCACACTACCATTAATGTTTGATCTCAGATTGGATGTTGAGCTTGACTAGCAATGCTGACATTTACAGCACCCTCATCTTTGAATGGTACCCAGTTCAAGTAAGTTCTCTCATCTAGTGCCAGCCTCTCTGACGCAACAACTTATTTTATCCAATGACACTCATAGATATTGAACTTTACCCTTTTTCTTGCAATGGTCGCGGCCATTCTCACCATGCTCGCACTCTGGCGCCCTCGAGGATTCCAGCCTGCTACGTATGGCCACATCCAATCGATTGCTGACCTCGTTGATGAGTGGCCAGCAGAGGGCCAGAAACGGATGTACTGGGGTCACAAGGGCCTTCACGAACCAAGACATCCTGAACGCAGGTTTTCAGACTGGCACGCTGGAGAGAAGTGGTGTCACGCTGGGACAAGCCCCATACCGCTGAAACCGGTAAATGGGAATGCACTCTATGCATGAATGAGAGTAAGTTTTTTCCAGCCTCATACGTCAGCCGCGAACTTACCCTTACTGCGAAGCTGGAACTTGACGTTTGAAGATTAACGGTTAGTTGCACCTATTAGAACTTGGAGGGGGCGTAAACGCCATAGTGGAAACGTAATTTACAACGCGATATAACGATTGGTACGATGTCATGATCAAAGGGTATTGCACCCAAAGACATTTCCCAGTGCTACTTCTTAGCAAAATGTTCTGTCGATAAGACTATATAATTTGCTGGATGCAGACTTCCGGGAGATAACCGGAGGAGATTATCAGTCTGATACTTGACGCTCTGATTGATGAGGTCCGTCTGCATTTTACAATCGCCGGACTTGCGAAGGAGTGGCAAAATCAACCGGACCTTGCATATAGAAGTACAATGGCTCTGGCAGACCGGCATCACTGACAGACTGAGATTCTTCACAGCTTTTATTGATCCTATTTAACGGAACTGAGCTGTTCCTTCATGAGCCATGGCGGTCGAAGGTTTGGATAAGGTAGCGTGTGCGTCAATAGCTCTGTCTCAGGCCTTTAGGTGAGCTTGAAAATCCGTCGCAAGGTTGATGACTGACAGACCGAAGTCTCTGTCGACGCTCTCATGCATAGACATGGGCCACACTAACCTGTGTCTCATCTGTACCGACGTTGTCATTGGTACGGTCACTGCACATTTACCATGGTATTAAATGAGATGCTTTATCGCAACAAAATGAGGCGTTTAATTGTCCACAGAATCATTGGACCCGTCAACCATCAATGCATCGTAGATGCCATCATTCAGGAGCTTGGAGCTAACGAAGCTTTGTCCAAAAATGCTTGCTTTCCTCACGCTCTTCAGACTTTGGGGTTCTAACCGACATATATATCACATTGTGAATCGAGCTCATATGATGGCTGATTGCGTTGTTCTCTTCTCGGCACCGCCACTAGCACAATGAACGAAGCCATAATTAGATCGCAACGGCTCTACAGCAAGAGCAAACACATACTGGGTTTGTGTCGTGCGTCTTCTTCTGGTTCCTGAGTTCCTTCCCTTTCCCTCCCCCGTTCATCATTTCCCTTCGCCGCCGAATCCACACTTGCATAGCCACCCATCACCACCCTCTGTCAGTCGATGGTTTACAGACTAGTAGCCGGGCTACATCTCCCCTATCGTTCTATTCCCCACTTCTCCTCACTCTTTGACGCGATACTAACCACACCCTCACAAAACCCGGTGAGCGCCGGGTCGTTGTACCCCAGGCCCGAGAGGCGCTTGTCGCCCTGCACGAGGGAGATGTTAATGCGGCGGGGGTTGAAGAAGAACTGTGGGGCGTGTGGTTGGGTCAGCGCCGTGAACGATGTTAGGGTAGGAAAGGGTGGACGAGAGCCGGGCAAAGACATAGAAGTGCAATAATTTCACAAATTTCAGGCGTAAAGTCGTCACCGGTTCCCAAGTCTCGAATTACAAAATTTCACAACGATATCACATATATAGACAAAGGAGATAATACACAGTGTCAAAGAGCTACCACCAGCTACTCAACCAAACCGGTTACATATCCTGGGGCTTCCTTCGCGATTATGCGCCTACGAGTTAAGATCCTGCAGGAGACTGTTAGCTCTAGCTTTAAGTGTCCGTTAACCGGACGAACACATACTCAGGCTGGCAGTCCCGCCACACTGCTGAAGTACGCCCGAGATCTTTACCATCGCGTCAACAGTAACTGAAGGCTGATAGCCAAGTTTTCTGCCGACGCTGGCGGCAAAAGCCTTGTTGATGTTGAAGAAAGCGTAGGTCTGGAAGGGCTCCGGGAGCACGCCGACGTGCTGGAAGTCAACGATGCAGACTTGTTTCGAGTCGAAGAGGAAGTTCTCCTTCTTGATGTCGGAGTGGTAGATGCAGCGGCTCTTCTTGAATGACGTCAATAGCGCCTTCATCACAGGGGAGGACGGCCGGGCGTTCGGCCTGCAGAGCTGAGACGCCTGTGGGAGAGAAATGTTTCTCAATAACGAGCTGTGAAATTAGTCACGTGCGAGATTCACACCTTTGTAACGTATTCAGCTAGTTCGTCGGGGTCAGCGAATGCTCGTGGCGCCTGATGCTCCTTGAAAAACTGGTGCCATACAGGAGCCGGCTTAGATGAAATTCTCCCGAAACATGCGTGAGGGACCAAAGGTAGCTGGTCTAGAAGCCACTTCACAGCAGAGGCAGCGTGCTCTACGGCTTCCTCTTCTGAAATGCCACAGTCACTCAACGTGGGCGCCGCTATCTTCTCCATGGCCACGAGACAGTAGCCGTCCTCGGAATAGAAAGCGTCGAATACTCTGGGAACTCGAGGGGACGATTCGTCGCTATTGGCGAGAAGATAAAAGAAGTGTTGGGTACCGGCCTCGTCCAGGACGTCATCGCTATGTTTGATGAACAAAGGGGGCCTCCCTGGCAGATTGAAATCGAACGATCGCATTTCCTCTCCTCCGGCGTCTACCAGGCCTTTTAAATGGGTGACGATGGCCTCACGCTCGAGCTTGGTTAGCTCATGTGGCACTAACTGTAGAGGCTTATTGTCAGAAACTGCAGACAAGAAACATAAAGACCAGAGGAGACAAGGGAGAGGGGTTACGTACCAAGCTAGACATGACTCAGTATACGAAGATGAATCGTGTGAGGTGTATGAAAGGGTTAATCTCGGGGGCAGAAAGCTGCAAGTGCGGAAGAGATAACGAAACGATGAGACGACTACTCGTATCTTCAAAATTATGCTTGGCTTGGCACTGTACATGTTTGGTCTACTGTGGCTGTGGTATTTTGACGTTAGTGCTTGGTACAAGGGCTCTACTGCAGTACCTGTCTACTAGCGGGCAATGTGCCTGCTATTTGTCTTCGGGTTTTCCTACCCAGTACAAACTCGGAGTCACAAGGGTACTTTTTGGAACGACCAACGGTCAATCAAGCAGGCGCAGGACGATCAAGCAGGGTAGGCCCCTTACAGGGACACATGGCTTAAAGGGGTCGTTACCCGGGGTGACTGAAGTGATGCATTTGAGGGCGACGGCGAAGACGACGCAGCAAACTGGTGCGGGGAGCGGTGGTGCCATGCTGGGATGAGTTCAAAGCCGCTGGGACCGATCGAGATGAACGCTCTTTACGCGTGACTCGCGGTGGACAACACACGTGGATTTGATGCGGTGAATAGCACACGTAGATCTGATATGATAAACGAGCGCCAAGAAATAACCTGCTTGTATGATAGATACTAGACGAACACATCGAAGCAACGTACAACAACCATCAAACAAACCACACCACACCACCCCTCAAAACGGCTCAACAACCAACCTAAACGGCGTCTCCGCCTTCTCCTGCTCCCGCGCCGCGCGCTTCGACTCCCTTTTACTCAAGTACCGCCCCAGATCGGCGTTCCCGCGCGACGATGACGACTGCGAGGAGGACGCTGAGGGCACGCGCGTGAGCGCCGGATCGTTGTATCCCAGCCCCGAGAGGCGCTTTTCGCCCTGCACGAGGGAGACGTTGATCCGGCGGGGGTTGAAGAAGAACTGTGGGGCGTGTGGTTGGGTTAGCTCCGTGAACGATGTTAGAGTAGGGTAGAGAAGGGATCAAATGGGCGGACGAGAGGTACGCATGCGCGTGGGAGTGGGACTCGAAAGGTTGAATAGATGTCAAGAGGAACACGCACAGTGTTCCAGTCATCCACCACCACACCGGCCGACGGGCTCTTGGACGCGGCCTTGACCGCTGCCTTGGCGCCGTCCATCGCGAGCCCGATGAGCGGGCCGAGGACGATCTGGTGTCGCAGAAAGGGGGCGACGCTCCTGTTGTACGTGTCCCCGACGGCGCTCGCGGTTTTCTTGATGTCGGCGAGGAATCTGTGGATGGGGCCATCGAGTATCAGCATCAAGTATCAGCACCAGCATCCGAAAAGGAAAAGGAAATATACAAGAAACAAAAAACAAAAGGCAGAAAACTCACCGCGCCCAATCCTCCCCCTGCACATCATGCGTCGCGAACGGATGCGGCGCATACCCCGCCGGCGGCGGCGCCTCGGGGAAGCCCTTGCTCAGATGCGAGCTCTGGCTGAGCAGCGCGAGCGGCGGAAACGGCGCGTACGTGACCGCGTCGTCGCGCGCGGGAAGGCGGTTCCACGACGGCGGCGGGCCCTGGGACGAGCTGGCGATCGAGCCGCGGGAGGAGCCTTGCGGGAGCGGGCGCGGGTCCCATCTTTCTGAGCCTGAGGGGCCCGGGGCTGGGCTGAAGCCGGGGTTGGGGTTGGGGCCGGGAGAAAATGAGGAAGAGGAAGGGGGGAAGTGGTAGCCCGGGTACTGCTGGTCCATGCTGGGTTGAAGGTGGCCCTGGCTGTGGCCGTGCCCGTGTGGTGCGTAAGGGGCCTTGTCGGGGGCGTACCCGTACGGTTGACCCTGGCCATCCGGGGCGGGCGCGTAGGGCGATTGGGAGGTGGGGCGGTAGAGGTCGTGCTGGGGCTCTTTGCCGTGGCTGCTAGAGCCGGACTTGTCGGTGTACTGTCCAAAGTCCCATTGCTGTGCGCCTGGAGCGCCCGGTGGCGGTAGCGAGCCCGCGTAGGCCTTGGCGTCGGCGTATGGTGGGGCGTACTGAGATGGGCCTGGAGGTGAAGGACCTTGGTGCTGGCCGTACGGGCTGTACTGCGCGTGGGGAGCTGGGGGAGACGCGTAGGGGCTCTGGGCGTACTGCTGGGGCGGCGGCGCGTATGGGCCTTGCGGAGGTGTGAACTGACTCGGGCCTGCATGCTCCTCGTAGCGAGGGTGGGGTTCTTCCTGGGGTTCATCAGGCATGATGTCGGACATGATCTTCTGGTCGCGCATGGACAGCCCGGAAGGCTCTTCGCCGGGTGGCGCGAGCACGACCTGCGGATGGGGCGCTTGGACAGAGGGACTGCGGCTAACTGAGCTTCCGCTTGCTGCGGGGGGCGCTGTGCTGTGCTGAGTGGCGGTGGACGGGGCGAGCGGGAGACTCGAGCTCGACGCGGGCCCAGGAGGGCTGTGGGCGAGGGGATCATCGGCTACGACTGGGATGAGCGCTGAGGGAGCGCTCGGTCCGCTGGCTTGAGGCTGGGATGACGCAGAGGAGGAGGCGGATGGCTCGAGGGAGTATGCAGGAGGAGGGAGGTCCTCTGGTTCTGCGTCTTCGTCGGGGTTGGCGGCTCGACGGGCCTGCTGTGCCTCGTCGATCTTTGCTTGTATACGCTGCTGACGTTCAGACATTGCAGCAATGAGAGACTAGGATGAAGAGAGTTGTGGTTGAGAGAGTACGAATGGGATAAAGAGAGCGGGTGATACCGAGGTCTTTTGAACTTGACAGGATAGAGACGGGGCAGGCTGTGATGCTGTGGAGATCTGCACCTTGAAACACGAAACGCGAAGGTTCGTCGGTGGTAAGAAAGCTGTGTGATCCACTAATCAGGGATGGAGAGAGCGAGCAACATCGGAGACAAGAGCATCACAGCCACATACCCGCACAGCTCCCTTCATCATGTCTTCCGTCGCCGACCTCTACAGCCACACGCCCGTCTCGCGCAGTACGGGACAAATGACTGTAGGACATCGCACATGACATCCGTCGTTGATGCCTCGTTTGACATCTGACGACTCCCGACGGCGTAGGACCCACCGCACCGCCTCCGAGCCACCTCCTATCACTTAACACCTCTCTCACTCCATCATCCAACATGTCACAGACTGCAACACCGACTCCCTTCACCATTGCCGTTACGGACGAGAAGCTCGCGTGGATACAAGACCGCGTCAAAACCGCGCTCGTCATCCCCGACGTCGAGCATCCCGCGGGCGACGAATGGGCCGCCTGGGTGGACGGCCCACCGACGACGGCTATACAGGCCCTCGTCGACTATTGGCGCACCTCCTACGACTGGCGCAAGGTCGAGGCGCGGCTCAACAACACCTTCCGCATGTTCACTGTGCCTATTGAGGAGCAGGGGGAGACCTTTGACGTCCATTTCGCGCACCATAGGAGTACGAGGAAGGGTGCGGTGCCCATGATATATGTCCATGGGTGGCCGGGGAGCTTTCTCGAGGTGAGTAGCGAACGCTGTCACATTCTGTTCGACGCACTTATACGGGTGGTCTAGTCTGAAGCGCTGGTCGAACGCCTCGTCGAGCCTGAGGACCCCAACGCGCAGGCTTTCCACATCGTCGCTCCCAGTCTCCCGGGCTACGCGTTCGGCGGTCGCTCCAAGGTACGCTCACATCCTTACACCAAACCCTACCAGCATAACCTCACACACCCCAGCGCCCCGGCCTCAGCGTCGCCACCATCGGCCACATCTTCAACACACTCATGGTCACCATCCTCGGCTACCCATCCTACATCGCCCAAGGCGGCGACTGGGGCTCCATGATCATCCGGCGCATGGCCGCACAGCACCCGTCCACCTGCATCGCAGCACACACCAACTTCCCTACGCCCTTCGGCCCCCCGTCCGCGCTCAAACACCCCCTCGCGCTCTTCTGGCTCGCCACGCGCTGGTTCACGCCCGCGCAAAAGGAGCGCCTCGCGCGCATGATGGCGTGGCGCGAGACCGAGCTCGGGTACGCGCTCATCCACGGCGAGAAGCCGCAGACTATATCCTACGCCCTGCTCGATTCGCCCGTCGGCATGCTCGCGTGGCTGTACGACAAGGCGCGGCGCGTCGTCGATCCCGCCAACGTTTATCTGTGGGAGCGCGACGACGCGGACAAGGAGCGGATGATCACGTGGACGATGCTATACCTCCTCTCGGAGAACTCGGCGCATGCAAGGATGTACAAGGACAATATGCACGGTATGGGCGATCTCGGCGCGATCGATGCGAGTGTCGCGGTGGGTGTGAGCGCGTTCAGGTACGACTTGGGGTATATGCCCAAGTGGTGGGCGGACGTGAGTCTTGGGTATAATATCACGTTCTGGAGGGAACACGAGGCGGGCGGGCATTTTCCGACGCTCGAGTGTCCGGGGGTGTTTGCGAGGGATCTGCAGGATTTCGTGGGCAGTGTGCCGCAGGCGTGTTTGCAGAAGTTGCGGGAGTCTGGGGAGGCGGCTGGGAACTGGTGAGTTTTGTCGCTTTTCGTCGATGGTGTCGCTCACGGAAACGACGGTCGTCCAGACGTATCTCTATTCTATATTTCGCGTTTTTGACATTAGCGACGGAAGATGCTCGATCTATCGTATTGCTGCCATTATGTTGTACCACACTTTCAATCACGCCATCGCAATCTTAACCGTATCCCATCCTTCTCGCTCGCGTCGCAGACACCATATGTCTGGGCCCCGTACCGCAGCCACCTTGGTGATTAAGTTAGAACACCAAGCAGGAGGGTGGAGAGGGCGCATCAAGAAGGCGCTGCATTGAGTCATGGCACGAATCGAAGTCGAAGTCGGAGCCGGTAGGAGCGGAGCATAGGTGGGTCTTGGTGTACTTAACCGCGCCTGCGCACATTTGCATCTGTCGCCAGTTCGATAAGATCGTGTTTACACGTAGCACGGATGGCCGCTCAGCTCAGCACGCAGGACACCGGGCATCGGTTGCCCGCCAATGTGCGGCCGACGCACTACGATCTTACCGTTCGGACCGACCTGGAGAACGAGACGTTCCAGGGCGTTGTTAAAGTCAGGTGCGTCTCAGCTGCACCCCGGTCTCTCGTGTCCATGTTCATTTATCCCCCATCTTTGCACGCCACATCTTATTTTCAGCTTGGACATCAAACAAGAAACATCGAGCGTCACATTCAACATCGCAGATCTCGAGCTGACCGCCGCGTCCATCTCCTCCGATCACGAAGCTGACGTGGCTCGGCAACCGTACGCATCGAAGTCGCTCGATGCAGAGCGCGAGGAGGGCACGCTGGTGTTCGCGCGCGCGATCCCCGCAGGATCCAGGGCGCAGCTGTCGATCGCGTTCTCGGGCGAGCTGACAGATTCATTGATGGGGTACTACAAGTCCGCGTTTACGCAGGACGGGGAGGAGAGCGTCTACGCTTTGACGCAGTTCGAGGTGCACCTCATCATTTTTTTTTTCTGTGGCGAGGCGCTGCTGATGCGTCGCGTGTGTTTTATCTAGCCCACGGCGGCGCGCAAGGCGTTTCCGTGCTGGGACGAGCCGGCGCTCAAGGCGACGTTCAGCGTGTCGTTGGTCTCGCGTGCGCATCTCGTCTGTCTCGGCAATATGCCTGTCGAGTCGGAGGAGCCCTTCCATCTCGATAACAGCGAGGACCTTGACCTCGCGGGGCTTTTCGAGTCGCTTTCGGTGGAGGATCAGAAGCCAGAGGGAGGGTGGAAGGTGACGCGGTTCCAGACGACTCCTCTCGTACGTTGTCACCGTCTTCATTCGTTTTGTTGTGTTGATTGCCTGTAGATGTCGACATATATCGTAGCGTACGCCAGCGGTCCGTTTCAGTACATCGAGGGGTCTTACACGAGTCCTCTGAGCGGAAAGAAGCGCCCGTTGCGCGTGTACGGTAAGATACAAATTACATTTGATTTTACGTTTCGTGTGCTCACTTATCGGTTACCAGCGACCTCGGAGATTCTTCACCAGGCCAAGCATGCCCTCGATATAGCAGAGAAGATTGTGCCGATCTATGAGAGCGTTTTTGATATCGAGTATCCGCTTCCAAAGCTCGATATTCTAGTCGTGAGTTGTATACTTGTGTTTGCATTTCGTGCCTCACACTGCGTACGCTTTGCAGGCCCACGACTTCGACTCTGGTAAGTCGCTTCAAAACACTCCATCACTGCTCAGCTTACCCAGCCTACCAAAGGCGCCATGGAAAACTGGGTGCGCGTATCCCCAGCACACCGCCCATTGCCTCGCTCAAACCCGCCAAACAGGGTCTGATCACGGGAGGCACTAGCGCCTTCCTCATGGACCCGGACAAGGTCCAGCTGAGCACGCTCAAGGGGATCACGAGCGTCGTGTCGCATGAGATCGCGCACATGTGGTACGTGGCGCGGTGGTGTTTCTTTGCACATCCGAGATATCTTAAAGGGAATGGTGTGTAGGTTTGGGAATATTACGACTATGGAGTGGTGGGATAATCTTTATTTGAATGAAGGTGAGTGAATGATGTGTTTTTTCGGGGGTGATGCTGAGAGTGAGCTTAGGATTTGCGACTCTGGTGAGTTTTCATGAGGCTTGCTCGAGCGGGATGACTTACTCCGTCAAGATGGGCGAGTACATTGTTGTCGGTACGTGCGCGTAATCTTTCCTCCGTCTAAGACAGCATCTAAACCCCGGGACAGACAAGTACGCCTTAGGCGGCTTTCCTTTCCAAACGCCTTTGGACTGAGCGTCTTTCTAGGTTATACCCTAAATGGAAGGTCGACGCCGAGTTCATCATCGAGAACCTCAACGACGCGCTCAATCTCGACGCGAAACCTTCTTCCCACCCTGTCGAGGTTCCTTGCCCCGATGCCAACCTAGTTAACCAGGCGAGTATACGTTTCTTCGCACCGAAGCGCAATCTAGAACTAACATAGAAACCAACATAGATCTTCGACTCCTTATCCTACGCCAAGGGCGCTTCTGGTGTGCATTCCTGAAGCGGTATGTTATTTTATCTTGCTAACAGCGCTCCTAGTTCTACGCATGCTGTCCAACTTCGTCGGTCAAGAACGGTTCATCAAGGGTGTTTCTCTATATCTCAAGAAACACTTGTACTCCAACACGGTCACCAAGGATCTCTTTGAGGCGATTGAAGAGGCGACAGGTGCGCATTCTGAATCTGCCGGGAGGATGTGGTGATATTAGTCAACTAACATTGTCAGGCGCGGGTGTGCCGAAAATGATGGACAATTGGATCTCCATGGTGTGACTATACCCATGCTTGATATCATGCTATGTCTTATGCTTTCTAGATCGGCTTCCCGGTTATCACCGTTACCGAGACCAAGGACGGAATCACTGTTCGTCAAGATCGATTCTTGGAGACGGGACACGCCGAACCCCAGGACAACGAAACAATATGGTATACTGTGTCTAGTTACTTCCGTATCTTCTCTAATGCTCGGCTCTCCTCATTCCCAGGACCATTCCTCTGAGCCTGCTCACGGTTGACAAGGACGGCAAGCCCCGTATCGACAAAAGACTCGTTCTTGACACTCACGAGAAAATGATCCCTCTTGACATCTCAAAGCTATACAAGCTCAACGCAGGGACTAACGGATTTTGTGAGCATCATTCGAATAGCTATGCGCTTATATTATTTTCTTTACTAATTTGGACTAGACCGTGTTCTGTACCCTGATGAACGCCTTGCAAGAATTACAGAAGAAGCGGCAAAGGGCGAAGAGATGTTCTCGCTCAACGATCGCATCGGGCTCGTTCACGATGTATTTGCCCTCTCCAAGGCGGGTATGATGAGCGTAAGCGGGGCTTTGAACACTGTTAACAACCTGCGGGGCGAGATGGATTGTAAGTCTCTTCTGTCTTCCACTTGGCATCTGCGCTCATTGAAACAACTCAAGACATCGTATGGGACACCATTGCGTCCAACCTCTCTCTGCTGCACTCAACATGGTGGGAGAACACGAAGGTCACGAAGACCCTGGACGAGTTCCGTGCAGTGAGATTTAGTCTTAACGTTATACCATCGTGATGCCTGATACGACTTTTGACAGTCCTTGTTCAAGCCCATCATTGATCGGCTTGGCTATGACGACGCACCTGACGATGATTCGAACACCATCCAGTTGCGCAGTAAAGCCGTCGAACAGGCCTCGCGTGCAGGCGAGCCTTCGTAGGGTTTCATCCCATTTCGGACGTTTCCGTAACTAACTAAGTTGAATGTAGGGTAGTGAAGGAACTGCAACAGCGCCTTGCTCAATACATGAATACCGGCAACGATTCGCACATCTCCCCCAACATCATGAATTCTGTACTCTTCACGGTAGGTTTAATACCACAGATCATAGTTCGCATTGTCATTGAATCGGGTTTTGCAGGGTGTGCATTATGGTGGGCGCGACGAGTTTGAGTTCGCAAAGAAGATCATGGAGGACACCACGGTCCCACCTGCCACAAGCGACTCGGCAATGTGAGCTGACAAGCACAGCCTCACGTTGTGATTCGCGCTGACAACGTCTTCCAGGGTGGCTATCTGTCAGATCCAGGACCCCGAGCTCATCAAGGAGGTTTTCTCGTATATCCTTAATGACACTCGAACCCAGGACCTCATCGACATGTTTATGGGCCTCCAAACTAATCTGTCTACGAGGCGTGAGGCTGCCGAGTTCTTGAAGCAGAACTTCGATGAGGTTAATTCCTTGTGTTATTGGATGAAAGATAACATGGTCCTAAATCCTATTTGCGCACAGATGGAAAAGAAACTGGCAGACACTTTCGGGTTGCCAGACGCGATCACGGTAAGTCAAACTCTCCTTTCAAGTATTGCCTTGACGAAACATCTCGTAGGTTAGCTTTAATCATCTCACAAAGGATGAGGACATTACGATGGTCGAAGAGTTCTTCAAGGTACGAGATCCTATTCGGTTCCCTTGCATTGTCCGGCCCATAATCGTCCCGCATCAATCAGGACAAGGACCGGTCCAAATATAACATGGCATATGATCAACTTTTGGACACCCTGCGTGCGTCCAAGGTTTGGATCAAGGTATACTCCACTTCTGCTATTCAATTCTTTGTCGCTAATAATCTGTTCGTAACAGCGTTCGACTGCCGATATTGAGAAATGGCTCGATGGCTGGAGTGCTGGATCAAAACTATGATCTATGTATAGTATCGTATAATAACTCACGCTCTTAGATTGTACGATAGACAATGTCAACTAGACGGGTATAAACGAACGCCGGCAGCCTGGCTTTAGCCCTGTCATGTAACCTGAACGCCAAAGTCAGTGCTCAACGAAAGAGTCCGCCCGGCGCGTGTAGGTGACATCAAGATGTTCATGAATAAGCATACCCAGATCAAGGATTCCCGGCGTGAAGTAACTGTTCCACGACGCTAACACCCTTCTTATGCGCTCTCGAACCGCAGAAGATCTCCGCGAATGAAACAGTGTATCAAAATCGCCCTCGCCCTTCGCAACGTCAAGCACCTAGCTGGCGAAAATGGGCGGATGACCCGCCCACAAAAGGTACGTAAGCTCTCATAGATTAATGGTCCGACTGGCGCGAGCTTGAGGCGTGGCAGAAAAAGACGTTTGGCATAATCGTCATGTCGGCTAAGGAGCAAGAGGAACTTCCGTTGCATTCGATGCAACACCATGGCGTTTCTGTCTAGCCGCTATAATAATTTAAGAGTGTGTCTGTGAAACCGAAGATGTACCTCGAGGTATGTGTCCAATGTACCCATTTAAGCTGTCTCGTCTAATCGAACGTCTGGCGGACCAAGAAGAACACACTAAACACGGTTTCCATATAATTGCTCCATGTCGTAGCTACACATTTGATGGACGCTTCAAAGGTCTGTCCCAGTTGGCTAAAAGCGCACGGTACGATCTTCCAGCGTGCAAACACTCTTTGGCGGGTTTCTGACCTGTGGCGTGGTAGTTTACCGCCGAATAAACAGAGCGCCTCAGGCGCACCCGGTGATGGGATGGCACGGGCCAGAGCTGGGTTACGCACTCTTCCGCGACTGGAGGGCGCAGGCCATGTTACGCTCTGCTCGACTGTCATGATCAGCGTGCCGAAGGTACGTTGTGAGAAGTTTCAAGTTTCAGGCGAATCTAGCGCCTAGTAAAAATTGTTACCCCAGTACATGTGGTAGATCAAGACGTGCCAGATAAGGGGAAATTCTCGAGTCCAGTTGACTACGTTGGAGCACGAGCCTCCAAAGCCATAGAATTCTCTTCATGCGAGCTCCTAAAGCTTTTCAACTTGAAGTAGAAAGGCCGGGTTCTATCCGTATGACAATTCAGTCGTATGGAGCTCCAGCTGGATATCGTACTGAGACTTTTCTTTCCTTCACAGGCTTACACATACATGGCAGCGTTTACTTCTTTTGCTGGCCTCATGACTGGAGGTACGTTGACTCAGATCCAACATAGGTTTGATGGCTCTTGTGTAAGTTGGGCGCTTGGAACGTTGTTATATTTCTGGAATGAATAGTTTTCCGCTGGCACCCTCGGATTGACTGGACCTCCGCAGAGCTTACATGAGACATTTTATGGATATGGCTATAGAGCTTCCCACATAATCTTGTTCAGCGCTTAAATCGCTTGCGATCTAACAGTGATAATGTCCGAGATATACGCTGGTCAAGGTAAGATTTTGTTTCCTTATCTCAAAATAATACGAATGTATAACATGCCGTGCACGCCCGCCTACCAGAGATTCCTCAACTTTCGAAATAAAAAGAACGGGTGGTAAACGCTCCGTTGTAGACGCCCTGTATATGTATAGTGTCCTTTGACGCTCAGAACTATTCCAATCGAAGTCGCGTCACTAGATCTGGAATCATCTGAAACGTCACCAATTCAGGAACATTTCTTGGCCGAGTAAAAGCTATGTTATGCAGCTGCGCTTTTCGCATCAAAGGTCCTTGGGGAATGGACATCTCCGATGCTATGTCTTTATTGCCTTCTTCACTACTTCTCATTTTGAAATCGTTCTTTGAGTACTACAGCGAGCGTCTGTTCAGCGCTTCAAGATACCTAGATAAAGGCAAAATAAAAGGCAAATGATCCTCCTTCCCATCTCTTCCCGTCATTTACTTCGCAGCGCATACTACATGTCCGACGACGATGTCTTCTCCATCCAACAAGTCCCTAGGGACGCGCAATCGTCTCAGGGTAAGCTTCCTTACTGCGAACAGAATGACGCCCTCTACTGCGGACGACTGACATCCCTTCAGGTCCCACCAAGAGTCCGGTGTTACCTGTCTCTCCGACCACACCAACTCGTGGTCCACGATTCGGCCAGAATATATCCCATCGGTTTCAGCTCAACTCGCCAGTTTCAGCACTTCTAGGGACGAGGAAATCATCGGGCAGAAACCTCGTAGTATGCATTGATGGTACATCGAAAAAGTTTGGATCAAAGGTTTGGACCTAGTCAGATTGCCATCCGTACATCACTCATCCTTCCCAAAGACCTTCCCAAAGAATACCAACGTCATCCGTCTCTATGAGCAAGTCAGAAAGTCTGAGCAGCAACTCACGTATTATGCGAGTGGCATTGGCACTTATGCTAGACCTTCGTGGCGGTCCCTGACGTACTGGAAGCAAAAATTACTTTACAAGCGGATCGATCTAGCAATTGCGTGGTAGGTGCATGTTAACCCATCCGATATTATCCAATGGTTCATGGTGGCTCCATTAGGAACCTTGAAACAGTCATCATGGACGTTTACCGCTGGTTGGCGGATAACTATCGACAAGGCGACAAAATCTACCTATATGGTGCGTAGGGAAATATTTACGCTAACCCCTCTCGCCTTATTAATGACCGCCTATCCGCTGTAGGATTTTCTCGCGGTGCATATCAGGCTCGCGCGGTGGCTGGAATGATTGACAAGGTATGATACGCTTCAATCTTGTAAACGCTGCTTCATATCATCATGTTGTTAGGTCGGACTTTTGTTTCCCGGAAACAACGTACAAATACCTTTGTGAGTACGCATGCTAAAAGCAGATGTTTTACATGCGTGACCACAGAATACCGCGACTTAGTGCGTTCGAACTGTATGCGTCTCTAGACAGCTCGAGTAGGCATAAGAACATTGAAAGGAACAAGCTCGCGGAGAGATTTAAGGACACGTTCTGCCACCCCAACGTCTCTGTTCACTTTCTTGGCGCTTGGTAAGTTTCGGTCTGGCATTTTTAGCCTCTCTTTACTTGAATATCTCATACAAACGCAAGGGATACTGTATCATCGGTCGGGTTCACAGGAGAAACACTTCCAGCTACGAGATCATGCGCACACATCAAGATATTTCGGCATGCGCTGGCTCTCGATGAGCGTAGAGTCAAGTTTCTACCGGAATACGTCGTCGATAAGAGTGGTCGCTCAGAAATGAGTGACCCTATAAAAGAGGTTTGGTTCCCTGGAACTCACTCTGATGTGTGAGTTCTTATCCAAAACATCTTATTAAGCGGATAACACAAACCCGTGAAACAGTGGCGGAGGAAATGGACCGGATCATGATCAGATAGGTGGGATGTCACTTCTGTGGATGAAAAAAGAAGCGCAAGACGCTGGTCTGGAATTCCAGTCCAGAGTCGAGAATGACACGTTCTGGCTTCAAGACTTCAGGAGGACACCAACCGAATCGCTGACAGGACCCTGGTGGATCATGGAGTTTCTCCCGTTTAAGCAGTTGGTTTCCAATGGCATGCCGGGAGGCACTAAATATACCAGAAGGTAAGGCGCCATTACTTCCATTTACATTGAGATGTTGGGCTGACGCAAGTTGCTATAGATGGCACCTTGGCAAACCTCGATTCGTACTTCCGAACCAGAAAATCCATATTTCTGCTCGTTATCGTGAGGGCTACAAACCCAGAGCCAAAATACAGGGAGGCTGGAGCTCGTGGCCCGAGCCCTTCCACTGGACCGACACGGCTGATCAGACCCAGTTCAAAACACCCGAGCGAGACTGGGAAGATAACAGGTTTCACACCCATACGAGCCAAGCGATTCTGAACGAGATTTCTCGATTGAAAGACGCAGGCACGAGAAGCAGCCACTTCCAAGAATTGGTCGATTGCTTGGCCTTTTTGGCAAAATTTCGTATGTTCAACTCTCTAGTCAAATATTCTGATTACACTAATTGTGATATAGGAGAAAAGACTGACGATGGTTTATACACGATGCAGAGAGTGCTATGGAGCCTGATTCTGAAAGACGACCACATCTTCATAAAGATGAGCGCTGCAGTTGCCTTCTGCGAGATAAACTCTTCGTCAAACGATGGTTTTTCAGGGAACCAGGCCGAAATTCCTGAGCTACCTGATATTGTCGAAGTTGATTTGAAGCTTATTGATGTCGCACAATCGGCCATTGAGATGTTAAACAGTACCTACGCTGACTACCATATTCGGGCCTGTGTCACGCTTCACCCCATCTGTTCTCGCGCTCTTCAAAGAGGACTCCAAGAGGTTCGCGAGAATATTCTTTGTTCAAGCACGTTTGATCTGCTCTTGATATCGGGTCACTCTCATGAAAGTAAGATTGCGACTATCTTCAGCATACAAACCTTATCATTGCTTCTTCAAAAAGGTCGCTTTAGCTTCAGATAACTTTGTGAAGTGACGATGATCTGACTGGTAATTTGCTCTCAGACGTAATGTTCGCCATGTCATGGATGGAGGCGTCGACTCGGAATCGGAGGAACTTTAGCCAATACATAAGATTCATTGATACTAAACGTAAGCACTTACTTCTGCCTTGTAATATACAGTCTCATTTGCAGGATGGATTAACAGACCCACGAGCGGTAGTTTCTGTCTTGCGACTGTTAACTAAGATCTTCAACAAGAAAAAATCTGAACGTAAGTGCCAATGTGCTGACGAGTGATGAATTTCTCATCCAATATTGTTATCACTCGGTAGATGCCAAGCGCCTCTACGCTTTACTGGAGGAAAAGAACATTTTCCGCCGTATAGCTCGATTAACAGAGCGCTTCCATACCAACATATATGTTCTACTGAGCATAGTTGATTGGATGATTATGGCTGCGGATTACGATATACGTAAGTAATGACGATTTATTGTGAGGTTGTATTTGACTTTTGATCTAGACAGGCAACTGATTCGCCGTCACGTTGTATCCAGCATAACCCAGACGCTCGAATACCTACTTGTCAAAGAAAGGGAGTTTGTAGCACATTCACTCACCCGAATGCTGAACAACGGTAAGACCTCCATGTTATTTTAATTATAGTTTCATTCATTCATTTCAATTATACACTTATTTGCTTTTGTCTCTTTTCGCTCGACAGTTCTTAGCATATAACTCACCGTGTGCTTTTAGATATGTTAGGAGAAGATTTGATCTCGAAGGGTCTTGTTTCGCGACTTATTCGTATGATAAGATCACCATCGGCTTTCCAGGCAACCACAGAGGTTATGGTGAAACTAACCAAAAGTAAGGTCGTTCTGATATTCAATGTAATGCGTTCTCAAGCTCCCCAGATCCTCGTTTTCGATTTGGCCTCTCAGGAGCTTTCTCAAAGATGTTCAGTATGAAGACTTCCATCAATCTTCAAATATTAGCAACTCTCTCAGGTAATCCGCACACTCAAGTTGTATACGCTCTTTCCAGATTCTTGCACCATGACTCGGATTCGGAATTCATCGCGGAAACCCAGAAATTCTTAACAGCTGAGAAGAGCCCGCAAATTATCAATACAATCCAGACGATGTTTTCCTGCGGAGACTTCATGCCTAGAAAAACGAAAACTCTATGTATTGATGGGATCAAAGTCATTGAAAGCCTTCTGGACTGTGGTAAGTAACGCGGCTAGCTTGCGTTAATAAAACATGTGCTGATATCTCCGGCAGTAGAAATACGGGAACGCCTGAATAGTGAGGATCTGGTGCGATCGGCCATAGCCAAACTTGGTCATGATAGCTCTGACGAGGAGTTGGTGGGAGCTGTCAATCTAGTTCTCATGGCGAAACATGGTTGGCTCTTTTACCGGTTATCAGATGCGTCATCTGGCTCATGTTCGTCAGATCATTTTCACAATATTCTTGACAAGCAGTTCTCTGCCAGTATTGAAGATCTATTGAATGTCGCACTTCAAGATGGTATCCCAGATAAGCTCGAAGCATTGTCTGCCATTAATGACATGATTAATGAATTAAAGCTGCATGGTAAACCTACTTCTATGTGTTGTATGTCCACTGACCGCGACTTTTACATAGGTGATGATCATCGAATAATCATGGATATAGTTACAAGTCGTGCCCGGGGTATCCTCACCAAGGTGTCTGATAAAGAAGATAAAGACACGAAAAGATCCGATGAACAGGCTTGTCAAGTCCTTGAATGGAAGGATTTCGTGCATCAAACACATGTATTAGCATTTTTCTCCCACCTTGGTGAGCCACGGAAGTGGGATCTGTAATTTGGTGACTAACTGCCTTTGTTAGACGAGATTCAAGAGCTAGGTAAAGAGTTAATTGACGGCTCTTTGCGCAACATACACAAATCTAGCGAGGTAATAGCAAGGAAAGATAGTATGGATACTTCTGTATGGCTCTTTGTGAACTCGCTAACCTCACTATATCACCAGAAAAAAAGCTGACCACCGCCATAGCAGCGATGGAAATCATGTTAGAAAACGGATTAGCTTCGAAGTCAATGGAGACCTCATCGTGCGCCGAACACATACACCGCGCATTTTCCTCCCAGAGAAACTTTCCAAAGCGGTGGCAGAAGCGGCTTCTTGTGGATCGTGTATATGAAGTTCTTCCATCTCCTCGCAGGACACCACATAGAGCCGAATCACCCCGAGAGCAATCGCCGTCGCCTTCGAGGTCTGACCAGCCACGTCAAAAGAAGAGGAGACGCGACCCTGAAGATGAATTTGCTGGCCGCAGAAGCCCGTCTCTTTTCAATACTTCGCCGTGAAAGTAGCGCGATCCTATTGTTCTACATACATTGAGACGATCTATTGTTTGTTTACCGAAAAAAAAACTGTTGCCTGACATGATAATTTCAGCGATTGTGTTCCATGGGAAGATGTGAGAGGAATGGGATGAAAGAAGTATAGAGTGAGATAAGGAAACCGAAGAGGTATGAGATTAGGATAAGGAGACAGGTGGCCCAATTTAGTACTTTGAAAGGCTCCTGGCGCCATGTTCAGTGTACGTGAATTGGCTCGTCCCATGAAAGTAGCATCAGCATGATCAGGGATCAGCGTAGCTGGACTCGAATCTCGTCCTCTAGCTTGGTAAAGATAGGATTGCGTTCAACGCAAAGAACAATGATGAACTCAGTGCTATATCTGTAGGTTTACAAGACCGCAGCCTTTCTTCGAGAACAATGATCACACCGGTTCTATGAGGAAATGTCTGAGTTATCCATGTTTGAACGATAAATTATGAGACGTATAACGAGCTTATCCAGCACCAATAAACATGAAAATCCAAGTCAAACGCAGGCACGATTCTAACCAGTCAAGTGCAATAAATATTAAATAGGTATCAAGGCACTACAGGTATCGGTACGTGCACACTAATGATATTCCGTATCACGAGACGATTACACCTATGGCAGGTGCAGTGGATATTATGATAGGCGTACATGTATTGTTTTGTGTGAATTGGGAGATGGATGCGCGATGAATAGACTTGGGTAACGGGAACTGATGATGAAGAACGGGTGATTGTGGTCCCGCGAGGTGGGTGGTGGTGTGCAGGACAGCAAAGAAACGCGCGAGGCGCGTGGGGCGCTGTGAGGATATGGGAATGGGAAGAATCAGAAGGTATAAGCGAGATAAGGATACGAAAGATGGCGGCCCAACTAAAGGCCTTTTCAAAGCGCCCGACGCCAGCGTCAACGTCCGATAACAGAATCCGCCCGCCGCGTGAACGTAATATCCAGATGCTCAGGGATAAGCATCCCCAGACTCGAGAACGCGTTCTTCAGCCTGTCCGCATGCGACGAGCCGGGCGGGAGCCGCCACTCATACCGCAGCAGCAGCATCGCAGCGATAATGCGTAGCTCGTACTGCGAGAAGTTGTGCGCCGGACACACCCGCGGCCCAGACGAGAACGGCAGCCACGGTTCTCTTCCCGACGACCCCACGCCGTTCGCACTGCCGAACGTCGCCCCCGTCGTCGACGCGCTCGTCGATGGTGACTCGGTGAACCGCTCCGGGCGGAACACATCCGGATCGCGCCAGATCGCGCTCGAATGGTGGATCGCGTAGATGTTGGGCACGATGAGCACGCCGGGCGGGATGTACTGCCCACCGAGGACGACACCGGGCGAGATACGCGGTGTGATGTAGGTGCCCGGGGGCTGTATGCGCATCGTTTCTTTGACGCATGCGGTGAGGTAGGGCAGGGATTGGGATGTGACTACAGAGATGTCTTCTGGTTCCGAGACGCCGTGTGAGGCGAAGACGCGGGTGACCTCTTCGCGAGCTTTGGACTGGATCTCGGGGTGCCGGGCGAGGTAGTAGACGAGGGTGGCAAGGACACTTGTCGTCGTGTCCTGTTACATATCAGGTTAGAGTCCGTGATGAGAGGCAGGATAGGATATATGCAAGGAAGCAGTAGGCAGTGCGCGTGAAATGAGGTGGTAGGAAAAGGGTGAAGATTGGGGGGAACTTACGTGACCTGCAAGGAACAGTGCCGTCATGTTATCCTGCAGCTCCTTTGAAGTCAACTCGGGGTCATTCACCATGAACGTCATGATGTCCTGCCCCGGGTCTTTCCGCTTGGCATTCAGTAGCTCGCACAGCTCCCTCGACAGCTTCTCCATCCGCGCGTTTGCCTCCTTGCGTGGCAGTATCCGCTCGAGCGCAGGGAGCATGAGGTACAGCGGATGTGCGATATCTTCCATGAGACGGTTGTATGCGGTCACAAAGGGCGATGCGGTGCGGAGAGAGTCGTAGTTGTACCCCATGATGGAGCAGCCTACAGCATCGAGGGTGAGGCGCTGAGAGAGGTCGGACCAGTCAACGGTGTGTGACGAGTCGGCATGGGGACTCTTCTCCGAGTAGAGCGGGAGTGGATCTGATGGCGATGGCTGCGACAGGGAGTGAGTTTGGGTGGACTCGATGACCTCGAAGAGGTTCTTGCAGAGGCCGACGAAGACATCGACGGGTATGGTATTGAACGCGTTGCGGAGGATGGCGGTCTGGCGCTTCCAGTCGTCGCCGTTGGTCCAGATGACGTTGGACGAGCCAAAGAAACGAGAGATGAGGGCATCCTCGCTCATGGGCTGCTTCAGGAACGTGTTGATGCCACTGCTGACTTCGGCAAACAGCTGCGGCAGGGAGTCAGGGATTCAGGGCGGGCGGCATCGAGAACCGAGGAGGTGGTGGAGATGAAAGTGTGGATTCATGGGAGATGGAGATGGGAGATCAGCACGACGGACGAGACGCGGGCCAAGCACGACAGGGACGCGGATGGGGCGGGCGAGACTCACCTTGGGGTCGAGCACGTGCACCATCCATTGACCTGCAGCCCACACCACAACCATCTTCTCGTTGTGCTCGTTTGCAAACGGCAGAACGAGTCGATGTATGCGCTTGTCTTCCGATTCCATGGATGCATAGCTGCGGATAAGGGGTAAAAGGGGAACGCAGGGCAGATGTCGGAGCGAGTCCGGGACTGTGAAGAGACGCTTGAGTGTCCATACCGCCGTCAACGTCGCGACAGTAGCGACGGCAGAGAGTGGCGAGATTGAGAAAGGCAGGGCGTCGAGCATTGTGTATTCAGCGTCACAGACGGCGAACAAGGGATGAGCGCAAGAGCATATGCTAGCGAGAGGAGGTAACGGGACGAAGATTGAATCCTTCCTGTCCTTGTGCTCATAAAACTCTATACTCTTAGCAAATGTTTTTTCCTCTGCCCAAATATGCATGACGAAATCAATCCAGGGGCCGTTAGGATTCAGGCACACGTCATCTCTGTCCGGCAACATCTTCCGACACCGTATACGTTCGGCAATGTTGCCATAACTTGCCAAGTTAAGTTTTTTCTTGACGTGCCTTGCTCGGATGGTAACTTTGCTGATCTCCCCCAGCCCTCGCCATCGTCTTGGCGTTCTCGTAACGGACTGCTGTACTTACTTCTTCATCTCAACCCGCCCACAGCACGCACCACGATCCACTAAATGACACTCTCGGCCCACCTCGAGGCCTCAACGTGCCTCGACCCTCACCGTCTGGCTACCCACCGCAAAGGCAAGACGTCCCAAGCTCCGACTCTCGACGTCTCCAATGAGTCCGATCCAATATCCAGCAATATTTTTTTTTCTTCTCCGTAAGTTATACATTGAGCTGCCACCATCACTACGCGATCACTCGCATTCGTTGTTATCCGGCCGTAACTCGCAAAACCAGGCTGCTATATGGATACGCCACACAGCCCGCTGTGCTTCACCTTGGCGCAAAAAGGCTAAAACCGAATACCCACACCTCCAACTGCGTGTGTATGCGTCTCGGGGGCCGACGAGTCGTCTTTCTCCTTCGTGGAGTATTTTCGGGCCGTCGGCCAACACTTGTCATGATATTCTCTAATCTTGATTACAAGGATCATCGCTACGAGTGACGATATTCCGTACTGGCGGATCTAGTCATATCGATAGACGCTCAGACTCAGTGTCGTCGCAATGAAGCCTTATTCAATTATCTTCGAGCAAGCTGTCTCCAATGGGCGTTATCGCAGCTTTAAAGTTCGACGAGTTGCGCTGCGTCGTCCACTGTCAATTATAGTCAATGAATTACGCGATTCGGCCCGTCCCCGCATGCATGCATAAACGAATCTTGAGCTTATTTGGCGTTGACGCCGTTGTCTGATAGTGTACACGCTTCTACCACGTTCTGAATCAGACCGCCACAGCACATGCGACCCTCTATCAAACCTTCGTTCGGCCGGGCGACATCCTACGCCCAACAGACAGCTATAGACCCACGAGGGCAGAAAGTCAGGGTTCTGAGAAAGGCGGCGTTGCGCGGCGGGGGCGTTGGTGGTGGCGGTGGTGGCGGTGCAAACGCAACCCCGCTTGTGACCCAGACACGTCAAACAGTCAAGCTAGCTGCCCTATCTTAGCGATACCACCACTATTATGCCTATTCCCCTCGAGCTTGTCCACCGCGTGTTTCACGCCTATCCTCACGTACTAGCCTATGACTTAGAACAAATCAACGAGTTCCTGAAGCTATGCTATGCCGAACGAGAGGTCATCGCCTTAATCCATCATGCAACAATCGACACGATTACTCAAGCACCTCCGCTCCTCCCAGAGATTCATGCAGCGTGGATTGCAGATCAAACAAATCTCCCATTAGACCTCGTCAACTCTCTCTGGGGTGCATTCAAGGATGCAATATGGACCATGGCGAGCGATTCGCAGGAGCTAGCTGCACGCGTACAAAGGTTTGTTGAGTCAGGGTGGGACAAGGGCATATGTGAGTACTTGACCTTATCTTACATACCGCAGCATGTCTTATCATACTAGCATATAAAACCCTGGCTCCACCTTCCAAGAAGTGTATCAATGATGCATGTAGAGACCGCACATCTGAAATGCGCAAGGAAACTATACGTGATGGCATCGTGTTCACGTTTGACATCGGTATCCAGTGGGCAAAGGTCATACACTTGACCTGCATAGGTGCGTCTTTAGCTTCATCCCTATAGAGCCTTATAATATGCTCACACAAGATATTACAGGGTGCGGTACCAATTATCGTAGCAACTACTACATTCCTCGTGGCTCGGAGACACGTATCTATTACCAAGAGTTACCCGAATACCTCCAAGTTGACGATCATCACTATGTGGATGCCAGGCTTGCCAACCACTGGACCACGTCATTGCTCATTGGCGCGTACGTCCCCTCTTTCCTCCTAACTCCCTTCATATATCTTATATGTATCCGATCACTAGTACGGCGGCTACAAGCTTGGCCAGGATATATGAGCAGTCATTTGGCTGCAATATAGAAGAGTTGACACGGCAGTACTACTCCCGCCCTCAGATGCTCTCTCAGAAGCTTCGACGTCTCCCCTTCTCACCCAAACTGAACACCGATCACGTCTGGACTGCCTTTATTGTCCTTGCTCTGCTCCGTGACTGTAAGGTGCATGGGGTGCGTCTCAGGGTCCCTCACGATGGCGAGCAGCGAGTACGTTTCAACAAGGCCATGAAGGCTCGTAATAAACGCATAGTAAAGCTCGGCCAGACAGAGCTCCGCCACTATTGTCATGTATGCATGAGGGTCTTTGAGTGTTTTGATGAACAGGGGAAGCGAACACTAAGTAAGCCTCCATTCTCTTATTGAGGCATGTTACCCTGACATATCTTCCAATAGGAAAATGCCAGCCTATTGTCAGCGACGGCCTGACGATTGGGCACCCTGCCTGCAAGGAGTTCCGATGCATTATCCCTCTCCTCAAGTCTCGCAACCACTTCTGTCCGAAGCATGAGGAAGAGAAGGGTCATCTCTGTGCGGTTGTCAACTGTGTTGACTCTATCGTTGTCACTCCTACCACAAGCCGAACGTGCGGAAAGGCAGCTCATCAGGCAATGGCCTACGAATTTCGTGTACAAGTCCGTGCGCTCTCTGAGCCGATTCCAGCGAGCGTTCTGGTCCCTGACCGTCTCGCGTACATACCGCACACCCGCACCAAAAATCATCTGAAAGCGCTCACCCTGCTTGACACGAGCAAGCTTCTTGGACTCGAATAGATCAAGGCCAGCCCGTATGTCGTCGGTATACCAGCCAGAAGGCCATGATTTCTTTGATGTAACGTGGGACGCGCGAGGAAACATGGGAAAGCCGTATTCACGAGCTGGTTCGTCGCCAACGATATGGTTTGCCAGAAGTGAGGTACACGCAGTTGTAGCCTTGTCTCCCCCGTCAACAGCTAGTGGTGACATGGAGCATGACGCGGGAAACTCAGAGATGGGCTCGGGGGTGGGCTGAGAGAGGTTTTGACTGTGTGGGTGATGCGAACGCTGAGCTGGTGAAGGGGCACCCATAGAAGAGCAGGTGTTGGTGTCCTTTTTGCGCTTAGATGGGCGCCGAGGGTCCGTAGATGGGGTGGCATCCACTAAGGAGCAAGAGGATAGAGAGGAAGTCGAAAACTGAGAGGATGCAAGTGGTGGAGTAAGCTGACGGGCACGCTTGCTGCTCTTGAGTTTCTCCCGAGCCTTCTTCCGCTCGGTAGAGAGGGCAGTCTGCACAGTTGTTGCAGCAGCGAAGATCCGGTTCTTGCGTTCTTCAAAACCTGGGCAGTCTGTGGTGCCGAACAAGCGGAATAGAAAGATGTCGCCATTCCTCACCGTGAATGCAAAGTGTGCACTGCACCCTTTCCATCGGTTATCGGCAGGGCAATAGTACTCAACAACGTCGTCACTTGTGATGTTAGGGAGGTTGGGAATACGCATGGAGGACTGTGCGAGGTCGAATGAGGGCCAGTACGGGATTGCTGCATTGCTGTTTGGTCCTGAGCTTGATCCTTGTAACGTTACTTCAACAGCGTCCTGACCATTCTGGTTTGGGTCGGTGCGGTGAGTAAGGATAAAGAGAAACAATATGTGGATTAGCCGCGCACCTTAACCCACACATTAACCTCAATAACCTGATCTCTCGACTCATCGCGCTCCAACAACACCTTCTCAACCTCCCTCTGCTGGACCTGCAACCAAGCGTCGTTGTCGAACTTGTCTTGCCAGTCGTCATTAAGCTGTACCGTCTTCTTGAGCTTTGATGCCTCAGCAACGACCACATGAGGGTTTTTGAACGAAGCAGGCCGCTGTGAAGCTGGTAATGACGGCTGTAAAGAAGGAACAAGAAGAGGTGGCTGGGAAGCGAGGAGTGTCGGCGTAGTCTGAGGGAGCGAGGATGAATATGGTGCTGGCGTGAGAGAGGGATCTATATTGTCTAGCCATGAGAGATCCGCATCAGCAAACCATGAGTCGTCTTCTAGTGAGGCAGGAGCGGCAGATGGAGGGGTTGGCGTGACAGAGGTTGATGCAGATGGAGTACCGGCACTAGCAATACTGGCAACTGGTGCTGACATTGACAGGCCTATCGCTCGAGCCTTGAGGCGCTGACGCTGACCCGCATCCTGAGGCCTATGAACCCGACAGCCTCCGTCGTCAATGCAATGGGTCCTGCACCGGTGTTTGGGACAACGCGTGTTCTTCATCTGAGGGCAGTCATCTTCTTGACACAGCTGGCGAGGAGGACCACAGCGGTCTGCAGTTGACGCTGCTGCCACATGGGGCAATGATGGGGGAAGCGTGGCCGATGTGACAATGGTGGTGGGCTGCTGAGATGCTGCTGCTGGAGGAGCCGATGATGTGCGTTAATGAGAACACATAATGACAAGGGCTAAAACTCACTGATGGGCATAGCAGAGGATACGAGAGCTGTCACCAGCTGACCAGCATCCGGTGTAGGCAGAGGGAGGGTGAGGGTAAGGTCATCCTGAAGCGACTGCTGAGAGCTTGAGGGTGAAGGCCTCTTTGAAGACTTGCGTCCAAAAGGGCCGTTCGGAGCAAGTTTGATGATGTAGTCGGGTGCACCATCTTCGCTGTCATACCAGAACCAGTACTCTTGGTCCCAAGGATGCGCGCCTCTCTTCTGACACTAAAAACACGTTAGGCATGCACAGTGGTCATAGTGTAAGACGTACCTTCAGAAAGTAGAGTCCTACATGCCCGTCAAGTCCCTTGACGCATAGCATTGGTATCAGCATCGTTGCGGCGGTACACCATGGGCAGTAGGGATGGTCATGGACAATGAGAGGTGCTGGGGAGGGTGGCATAACAGCGCAGGAGCCGTCAGCAAGCGAGATGTGAGTAGGGGGGGAGTAGTTGTGAACAGAGGACAGTTTTGAGCTGCGGAACGGTTTATATATGAACAAGTACATTGAGACAAATGTAGAAAGGCATCCTGTGGCTTGCCTGTCGCTAAGGTTTGCCTATGGCTAAGGTTTGCCTGTGGCTTGCCTGTGGCTGAGGTGGCTTGACGCGACGCGTAGTATCACGTGACTCTTTTACTTTCCGCTCGGTGTTTGTTGGCGGTGGCGGCGGCGGCATTCTGGCGGCGACCACCGCCTTTCTCAGAAACCAGACGTTCTCCACGAGGGCGGGAGCGATCACGAGCAGCCGGAAGGCGTGAGAACATCTGATGCATACGCGCGAGCGTCGCTGTCGGCAGAATAAATATAGAAATTCACACCCTCTCTTTCGCTCTCGGCGGAGAATTGGAGAGATCGAGACGGCGGAGACCCAGTGCGGAGACATGGCTCGGCTAAGTAATTAATAAGTCACGTACGCGGTGGTCGTTCGTTGGCAGCGGCGGCCTTCGCCAAGTTTAAGGGCTGGTCAACGGCGCTTCGGAGAACGTTCAAAACGACTTCGTGAGTTTGGTTGCAGTGATCGAGAGTGCAACAGCCTGCGTGCGTCGCGGGATGGAAGCGCCAAGCTCTTTACGCATGCCCCTAAGCCGATGCACTTTGCAAGTCCCCGTGAGTATCAACTTTGCCTCCGTGCGTGGCTGCTGTGGCTTTGCGGCATCGGATGGTAGGGCTGGTCGTTGCCGTTAGTAACCCTTTTCTCTCGACGGCCTGGGATGACAGTCTTCAATCACGGCCCGCGTTCTCATCATCGTGTCCTTTGATGTCCGCTATTGACCTATAGCGACAACGTTGGCAGCAGCAATCAACCCGATAGGCGCTAGCCAGGCTGCCGTGGTTATAGGTTTAGGTCGGCTTACTGTGGACTTACTGTCTGCTTACTATTTTGCTTACTGGACACAAGACGGGCGAACGCGGTCTGGTGGCCCCTGTCTATCCCGTATTTCTCACGATTGCCTTGCGAAGGCTGGATATAAATGTTGGCGTCATAGGGGACATCCGGCACCCTTTCCCATCTTCCTTATTATCAGCCTTGACTGACCGACAAACTACACAAAATGAGCGGTAAACTCGCCTCAGGTGCGTCTCAAGATCTCTGATCGCGCCGATCGCAAGCGCAGGCGATCGTGGCGAGGTCCAAGCTGACGCTCGATCATGCACAGAATACACTACCTGGAAGGAGCTGCAGCAGATCTACGACTCGGAGCACGGCAAGCTCGTCCTCAAGGATCTCTTCGCCCAGGATCCAAGCCGGTTCTCCAAGTTCTCCAAGGAGTACAGCGACTCCGAAGATGCCTCCGCCACCTTCCTGCTCGACTATTCCAAGAACCTGATCACCGAGCCCGTGCTCGCCAAGCTGCTCGCCCTCGCGCGCGAGGCCCAGCTCGAGACGTACCGCGACAAGATGTTCGCCGGCGAGCACATCAACACCTCGGAGGACCGTGCGGTGCTGCACGTCGCCCTGCGCAACTTTGACGAATTCAAGATCCAGGAAGGGGGCGTCGACGAGGTGGCGGGCGTGCTCGCGCACATCAAGGAGTTCTCCGAGTCCGTGCGCAGCGGGAGCTGGAAGGGGTACACGGGCAAAACGATCGACACGATCGTCAACATCGGTATTGGCGGGTCGGATTTGGGCCCCGTTATGGTGACGGAGGCACTGCGCCCGTACGCGAAGCGCGATCTGACGGCGCACTTTGTGTCGAACATCGACGGGACGCATATCGCAGAGACGCTGCGCGTGTGCAACCCCGAGACGACGTTGTTCATCATTGCGAGCAAGACGTTCACGACGCAGGAGACGATCACGAATGCCGAGTCGGCGCGGGAGTGGTTTCTGGGCCACGCGAAGGACAAGGCGCACGTCGCGAAGCACTTTGTCGCGCTCAGCACGAACACGAAGGCAGTTACTGCGTTCGGGATCGACCAAGCGAACATGTTCGCGTTCTGGGACTGGGTTGGCGGGCGGTACTCGCTCTGGAGCGCCATCGGGCTGTCAATCGCTCTTGTCGTGGGGTACGACAACTTTGAGCAGCTGCTGAAGGGCGCGCACGGGATGGACAAGCACTTCAAGGAGACGCCGTTGGAGAACAACCTGCCTGTTCTGCTGGCGGTGATCGGGGTGTGGTACAACGACTTTTATGGCGCGCAGACGCACGCGCTGCTGCCGTACGACCAGTACCTCCACAAGTTTGCGGACTACTTCCAGCAGGGCGACATGGAGTCGAACGGCAAGTTCATCACCAAGAACGGGCAGCGCGTCGACTACCAGACTGGGGTTCGTGCCTCCCCTGATAAGCCTAACTAACACTGACGTCATCGCCGGCAGCCGATCATCTGGGGCGCGGCGGGCACGAACGGGCAGCACTCGTTCTACCAGCTCGTGCACCAAGGCACGAAGCTCATCCCCGCCGATTTCCTCGCGCCGACGACGACGCACAACCCGATCGCTCACTCGAAGCACCACCGGATCCTGCTGTCCAACTTCTTTGCGCAGCCCGAAGCGCTCGCGTTCGGCAAGACGGAGGCGGAGGTGCGCAAGGAGCTCGGGAGCGGTGCGAGCGAGGCGCTCGTGAAGAGCAAGGTGTTTGAGGGGAACAGGCCAAGCAACAGTATTATGTTCCCGCTGCTTACGCCAAGAACGCTGGGCGCGCTGGTTGCGCTGTATGAGCATAAGATCTTTACGCAGGGTGTTATCTGGGGGATCAACTCGTTTGGTGCGCCGCGTTCCCGCCGTTCTATCTAACAGGCTGGGAGCTGAAGGCGGTGATAGATCAAATGGGTGTTGAGCTGGGCAAGGTCCTCGCGAAGAACATTCTGGCGCAGCTCGGGAAGCCCGAGGATGTCAAGGACCATGATAGCTCGGTGCGTACTCATTCTACTTATAGTGGGATTCTTGATGCTGACGTGGTACTCGTGCTATGCACAGACTACGGGCCTGATCCACTACTACCAGAAGTACAGGAAGGAGTGACTTGGTCCTCTCACTTCTGACGTTGCGGCTGAGAGAAGGGGGATGAAGCTTTGAAGTGCTGGATACAAAACCATAGACTTGTAAGATCTGTACGTACTAACAAGGGAGGGAGGAAATGCATCTGTATTGCTAGAGCGGAAATGAGTTGTCAGACTTGGATCTGTTCTCGCCTATGACTTCTCGCCTATGACTGCTCGGTGAAAGCGGGCGAGAGTTGAGGCTTTCAGGGCACGTCCGATGTCAAGGAAGTCTCTGATGGTCCCGACACATGCTGACATCTCTTGCTTTGAGTTCGTAGGTTTGTTGACGTTGAACCTTAGTTTGCGTTTACCAGGGCTCCGGCTTGTAGACGCTGATCTTGGGGGTGCATCGGTACCTCCGCGCCAGCCGGCATGTCGGGCCGCAGGGTCGGAGCAGACGCGATCGGGCACGGTGGTGTTCGTGCTTCCGTCGGGGAGCCCCTTGCTATTCCCTGACTCTCCTCCATCCCTCTTCCCGCCAACATGGCTCTGATATGATGCCACCCGTTGCGCCGTTCCCGTCAGACCAGCCTTGATAAACCTCCATCGGCCATGCCCGAGTCATGAGGCCAGGGACTGAGGTGGACGAGCCTCACGCTCAGAATAGCACCTCCACATACGTTCATCATCCGTGCCAGCATCCATGCGTTCAGAGATAGGCTTAATCATACACCCACCTCCTGTGCAGCCTACTGTTATCAGTGCGCTTTGAGCTATAACGGACGTCTTCGCACACAGAGTGGTAACTCACTTTCCGCTTTCTTCTTCACAACATACGCTCCAGCTGAGAAAAGGGATCGTCGCTCGTCATGCATCTAATGAGCTTGATGGCTGTCGTGTGCGCGGCGCGTGCGTGCGTCGCGGCGGCCCAGTCGCCTTTCAGCACCGGAACGCAAGCGGCAGACAAAGAGGAGGGGGTGTACGAGTTCAAGTATCCGATACGCAAGGTCGCCATTGTTGGTGCTGGGCCTAGGTACGCATCCTTCTCTATCCTTCTCCTCTCCCCTTCCACCTTCCCTTTTTTGTGTCTATTTTCCCCCTTTCATCGCCTGCAGCTCACAGCCGCGAACAGCGCGCTTATCGCCTATCGCGAGCTCATCGAAGCCGGCCTCGACGTGCGCGTGTTCGAGCGGGACGACGTGCCAGGCGGAAACTGGCACTACACCGACGACACCGCTCCCGATGCGCCCGTGCCGAATGCCCCTGTTCCGCTCGCGGACTACGTGCCGTCGCTGCCGCCTCCTGGGGTCGATCTGCCGTATTCAGTCGAGTATGAGGAGGGGAACGCGCATGGTGGGGAGGGGGAGGAGGAGTGGAGGTACTTTAGAGGCCCGAGTCCGGTGTGGGAGTCGTTGAAGTCGAATGCGCCTTCGGTGAGTACATGTAAAGAGACTGGTTTCAGAGAGGGGGATGCTGACGGTGTTTGAAGCCTTTGCAACAGGTGAGAACGTCGGGTGTGTTGGCTCGGTTGATAGAGCGCTTATATGCGTGTGCATTCAGATTCCCGAGTTCCCTTGGCCGGCTGGGACGCAGTGGGGTACGCCAGTCGCATTGCTTCTTGCTTTTTACGATGTGACGCTGACCTGGCCTTATATGATGGTTGTTAGAGCTGACCCAATGGCAGCTACAAGGCTACCTCCGTGCATACGCGTCGCTCCTTGGAGCGAATAGCAACGACGAGAACCCTTCATTCTCGTATAGCACTCGTGTCGAGCTCATCGAAAAGCGTCTCAACGATGCTGGGGAAGAGCAGGGTTGGCGCCTGTGGGTCAAGAAGCTCGTCCCCGACGTGACTTCCGGAAAGTCGAGGGCGACTTGGTGGACCGAGGTGCGCATCACCCACGCTCCTATCTAGTCCAGCATTGAAATGAGGGACACAGGACTTCGACGCCGTCATAGTAGCCTCGGGACGGTATAACGCGCCGTACATGCCCAGCATTCCTGGCCTCGCGGAGTGGAAAGCTCGCTTTCCCGACAAGCTCACGCATTCGAGGGTGTACAGGCGGCCCGAGCCGATGGACAACAAGACGGTGCTTATCGTCGGCGCGCAGACGAGTGGAGGGGAGATTTCGCGGGATATCAATAAGCATGCGAGGCAGGTGTTGCAGTCGATTAAGGCGAAGAATGGTACGTCCCGACAATTTCTCATCGTGTGTATGTAGTGGCAATTATTATTTGTTAACTCTATATTTTAGTTAACGAGAGGTACTCGGCCATTAACTTCCTCGCCCGGCTTCCGCGCAACACGACGATCATACCCGAGATCAAGCAGTTCCTCCCCTTGGAAGAAGGCGCCACATTTGAGACGTCAAAGATTGAGCTCGCCAACGGGACGGTGCGAGCCCTTCTTCTCTTGCGCCCATGATACCCTCCGCTCAACATTAGATATAATTTGTTGTAGATCCTGACCGGCGTGGACCACATTATCTTCGGCACCGGCTTCCGCTACTCGTTCCCGTTCCTCCCGCAGTACTACGAAGAGTCCACGTACGTGCCGCACGAAGGCGCGAGCAGCAGCGTGAGGCCGTTCCTGCCCATGAGCGGACAGTACATGCGCGACATGCACCTCGACGTGTGGTACATCCGCGATCCGACGCTCGCTTTCTTGAGCTGTAAGTGTCCTCTTTCTCACAGCCTCGCGAGCTCGGCGGTCGTGTTGACGTGGTGTTTGTCAAGTCACGTTCGGCACGCAGACGTTCTCGTACTGTGGGTATCAGAGCGCGGCGCTCGCCAAGGTCTGGACCGGCGCTGCGAAGCTGCCTAATGAGGCGATGATGTGGGATATGTATGCTGAGCTCGTGAAAGACCGCGGAGGGTTTGGCAAGGAGCTGCCGTTCCTTGGACCCGAGCGTCTTGCGCGGATGGAGAGGTATTATATGGGGTGGATCAACGAGGCTGCTACAAAGTACGGCGGTAAACAGGTAAGCACTGGCGCACCTCGTTGGTATTTCCACAGACTGAGTGTGCTCGTTCTGTTTTGCTAGATTGACGGATTGCCGAAGTAGTGAGTCGTTCGCGTTCTGTCGTTTGCGTTCTTAGCCTGACGACACCACCGTAGTTCTGCTGAAATAGGGAAGTATTGGGCGGCAGGCCACTACGGCGCTGCATATAGCCACAACGATAGTGAGTCGTTTACGGGCGCGCTTGCTTCGCTCGGGCTGGATCCGTTCATCGGCACGACGGAGGAGGATGAGCGGCAACGCACTTTGGATGCTATGTGGAACGACTATTGGTGAAGTCATGAATTTTAGATGGTCATCACACCTCCGTTTGTTTAGAATGATAAGCTATGCATTCTCATTGACACAGCCGTTTGTGCCTCGGGTTTGTTAGGAAAGCATGGGTTTAGGATGGATGAAGGTCACAGCTCGAGGCTCGTTATCCGTTAGCTGATTTTGAACGGTCGTGTCTAGTCGTAGCGTATATGCCATGTTATCATTGGCTTCCTGCTTCCTGTTTTACAGTCGCTTCCTGTTTTACAGTCGCTTCCTGCTTCACTGTCACTTCCTGCTTCACTGTCGCTTCCTGTTTCACTGATACATTCCGTAGCTCCCTGATCATCTTCTCCGTCTCCGTCCATCGTTGAAAGATTTTCTTGCCCGTAATCCCACTAGCCATCGGAGACACCCCGATATTAAACATCGGTTGGTAATGAATGGCATTCAAACGGGGCAGCATCGTTGCCAAGACACGTGCGACCCGACGCGGGTCGATAACGGGGGAGTTCGACAGCTCGAGCGCGGTCACCCTCTTGTTGAGCGGTAACGCGGGTTTCTCCGGCAACAGGTCGACCGTGGCCTCGAGGACGAGCCCGAGCCCCTCTAGCCGCGGGCAGCGCTCGAGGAGGGCCTGAAGGCCTTGCAGGGTCACCTTGATATCTTTGTTGAGAGCCGCGAGCCGGGGCGCCGCGTCGTGCACCGAGAGCACGCGCAGAGCGGGCCATGCGGATGAGATCAGGTCGATCTCGGTGTCGTCGAGCAGGGCGCATTTTGGGTCGTCGACGACCAGCTTTTCGATCTTCGGGAACCCGAGGAGCGGGCGGAGGATGCCGTGCGGGAACAGGATGTTTTGTGTCATGATGTCGACATGGGGCTTGATGGTGATTGAGGCGAGGGTGTGCGGGTGGCAGGATGATGCGATGGCTGCGATGAGCTCTGCGAGGTTCGAGCTCTCGCTAAAGTTTGGTGCGATGGCAAGATCGACAAGCGCTGGAAATTGGTATCGACGAAAGACCTCTTTGCAGCCACTTCCTGAGCCGTAGCCAATACGGAGGAATCGCAATGCGACAAAGGTGTCAAATAGGAACTCTTGTCGTCGGGCGCCCTGTACAGAAGGTGGTGGGTTGCGGAGCTCGAGGCGTTTCAAGTCGGGTAATTGCGCAGCCGCGTCCAGGATTTTGTTGGCGTTGGAGACGTTATTGTCATCAAAGTAGCTTTCGAACTCAAACTGGAACTTCGTTAGAGACTGGAATTCCGAGAGGGCTGTTGCGAGGGTTTCAGAGCAGTAGATACCGCGGTCGCGCTGCTCGGAAGCGTAATGAATGTGCAAAGACTGGAGGGATTCTGCAGCTTTAGTCAAGATAGACATGATCCTGCCCGCTTCAGCGGCTGTCTCTGATCCCCATGGGATCTCTGCTTCAAGAAGCCCGGGAGCAGCTAAGGATGCTTCCTTTAAAGGGTGTTGCTAACTCTCCTTATCGCACCAACTGACGCTACGCAAGGAGGGGAAAGGGGGGGGGGGAGTCCTTCGGAGCCAGTGAAAAGACTTGGGTCAATGCCTCAAGAAGAGCATCTCTGTGGAAGGTCATATACATTGGAGCCAACCTTCCGAAGTCATCACTATTGTTGTCTGTGATCCTGTGGACACGGCTAGCATAGTAGGAAAACCTCTGCCACTCAATAGGCGGTATGTCCCCTGACTTTGTGAATTTCTTCCGCTATGGAAGAGATCCACGCAAGAAAGATAGAAGGTTTTCCCGCGATAAAACATAAATACGCACCGGGGCGTCTCCTCCAAGCAAAGATGGAGGAAGACAATCATAAAGACATATGACGTGGACGTCCGCGTACAGCTTGGCGAGTGCAAGCTCTAATATTGGTTTGCAGGTTTTGCCGAAGTTTGCAAGCGATTCGCGCCATTTGGCGTTGTGCAAAACGACGCAGATGGCGGAAACAACTTTGGCCTCGGATAGGCACCGGTGCATAGCGGCTGGGGTGACTGAGGTCAACGATGAGCAACGATACGCTGGGTAACTTCACTGGACTGCACCTCGCCGAGAGACCTATGGAGGTGCTGAAGAAAGGATGGGCGAGATTACAGAAAGTACACGCGTTCGTGTACACCGATTCATCTTGAAGTCATCTAACGATGTTCCTCTCCCAGGCTAAGGTCAGGCGACCCGGTGGCTTGCGAAGCTCGTTGAAAACAAAAGACAAGGTAGAAGTTCCGAAGTGAAACTGGGATCTCTCCCTTACACTGGGGGCGAAGTTGTTGTTTCTGCTGGAGAAAGTGCAGTGGAAAAGCGGAGACGTACTACTGAACTTGAAATTGATGTTAACGTCCACTTTTCTCGTGGCATAAATCCGTGAGAAATCATGGTCTATAGAGCCCCTATCCGTCGGAGAGTAATCGGAAACAAGTTCATTTACGCGTCGCTGGGATCAGCCGTTTCTCTGAGTGACTCTGAATCAGACAGCGGGAAGTTCCAGCCATGGCGCCACCTATCGCGCCATTTTGCCTTGTAGTTGTCTCAACGATGGGCAGCGAGGAAGCAGACGCGCGCAATGCACATCCTGTAAGCAACATCCCTCGCGCTTGAAATAGAAATCCAATCACATACAGACTATCATGGCTGATTCATGCGACCCCACAACATGCATAGAAGTACCGCCACACCAGACTAGACCAGACTGTCCCAAGTCTTACTGTTACCTTGAAGCAGCAACACAGAAGGACCAAGCGACAGACATATCTTTGAAACCCAATGCACATCCTTAACTTGCTCTCCTTTGCCTGTGCACTTGCGGCGCCTTGTATTGCTGCGATCCAGTCCCCGTTCACGACCAAGGAAAGAGGCGAAGATGAGGGCTACAACTTCAAATACCCCATACGCAAGGTTGCCATCGTCGGCGCGGGACCCAGGTAAGCAGGCTACTCCGCGCAGGTCGCCTGATCCCAGCCTTCGAGCCACGTCTGCATGATTGAACCCTTATATCCTCACCCGCAGCGGCCTCATCGCATACCGCGAGCTCACCGAAGTTAGTCTGCAAGTCCGCGTGTTTGAGCGGGACAACGTGCCCGGTGGGAACTGGCACTACACCGAGGACCCGCCACGCGACGCGCCCGTGCCTAATGCGCCAGTGTCGCTCGCGGACTTTGTGCCGTCGCTACCGCCCCCGGGCGTCGTTCTGCCGTACTCTGAGATATATGAGAACGGAGAAGGGGAGGATGAATGGAGGTATTTTAGAGGGCCGAGTCCGGTGTGGGAGTCGCTGAAGTCGAATGCGCCTGCAGTGAGTTTCCGTTATGATCATATGTTTGTCATGGTAGGGAGCTGACTGGGATGCTCCTGAAAGCCTCTGCAACAGGTATGCGTGAGCTTTTCTGATTGAACATACGTAATCATTCACGCACAAACGCAAGATTCCCGATTTCCCTTGGCCAGCTGGAACTCAGTGGGGTGCGTACTGCCGTTATCTCTCATTGAAGGACAAGGACGCTGATACCGGACACCAGAGCTGACCCAACGGCAACTTCAAAGCTACATGCGTGCTTTTGCCTCGCTCCATGGCGCCAACAGCAACGACGATAACCCCTCGTTCGCATACAACACCCGCGTCGAGCTCATCGAGAAGCGCCTCAATGATGCAGGCGAAGAGGAAGGCTGGCGTCTCTGGCTGAAAGAACTAGTACCTGACCTGGCATCGGGCAAAACAAGAGCAACTTGGTGGACCGAGGTACACTTCAGTGCCCTTACCATATTCCTCCAGGCTCCTTCGCTCACTGGAACGATGTGTAGGAATTTGATGCAGTCATCGTCGCGTCGGGGCGGTACAACGCGCCGTACATGCCCGACATCCCTGGCCTTGCCGAGTGGAAAGCGCGCTTCTCTCACCAGCTTGCGCACTCGCGTTCGTACAGGCGCCCCGAGTCGCTGGACAACAAGACAGTGCTCATTGTCGGCGCGCAGACGAGCGGGGCAGAAATATCGCGTGACATCAACAAGCACGCGAAGCAGGTGCTACAGTCGATCAAGGCTCATCCTGGTATGTCGCGCATGAATACGATCCGAGTCTCCGATTGATGGCTATTCTCCGCCAGATGAGCATAAGGACATCTCTGCAGTCGGTCTCCTCGCTCGCCTTCCCCGAAACACGACGATCGTGCCCGAGATCAAGCAGTTTCTCCCGCTAGAAGACGGTTCAACGCTCGAGAGCTCGAAGATCGAGCTGGTCAATGGCACGGTCCGTAGCTGCTTCAAACCCTCCTCTTTATGCGGCGCTTATTCGACAATTGTCGGGCGTAGATCTTGACAGGCATCGACCACATCATCTTCGCCACAGGGTACCGCTACTCATATCCGTTCCTTCCGCAGTACTACAACGAGTCCGTCTATGTGCCTCGCGAGGGCGCAAGCGACAAGGCTGTACCTTTTATAGCGCTGAGTGGGGAATACCTGCGCGACTTGCATCTGGACTTGTTCTATATTCGAGACCCGACGTTGGCGTTTTTGAGCAGTGAGTGTTTCTGTCCTATTCATTCTACTGTGCTTATTCTCGTCAATTAATGTTTAATAACAGTCACATTCCGCATGCAAACGTTCACGTACTGCGGCTACCAGAGTCTTGCGCTCGCCAAAGTGTGGACGGGCACGGCCAAGTTGCCGGATACGGACACGATGTGGGAGATGTACGATGATCTTGTGAAGGAAAGGGGAGGAATTGGGAAGACGCTTCCGTACCTCGGCCCTGGGCAACATGAGGGTATGTGAATTTGGTATTTGAGGTAACAGTACTGTGTGTGGCTGATATCAGCGATTTAGGGATGCGACGTCGCTATATTGGCTGGCTGAACGAGGCTGCGAACAAGTATGGAGGGAAACAGGTACGTGCATTCGCTCACTCCCGCACTAAGTTGTGCGTTGGCTGATACGATGTGCGTTGATAGATTGACGGTGTTCCGAAGTAGTGAGTATTCATACCGTCAGCTCTGGTCGTTCGCTAACATTCCATCCATTTAGTACCGATGAAGTCGGGAGGTATTGGTGGGCTGCGCAATATGGTGTTCCCTTGAATGGTGAAGAGAGTGCTTTGTCCGCTTATATGGCTGGTTTCGGTGGGTTGGATCTCTTCGCCGAGGGTGAGAGCCAGCAAAACATTATCGATGCACTGTGGGATGTCGACTGGTAATTGGAAATCGTAATATTCCTGACTCGGTTGGAAGGAAACACTATAACATGGCCTCGGTGTATACATTTTGATCGTTGGGAGTCATGAAATCACGTTGCATGCGTCTGCAGAAAGTTAGGAAACTCCACCTAGGAGTGAATAAATCAATGGCTAGATGATTTTCCATATACGACACGCAGTTTACTAGATCAAATCCCACACTAGTTTTCGTCAAATCCATCCTCCTCTAATGCATCCTCCTATCTCATCTTCTGCAACGCCGCAAACTCTTGCGCCTCTTCCGGATCCTTCGAAAGCTCAAATCCACATGCCTTCCTTATTCCCCGTGCAAGCCAGGTCCCTCCACGCTCTCGAATCGTAAGCTTCCACTGCATGCCATCTTGGCCGACGCCAACGTCGCGCTCAGGCTCAGTGCACGCTACCTGGTACCCAATCCCGACGGACGCCATGAGCAGCCGAGCACACCACACCAGCTGGCGCCGGAACGCGAGCTTGGTTTCTTCCGACGCGTCCTCGCTCGGTTTGTCGATGGGACCAAGGAGTGCATCGTGGATGTCGAGGACGTCCCTGTGGGCTATACGAACGGCGCCGCGCTCGGCCTGCAGGCCGTCGAAGGACGCTCCGCCGATCTGCTTCCAGCCGCTCGGCGCCTCTCGTGATTTCTGGAAGCGCTGGGCTACCGCTGCGGCGTCTGGGACTTCCTTGCCCGGCCAGCGGTGGATCTTGTACACCAGGCTCCAGAACCATTCAGATCCCATTGAGAAGCGTGCGCGGAAGTGATAGTTTAGGTAGACGTCGATGCAGGCGGGCGTGGTTGGGCTGTAGATTCTCGCGGCGACGTCACCGTCTCGAGGCTAGAGATTAGATGTGCATGGTGAGCGCTGGAAGCGTGCATGGGAAGGCGGATTCCTCACGTTGGTGTCATCGAACACATCGTCGAGGTTGACCCAAGAGTACAAGGTCGAGACACCCTTCGAGAACGTCCCGAGTGGGAAATCCATCTCGCGCTCAAGCGCTTTCAAGTGCTTCGAGGTCTTTCTCCGGAGAGATTCACTGCCTTGCTCCTCCTCGTCGAGCTCTTGAGGGGCGCCTCCCTGGGGCTCTATGTCTTCTCTATTGCCATACGTCTGTATCGTGTTTGAGCGGCTGTCAGCGTATCGCGTCCAAGCTTCTGTGGTAGCGGGCACAGGTGATAACAGGGGCCCAAACTTTTGCTGAGCCCCCTCAAGGCCCTCCAATGGTATTTCCATCGGGACATCCTCAGTTTTAACGGTCTCTGCACCGGAAGACATAGTGAGAAAGAGAAAAGGTTTGCGACAGTTGTCAACGAGGCAACAATGAGGAGCTCATAAATAATGGCCACCTTGACATTACGTATAAAGACCTCCAACGATTCAGGGGAGGTCGCGCCGCCACGCGAAGTTGCCATTTCTGGACGCTATGCCCCCTTGTCATTGCGCGTCGAGTTTGGGGAGAGTGCTCCCTTCTCCCTGCTCCGATTGTCCTATAGATCTCTTTCTTTCCTCCCCATATACGCGTAGTGCGCGTGTTACCGTCATCTATCGGTAAAGAGACGTACAGCAACCTAGGGGATCCCAAGTTTCAAGCTGAACTCAGTACCCACCACCTCCTGCTCCCACTGAAGCTGCGAATCATTGGTATTCAGGTAAGCCAGAACGGAGGCTTGTGCAGTGGATATCTTACAAGATCCATGAACTATACGCTCGGATACTCGCGCTAACCTCTCTTAGCTACGCGATATGAACAACACCGGCCTCGCCACCCCTCCCCCACAGGCCCAAGCCCAAGCCCAAGCCCAAGCCCAAGCCGCGTCCAGCAGCACAGGCAACCCGGCTGGCGCGCCCTCGACATCCGCACAGCCTACGCAAGAGTCCAACCAGAACGCCAACATGGACATGATCGTCACGAGTGTGATGAGCGCGACCTCCCCGCCCCAGCTGAGCCAGGCGCTGCGTTCATGCGCACCCAAGGACGCGCGCGAGACCATCCTGTCGAGTTTCACATCGTCAGGAGTCGATCCACTTACTCTGCTGGATATTCAGACGCATACGATCGGAGTGTTATACATCCTGTGAGTTCACTGTTCTCCTGTTGTCTTGACCACATGCGTTCTGGCACCGACTACTCCTTTCCTCTCCGTTCCCTACAATTAACCTGTAAATCCATGGCACATGGTTTGTGGCTCACGCTTCATATATGCAGGTCATCACGACTACACAACACTGCTGTTGGACGACCACCACGGGCATATGTCGACCAGTTCTGCCAGTCGTTTGATCCCATCCAAGCACGGTACGCCCCTGATCGAGGTGAGCGGCGCGTGTCCTCTTCAGGTGAAATAACTCCAACTGACGTGCGTATAGTGACCTTATTGGCCAGAGGTATATTCGCCGCTGCAGAGCAGGAAGGAAACGTACGTGCTAATCACGAGTTTATCAACCCTTGGCATGATCGTTGAGCTGAATTTCGGTCGTCATTGTAGCTCAAGCTGGCGGTTCAGCCTCTATTCAACCTCATTGCGCGCTACCCGCCATCATACTCACATCTCACAACGATTCACTCGATATTCTTGAGGGTCAGTCCTCCATCGTACCGTCAAACACGCGTTATTGACTCCTGTGCTTCTCACGCAGGCCTGTGTCACGACCCGCAACTTCGCAGCAGCTCTCCCCGTGCTCGCGTCCCCGATCAGCGTGATCGATACAACTCTCTCCGATTTGCACTACAACGACAATTTGGTGTACCACTACGCTGGTGGCATCGCGCTCGCTGCGCTCAAGCGTTGGGGCGAGGCCGAAGAGTTCTTCGAGATCTGCGTTACAAGTCCCGGAGGTGCAGCTGCGGCAGTGCAATTCGACGCGCTGAAGAGGCTTGTGCTGGTTCAACTCATACATCGTGGAACGGTATGTTCGCATCCGTGAAACGGGCTCCTTATGTGGTTCGTGCTGATGGGGGGTGTATCATAGATGCTCCCGCCTCCCAAAAACACACATGCGGTGCTCACGAGGCTGCTGAAGAACAGCCCTTACTCGCTACTTGCGTACGCCTACCCGCAAAGACGAGACAGGCTAGGCGAGATAGTTGAGCAGGAGCAACAAGGATTTGCTGCGGTTTGTCCACTTCACTATAACGCCATGTGTGTCCGATACTATGTACTAACTGTGCGTGATTATCAGGACCAAACGCTGGGTCTCGTCTCGCAAGCGCTCGATCGTGCACCGCGATGGTCCATCAAGCGGCTCACGGAGACGTATCTCACCCTCCCGCTTTCCGAGATCGGGCGCTCAATAGCGATCGAAAATACCGCGCAAGTCAAGGCCCTGGTAGTCTCCATGGTTCGCCTCGTCTACTTTCCCTCCACCACGTAGCCCATCCGATTGAACTCCCTTGCTCTTTGAACGCACACAGATCGAGTCGTCCGAGATCACCGCGTCGCTCTCCGCCGATGGCATCGTCACGTTCTCGGACCCGCCGCTGCAGCTGTCCAAGGCGGACGTGGATCGCGTCCTGCTCGACGCGCAAGAGCAGAGCGTGCTGTTGCACAGGCTGGAGCGCGATATGGCTAAGAGCCGGGAATACCTCACCAAGGTTCGTGTATTCCTCCGCCGTCTTACTGCCTGATAATGCGTGCTGACGGGGAGTGTTGTGCAGGCGGTGAGGAGCAGGGAAGACGGCTGGTCGCATACGATGGACGAGGATATGCCGTCGGAACGGGCCGCCGGGTCGGGCTGGGCGGACGAGATGTTTGCCTAAGGCCCCTGGCTGGCTTGCAAACCAAGTCTTGTTGAAGGGAAGGATCTTGGTCACTGTAAGATCAATAAGCATCATGGATTGTTCTCTGTTGTTGCAATGTTATGCTTTGTTCGGTTTACCGTGCCCTCGTTCCTGCTCATCATGGAAGGTAAGGAGACGGCGTTGCGACAAGGTTTGGGCTCAAATCCCGTTAGTGGGATTAGCATTACAAGGACTGAAGACTAGTCTATCAGAATATTATGTGTATCAAGCCCTGGCCTGTGGCGGTGGCTTGATTGCCGTTCGCGATGAGTACCAGTCCAATGGACTGGTATGGGGTGCTTAGTGCGCTGAGTTAACGTTGGCGATGGTTCTGCTCGGAGCTCTGACTACTTTTTCTGATGGAAAACCTGTCTCCTTGTCGTATGAACTAATAACCTCTCCAGTATTAGTCTCAATACCACATGCTCAGCATAACCGAGCAGGAGCACGGTGGCGAAAGCCCAGACATACACCCGGTGGCAGAGATTGTCACCCGAGCAGAGAAGGTACCGCACTTTGACCTTCCAATGGCGTCGACGTGGCCTTCTACATTCTCCTATATCGTAATCTTGTCTTGAGTTAACACGTGCAAAACAGCTTCTGTGGGCCGCCGAGAAGGATGCGGGTGCAGGGTCGGCGGTCGGCCGCCGGTGCTATCGTGTATGGTGGGCTGGCTGGATGTTCACATGTGTGGCAGGCGGTCCCACTGGGCCGGGGAGCCAGGCTTTGGGGACCACGAAATAGGCGATGTATGGAAGATTGGACGTCAGGTCGATCCCCTCGAGCGGGCTCGCGCGAAGGCTGTAGTGTATGGGGCACAAAGTTGTCAGATTGGATACTACAATACTTGTCCAGCGCTGTCGTTTGCGTACGGGGTGCCAACGGCGATGGAACATTAACCTTAAAGATTGTACGAGACCATCTCCAGTGATACAAACAAGATAATTGTTGCGGACGGAATATCTAGATACACATAAACCAAGAAAATGACAGGGTATGGGGGGCATCAATCCTGACGCCCACTGACACGCTCGAAGTAGCTGCTGTTACAGTACTACTACTGCTACTTCGAGGAATAGATTTGTTTACTGGGCCTTAGGCGACGAAGGCTTGAGGCCCGCGTGGTACTGCGCGGCGATCTCCCAGAAGCCTTTGCCTTGGGCGGCGGCGATCTCGAGCTCAAGAGCGCTCGGCTGGCGGGCGCCGTCGGTACCGGCGAAAGTGCCTGCACCCCACGAGGAGCCTGTTCATATAAAGATAATCAGCACCGGTCTACGAAACTAGCCCTCACGCCATGACACGGGTTTCGCGGGCAGCCCCAAAGGACGCGCCAGTGGCAGAACATCAAAGAATCAAACGACTCACCGCCGTGGATCTCTGTGAGATCGCTCAGCTGCGGGAACGTGTTCTTGTACCCGAGCGGGACGTAGATCATGCCGTGGTGCACGAACGTCGAGAGCGTGTTCGAGATCGTGACCTCCTGCCCGCCGCCCTGCGTGCCTGTCGAGGTGAACACGCCGCACATCTTGCCCGCGAGCAGCGACTTGGACCACAGCGGGCCGGTCGCGTCCCAGAATGCCTGTGTGGCACGAGGGGATCAGTCAGTGCCTGTTGCGCGTGAATTGCGGATAGATGGTGGGGGATGGGGCGGATAAAGGTCGGGCGGACCGTGCCCCTGAAAGAAGAGGAAGAAGAGTGATACGGGCCGGGAGGGTGTGGTGTGATGTGGACAAAGGAGAAGAGCTCAAAGGGGGAGAAGAGAGGACACTGACCTTCCACTGGACGGGGAAGTTGCCGTACCGGGTGGGCACACCGAACAAGAAAGCGTCAAAGTTGACCATGTCATCGGGGAGGAGAATGGGGTAGTCGGGGCGGGGAGGGGCCCGGACGAGCTTGAGGATGTCCTCGGAGAGTGTCTCCTGGATCCTGGGGAGTGGATCACGCGGTGTCAGTGACAGCTGGCCCATACAATAAAGTGAAAAGCACGCACTGGTAGATGGTCGCGGTGCCGCCGCCGGCAGACACGCCGTTCTTGACGCCCTCGGCGACTAATCAGAACAGACTAGTCAATTTGATTGCCTAGTGCATCAGGGAGTGGAGCGAAACGCACGCTTGGCGATGTGCCCGTAGAGGGAGTAGATGACGATAGCCACTCGGGGTGCAGACATTTCTTCTAGCTTGGGCTCGTCGTCGGTTTGCGGAGGCGGCGGTTGGTCGTCCTGCGAAGAGGGATCGGTAACAGAAAGAGGAGGGAGAGTGGGAGGGGCAGAGGATGAGGATGTAGGAGGGTATGAGGATGCGGCCGCCTGCGCTTTTGTACCGTTCCCAGTCGGCGGAGGCGTGTGTTTGGGCTCAGCGAAGTTGGCCTTCTGCCGCTTGCCAGGGAAACACATTCCGAGATTCCGATGGTAGAGGGAGTAATCAGATACAGTCAGGCAAGCAGTAGAGATCCTGGGATCCGGACAGATGGGAGCGCAGTCAACTTGTTGCCTCCGGCGAAGGGTGGTGGAGGGAGTGGGCGCCGCGTTCCGATGTTGTCCGTTGCACAAAAAAGGCACAGGGCTCCCTTGTCAACCTCTGCGAATTGCGTGGTGAGGTCCAGCTATCAGACAGGCGTGTGCAGCGGCCAGCGAGCGATCCCTTTTCAATGCAGCCCGCGCGCCGTGGGGACGAGGGCGCCGTGCAAAGGGCCTGCAGCGTGAGTCTACGCTGCCAGTGCGTTCTCGCGCAAGCAGCTGATGTGAGAAGTGCTCAGCGTCCCAAGTTCCTTAGTTGAATGGAAGGAGGTTATACAAGCATACAGTGCAGGGACGGCTCTGCTCCAATAGGCCCGCATAATCCTGGCGCCTCCTGGGCCTTGTCGTCCCGGTCGCGATGGGAGAAGCACGGCCAGCGAAGAACGGACGATCTGAGTGGTCATCTGGAGCCATGAGACGGAAAAGTGTGCCAAAAGGGGGCAGTCTGACTGGCCGGGCCCCGAGCGCGCGAGTGCGCGAGTAGAAGTTTTCCTCATAGAGAACCGAGCGAAGAAAGAGATGGAAGGTGATGGAGAGATGGTGGTAACGATTAGACTGGGCGAGTCGACGTTCTCGGGCCGCTCTTGGAACGAACCCAAGTTCTGATCACTTCAAACAGCAGCAAGTTCAGACAGTGATCATCTAGTTTCTCCGGGCGGCGCGGAGAGCGCCTTCTAGTAAGACCCGCAGCGCGCACAAAGAGCACAGTCGACTCGACGAATCCGACGCGTTTGTTCCGTCGCTCGCGAACAGATGCTTTCCGTAAAAGCCTAGCTCAAAAGCTGAGAATCTGAAGCTAATCTAGGACGAACGTTCATCCACTCGTGGCTGTCGCATTGTCCGCAGTGAGCGTACATGACGGGTCCCGAGTGCTGTGGCCCGCACAAAACGGCCGGCGCAGGGTTAGATTATGGCACGGGACCCGTTTCGTGGGATAGCTGACTGCAGGTGAGAGAGGGTGAGAGAGAACAGACGGATCGAGATGGACTGACCAAGCAGCGCGCAGACACCTCCACTGGCTCTTATCTGATCAAGGTGAAGGAAAGGGTAGTAAATTCCCAGCAGCCTTCAGACCTCCGAGTCGGGCTGGGCGGCAGGGTTGAACGGTGTGTTCAAGACGTGGTGTTCTGCTTTGTCAGACACCCCAAGGTTGACCACAATCGTGCACATGTTTGATAGCTTTGCATCAAGGCCTACCGCAGCGACGAAATGCGACGACTGAGTAGCATGACGAAGTGTTAGATGTCTAGTAATGTCAGGGCGCGGTAGATGTATGGTAGAAAGACTGATGAAAAAGGGGCGTGAACGTCGGTTAAAAATGTCAGGCATGTGCATTGAAAGATGAATGGTGAACACGACCTGGGCCTGAGAGGACTCACGGTCAGGAACTTCAATGGACGCCAGTCAACATGCAGGCTTGCCAGTAAGAATTGGAGAGACTCAGTTCGCCACATTAATTCTTACAAAGCAAGCTTCAAGGTAAAAGACATATTCAAAGGACCCGGAGACCTGAAAATGAGAAGACGTCGATGAGGAGATTTTGCTGTCAAGTGGTGAAGATGTTCACCATGCGCGAGGATTTCCTTTTGTGGAAAGATATTCCCCGGATTTCTAACGGCGCTCATGTCAGACCCCGGTGCATCTCGGACAAGATCTCGGAATCTCGGACCTTGTCCCTGTTGCCCTGTGTTCAACTTTCGACCTCTGAGATCTCCTCGTCCTCGCAGTCCATTCTCACTCATGTCGCTCGGCGCGCGGAAAGGTCGCTGAAGCTGAAGATAGACCTCCCGCGGCGTCCTCGAGAACCCGTTCACGCTCTCGGAACGTTGGCAACGAGTGGTTCACGAGCTGGGATTGGCTGATTGGAGGGTCTCCGATCTGCATAATGGTTCTGGAGATCTCCATGACGTCGGACATGGTTCTGGCTGCCGCTCTCTGCCGCTCCAGACTGTCTTGTCCTGTCTGTCCTTCCACAGCCTACCGATCGATTTCTTGGTCAGATTATCACGGATTGGTCAGCGATGCTCATCTAACGTGCACCAAACTATCCTCATTCGGCAGACGGCGGGTGGTTCCAGGCGCCGGCGTCTTAGTAGTGTGTACACTTTCTTGCGCTTTCGAGCAACAGGCGCTAACCGAACGCATCTCAACTCCTGTATCACAACATGCGAACCACCCCAGGAAAAATCATGCCTAAAAGGACCAGGGTCGCCATCTCCGAATGCCAATCGTCGCCGTCTTCCATCGGACATCATCCAAAATGAGCACCACTCCTGACAAGGTACAAAAGCGCTCCGCTTTCAGGAAAGCCCTCTCCATCTTCTCCTCGTCCTCTTCCAACAAGTCAACCAAGTCCAAACGCTCCTCAACCTCCTCTGCTAAAGTAAAGATGGCCCCTCGCGTCGCTATCGTTATCTACACCATGTACGGCCACATCGCCAAGCGTACGTTCTAGTCCATATCCCGTGGAATGCAGTCGCTGACCTTGGCTTATCGCAGTGGCCGAGGGCGCTAAGAAGGGTATTGAGGCTGCTGGCGGCTCTGCCACTATCTACCAGTACGTCGATAGCCGCTTCCACGACGCGATCTTGAGCTGACGCATGCGCTGCATTGCAGGATCCCCGAGACCCTCCCCGCTGAGATCCTCGCCAAGATGCACGCTCCCGAGAAGCCCCAGTACCCTATCATTGACGTCGCCAACCTCCCCAACTTCGATGCCTTCCTCTTTGGTATTCCCACCCGTTACGGCAACTTCCCCGGCCAGTGGAAGGTACGCACATTCACTATGATCAATCGCGTCATTCCGATACTAAATGCGCCACCCATTTTCCTTCCTCAGACCTTCTGGGACTCCACCGGCCAGCTCTGGATGCAGGGTGCCCTCGCGGGCAAGTTCGCCGGCATCTTCGTCTCGACGAGCACGCCCGGCGGCGGCCAGGAGTCGACAATCATCAACTCGCTCTCGACGCTCGTGCACCACGGCATCACGTACGTGCCGCTGGGCTACAAGAACGCGTTCGCCCAGCTGAGCAACATCGACGAGGTCCGCGGCGGCTCGCCCTGGGGCGCAGGCACCTTTGCGGGCGGCAACGGCGCGCGCCAGCCGAGCGCGCTCGAGCTTGAGGTTGCCGAGATTCAGGGCAAGACGTTCTATGAGTATGTTAACAAGTTCCAGTTCTAGGCGCTGCGCTGGGGAGCTGGTGCTGTAAACGGTGTCTTGGATAGAAGCTTGCGGTTGGCGTAGATAGTGTAAGACTTTCGATTACAGAATAATCAAAATATAAAATCTCTATCCCTTTGCCTTGGTCCTTTCCGCGGAAATCGGCCGTTCTGTGTCGGGCGCAATGAGATGACTCTCCTGTGTGATCTCCACGATTCTTGGCTTCCGCTGAGCTTATCAAACAGCTATCCAAAGTGTACGACACGCATACGCATAGTCTGGGAAAACATATCTCGGCGGACGCTCGCACCACGATGTGGGCCCCGAGGTTAAATATGCTATCAGCCTCCGGCAACCAACTCGCTCGGTTCCAACCCGGTCCCGCTTCTTTGCTTGGGGACTTCGTCTTCCCTCAATCGCCCATCGGTTTGGGCTGTTGGCCACTGGCACGAGCTATCCTTCACACACAGTTCCAACCGCAGCCTACGGTAATATTGGCCTTAAGGAACTTGAAAAGAAAATATCAGACTTACACGGCATACTGTACTTCTCTGAGTCCGCCATCTTGCAATGCGCCAGAGAGCAAATCCTTACAATCTTGAATCTGGCATATGGGAACGTAATCAGCAATCTGTGAAAGTAAATTCGTGTTTTTTTTTTTCTTCTTCACAAGTGATACGCTCGAATCAGGTACTTTAGCCCCTATCCGTGTCAGAGGTTTTGTGCCCGATGCGCTCGCGGGTCTCCGAGACGCGACCGGCATGATGTTGCTCGTCCACCATCTCGTCCCCAAGACATTGATAGCAGCGCGTAGAAAGTCATGCAACGGCCTCCCTTTACTCCCACACCCTGCCTCCAAACCGCCACGTATGTTGAGAGCACCTCAAGCCCAGCATGGATCCCGATGATCAGCTGTTCGGCAGACTTCCCCGTGGAACTCGTGAGCTCCTTTGTCCATTTCGTCTTTATGTACCTGATTATGGCCTCTGTTTTGTGGTTTTCAGTTTGAAACAGCGATTTCACAGCTCGTGCATCACCCCGAGTACAACTCGACTCTCATTCTCCGCTCCGAGACCGTGTCTGAGAGCACGCCTGGCGATGCGTCTTTTCCTTCGTTTGAGTTCGTTCTACCTTTGGACGGGCTGCGAGCGGTGCGGAATGTGCATAGAAGGCTGCTGCCGCGGAGACCTGGGAGAGACAAGGGGCTCGAACAGCATTGTACGCTGTATGCATTCGACAATGACCAGAGGGAGGAAGGGATCGAAGGTGTACCATGTGCGCTGGTGCTTTCGCCGATCGTCAAGCCTGGAGAGGAACTTCCCTACTACCATCCGACCGTATCACACCTCGCATTCCGTTTCGTCCCTAACTCATCGCAATCCCCCTCAGAGCATCCACATGACGCATCCAGTGAATCAATGACACCACCTCCCGAGCCACCTATATCGCCCGAAGCGACTCTACGCATCGACGTCCTCCCCTTACCAGGAACGCCTAGGGACCCAAACTCGCGGCTCTACCGCACGTGCCTCGCGCTTCTCGAGACGCTGCATAGGTACGGCTGGGGTGCGCTCACATCGTACAAAAAGCGCGTGCGGCACGACGTACTTGTTCCGCGCGAGACGTACCAGGACGCGTATCTCGCGCTGAGAACACGACACGCGCATCTCGTGGGTGAGTGGAGGGAGGCGACGGATCCGCTGAAACACGTCTTTGAGGTACGTTTACTCAGTCGATTACCCATTTTCTGGCTCCCTTTCGCAAGAAGGTTCGTGAATGGATCTGCCTCAAAGGTTCTAATCTCGCGTGCGTAGGACATTGGCATCGCGACGTTCCTCATGCTCCTCTGGAAGGGCACGTTTCAAGATCATTCTTCGTCGCCTTCTGGTGCCAAGCCTGCCTCTCCGCCGCCGCCGCCGCCTGATGCTGTGGCGCCGTGGAGAAGCTGGCCTCGGCCTCCGGGAGGTTTCGTGGACCTCGGGTAAGTGTAGACCCCTCAAGCTGCTTCCAGGATAAACTCAACCCGAACATGATTTACTATAGCTGCGGCAATGGCCTCCTCACGCACATCCTCACGTCGGAATCTTACACCGGGGTCGGGGTCGACCTCCGCGCGCGCACGTCATGGGAACATTACCCGCCATCCACACGCGCCCAGCTCCGCGTGCGCGCGCTCGATCCCACAGCTTACCTCCGTCGTTCCTCGGACTCGGACTTGGACCCGTCTGATCGCAACAATGCAGAGGAGACGCGGAGGCTGCTTCCCGAAGGCGCATTCCTGATAGGCAACCACGCCGACGAGCTCACGCCGTGGCTGCCCGTGCTCGCCACGCTCTCCGGCGCGTCGGGGTACGCCTCGATCCCGTGCTGCGCGTGGACGTTCGACGTGCGCTTCTCGCGCGGTGCTTCTGCGAATCGCTTCGCTCCCGAGGTGGACGAGCGCGAGGTGGACGAGGAGTGCGCGCATCCTGATGCGGTTGTTCTTCCACCCGGAGAGCAGGATAGGGCGATGGACTTCGTGGAGAAGCTGAACTTGGGCGGAGATGGGAGCACGAGCAGCTCGTACTCTGCGTATCGCGTCTGGTTGGCGCGGCTGAGCGTGTGGCTCGGCTGGGCAGTTGAATGTGAGATATTAAGGATACCAAGTACGAGGAACTGGGCGTTGATAGGTGCATTTTCATCGTCATTCTCTTGATGTTGGTGCTGACAAAGATTATCTGTTTAGGGAGACGAAGGATACGAAGAGAGGACAGGGACGAAAGTGTGTACCGCGCACGAGCGCTCGCCATTATCGAGGGTGTAGTGCAGAGAGGTACATTCAAGACGCGAAAGCCAGAAGGAAAGGCTGGTGACCACTGATAGGTTCATGTCTAACCTCAGAATCAAGGTTGCATAATTTGCGGTGCTTATCAAAACGCTTGATTAGATGCGACTTTGCTGACATCCAGATAATTTACATAGGTCATCTGGCATATTTATATACGGAAGCAAGCGTGCAGCTACATATAGTCCAAACCATCAACGAGGTCAAATTCCTGTCTGGCTCTTCTTCGGCGGTGTGGCTGTGAATTTCCATCCTAAACAGCCGCAGCGAACCACGGAGGAGTGGGTAGACAGATCATCATCCTCATCATCGGCTTCGTCGACGGTGTCGTGATCGCCGCTATTGTCGCAATCTTGTTGCTCATGCTCAGTTTGAGATTTGTTACCGCTTCCTTCTGGCGGGGTGTGGCTCTTTGCTTTTGTGCTTCTTTTCCCAAACTTGCGGCGAGGTTTCTCAGGAACTCCTGACAAAAACTACAGTATCACGTTGAACCAGTGGTCAGATGGTAAGTAACTTCAGAACGCACCTGTTTCATCTTCGCAGGGCTTATGAGCGCGAACTTCCGACTGCCCTTATCCCTACTGTTCAGGACCTGTAGCTCTGTGTCTTCCGCCTTTTGCGAAGACCTTGGTCGACGAAAAGCGAATAAACTTCGATCCCAGGAATCTTTACCAGCTGAGCCTAATTGATGTTTGGCGGTCTGTGGCGCACTGCGAAATTCATCCGCGTCGTCGTTTGAGAGGAGAAGACGGTGATTCGCACCCTTGACGGTTCAGGTTCGACGGATGGATTTTGAACTGGAAGAAAATATAAGCGCAGATGTCCACAGCCACAGGTGAGTGCTTACGTCGAGTATATCATCGTCCAACGGTTCATCACGAGGGCGCTTGGAGGGACTTGACACTAGAAAAATATTCCAATACAATTTGCCAATTTAGTTAAAATACCATGGCCGAGTAGTTTAAATAATCTTTGCATACCTGTCCGAAAATTATCCGATCCAGGCACCGAGTTTTATTTAAAATAAAGTTTGTGAAAGTATCCTTATGATTCTGTGATGGGTGACAGCAAATATTTAAAATACAATCTGGTATAGCAGCCGAGTCATGAGCCGGACTGGGCTGTCAAAGGTGGCTCAGAATCTGAGCCGATTGCGGATTTTTGACAGCCCAGAAAGGCTATTAGCCAATAAGAATATGAGAAAAGGAAAATCAAACAATTTTCATTGGGCAGCAAACCATTAATCAAACGCCTGTCAAACACCTGTCAAACGCCCGGCAAACGCCATTCAAACGCCATTCAAACGCCCGGCAAACGTCATTCAAACGCCCGGCAAACGCCATTCAAACGCCCGGCAAACATCATTCAAACCTATTCAAACGCCAATCAAACGCCCGTCAAACGCCAGTTAAATGCCAATCAATATAATATATTTGTTCAATAGACTGGCATTTAACTGGCATTTAACTGTTGTTTGAATGGTGTTTGACGGGCGTTTGAATGACGTTTGCCGGGCGTTTGAATGGCGTTTGAATGGCGTTTGCCGGGCGTTTGACAGGTGTTTGACAGGCGTTTGATTAATGGTTTGCTGCCCAATGAAAATTGTTTGATTTTCCTTTTCTCATATTCTTATTGGCTAATAGCCTTTCTGGGCTGTCAAAAATCCGCAATCGGCTCAGATTCTGAGCCACCTTTGACAGCCCAGTCCGGCTCATGACTCGGCTGCTATACCAGATTGTATTTTAAATATCTGCTGTCACCCGACACAGAATCATAAGGATACTTTCATAAACTTTATTTTAAATAAAACTCGGTGCCTGGATCGGATAATTTTCGGACAGGTATGCAAAGATTATTTAAACTACTCGGCCATGGTATTTTAACTAAATTGGCAAATTGTATTGGAATATTTTTCTAGTGTGAGTATATACGTGACTGAAAGAGATCACGATGAGAGTACGGACAGCTTCAACCGCGATCGAGCCGGTATCCCATCTTGAAATTGGTCTTTTGTAGAAATTCGAGGTCGCACGGGCTCGCGACGACGCACAGCGCGTTTGTCCTGGGCAAGGGGAGGGTGCCCGAAGGGCAATCGCGTGAAGAATTCGACTATCTACGACAGGAATATATACTACGAAAACTCGGATATAATAAGATAAAATATGGCACGTCATGATGCGAGCCATAACGAACACAGAATTCCAACATCTTTCGAGGTTACTTTGGCCATCTCCGAAGTGCATTCGACGAATGATGTCAGGAATGGTGTCAATGATCTTCAATCGGTTGTGAAATGAGTGAAAGGAGAGCCACCAATGACATTTGATGAGTCATATCCGTCCTTACCTTACGACCCAAAAGCAACTCTCCAGAAACACTGTCCCAGATTCTGATATCTCCCGCCTTGGTACCGCTTAAGACACGGGATCCATCTGGAGAAAATATGGCGGTGGCAATATTAGTGTAGGGATCATGGTGGATACGCTGAAGAGGTTCGCCAGTACTTTTATCCCATATAACAAGAGTGTTACCGGAATCAACGCTCACGAGCAATTTATCATCGCGAGAGAGTTGAGAGAAACTTGTTTGATCCTGGTCAAATGTGTATTTCTGTCCACTTGAAATATCCCACTCGATGATTCCATGTCCATTCCCAGTCCCAAGTCCCGGTCCCAAAGAGCTAGTAATCAGCGATGTTCCATCTGTCAAAATTGGTCAAGGATGTACTGGCAGCAAGCAAATGCTTTCCGTTGGGAGACAAAGAAATGAGAGTTCTAATGGTCATGCAGGAAGACTCCGGGAGCAAGGATCTAGATATCTGGCGGCCATCCTTTGCATTTCATATGCATACAGTATCTCGTTGGATGAAGAAACAATATGTTCGCCACCGAGGGAGTATGCGACCGAGAATATGCGTTCAAAAACTGTGTCGAGATGATGAGAAGGCCTCCAAGCAGAAGGCTCAGTGTTGCGGGACGAACGAGTGTGTGTTAGGGCGAGGGGATTGGATCGACTGCTCGGATAATTCGCGAATGATGGCTCGGGCGAGTGACCACCCTGCCCGCGCTGGGTGTAGAGCTCTGAAGGTTCCTGTTCTGATCGCAGCTTAGTTGCCTATCCAATCGGGAAATCGAAACGACAAACTTACCAGTACTGGCACCTCTATGCATGGTTCGGACTTGAATATACAAGACCTTCCTAGTGATTTCTGAGAGTATACGCAGCGCAATATAGTCACTAGTTAGTCGAGGATAAGAAGGGATGAGACGAAGAGGGAAGGGGCCAACGAGGGTGCCGAAGTATGCTGTATAAAAGACGCGGGCAGCCTTGGGGCTCTCATCTGTCTCGGGAGTCTATTTTTGATGATGGACGTCTGCCTGCTTTGCAATATCACATATGTGGCGGTGACGCCAACCGCAAGACGAGTAAACTAGCACCAAAGTGAGGCTGGTGCTTAAATGAGAGCTCAGATCTAGAGTGCGAGCAGTGGATGTGCCCGGGGAATACGTATGTGATGGGTGCATATTCCTGGACGTGGAGATGCTTGTACGTAGGTGGAGGTGCGTAGGTGGGCGTACAGTACACATGGTCGATATGCAAAAGCGCCGAGAAGTGATCAGAAGAATAAGATCATAGTATAATCGTGAACTCATGCCATACGTTATGTCACCGAAATGGTGCAGGTCCCTGCTGCCCATTGATCAGCACCATCGGTCCGAACACCGGCGGGTCGTCTTTTTCCTCCCAGAGCTGCCTGCACTCCTCGAGCAACTCACGTAGCTCCTCGATACCGACTTTGTCGGAGCCCTGTGCGGGCGCACCGCCGCCCTCTTCCTCATACTCCTCATAATCCTCATACTCCCACTCCTCGTCCGATGCGAGATCCTCGCTCGTCTCCCTCCCCGGATGCGTCTGCTGAGGGTCCTGCGGCAGCGTCCCCAGCGGAGCGCCCGTACAGTCCTCGAGCTTCACACCCATCCTCGAACACTTATCCCACCACTTTTCCCATCTCTCATATCCCCCTCTTTCGCCAGGCCCGTCCGCGCGCTCGAGGTCCTCGAGCACGCTCGTGCTGAGCACGCGTATGAGCTGGAGCTTCGGGAAGTTTGCCTTGGTCAGCGCCGAGAAGTTGCGGTCGTTGGCGCGCTGCGTGAGCATGGACCCCAGCGGGTCGCGCGAGGCGAACGCGGCGGCGACGCCGACGCCGAAGGCGTACATGAGCCCGTGCAGGCCGATGTTGGTGATGTTCGGGTGTGGGCGGCGTGTGAGCGCGGCGGGGAGGGTGGGGTCGTCGTCTTCGTCGTCTTCCTCATCTTCCTCATCGTCTACAGTGGGGTTTGGATTCGAGGAGATCTTCCAGTCGGGGTTGAACCCAAACGTGTGCAGCTGTGGACACAGATCGAGGATCGTGCGCACATCGAGCGAGGGTATGCAGTTGAGGTCGAGGAACAGGAGGTCGGAGCCGTGCGCCTGGAGGAAGACGGTCACGTCAGGGACGTCCTCGGAGTGGAGCTTGAAGTCGAACGAGAAGCTCCTGAGCATGGGCAGAGACCAGCCCGCGGCCTGCTCAAGGAAGGCCTGGCAGTGCCCGGAGAGCGAGAGCTGCTGCAGGCTCGGCAATGTGAGTCCAATATCCTGCGCTGCGCCGAGTGGAACGAGCTCGTTGCCCGGGCTGAGCATGCTACGCGCGGGACTGCTCTCACCACTGCGCCCGCGGCTTTGGCCGTTGTTGGCGCGCGTTAGTGCGAGGATCTCGGAACCATCAAAGTCGAGGTGGACTGAGATGAGCTGGGGCAGGCTCTCGAGCGCCCAGATGACCTTGGGCAGCTGTGCGAGCGGAACGTGCCAGTGCACCGTGCGGAGCTTGTGGCAGAAATTGCCCAGCGTGTCCGCGATGGGACCGAAGGAGTGGGACATGGGCAGGTCGACGACGAAGATCTCGATGTTGGGGCAACGGGCGATGATATCGATCAAGGGCTCCTCGAAGGCGTCCATGCCGCTCGCGGAGCCGCCGCGGCCCGCGCCGGCGCTGAAGCGTGTGACGTGCAGGCGGCGAGTCCACCATCCGAGTTTAGGATCGCGGGCGAGGATGGAGCGGAGGTTGCTTAGCTTGCGGGGGTTGTCGAAGAAGAGGCAGCGAACGAGAAACTCGACGCCGAGACGGTGCCAGCTCTTGCATGTCCGGATTATAGACTAGCCGGATATGTGATGAATGCGCAAAAAGCAGCGAGACTGGGAAGGAGGACGGACCTTCTTGGTGAAGTACGACCGACGTTGTATAATGTTGATAGCGTCTTGGGGCGTACGCAGCTTCCAGCGGCCAGCGACGTGCTTGTACCAAGAGGACTGAGACATCTTTGTTGGGAGGCCCGGGAAGAAAATGACGTCTTCATCTGCGGCGATGTCGAAGATATGTGACCAGAGTTCTGGAGGGATTCTGTTTGCCATGTTACCTTGACCTTAAAGGATGGTAAGGATATATATCTAGGGGAAGATAAGGAGAAGATTAAGGGCAAACAAGGGGGTGTGAGGTAAAAGCAGCCAAGCTCGGTTCAACAGACGGAACGTGCAAGCGGCACGCGGCAGACGCGCATATACGCGACGCGTCCACGTTCGGAAGGACATTCCCACGAGGTCAGGTGCTGATGGCATTGGGCAGCTGACCCCTGTCTCCCATTTCCGCTCCAGGCCTTCCCCAGGTTCCTCGAACAGCTCGTGCGACCCGCCTTTGGGGCTCTTTCTTGCGCCTCCTAACATAGGGGAACATTATACTCAATAGTCATCAGTTTACTGAACGCCTGTAGATAAATTGTGCTTGCAAAGAAACAAGCTAGAGTCGCATAGATTGGAGAGTGCTGCAGCTAGGAGAACCAAGAGAACGGCAAGAGTTGACAATGTCGACAGTACCCCATACTCGAGCCACCCTACCCCACAATGCATCACTGCACCTGAACCTTACGCAGTCAGCTACCGTGGGCCCGCTATATAAGCCTCACCGCACTCATTCCCTCCTCTTCCTACACCACTACCTTCCATCCTCGTCTCGACTCTCTTCACAACACACTCTTCTCGTTGTATATCATTCACCATGGCCGAAGTCCTTCCCGCCAACACCATCGAAATCAACGACGCCATCTTCTGCCAGCACCTCAAGGAAGTCGTACGTCTCTCACCACCTACCTGCTTCCCCGCATATGCTGATCAGTCTGATACAGTGCACCGAGTGCCAGTATGACGGCCGGGAAGAGAACGATGCCTTTTACGGGGTACGTTGCCACTCCTCTGGCTCCACTAACCGCCATCTCACGTCACACCGTCCCCAGTTCGACCCCATCGACCGCGACGGCCTCGAAGCACCCACCGTGACCACGACCAAGGACGGTGTCTACCAGTGCAAGAAGCATGGCTCAGCCGGTAAGCATTCCCCGCTCGTTGCTTGTGGGGTTACCCCGCATGCGTCATCACCTCGCTGACACGACATGTCTGATTGCATCGCAACGCTCTAGAGTGCACCCAGTGCTTCGGGTGGAAGAAGCAGATAACGCGCGCACGCGCAGCCGCTAAGAAAGCGGGTAGGAAGTGATTCTCCCGTATATGAACACTACCCTTTATCCAATGTACTACCAATCCAATGAATGTATCATAAACGCGCGTGCTTTGCAACGTCTGAGTATCATGAGTTTGGAGTCGGAGGCTTTTGAGTCATTTATCAGCGCAAGTGCCGTATGATAACCTGCCCTAAAGTGATCAGCGACGGGATTCTCAATCATGTCCGCAATCAACCGATGCAGCGAAATGCAGTCCGGTAAAATTGAAAGCATAGTGCGCTAGTGCCCCGGCAGTGCTCATCGTGAATACTATCAGCGTACACATAAAGCAATACAACAGACGATCGTCGTCGAACGCAATCATCGACCGTCGGGTCTTGGTTCTAAGAACATAGGTCAGCTCGAACATCCGACTCACTCATCAGAATGATCACTTACGTGACCACTGCACGCTCAGAATAAGGTTATCATAACCCATCCCATGCACCTTCTCCATCGCCTTCTGCGCAACAGCTCGCTCCTCAAAGCTCACAAACGCGAAGCCCTTGCCCGCGCCCGTCTCCCTGTCCCTACCCACATACACGCGCGCGACGCGCCCAAAGCGCCCAAACAGATCGCGCAGGTCGTTCTCCTGCGTGTCCTCGCTGATGTTGGTGACGCGCAGCGTGGGCAGATCGTCTCCCCGCCCCGGGCGACCCATCGCCTCGCCGGCGCCGCGTGCGCCCGCGCGCATCGAGGGCGGGACATATTTTCCGCCAATTGTGGAGCCGCCTGCGCCGGCTCCCGGGGCGGCACCAGCTGTGGGTTCTGCGGGGAAGGCGCCATCTTCGCCTGGTGGGGCATCTGTGATTGCGACAGGCCATCAGTTACGAGATGCGGGAGGTGGATGGGGAGGGAAGACGCACCGGCACTCTCGAGACCCGCAAGAGAGTCCTTGTACGGACACTTGGCGGTGAAATGGTCGCCCTTGCAGAGTCGACAGACGACTTTGCCCGCGCCGGCTTTTTGGAGCTGACCCTTGATACTTTGCTCGGGTGTTGGCTCTGGCTCGTTGGACTACAAGCAAGTAATGCATGTCAGCCCATCATCAATCTCGCATGAAAACGTTGGGGTAGTAGACAAGTGGATATTTGGGGGGAGTCGGATCGACGTTAGAACTACCGATAATAGAGGGGCGAGAGACGCGGAAGGGGCAACGGAGCAGGCAAACGCACCTTGTTACCAGCCGACAGTTTCAGGTAAACGTTTTCTCCAACTGTAGTCGTTGCGGGATCAGGACCATCCTTGTTCCCCCGCTCCTGCCCGAACTTGGCCCACTTCTTGCGTTCGGCGACGGCGTGTTCTACTACGGCCTTTTGGAGGACGCGCTTGGTCTTGCGCGTGATCTGCGTTCGTTATCAGCTATGTGTCCCACCCGAATCCAACAAATAGGATAGGCACAAGAGACCGAGTGGAATGGTGCAAAAGAAAGAAAAGGGAGACGCCTTCCACCCAAAAGGACGATCAGAAGCGCGACAGGACGAACCTTGACTTTCTTCCCGTCATCATTCACACTGTACTCAACGGTGATCCGGACACCGTTCTCATCGATGTAGTTCTCGATCTTGGGTTGCTCGGCTGGCGCATCAAAGGTGTCTCGAGATGAGCCCATGGGAGTCCGCCAGCCGGTTATCTCTGACAAAACGCACCGATCTGGTCGTCGACATCGTCTGCCCAGGACGTCTTTTGTGCTCTACAGGAGGATCAGTCTCGTTTGTTCAGCTCCGAAAGGGTAGGGGAGGTTGACGAACGCTGCTGCCATCGTGATGTGCGTTGAGGAGCGTAACGCTTTTGCGTAGAGGGAGGGATTAGACAAATGAGAAGATTATTGCACCGCCACCGAATGGATGAGCAATCTGGAGTCGTGGGAAACCTGAACCCATGGAACACCGACGTGTGTCCAGTCTTGGTCCAATCCTTCCTCGATACTGCTACTAGGTTTACTCAATCTTCGATCGTCCTTAGCATCCTGCTCTAGCCTCTGGGTCCTTTACGTTCCCAAGAAAGAGACCTTTGACATCACACCTGCGCAAGCTACAGGTTTCTCGATCGTCCGACTCGGACACCTTATGAATCGCGGTGTCAGGGCCCTTCTGTTGCTCCGACGAAAGAATGATGACCGTATGTATCCTTCATAGTGATGAGAGCTGAAATCTGCTCACACCCTCGCCACTCGGTCGAAAGTTGATATGCCGTGCCTCTCAGTCTGTGAAAGCTCACACCGAGAAACGCGGCACCGTAACAGCTCATCAGATCAGTCGGTGGCTTGATGACAGGCTTTGTAGCTCAACTCCGGAATACAGTGCATTTTAATAAGTACTAGCTGTTTTCCGTACTTTCCGCTCGCCCAAAGCCAACAATGTCGTAAGTTTCGTCCTTTGCGATGGGTGTATGTGGCTCTGATACGCAGAAGAGTTATTCTCTTCGGTAGGTTACAGGCACATCTCTCCCATGTTTGGCACCATGTGCCGTGTGTCCCCCTCGATTGCTTACTGTCAACCGACTAGGTTATATGAGGCGGTTTGTGATCGCAGCATTGCCTGCATTCTATTATCTGATGGTTGCATCAAGCTAGTGGTGACAAGGCGTCTCCGGGGCGCAAAGCTCATAAAAGCTGGACTCCAGCTCCTCACACACGTGAGAATCCTCCAGGGTCAACCATGGAGCAGAACGTCGAACTTGTGTAAGTAGTTTCTCTGTCCGACAGCGTTGCCTTACATGACGTTTGTTTCTAGCTTTGGGCCGATGCTCATTGGGGTGTTTATGAACTGCATACTATATGGCGTAAGTTTCTGCCTTGATGTTCTACGCACTGATAATTGAGCGAGTACCCCCAGATAACAGTTGTGCAGGTAGCTACCCCTCACACGAGGCCGGCATTGACACTCAATTTGTGCTAGACCTTTATTTATTTTCAAAACTACAAGAAGTAAGTACCGCTCAACTGGTGTCTTTTGATAACGCCGGGAACCTAACTTGTTATAGCGATGCATCATGGAAGCGCTACTTAGTGAGGGGAGATTGTTAAACTTAGAAACCAACTAATCTACCTGCATCTGTAGGTTCTTTATATTCTAGTTACCGAGACGGTCAATACCGGGTCGGACATGGGCTTGGTATATGAGCCACTTGTCTTGCAATGGGGTAAGCGATCCACGAAACACTATTGACGCCCGTACTGACGGGTCGCACTCCATCCACGCAGGCATGGAGAAAGCTACGGTGTTTGTACCTCTCAGTAAGCTCGAAGACTGTTGACCTTTGCTTACAATCTCATTTACCATGAAAAGTGTTGACTGCCAGTGAGTGTTCCAAGCTTTCAGAGGCTTAACTTTCATATCACCAGTAATTCAGGCCCAATTGTAACTGTAAGTTTTTCAGGTAGTGGTCTGTACACACGCTGACGACCTGTAGGTCATGACATCAACACCAATTAAGCTATTTCTCGCCTGGCGAGTCAAACTTGCTAGCAATTCCACCGTTATCCCATTGATCATCTGCATATTGGCGGTGACATCTCTGAGTAAGCCGTCCTCCCCAGCTCATACATATATGCTAACATCTCTGAGTAAGTCGGAGGCGTTGCAACCACCATCTCGCTGTGCTTCATCAAACAATTCTCTCAGCTACATCGGTTTGAACCAGCCGTGCTCGTCTGGCTGGTGTCATCCGATGTGGCAGATGTGCTCATTACTTCGTCTTTGTCTTTGAATTTGGTATGGTTTTTTCGGCATCATGTTACTATATCTCGATAATCACAATTCTCCGCGCAGTATCACAAAAAGACGGGCACACGTACCACTGATGATCTTCTTGATAGGATTATCCGACGTATGTACAAACTCTCTCCGTGAACACTCTGATTGACATTCAGCAGTCACAATCCAGACTGGGTTGGTGACTACAACTGTCGCGATCGCAGAGCTAGTTGTATACAGCACGACCACAGTACGTGTCTGTAATCATCATCTTCTCTGAATCTCGACTTATCGCATATGCAGACAACCTTGTACGGGTCTTCCACCCATTTGTATCTTGATATCTGACACGGCTTAGGTTCTGCTTATTTGACTTCGTTCTCGCGAAGCTGTACTCAAACTCGCTCTTGTCGACGCTGAATGCGCGGGAACACTGGCGATCTCTAGCAAGGCCTCAAGAACCTATTTCACTCGGCTCTCGCGCGCGCAAAGGGCAAGTAGTAAGCGTCTTATTCGATTATGCAGGTTTAACTGGCTTCTGAGGACGATGCACCAAGAACGCAGGATCCCATTCTCCTCCCTCAGCCGACACAGGAGATATACAGGTACGATTCGCCTTAGTATCGACTCCCGTTTGCAAAGCTCATGCACATCTCTGGGGTAGAACATCTATGACATATCGTTGGAGAATGGTGTAATGAGTGCAGAACCTACCGAGGAAGCCAAGTCTTCGCACGCAGAGTCATGGTACCATGAGACCACACCTGGACAAGTGAGCACTGGCATGCCACATACAAGGGTGGTAGTAAATACCGTTGTGGAGCGCCATGTGGATCGTCTCAACGAAGGATTCTGAGCTGCAGTAAGTAATCACCAAATGCTTATAGATACCTACGATAATCGATTACAAGCCAACGCATAGGAACAGGCGCTGGGGTAGGGCTGAAGAGATTTCCCAATAGTCACATACTCACGAATCCCTACGACGTATGTAAAGATCTATGAACTCCGCATTCGCTTCGCCTTCGTCTAAGAAGTAGTACAGAGGGGAATTTTGATTTGTTTTTGGTTTTCCTGGGATGTCAAAAGAGAGTAACGGGGATTGTATAGCCCATCTATCCATTGAATGAAGCGGTGTCATCAGGTTCACGTCTGTCTTCCAGCCCTTCGCTTTGACAGCGCTCTTCCGACCGTCGTGAGCTCCGAGAATGTAAGCGATGAACGTGGAGGGGAGTGCAATGCTTGGGGACTCTTCAAGCTTGCAGCAAGTCACAACCCCGAGAGCGAATTCGCCACCGATAGAGAATCCGTGGCGGCTGATGTATGAATCGAAGAACTCCTTTGATATCTCCAGTACATCTCCTGATTGTGGGTCGCGCAGAGCGAGACAACGAGCGCGGGGTGATTTCGATCCCTTGTCTACGACGAGTGGCAAGACAAGCGCCCTGACCTGGAGTCCTCGTCTTCCCATGCGAATGTCAAGACTATACTTGAACGGCGCGTCGGTGTTCCATGTGATGTTCGGATCGGTAATGTACTCGGCTGGAGAGTCTGGTATATACACGTTGCGAAAGTGCAACACGGAGGGGTCTTCGACCTCTTCGACAATCGCATCGAAAAGACGGCGGAATGCTCGGACACGCCCTTCGCCATATGCGGCTTGTATACTGACGCCTAGCATTCCCATCAGGGAGTATGCGGCATCTTCACCTCTCGTTGACTTTCGGCAGGCAGCCCAGCTCATCTTCTCATTGATGTTAGCGGTTCGTGGAACAAAGGGATGGGTCAAGACCTCGACAGGGATAGCCGTGGCTACTTGAACTTCGCGAAGCAGCTCTGCCGCTTCCCAGCTACATTGTAAGCGGCCAGGCAAGATTTTTTACGGAGATACTAAGCAACTTACTCGTCCGAGGCCTTGTCATTCTCACAAGTCGTAAGACGCTTCCAATCCTTGTCCATAAACTTGATCCGATCGGGTGCGAGGATTTCCTGCAATGTCCAACCTCTCGTAAACCACTCGTCCCTGGCCATGTCGTCAACTGAGGTAGTCTGCGCGAGATGGACGATACAAAGCGCTGAGTTTTTGTACCAGCGGAACATGGAGCGAATCGCTTCATCGAGTTCGGTACTGCTACTTTTGTCGATGCAGCATGTGTCGGCCCAGGCAAATTCGATGTCTTGTACCGAGGCTGCGTCAAAGAACTTGAGTAACTTGATGTAACCCAGAGTCGTGGCTTGCTGGATCGGTTTAGAAGTTGAACTGAATCTCTCCTGAGAAGTGATGTATTCCGTATATGTTGCCTCTGCCTCTCCCCATCGATGCGAGAGTATCGCGTAGGCGACGGCCTTTCGTGCGCATGACTCCACTGAGAACTTCCTCAACTTCTTTTGGCTCCTCGGAACTTCTCGCAAGAACTTCTGCCGGAAGTGCCTTTGCACGAACTCCCTATTAAGGAGCTTCTTCTCTGGGACGTATATCAGGTGCGCGGGAACCTCGTCGTGTATATATTGAGTGAGCTCTCCTTCGAGCTGACGCAACCTTTCGGCAACTTCGGGACTGGGTGAGCCACGGCCCTGCGCTGAGAATGTACCGTGACCCTAGTTCTGTCAGGTATGGGCCACAAGCTTGCATAAGTACCAATTACTCACTTCAAGTCGGCGCGACTCTTCGGAATTGTTGTTCATGGTCGTGTTTCCCAGGAACTTGGGTAGCTTATTGCCGCGGGAGAGTGAACTCACCAGTAGTTTTCAATGAAGGATTGATCCAAGCACCACGCACATCCTTGAACTCCGGAACAATAACAGCTATTGACTGGAAACGAGGTGTGCGCGATAGCGCCTGATGCGTCCAAGATGCCGGTTTTTGACCTTTATATAGATGTGGGCAAGGATGTGGGAACATGAGCGTTTGAAAGGCCAGGCTTCCAGGAGGCAATGGCGACAAGATCGTTTCGGAATGATGTATCCATGACGTCCCTTGAATTATATCTTGAACGATAGCCCTTTGTACATCTCTGGTTCAAACCAGGGTGCTGCCGTCAAGACAACAGACGCACAAAGGACCACAAACAAATGTGGCTCAGAGAAGACAGTCGGAAGAAGCCAATTCGGACCTGCTAACAAATGCACCTTGATTTGTCTTCGCCCCTATCACTACACTCCAAGCATTTCTCAATAATAGTCACTGCAAGCAATTCTTGATAATAACGGCAGTATTACTTGAAATTTATTTTAAAGATGAAGGTGAATGGGTTTCAATAACTAGTTCCTCATCGTAGACCCAGATTATTTATCAACTTTATCAAAGACAGGGCTGTTCAGCTGTCAATAACGGGTGCATTCCTTTCCTGTATTTGATAAAAATGAAAAATAATGAGGAACTAATTATTGAAACCCATTCACTTTAATCTTTAAAATAATTTTCAAATAGTGATGCCACTATTATTGAGAAATGTTTGCTGTGAGTGGCATTATTATTGGAAAATTATTTCAAATAATAAGGCGAACGTGGGTATCCGGGGTTCATTAATTACTTCCTCATTATTTTTATATTTTCATCAAAGGCAGAGCTGTATAGCTGTCATTGGCAGGCAACATTCCTTCCTCTCTTTGATAAAGGTTTTGAGTGATGGAAATACTTGTTGAAATCCGGATAGACACATTCGACTTATTAATTAGAACATTCTTCAAATAACAAGGTCACTATTATAACAAAATGCTTGCAGTGCTAGGTTTTCGTCACTGCCAGTCTTGTTCGCGAGCTTGTTCATCTGTCTTAGTTTTGATCTCAGTCCCAGTAGGGAATCTGCCTTCTCGGAAACTATCCTCTTTGGTTTTTCACCCAAGGTATTGTAAGTATCTTCGCATTGTCCTTGGAGATGTCACGTCAACGGGGGACTATATGACCCTCACGTCATGCTTGACTCAGCTTCAATTCGCTTCATAGTCCAATTCCCATTACAGAGGCAGCTGTACTATATGGTGTCGAAACCAACCGCTCTTCGAGTCCTGACGCTCTCATCGATGAAGCTTGTCGTCTCAAATCCATTGGCATATAGATGCGTGTTTTCCTTCTTATTGACACTACATGATTTTACCCTTTCCGCACTACCCAAAATTCACTCGCTAATTATAACATCAGAGGTCATGTCATGCTACTCGTAATATGCGACAGCGGTGCAGATCCCTGGTCTCCTCGGCGGAACACAATAAGCTCCCCTTCCGGCTCTATTCCAAAGTATCGAGAGATTGCTGCATTAGAAAGCAGAAGGTTGTTAGCTTGGTGAATGCTCCGCATGCGTAATCCAAGAACAAGACGGTTGATAGCTATTTCCAAGATGGAAAAACAGACTCCGGCCATGATGCCCACAATATCCGGGTCAATCAGATACAATAATAGTGACGCCAGTGTGGTCAAGAATATGCTTTGGGCTGGTATGAGACAGAATGATGACTTTGAAAAAGGTTACGTACTCCAGATAACATATGAATGCTCCTGTTGCCAAATTTTTAAGCAAGCTTGCCCCGCTCCAATCCGTACTCATAACACTCCGGTGGTAATGAACAGCCTTGCCAGCAATGAGCAAGACCACAACAAGGTCCGTGAGCATGACGGGGAGGCTACATGTAACGTCAAAGTCCGCGCATTTCTCTCTTATGGTAGGAATAACCTACAAAGACCATGAGTTGAACAACGGAAGCGGTTCCTTGATGGCGCACAATCCCATATCTGAAGATATCACTAGATAAATATCAATGTTTGAGCCGAAACGTCAATTTGTATCTTAAGTAGATACTGCTCTCACCCTGAGATAGCGCTATATTCAAAATGCCAACTATCGACCAGAACCCGGTACTAATCACAAACAACATTATGACTGGAATCACGACTCGTTTATCTGGATATGATCCGAGCGAGACAGCGTGTTTCATGGATTATCGATAAACTATGAGCAAGGCATTCACTACAGCAATGTACTCACCGAATGAGAAAACCGCGAACAAATGGTAAAGCAGTAAACCTGGAACTTGATTCAGATCATGGAGTGATATCGGAAGAAGCTGAGCAAACTTTCGGCACTCATCCAGGTTAAATGAGCTGTCTTTCGTATGAGGGATAATGTTTTACATCAAAACACTTGCTCACTTGTCGTAAATGAAGATATCGCGAACACGTAGCCTGTTTGTTAGTTGAGCCACGATGACTAAAACTACATGCGAGCGAACGTATGCTTACATCTGAATACGGAACGAAGCTGATGATCAGTATGTTGACTCCGTGAGAGAGGATTTCAGCTCGTACAGTCTGGGCGACTTTGGTAGAATGTATACTGCACATAACCAATGTTAGCTCCAGAGTAGGAAGGTGCCTGCGCATACGCACAAGTAGCCCACAATGGACCTGCAAGCAAAGCAAAGTATCTGTTCTGTAGTGACTGGTTTAATGCAGGTACAGGAACACAAGAGAACGAAGTTACAAAAAAGAAAAGGAATTTTGGTGCTTTCCATTGAGAATTCTAGTCAGAGGGTCTGTTGGTAGCTGAACATGTATCCGTGCTCATAAGAGTTTACCCATATGTCGACCTATAACCGGGAAAAAATCAATATCATTTCCTCAAGGTTGGGTTGCTGACCGCCGCCTCACCTCGTTTGAGAAGGTCAATACTGATTTCAAACAGAGCGAAGGTTAGCAAAGTCGGATATGAGTTGCAATTAGTCCGCACGTTAACGAGATTTACACTCACTATAGTCCCATATATAAAGTGCCACAAACGCAACTGGAGCAAGCGCATCAAAAGAACGAATCTCAGAGCATGAAGGGGCAGAATTGAGATCGCGCATGACATACCAGAAATATATTGAGTGGCCCTGTAAGTGTCCAGAGCATCTAGTATTTCTGAATCCATTTGTGGAAAATAGAATGTTCAGTTTGCAAGAGGGTCGTGGCGCCACCCATATTTAAGAGGATTCGTGTAATGCTATGGGGCACTGAAAAGCAATGCGAGGCTATATCATGATGTTATGAAGGGTCATATAAAAGCAAAGCTAGGGTCCTATGATCAGATCCCAGAGGCTATGGTACACTGCCAATCGAGTTCCATCACTGATCTGGAGAGGCGGATAACAATAGAGTTATTCACGTTATCCCCGCGATTATAAAACAGTTTAACTGGTATCTTATCACTCAGAGGGGAAATGAGGATACCGTTGATACAATCGGACGACACTTATTTGTTGGTGTGCAGTATCATCTTAGTGTCCCTAGTCATGCTGTTTCTCACCATGTTTCTGCCAATGAGTAACAAAACCATCTGAGTGCTACTTATAGTGCTGTCCTCCCGACATCAGCGGTATACGAAGGCAGCGTGGGTTCGAACGGGCCATAATTATCTCTGTTCATAGTTCTCTCATAGGGGGTCCCCGCCATCATTTTGGGCTGACACTATTGGGGTTTTGCGAGTCTGATTTAGATAGCGCTTAAGATCAATACTAATCTAACACAGCCTCATTTCCTACACCGCCATACAAGCCGCAACTGCGATCATGTCAAACATAGCAAGCCTGAGTCAGTAACAGGTGAATTGTATCAGGATCCACTCTCACGTCCGTGTAAACGCCCCTCGTATTCATAGCAGTTCCTGTCTGTACTGCTGCTGCACTTCAGATGTAATGTAGCATAATTGGCGGAATTCTTCGCTTCATTCACTGGCAGGGTGGTCAGCATAGCTTAAACGAAGAGCAATCCAAAAATCAGCTTACCACATTGGTCACCGCCGGGGCCGCAGCGCGCTTGTGTTCTTTGGCCTCCAAATTACCTAATATTGTATCCTGGCAGAGCGTTTCGTGGGAACGTTTGTCCTGGTCGGCAGAGCTGTCTGTGGTTTCCAGCTCAATGTCGAAAATACCCTGCTGAGAGAAGTTCATGAGCATCACATGCCGGCAACAGAACGTGCGCGAATCTCACTTGAGCCGCTCCTTCCTCTAGGACACGAGAAGAACGGAAACCCTGCATCATGTTGCGTGAGTTATGATAAACCAAGCTGGATTAAGAGTGTATCAAGATGCCTACAATCTGCCGTCCTCGCGTATGTGAAGTGAGCGAAATGGGATCATGAGGCTAAGGCAAGGATCGCCGGCGCTCTCGTGCGTTGAGCGGAGAAAGGAGCGAGTTCGTGTACAGCCTTGAAAGAGCGAAGTCAAAAACACAAAACCTGGATGATGTCAGACGTGAGATTCGACGTCAATGGCGGACCTACAGAGTTGTCTAAAGGAACAGGTATGAGACAGATAGAGTGGAGCCAGCAAAAGTAGAACATACGGTACTTCCGATGAATAAGGTCACGTCTGCAATCGCAACTGTTGCGGTTACGAATCCAGTCTGAACCGTGACTTGAAGTCATGTCAGGCGAAGATTGTTCATTCCGCTACTTGGGAACTTACGACGGATAATCCAGTTGAGTATATCATTAGTGACAGGTATTCCTATTTTGTTATGATACTGGGAAACCAATCGTGGTAAGCATCAGAGGAAGAAAAGGCAGTGGGAGAAGATTACAAGGTTCCACGCCAATTCCACGCTAGCGACAGTGTGATAAGAACACCAAATGAACACTGTCTGCAGTAGCAGATGATACCAGCCAGGTAAGCGCAGCTCCTTCAAACGCTGCAACGCTGCGAACTTGTTGATATAAACCAGCGAAATGGTCGTTGCAAGTCCTCCAACTGTTCTCCGTGACAGGTGAGATAGTAAATATGGGAAGAAAGGGACGTGAATAAGACATCCTACCAAGTGATGTCACCGTGAAAAAGCTGATGACCGAACGGATGATATTGGATTTACTCATAATCTTGACCCTCCAAGCAAGAAACAGTTGCACCGGAGTTGAGATGAGTGTCTGGAAGTTCATCAGCTGGTATGGGCGGTTTCAAGAGGTACTGACAGTCACGATCGGGTCTTCAATTGGTCACTATTCAACGGCAGCCAAAGGGATTTTGACAAGCGTGGACTCAGCAGCGACAAACACTATGGAATGAAGAGCTCAGGTGTAAAAGTGTGGTCAACACTGTATCACTCACTTATGGGTGAGAAGATCATGGTAGCTTGGTCCGAGCCTTTGGAAGCCGCGTTTCATAGAAGCGCCCACATTCAAAGCAGTGCACTCACCCCAGCGCAAAATAAGGCTGACTAATGCATCTTGATTTGTCTTCGCCCCTATCACTAGGTTTTCCTCTGCCGCTGTCTCTGCCTTTCAGCGATTTTTCTTCTGCTCTCAGGTGCATTCCCTTGGCCTTTTTACCATCTTGTCGTACGCTTACCTTCACGTTTGCTCTCCGTCTTATCCAGCTGTATGGTCGTCTACCAACAACATCGTCTCTGCTTCCCAACCCTTTAGCCTTTGTGGTCTCTTCTCATTGATGACCGTTCGTCCCCCAGTGGCGTCTGACTCCGCCCTCGGAATCGACGAGGTCTTCCTGGGCTCTTGCAAAGAGGTCTCCCAAACGCTGAGCTTCAGGCCTCTCGTCTCTCCTACCACCACCTCCGACGAGGACAAGGATGCCATCATCTCCAGCGCAAAACGCCTCTCGACCTCCTACGCTAACGCGACCTACGACTTCTACGGCACCCCCAGCGGCGCTCTGTGCGTCTACAAGAACGGAGACGCCTGGCCCGTACGTACTGGCCCCGAGTCCCAGCGGATTATCAGAGAGGCTCGCGGCGTTCACGGTCATCCTATGCAAGACGTCTGGCGTGAGCTCGGTGAGCGCGTCTATACCTTGCTCGACGACAAGGGGGTCCATTGGACGTCGATGTTCAGCCCGCTTCTCATTTCGATCGGCGTCGAGCCCGCGTCTCTCGCCTACGAGCTTGCCAACACAGCGGCCGAGGCCACCACCTTCTTACTGGCTCAGGCTGGCTTCAGCGGCATTGAGATAGGCTTCCGTGAGTCCGTCGTCACCCGCTCCGCTGGCCCCAAGATGCTCTCCTTCGACCCCTTCAATGACTCCGTCCCTGAGTTCCGCAAGCCCTTCACTCCCACTCTAGGCCTCGCCATCGCGCCCTTCAAGTCTCCCCACTTTGAAGGCACCGGCGCTCTCTACTTACGCGAAGGCAAGGATAGCAAGCGCGTCCTCCTCCTTACCTGCGCCCACGTTGCTCGACCTCCTCCCGCCCATAACAACGCAAGTCTGGCTCGCCAAACCACGAGCCATCCCCGCGAGCAGGTCATCGCCCTCGGCAGCTCAGGTTACACCAGCGCTCTCAAGAGTATGATGGGCACCATCGGTGACTTGGACCGCTCCATTAAGGACTGGCAGGCCGTGCTTCGCCGGCTAGGCGAGCCCCAGGAGGGCGAGTCTGTGACGGCCACCAAGATGCGGAAGGAGCACTTGGCCCTAGTGGAGAGCGCGAAGGAGAGGATCGACGAGACTAACAAGTTCCACGACGAGATAATTAAGCGATGGACGATTCCGGACCAGCGCATTATTGGCGAGGTCGTCTACGTCGCGCCCATCGACGTCAACAACTCATCCCACAACTTTACCATGGACTGGGCCCTGATCGAGCTCTACGACAACAAGTTCGACTGGGCCACATTCAAGGGTAATAAAGTTTATGTTGGTACGTTTTCCATCTTGGCTGGTATCGTCCCGCAGTTTTGGTTGACCGTTATATTCCCCCGCAGGCAGCAATCTCTCGTCGTTGGACTACGGCAAGATTATGTTCCCCCAGGTCGAGGACCAGGCCAACTACGAGTACCCGGAGGATGGTCTTCTCCAGGCGCACGGCGTCGTCCCGGCCGACGAGATCCGTAATCCCCAGCACCAAGACACTAACGGAGAACAGTGCCTTCTCGTCGTTAAGAACGGTCTAGCGACCGGCACCACCATCGGGCGGGTCACGGGAATGGAGTCGTTTACGCGCGCCTACAATGAGCACGGCAGTATCAAGGAGACGTCGATAGAAATCGCTGTCCTCCCCTACGGCAACATACACGGTCCTTTCTCCGCCCCCGGCGACTCGGGCTCTATCGTCCTCGACAGGGACGGCCGTATCCTCGGGATGATCACCGGAGGTGCTGGCACCGCCAACAGAACCGATGTCACCTATCTCACGCCGTACTGGTACATCGAGAAAGGAGATCAAGAAGTCCTTCCCCAATGCCTTCCTCTACGAGGTCGTCAAGTAGATGGTCGAGTGGGTCGTCAAGCAAGTTGTCCGGTAGGTCGTCGAGATGCCCGCGCAACGAACGTTTTCTTCCCTTTCGTCTTGCCTCCCTCACATATGCCCCATCCTTGCTTTTCTCGTCTCATGTCGCCTCGTCTCGTCTCGTCTGCCTTCAGAGTCGTCTCATCTCCCTCCTCCCACCACGTTCATGGCAAGCAGCAGCTATGAGAGACACATGAAGTTCCTAGTTTGTGATGGTGGCCTTGGTTCAAGTTTGCTGAGGATGAGTGATTGAAGGTGCGTAGACCCGCGTGAGCGTATTCTAGCCAGTGACCACTTTCATCCACTCGGACTATGCTTTGTCTGCTTAGTTTATGTTATGAGTCGTGGCCAGCCCCGAGGCGCGACTATATTCACTCCGTGCATGCTTTCAGTCCAAACAGCCTTTATTATCATTTCGCCAGCTGTCGTTTCCGTGATCTCGAATATATTGTTTCCAGCCTCACAGCCCCGCACGGAACTCGGCATGCATGGCCGAAGTTTCTTATTGTTCTCTTATCGCTCTAAAGGCGCTCAGGGGTCCGTGAAACCCATTCAAACCGGCCTTCTGTCCAATCACACTCTTCAAAATATGCTGTGCAACTCAAGCCGAAACGTTGGTGAGTCCCTTCGACGCCGCGCCCGTAGAAATAGGCCCTCTTTGTTCGTCGCTGGCGTTCACTCGTCCCCGATCCTCTTTCTCTGCCCTTCATGGCCATCAGCAACATCCTGGCCGCTCCGGTTGGCGTCATAGGTGCTGGGGCAGCGGGTTTAATTACTGCACATACCTTGGTTCAAGATGGGTTTCAGAACGTGCAGGTTCTTACCCGCGACGAGCATGCTGGGGGTGTCTGGGCGCGCGAACGGATGTATCCGGGTCTGGTCATCAATAGGTGCGTCTCGCCATCGTGCCATCTTCAGAGCTTCGATTTACACGTTTCATAGCGTGCATGGCGACTTCCGATATTCACCTCTACCCATGCCACCCTCCGTAATGCCCGGAAAGCGTATGACTGGTGAAGAGTTGCAGGCATATATGGAACAATTTGCAGAATCGTTCTTGAAGGATAACATTCGCTACGGCACAGAGGTTCGCAAGATTCGTCGCGACGAAGTCACGGGCTTGTGGTTCGTGGACGTTCTGAACAAGAAGCGCGGCACGCATGAGACACTCATATATTCGAGACTTGTCGTTTGCACTGGGGTCCGTGTCCCGCTTTACCTACGCTCATCACTGAACTGACAGAACTCGCAGGGCTGCAGCAATCCCTCGATTCCGGAAACTCTGACAGTGGAGTCGGCAAGAAAGGCCGGCTTCCGAGGTCTTGTGATGCATTCATCCGAGTTCGCACAGCACGCAGAGAACCTGGTCAACATGTCACAGCACTCCGGCAATGACTTCAACGTGGTGGTAGCTGGGTCCGGCAAGTCTGCGCAGGAGTGAGTGCCTGGATCCTCGCTCGTTTGGTCACTGGCCATCGTACTGATCCCTCGAGCAGCGTTTGTGTCTTCCTTGCCTCGAGGGGTATCCCTGTTACCATGGTGTTCGAAAACGCGGACGCTGTCGTAGCCCTCCCTTGGGCTTTGCCGGACTGGGTCAGGAAGAGCAGGTAGGCACCCCTTTCATGGAAGTTCCACTGTTCTCGCTGACGTATTGAAGACTAACGAGCATCATGTCTCCGTACATGGATCTCAACACGAAATTAGAGTAAGGTTTGCATCACTCGCCTTCCGGATGCCCGAGCACTTATCATTCATGCTATGCTATTAAAGGCATTTCTTGCACTCAACGTGGTTGGGAAGCAAGATCATCCATGGTGTCTGGCATGCATTCAAGGCAGTTTCGGTATGTCCATCGTTTAGCTTTGCGACGTATCTCACTCTAATGCAACGTCATCACTCAGTACCGAACCTTGAAGATCCCCAGCGACTCGCCACTGCGCCGCTCGCCTCAGATATACTGGACACTACGAGCTCAAGAAGAAGCAATCTACCGCGAGGACGGATTCTATGCCTACGTCAACGCAGGGAAGATCAAGCTTGCAGCGCCCGCGCGTGTTATGGGATATGGTGACGATGGGGAGTCTATCGTCCTAAGCGACGGCCGCAAACTCAGAGCGGACGCTGCGGTATACGCTACTGGATTCCGGTCCTCGTGGACCAACTTATTTGATGGTTTGTATCGCTTCAGAGGATGTTGTACTTAATGGCTGACTCATGCGTTTCAGAGCGTACGGAGAAGAGTCTGGGCCTGATAAGACAGCGCTACGACCCGCCAGAGACGGACGAGTGGGCATCTTTCAGTGGTCTCCGGTCGCCTCCAGAACAGCAGAGCGAGGTCGCAGGCGCACCGATCTACCGAGGCATTGTGCCAGCCAGGAACATTGCGCAGAGGGACTTTGCCATCAACGGGGCGATCGTACGTTTCACATCCAGTATACTTGTTACTCACTAACCTCCTCATCCCTCCTTGCTCGTAGTTCTCAGCGAACAACGGCTACACATTCGAGGTAACCTCGCACTGGATATCCTCCTACTTCCTCGGCGACCCCATGCGCCTCCCGTCCTCAACCGAAGAAGCGCTCGCAGAGACTGCGCGGAGCGCTGCGTGGATGCGCAAGCGCTATCCTGGGATGCTGGACAAGTTTAGCGAGAGCTACACCAGTGTTATTGTTGCTTGGTCGTACGTCATGTCCACCCTTCAGTTTTCCTCTTCTCCTCGGACTGAGCTCAAACACTGCATCTGCTAGGTGGCCGCAGGCGATGGACAACCTACTCGATGACATGGGTCTCCGGACCCAGAGGAGCGGAGGAAACTGGCTGACGTGGCCTTTCAAAGTCGTTAGCGTCGATGAACTCAAGGGCTTGAAGCTCGAGAGAAAAACAATTCGGGAGAGTACTTAAAGGAAGTTCCGTGAAGGTGTAAAAACACTGCTTCATTGATGGTGACTAGCATACAGTATAGAGCATTGCGACTTCGTCGTATAATATCCTTAGATACTTTCTTGATAATGTGACACTTCATATGCCACTTCATGACATGTATATTCTGCAGCACCAACAGATATCCATCACGTTAGTGACTGAAGCAATGCCATGTTAGGCAAACGAGCTCCTATTCTTCAGGTTCCCACGATAAGGTCCGCGACCTCAATCTCACAGCACTCGCGGCCAAATCCTGGCCTGACCACGTTAACCTCATCTTTGGCACACCCACGGTACTAGTGCAATTTACGACTCGATGTTCTCCAACACAGCCTGCCCGCCAGACGTTTTCGTGACCACTGCGTCCACCGTGACGGTACACTTACAATCACGTTCCGTGCAGCTCGGTCAGACCCCTGTAAAACCCCACTCGCCATGTTTTCCCACTCGACTGCATCCGTATCACTCAGCAGCCTTCCCAGTGACCTTCTCATTGAGATCGCTGTCCACCTCTGCCCTCTTGACGTTCTAGAGCTTAGAAAGGTGAGTAAGTTAAGTATTGTCATATCTATACGCCTTCCACTCACGCGTGACATCATCCTGTGTCGATTCTGAGATAGACCTCGAAGACTCTTCGCGACATAACGTACGAACGAGATATATGGGCGCGCATATATGCAAAAAGCCCACTTCCGCACCCCGGACCGCCTTTGCCGCAGCCTTCTTGGTCCCGCGAAATCCTGGAGAGTACCATCATACGCAGTGCGGCAATCGATCACCGCATGTTCCCGGCCAGTGGCGCGTCGCCGAAATCAAAGAGGCACAAAAGAGCTTTCCGGTTCAACTCCTCAAACGAGTCTGACTTCATTCTGGTCAAAGGTCGATGGGTGATATCCAAACAGCAACAAACCTTGCTATGCCGAGACATAGATGCAGCGGACGTCCAACCATTTGTGGTGCAACGAGTCCCGGAATCGTACATGATCGTTCAGTACGACACGGCCGAGATTGTGGGCAACGATGCCGACTGGCACGGATATCTATCATTCATGCAAATTGCTATGGATATCGGCCCGGCTCATATGTGAGTGCACTTTACAACATCTCCATCGTTAGACTCAGTCCAATCGCACTCTCGAAGATATGTCCTCGAGGTGCACGAGACATCTACAGGACTCAGCTTCACGGAGATCTTTCATCACTCCTCTGCGACTATACAATGTTATCGCCCTCTCAGAATGTACATTGGTCCATCTGCTTGTTGCTTGATGTGGGATACAGAGGGTTCTCGAGAACCGCCTTCCATTTCTCCCGAGTTTTGTGTTTGGAGCTTTGAGAGCCCTCCACTTCATAGCAATGCGGCGATCCAGACTTTGGTGAACGTCAACGACGAGGTATGTGATTATGATGCTGGGTTTTAGCGCGCAGAATCATCGCTAATCATATTCCAGAACATACAGCGTATGTTTAATGGACTAACAAGTCTTGCACACGTGGTCTTGACACAAACACATTTCCTTATGTTTGGGCATCACTGCACCGAGGACCTTGATGGTCGCAGGTTTGACATGTGGACGTATGCCATCCCACTTGATGCCGCATTATCTGGCAAGACGTCAACGTCAGGCGTAGGGATGACCACACCATGTTTCTTTGGCTTCTCCGATATTGCGCTGTCATGGCCAGCAAAACCTGTCCTTCTCTGTGATTCAATTACCTCTCTAGCCAGCTTTCCTCCCAAAGTCGGTGCCAGTGGAGCCAGTGGTTATACGCATATCACCATCGTTGGTCTCCGCCACTTACCCTATAGCGCAATATCCTCTGATGTGCCCTTGCTTGTGATGCATCTTGCTGTTCCACCAAGCGACGCTCCACCCCAAACACGCATCAGAATTCATGCGACGTTCGTCACTGACATGCCTCACCATCATTATCCATATGTCAGCGGTTCTCTTGCTCCGACTCTCTGTGGCTCAATGCGCGTTGTGCGGGCTAGCTATGTGCAAGACCCTTCTGGGTACAAAAAGAGATACATCCAACTTGGGGCTTTAGAGATCCGACTGGTCGATTCAGATGACGGTCAAATTGACGGTAACACGCTGGAGGATCCCGAAGTCGAACATCTTGATGAGGCGATCTCAAATCCGATGTTCAGAGTCATATCTAGAGAGTCGGCAGTGGCTCTTGTCGGAGATGAATGCGCGGATGCAGGTTGGAATAGATGCCTCATTGCATGCGTAGACACGCAAATAGGGAAGGTATGCATACAACGCGAGTTGAGGAAATTACAGTTCTACAAGAGCGAGGCGTATGAAACCTTGCATGACTCGGACTTCGTCGTGCTAGAATTTGCTTGATCCATGTTTGTGTAAGGATAGTACGCACTAAATGCCCATGTAGACCACAAGTTCTACCCACAGATAAAATCATGCATTACACACACAAAGATTGAAAGACGATCAGTTTGAGCTTGAGACCAGAGTCACTGTCTGATTTGAGGCTTTATTTCCGATGTTCTCGGAGCCGCTATCCCGGCTTTCTCACGCATAAAATATCCCCTGCGCCGCGTATGGCTTCGTACAACGTGCGTCCATGTGCATGATCGGCGACCTGAGCACCACACCGCTTCAAGTCGACGCATCTGCCCTGGCACTCGCTGGATCCTCAAAATTCATTACAAACTTGTTTTCCACTAGCTACATTCAAGATGCTCGCTCGGTTACCCGCTGACGTCCTCGTCCTCATTACAGGAAAGCTCGAGCCGCTCGACATTCTCCGTCTCAGACAGGTGCGTCAATGTACCTATCTTGGTGTCTTGCCTTCCTTGACCTCTCGCTCCATTTACGCTAGACGTGCACGGTTCTTTTCAGGATTAGCTATGAAAGGGGCCCCTGGTCTCAACTGTACAGGGACAGCTCTTTACCTCGTCCTATCGGCCCCTTCCCTTTCCAATCCCGCCAAGACCTTGAAGAAGTAATGACTCGCAGTGCTGTAGTCAACCAAAGAATAATTTCATCTTTCAACCCGAAACTTATCCGTGCATATACCTCGCCTGTAGATCACAACTTCCGGATACTCAAACAACGGTGGCTCTTCTCGTGCAACCACAACCACAAGACATTACTGTGTCGAAACTTAGAGAAGATGAACACTCCCCTAGCTCCTAATCCGATTGTCTTATAAAGCTCCCCGGAGGGATATAGCATTCGTCATTATGTAAGTGCGGAGATTGTAGCCTACGATGGTGTATATTATGGGTGCCTAGTCCTCACCCAGCGGAGTGGGTCTATACCTGGGCCTATGAAGTTGTACGTCCAAGACCTTCACCATTTGGCGCATTCATAGAGATATTTATCACTCCATCAGCACCGTCCTCCGAATGTTGGATGATGTTGATGGAGTCGAGCTCGTGCAACTATTCGAGCATGACCTTACCATGAAGGCTCGAGAATACCACCCCGACGCTGAGGCGTTCATTGGCCCTTCAGGCACCCTCCTTATGAAGTGGCTCGGTAACTGGGACGAATACATTATATTAGACCTTTCCACTCCAGGGAAGCATACACCGATGCAGCGTCCATTGAAGACCAGCCGAGACGTGGGTTCCTGATTACTTCCTACCACGCTGCAGCCGTTTCTAACGGCACGTAAACCCGATTTAGCCAGAGATCCATGATATCATAAGCGATGAATCGTTTGTAGAGCCAATTCTCACCCGAGCTCATCTTCTCATGCTGGTCAACTACACCAAGTCTCCGGAGCGCACGTCAAGCGTGTGCATTTACGCCATGTCCCTACATGTTGCCTTGGAAGGTGCTCCGTCCCCCGAGCCGTGCTTCTTTGGCCTCTCAGACGTCCCTCTGCGGCGTGTCACCCTTCTGCATGATTCTATTACCTCGAATTCCGGTATTGGGTGTGGAACACGCATCGTTTTGATGGGAATACGACAACCGTCTGAACGTGATTCTCGCCGCCAGCAGCCCTCGGCGCATCCGCTGGTAATCATGCAGCTCATAGTTCCACCGGATGATGCCCCACGCGAATCTCGGATTGTCGTCCATACACAAGTGCTGGAGACCGACCTTGGAAAGGTCCCTTTTGGCGTCCTTCAGCCAGCATTCAATGGATCCATGCGGCTTCTCCGCGTATCCACTGAGCATGTGGATGGGCCGCCGAATGATGTACCTGCTGAGCATATCCGAGTTGGTGCAGTGGAGATACGCCTTACTGATCACTTTGATGACGAGGGGTACTAGAAGGGTACCAACGACGCCCGTATTAGCATTTCGGTCAGGGAGTCACCGACTATGGTCTTTGGAGGGGTAGATAAAGAGTTTTGGTCCAGAGCTAAGCTGACTTGTGCTGACTTGTACAAGGGAAGGGTGTGCATAGAGGAGGTCTTCGATGACGAGTGGAGGGCAGGCTTTGACGATTGGAGGAGGCAGTTGATTGTGATCTACTTCTCTTGACTATGACGCGCATATGAAGGACTTCAAGTCTAACTCCTGTAAATGATTATGTACTGGCAATTCTAAGATTCAGAAGGAGGATTGAATGCAAGCGTCTCCCGACTGATCAAATTCAGTCGTGATTGAGTGTTTATCTATGCAAACAACTAGATGTTTTACACATATTCTTGTGAGATGCAGCACCAAAGTCGACGGTATCCAAACCATATGGAAAAGGGGAGGCGAAAACACTCAATGGTTTGGTTGAGCCCAGAGCTCCACGGAAAAGGTTGCACTCGTCCTTTTCCGGCTCATTGATAATCAAACAACACGCAAAACTGAAAATGAAGTGAGATTCCTGGCACACAAATAAGACGAGGGAAAGAAGCGCTCATGCGGGGGTTCATTTGTGCCTGTTAGTTACTCGTTCAACAGTAGGGAGTCGTCGATTTTGAGATCATTGAACACAGCCTAAATCACTATACAACTCGCCTACCGATGTCACGCCCATACAGTACAGCTTATGCAACCCTTCTCATGTGTTCGTAGCTCTCTTCTTGATGTTCCAACAGAAACATGGATAGTAAGGATCGTTGACGCGTTGGGCGTAGTGGTGGTAAAGCTGCCGACATACATTCCGCTGTCGGAGCTATTAGTCGGAGTAGGTCGTGTCCCTCTAATCTTCTTTCCACCAGGATGACATGACAACACCGCGAATCGTCGCAGTTTCTGCAGACACGCCAAAGACCGGAGGTTCGTCGCAATTTATCACATTTGAGACCGCACGTCGCCTCATATTACAGGAAATCCGACCACACGGACCGTTGGTCCGAAGATATGTTGGATTGTCATGGCGAACTTATGTTAGCCTTTTGGAAACACTCTACTCTTAGGCGCTCGTGCTCTATTGAAGACTCTGTTGGGAGTGCTACTTAACTCACCCGCAGGTTCTTTCCTCACCCACCACACCCCGTGTCGTCCTATTCGTCCGGGCAGAGCTCTCTCGGTCTCCAACATTACTCTGCACCATTGGCCAATGAAGCGACAACTGTCGTGGTTGTTACGTCCACGTCGTGAGTTGTCCTTTCGATTAGCTGGCTATCCCACCAGTCGTTCGTTCGTGAGGTGACCTCAAATGATTGGCGTATCTTCATATGGAAGGCCAGCAGAGTCATAACCATAGGAATTGGAGATTGCATCAAAGAGGAAGATGATCACTGGATGAGGCTCTTTCTCGGGTAAGAGTATTATCCTGAGCTGCATTATCCTTGGTATCGTGGAGGCCAGTCATCATTGGCTCCTCAATCAAAAAAGCCTTCGCATCTGCAAAGTGTATTCCTATCCTTTTCCCCAATCTTCAGGCTCTTCGAGGACCGATGTCACGGTACATGCTTCCGAAGGCTCCTCCATCTCATCTTGACAATGTCGATGTCATTTCGCTAGAGGATGCACTAGGTTATGATCAGAAGCAGCCTTCGCTTCCAAGCGGCTGTCCAAACCTTCGGGCATTTACCTTCAATCCTGATCCTCCTTTCCTTCATCAGTGCCCCCTGGACTACCATCGCGTGTTCCCCACTGACATCTCGAAATGGGACCACCTGCAGTCGTACACCGGTCTGGTTGACGTACAGATGCTATTACACCTTGGTCATTTCACCGATCTTGATGACCTCAACCTATTGCTTATCTCGCATATTTGCCTTGACGAGTTTCGTTCATTCCCACTGCCATCAAGCAGACCGCTTCTCAGACTGGACTCTTTGAAGTTCCGCACGTCCTGTTGCAGAGATGTTGCCAATGCTCTACGTATCATGTTCCGCTCTCTTGAGGACATCCCATCCAACAACCAGCCCCCAACCTTGCGACACTTTTCTATGCTGGGCCAGTTTGGCACCCCTCCTTTTCCAAGATGGGTCTCCTGCTTGCAAATATGATCTCCCTTGACGCTCTTGAGACGTTTTGCATCAGCGACATGCGGGAGGGGTACATCTACTCACTCAGAATGGTGACATCAAGCAGGAAGTCCGTTTAGGAGACGCTTCACCTGTTGTCCGTTTTCCCGAATCTTACAAGCATCCAGTTCACCTTCACCACCGGGCACCAAGTCAAGAACGGCAGCTTGACCGCAGCGCAGCTCATCGAGCTCACCTCTGCGTGGTCGAAGCTTCGCGAGTTTCGCATTGCCAAACCTGGCATCGAGTTCACGCTGCTCGAGGCCTCTGCTCTCAGGAGACGTTGCCCTTGGCTGCAGACCATCCTGTATTCGTCTATCAGGACGGATAAACACAATGTCGCAGCGCTCACCGCCTATCCTGGATTATTGGAGCGCGTACTCGGCTCCGATGTACGCATTGCCTCTGCTGGAGAAGCTGGTTAGGTTGCTGGTACCAATTATTCTTTTTGATAATATGATCATTATACCACGTAGACACAATCACTCGAGTTTCACAACAAGTTTTAATTTACAGTCAGCGCTGTCAGACACCAATTCCCCAGAAAATCTTACTGTATTGGCTCGCAGTCTGCCCTCGTATCAGCGATGGAATCCTTTCTGTCTCAGAAACAGAGTCTAGACCCGCCGGGACCCGAACTTGGGACGTCCGTGCTGCGTTTTACCCATGCGCCCACAACAAGAAGCACCCTAGAATTCTCTCAGGGACAATAAACACTTTGAGGCTAACTTCTGATGCGCTTGCTATCGACATAAAAGCTTTTAATTAAAAGCCTGGTCATGTGCACATCACACAAGCTCGCGTAAGGCAGAGGGCACAGAATGTTCGACTTGTTTAGAAATGTGGTATACTGTATGAAACCGTTGCAATAAAGTTACACATGTCTACTAGCGAGAATATCAGTGCTATCTGGTGACTTCTGAACCCATGCAAGTCGTCGCTGAAGAGGATTCACCGGGAACACAACCACCAAGAGTGTAAGGGGTGCTTGGTAAGGGGAGCCGAACAGCAGGTGTCGGGAACGTGAAAAAGGCGAGGGAGTCAGCTAGCCGAGTGATAATCGAGAAACCAACTATGACAGACCTGCGCACCAAACTGGAAGGTAATTCAGTTCACTAACACATATAAGCCCCGCATTCCTCGCTCGACATGCCCATCCAACCTCTCCCTCCTCCGCCATGGCAGATACTTTCAGATGGAACCCCATCCTCTATTGGCAGTCAGACGGCTTGCATGGTGTAAGTGGGCTTTACAGTCTGTTTCGCTCAACCACTCACCTTGTGCGGCTTAGGTGGAGCTCTATCTGATGCACCTCACGTGGAGGCTGAGGAGAGTAAGTATGTGCCGAGAATGAGGATTATCCGTGAGTAGCCTGACCCCGAGCTGATATTAGCGCCTAATTCCGCAACAGGATCGCAGGCGTTAATACCGGTCCGTGGGCCAACCTCAGCATTCTCGTCACGAAAGAGGTGACGGTCGAGGTAGAGGTCGTGGAGTCCTAACAGGGAGGACATCGGCACATACCTATACCCGGCATCAAACATTCTCATCGTTCCTTATACCACTCCGACCCCTTTCGCTCGTTTATCAAAACTCTCGTCTAGTTCCCGTTATTTGCCCCGTTAGTTGTTGACATCTTGGAATACATTCTTTTCGACAAAGTCCACTCAGGCGTCACCTTAGCCATCGTCGTAGTACTAGCGTTGGTTCCTCTATTTGGTGTCCTTGATATATAGGCAGGTTTGGGGGACGAAGAGCGTCAAGACCTGCAGCTTTAAGAGTACGGTTTGATGGACTCACCTACGCCTTTGATCGCAGGAGATCTTGCGGTCTATTGCAAGGTCCTTCAAGCCTAAATCCGGTCATTTTTGCGGACCACGCCTGTTGGTGAGTGTGTGCCAGATAACATACGAGCAAAGATCAGCTCACTGTGATACGGAACTAGCGTCCATGATAGTGGCAAGATCGTCACCCTTGTAATCAACGGTGGCTATCGCCCGTCCAACATATGAGTGTATGGCCAACGTAGGCCGATCATACAGCAGCACCAGAAACTGTGGTCAGCATGAAGGCAGATATGCTTGAGGACGACAGGGAGGAGGGAGAAGAAAGATACGAGTGGGCGACAATCTGGTTGATCTCGATCACGATAGTGGTTTATGAAAAAGCGACGACTTCCCAGTGCGCTCTCTCCGTCTCATCGATGCATGGGTTAGTTGTTGGAATCTCGATGTTAGGTGAGGCGATAGCAGGCAATAACAGAGGAGCAAGTGACGAAGAGACGTCGGTAAAATATCCACAAGCCCGCAAACTCAATATCAATCGCGGGTATCTCCGACGGTGCCGACGCTGAAGCGCTGAAGCTCTTTAGTGGGCGTTTGAGTGGGCGAAGTAAATGGAGGTTTGACTTATTTCGCCTAGTACTTACTGGCCCCTCGGTGTAACTCGAATGTAGGTTGCAACAAAAAGCGGTCACGGGAGAATTTATCCTGGAGCGGATTAGACACGCGTAAAATAAAAGCACTTTCCTTCTACTTCAAAGTTTAATTCGATATACAAGATCGCCAGGCCAAAGCGGCGTCATCTACTTGTACGAAGCATTCCGGGCGTTACTAGACCACCGTTCACTATACTTCTCCCTGCCCTGGAATACAGTTAGAAACTTGTTTACCATTTTCCACTCTTCACTGAACCTCTCGGCAACTTGTTCTACCAAACCATCGGAGAAGTCGACTGTGTTCACAGAACGCAGCTTGGGTAACAACAAGCTGACAAACGAGGAGACGTACACGGAGTCCTTAATCGGAGAGCATCCAAGGTGCAGCGTCGTTATCTTCCGATTGCGACCGTAGTCAGCCTTGGGCGGAGGAAGATCAGGGCGCCTGAGCGCATTGACGCTAAGGTGGATTTCTTCTAGCAGGGGGCAGCTGTCGACCAAATATGCCAGTCCCAGGAGCGTTGGCCACTTGTGCGCATGCATGATACTGCCACCGCCGAGGTTGAAGACGCAGAGTTTAGGGAACGAAGATGCGATGGATTTGATGTCACCATCGCTCAGGGATAAGGGAACGCCCGTACGGATGACGAGTTCTTGCAGACTGACGTAGGAAAAGAGTGGCTGAAGTGACTGCATCGATACAGGTGGAAGTTGTGTGGGATCATCGAGGGGGGTCGTGGAGGAGCGCTGTGCCTTCAAGACCATAGAAGACAGATGGTTGGGGGAGAAGTTAGACGAGACGGATTGTATGATTTGTTTAAGTTCTGCCGCCGAGTCCGATGTGGAGACATAGCACGCGAACTCGCTGACTGTAGGCCAGGGTCCAATGCGATCGAGCGTCTTGGCAGTGTCGTTGAGAGGGGAATGGCAAATACGCAACCTGCGAAGGCCTGGGAAGGAAAAGTTGTGATTTTGATTAGTTGTGATGAGATCGGAGTCGACGAGCGACTCGATGGTCAGCTCTCGCAGGTGAGGAAGCCCTTCAGCCTTCTGGAGTAACGACGGAGAACTCGGAAATCCCAGATATAGACTCTCGAGTCGGGGTATCCGAGGTAGGACTTCTTCAACGACACCTCTAAGAGCTTCCGCGTCCTCGTCTCGTTCCAAGTTGACCAAAAAACCCTCCAAACTACTACATGTAACACCCATGACGGATATGATAGGGTAAAAAGCCTTCGAGATGCCGAAAAGGTGAACCTCGATGAGATTGTGGCCGAGGAGGAGGCGAACGAAGTCTCCAGGAAATATGTCGATGTTTGTCCAGAGCAAACGTTGTAAGTTAGGTAGAAGAGGACCGTGAGGACAATAGCAGGCAGCTTTGAGTGCTTCATCATGAACTTCGAGTGGCTCGTTGGGCTGGATGAACGATCGCACGCGGTGCGAGTTCCGCTCGAAGCTTTCCCAGTCAATCAATTGCAACATCCTAGTAAGATTCTATGGTAGAGTCAGCTGTTGGTATTACCAGGCGCCGGGGATTAAGTGGGATAGGCATACCAGGACTTCGCCTTCAATCATCCAACATTCGCGGGGAAGCATCATGAAAAGTGCCTTGACACCCGTAACTTCTGCATAGTACACATCAAGTGCAGGATCATGAAGCGCTTTGCAGGTTTGTGCGAGCGCAATGAGAGATCTGTGCGACTTGTCTTTTGAATCTATGTACCAAACCTCCTCACAGATCTTGTCGAGAAGTTCTCGACATAGAGCTTCGAGACAGGGAACCATGCTATCTTCAGGATCAGAACCGAAGGCTGAAGCTGAGTTAAGAATGCGATAGTACACTACTTAAGTCTTACAATTCAATCTTCTTTCAGCATTCATTTGCATCAATCTAACAAGGTTCAGCACTCACAAGCACAAGACTCGCTTGGAGGTCCCACTCGATGCGCGACGGGGTTAGAGAAATTTTCTTATTTGTCTGTGTTTGATTCCAGAAAAACAGAATCTGCTGACTCAGCTATCCAGCCCCTGTCTAGTCCTCCTGCCTCCTCGCGAGCACTCTCCACTCTCACTTTCCTGTGTCCTAGACCTACTCCCTATTAAGATTCGTCTAGTGTACTACAGGGGACGTCGAGGGGTGCTTGTGGAATGCGTATATCCGGTCTGGAGTCAAGTTAACGACGACAGGGGCGAACAGAAGATGCTTAGGGGTAGCACAGCCACGGCGCATGGCACGCTGACCACGAGTAGTCCTCGAAGCCTCCGTGGAAGTCAAACATATTGTCTGTAGGTGCAAACGCAAGAGGTATAAAATTATGTTCAGGGCGGCTATCCATGGATCACAGCGCAGCCCTTCCCTAGGTCCACATTACACTAACAAGTACAAGAAACGCTTGAGAAATGCCTCCACAAAAACCTACCCATCAAGTGGTCCGTGTCTATCACCATAGTCCGACGGCATCTCTATCCATCAGCTCTAAACCCAAACCTACGCCGTCTTGCCACCCTTGACGGCGATCTCGAGCGCCTGCTCGACGTCATGCACGAGGTCCTCCGTCTCCTCGACGCCGACGCTCAACCGGATGAGGTTGTCCCCGATGCCAAGAAGTGCGCGCTCAGCCGGCGGAATGCTCCCGTGCGTCATGCGCGCGGGGTGCTCCGCGAGAGACTCGACGCCACCAAGCGACTCAGCGAGCGTGAAGAGCCGCGTGGTGCTCAAGAACTTGTTCGCCTCCGCGAACCCGCCGCGGATGCGGAAAGAGACCATGCCGCCGAAGGGGAAGCCGCCTTCCTCCGAGCTGAGGTCCGTGGACGACGAGGACGGGGTGGACGCGACGGAGGAAGGGAGTGAGTCGACGAACTTGCGCGCGTGCGGAGAGAGCGTCTTGCGCGCGAGCGCGTGCCGTGGGCTGCTCGCGAGCCCGGGGTAGATTACTTCCTCGACATGCGGGTTCCTTGCCAGGGCCTTGGCGACCGCAAGGGCGTTCACGCCGTGCTGTTTCATGCGGAGGTGAAGCGTCTTAGCACCGCGCTGGGCAAGCCAGCAGTCGTACGGGCTCGGGATTGCGCCGTGTGCGTTCTGCAGGAAGCGGAGCTTCTCAACGAGCTCAGAGTGATGGGGTGGGAGGATTGCGGCACCCATGACGACATCCGAGTGGCCGTTGATGTACTTTGTCAGGCTGTGCACGACGATGTCAGCGCCCTGGAGGAGGGGGGAGGCATAGAAGGGGGACATGAAGGTGTTGTCGATGAGCACAAGGGGTGACGAGGGGTGCGAGCGGGCGAGGGAGACAATCCGAGGGACATCGACGAGGCGGAGGGTAGGGTTTGTGGGTGATTCTATCCAGATCAGCTGTACGTGGTAGAGTCAGTCGTTCGTGCACTGAAGGGATGTGGATACAAGATAGATAGAGGAAGCACAGGGGCAAGCAGGTTTGGGAAGGATGGCGCAAGTGACACAGACGCCAGGAACGTGCGTAGCCCGTGCGAGTGGGATAAGGTATGCAGAGATACGAGGAGCTAAACATAGGAAAGATAACGTACCTTTGTATTTGGCCGAATCTCCGCGAGAATCTCGTCATCGCTCGCCTTCTCTAGATCCAAGAACGTCGTCTCCAGTCCCTGCGTTTCCGATGCGACCCGCTTGAGATAACGGAAAGTGCCTCCGTAGACGTCGTTAACGCTAAGGACGTGGGCGTTCGGGCCGAGCGACTGAAGAACGGTGGCGGTGGTTGCAGAACCGGATGAGAACGCCAGCGCGTATGCTCCGCCCACCTCGATTGAAGCGAGCGTCGATTCCAGAGCATCGCGGTTGGGGTTGCCCGAGCGGGAGTACTCGAAACCCTGTTTTGTACCAAAGAAAGATCAGCTCTGAGTCAGGAGGGCAAGGCAAAGAGAAGGCGGGCGGACCTTGTGGACGCCAACGCTATCCTGCTTGTACGTCGTGCTGAGCGAGATCGGGGGGATGACGGCGCCGGTCTCTGCGTTAGCCTCGGAGCCTACATGGATGGCTCGAGTGCCGAAACCATGTTCATGCCTCTTGAATGGGTGAGAGACACCGTTCCCGTCAGTGTGTGTGGCGGGTACTGATACAGTCATGATTCGTCTGATGTGCTACAGGAGACGTCGAGAGGTGCTTAGGGAGTCGACTAAGGATAGTGCGAGTGGTAAGAAGAAAAGAGAGTAGGATGCCAGAGTAATGATGAGCGGTAATATATGGTATGCATGTCGCCAGATACGCAAGGATGGCGACGACGGTTGGATGACAAATGGCTGACTTTGAGACTTGCTTCATCTCCCGCACGGGTCTTGCAATTCCTCCATCTTGACTCACAAACTCAGCACGCTCCGGCCGCACCCATTCGATTGCCCGATGTACCCATGACCATCCCAAAAACAGCCTCGGCCAAGGACTTCGTATATGTCATCATTACAGAGGCATGACATAGCCCGGTCCTGAATCGCTCAACCTCGCACAAAAATGAAGGCCGACGATAATGTCGCTGTCTTAGTAAGCCTCTCCAGTGGATCTCCGTTTACGTCCGTGTCTCATTACTGTAAGATCTCATTCTCCGACATCAGATGAGGAATGGTTCACCCACGCCGATACGTCCCCAAATTCCGAGACCTGCTTTTGCAGGCAAGTCGTAACGCCACTGCATCAGAAATTTGACAGACTTGCCAGATGCTGTCCACACGCGTAAGTGTCCGGAGCTTGAAGTTGGCACACGGCTGCACTTGAACCTATTGATTTACCTCATGTACGTTTGACATTGGAACTGATTCACGACTGATTGACAACCTTAGATCCTCCCTTGCTTCGACCTTCATGGGGCCGCTGCTTCCAGCTGAGCTCATAGTTGGCAGACGTCATGGGGTAACTACAAATTTTCCTAATGCTACCCAACGTCATCGCCCCCATAATGCAGGTCATGCAAACGACTGAAAAGGCGGGTTTACGCTTGGTTTACGCTCTAGATTGTTCTCCAGAGACGCTGTACAGTTGAACGAAACATCGACTTCCTGTATCCAGACCTAGCAGAAGGATTTCACGGAAAGTGTGCAGGAACGTGCGCATATACAGAGTTGATCACCCTAAGTTTTCCATGGTTCAACTCACACATGATCTCTTAGCTTCTCGTGTGTGTGTTCTCTCATTGAATCAATATCATCTGAGATCGTCGTTCAGCGTAGGCTAACCTCCGGACCAGCCGGAAGCCTTCTTCCTTAGGCCCAGGACTCAGGGGCATCTATTCTCATTGCTGCCGATGGCAATATCCACAAAACCTGAGACGGGAAAGCAAACGTATGTCCGACTATCTATTCCAAACAAGCACGAATTCAACCAAAGTTCAGTACGAAAATCTCCTGCAGGTTTCCCTCCACGCTTCTGTTTCCACGGCTGTGGCGCCCTTGATCTCCCAAGTGACGCTGTATGCAAACTTTCCCCCTCAGCAAGTCGACACAGGCCACAAAGCACGCAGTCCACTCCGCCGTCGCGTTTTCGCCACCGACAAGGAGCGTTTGCGACGCCTTGAGCAGAGTTGTGCATCGCGGAGTACCGGTCGTCTTCCCCTTGGTATGTTTCCGTTCTCGTTTTTCCAGCTTCGTATTCGTCAACGAGTCTGATTTCGAGCGCCTCAAGCCGCAAGTAACCCTGCTCAAGCCCCGCAGAGTCTTCCACATTTTCCACCCGCGCCCGAACGAGGCGCATTGCTCCACACTGGGAAGGCCGAAAAGCACCGTTGAGGTATGGGTAGTTGTGAAAGGGAAGTTCGCTTATGGTCTCGGTGCTGATCTTGATGCGTGTGCTGGAAGGACTGTATTTGGGTGGTATAACGAGATGCATAACGACCAGTGGCACATTCTCGGGAGACCCCACGGAATGGCGTAGGCCCACGATGGATATATGTGTGGAAGCGTCGTCTTCGCGCGAAATAAGGTCGAACGCGGGCTCTACGATGCGGTGGGTCATGGAATCGCGGAGAAGAACAGGATCAGCAGGCCAAGTCAACGCGACATCCGTGAAACCGAAAAAGCAAGGCTTAGCAGTAGTGTCTGCCGAATTGACCCGGAGGGCATCGGTCAACGGGGTGGCATATACCCACATATCAAAAGTTCCTCCGAGAGGCCCTTCCTCGCAGTAGGGTCCCAACACGACAAGGTGTGTCGTGGTGAGGATGACATATGCAAGGCCAGCGAAGCTGTTGAGAATGCGCTGTACGTCCTGAGACTTGTCGTCGACGATAGACGCGAATCAGTAATAGTTGAATATTCAAGAAAACCACTGAAATACCTGGTCGGTGATCGCAAGCGACTGGACCTGCACACCCATGTGAATACTGTCAAAATCTAGGAGGACGAACTCAGGTTTGAACTGAGTCTGAGGTACAGCCGATGTATTGACTGAGTCCCACATCGCGCAGCAAGCTGATGGGCTCATAGTCATCCTGAGTGGACGGTGTTCTATCGCCGTTGTAGAGGTGTGGTGGAAAACCCCTGAGAAGGAAACGCCATTCGAGGTTCCCGATACCTCAACGATGTAGCTAGGTGGATGAAAGAAGTTAGATCACATTTAACGATGAGAGCCTCGGATATGCACTTAACATGTGAATAGGCTCAGGCTCAAAGGCATGAATCCGCATGTACGCCAAGTAGCCACGCCACTTTCCATCCGTACCCACGATCTCCGCAGTCTTGTACTGGTGCACCCCATAGGGCTCCGATACATGGCAAACCATCATTGGCTCTTCCTGCATGTTGACGGCATCTGCCACTTTGCTCAAGTCCCGGCAGGCTATAGTTCTGAGTCCAATACGAGAGAACAACCACCGTCCCTTGAGCATCTGAAAGTCGATTTCATTGACAATGTTTCGGATGACAGGTATGTGTTGCCTTGGATTGGGATTGAAGCCCGTATCACCAGTGGGAAAGATACGCCGATCGACTACTGCACTTGTGACGATCTCATCTTCCAAGTCCTTGCGGGAGTGAGATGGGTATGGTGTAGACGAGCCGGCGCGGGGAAGGGGACTAGCTGCATACACGTTCGACCAGACTTCTTGCTCGTAAGTGACGGCGTTCAGGGCACGAGATGTCTGGTAGCAACAGCAGAGATTCCGTCATCCAGATTACAGCTGGGCAAAACATCACCCTAGGTAAGGCACAACGCACCTGACGGAGCGCTAAAACGTCCAAAGGAGCAATATGTGCAGCGACGTTGATGAGGATGTCGGATGGGAGGCTGTCAAGAGTCATCTATCTGGTAGGCTTCGAATAGGCTGAGTACGCAGAACGGGATGTTTGATTGAACGATGGGGATAGAGCTGAGGTGACAATGACTGTCCATACTAGAACCCACCTGTGATGGAGTACGGCGAAGGTTATCCGGTGCGTCAAGTCACTCACCAGGGACAAACTTGGCATTTGCAGCGCACGGATAAACTCACGGGCGTGAGAACATGTACAGCATCCGTCCTCACTTGGTACGATATTCTTGTTCGACGACTTGTCGACGACTAAAGAGCTTGTATAGGCTTGTATACATGTCAGATGCTGAACGCGTTCACCACCCACTTCCAGGTTATGATGGACACGTCGTATTTCAATATGGAGTAAAGACGCGCTCAATATTTAAGCAATTTCAAGTTCGCAAGTGCTATCGGTTGCAACCTAGTAGTCTCTACGGATGTGAAGAGTGATGTGCTCTGCATCTACCTTGGATTCGTCCACAAAGTAGCAAGCTGTTCCGGTTTCCTCGGGCATATTCATGAACTTCAAGGCTCTCCACATCAGCTCTTCTGCTGATAATCTATCCCCCACCGCCTCCGGCTTCCCAGGAATAGTCACCTCTATCAATGGTGAGCAAATAATCCACCTCTCCGCCGCAGAGCGTGTACCCCTAAGGTCCACCTCTGTATGCCAACCCACGTTATTCGTCTCGCGGCCCATGTCAGATTTGAGCAAGTAGGCAATAATCGTATCAGGAAAAGCCACTATCGAAGTACCTTCAATCTTGCAGTAAGTCACGACTCCCAGGGCGAGCTCGTGATACCCAATCCAGTTATTGCTACCTGTCGGGAGCATGATCGAGTCCGACATTGCGTTGTTAAGGGCAGGGCACTGCGCTTTGATGGACCATCCAGGATTCTCATAGAGCATGTTCCTTGGTTTGGCCGGTAACGCCACGACTTGGAGTTGTAAACCTTGCTGTCCCATCCGCAAATCAATGCTGCGTCTGAATGGTTCTTCGATATCCCAACATATGACTGGGCCTGCTATGTAATCCGCGGGGGAGCTCGGGAGGTACCTGCGGCAAAAGTACAAGACCGAGGGGTCCTCTGCATGGCGAGCTATTGCCTCAAAGAGTCGACGAAAGGCGTTGACTGCCCCTTCTCCGTAGGCCGTCTGCAAGCTGACATCAAACAGGCCCACGAGGGAGTATGCAGCATCTTCTCCTCTCGTAGTTCTTCGGTGGGCAGCCCAAGACATAATTTCATTGACGCGCCTCCTGCTTGGTATGAACACACTCGTTAGGACATCGATTGGGATACCGGTGCCTGTTGAGACTGCACGAAAAAGTAAAGACCGTCCGCTTAGAAGATGTATAGGTAAGAACGACGATTTGAAGGACGGAAGCGGGTTGTACTCACGTTGAAGTATCCTTATCGTTGTTGGGGAAAATGGGACACCAATTGTCTGCCATAAATTTGATCTTTCGAGGTGCAAGGAGCTCTTGCAGTGTCCAACCTCTCGTAAACCAGGGGTCTTTGGTCATATCGAGGGCACTCTGAGTTTGCGCAAGATAGACGATGCAGATCGACGAGTTCCGGTACCAACGGAACATGGAGCGGATAGCCTCGTCAAGCTCGGCGCTGCTATTCTTGTCGATGCAGCAAGTGTCGGACCACGCGAACCGCACCCCTGTCTTCCGCGCAACCTTCAAGAAGCTGAATAGCTTTCCGTACCCCGGTCCTGTGGCTCGTTTCAGCATTTTCGATGCATCTGCGCCACAACCTCTGCGGATGCGGTTGTAGCCTTCGTATGTTGGCTCGTCCATGCCCCACCTATGTGAAAGTGTTGCATACGCGAGCTTTTCTCTCACTACCCTACGTATGTAGGACGGATCTGACTTCACGGATTCGGGATTTATCTCTCGATACAGCTTCTTGCGAAAGTGGTCTTGGAGCCATGACCTGTCAACTATCCTCTTGGACTCGACGTCGATGAGATGCGCTGGAACTTCGTTGTTGACGTATTCGTCGATCACCTCATCAATTGCGTGGTTGAGTGCCTCAGGATCAAGTATCTCGGGTTTAGAGGTGTAAAATCGTGCCGGAGTCGAGGCTGTCGAGACCTTTTCCCCGTGAGTAAACTTATGATGTATTACAACTGGCAGAATCCCCGGACAGTCCCCGGACATACCTCAAGGCTAGAGTTGTCTGAATCGTCGAGATCACTCGGGTACCACATATACATATCTTGCGCCTGTTGATGAAGTGAATGTCAGTACTGCTTATCTTGAGCCGCTAATACAAGCCGCACATACCCCAGTCTGTCGGTCATCGAGGTGCATAGGTGGATTGGGAATCCTGCGAGAAGAGGTCATCTTGAGATGATACGATCAACGGCGAAGGTGCAGAGGCGGGGAAAGGCCCCATGCCCCCGCTTATGTACTAACCGAACCCATGTGCTAGGTTAAGTTTCCAATGAAGGTTTACATTGATACCACGTTTTGCAAAGATGCACATGGATGCACGGGAGACTTTCTTGCGGTCTGCAGGAGTTTCCCAGACTTTGCTTCGATGAACAGCTTGCGTGGGCAGGGTGTTTGTTGAGTCATACCTTCATATGCTTTTTCGTCCGAGTCTATATACAGTATATATATAGCGGAATTGCCGCTCGCGAAATCGCTTCCGAATCAATCCTCAGAAGAAGCAATACAATGACTGCTGTAAGGCTGTGGCGTACAAACCCTTTTTGGAAGAAGCCGAAGCCGAAAACTCTGTCCCTAAAATGGGGAACAAAGACAAACGATGCGCACGCTGCATGACAAAAAAGGTGCGCTATATGTTATGTGGGATGAATTTTCATGGCCTCGCGGTTTATAGCAAGCTAGTACCGAAGTCACTGTTCCTCAAGTGGAGAACAAAGGCGAACGATCGTAAGCCGTGTCCCACAACAATGGACGAATTCAAAGACTAGTGTGAGCAGCGAATCCAATTTGTACAGGTCATTGATATTACTTGAAAAAGTAATTCGTACATCACGTCTACTCATAAGTCACACATCCCGGCCTGTCGCAGCATCGAGGAAGGCTACAGCTTACAGCCACTTGCTTGAGAGTGTTGGGCTATGCGGCGCCTGGGAGCGGCGGCGGCGTAGCTATTGGTCGCACGTGAAGCAGATCTTGTCGGCGGAGATACTCAATGAGAGGCGAGAACAGAGCGCCAAGGGAAGGTTGCATATGTACATAAAACAGCTTGAGCTAGTTAAAGAGATCCGGCCGACACTGTTCGGTTCCGTGGAATAAAAAAGTGTTGTAGCTTGCGAAACCGACAACTGAAACGTACACAACACAGCGTACCAGCCGACCGAAGGCATGCACAAAGTCGATGTCAGCGCGTTAGAGTAATGTCTGGTCGTCTCATGGGACCAGCAGTCAAGCATAGTAAATCACTGCAGCTCATTAATAGTCTATCTTGATCTGCATGCCGGTCGTCGTGTCAGCAGTACTAAGCAAAGAGACTGTCGCTCTTGAAGTACTCGCTGACGTAATATTCCTGGGCATGATGCTTAAACCGTAATGTATTGTGTAAGTATTTGTCCGAATAACTATAATTAACTGGAACTCATTCGATGCCTGAAGTGCATGTACGGCTCTCACTGTCACAGTCCATCGGTGAGAGGGTCTACAAAACGTCCCGCTTCAGTGGTCACAGCATTTCCGGCAGCGAAAGAACCCATATCGGCATTGTTAGGCGTTGTATCCGGCTGCAGTATCGCGTGTGTTGACTTGGCATCAGTAGATGAACTTGGGTTATCCTCCAACGTGATGTCATAAACGTCCTGCTTACAATATTAAGAACGAGTAGGATAGACAGGGTAAAAAGGCCTAACGTTTGATAATACCGGTCCTCCACTCTCAAGGTCCCCTACAGATTGATCCTACGTGCAGAGCGTTAGTGTTCACGTGCCAAAGAGCAAGATGTACGATGCGCTTACCATTCGTCTCCCCCTGGATGAGTAAGTTATAGTATGCTCACTTGGACGAGACATGGACCTCCAGCGCCCCCGAGCGTTAAGCGTCGATAATACAGAGTTAGTGTACAGCTTTGAGAGAGGGAAATCGAACAGATAGTTTCTAGTTCAGGTTATCAGGATCGATTTACTTGTGGTGTATCAGCTGTATACTTACATAGTCGTCTAAACGGAGGACTCGTCAGACAAATCAAAGTCAAAATAAGTGTGCGGGCGTACTGTGCTTGCAACGAATATGATAGCATCTGCTATGGCGGCTGCCGCTGTAACGAGTCCCGTCTGGACGGTCACTAGAGGGTTTATCAGCAAGAGTTCAAACGAGATTTTTTCGGGACGTACAACGGATAATCCTGTTAACGACGTCATCTGTAACACGTATGCCCGACTTCCTCCGGTACTAAACGAGCATCAGAGGATCTCACGGAGGAACGGTGCTCAAAAGAAACGTACTAAGTTCCATACCAGAGAAGCCGTGATCAATACATCAGCCGCAGCAGACGCGAGGAGCCAGCTTGTAGGCGCCCCTTCAAATCTATGGAACTCGGCATATTCATTGATAAATGACACGGTAATTCCTGTTGCGAATCCGCCAACTACCGCCCAGCCTAACTCAGCCCTACTGATTTTGATGACATGGTATAGACTCACGGAGAGATATTATGGCGAGAAAGCCGATGATAATCGGAACTATACTGGAGTTGCTCATGACCTTGACTCGCCAAGCAAGGAAAAGCTGTACCGGTGTTGAGATAACCACCTACCTGAAGTGAGCATCAAATTTTTATGTGAAGTAAAACCATAATCAGTACCGTCACAATGGCATCTGGAGGCAGATGTGAGCACCGATGTAGGAAAGGCTTGGCGAGATGACATACCAGAAGGAAGCACTTAAGTCAAAGACTTTAGCTTCAGGGATGATGTCTGATAAGAGGAACTGCTCACTGATAGGAGACACTATGGTAGCCCTCTCATCCCCTTCGCAACGCTCAAACTTTGAGATACAATATCATCACGATTACGACCACCTACCCCAACGCAGAACCAATGGCTCGTAGATCAAGCCTATGTCGCAAGCAGCATTAATCGTTTCGACGACTATGAGGTATAATACCTACACGAAGGTGATACAGTATTAGTTTGGTTGCGAACGCCCGGACACAACGTAATGTGTGCGTACGAAACATTTGATCCATAGCGTGTCTCTAGTCGCATTCAGCATCACATCAGAGGAAACGAGATGGACGGAACAGTCCTCACCTCTTGAAGTTTTGAAAGTACATAAACGCCTGTAATGATTGAGTAGTCAGCGGATGAGATAAAACGAAACCGATCACCTGGACGACAGCCACCTGGATGGAGACATTAGGACGCTAAACAGTCCAACTTACAAACAGCTTACGCCGTACAGTATACAGTTCAGAAAGACGCCTATGAGCAATGGACCAAAGCTGAGGTCATTTAAGTACGCTGAGTAGAATCCTTTGGATTAAGGCCTACAGGAGATTCGTGTTTGTGGCCATAGCGAAGGACGCTGAGTCTTGAGGAATGATGGACCATGACGATAAGCTAGGTGGACCGTGGTCCTTATAGGACCTGTCAGGTTTGGCAAGGCTATCTATGGAAGAAGCAACGGGTCCACTAATAAAAGCGGTCTTGATCCTTGTAGGCTTCATATGATTGTAATTAAATACATCGTGAGAGACATCGAGGCAGTTATCCTGAGCCCAGAGAAATTCTAACCATATTCGGTCCAGCGGCTACGCCGCAGGAGAATGTCAGTATAATAGGAAAGGGTATCAGTTAGACTTATCCCAAGCGCATGAAATATGATGTGATGCATACGTACCCGGGCTGCCCAGGCTTGGAATTTGAGTGATGAGTGTTTGGCAGAAGTTGGCTGCGTGACAAACCGCCAGCACGACGAGTTTGAAAGACCCCGTTAGACTCACGGATGACGGTGATGCGTCGGCTACTTCCTTTCAACTGAGATATCATGGCAGATCCCAAGTTAGAACATGATGCGAGTCTCATGGTTTGAATAACGGGGAGTGTTGAAACGAATACTTACCTTGAAGGGACGACCACGGGGGCCGCAGAATGTAGCTTACTTCGGCAACATGATCATCTGTCCAGGAATTGAGACCAGAAGCACTTTTGATGAACGTAACTTTGACACATGAGTGGACGGGAACTCAATCACGAAATGTAGCTTGCTATTCGTCAATTCCTTCCTGAGTTGCGCGGATCGCTTCTTCCCATACACGAAATACTTACTGGGGCTCCTTTGAACACGGAGCTCCCCCAGTTCACATCAGTCCGATGCTGTGCGAGTAATAAAGCCGTACTGATTGTTTCCTAGAATCGGAATACTCACAGTTGCAGGAAGAATAAGAACACGAGTCCTGGGACCCGAAGCTAAAAACAAGAAAACACACCTCGCGCGGTGCCAAAAACGGGAGTAACAACGGTCGCGGCCAGTTAGATCACGTACCCGAACAGCCACTCTCAAGTACTGTGAGTTGTATCACATCACGAAATCCGAACAGGCTGTTGGGGACGCTTGCGTATAACGGCAGAGGTGGCTCAACGCAAGAGCATCCAACAACAGTGCGGCACAAACGTGACCGTCAAATCTTTGCTTCGGCTTTCGCCGAGCGGAAGTTGAAAGGCGCCACTGCATCACGGTCAGACGTCAAGCTTCAAGCCTTCAAGCAGCGGCGATGCGATAAACACCACACCACCATAGAGTTTGTCTCTGCGTGGCATACATATCTTTGCATATCCTCACACCCACATCCGGAGAAAGGCAGTCATCGCAAAGTGAGCCCTTCGTGGCGTCAAGGACGTGCCTCGCATTCTCACGAGACACACTGGTGCGCTCGGGGTACCACGGAGACCATCTCAAGGACAAGCTTCCTGCCATCGCTTTCCTGGACACAGGCGGATTCACAGTACTCTTTGTTCCCAAATCCCACCAACCATCACGTATCTAGCATCTACATCATGCCCGGTGACCTTTGACGACCTCCCACTTGACATTCTCATCAGCATTGCTGGGCATCTCGAGCCCTTTGATGTTCTCAGTCTCAGACAGGTGCGCCGCGATTGTCGACCACTTCTTGCAAACGTGTGATACTGATGCATTCATCCCCTCAACATTAGATATCTCATACTCTCCGCGACGCGACATACGAACGCAGCGTGGGGACGCAGCTATACGCGTCTAGCTCTCTACCGCGGCCATTCGGTCCGCATCCATTACAATCGCGCCAGACGTTGGAGGAAACCATGACCCGTACTTCCATGGTAGACCGGGCGATGGTTTCTAGCATGAAACCTAAGGCCACGCGGCGATTGTCCTTACATACTGATGCTGGACCCGAGGACGGCTTCTGTTTGCTGAAGGGACGGTGGCTAATCATGTCTACGAGGGAAACCGTTGCTTTCCAAGATCTAGATGCGGCGGATTTCGACGGAAGTTATATGACAGTCTACGAGGTCAAATAGAGCTGGTCCCTGGATAAGTGTGATACAGTGGAGACCGTCGGCAGCGATGGCCAATACTACGGATACTTGGGCTTCCTTCAAATGCAAGAAGAAAGTGGTCAAAGAGAAATGTAAGTGAACTGTGCACGTCATATGAAAACGTAAGATCCCTAACGTCTCGAGAATTCAGACGAGTGTTCAAGGTCTCCGGGGCCTCTCATGATCTCGCATTTACCGAGGTCTTTCGTCAAAACCTCCAGTCCCACGGCAGTCAGCTCCACCGACCGTTCATCATGGCCATCGGCCCATCATCAGTTATAGTGATGTGGACGGTCACCGACCGAGAAAGACAATATGTGATCATGGGGCTGGAAAGTTCTTGGAAGGAACCATTGATTCAGTCGCTTGAAGATACCAGAGAGGTATGTCAGCAGCGCGTGTCTTTTCCCTTGTTCTGTGTATTCATTCGTCCGGCACTCTCCTTAACTGGATGTACGCTTACAGGGGCCACCGACCATAAGTGTTGTTCAGCCAATACTCACTAGTTCGCATCTTATCATACTCGGCACCCGATTGTTATGTGAACCCTCGAGGATAACATTCGACATAGGCGGGTAGATATCTGCCATTCCGCTTTCAATAGCAATAGCGAGAAGTCCTGCCCCTTCACCTCGCTTTTCTGGCACATTTGACTTTGCACTCTTTTCTCCTTCCCTTCTGCGCGACTCTGTGCATACCTCTGGTGATAGCACCGATGCTTCTCCACACGGTATCATTGGCAGCTGCGGCAATACCCGGGTCGTCCTTGTGGGCATTCACCAAAAGAACTTATTCGAGCTGAAATCCCGCCCCATCAGCGTTATTCAAGTTCTAATTCCGTCAGACGATGCTCCCTCCGACACGCAAATCTCTGTATATTCGACAGTCGCTGTGCCCGAGGTACTTGAACGCGAGATGCACGAGAGCAACTTCGAGCACGTTCTATACGGGGCAAAGCGTCTCCTCCGAGCATCAAGGGAACGCTATCGGAGGCACGAGCGCCTACGCCTGAGGTGCCTGGAGATCCGGATCACTGATGAAGAGGGCAGAGACAGCACTGGACAGGTCGGAGGGAGCAAGGACGATGGGCACAAACCTGACAGAGACGCCAACGAGGGGCGTCACCGCAGACGCCGCCGTCGCCGTGACGATATCGAGAAGGAGATGGTCAGTCGACCCGGGCCTGGTATCGTGCTTAGGGAGTCACCAACACTCTTGGTCGGAAGTGATGGCACCGGTTTAGCGTGGTCAAGCAGCGAGGTGGCTTGCGTCGATTTGGAGCGAGGGCGAGTATGTCTTGTGGAAAACTTTGGGGAGGGGCAAAGACGCGGAGGACATGTCGGGAAAGAGCTCGTTGTCGTAGACTTCGCGTAAGCATTACGTGTCGAATACCTTACTTTGCCAAAGGCAAAATTTCTGAGTCCAACAAAGGCTGTCTGGGAGGTCGTCGACATTCTCAAGCAAGCTTGTTGAATGACACGTCGCCGGAGCGCAAATTACACGCTTCGGATATAACCGAGCGGAGTCATTGCGTCATGCACTTGTCACTGCAGACAAGCTGTGATTTTTCTGTTACAAAAAGTGATTAGAGAAGGCGGACAGATGAAAGCCTTTTTCACCCATCTTTTGCTGTGCGAAAAGTTACTGAAAAGTTGAACTTTTGCCTCGGAGTTTGCATTTCTGTGCGGAGATTAGATAAAAACACGTCCAAATCGGGAAGATGGAGTCCGACTTCGGTAACCCATCCATTTTACCAGCGCAAAATTAACGCAAATGTCGGCCAGAAGAATACCTTTTCCTGTGCAAAAAGGTGTTCCAAAACTCGGAGGAAAAGGCTTTCATCTCGCCGCCTCTTTCTCTCGGTTTAATCCGGGGTAAAATCGCCGTTTGTCTGTAGTGTGTCCAGCACGCAAACTCGAAACTAGACATGGATCCTGGAGACGCCCACACCAACACCGCCGTGTTACTCGCCGCAGCGCCAATCCGAAGTCTCTACAAAGCTTGAATCAAGAGAAAGAATACACGCGAAGCGGACGACAAAAGGCGTCTACGAACGAGATACGGGCTCACTGTCATTGCTGGTCTCAAGTGCGTTCCCTGGTGACTCGAGTCTGAGGAAATATATTTCAAGTCTTACACACTTGCTCGTTTTTAGGACACATTCTCATGTCACTTGATACTCTCCCACGTCATGTGTTTATCAGCGTTGTTGGGTACGTCGAGCCGAGAAGGAGTTTATCATCCTATCTTCGGATAGTTCTCGGCCCGTTCCGCCCATCCAGTCGTTATGGAAGATGCAAACGGTACGGTATAATCATGCGTGTCCTTTGTAGCGCCTAACCTCACGTTTTCCTCCAAACGCGCACCCAGTGCCCACGAGTACACACCTCCTTATGATCGGCTGCTTTATGGAGGGCGACTTCGCTCCGGAGACCCCCCTTGGCGTATGGATATCTGCAACGCCGCTTCAAACTGTACTCCAAGGAGGGCCCTCGCTTGTGCCACACTTCGTCGGTTCGGCAAACGGCTCGCTCTTACACCCCTTCCTTCTCCACGACTCTGTTGGCGATAAGGACGGCACGCGGATCGCTATCGGTGGCCTGAGCCAAACCCACTTCGGCGAGGTGTCCTCCCCTTACAGTATCGCCTTGTTAAGAGACCGTGGTGCCCCCCTACGACGCGCCATCCACCGTCCCCGTCAGCATCAGACCGACAGTCATCGCCTCGAACATAGGGGCGGGAGATCTCCGTGAACATGGTCCACGACCTGTGCTCAGAGGTGCGGGGCGTCTCATGTTTACATCCAGGGAAAGGGAAGGTGGCCGTTTCGGCAATGCTGTGTGGCATGAGCGCCTCCGCATGAAGGGGCTAGAGATACGGTTCGTGGATGGTGCCAATGGTGCAGCGTCGAGTCAAGGTGAGGAAACTACAAGTGATCACGTTGGTGACGCTGACGCTGGCGGTGGCGACGAAGTGGCCGACCACAATGCCATTCAACATGCGAGCACAGGAGCAGACGAGGACACGGAGAAGGTCACTTGGCTCAGGTCCGGGATCATTCTCAGAGAGTCGCCGACGAAACTGGTGGGAGGCGAACTGCCTGGTCTCGCTTGGTCCAGGTGTGATATTGCATGCGTCGACCTACAAAGGGGACGGGTGTGTCTTACGGAAAGCTATGCGATGCAACAAGGTGATGCGGGCAGTGCAAGCGCGGCGAGGACGGAGCTTGTGGTTATGGACTTTGCATAAATTGACTCGCGAATGGTTGCTTATTAAGTACAATCCCGTCGTCGCGAGCATGTATATCGCTCTATCCTCATTTCTACATAACTTTCGTCACTGACGGTGATTAATCAGAATATATGTTTGTTTAAAACCAAACGCGCACCATTTTCTTCCGTTCTTACGGTCTGGTAGGTATAGATTTGCTGAGCAGCCTGGCACTGAAAGGGCGTGTGTTTAACGATGAATGTAGAGATTACTGCTCGGGATCATCAATATTCGATGCTGGTTGTCAGCCCTTTGCGACTATATTTGACGGCCGGCCAAAATCCACTTTCTTACGATGTACCATAACTCCAAATCAAGATCGATAGACTCGTTGAGTGGGACACACCGAGACGTTGCAACGGAGCACCAATCTATGGTTATGAAATATTATAAGTCGGGAGATACGAGAAACACAACACATCATACAAGGAACGTCGAACAACAACAAATGATATACGCGAATCACATCAAAATGACTCGTACTCCATCCATGTCCACCAAACCCACCCCTACCATCCACTCCACTCCACCTCAATCCACCTCCTGCCCTATATGAACGGTTCACCTCATGCAACATTCACCTCCTCCCTCCCATCCTTCTCCACCGTCTCCTCCGACGCCTCATCATGCCCGCGGGGCAACGTCGCCCCAAGCTCATGATGCACATGCGGGTGCGGCTGCTGGTGCTGATAATGCCTGTGCTCCGGCTCGCGCCCGCCGCCGTGCGCGCCCGCCTCGTACTCGTGGCGCGGGAGCAGCTCCGAGAGCAGTCCGACGTAGTCGTACGCGAACTCGCCCATCTCGGCGTCGTCGACGCCCACGATCTCGGTCTCCTCGTCGCACCGCAGGCGGAGGTAGGGGATGAAGTGCATGACCCATAGGATGAGCGTCTGCGATATTGGGTTGATCAGATATATAAGGGAGGCAATGGAGGAGAGTGGGGGACACACAGTCACGACGAACGAATAACTCATCCCCGACACCGAATCCGCCAGCTGAATACCCAGCTGCCTATAATTATGATCCAGCCACCCGCCGGGGATAGTCGTGATCCCGTCCGCGCCCGCGATGCTCGCCTGCGCGAACAGGCCCGTGAGAATGTTGCCGACGACACCGCCGATCGCGTGCGACGCGAAGATGTCGAGCGTGTCGTCGTACCCGAACACGAACTTGAGCTGCGTCGCAAAGTTGCACACCGTCCCCGCCATAAAGCCGAACAGCACCGCCGCGGGCGCGCCGACGAACCCGGAGCCGGGTGTGATCGCGACGAGCCCGGCGATGGCGCCCGAGCAGAAGCCGACGACGGACCATTTGCGCTCGAGGCGGTAGTCCTAGCGATAAACCCAGTTAGCTCCTTCAGAATGAGCTTCCCTAGAGCGCAACATGTACTCACCCAGAGCATCCACGTCAGCCCGCCCACGCTCGCCGCCAAATTCGTCACAATACACGCCTCCGTCGCACGCAGATTCGCAGCGAGCGCCGAACCACCATTAAACCCAAACCACCCGAACCACAGGAAACACGTTCCCAGCACCACATACGTCGTATTATGCGGCTTGTACGCGAGCCGCTCGGTGCCCCACCCGCGGCGCTTGCCGAGGTACAGCGAGATCGCGAGCCCGGCGGTGCCGCTCGAAATGTGCACGGGCGTGCCGCCGGCAAAGTCGAGCCCGCCGAGGACGTACGACCACCCGGCGGGGTTCCACGTCCAGCATGCGATCGGGTCGTAGACGATCGTCGACCAGACGAAGACGAAGACGAGGATCGGGCCGAGGCGGCTGCGTTCGGCGCAGGCGCCGATGGCGAGCATGGGGCTGGAAAGCGCCGAGTCAGAATTCTGGGGCAGGGAATAATAGGCTGGGACGAGGGACATACGTGATGGCAGCGAACATAAGCTGGAAAACACAGAAAACAAGCGAGGGGATCTTAGGACTGCCCACGGAGGGCGTGAGACCCTCCACGTTCATCAGCGCAAAGTGGCCTGTGTTTCAAAGCGACCACCAGTCAACGTTCCGCACATATATAGCACCCACAAAAAATACGCACGCAGGTCACCGATATACGGACTCGCGGTCTCGCTGAACGCTAGCGAATATCCCCAGAAAAACCACTGTTATTGGTTGTGTGAAAGGTGGCGTTCGTTGCTAGTCAGCTTTGCTGCCAGACCGAACCCGCATTGTCACATACCTGGAAGGAGACGACGCCGACGGTCATCATACTCAGGAAAATCATGTTGAGCGCGTTCTTCCGGCGCAGGAGACCCGAGTAGAAGAAACCAACGCCGGGAATCATGAGCCAGACGAGGGCAGTAGACGCGAGGGTCCATGCGATGTCGCCGCCGTTGAAGACGGCATTGTCCCCGTTCGCGTCGATGTACTGCAGATCTCCCGCTTTTGAGGAGAGGAAAGCATGTGCTTTATTAGTCACGGCAGAGTGAGGGGCTGGTGGGGCGACTCACAGGAGTCGTAGGTGATGTTACTGAGCGACATCGTGCTTGCCTACCACCGCGTCTCGATAACAAGGTTCGAGAGAGGAGGGTGAAGGGCCGGAATGCCGAAGCTCTTTTGCGAGAAGGCGGAAGCCAAAGAGGAGGAGGGTCGGAGGAAGAGGAGAATTCCCAACTACGACGCAGCTGAAATAGAGGCGCTCCTTTAAACCTTGTGGAGGGCAGGGGTGGGGAGAAACAGAACAGCCTCTGCCCGACCGCCCGGCTTTTTCATGGATCCAAAGGACCACGCAGGCTATGATGGTCTCGCAGTCATCTCATCAACCAGCACACACAACCTCGTTTCCTTCTTATCGTCCGTGCCAAGGGATGGAGACGGGGGAGAATATAAGCTGACTAAGCGACGGAGTATCCGTTATCAGCCAATCACACGCCAGAGTTCCATTTCTTATCGTGTGAACGGAGTGCCGCGGAGACTCAACCCCACGTCAAGCGTATGTGGCGCTGTATTCAGGCACACCGACGCCTGAGGCAGATAAGCGTCCTTCCGTTCCATTAGGATATTGCTTGCACAGATTGCTACTCTTCTCGAGCAATCTTTACCCTTTCTCATCGAGCGTCTGACTCACAACGCGCACTCGAGAAGCACCTCCTCGGTGCGTCATCCATCTGAGACTTATTTGCGTCCTTTGGATCAAGTAGGCATGCAGACAGGCTTATCAGCGGCTCCCGAGAGCTCAAGCGCCCATGTTTATCGCACTGTGGCAGGCGACGTCGAACATGTCACAAAGCCACCGCAAAGATACGGCGGGGCCTGAAGCCACTTTAATGAATTGATCGACAGGCAACGGTCCCCCGTCACTGATCCGCTGGATGCAAGCTCGCAAATATTTCCTATCACATTCTATCATGCTAGAAAAACACTCGGTCCTTACCCTAGATTATGTGCCCCTCGCATCGTCGAGGGCACCTGTCAGCTTCATGGTAAACACGAGAAGTAGGAGCACTCGGTTACGCCTACCTGAACATTTGACAGCATGAATTGACGACCCACCCCAACTCTACAGCCGACATTTTAGCTGCCCGATTCCATGTATCGCTGTAGGCACAAGCGAGGCGGTCGACGCCTGCTGCAGGCGACGGGCCAGTACGGCCTCCAGCGTCGATACGGCTTGCTTGAGCTACTTCAACGTTTAACCACTCCTGGTTGCGGTGTTTATGCCAAGACGCGAATACACACACAGTCGTGGTGGTACCTCCCTCCCCTCGGCACACTTCCATGCATGATCTGGTCTCGCATCCGCACAAGTGGAGCGCAGACGACGGCAAGCTGCTCTGCAGTAAACTCTAAGACTTTCTGGAGCTCCATCACCCTATTTTCGAGCTGGATAGAATAAACACGACCGTCAGAAGAACCGACAGGCAGGTGCGATACGAATGCAAGCCCTAGTCAGCGCTCGACCCAGACGCACCGTACCTGCTGGACGTGGACCTTCCTCGCGCGGAACATGACCTGGGCGATCATCGACGTCCGTTTTCTGTCTTGGGCAGTTCGAGACAGCGAGGCCATGGCTGACGTTAGTCCTCTTCCGGAAGTATGTATATCGTGGGCAGCGGTTATGTAACAAAGGGCGTCGAGGAAGATAGAGATAGATATTGATCGCGTTTCTTCGTGGGAGATCGATAGGCACCGGCGACGACCGTGGGCGAGCCAAGTCGTCGTTGGGTGTAAGTTAGCTCAAGCGCCAGCCAAGGAAAATGGTTGTATAGAGCGTGAGGTTGCTGCCATCAAGGGCGTAGACCCGTGCATACAATTACGAAGGCGCAGGGCGCATGTGCAGGGCGAGCTAGGCTCAGGATGGGCGGGTGACATAAAGTCGGGATCGAGGAGAATGAGTCACAGGAACTAGGAACGCAGGCACGAGGAGACACCGTAGGCTGGAAGAGGGTGGAAAATAGACCATCAATGGAAACCAGAAAGGTAAGCTCGTGAGGGAGGCGCTCCGTAGAACTAGGCCGAACGTGAAGTACAAGGCTCTGCACCTACGAAGCGAGAACAACGGCGTAGATGGACAGCACGGCTGCACTCAGGAGTGAGCTCGTGCATTCGAACATTTAGAAGCAGTCGTGGACAACGTAGAACGTGTCTGGCGGCGAAGCACAGCCCATCAGCACAAGAGAAGAACAAGGCGGCGACGCCCACTGTGGGACAAGCAGAGCGCAGAAAAAGACGGTAAATTGAGATATCACCGCAAGGCCGCCTGCGGATGAGAAGGGACGGAGGGAAAGATGGAGCGCCAGCGAGAAAAGGCGAAGCGCTATGGGTGGAACGGAACGGGGAGATGCGCGCGCGCGGGTCAGTTAAGATAGAGCAGACCAATGCAGCCGGAAGAGTCGGAGGTATATGTTTGTCAAGCACCCTCGAGGAACCTGCACAGCTGCAGGGAATGCACAAAAGGTGATGCCGGTGGAGGTTTTGGATGCCATGTCCAAATGGGAAGACCTTTGCGAGTTCCAGTCGGGTCGTGCTTGCGGGAAGTTTGGGTGTCGCATACGATCAGTTGTTTGACCCCGGGACGATTCCCGAGCTCAAAGAGACTGAAGGAAGGGGGCAAGAAGTGAAAATAACAGTGATGGGAAGTTGAGGCTGGGGCAAGGGAGTCGGGACGGTCTGCCCTCCAAAGTTTACGCGTATTTGCCCTCGACCCCCCGCAACCCCTCCTCCCACGAAAAAGTCCAGTCTGTTCCGCGCCCGACGCTTGACTTTGAGCTCAAGCATGGCGAACACAATCTTACGCGCCGCCCGCGCCCTCTCGCGCCAATCCCTCGCCTCACGCTCACACGCCGTCTTCGTCGCGCCCTCATGTAGACGTCAGCTACATGCGTCTCTCTCTGGTATGCCCCGTTTCTTGCACGCCCCGCGCACTGTTTTGCGGCGGACACAAGGACCAAAGAAGTGCTAACCGCGCCCTACGTTTTTCAGTACACGCCAAACGCAGAAAAGGCTCCTCATCCAACGCCGACGACCTCTTCGGCGGGCTCGAGAGCGACTCCCTCGCGTCCATCGCCGAGGCCGAGCTCGCAGCTGAAGCCGAGGCAGCAGCCCAAGCAGCAGAAGCCGCCGCCGCTGCGGAAGCCCACGCCGCCCGCGTCGCCGACGGCACCGCGTCCTCCCTCTCCCCCGAAGAAGAAGCCGACCTCGCTGCATCCAAAGACGAACGCCGGGTGCGCACACGCACTAACGACCCGATGGGCGACTTCGACACGCTCTATCAGTTCGTGCACGCGCGGACGGCGCCGCGCGCGGAGCGCATGAAGAGCGTGGAGGTGAAGAGGGCGCAGATGAGGAGGAGCACGTGGAGGCGGCTGCTCGGCGCCGTGCAGACGCGGGAGGAGCTCGATAAGGTGGCGGAGCTGTTTCCCCGGTGGAGGAATCTGGGGCGGAAGTTCGAGCCGGAGGATGCGGAGGCGTTTGTTCGTGCGTGCATTCCGTTTTTTTTCTCCCCTACACCACATTGATGATGTGATTGACTATATGCTGTCGTGTGGGTGTATCATCGAACAGGCAAATGCGAAGTCCTAAACTATCCCTCTCTCGCGCTCCGCGTTTTCTCGGACCACACCATGTACGGATTCGACCTCTCCTCGGTACACGCCGCGCGCCACCTCCTTTACCTGCTGCATACGAAGCCCTCCCTCGCAGACGCTGTCGCCGCCGCGTCCCTCTTTGGCGTGTACGACCACCCGCCCGTCGCGCGCGACCCGTACGCGGGGCCCTTCTTGCTGTATGCATGCGCGCGCGCCCAGGACAAGAACAAGGACGCACAAGCGGTGGCAGGAAGGCTGCTGGGCGAGGTGAAGAGCGCGTTGACGAAGGGTACTGCGAAGGACGAGTCGGAAGGCCTGCCGCTGCGCTCGGCGTGGGGGGCCAAGTCGGAGGCGTCGCTGGCGAGGACTGTGAGGAGGCTGGAGAGGAAGCTGGGCGAGCAGGGGCAGGATGTGCAGTTTTTGAAGGACTGGACGGCGAGGCGGGAGGCGGCGGTGAAGCAGGTGTAGTTCATCCAGAACGATGTGCGCACACGGGGTGCTTAATTTAGTGCGGGCGCGCGAAGGCTCGATCGCGCGTAATAGAACTTCTTATAATGTCCTCGAGCTTTTGAATCCCAAGGATCTTCCGGGCCCTCGAGCGGACGATGCAACTTCCACGTAGGCATCGATAAGATCTCGAAAAAAATACAGCGATGGATGCGTCCGGATGACTCCAGTGGTGATGCGTACGTGACTCGCCCCCGCCCTCCACCGCATCACGCCTGCAGGCACCACCTCCTCTCCTTACACTCTCCCCCATCCTCTCTGTTCACCTCCAAACCAACCATGGGCCAACCCAGAAAACCAGTCCCCAAAGACATGCCCGCCGCACCCCCCGCCTCGCAAAAAGCAACCGACGCCGAACGCGCCGCGGCGCTCAAAATGCTCTCGGACGTCGCGCGCGCGTTCGCGTGGCCCGTGCACCGCTGGCCGCTCGACAGACGCCCCGCGGAGCACGCGACGCGCGTGCACCTCCCGCGCGCGTACCTCGGCGGCGCGCCCGCGGGCGGCGGCTGCGACAGGGAGGATGTGCGCGCGGTCAGGGCGGGGCAGGACGTGAACCAGGTGGTGCATGCGTGGTATATGGAGTATGTGGAGAGGGAGAGGGTCGGGGTGTGGACGAATTATGTGCATGAGGACGGGACAATTGCGAGGAGGTGGGTGGTTTGGCTGTTCTTGTGTGTTTGAAGTGTTCTGCGGGTGCTGATGGTTGAGCGGGGCGATGACAAGGCACGAGTACCTCGGCCCCGATCCACGCGTCGCGGGGTACTTCTTTGATGTGGACGGGGAGATACACGTTCGGTGGTGGGACGGATTCTTGAAGAACCAGTGGATGGACGATCAGAAGTGGACGCTCGATGTCGTGCAGAACGCCAAGGGCGAGTGGGTCGTCAAGGAGTACTGAGCGTCGGGTTCGGCGAGGATTCAGGCTGTATGGGCAATATGACCGGGCATGATAGCATTCAACACGCATAACACACACTTGCATGATACTGTAGCATAGAACAGGTTATCAAAATCATCGACAAACGAGAGCTTTGTTCGATCGGCCATGCATGAGAGGACCAGACAGGGGCTTAAGACGCTGAGTCAGCGATTTGCGAACTCGGCAGAGCCAAACAAGAAGGCCTCGAGTCATACGATGCATCACTTGACCATCTCTGACGCCATATGTGTGGCAACTGACTACAAACAAACCCAGGCTCGAGAACGAGACCTTGTCTCCTTGTACGTGCGCCACGAGACTGTGAAAGTGAAATGTCCAGCGATAGCCGCTGGCATGGAACGAAGGTTTTCTATAAGTGCAGTAAGCGATCACATGCTAGGAGGAGAGCAGCTTTATACCACGCAGTGAGTAAAAGTTTCGTATGTTTTCTTCTTCTCATTGCAAGGCACAACTGACAAATATAGACCGCTGGTGCTTCTGTCGCATGTAACAATTTACTGGCTGAAGATGCGCTCAAGCAAGCGCCAAGTCGCGCCATCGCCAGATAACGTTGCGAGTATATACTCTCGTAGGACACGAGCGATGAATGCCGCTGCGTTCATCTCAACGTACTCATGGAGCTTGAAGAGCTCAAACACTCCAAGGTAGACTGGCCTCGCAGACTCCGGCATCGGCGCGAAGGAGGTCTCGATGATATTGCTACCCAACCTTCGGTATTCGACGACCCTGTGGCCTTAGAAGTATACCGCCCACCCACGGAATACGAGAACGCGCACAGGTTCGACCCGAAGGCAAAGTGGACTTGGAGGGAGGAAAAGGCACGTTTCGCGCATCGCTATACCTCTATCTCGTTCAATGGAAGCATCTGCAGAGTCTAGTCCGCAAAATTGATATACGCATCATGCTTTGGTCCTGCCTTATGTTCTTCTGTCTTTCTCTGGACCGCGGTAACATCCAACAAGCCAACACAGATAACTTCTTACCTGACCTTGGTCTGACAACCGATGACTACAATCTTGGCAATTCTATATTCCGGTTTGCGTTTGTGGCGGCGGAGCTACCTTCACAAATCGTTTCCAAGAGGATCGGTCCTGACATTTGGATACCTATACAGGTGAGTCGATCCGTTTCGCTCAGTCATGGACTATCCGAGCAGTATTCAAGATCACTCTGTGGAGCATTGTATCGTTATCGCAGTTTTGGCTTACGGGGAGGGCGGCATTTCTGCTTACAAGGTGGACGAGAACGTTGTTGACTTGAATGCCGTGCTGATTTCGAGCAGAGTCTTGATCGGCTTTTTGGAAGGCGGCTTTGTTCCTGATACCGTGCTATACCTTTCGTACTTTTACACGAAAACAGAGCGTGAGGACTCGTTGTCCGGATGCTGTTGTATCTCTAAGACTGTTTCTAGTGCCCATTCGTATCGGCTGGTTTTTTGTCTCTTCATCTCTATCGTCTCTCATAGGCGCTTTCCTCGCAACCGGATTTCTCGCTATTCAGAATGTCACTGGCACAGAGGGGTGGAGATATCTCTTCCTTCTCGAGGGGATTCTCACCGCTGTCGTCGGAATCGCATCATTCTTCATGTTGCCACCCGGTCCTACGCAGACGAAAGCTTGGTTTCGGCCAAAAGGATGGTTCACCGAAAGGCAAGTAAGCCGTTTACCAGCGATCACGCTAGCTTAACAGCCGGTTCAGGGAAGAGGTAATCATGGTGAACAGGTGATGGACTTTGGTCCGTTGCACGGGGTGCCACGCTAAACTTCGTATGTAGGATCTTACGGGATGATCCATATAAATCTACCATGCACAACCGACAGGGGTTGTCTCTAGCGATGATATGGAAAGCGTTATGCGACTGGAGGCTATGGCCACTGTATTATATTGGCTTCGTTTATGGCCGTACGTTCAGATTATTGATGCAAGTTTCAACACTTACGTCTAGACTAGTTCCCGTGGGGCCACCTCAGCAATACCTCACCTTGACACTACGGAACCTTGGCTTCAGCACAACCCAATCCAATCTGCTCAGTATACCCTCGAGGATTATCGGCATGATTGGGCTCATTGCCAACACTTATCTCGCGGAGCTGATCAATTCGCGGACTCTCCCTTGTCTAATCTTGCAGATATGGGCGTTGTCACTCCTGATTCCCCTCTACACGTTTACTACTGAAACGTCGCCGTGGGTCTACTACACCGTGGTGACGTTGATAACGGGCTTCCCGGATGTACATCCAATCCAAGTCGCATGGGCTTCAAGAAACTCGGGAAGCGTGCAGGGGAGGACCGTATCTGCGAGTCTGTACAATATTTGCGTGAACCTTGGAACAGTTGCATACGTGAGTAACATAACGTCGTATCTCAACCTCGTGACGACTTTCTGAGACATAACTACAGTCGAATATTTATCAAGCAAGCGACGCTGTAAGTTTTATCTATACTCTTCATGTATTTCTACCTTATTGATGTCAACCTCGTTTACGTCTGCGAGCAGCCGTTGTGTAAGTGATCCATTAAAAACATAGTCCACTCGTACTGACCCAAAAGGAAGACAAACACGGCAATCTCGCGTTAATATTTATCACGGTCCAGAACTTTGTGGCATATGGCCTTACTTGGTTATTTTACCGAGAAACCAACCGTCGCAGACAGACGAAGTGGGAAAATATGACAGAGAAGGTGTGATTCGCTCCCAGCCCTCCTGCACGATGACTGACTTCTCGTTACAGGAGCAACAAGCATACATAGAAGCAACAACGGATAAGGGAAATCAACGACTAAATTTCAGGTTTGCGTATTAGGTAGCATCGGTTCCTGGTCGTACGTTACATGAAATGTAAATGGTCAATTCGAAGGGGTGCCTCATATATGCCTTTGCCTTTTAAATATATCCAGCGGGGACAATGGTGCTCTTGCGTATCCTGGGTATGTTGATGGTTGAGTGGGGTGATGACAAGGCACGAGTACCTCAGCCCCGATCCACGCGTCGCGGGATACTGCTTTGACGTGGGTGGGGAGATACACGTTCGGTGGTGGGATGGATTCCTGAGGAACCAGTGGATGGACGATCAGAAATGGACGCTCGATGTCGTGCACTGAACGCGAAGGGCGAATGGGTCATCAAGGAGTACTGAGCAAGTACTGAGCGCCGGATGCAGCGAGGGTAAAATATTCAGACTGTACGAGGCGTAAGACTGGGCACGATAGCACGCAACACTGTGATGCACCCAACGCACTCAGCTCCCTCAGACGCATACCTTGTTCTGTCGGCAGTCTGGCAGACATCTCTTAATCGTGACACGTTCGAGCACCTCACACTGTACCTCAGCCCATTCGGCTACGAACAGCACGTCGGTGAGAGCGTCGTCAAACGCGGAGAAGTCACCAATCTCGAGCTCTTTACCGGTTCAGCCCATCAGAATGTTGAGGATCTCAACGGCGATCAGGACGCGTGCGAGATGTGGAGCCCAGGTGCGGTGCGGATATTAAAAGGTCTGTCGATTGAGCAGCTGGAGAGGTCGACGTAGAAAGTTTCGCCGTTGTTCGCGTGGTCCATCGATATTTGTTTGCTTGAACGGTCCATTGATGATGCGTAGCGTGAACGTGATATTGGATTTGGATGTGAAGGTTAAGAATCTCACTACTTTTGACTTTTCTCGCGGATTGCGCGACGCTCGTCCCTCAAAATTTTCAGCTCATCGACGCTGATGACACGGAACGGCCATGTAAACCAGTTACCTCCACTTCTCATGCTTGTGACACCCATGTCCTCTAAAAGCTCATCCGTCATTTGTGGCCAACTGTAATGATGGCATAGTGATAAGTGGCATCAATCTTGGAAGCAACACACAACGAGGAAACTTACGACCAGAAAGCGAGGCTACTACTATAACTCTCGTTGATCCAAGCAAGAGCACCGGGATAACGCTTTCGCAGCCAAGCGGCATTGCGCTCAGTATGCACGAGCGCTTCCTCGGAAGAGGACGGAAGACGCATCGTATCACCGAGGAAGTAGGACGAGATCCAGTTAGCTGTCACTTCGTACGCGTATCCGGGATTCGTTGTAAACTGGAAACGAGTAAGGTTTAGAAACTCTCAACTGTAGAAAGCCTACCACAGCGCCGTTGATAGCAAAATCTCGATTTTGTAGATTCTTGGCAGGAACAATGCCGCGATAGATTGACGAAGCCCAGTTCTCCTGTTGAGGACAGGGCGGAGGGGGAGAGTTAAGAGACATGTAATGCCATTCGTCCATGTCAGGACCTGAAGGCGCATGTCTGTTAATGCCAAGGCTTTCCGCTGTCTCATCTAAGACAATATTAGTATATAACATGTCATAACCAAGGGAGATGAGACAGGCTACGGACCATCGAATAGAGTGCCCCACGAAGACTCAAACCCAGTGGCCAACACGAGCACATCCGCTTTGAGGAACTGACCGTTATCAAGGTGGACAGAGTGTCCCTCTCCGAAGCTTGCTACACGGGCTGGTGACTCAAGCTTAATTTTACCTGCGCTAACAAGAGAGAAGAAGCTGTCGCTCCGAGGTGCGCCTTCGTCGTTGGCGCGGATGCTCCAGAAGAGCGGCTGGGCCCGTCTCATTGGAGAATTTTGTGGTACTGAAAGTGCCTTGTACTATCTCAAGAGCATTAATATGAGACTAACCACGGATAATTGCGTCCTACTTACTGATGACCATGAGAGAAAGTTCCAAAAGCCTTTCACAATCTTGCTTCCAAGCCATGTGGTGTGCAGGAACTGTCTGTCACGGTGAAGGCGTCAGAGCGTTGGAGGCGGCACCGTGAAGGAGAAAAACTAAACGAACTCAAGCCTGGTCCTCAACTCGATGTGAGATGCCATGATGCTTAGAACTCTGCTCTTTCTGATGAAGTCGGGAAGGGCAACGGGGACTGCCACTATAGCATCCGTCGTCTCGAACACAACTGTCGTGTCAATCCCCTTTTGGGCTAGGTAGGCAGCCAGACTATGGGTTTGATGAACATGTCGCAGCATTTGAGCAAATAGCTGAACTAACTTACTCTTGAGCTGACTTTCCCCCTCCAGCGATGACTACACGATAGTCGTAATTGGCTCGTCTAGCCAGTTCTTCAACCATTTTTGTGTGTTGGGCAAACCGAGATGAATGAAACACATGCCCGGTGAAACCGGCTTCAATCGCAGCCTCAAATGAGAGTGATTCTGGTATGTACGGTTTGCTACAGCCCTGATAATGCATCTGTGAGTGTATACGCTAGATTGACATTAGACGTACGCCTGTGCAAAGGACGAGCCAGGCAAAGTCGCGAGTTTCCTTTGTGTTCTCCTGCTTGTTTACGATGTCGAGCGACCAGCCTCCAGCCGGGCTTTTACGTCTGATCCGACTAACGTCAACACCATAGCGAATTCGCCCGGTCAAGAAAGTCTCGGCAAAATGCTCCATGTAAGCTCGCATCTCATCTCCCGACACCCGCTTGCTGGGGAGGGGAGACGGTGGCATCGGCAAGGACGAGAATCGATATTCGCCATGGACACTGCAAAGACGGTAAGCTCCCGATCGACACTTCCTCGGACAAGAATGAGAAGCACACACTTGTTGATCACGATACCGGGATATATGTGCTCTTGCGACCACACGCCTCCGGGATGCTTGTCGCTTGAGAGAATGACGACGTTTCGAAAACCATCTTGAATCAGGGTGTGTGCAGTAATGAGACCTGCAGCACCGGAACCTACGACAGCAACAGATTCAGTGTGGGCCTGAAGCGGAATGGTCGCCGAAGCCATTTCAGCTTGAGAAAAAAGATGGTCAAGAACTGGACCTACAGAGGAGCTTCTGCGGCCTATATCTTTCTCCGTAACCGCCCGGATTGTTCTCTCTCATGCGAGGCTACTGCTTCCGCGAACGGCTTACGCGTGTGAAGCACGCCCATTCGTCGTGCCGAAGTTCTACCTGAGGAACGCAAATGATGCGTGAGAAACAGTGAAAACCCTCAATTAAATGGCTTAAACGAATGACCAAGATCATAAGTAAGTTAGTAAAGTGGGCTTTATGCCCAAGCTTGTCGGACTGACATCCGTTCCCAGTTGGTTCCCAGTAACCATGTGTGGCCTGGCTAAGGGGCAAGTACTGCCGTAATTTTATTCAGGCTCCGCCGGTATTATCCGAAGGCTGCGATTAATTACGCCAAACGCACATGTGCCCACGGCTACTCCCACTAACAACCCCAACGCGCAGCACTTGTTTTGCACAAAAGGCCCTTTATCATGAGGTGATGAAGTGAGCAACTCGATTACATAACAGTCGATATCTTGGAAAACTAACAATTTTGGCGCAGAGCGGCATAGGGGCTTGGCGATCCACATGGGGTGCATGATCTAGGGCCCGAGTATACCACTTAGGGGTTTTCTTCGTGAGTACTAGTTGTTTTCGTAATAATTCCTTTTCAGGAGCTGGACTCAACTGAGGGTATAAGAATCATGCCTCGTTGAAGGTGACCTCCCCTCCCTTTGGCGTCGACGACCATGGCTCATAACGTTGAGCTTCTGTAAGTCCATAGTCACACCGCTTTAGCTCTCACCTTATAAGTCGCTGCCAGTTTTGGGCCTATGCTTATCGGCGTTTTCATCAACTCCATCCTATATGGTGTAAGTAGCTCATCCGACGGTCTTTGCAACAACTCAAATGTGGGCGTGTAGGTCACGATTGTACAGGTGAGCTCTTCTAGGCCTTAAGTCACCGAACACTCATGACGCTTTAGGCGTTCATATACTTCGGAAATTCTACCAGGCATGTGTTACTCCCTTGCATCACGGATGTCGGGATAACGTCCAGCAGTGACCCACGCTGGATACGTTACTTTGTATGTTCATCCCTAGCTAATATCGCGTCGATGTACTGATGCATCTTTTTCATAAAGGTAGTATACTTGCTTGTCGCCGAGTCATTGAATACTATTTTTGATATTGGAGTCATGTACGAGCCTCTGGTACATCTTTGGGGTGCGCAAATTTCACACGTCGCTGTTGCTATTGTCCACTCACTCAACATCTTGATGGTAAAGGTGACGAACGAGCTATGATATACGTACCGGTTAGTAAGTAACATCCCTCACTCTATTCTGCCGACAATGATTGACCGAGAATCAGTGGTAGTACCTGGTTCGTCCTGGCTGATGAAAATGCATGCCCCCAGATTGACTTTAGCTCGTCTAGATGCTATCATCACAGTATGTCCATCATCCTTTGAGTGCACGGTGGGCTTACTCGTTTGCAGGTCCTCATCTCTACGCCCGTGCAGCTCTTCCTTGCTTGGAGAGTCAGGGCCATGAGCGAGTCTCTCGTCATTCCTGGTTTTATCTGCCTCTTTACAACCACGTCGTTCTGTATGCTTCACTCATTTTCACGTCCATATGTTTTCGTCTCCTAACCTACGTTGGCACTAGTGGGAGGTCTAGCGACCGGAATCGCGGTATCATTCTTGAACGAGTACTCACAGTTCCATCAGTTCGAGGGAGCCCCTATTGGTTGGCTCGTGTCCTCTGCTGTCGCTGACGCCCTCATTGCGGCTTCATTAGTCTGGAGTCTCGTTCGTCCCATCACTGCTGTTGGCATGTCTTCGCGTGAGGCTTAGTGTAGGCCTTTCATTAGTATCAAAAGAAGACGGGGGTACCTTCCACCGACGATCTCGTGAACAGGATTATCCGATGTGAGTTCTGGTACCTCTTGCAACTCGGAAGATAACTGATTAGGGCCTTAAGTAACTGTTCAGACCGGGATGGTGACAGCCACTGCCGCTATTCTAGACGTGAGCCTTTTCATCGCAAGCACGGTTAGTTTCTCTTTTACTTCGTCGCCCCTATGCCATCCTGACGGGTCGTGACAGACGACCCTGTAAGCACTCTACCGGCGCCCCTGTCGCGTTAAGATGTTAATCCTTCACTGGTCAGATTCTGGGTCTTTGAGTTTTCTCTATCGAAACTGTATACAAACTCGATCTTGTCGACGCTCAATGCGCGCGGACGTTGGCGATCCTTAGCTCACGCGACTGCGGATCCCATCTCGTTTAATGCGTCTACAAGAAGAAGGAAGGTAATTATCCGGCTTACCTTGAAACACAGTGTAAGTGCCTGACGACAATCGTTCGTTAGACCAGGGCAATGAGCCGTACACTGGAGTTTGGGGTTATGACGGTGAAATTATCCCTTTTGATCTTGCACTCCCCCATTATTCTCGTACTCAACTATGTCTCAGGGCGCCAGCGATGCGGAAATAGAAGGCGAAATAGCAGGTGAAATTCCCATCAGGTTTCACTCCTTGCACGACGTACCAGCACCGAGGGATGCATCGTCGTCGTTGGCATCTTCCGGAGTAACGGTGACCACAGTGGTGGAGCGCTTCGAGGATCCGCCGTCTTGTGCAACGTCATAATGTTTCTCATCCGCGAGCAAGAGTGCGCGAATAAGGCCAGGTTAGCAATCATACACTACGCAAAGCCAATAACCGATCACAGCAGGGTGCACAGTTGGGCACTCGAGCGATCTGTTGAAGGAATTCATAGAAAGGAGTACTTAACCAGAGCTAATGTAATCCTTCCAATGTACAGTACTTCGCCCACGAACATGCCTCATTAACTCCTCAGAGTCGACATGGCACTACATAATAAGATCAACGCCCTCGGATAGTTGTGTATACCTGTTCGCGCGCTGTTTCCCTTTGGCGCTTTAAGTCCTTCAGGTCGTCAACACCAACCACCTTAAAGGGCCAGGTCAACCAGTTCCAAGGATCATTTGCTCCCATGACGCCCATATCTTCGCGTAGGTCGTCCATTTGCTGAGGCCATCTATTTGGCGCGTGAGCTCAGAGCGATGAAGATGATAAGGTGATATTGACGTACGCCCAAAATACGATATCACTGGTGAAGCTCTCATTGATCTTGTACAAGACGCCAGGATAACGCTTCCGTATCCAAGCCGCGTTCCGAGCCGTATGCGTAAGTGCTTCCTCAGTTGAGGAAGGGAGGTATTTGAGGTCTCCCAAGAAGTACGAGGAAATCCAATGTGCGGTTACTTCGTATGTGCACGCGCTGTGCGCCGAGAACTACCAGGTAAGGTGAACACTTCGGACATGGTGAAGTATCAAGCTTCAAGGGCGCTTACAATACTACCGTTGATGGCGAAATCGGCTCTCGCTATGTTTCGGGCGGGTACAATGCCTCGATATATCTGCGGGTCAATCACATCCTTCTGGATCTCCGGAGGGTCATCAAGCGTCTTGTAGGATGACCATTCGTCCGTGGCTGGCTGGGGATACCATTCGCGTCCGCTGAGACCAAGTCGTTCTTCCGTGTGACCTGTCAGGATACAACGGAATGTAAGTTCAGGAGTTCTTGGACTTGGACTGAAGAACACTCCGCACCGTCGAATAGCCCTGACCACGAAGACTGGAAGCCGGTAGCATAGATGACTATACTGGCTTTCACCTTCGTACCACTATTAAGGATGATTGACTGCCCATCTTCACCATATCCGGAGACCCTTTCCGGTGCAGCGAGCTTGATGCTACCGGAATTGATGAGCGAATAGAAGCCATCCTTGCGTGGCGTTCCTTCATCATTTGCCCGGGTGCTCCAGAATAAAGACGTAGACTGGCGTAGCGGTGAATCGGGTGGAATGGACAATGCTTGGAACTAAGGCAAATGATGAAATTGAGTTATCTCGGCAAGAACGTCGGCTTACCGAGGACGTTCGCAGGACATTCCAGAACCCACGGACAATCTTGCTCCCCAGCCAAGTTGTATGAAGGAAACGCCTTAACTAGTATCAGTGTCCCTGCTCGCGAACTCAGTCATAATTGCCTACTCGGTTCTTGTTCTGAGGCGAATATGGGGCGCCATCAGGCTTATCACCCTGTGGGAACATGAGGTTTGCAAAACGATTCTCACCATTTACGTCATGTACTAACCGGCTCCTTCGAATGAAGTCTGGCAGCGCGAATGGGGCGGCCACAACTGCATTTGGAGTGTCCAGTACGAGGGTCACAGGTAACTTCTCCTGAGCCAGACGAACACAGATACTGAGATTGAAATTAGTCAATCGCATTCGCGCGAGGATGATGTACTCACTCCTGCGCAGATTTACCGCCTCCCACGACTACAATGTTGAAGTCGTCGTCGGAAGCCCCCTCGGCGGCGTTGATGATTTCTTCGGCCTTTTGGGCAAACTCGGATGAATGTATCACGGGGCCGAAAAACCCAGAGTTCTTGTCTGAAGCTGGAGACAGCGAGTCCGGAATGAATGGACTGCTACAGCCCTGAACATTGATTAGTCGCTTGTAAAGATTGAAATATTCAGCTCGATACGTACCCCAGTGCACACGACCACTTTATCGTAGGTGAGCACCTTCCGAGTGCTGGTTTTTTTGTCTAGCACGTCAACGGACCATATGCCCGAACCGTCGTCTCGATGTACCTTCAACACTTCGATGTTGTACTGGATATGACCTTTCAAGAAGATGTCTGCAAACTGCTCCATGTACGCTTGCGTCTCAATGCCCGACACGCGCTTGTCCGCGAGTACAGAAGGTGGTATTGGCAGTGGAGAGAAGCAATACTCCCCATGTACGCTACAGGTTTAGGTATCCCTCAGTAAACGTTTGACGGCCGGGCTTCCGTTGATAGAACGTAACGCACTTGTTCACCACCACGCTGGGATACATCCGCTCTCGCGACCAGACACCACCCGGAGACGCGTCTCGAGTAAGTACCTGCATATCTCGAAACCCGTCTTGAACCAAGACATGTGCAGTTATGAGGCCAGCCGGGCCAGAACCAATGACACAAACGGAGCTGCCTGTTGCGGGCGTCGTGGTCATGGAGGGAGGAAAGAGTGGTCAGCAGTAGGCGCAGAATGGCGAGTCCCTACCTTCAAGTCTAGCGAATAAGGCATCGTCCTGCTGCCCATCGGAGCCGTCAGCGCCACCTTGACACGGGGAAGGATGAAATATGTCGACGAATCAATAGAAGGCAGGATGAACGTGAGAGTTGATTTGAATGCATAAGCGCTACTATGGAATACCAGTGACAACAATCCCGGAGGGTGGCGCGTACGACTAATCCAAATGTAAGTCGTGCAGTGTATGATAGGTCCCTGGAACAGAATACGGCCGTCAGAGCCAACGAACGCCACCGCCACTGTGGCGGAGTGGAGAACAAATAGCATCTACTCGAGTATCATCAACATGGCAGAGACCAGCGCCTGTGTCAACATAAACTCCGCACCCATCCATTCAACTAGCATCGACCTCCACATAGATGTCCCTCCCCTGATTTCCAGAAGTACCTCTTGCTCGGCTCAGTTCGGCATGGTTAAGAAGCCAAGATTGTTCTACGTGCCACGTGTCTGCAAGGGAGCGAATGTGGAGCATCGCACGACAGACAGACACCACTGTTGCAGCAACTGTCATCCTAAACCACAGTCATTGTTACGCTCGCTCGCTGAAGATATAGGTGGCTTACTCGCTCCCGAATGCAGTCATATACTCCTGTGGTAAAGAGTGAATACCAGGCAACCTATACTCAAGTAGTTTCAGGACTCACAACGACATTGGAAGAAGTAGTGAAGGTGAGTGAGACGGTTGTGTACAATAGACTGGCTAGGGATGCATTTGCGTCAGTCTTAAAGTACGCACATTACTCCTCAGACTCGCCTACGGAAAAGAGATATATCATGCATCCCCTAAGATGACATGCCATTCAGCATGAACGTAAAAATAGCGGATACCCTTACTCCTTGAAGAATAACGAGAGGAATGTTTCACTGACAGGCTCCGATGCCATGGCCAGCCTGACGATCTTGAGGAAGAAAAATACGGTATGAACAACAAGAGATGGCATATATATCACCCAAAGCAACACAGGGCTCTGAGACGTTTGGGAGCCTTGCGACATCTCCAAGAGAATAAAGGGATACTGCTCTTTCACCAGGACTATTGTTGCAATAGCACAGCCAAAGTAAGTACCAAGGGAAAGAGCATGTATGGTTTTGTTCTTCGGGAACAGGTACCATACTCGCAGTCCTACCACAGCTGAAACATTATTTAGATTCGTACATGGCATTGAATTTGATAGATCCGACCTTGAGTAGCGAGAAGGATAACAAACGCGTCGACAATCTCCAGTTTCATGAAGGAATCTAATCGATTTTCCATCCATATAGAATCTACACCAAGGAGTCAGAACTACACTCAATCCGCTGTTTGAACATTAGTACTTACTAGCACTCCCTAGAATCCGTATTCTACAGATAAGGTTAGCCTAAGTCAACATACACTATGTCTCAGAACATACGCTGATTGGACTAGGCCACCATAGCGAATCTGGGAAGTGACGGTTTTCAGCACAGGCAACTGTCAGTGGAGTTTTCGTACTATGATATAGAGCCCTTTGCTAAGTGACCATGAGTTGTCCCAAAAGCAAGCTATCTGAGCAAAGAGTCAGTCGTCATAAGTGCCATACAACTAATTGCGAGAACCTCACTTCATCTTCAAAGGAAATTAAGTGATCGTAGAGTATAAGTGTCGACGAAGCACAGGCCGTCCAGCTCATGTACTCGGATGCTGTGGCTAAGGTCAGTATTTCCTGGGAGGGGAGCATGAAGAGGTGTTAGGATTCTGGGAGTAAGCAGAGACACATCTATCTATATGAGTTGTACGTGAAGCCCTGATATTTACCCTCGACGGTGAGCCACTCTTGATCATCAAATACACTCATAACAGCCTCGCGCCACTGGTACCACGCCCTTTTATGATGCCTTACCAATGATTTTTGCATACACTGTCTTATATCTTCAGGACAGTGAAACAGCAGGATCGATGGTCCATGACATGCTAAGCCTGCAGTGGCCTGTCAAAGCGGAAAGGAGGCCGAGCCTCGCGCCGAAAGAGCGTTCTCTGGCAGTCAAACGCGGAAACCTCACATCTCTTAAGTTCATCAATCATAGGCAACACAGCTGCAGAGGCAGTGTTGATGATCTCTGAGTTCGTAGTAAGACCGAGCCTTTGAGTGAAGTGGTGAACCCTACGACTTACTCAAACAGTGAATACGCGGACTACTGAAGATAGCCAGTTGTATGCATGAGATATTCTTCAGGTTGATGACTTCAGGACCTCGATAGGAGTTATGAAGCTGAGGGGTCCGTCCTAATGTAACTAGGTGTTGATAGGTTGTTGGTCTAGACTCTAGCATCTTGCGCCGACTGCGGTAAATGATGGGACGTGTGTAAGCTTCGAAGCGAGCGATGAAAGTGGGAGATAGGACACGCCTGGTTCACCTTGATCTAGAAATTGTATTGTCTGTGAATACTGTACTTTTTCGACCAAAAGTTCGTCCCGTGTCCCATTCGGACCAGCACCGCGAACTTTTGGTCGGTTTGTCCCGCTTCAGTAGAGCCCACGAACTAAAATGGGTGACATGTTGTAAATAGGGGCTAAATGGGCATCAATATTTCACTTGTGGACAACCAATACAGTCATCCCAGCAGCTCATTAATACACCATAGCGCACAGAATGAGGCGATGATATCCACCACACACTCATTTTCCTATTTAAAAAACTCGAACCGAACTTATGTCCCGCACCACCAACACCAGCGAACTAAAAAGCGGGACACGCTGTATTTGGTAGTCATATTCCCACACCACCTCGCGAACTTTTGGTCGAAAAAGTACAGTATGGGCCCATGCATGTAAGCCGTCCGGAAGCCGTGTCTGGACTCTGGATCGCGTATGTTTGTTTGGCCCCTATTTGGACCAAACAACACGTCTCGCGTCTGCCGCAGGCGGCGACTTCACCTCCACACGCGTCTGCATTACCCTCTAAGAGCTTTGCTCGCCCTTGAATCCCTGAGATTCATCCGTGCCCATTAACCCATGTCTGAGGTATCATACTGGTCCTTCAACAACCGCTCAAACCCTGTATACGATGACTCCGACTCCGACCCCGACGCTTCAGACGATGAAAATTCAGCATCAAAAGACGAACGTTCTGAGGACACGAGGCTGCTCGAGGAAATCGACCTACGTGCTAGGAAAGAAACAGTTGAGTACAAGCCAAATCCGTGGAGCATCGCCAAGATCAACGCGCGGAGTGGTCCTCCTGCCTCTCCGCCACCTCTCCCGAAGCCTATTGAGAAACAACCACCGAAACGGGCACCCCAAGGGACAATTGTCGAGGCGTTCAAAAAGCAGGCCAACCGGCCTCATACCACACGTCCGCAGAATGGCCCAGCCCTCACGGCGATGCGGAGGCGGTACGATGCTCACTCTCAGGGCCATACTCCAATCAAGATGTCTTCCATTGAACCCTCCCACCAGTCGTCAGCTGCGTTGATGACATCTCATTCGCCTCCTTGTACTCACAAGCCATTTGCGGATGATGATCCTCAAACAACCCCTGCTCGAACCACCTCTGTTCAAGCACCTCATCCGACGCATATACCCAGCCCATCCACTCGCACAGTACCTCAGGCGGCTTCCTCGCCCCCAGCCGAAAACTCCACCCAGCCGCGGACCCCGACACAATACGCCATGGTGGCCCAGAGTGCCAACATCGCTCCTGGTTTTTTCCATCGATCTCTTGATACCGCCCGTTTAGCGTCTTCGCCTATACCTCCTGAAGTACCGGGTTTCTGTTCTCGCTGGACTGGCAGAGGTGCTGTGTCATCCCCTCCCTTGCCTAGTGAACCGAGCCTACAACGTGGCGCGCCCCGATACGCGAGTCTCGGCCCCCGTCCCCTTCCATCAGCAATCGCTCATCACTCTGGGGCTCCTAGTTGGCTAGCTACTGCTCTGCACCATGCGCTGGATTCTAGGCCTACCGCGGATGCGCATATCCAATCACCACCTCGTACATCTCCATCGCCAGAAGCTCTACCCAGTCTTCCGAAGCGCCTCAAACAGGAGTTCCACTCTCCGCCTCCGCTTGTCCGGCCTTCGTCTCCGGTCCGTTCACCCCCACCGAAGCCTAGAAGACCTATCAAGCGGCCGCTTTCGCCCTCACCACCGGGACGAAAGCGCATGTCTATCTCTCGATTCTCGTACGATGCTAATTCTCGTGCTGGACCCTCCGCGTATGCTTTTGCTGCGGACGACGATCCTGACGAGACTTGGTCAACTCTCAAGACGCCCTCGAAGCGTCCGGCACCGAAGAAAGCTGCTGCAAAGCACTCTGGAGCGTTTACCTTGCCGGGTCTTGGGCGTCAGCCAGCCTCTCGTGTGTCATCCAAATCGGCATCAGCCCCTGAGCAGAAACCAAGAGTGGTAAGATACCTACCCCCGCCTAAGATTGGTCCCTCGTTGAGGACGGGGACGAGCGCTCCTGGCGCGGAACACAACCGATCTTCTGAGGCTACTGAATCTGGCTTGACTACTGGAGACGTGCCTCACGAGCTCACAGAGGCAAGCAGCGACACCGTCCTCGGCGATGACCCCGATGCTGTGATGACCGTCGACTGGGAAGGCGTCAAGGACCGTTACCCTGGCGTGCGTGCGTCAGTGAAAGAGGTTTGTAGCTCTGTATGGTCTCTCCGTGCATGCATATATGCGCATCTCACGCGGATACTCGGTTTCCCCAGTAGCAGCGGCGTCGTGCGCGGAAGCTCGGAGACGTGCTCTCTTTACCTAGCTGCGGGGTAGTCTGGCGCGATGATAGGTCTTTGCTTGCGGAGAGAGGGATGGGCTGTGACGAGCGATGTATTCCCATCTGGCCTGGAGAGCTCTAGAAGAATGCGATACCTGGGTCTGGTCTACTGGGATTGCTTCGTTTCTTTGTTCTGGCAGACTGGCTTTGGGGCATTTTGACGGCGCTTGTGCCTTCCTATGTGCTGTACAATGAAGTTTATGTTACTATCATTCGTCCTTGGCTTGAGGATAACTTGACCATCGTCAAGTTCGACTGACGTTCACAGTGGTTGACTGGGTCCGAGACTTCCAACCGGCAACTTTGTTCAAGCGCCGGTCAGGAGGACGTTTCTTTCTTGTCGGCCCGTTCGGTCCGATGCCGAAATATATCCTTGCGCCCCTATTCTTAAGGCTCATCATTTGACGCCATGGACGCTTTCCCTCCCGTTCCCTCAGTCTGTTGTTTCACCAACTATCGCTCCATATCATGGATCCATTTTCTCTCAGACGACCATTCATCGCCAACCCACTGAAGACCAAAGATGACCTCGCGAGCTACCTCGTCAATCTCCTCAACCCGCTCGAGGCTCACACCTCCCCAGGCGGGGCGCGTATCCATCTCGGACACACTGCAACGCATTACGATGAGGCGGCTGCACAGCTTGAGGGGTTTTCCCGTCCGATCTGGGGGCTCGCGTCGCTTCTTGCGGGTGGCGGTCATTACAGCGGCGCGCAGCGCTGGGTGGACGGCTACGCGAACGGAACCAACCCTGACCACGCTGAGTTTTGGGGGAACATGAGGAGCAAGGACCAGCGGATGGTTGAGTGCTCGGCCATCGGGTTCTCGTTGGCAGTCGCGAAGGGGGAGCTATGGGACCGGATGAGCAAGGAGGCGCAGAAGAACTTTGAGGATTGGTTGGGAGGGATGAATGATAAAGAGATGCCGAATACGAACTGGCTATGGTTTAGAGTGGGTTTCTTGCGTTCTTGACAAGGGATGATAAGCTCATCGCATGCGCTGCGATCCCTTTCAGGTTTTCGCGAACCTTGGGCTGTCGAAGGTTGGATCGCCTCGTTATGACGCAAAGCGTATGAAGGCAGACATGGACCATCTCGACACGTTCTACATCGGAGAAGGCTGGTCTCGCGACGGACCCGAGGGCGTTGTTCAGCTCGATTACTATTCCTCATCATTTGCGATCCAGTTTGCACAGCTCGTGTACTCAAAGCTCGCTCAGGACGAAGATCCGAAGCGGTGTGAGGAGTATCGCAACCGCGCTCGCCGCTTTGCTCAGGATTTTGTTCACTACTTTGACCCTGAAGGTACGTCAGGTAACTCTCGTCAGTGTCATGTACTAAGCCTGGCTATAGGGCGTGCGATCCCTTTCGGCCGAAGCATGACCTATCGGTTTGCGATGTCCTCCTTCTGGGGTGCCCTTGCTTTCGCCGACGTCGAGCTGCCAGCACCACTCACATGGGGCGTTGTCAAAGGCCTGCAGCTGCGCAATATCCGCTACTGGCTGAAGCAGCCCGGCGCGTACTATTCTGACGGCACGATGACGATCGGGTATTGCTACCCAAACCTGAACATGACCGAGAATTACAACTCGCCTGGCTCGCCGTACTGGTGTTGCAAGTCGTTCATCACGCTTTCCCTCCCCACGTCGCACCCGTTCTGGGCATCGCCGGAAGAGCCATACCCTACCTCACTCCTGGGCACGGTCGCTCCGCTGTACAAGCCACTTCACATCGCGTCTAATTTGGGCGGCCATACTTTCATTCTTTCGTCGGGCCAACAATGCTCCTACCCTGTCAAGCAGAGCGCCGCCAAGTACGGCAAATTCGCGTACTCGTCCGCGTTCGGGTACAGCGTACCCACAGGCGCGCTTACTCTCGAAGAACTCTCAGCGGACAACGCACTAGCGCTGAGCGACGACCAAGGGGAGACGTGGAAGTGCCGTCGCGAGACTCGCGAGGCGCGCATTGAAGACGGCAAGTGGCTGCATTCGATGTGGTATCCGTGGAAAGGCGTCGAGGTCGAGACGTGGCTCGTGCCGCCTGCGCAGGAGGCGCCGCTGTGGCATCTTCGCGTGCACAGGGTGAAGACGGGCCGCGAGCTCACCTCGGCAGAGGGCGGATTCGCGATACACGGACAGAGGGAGGATGGGCGTGCGCTCGAGCCAGCGCCGGAGGGCCTGATTGGAACATACGAGCAGAGCGGGGAGGCTCGGGCCACCTCGAGCGCCGGCGTGTCTGGCGTTGCGGATTTACGCTCTGGAGGAGAAAGAGAGGCGAAGGTCATCCGGACGGACGCGAACTCGAACCTGATTGTCGCGCGAGCTGTACTACCGACGCTCGTGGCGGTGTATGATCCCGGGGAACACTGGCTTGTGACTGCCGTATTCGCTGTTCCGAGCAGAGAAGGCGAGAACGTTCCGCCTGACGGATGGCAGAACGAGTGGAAAAAGAGGCCTGTGATTCCAGCTGAGTTAGCGAAGCTGTTCTAAATCTGTAGTGGGTCCTCTGAATTCCGAATTCACGTTTTATCGATCATCCCTCATGCGGTCGTTCGGAAAGGTTGTAATTGGTAACGAAAGTGACACGCTTTGTGAACGAAACGACCCACCCTTCGAAAAGTCAAAGCCGTTGTTGAAATCGACGGCGTTTTCGACGTAGGTCGTGATAGGATCTGTCGATTGTCGTTATTAAACAAGCACAACGTCACTGTAATCACGGCGCAGCGAGCTTAAAGCTCGGACTATTCATGTCATAACTTTTACGCGCCGGGGCTGTTTGCTTGCCGTCGAACGGCATTGGCTCAGTAACTTTCAGCACGATACCGGTCTTCGGGGCAAACCAGTGCAGATGAAGTCTAGAACACTCAAAGTGAATTGTGAGCTATTTACGGCTCATGACCTCTACAATCAAAAAAAAATAACATGCGGTTTCGGAGCTTCGGATTTGGCGAACGCGCTGGGCGGGCAGAAGAGCGCTCTTTTTGCCAACTCAGCCGTAGCTTGTTGCGGCCCGAGGGAGCAGAGCAAGGGCAAGCAAGTGAAGCTAAATGAGGGGATGTGTTCTGTCAGAAGGTCTGTCAGAAATCACAGTGACAACGACTGTTCCTGAAATTTCAGCCAATGATCACGACGCGTCGATAATTGTGCCTGACGCGCGTCCCGGAAACGCGTCTAGATCATCAACTTCTACTGCGATCTCGACGGGAATGAGCGGCATCAGGGAGGGCAACATGCGGGCAAAAGTAGCCGACAGAGTGAAATAATCTGCAAGGTCGCATTTGGCCAAACCAAAGCAAGACAACCCCAGGGACGTATAAAAGCAGACCTCAGTGGAGCAACTTTTGCCTCATCTCGCTTGCAGTCTTTCGATTTTGCTTCAAAGCTCTTAACACACCCACCCACTCTTTCAAACCACACACATTCTTTCACCAAAATGTTCACTCGTGTCCTCGTTGTCCTTCCCCTTGCTGTCCTTGCCGTCGCCACCCCTGCTCGTCTTGACATTCGTGGTCAGTGCAACACTGGCTCCGCCAGCTGCTGCAACTCCGTCCAGAACGTAAGTCTCATTGATACATATACTATGCATCGCGCCCGTTTTGCTCACACTTAACCCTTTATTAGGCCTCTGATGTTAGCAGCACCTTCGACCTTCTCGGCCTCGGTGCCATCCTTGAGGGTCTCACCGGCCAGGTCGGTCTCAACTGCAGCCCTCTCGACATTCTTGGCAGTGGCGCTGGTCAGTGCAACCAGGAGCCCGTTTGCTGCACCGGCAACACCTTTGTGAGATTCTCTTTTCAGTACCTCGAAAGCTTCAAGGCTCACTCCGAACTTCCTCTTCGCAGAGCGGTCTTATCAACTTGGGCTGCTCGCCTATCAACCTTAACCTCTAAGCTACTGGACACTTGCTAGTTAACTTACTCATTCCTTAGTTAGCTACTTACATATGGACTTTGAAGCGGGGTTAGTAATGGCCTTCTTCCCGTACACTAGCAGTACTATTATCCATTGTACACTTTCGTACGCGGATATCGGACATTTTGCTTATAATTTCATTGGATGCATGATGCTCCATCATCGTACGGTCGCTTGTTTTCAGGAAGACATATGTTAATCCGTATGTCGCAAGAATTGAAGAGAGATACTATAAAAGGAAGGACAACAAGGCGACAAGCAACAAGTACAAACAAACCCGTTGTCACCTCGCGCGTTCAAGTTCCTCAACACTTCCTCAACCTCGCTCGAGCTTCACTTGGGCTGCGGCGGTCTTGAGTTCATCGTATGACTGGCCTCCGTTGGCGATGTATGTCAACCAAGGCCTCCGCTAATGTTCGCCGTAAGAAGCCCAGACAACACGCATACAGGCAGGCTTTCAAGCCATGATGGCTAAGTGTTGGCCTAGTACTATGGCCGGACCATCGCATCCCGCTCGGAAGTTCAAGCCTCCATGTGACATTCTGCTTGGTAGGTCTGGCATCATTTGACCCCTCCGCATGTATTCAGTCCTGATCTTGGCGTATGGCAGCCGAAGCGGCACGCAGAAGTTCTGCGACACTCAACTTCACTCGCACAGTGGCTAAACAGTTCAAGAAGCGCCGAAGTGAGCACTTAATTCTTACGGACGTTGGATCCCTCTAGATCAGTTCTTCCAGCTCGCAACGGTTATGGCTCGGAAGAAGCTCTGAGCGCTCCCATCACCTATGAGAAGTTCCTTGTCCACGCGGTGCTCGTTGACGACTTATGCGGTGAATCTCCTAGCCCGCTGCCTTGGATGGACCAGTGTATACCGTGTTGGCTGGCGCCCACGATTGACTGATAGGGTACTTTTGTGACTTGGAGATGTCGATATGAACGGTGAATCTCTGCTTCTCTTCTCGCCTATTCCGTCTTCCAGTTCCCTAACACCAACCATACGTGTTTCAAACAAATGTTCAGATCTTCGCCTCTTGTCCAATGGATGCCTTTGTCAGTATATCTCCGTCTACCTTACGTGCACTATATTAACTATAGGCCGTGTCAGATCCCGAATTACTTCCGAAGGTACATATCAGGAGTTCTCGCGTCCGCAATGTTTATGTGGACATGCCACTGACAGGACTCCACCCTTCTGGTGAGGCCTTCTCCCGGTCTTGAACCATCTCAGAGAAGTTTCAGGTCCAGGGCAGATGCATTGAGTTCTAACCCACGTGATGCCCCGCATCTTCCTAGTTTTATGCGACAAACATCCGTGTGCCTACAGTTTTTTTTTTTTGCAAAGAACCGCCACATATAAAGCAAGGTCTGAAATCATGCCGTCAGAGTCGACCAACGCAATGATGAAGCTCATGACCTCCATCGCAGCTCTTCTGCCTTTCGTCTCTATTGCCACGGCTCAAGCGGCCGCTTACGGACAATGTGAGATTGATGGCGCTTCCCGTCTCACCAACCACTAACCACTTCCGTAGGTGGCGGGACTGGCTGGACAGGAGCTACGACTTGCGTGGCCGGGTACACCTGCACTTATAGCAGCGCGTATTACTCCCAATGTCTTCCTGTACGCTCTTGGCCTCGCTTTAATGGCACGATCTAACAGCTTTCACAGAGCACCGGATCCACTTCTGGCGGTTCTGGCACCTCGACCGCGTCCGGAGCCCTCCCCACGGGCACTTCGACTGGCGTGCTGAATACCCTCGCGCAGTCCATCGGAAAGAAGTACTTTGGGTCTGCGACCGACAACCCCGAGTTCACTGACACTGCCTATATGGCTATCCTTGAGTCGTCGGAATTTGGCCAGATTACTCCAGGTAACAGCATGAAATGGGTGCGTTGTAGTCCACATCTTCTTCCGGACGAGAGTCTAAGACTTCACCCTAGGATGCGACGGAGCCCGAGCAGAACACGTTCACGTTTACGCAGGGCGATGCTGTCGTGTCAATCGCCAAGGAGAGTAACAAAATCGTCAGAGGTATAGTGATTTCACTCTGTTCCCCGTACTCAAGTGTGCTTACCTGGTGTAGGCCACAATCTTGTCTGGCAAAGCCAGCTCCCGAGCTGGGTGAGCAGCGGCGGGTTTACCGCCGCGGAGCTCACGTCAGTGATTCAGAACCACATCAGCAATGTTGTAGGGTAAGCGAACATCTTAGTGTTTAAGTATGTCTCTGACCCGGCATGATTCTATGGGCAGCCATTACAAGGGAGAAATGTACGTGCTTACTCTAATTATCACGTCGGTGATTCGAGTCTGATTTGTCTTATAGCTGTCAGTAAAATGCTACGTCTTAACTGCGTTAGTGTTCTTGGCTGAACTTTCCGCTTTACTCGCAGACGCATGGGACGTCGTCAACGGTACGAGTTTAGGTGGATCAGCGTGACGGTTATCTTATTACACTCGTTTCTAGAACCCTTCAACAGTGACGGCAGTTACGTCTCAGATGTTTTCTACAACACTCTTGGCTCGGACTTCATCCCGATTGCGCTGACCGCTGCCCGCGCGGCTGACCCGAACGCCCTGCTCTGCATCAACGACTACGGCATCGAGGGTTCAGGTACAGCTTTCATTCGCACGAACCATCAGCTCTAACAGAGCGTACGGAATAAACTTTGACCTGCAGGTACCAAATCAACAGCGATGCAGAACCTCGTGAAGACTCTTAAAGCTGATGGCGTGCCGATCGACTGCATCGGATTCGAGAGTCACTTCATCCTTGGTGAGGTGCCTACGGACCTGCAGTCTAACATCGAGGCTTTCACTGCGCTCGGCGTCGTCGTCATGATCACCGAGCTCGACATCCGCATGACACTGCCCGAGACGGCCGCGCAGCTCGAGCAGCAGAAGACGGACTATCAGACGGTTGTTTCGGCGTGTGCTGCTGTGGATGACTGTGTGGGTATTACGGTGTGGGACTTCACCGACAAGGTTCGTGACGGACGAGCTCGATGAGATGCGTGCTGATTATGTCTCAAAATTTGTCAGTACTCTTGGGTTCCTTCGACTTTTTCTGGCCAGGGCGCAGCGTGCCCGTATGATGACGTGAGTGGTTCAGCTACCAGCTGCGTTATGTCATCTGATCCCGCCTTTATCTAGAATCTGATCAAGAAGCCTGCTTTCGATGGTATCGTTGCGGGTTTATCTTGAACTGTTACTGTCTCTATTTTCGCATTGATGGGTTTTTTTCGGCTACTATGTTCTCTTGGATCACTGTGTAAAGGGTACTACAGATATATTGCATATACTGCGCTTATAGCCACTCATTTTTCATGATATTAGCCAAGGATACACTGACGGTGGGACTCCTTCATGTTCTAGAAACCGAGAGACTTTGGCATGTAAATGAGGTCATCGAATGAAATAGACAGTAGATACAAACAACGCTGCCGCTCCGCGTCACCATTGCCCTGCGCGTTGATTGCGCCTCCCCGTATGACAACTACCCTAAACCCAAATCAAGTCCAGTGATACCCCTGAAAGTACGTAGCTGCCTTGCCCTGTTGTACCTTGTACTAGTGTCAGGCACAACTTGAAGACACTTTGTTTCGTGTCCGGCCAGGGCGCAGCAACTTGAACCGATGCACAACAGATTCCAGAGCACACGGGATTAAAATGTCTCATGGTTCCTCTATTTGCTCATTGACACTGTTGTATGGCTCATACAAACCAGTGGTATTATAACCATCATCAGTATCTCGACTCGCTCCGGCTCGCTGATGGCATCATATGCATGTCGGAGTTTCGACTGTAACACATCTGCCAGCCCATGACGCACTCCGGGGAACTTGGCCACTGGGACAGTACCAGAACCTAGCAAACGCCGACTGATGAGAGCCTCTTTCCATCCGCGCACCTGCCGCAGCGTATTAATAACATATCGGCATATTAGAATCTCGACGTTCGCCTCGTACCATCATAAAGTCAAGTTAGTCAAATCAAATCAAGTCAAGTTGCTCCCCTCCATTGAGCTAGCTTCCATCCGTTCTTTTGATGTCAGAACCATGTACGTCGCCGGCATCAGCTTTCCATCCGATCCGGAGAAGTACGGCGCAGCGTGGCTCGAGGAGGGCTCGTAGTTGGTCGCGAAGGCAATTGGCCAGTACATCCGGCCACTCACTTTTACCCACTGCTAGGCAAAACTGGGGCAATTAATGCTCATCAGGGTATAGCGGGGGTGCTAGCGCAAGGCAGTAGCATGGTGATGAACCGATCTTTGCCAATGATTGACCTCAAGGCTACTTGATCCCGTAGGTATGGGAAGGGAAGACGCAAATACCGCACGGCTACGAAACGTGCATGTCAAGATGTTACCTGTACTTTCCCTAAAATAGCCAGGCCCCTGATTGTGTCTTGGTCAGCTTATGAAATCAGGCGCAGCACCCATCAGCAAGTGGCTGCCATCTTGCTCAGCACCCTCTCAACTTACGGCTAGTGCAGTCATCTTCGTCATTCCCTTCCTCGGCCTAGGGCAACATTGTGCAGCTGTACGAAGATGATTGAGAAGATCACGAATCTTAGCCAAGCGTCGTCCGTGTGGGTGCATGAAATTTTTAAATGTAACGATGTCCATGCCATGAATACTATCACTGACTCTGATAGGGACAGTTGGCTCCAAAAAACGTGACTCTGCCCTCAGGTAGTTCCTCGTTGAATATTGATACAAAGCTATCGAAGGTAATAAGGAATTTTCCGGAGCCCTGGTCGCCACTATCACCTGCCCTATTCAAGAAGCGAACACGGAGCACAGATTATACGCCTCACCCCAGACTAGCGCAAAGCACGGGCGCAAGTGGCGCATTGTTCTCACTTGCAGCGGAACTAGTTACCGCCCACAGTCACATCCAATGACACCAACCCAGCACCCCGGGTTAGTGGAGATTTGTGTGTAATAGCGCTCCCAGTTGCCGTTTGTCGACGTGTTCTAGCTGTCTTTTAGTGATCGGATGCCTTTCCTGGATTTACTCCTCCTGAAATTCCTACGTCAACCTCGGGATGGACATCAGCTTCTCAAAGTTAGAAGCTGCAGCCAGTTACGGATGGTAAATGACTTTCCAGTGCCAATTCGCATATATAAGAGAGATACCAGTCGCCATCTTATCCTCATCGTCCATATCTTCACTGCACCACTCAGTCCAACCAAACTCCCAACAAGAAAATCACTATGGTCTTGAAGATTCACGGCGCCAGCCAGTCTACCTGCACCCGCACCGTCGCGGTCGTTGCTACGGAGCTCAACGTCCCATATGAGTTAGTTCCTGTCAACTTTGCCACAGCCGAGCACAAGTCGCCCGCGTTCACCGCCGTTCAGCCATTCGGCCAGCTACCTTACATCGTATGTTCTCTCTCATCCACCATCCACCTCCCTCTTCCTAGGCGAACCATCCAGAAAATAACCGTCCATGATGTGCACACAGGACGACGATGGCTTCAAGCTGTACGAGTCCCGCGCCATCGCCCGCTACCTCGTCAAGAAGTACGGCGGCCAGGGCACGGTGAGCCTGATCCCCACCGGTCTCAAGGAGGAGGCCCTCTTCGAGCAGGGCGTTTCGATCGAGACGGCCAACTTCTACCCGTCCGCGATCGGATTCGGCCTCGAGAAGGTCTTTAAGCCGTGCGTATCACATATACTCTCACGGTCCATCCTTGATCGAGGCTGACGGTGATTACGACGGTGCTGTAGGATGCGTGGTGTCACTCCTGACGAGGCCCGTGCAGCGGAGTGTCTCAAGACTCTCGAGGCCAAGCTCGACGTGTACGACGTCCTCCTCGGCAAGCAGAAGTATGTCGGTGGAAACGTACGTCTTTCGCCATCTCACGTCATGACAAAAACGCTAATCGTGGGCTGTTCGTGTCATACAGGAGATCACCCTTGCGGACATATTCCATCTCCCGTACGGCCAGCTTCTTGTCAAGGTCGGCCGGGATGATCTCTTCGAGTCGCGCCCCAATGTAGCGAGGTGGTGGAAGGAGATCTCGACCAGGCCGTCTTGGCTCGCTGTCAAGGATGGTGCTTAAGTTAGAGCCGACTATCGTTAGACTGAATGGGGGTGCCAAAGTGTGTTCATAATTGTACAGTAGCTAAACAGTGGACATCATCGCGACTTTTCTGACAGTGACCACCGCGGTTGGCCAAAAAGCTAGCACTGGAGATGGTTGGTTGATATGATTATCATTCAGACGCCCATAATGCATGGGTCCGAGGAGCTATTAGGTCCTGATAGGACCCTGAGATGCCTATGAACTCTTGTCCCGCATTTCCGCTAGCTTGACACATTAGGGGGGTTAGACAACCCACCCGTCATAAGATCGGCTTGCAGATAATGTTTGACAAAGTACCAGTACATGCTTAAGAATTCCAGGATGAATATTGCTAATAATCGGAGGATGTTACAAGAATAATATAATGAAGGTTGAATATAAATCTAAACCATGTCAACTTCACCCTCTGCCACGACCGCCGTCGCGAACCTGACGGATCTGAGGTGCTCAAGACAGCTCTCCCAGCTTTCCACAGACGCGTCCGCGCCTCTGCCCCGCTCCTGCATTCGGATATTAATAACCATCCGCGGTCCGAATATGCACGTCGCCGTGATGACGATCACGTCTGATACGCACAGATAGACTAGACCGTTCTCGGATGTACGTTGCTACGGGCGTCGGGCGGAAGATAATACAAAAGAATAATTAATAAATAGCAAGGAATGACTGATCGGAGGACTCACAGCTCCAGCCCACGACTCGAAGGATGTGATCTCCAGGGACAGCGCTGTGAGCAGCCTATCAAAGGGGATTGCGTATTCATGAGCCGGTGTTCTAGCTGGGGCGCGAACAAGAAGGGGAATAACATACAAGAGAAAATACAACACGTTGTCTCTGACGAGGACAAAAGCCAGCCCGCGCAGACGGCACGCGGTGGCCCAGTTGCGGACGTAGCAGTAGAGCGTGAGCGCGAGTATCACCGCTTCGTACGCGAGCGTCGTGAGCTGGCTGAGTGTGCCTGCCCAGAACGCGGACGAGGAGAGGAGGTTGCCGCATATCCATGCGCTGTTTTGCATCAGGTCTGACACTGGTTGGGTGGTCAGTGTCGGTTATACTCAATGCCCTAAGCATGTGTGGAATGGAGGAACGCACTGATGGTTTGTCCGTGAGGACCATACAATACGATGGACGCTGCCACCGAGACGATGGACTGTAGGATGTATGACGAGAGCAGGAAGTATAGCATCTTGGTTGAGCCCGAGTACAAAGCGTGTAGCCGGAGTATCATCATCGCTGGGTAATGCGTGTACTAGAGTGCAGAGCAATATGACGCAGCATGCAAACCTACCCTGTAGTGCACCGATGACGACGACCTGGAAGCTCATGGAGACGAGGAACAGTACGTAGCCTGGTGAGATTGTGAGTGCTCTATAAATAACGTGAAAAAAGAGTGGCCACTCACACCTAGACTGATCTTGAGCCGCTGCTTCCCGGAATCTCGCGAGGAGACCACTTACGTCTACGAGAGATCAGAGTGGATCCCACATGTTACTAGGGCCATAACGCACTTTATCAGACATCCTTGTTCCAAATACAAAGAACGCTATCGGATTGATCCGATTGTCAGGCATGGTCAAAAGATCCGATCAACATGAACATACAGAGCTCCAGTCTTCACGGGAGTAAGCGCTAATACCGAGGCACAAGGGCAGGGCGCTCACAGGCTGTACAGAATACCTAAATGGCGCAGCTGTTTTTGTTCGGTTCCGTGAGGTCGGGAATCAACCTATGGCTGAAGGTTTGGTTCTGGCTTACCAGGATGTATAGCATGTTGATCAAGGAAAATCGCGATCGCGACCGGTCAGGCTGTGGGATTTTCGAATCGGAGGACCATGTCCACACGTATTGCATCTGCGAAGAAGGAGCGGGGGTGTGAATTACTGTACCAGATTTTATGGAGTGGACAGCTTACCTCGCTATCGAATCGAAGTACTGAGTCGTATGAGACACGTTTTAGCAAAGAGAGGATATGGAACAACTCACGGTAGTCGTATATAGTCGCGAAACATAACGCAACTGGAGCCTTCGGTCAGAGCCGTGTTATCTAGTAACGCAAAGTACCGGCCCTCACCCAGTGCGTAGCTTTCATTCTGCGTGCGCCAGACGAGAGGGAGCCATAGAGATGAGTTGATGACGATCATGTTGCGAATGAGCGTCGAGCGATATGCGAGTGCCGTCACCACAAGTTCTGGAAACGACTTTTATTCCAGCAACGGGCACAGCACCATTCTAAGAGCGTCAAACATCGAACGCTATAGCGGATTAGAGACAAAGATAAGCAGCCACTGACGTAGAGCCTCGGACCCGTCCAAGCGCTTGCACGTTAGCGATCGGGAACCTCAGCCAATAGGACATAACCTGCAGACCTCCATGGCATATACCGGAGAAATTGATCAGGGTTATCGGTTGATAATCTAGAGAGCGCGCAGGGGAGAACAAGGGTGGATGGTTGGGGAACAAGGCTAGTGCGTCCGCCGGATAGAGAGGCACTGGAGCTGTGGCGGATGTGGACCATGTTGTCGGGGATGCTGTGAGTAAGTCTGGTACTGGTTTTCGCTGAGATTAGGGAGATGTTATTGGCATGGTAACATAAATCGGCCTTGAATACTGGCCCTTGGAACATGCAGGCATATGAACCGTTGGGCGCAGTGGTGTCAGGTATTCAAGTTGTTTTCGGGCCAAGTTGTGCCAGAGTGAGCATCGACATTCCAGTGTTGACTGAGGCAAGTGTCAGCAAATCTGGGAGATCAGCCTAGGGAATTATGATGATGTTGTATGCACTGAAATTGACGGGACGAAGAGTCGGGTGCGCGATGATCACACGTGGGAAGCTGTGTTGGCCGCGTGCCTTCCCACGAGCGAGAGTTTGTCAGCAAACCCACGCCACCCTCGGTGTTTGGCCGTGCTTGTATGGTGTCTCTGTTCAATTCATTGTTGATCGACTCTTGTGCGGTCGAGGAGCGAGTCGACGTCCCTCCAAAGCCACCCTATCTCTTTTTCTTTCCATCCATCTCTGCTCCATCCAAAACGCGCATCTCTCTTTCATCCACCAACTAATCGCATCTCTACGCATCTCAACACTAGCATCAACGCATACACGCCACCAGCGCGTTTCTACTCGCATCCACCCCTCAAAGAGCCTCTATTCTCAATCCATCCAGCCCATCCACCCTCATTCACCTCCTACCCAGCCTCTAAAGCCATGTCCACGCGTGATACGCGCTCCCCATCGCCCGTCATCATCCCCACCTCGTTGCACGGCGACGACTTCCCTCAAAGACCCGGTGGCCTCAAACGTTCTGCCTCCGTCGCGAGTCTCCCCACCCCTCCGCGAACGCACCACAAGCGCCATGCACGTCCCAAGTCACGCGCGTCCAACGTCTCGCAGCATCTCTCGTCGGAGGAATCCGGCTCTGACGCGCTCGCGAACGACGACTCGGACCTCGACGGCAACCTAGGCTTAGGCCTGGGAGCGCGTCTACGCGCCGCAGCCTCTGTTGGCGAAGAAAAAGACGAGACAAACAATGGCCGCAAGAAGAGGCGCATGAACGACGTGCTGCCCGGTGGAGACGAGGAAGAGGACGACGAGAATGCGTTCTGGACGGGCCGCTCGGGGCCGCGCCTGGGAGCACCACCTGCCGCATCTACTTTCGACGACCCGTTCGCTGCGCCTGCGCCTACGGAGCCCAAGGAGGACGTCGACCCGACGCACATCGACAAGGTGCAGCACGATGGCTCGGCGAGCCCCGAACCCGCTATGCTCACCTACCGCGTCAAGGCCCCCGTCTCCCCGCCGCCCTCGCGCCGACGTGGCGTGCGCACCACGCGCTCTACTAGGGGCACCGCCACGGTCTCGCTTGCGCCGGGCCTCAGCCCGATGAAGGAAGACACCGAAGGCGAGCACCTTGAAGCGGCGGCGGCGGCGGTAGCAACTCTAGAAGCAGTCCGCGGCCGTGCAGGCCCTCTTCCCCCGAGCACGCCCCCGCGCAGCCTCATGATCGCGGCGCCGACGCTGCCAGTTACACCGCAGCGGACGGCGTCACCCTCCAAGAAGCACAAGCGGACGCGTACGGTCAAGAAGGCTAGGGGGACGAAGATTATGCCTGTGCGCGACTCGCCGTATAACCCTTTCTTGCTTTCGGATGAGGAGAAGGGCGCGGTGGCGCGCATCGTCGATCCGTTCTCGTCTGGTGGTGAGGATGTCGAGGAGGAGGAGAGGGCGGGGCCGTCGAAGAGCCGCCGCGACCAGCTTGCTGCCCGGCGTCAAGTGCAGAAGCGCGCGGAGAGCAGTGGGTGGGAGAGCAGCGACGACGAGTGCTTGGTGCGCAAGCGCCGAGCTAGGGCTGCCAGGGCAGCGGAGGAAGACGATGTCGTGGGCGAGCTGACCGAGTCGGAGAGCCCGACGATTCTTACTGCGAGTGCGCGCAAGACGCGGGCGGCGGCAAAGAAGTACCAGGAGCCGGAGATTATGAAATATACATTGTGAGTATATCCTTGCTCCCTCGGTTACTGTGCTAGCGCTGACTGGGACTCGTACTTTCTTCTTCCTCCCCCTCCCTGCTTTAATCCTCGTCGTCCATCGCCTGTCATGCAGCCGCGGCCAAAAAGCCTATTTCGCCAACCCGCACTTCAAGCGTCCTGAGGCCATCCTCGCCGCCGCCGCCTTGCCGCTCGAGCACCCTGAGTTTGAAGCAGACGAGGCCTGCGCCCCCAAGATGCTCTTCCCCGAGGCGCACGCCGCGCTCGCATCTGCCCGGCGACGCAAGTCGAAATCCCCCGCTCGCGCTGAGGCTCCCTCGACGCCCAAGCGAGGCGCGCGGACCCTTGCGGACGAGTTCGAGGACGCGGAGGCGAACCTCCCGCGCACGCCCGTGCGCCGGTCTCCCAGACTTGCGCAGCATCAGCACCATTACGATGTTGTGGAGGCTGCGGCTGCGCTGGAGAAGGCGCGCGCGCGGGAGCGCGAGAAGAGGGAGACGGCTGCGAAGGCGAGGCTTGCTGCGAGCCAGGGGCTGAGGGCGGGGGCGGTGGTTAGTGAGAAGGACGCGATTGGGCGGAGGGCTGCGGGGCCGTCGAGGAGAGTTTGAGCGCCCGAGGTGCGGTCGGGGTGATATAGGCGGTGGTTTTCGACGCTTTCCAGCCTCCGCGGTCTCTCGCTGTGCATATTCTTGCTCGCGTTCTCGTGCTCTTGTTGGAGCTACTGGCCCTCTGGTTTCGTCAAGTTTCAGCTTTCTGTTCTCGCCGAAAAGGACTCTCGCTCAGCCCCGGACATAAACTCATCACTCGACACTCATCGACATACATACTAACACCATCCTTTCGTCACGCTTTTTCTCCTTTATCTTTCCTCAAGGCCGTCGAGGGCGCACGCTATGCGGCCCCATCGAGCCTAGTTTTGTGCATATACTCTTGTCCTGTTCTCAGCGCTACCCACCTTTATTGTATCCACATTCATCCACTCGTGCTCATAGGAGCACGGGTGCAGGCCCGCCAGATCCGTTGCCGCTGCTAGCTCATTGCGACACACGTTCTATCCATCCTACTCTACGATATCTTTAGTTGTGTTTTTTTTGTTTTGATTTGCGCTTTTTGTTTCTCCTTTTGTTTCTTTTTTTCTTCTATGTATATAGGGTTATGTTTTATGATAAAATGCGATGGATATGCGTATTGAATATAGGATTTATGTGGCTTGTGATTTGTGGACGCTCGTGCGGGTTTGAGAAAGGTTTGTGGTTTGGTGTTGAAATTGAGTTACTTGGTCGTGCTTCGTTCTGCTGCGCTGCTCCTTACTCCAACTCGAATGAATTGACCAGTGAAGCACTAATGGAAACCGCATGTACTGCGGTATGCGCAATACCCGAGTACACCTGCAGCTATCTAGCAGCTCTGTTCGAGCCTCATGGCGGTTAGCTCTAAGTTTCGCGTGTCCATTTGGTGTGGACTGCCCACTCCCCCGAGTCCAGCTGCCCACGTTATTTGATCGTGCTAATACTAATGTAGTTAACTTGCGTGATGGAGCAACGATAGAGCACTCCTGAACTCATACCACCACCAGGTCGAGTTTTTCCCACGTTTGTGGGCAGGGGTTTGGGTCGTTCGTCAACCGTACAAGGGGTTCTCCCCTGCTTTCTGACGTCCCCAACACGGTCACTGAGCATATCCTCTTTGGGCCGTGGCTCGTTGGTCCTCATCCGGTGGTGAGTGGGACATCTATTCTCTGGAGGGCGTCTTTGGACACCGCGACAGCCTCCCCTTTACCTGGTAAAGGGAGTTCGCAGCTGGAACTACTGGCACTGTTGTGTAACTTACCCTCTGGCAGTCTGGATGCCTTGGGGACCTATTCTCCCTGTCCGAGATGTGGGCGGATGGGTGTTTTACCTCCCGTGGTGCGGTCTCCTTTTCGTGGGTTAAAAGTGGATTCCACTACCCCCACGGCGGGTCTCTTTCTTCGTTCCCCAAATCCCGCAAGGGTCTTATAGGGGTCGGTAAGAGGGGGAGTTTGAGGGCAAAAACAAGCCGACCGTAGACAAAACGGACAGGCCACCCCCCTCCTGTGCTGTCTCAGCGCAGGACGTTAGTCGGGGCAACTCCCGCGTTCCACTGCGGGTCACCCCAGGCGAGGCATGGGACTCTTGTGCATGATTGGGGATCCGCGCCTCAGCTGGCACCAGCGAACCACATGCACGGGAACGGGAAACCAGACTCCTCGGTCATGTACTTTTGTGACGCCGAGGTCAAGGCGGGCCGTGGCGGCATGGGAGAGCTGTCCATGTCCGGCCCGAGAGATCTAAATCCCCTGCCGGTCCATGCGCCCGTAAAGGGTTCTATGGGCTCGAGTTGATACCATGCGACTAAAACGATGACTGCCAGGGGCTGGGCACCCGCTGGAGGAAGGTGGTGGGCCTCGCAAGAGCGCCCTTAATGCATGTCATTAATCTGAGGTCAGGCCACGCCTTTCTCAACGAACATACCTCACGCATCGACCCGGTGGTCTCCCCCTCATCGGGGTTGCGGTGCGCCGTCCAACGACGACACCCGCGTTCTGACAAATCTTCTTCTTCTCCCGTTGACATAGGCACACATGGTAGAGCCGGGCAGGTTATCAAGGGCGCGTACATCCTCGGGTGCCTGCTCACGCACGCTGCGGCAACACTTCAGCACGTCCCGAATACTCTAAAGATATACAAGGACATGCGGATGTCTTACACGTGTCGCGTCAGGTTACCGAGGACAGTAAAGCAAATGGGGTGGCATACGAGTTCTTCAGGCCGGGGCGTGCAGGCTGTGCGAGGACGCCAGTGATATTGGGAGACGAGGCGAGGATGATTAGGGAAAGGTGGGGGAGGACTGTGCACAGTGGGGGTGTTCCAGCCATAAGACGAAAAGGTTTATCGTAGCTAAGTACGCACATTGCCACCAATGTACTTCTGCCTTCCGAGGATAATATCATACGCGTCGAGCTTGACCTCAAGGGCCTTAAGCTGCTCCTCCACGACGACTTCATCGGGGGATAGGCCGCGCATCCTGTGGCACCGTAATTGATATCGTCAGCCTAAGTCGAACACGGACAACAAGGGGTGAGAAGACATACGGCTTAAAGGTCTTCTCGGCAGCGATTGCCAGCGTGACCGGGTAGAAGTGAGACTGCTCGATCGAGACGCCCTGCTCGAAGATGGCCTCCTCCTTGGGATCGGTGGGGATCAGCTTCGTGCCCTGGCTAGCGTACTTCTTGGCGAGGTAACGCGCGATGGCGCGCGACTCAAATAGCTTGAAACCGTCCTCATCCTAAGTGTAGAAATGTGAATATACCCGTCAACGTCATGATGACTCATACGGTGCGAAGAGCAGAGCAGAATGGGCCGACGATAAGAAGAGATAGAACGCACGATGTAAGGCACCTGCCCGAACGGCTGGATTGCGGTGAACGCAGGTGATTTATGCTCGGCATTGGCGAAGTCGATCTCGACGAGCTCGTATGGCACGTTGAGCTCCTTGGCCACGGCCGCGACGGTGCGGGTGCAGGTGGCAATGCTGACGCCGTAGAGCTTCAAGACCATGCTGAAATTCTTTTGATATGTGTAGTTGATTTGAGCGGTGCTATAGAGGGAGGATTGGGCGATGGAGGAGAAGTTAACGACCAATATGTGTCTCTTTTATACCTGTACTGTGGCATTAATATTGGGACCTCGCGATCGTACCACATCCACCGCTGCCCCAGCCAAACAGCATCGCGTTGGGGTCCGAGTCATGACTCAGTAGCAACCGTGCAGATCGTATTTTTCCCGAGCGAGCAGGAGTAATTGGGCCCATCTCTCAAGACTGAAACAGGAACCACAGCCAATCAGGGAAAGGCAGCCTGTTACTAGTGCCAGAGCGCAAGTGAAAGTTAGCGCGTCAACATGGACTTGGCAACGTCGATGGGGCTATGACGCACCAACTTCCTACTGACTGGGAACGCCTGAGTCATCGGACGCGATTGCACGGCGTCGGACAGCTAGTGCTACTATAACCCACAGTACATTAACATAGGTTTCACCTGTGTCTATGCACCAATGTTCAAAATCATCCAATTTGAACGACGCATATACTTACCTTTTACAAAAATTTCAAGAAGCTTCTTGATCAGTGACGGTTTCTTGAATCAGCAAAATATCAGTATATGATGCAGAGAGAACCCTACTCGTAAAATTTTCATTTTTACGTTTTAGTTGGCTGCGTCCACTAGCTTTCAATTTTTTGATGCGAGCGTCCCCAAGTCCCCAACGTGAAGACGCCTAATAAGGTGTCAGCAGAACCAGTCGTGGGTAAATTTTGCCACTTGGAGCATTCTTTAAAACGCTCCAACGTCACTATGCACCTCACATGCGACCATGCCTACGACATACTATTCATTCATCTTCACACCATATGCACTCCTCCCCGAAGACGACGGTAGGGTGACGAACACGAGTGAGCTGGGCGTCCCAACACGAGGGGGTGCGGAGGGGTGCGGAAAGCGTGCTGAGCAAGACGACGAGCGCCTACTTTAATCGATTGATCTCTGATGATTTTTACTCAATGAACTGAGTAAGAACTCATCAGGGGACAGTCTGGATTAGGGAATCTGAATGTTACGGAATTTGCCATCTCGACATGCACGCTCCCTCCGATGTCTCCGACATCTGGCCTTCGCCAAGCCGTCTTCGGTCACGAATCCTTCACCGATCGCGGTGGCCCCAGCAGCTCATGCGAACATGCAGCAAGAACAACGAAAATTAGGTCATCCATACAAGACCAATTCAAGAAGGGTGCAGTGCGAAACTCTTAGTAGGACAATCAACAAAGGTCAACACCCTGCGCTAGCATCAAGTGCGGAGCAAAACTACTTAGATCTTACTAGTCGGTTAGACTCATGCGTTATGTATAATATACTTTGTAAAGCTGGTACAGTCTCAGTCATTCATTTCAAGCACTACTTGTAGAAATAGCCGGAAGGGTCATGTCACAAAAGTCTCGATAATGTTCATTGTTTATACAATTTTGAGTACACTTTTGAGCCTCATTTAGTCTAATAAGAACCAGCTTTGACTTAAGCGGCATCCTTAACAGCGAGCCAAGACGGCCTGGTCGAGATCTCCTTCCACCACCTCGCTACATTGGGGCGCGACTCGAAGAGATCGGCCTGGCCGGCCTGGACGAGAAGCTGGCCGTAGGAGAGATGGAACAGGTCCGCAAGGGTGATCTCCTGTATGACACGAACAGCCCACGATTAGCATTTTTGCGATGACGTGAACAAGGAATACGGCGGGAAGACGTACGTTGCCACCGACGTATTTCTGCTTGCCGAGGAGGACGTCGTACGCGTCGAGCTTGGAAGCGAGCGTCTTCAGATGCTCCTCGGCGCGCGCTTCGTCAGGCGTGAGGCCACGCATCCTGTAGCACCGTCATCGTCAGCTTCTATCAAGAATATATCATGAGAGAGTACGTGATACGCACGGCTTGAAGACCTTCTCAATGCCGAATCCAATCGCAGACGGGTAGAAGTTGGACGACTCGATCGAGACACCCTGCTCGAAGATGGCCTCCTCCTTGGGATCGGTGGGGATCAGCTTCGTGCCCTGGCCGGCATACTTCTTGGCGAGGTAGCGGGCGATGGCACGGGACTCGAACAGCTTGAAGCCATCATCATCCTGTGTCATGGGCGGTCAGCTTCTGGACGTCTCGAGCAGAAAGATGGAAGCGAGCGGGTGAGAGAGAACGTACGATGTAAGGCACCTGGCCGAAGGGCTGGACGGCGGTGAACGCGGGAGACTTGTGTTCTCCCTTGGCGAAGTCGACATTGACGAGCTCATACGGGACGTTGAGCTCCTTGGCTACGACCGCAACAGTACGGGTGCAGGTAGAGAAGGAAACACCGTGAAGCTTCAAGACCATGTTGATATTCTCGATGGGATGTTGGTTGGTTTGAAGGGTGCGATGGAGGAGATGGGGACGATGGGGAGAGACGATGGGGTTGGTGTGCGTCACTTATATATGGGCGAATTGGCATTGGAATCTCGTGCGCCATCCATCTCTGGCTCCAGTTTGACAGGTTCGCGCTGGGATCGCGACCGGCAGATCATTTTGTTTCCGAGTTCGCGGGAGCCAATATCCATCTCAAGGTAGGCAATTACTACTAGTAGAACACAACACGTCAACAAGTGGGGGCTATAACACGCCGAAGTGTCTACGTACTGGGAGCGCTTTAGTCATCGGATGCGTATCCCCCGACGGCAGCTTGCTCTTCTATAGTATCACTTGTGCCTATGGGCCTCCTCAAGGTGGTATGACCTTCAATGTGGTGTCAACGGTCCCTCTCGTCGGTGGGTCGGCGGGCAGTGCCCGGGTGATGCTCAAGCGCTCACCACTCTATTCATTCACGTTCACCCCATGCGGCACCTTTCCCGAATTCGAAGGGGGAATGACGAAGCAAGAGGGAGCGACGCGCTCTGAGATGAGAGGTGCTGAGCAAGACGACGAACGCTCTGCTGATGGACGTTGAGCTTGGTTTTGTAAGCTGGGCAAGAAATCATCAGGGGCTAGGCTGAATTAGGGAATCTTCAAGTCGTGAAGTTGCCATTTTGACATGCGTCTCTCCTACGATATCCCGGATATCGGGAATTGTCCCATATGGTCTTCGGTCATCCCTTCCGCCACCGACCGCGGTCTACGAGCCTCTAACAGGTCATGGAAGTGCGAGTACGGCAAGAAACAACGAGAAGCTGACCATGTCAAAGACCAATTCAAGGTTCAAATGGGGATCAAAGGGTAAACATGGGGAGAATGTCGTTCAAGAGCGCTAGGAGGCTCAAAGAGTATATGAAGGGGCCGATGATCTAGTAGATCCTTCAGGGCGCTAGGTGAGTGATAACGCTGTCGCCTGCAAGTGCTTTCTGAGATGTTGGAAGGCCAAAAGCCAATTTGTCCTTCCAGAGGATGCCAGGGGCTGACCGTCTGAGTCCTGGCGACCTCTCTGGCACACGCTTGAGACTGGGCATTTACAAATGATGGCAGGGTGCTTTACACAACGCAGCGCATGTCATCAGACTAGCTCCGCTCTCGGAATCGAGCAGCAGCTCTCGGCCTGGATTATGGCAGTGGAAGAGGGCAAGTCAAGGTCAGCCGAGTTTGGACCGAGTATGGCCATCAGTGAAACAGCAGCGGCGGTGTGCTCACGCGCGAGCCCAGCGCTTGAATGGCCAAAGTCAACTGGACGTCATACAAGACGATGACTCGACGGTGACTTTGACGGTGAGTCAGTCAGTCGTTGAGACGACGGTCGAGGTGATGACTACCGGGGCGATGACAGGATACCCCTGATGTAGCTCTGAGCTGGAGAGCTTCTGTGGCAGGTATTGGTTTCACGCTACGCACTATGGCCCACAGAGTGCTATGATACATGGCAGGGTAGATTGACATGTGTATCGGTGTTTCGGCCTCTTGGCTCTTAAGGTGTGGTGACGGGGGTCCATGTTATAATGGGCCCCTCTTATCAATTCTTTAAAGCTGAATAGAGCCAATGAGTAGATGCATAGCGAACACACTTCTGAAATGAGGCCCAAGTTTGCGCTCTCCCATTTGTAGTGCTTCGCTTCCTTCTCACACGTTGGCTTCTCTTTGGCGCCGGGCGATGTGACCCTCGCACTATCGTGCTGCTTTCCAACCACAACCGCGGACGACATCTGGGTACGGAATGGCAGATTCCTTGCTGGTGCACACTGTGTCGCCCCCTAACATGAGCAGGAGGAGGGGGAACGGAAAGGGAAAGAAAGGCAAGAAAGATCGAGTGAGGTCTCACGTTACTTGCTGTGATAGTTGGGCTGACCAGCATCACCGACGGCAAAACAGATTCCAAGCCAGCACAGTCAAAGCCAGCAGAGTCAAGATAGTCAGAGCGGACACAAAACGATGTCTGGCAATTCAGCCGGGCAACGATACCGCCAAACCCGAGCTCGGTGGAGCCAAGGACAAGCTCAACGCCAGCAGACGGTTCCGAGTCCCAGCTGTGCTCAAGACCAAGTTCAGCATCATGTTCACGAAGAGTCGGCAAACGTCGACATGTACAATTACGACATGAACGATGATCGTGTAACAGGTCAAGCTGACAATTTGTTCCACGAAGGACATCAGCTTTCAGAATCTGAAAGTGACGATATGTACAACTACAACAGCATGGACGATGAGGAAGACTCGTTGGTGAACCGGATGGGCTACAGCATCACGGGCATGATGCGTTTGGGACTCAATCCATGGAATGTAGATGATGTCGTGCGTTATTCTCCCGAGTCTTTTACTCCTATGAGTCGGTATTAACGAGTCTCGCCATGACGTCAGTTTGAGTATCCGGATGTTTTGCGTCAGGTAGAAAGACACATGGGCTGCGACTGGCAGAGGTTTGACTGACTTACAATGATCGATGTGGCTTCATCAGGACATCGGGATAAGCGAAGCGTTGTGTTTGATAACGAGAACCGAGCGAGGCACCGTTACGAGGATGCCTCACGCTTATGATATTCAAAAGAAATACTTGGCCGCGTTTATCGGATGTCTGGACTTAGTGCGTACATAGTCGATGTTATGGGACGTTCGTAATGCCATATATCGACTGGACGCAAACCTGAGATGGGCGAACATGGTCTTTTATAGAACTTCAAGTACAGTCACTCACGCTTGTGAACTGAGGTTGAGTATTTTACGATACCCACAGAAGTATTCTTGTGTACATGACAATAACAACGTCCGACAAGCAAAGATAGTCTTGTATAAGGCTAGTACGTATACGGCAGGCTTGAATTTTGGGAAACAAGTGACACTTCAATGTGAATTGATGTGGGGAAGCAAATCGCTCAGAAGATAACATATCTTTGGTAAAAGAAGTAGAAGATATTGCATACAGCATAGGCAAGTCTAAAATTCTTGCACCGTCTTCGGTCTACCAAAGAAAAGGGAACACACGATACGGAACTTCCTTCTTGTATCGCCTGTACTCGTCGGCGATGGACGCATCTTGCTGGATGAGCTCCTCCTTCAGAGGCCTTCGTCAACGAAAATCTCAGACGAAGATATGTAGACGTAACGTACCTCGATGGGCATCTTGATCGCGAAAGCAGCGGCAGTGATGGGAAGCGTGATAACTGGGACCCAGGACCAGAACATCACGCCGTATAGAACCTGCTGTATCATGACGGACCTACACGAGACACGCGAGGTGAGTAACGGGAGCCGAAAAAAGTGAATGAGTGACCACTCACGAGTACATAGGGTGTCTCACAACAGAGTACGCGCCGTGCTTAATAACCTTGACACTCTCGCGACGCTAAAAGGAACATAGAAAACCGATATCAGCATTCGGTAAACCGTCAAACGTGAACAATACGTACGCCAATTGCATGCCACTGTGACCCCAACGCCTTAGTGACTTTGGTAACAAGCCCATGTGCCATAACAACCGACAAAACACAAGCGGCCACTCGCAGACCAATCCTCTCCTTCTCTCCAAGCCCCCAGTCAGGTAACGCCCACCCTTGCATCCACTGTGGTTGCCTGAACCCGCCAAGCGGGACACCGACGAGAATTGCAAGTTGAGGGATGAAATACGATAGGCCGTGAATGGGAGAGACGATTTTGCCCAAGGAAGTCGCGGGCATCCTGTCGGGACGAATCTTGCCGCCTTCGGAACCTGCCACCTTTGCCATCGCTGCCATGCCCCTGAAGGTGTGCACGAGGATGTATGTCGTGGTGAGGTAGGCAGGGAGATCCATGTCGGTGGACGGGTCGAAGGGCACGTTGATACCGGCGATGTACATGTTTCGAACTGGAAAGAGGAGACTAGGGTGATGGAAGGAAGCACCCCGACTAGCGATGACTTTATACTGAGACGAGATGAGCATCACGACGTCAACATGTCAATATGTGAGTGTAATTCGACAAAGACAAATAAGGAAAGAGGACCTCACCGGACAGCGGTTTGCCAGGCCTTGGTACTACCGCAGTGATAAGTTTCTCTCGACTGCGCTGTGGCTAGCTTGATCAAGACATAGGTCTACTTGCTGATCCGACATGGTAGCATCAGTGAACCGCAGCACGAGAAAGTGATGATGGCTGTGGTACTCCTAGTTTGTAATAGTATTAATTAGCCGCGGGCGGATGAGGAGGATTACATACCTTCCGCTTTTCACTATGTCTAGCACGTTACAGACACTTTTACATTCCCTGCGGATTGCAACGATGAGGAGTCACTAAAAAGCGTCATATTCGGGAACTGAAGCTCGAGCTCGCTGACAGGAGCTGAATTCCGTAAGACGAGTTGTTACTCTCAAAGCTGAGACCGAGCCCTTCGCATCTAGAGTTAGATCTAACGTCCCTGGAACAGGCCTATACCTGGAATGTGGTGCCAAAGCTTAGCCGCAATGCGGCCGTGTAAATTGAAGCTGACTCGGGGTAACACTGCAGTCCAACTGCAGTCCGCAGCAGACGAGGGCGTTGTTTGTATATGTTGTTCGTTCATCTATCACGATGTCACCGATGCACGGATACAAATAAACTGACCTAGCTAGTGTCAGATCTGATGCATAATAGAGCGTGGATATGCGGCAACCTCCTCTCCTCGTCCGCGTTTTGGGCAGGCACAAGTACTCCGAGTCAACCAGATCACGACGCTCACGTACGAAGCGGTGATACTCGCATTCACGCTCTACCGTATGCTACATCCATAACTGGGCATTGATCCCACAGCTGTTTTATCATCCTAGGGCGGGCGGGCGGGCGGGCCCCCGCCTACTAGGACTCAATAGCTCGTCGGACTCATGCATTATGGGCGTCTGAACGATCATTATATCAACCAATCATCCCCTGTGTTAACTTGTTGGCTAGCCGCGAGGTATTCCGTCAGAAAACTCGCGATGATGTTCAATAGTGTTTAGCTACTGTATAGTTTTGGATACACTTTCATACCCCCATTCATTCTAACAATAGTCAACTCTGACTTAAGCACCATCCTTGACAGCAAGCCAAGAAGGCCTGTTCGAGATCTCCTTCCACCACCTCGCCACATTGGGGCGCGACTCAAAGAGGTCGCCCTGACCGAGCGTGATAAGAAACTGGGTGTACGCGAGGTGGAACAGGTCCGCGAGGGTGAGCTCCTGTATGACCCGAGCAGTCAATAGTCAGTATTCTAGTCATGAAATAAACAATGAATCAGGCGGAGGACGCACATTGCCTCCAATGTACTTCTGCTTGCCGAGAATGACATCGTACGCGTCGAGCTTGGCCGCGAGAGTCTTGAGATGTTCCTCAGCACGGGCTTCGTCAGTGGTAAGGCCGCGCCTCCTGCAGTACCGTTGTCGTCATCGTCAGCCTCGATGGAACGTGGATCGCGAACGAAGGGGAGAGCACATGAAATGTGAGAAATACACACGCTTTGAAGACCTTCTCGAAGGCGAATCCAAACGCATGGGGGTAGAAGTTGGACGACTCGATCGAGACACCCTGCTCGAAGACGGCCTCATCCTTGGGGTCGGTGGGGATCAGCTTCGTGCCCTGGCCCGCATACTTCTTGGCGAGATAGCGGGAGATGGCTCGCGACTCGAATAGCTTGAAGCCATCCTCATCCTGTATGCATATGGTTGGTCAGTCTCCACATGCTTCACCTATGAGGGCGATGAATGACGGGTAAGAGAAAACGCACGATATAAGGCACCTGGCCAAATGGCTGGACGGCGGTGAACGCGGGCGACTTATGCTCGGCCTTGGCGAAGTCGACATCAACGAACTCGTATGGGACGTTGAGCTCCCTGGCCACGACCGCGACGGTGCGGGTGCAGGTGGACATGCGAGCGCCGTGAAGTTTCAAGACCATCGTGGTTTTCGCACTGATTTTTTGGTTGGACTGAGTAGTACAGTGAAGATATGGGCGATGGGAGTGAGATGACGACTGGTAGTATGTCTCTTTGTCTCTTATATATGTGAATCGGCACTGGACAGTCGTTTTCCATCCACCACTGGCTACAGCTTCCGAGGCTGAGAAGCCGGTGCCCTCCCCGAGGCTGACACAGGAACCACAGGGGGAGCCAATCCAAAAATGGCATCTGATCACTACAAGACAACTAGAATACGTCAATGAATGGCAACTGGTAGCGCTATTACACACCATATTTTCACTTATCCGGGACCAGTAAGCCAATGGACGTGATTGCGGGCGGCAGCAAGTTGTGCTTCAACTGAAAAGACAGCGCCACTTGCGCCCATGCTTTACAAGTACTAATCTAAAACGAAATATACGCTTTGTGGGATCCTTGCGACCAGGGCTTCGGAAGATTCCTTGTTACCTTTACGATAGCTTTGCCTCAATATTCAACGAGGAACTAATTGAAGGCAGATCTAGTCGCATTTGGAGCCAACTGTACCTATCATCAGTGCTATTCATGACATGGACATCGTCACACATCTCCACGCACCCACGTGGACGACGCTTGGATAGGAGTCGCGCTCTGCCCAATCATCTTCACAAAATGCACCATGCTACCCGAGGCCGAGGAGGAAATGACGAAGATGAGTGTACTAGCCGCTTTAAGTTGAGAGGTGCTGAGCAAGACGACGAGCGCCTGCTGATGGACGCTGCACTTGATTTCATAAGCCAACCAAGAAACAATCAGGGGCTTGGCTATATTAGGGAAATGTAGGTTGTGGAGCTAACACCTTGACATGTGGGTTCCGTCCAATGCACCATCCAATGCACCGGTCCCCCCGGATATCAGCGACTGGCCATGCAGTATTTGTGTCTTCCCTTCCCATGCTTAAGAGATCAATTCAGACTTGGGGTCAATCAGTAAAGGTCAGCTCGCCACCATGCTACTGCCTTGGACTAGCACTCACTCCAGTGCTGATAGGCTTTTACCCAAGTTTCATCTAGTAGGTAAAAGCGAGTACTTTTCTGACTAGCACGAACGCCCAACGAACGCCTTCGAGGTCAACTGCGAGCCCACCTCGAGCCACGCCATGCTGTACGTCTCCGAGCCTGCCACTTTGCACACCACCAATGAGAGGACTTAATCATTGGAACTTCCTTGCTTGAACCCACTTTCTTACATGACAGTAACAGCAACCGTATTCAATAAGCATACTTATTCTCACAAGGCTCGAAAGTTAGGAAATAAGTAGCGTCATTTTGGAATGGATTAGAAGAAACCAGTCAATTACTCTACAAGATACTGTGACATGTCTCTGCGAAAAGGGGAAGACGAAACAGAAGGCATGGGCAAGTTTAACACTTGCACCGTCTCCTGTTTACCAAAGGTAAGGGATCACGCGATACGGGACTTCCTTCTTATACCGCCTGTAATCCTCAGCTATAAACACGTCTTGCTGGATGAGCTCCTCCTGCAGGCGGATTCGTCAGCTGACGTCCGACACGAAGGTAAATATAGCCTACCTCTATGGGCATCTTGAGAGCAAATGCAGCGGCCGTAATGGGAAGCGAAGCCGCAGGGAACCAGTTCCAGAACATGACGCCATACAAAGCTTGCTGGATAACCACGGACCTGCACGACACACACCTGTGGTTAGCCATGTGCATTTCAAGTGGGAGCAAGCGAGCACTTACAAATATCCAGGGTGCCTCACGACCGAGTATGGGCCATCCTTGACGACCTTGGTATTTTCGCGACGCTTTTAGAAGTGAAAACATCGTGGTCAGCGTTTACCTGTCTTCAAAATGTAAGCAAAACGTACGCCGATAGCATGCCATTGCGATCCCAACGCCTTGTTTCCTCTCTTAACAAACCCATGTGCCATGACAAAAGACAGCACACAAGCAGCCACCCTCAGACCCATCCTCTCCTTTTTGCCGATCCCACAATCCGGCAACTCCCACTTGCGCATCCATCGTGGCTGCCCGAACCCAGCAAACGGCATGCCCACGAGAATCGCGAGTTGCGGGAGGAAATACGAGAGGCCATGGACAGGAGAGATGAATTTACCCAACGCAGTGTTCGGCATCCTGTCGGGGCGTATCTTACCTCCCTGAGACTCTGCGACCTTCGCGCTGGCCGCCATGCCCCTGAAGGTGTTGACGAAGATGTAAGCCATCGTAAGATAGGCGGACAAGTCCATGGTGGGTGGCGAATCGGAGGGAATTATAAATCCGGCGATGTACATGTTTCGAATGAGCGGTGAGAAGGGGTGATGGAGGGAAGTACTTCGACTAACGATGGCTTTGCTTTATACTGAGACCAGATGAGTATCACGATGTCAACGTGTTAGTATGTGAGTACAACTTGACAAAGACAAATAAGGAAAGAGGACCTCACCGGACAGCGGTTTGCCATGCTCTGGGACTGTCGCAGTAACAAGTTTCTCTCGACTGCGCTGTGTACTACCTGGATCAAGGCAAAGGTCTAATTCCCGACCTGTCATGACATCAGTGAACCGCAGCCTGAGGAACTGATGATGGGGGTGGTACTTCTGGTTTGTAATAATGGTGTCAGTGACAGTCAGTCGCGGGTGGATGAGGAGGCTTACGCGCCCTCCGCTTTTCGTTATGTCTGGTACATAGGGGACTCTTTTTAGCTCCCTGCGGCGTATTGCGAAGATAAGGAACCACTAGAAAGCATCACAAAAGTTCAAAGCTGAAGCGCTGAAGCCCAAGTTCAAGAGCCCAAGATCCTCCGCGGCAGCTGAGTCCCGCAAGACGAGATGTTACTTTCAGAGCTGGGACCGAGCCCATCGCATGTGGGTCCAGCGTCCCTCGAACAGACACAGCATGAGTTGCCTTGCATCGCGATGCAAAGTTGGTGTACAGTGAAGCGTAGCCGTGTAAAGATGGCTCAGCAGCGCCACTGTCCACTGTGGCAAGCAAGGGCGTTGTTTGTAAGTGTTGTTTATCGCCTTTGGCGACTTTTTGCGGCGATTTTTGTGGGTCACTGCATGTCTTATCGACTTCCGTAACACGATAATGACTTGAGTCATTTTCTTGTCAACGATGTCCTCGGAGGTTTTTCTTTCGGCTATGATGCAAGACTGAAACTGGATCTCAAGGTCAAGGCCAGCCAATTATACCGGAGTATTTATACTACAAGCCCGGGTTCAATGACGGTCCTTCGTCTGACTTGTCGTTTGACTAGATTAAAACCACACTATCGGAGTATGTGGCATCTTCAAATGCACATATGAGTTACAGCTACATTATTGATCAGGCCTGGGTTTATCTGGTGCTTGTGAAGCTTCTTGATCTTGTTCGTTTGCTTATATTGTGGAACATGGGTGATCGTCGCACCACCCGACTTGGTGTAAGCAGATGACCCTTGCGCACTCCCACTCCATATGCTTCGCGACTTCTTCGGTTTCTGCCGTACGTCTGTTCATTTCAGGTCTCCGAAGCGTTGACCCTCTTGTCGACAACCTCGTCCTCGCAGCCTCTTTGAGCGACATCTACAGCCGATGGCAGACTCTGCGCTTGCTCAGCCTTCATCGCCCGTAGAGGTCGGTCAGAACAAATCCAGGAGGCAAAGAAGGAAAGAGTTCTTTGCAAAGAGGCAGCGCGATAAAGTAAGTTATCTTGATCTTTATCATCGCTGGATCTTACTGTGTTCACCGGTTGTGACCGTTGCGGACCCATGTCCAGCAGACCCAGCAGAGCCAAGCATCACACAATCCATCTCCAGCGCAGCAGCATCATGCGGCGACGAGGAGGTCACAGAAGGCTCAAGTACGCACATTAGCTCTCCCATGGTCCTAGAATTGTGTTATCGCAAGGGATCGCTAATGTTGTTGTACAGAGACGGGTCAACCAGAAACGTGAAAGCGCCTCGATTCAAGACCATACTGAGCTGAACGAGGAACCGGGCCAAAGTCAGCGCGTGGAAGGATCAAAGTCTTCCTCGAAACAGCCCCAGTCCACGCGGAAGAATGCCAACCAGGTTCAACCCGAGCCAATGCAAGGACAGACCGCGCCGACCCAGCATGATGGTAAGTCCACTAGCACCGGCAAGAAGAATAGGAACAGGAGGAGGGGAGCTATGAAGAATCAGGTGAGGCTATGTGTTAGTCTTCACGGTGGTCGGGCTTACTAACACCATTGGCGGCGGAATAGAGCCAAAACCAGCAGAGCCAGAGCCAGCCGAACACAAATCAGCAGAGTCAAGGCCGTCGGAGCCAAAATCAGACGATGCTATCTGGTTCTTCTATCGCGGGACGAGGGCGTAACGGGCAAGCTAGACCCCAGCATACGGTCCCCAGTCGTACACCGCACGAAGCTACCGACTGCGCTCACGAAGACCCTGAATCGTCAGAATCAGCAAGCGATGATTATGACAACTCCTACTCCGACGGATACTACAGCCGCACGAGGAGGGCAGGAACCTCGCTGGTGAACCGGATGGGCTACGACGAAACCGACATGATGCTTTTGGGACTCAATCCGTGGGATCCGGATGATGTTGTGCGTCATTCTCCTGCTTTTCGTTTCTCCGTATCATTTGTAACGCTTATTGCCATGACGCTAGCTTGACTTTCCGGGCGTTTCAGATGCATTGGATAGGGAATTGGGCTATTACTGAAGCCGGGATGATCGATGATGTACGATATAGGGCTGAAGATGAACGAGTCACAATATGAACAAATCATTGCGTTTGATAGAATGGGATACTCGGCGTCGGAGAATTAGTGAAAGGGTACAGTTCTAGCGATCGCAAGAGGAGTTGCATGGTTACGTGGGTAGGAGGTTGTATTAATGCGTGCATAGTCGGTTTTATGGAAAATCTATATCGTCATCTGCCGATCGGACCGAAAACCTGAGAGAGGAGATGATAGTCTCTTCCGGATCTCCGAGTACCGTTGACTTCTCTTGTAAACGGAGATTGAGTATCATGCGAGGTCCACATATGCTTATGACGGAAATGACCAGGACGTCTGACATGCACATGTAGAGCAGCCCGGGGTCATTCATGTCATCCTATTGGAGTGAAGCCAATCAGTGAAGTTTCTAGACACCAATTAAAGTCGGTGGCTTGGCTTACTTTCCTATCCCATACGTCAAATGACACGATCTCTAGCAACAGAGCGGCAATAACCCTACATTTGACGTGTTAAGGCAGCGGTTTGACGACTGTTGGAAAAAGGGAGGCACGTACATGAAAAAGTACGAGAGGTTATCGCGGACTAAAATGGCGAGTAAGTGAGTCGTATGCCACGTTTGCCACAGCTGACGTCGCTCTCTGACGTATACTACGTATTTGAACAGTGTTAGTGATACCAACACGGCCTCGTAGGTGAGCGTGACCAGCTGGCTTAACGTCCCCATCCAAAAGGCTAACGAGGAGAGAAGGTTACCACATAAAACTGCGTGGCTCTCGATCGAACTTTTCACTAACGTATATTGTGATCGTAAGTCATCGGATCGGAGGCAGGAAAAAAGCAGCTGCTCACTTGTGAGTTTAGTAAATGGACCGTATAAAATAATCGACGTTGAGAGGGAGACAATCGTTTGAGCGATGAATGTCCCTAGTAGCAGGCGCAATATCCTGACGGATCGTGAATACATGGCGTGTAGTCGGATGATCATCATGACTGAGTGCATGGTTTGAGACGGCTAGATGTATACCCATATTGGAACTCGGCTTACCTTGTAATGCCATGATGACTATGGTTTGTACAACCATAGATAGCGCGTAGAGGATATAACCTAGATTCATCCCTTAGTAAATTTGTCTTAGTCTGTTCAGAAACCTTACATCTACGATGCGGCTTAGATGGCGATACCGGATAGTATCAAACCTTTTCCTACCCCTTGAAAATCATCAGAATGTCGAGGCAACACACGAAATGCGACGAACTCGTTCGGACATCTTGAGGTCAAACATGAACCAAACTAGATATACTTATTAGCAAGAGAAGTCATGACCAGATGCTCGTATAGTATACTTACAAAATGACTGACTGATAATGTTGCGTCGCGTGAGGGATCAGGCACTTCAAATTTACCGTCGTGAAACTCACGCGCAATACAAGAGGCCCAAATATCGCATCTATCCGAGTTTGAATATTAGCCACATCTGGTGAGATATCGGTGCCTTGGCTTACAATAAAGTACAGCCCATCTATGAGAGTCAATCTCGGCCGCTTTTGGCCCGAACCGCTTAGGACGAGATACTTTCTCCATACCAGTTCTACCTAGAATAGCAGCTCGTGAGCGGGGAGATCCAAAAGCAGAAATGGTTATACCTCAGAGTCAAGTCTCAGAACTACAGACATTCAGTATCATCCGCGCCGGAGGGAGAGAATTGATACTAACGATAGTCGTAGACCGACAGGAAAGATAACGAGACTATGAATGGCGCCGTCAGAGTCCAGTAACCAACGTCGACAACGCGGCAAGCCTGACCTACGATGTAGCTCATCGTCAGGGCACTCGACCAGAAAGGTTTCCACAATGGGGAATCGACGGAGATCATTGTGAGAAGGGGATGAAGTCCGTTCAAACGTGGTGAGTAATGACGACTTAAATATCATGAAGGGGCTATGCTCACCGCCACAGTCGTCACACGCACCATTGAGACTACCGCGGATCGCATGAGAAAGCTTCGGCGCAAAGATACTCGCTCATTAGGGCGGCGAGTCATAAAGATAACCTGATAACATTGTGATTAGAAATTGAGTTTCCTGTACATCGTCACAACTTTTCGGATGAACGCCCAACAGAAATGACGTTAGCTTGTAGTGGACTCGTCCCCAGGTCGCCTGCATGCGGAGACCGGTCGTAGCAATCATCGAGTGCTAGCATAGATAATATCGCAGAAGCCAGGCTTGATCGCGGAGGCAATCCGATAAGCTGAAACCATAAGTCAGCGCGAATGAATGGGAGGAAGGAGTCATGGGCATTCTTCCCCACCGCTCGCCCGGTCAGATCGCTGAACGCCGCTTCTGAAACATGTCAGCGGTGCATTAATGTCATGAGCAAGATGGAGCCAAGAATAGCCCATATGGACCAACAACCGATCATCAGAACACTCTCGGGCCTTCGGGATAGAGGATTCTTGCAACAACGTTGAGAACGCGCGGAGGTCATGAAGCCGCTTGACCTTCCTTTCTCAGCAACCACCAACTGCTTGCTCTGGCACCGCTAGGACCCCGACCCAGCGGCACCCGCCCGACGCAGCATAGATCAGTGGCCTTGCACAAAGGAATAGAATCACACCTTAGACATACTTTACACACCCGTAAAATACCGCCGACACCGCCAGCCCGAACCCGCGCAAGATGTCGCGGCGCGGAACGCCAGACTCGGCCCCAGCACCGAAAGCTCAGTCAGCCCCGAAACCCAAAACCCCGGTTACCTCCCGCCTGGCCGCCCAGATGGAGGTCCAGCGCCTCTCGAACGCGTTCGCCCTCTCCAGATCCCTGCTAGACCACGTCGACAACGCCCCGCTCACCTCCAGCATCCGCAACGCGGGACAGGCAAGCACGTTGCTCGCGTCCCGAGGATACGACGTCGGCCAACGCCCCTACACCCCAGGGAACCTCACCCTTGCGCTCTTCCAGCTCTCAGAACACGCCACAGTCTCAGCCCCCCTGTCCGACACCATCAGATCCCTGGCCATGCTCCTGCACTCTGCCCTCCGCACCCAACAGAACGACACCCAACGCGCCGAAAATACTTCGGGAGACCCCCTGGCACTCCTCGGCAGCTACGCGGACGACATCCGCGCCTCGGTTGCGAAACAAACCGCCATCCTCACATCAATCACCGACGCAATAACCACCTCGGCAGCCTCCCACAAAGAACAAGTCGCCACACTCACGGAAGCAGCGGAGTCCGTCAAGAACGCCGCTGAGTCCCTCACGACCAGCCACGCCCCAGGCCAGCGCGAGGACACCCCAGACCAATCGCGTACAACGTACGCCTCCGTTGCAGGCCTAAAGCCTGCCCCCAGCCAGACACAGCCCACCCACCCCCACACCCATGCCCTCGCCCGCAGCGCGATGCAAGCCCGCTCGGTCCACGTGGCGGGTGCCACCCTCTCCACTCCAGAAGGCCCCCTTTCTGAGAAGGTACTGCTTGCCAGGGCGAACCTGGCCCTAGAACAACTGCGTGACGAAGGCACCACCCCACCCGACGGGGCGTCCTTCCACACCGTCCGCATCCTCTCAAGCGGGACTCTCGCGTATGAACTAACCTCACTCAGCGCAGCAGCCTGGATACTAGAGCCTGATATCACGCCCCTATTCGAGGCGAAATATGGGAAAGGGCGCCTCCGCGCACGCACCTACCCCCTCATCGTGGAGAACGTCCCCTTTACTTGCTCACCTGACAACCAAGAGACCCTCCGCTACGCGGAATCAACTAACGATCAGCCCGCTAACTCCTTCACAGCAGCCTGGTTCCTTCGCGACGTGGCAGACCGGTTCGAAGGCCAACGGACGGGCCACGTCATGCTACAGGTAAAGAGCAAGGAGGCAGGTAATGCCATCCTGAGGAACGGCCTGGTGCTCGACGGCAGGCGCTGCTTCGTGCGCAAGTCCGTGCCGGAGCCACCCCGCTGCCTCAAATGCCAATCGTTCAAAGGTAACCACCGCGCAGCCACCTGCCCCTCCTCGGTGGACGTGTGCGCGAAGTGCGGAGGCCCGCACCGCACGCGAGAATGCGAGGTCACCAGACCTGAGGATAAGTTTTGTATCAACTGCTCAGTCGCAGGCCACGCGGCCTCCGACCGGGCTTGCCCCACCTTCATCGCCCTGCGAGAGAAACACCAGGTTCGCAACCTGGAAGCGCGCTACCGGTACTTCCCAACGGAAGACCCGCTGACCTGGGAGCTGGTGGACACACCACCCTCGCAGCCGCACGCCCCCTCGCAGGCCCCAGCGCCCAGGCCGTCGGCCCCGAGTGCTAAAGGCCAGAACCGCCCCGCTGCCAAGCCCCAGCAGCCCACGCGCCCACGGGACAACGGGTGGCCAACCCGCCGCCGCAACTCCGGCACCCAGGGCGGCGGTGACCTCCCGTCGCTCTGGAGTGCCCAGGCCCAGCTGCAACCCCCCAAGACGCTCCGGGACGCGTCCCTCCCCCCAGCTGCCTCCGACACCGAGGACGGTGAACTCCCAGAGCGCATCTCCGAACTCATAGCCTCAGTCGCCGCCGTCGCCACCGCGGCGCCCTCCGAGTCACGGTCAGCCACTCCCACGCAGTCTCAATACTCAACTCCGTCGCCCTCGCCAGCGCCCGCCCCTGCCCCGCCAAAATCCAACTAATGAATAGCGACACCGACACCCAACGGACACGTACGAACATCCGGATATGGCAACAGAATATGCGAAAGTCCCAGACCGGCCACCGCGAGTGGATCAACGCGCTGGACCCCGACCAGTACGACATAGTAGCGGTGCAAGAACCGGGCCTGAACTTCCTAGGCCTTGTATACGCAAGCAGCAAGTGGTCGGTGATCTACCCACCGAACCACCAGAACTCCCAGGCCCGCACCCGCTCGATCATGTTCGTGAGCAACCGTCTCTCAGACGCGGCGTGGGCCGCCATCCCGATAGATTCCCCTGATGCCACAGCAGTCGACATTGAAGTCGACGGTAAGCACACTCACATCTACAACCTCTATGTCGACGGCAAAAACGACGACACCCTCCTAGCGCTTGAAACCCACCTCGAGTGCACTCACTCCAACACCCTAACTGACCCCCCACAGCAACAGCAGCCCGAGCCGGACATGATCTGGCTCGGCGACTTCAACCGTCACCACCCTATGTGGGATGACGACCGCAACACGCACCTATTCACCGAGACTAACACCAAAGCCGCCCAGCCCCTCCTCCATCTTTTAGCCGACTACGGCATGTTCATGGCCCTCCCGAAAGGCATACCCACACTGCAGGCGTCGTCCACGGGCAACTGGACGCGCCCCGACAATGTCTTTTGCTCCGCCAACATGCAGGAGGCGATAATCTCCTGCGATGCCCGCCCCGAACTCCGCCCAGTCATCACTGACCACCTCCCCATCATCACTACAGTCGACCTAAACCCCGCCAAATCGATCTACCGACCGAGACGCAACTGGCGCGCGACGGCATGGCCCAAGTTCCAGGAACGCTTCGATGCTGAAATTAGCAAGCGCCCTCCCCCCGACAAGATCGCCTCCATACCGCAAGCGGAGGCGGAGCTCGCCCACGTCGAGGGGGCCATGTTACGCACCACGGAGGCCATCGTCCCACTCACAAAGCCGTCACCATACGCCAAGCGGTGGTGGTCCACCGACCTAGCGGCCCAGCGCCAGGAAGTTCGAAGCCTCGCTCTACGCGACTTCCGCTTCACGGCCGACAAGCTGCACCCGGTTCACGAGGAGTACCGCGTTAAGCGCAACGCCCTCGCGGCCGCGATCGACCGAGCCAAAACAGAGCACTGGGAAGAATGGCTCGCGGACGTCGACGCTGACTCCGTATGGACGGCCCACCGGTACATGGACAGCGCACCATCTGACGGCGGGCGCACCTGCATCCCGCCGCTGACTTCCAAGGCACCGGATGGCACCACCGCAACCGCAACCGGCAATGAGGAGAAGAGCCGGTTGCTATTCGACACCTTTTTCCCCACAGCCCCGCTCTCCTCCCCTGTCCCCGTAAATGCTAACTACCCCACTCCGCCCACCCCATTCATCCCCATCACTGACCCCCAGATCCTCCGAGCCATCACGCGCCTGCCACCTTACAAGGCCCCGGGCCCCAACGGCATAAGTAACGCAGCGCTGACTCACACAGCGGGAATGCTGGTCCCATACCTCGGACCCATCTTCCGGGCAACCTTTGACCTGGACTGGTACCCATCGCAGTGGAAGACCCACACCACGATCGTCCTGCGCAAGCCGGGCCGCCCTGACTACAGCGCGCCCAAGGCCTACCGCCCGATTGCACTACTCGACACCATTGCGAAGGTCCTCTCCTCCTGTGTCAGCGAGGACCTCATGCACATGGCGGAGGCACACGACCTCCTCCCGCGCACGCACTTTGGCGGTCGCCCTGGGCGCACCACCCTCGACTCGCTCCACTTACTGACCAAATTCACGCACGATGCGTGGGCGCACGGACCAGAGCGTTTCGTATCCATGCTGTTCTTGGATGTGAAGGCGGCGTTCCCCAGCGTCAACGTGGAGCGTGCACTCCACAACATGCGCGCTCGAGGCATTCCCGCCGAGTACGTCGAGTGGCTCCGCCGGCGCCTGACAGGGCGCGTGACGTACCTCACGTTCGGCGACTACGAGTCGAACGCGTACATGGTCCGGGGCGGCCTGGACCAGGGCTGCCCCTTATCCGTTATAATCTTCCTCTTCTACAATGCTGACCTCCTAGATATAGCTGACCCCCGCAAAGGAGAGCTCATTCTGGGCTTCATAGACGACACGGCACTCATCGCCAAGGGTAAGACACCAGCAGCGGCGAACGAAAAGCTCCAGCACATGATGGAGAGACCCGGCGGCGCGCTCGAATGGAGCCGTGAGCACGGCGTCGCCTTCGAGCTCGACAAGACCGCCTTAATCTGCGCAACGCGCCGACGGATCCCCAACCCAGCCTCCATAGCGCGGCGCAGGGGGGGGGCCAGGAGACCAAACGCCAGCCCCTCCACGATCCCAGCGCCCCCCCCACCAGCAGCTCCGCCTCAGTCGCCCGGCGACGCCCCAGGCCCCTCGTCCATACTACACTATTTCCGCCCTGTACCTACGCTACCCGCCCCCATTCCCAACCCTTCCCCTCCCACCACAGCTCCCTCTCCCCCAAATACCACTCCCCCCGATACGTTACCTACACTCCCCACCTCCCTCCATCCCCCCACTACAACCAACACCGCTCCCAATACCAACACCACCATCCCCCCCGCTTCCACTACCATCATCCCCGCCCCCGACCCACCCACCCCAGCCAACCGACAACACCAGCCACACCGACCACCGCCACCGACCGCCCGCAACAGGCCCTCCGCAAAATTGCCACCCAAGACACTGCCCCTACCACGCCCATCCCTCACAATAGCAGGCAACACCATCGAGCCCTCCTCCCACCACAAATTCCTGGGCGTTCTCATCGACCAAGAACTACGATGGAACGAGCACCTTTCCTATGCCGTCGCCAAAGGCACCAAGTATGCACTAGCCTGCAGACGCCTCACGCGCCCACGCACCGGGGTACGCCCCCGTTACATGAGACTCCTTTTTATTTCCGTAGTCGTACCAAAGATGCTTTACGCAGCTGACTTATGGGGTGCGCCCAAACTAACTCGCAACAGGAGCAGGCTAGGCAATGGTTACGGGACACACGGGGCGTTCAGGCAACTCGGCCGGGTCCAGCGCCTCGCAACACTCCATATCACGGGTGGAATGCGCACCACACCTACGGACATGCTGGATTTGCATGCCAACCTCTGGCCCTTCCAACAACTCCTGCGCCGCACCTGCCTGCGGGCGGCAGTCCGCTACACCACCTTGCCGGACACACACCCCCTAGCATACCACGTCCGCAAGGCCGCTACCTACCGCCGAAGCCACCGCTCGCCCCTCCACGAACTCCTCCGGGTGTACGCTCTCACGCCGCGCCACATGGAGAAAATCGACGCAGTACGCCGCGGCCTAAGCCCGAAGTGGTCCCCACCCTACGAGACATCCATAGCGTCCTCCAAGGAGGACGCGGTCCAAGAACACAATGACACCCCAGTGGACGTCCGAGTCTACTCGGACGGCTCAAGCGTGGACGGAGGTGTGGGCGCCGCCGCCGTCCTCTACCGCGGAAACGACCTAGTCAACACACTCCAACTCCACATGGGCTCCCCGGAGGACCACACCGTCTACGAAGCCGAACTGGTCGGCATCCTCCTGGGAGCGACGCTGCTGCACGCGGAGCTGACGCGCCGCTCGGGCACGGCTTCGCTGGGAGTAGACAACCAGGCAGCCATACGCGCCCTCACCAACCGAGACACCCACCCAGGCCAGTACCTAGTCGACGCGGCCGTCTCCGCCATCACCGCAGTCCCAACCATTGACCACCCCATCTGCATCCGGTGGACCCCGGGCCATGTCGGCATCCAGGGCAACGAAACCGCCGACGAACATGCCAAACGTGCCGCCCAAGGGTCCTCCAGCGCTGCCCGGCACCTGCCACGGTTCCTCCGAGACGGCCGCGGTCGCACCCTCCGCCTCCGCTCCCTCCCAGCCAGCGCCTCAGCGACCAAGCAACGCCTAGTCGGCGAAACCAAAGCCCACGCCCTCGTGGCTCTCAAGGCGTCCCCCCGGTGGAAAACAATCTCCACGCTCGAGCCGCGCGCCCCCACCAGCCGCTTCCCAACCCTCATAGACGAGCTCCCCCGCCGCCACGCCACCATCATCTTCCGTCTCCGCACCGGCCACATACAGCTCAACAAGCACATGTCCCGCATCGACCCCTCCATCTCACCCCTATGCCCGGGATGCCACTCCGCCCCGGAGTCGGTGCACCACTTCCTAGCCGCCTGCCCAGCGTACCGAGCGGCTCGGGACCGCCTCCAAGGCGCCATGCGCTCCCGCCGAGCGCTAGACGTCAACAAGCTCCTCAGTGACCCCGAGCTGGCGCGCCCCCTCCTGGCATACGTCCACGCGACGGCGCGATTTAGCTCCTCCCTCGGAAGCCTAGAACCCCCCCGTAACCCTGCCTAGCCCTGCCTCTATGCGAGTAAGTGCCTTTTGTCTTCTACCCTTCTGCTCTTCTCCCCGGGCGCACCCGTCATTCACCTACGCCTCGAGCCCACCAATCAGCGCATGCCGCCTTATGCCCCACTTATACACCATAATATTCCCTCCTCTACGAAAAAGACCACCATAATTTGTTTCTCCTCTAGCACATACCTCACTCAACCTCCCGCCTTCCTTACCCTTTCTCCCCTTTGTCGAACTCGCGCTCTTTCCCGCGAGGGAGACCATTGCTAACGTAGCCTCGTAACATTTCCCGCTCCTCTTCACGACCAGACTAGACACACGCATGTTATCGCCTACCATAGGGCCTAGCCCCAGAGGGCGTAAAACCCAGATTGATAATAATAAATAATAATAATGAAGCCGCTTTGACAGCACCTCGAAAGTACCTCGAAGACGCAGGCAATGAGGCAGCGTGGCGCTAAGGTGGTAAAAGGCACGTGAGAGAAGACTGTAATGATGCGATGTTAATATGTTCAGTTGCCTTATATGCATGACGCGACGCCTGGGTCGGCTCAGCGACTCGACTGATCCCATCACAAACAAGAGAGAAAGAGGATTGGACGCCTGATAAAACTCGGGAACGACAGGCACAAAGTCTCCCGGAGGAGTCAGTTTAGCATCGCTTCGCGAGCAGAATTTCTTATGTCAAAGGCACGCCTGATCGTCGTCACTGGGACTGATCGCAGCAAGTATGACAATCTGGCTGTTTTGAGCTTTAGCGCTAGGAAAGGAGGCAACGATAATGGAACACCAATGAGTAACCGTGGGGGGTAGAACGCGTCAGTTTACGCAGGTTGAGGGGCTGCATGGAACCTCGTTGCTCGGCTGCGATTGTTGGGGCAGGATACTGCAACATGCGATGGCCGCGAGGCTTGCACCCAGAGCTGAGGGGGAGTCCATCCGGGCGCAGATGCATGAAAGAAGTTCGGATGCTCAAGAGCAGCAAGGCACCTCACAAATGAGGGTACTGATGTCCCAATCCACTATCAGAGCCATCGATTGCAGACAGACTTGAGCTCAGCGACCACAACGACGCGTCGACGGCCTCGAGATATTGCTAAGCGCTCGAGCGTCGGGTAAGATGGCCCCAAAGAAGTGGTGAGTGGTACGACACCCACGAGGAAAAGGAATGGACCGATATGACGGTGGCGGTGTCGATTTTGTATCGTGTGAATGTTGGGGTCCTAACAAGGTCAAGATATAAAAGATACCGCGCCTCGTCGCGCCCTCCTCCAACTCGCTTTCCTCCCAGTCATGTCCTCAAAAGGTCTGTATCCATGTCCTCGTCGTAAAATTCAATGTTGCTGACGATTTTTCTTGCGTTTCAGCCATCCGCGAGTACGACGCCAAGCTTCTCCTTGCCTACTGGCTTGAGCGTGCACCTCCGGCTCACAAATCTGCCACCACCTCTTCGGCGTTCAAGTACCCCGCACCGAAGGTCGCGCAGATTCAATGGGATCCCGCGACTAACACGATCACCCCTGAGTCTCATCTGCCTCCATGGATCCACAACACCAAGCTCGTCGCTAAGCCCGATCAGCTTATCAAGCGCCGCGGCAAGGCGGGTCTGCTTGCGCTCAACAAGGACTGGGAGGGCGCTAAGCAGTGGATCGCCGAGCGTGCTGGCAAGCCACAGAAGGTATGTTATCCGATCTTGCATATATGCGCCTTGACGGGGACGGACGCGTAGTTTTTGGGGCGCTAATACCCATCTACCCGCGTCGCGCTCGTCTCGGTGTCTATAGCGACGCGTCACCTTGGCTAATCGCTATTTAATTTAATAGGTCGAGGCTGTCACTGGGACGCTCAACAACTTCATCGTCGAGCCTTTCCTTCCTCATCCTTCCAACGCCGAGTACTACGTCTGTATTAACTCGGCTCGCGAGGGTGACTCAATCCTCTTCACCCACGAGGGTGGTGTCGATGTCGGCGATGTCGACGCCAAGGCTCTCCGCCTCAACATCCCCGTCCAGGGTGACTTCCCCTCCCGCGCCGAATTCGCTAGTACCCTCCTTGTGAACGTTCCTGATGCGAGGAAGGAGGCCATCACCGACTTCCTCATCCGCCTTTACTCCGTCTACGTTGATCTCCACTTCGCCTACCTTGAGATCAACCCCCTCGTCGTCCTCGACAACGGCGAGATCCACTTCCTGGACATGGCTGCGAAGCTCGACCAGACCGCCGAGAGCATCTGCGGTCCCAAGTGGGCTATTGCTCGCGATCTCTCGATCTACGATGCCGATGGTGGTGTTGGTGCTGCGCCCACTGGCGGTTCCAAAGTCACCGCCGACCGTGGCCCCCCGATGGTCTGGCCTGCTCCTTTCGGTCGTGATCTGACCAAGGAGGAAGGTGAGTTTTTATATATCCCTACTTCACCTTCGTAAGCTTATGAGAACCCCTAGCTTACATCCAGAAATTGGACGGGTCTACTGGTGCCTCGCTCAAGCTCACTGTCCTCAATGCCGAGGGTCGTGTTTGGACCATGGTTGCCGGTGGAGGTGCCTCCGTGGTGTACTCTGATGCTATTGCCGCTCATGGCTTTGCCGACGAACTCGCCAACTACGGAGAGTACAGTGGTGCTCCTACAGAGGGTCAGACCTTCGAGTACGCGAAGACCATCAGTACGTTTTCTCAGGGATCGACTATTGGGATGCAAAGCTGACGTGACTTATAGTCGACCTCATGACCCGCGGCACCCCCCGCCAAGAGGGCAAGATCCTCATCATTGGCGGTGGTATCGCCAACTTCACGAACGTCGCTGCTACGTTCAAGGGTATCATCCGTGCCCTCAAGCTCTACAAAGCTCCTCTCATTGCCCACAACGTCAAGATATTTGTTCGTCGTGGTGGTCCCAACTACCAGGAGGGTCTCAAGGCCATGCGTTTGCTCGGTAAGTTATATATATATTACTTTGTGCGGACTCTGCTCACCTACTCATAGGTGAATCCCTCGGTGTGCCGATCCGCGTCTTCGGTCCCGACACCCATATCACCGAGATCGTGCCTTTGGCCCTCGGCATCAAGCTGAAGGACAGGCAGGAGTCCGCTCACAGCATTCCTCCCACTGCTCCTGGCTCTCCCAAGGCCTCTGCGACCGAAGTCCCCGCTGACGATAACGTCCCCCCTACACCCGGAGCCATCGGCACTATCCACCCTTCAGGCGAGCGCACTCAACCTAACGACGTGGTCGTGAGGTTCGACACCGAGAAGAGAGCTCCATCGACACGCCCTGACTTCCGCCCCTTCGATGCCCAAACCCGTTCCTTCGTCTACGGTCTGCAGCCCCGTGCCATCCAGGGCATGCTTGACTTCGACTACAGCTGCAAGCGCGATGCACCCAGCGTGGCTGCCATGATCTACCCCTTCGGTGGCCATCACATCCAGAAGTTCTACTGGGGTACTCGTGAGACCCTCCTGCCCGTCTATACCAGCCTTGAGGAAGCTGTCAAGAAGCACCCCGAGGTTGATGTCGTCGTCAACTTTGCTTCGAGCCGCAGTGTCTACTCCAGCACGCTCGAGTGTCTGCGTCACGAGCAGATCAAGAGCATTGCCCTCATTGCCGAGGGTGTCCCCGAGAGACATGCTCGTGAGATTCTCTGGCTCGCCAAGCAGAAGGGCGTCTTGATCATTGGTCCCGCCACTGTCGGTGGTATCAAGCCGGGTTGCTTCAGGATCGGTAACTCCGGAGGGTGAGTACTGGATTCTTTTCTCGGAGAAGAGGTCATTGGGCTGACTGGGACCGTAGTATGATGGACAACATCATCGCTTCTAAGCTCTACCGTGCTGGCTCGGTCGGCTACGTCTCGAAGTCGGGTGGTATGTCCAACGAGCTCAACAACATCCTGTCGCTCGTGACGAATGGTACATACGAGGGTATCGCCATCGGTGGTGATCGCTACCCCGGCTCGACATTCATCGACCATCTCCTCCGATACGAGGCCGACCCCGAGTGCAAGATGCTCGTCCTCCTCGGTGAGGTTGGTGGTATCGAGGAGTACCGCGTCATCGACGCCGTCAAGTCGGGCAAGATCACCAAGCCCATCGTCGCCTGGGCTATCGGTACTTGCGCGAAGATGTTCACGACCGAAGTCCAATTCGGTCATGCTGGTTCCATGGCCAACAGTGACATGGAGACCGCTGACGCCAAGAACCGCGCTATGCGTGAGGCTGGCTTCATCGTCCCTGAGACCTTCGAGGAGCTCCCTGCTGCTCTCCGGGACACGTACGAGCGCCTCGTCTCCCAGGGCGCCATCAAGCCCAACTCTGAGGTCGACCCTCCCGTCATCCCCATGGACTACAAGTGGGCCCAGGAGCTCGGTCTCATCCGCAAGCCCGCGGCCTTCATTTCCACCATCTCCGACGAGCGTGGTCAGGAGCTCCTCTACGCGGGCATGCGTATTTCCGACGTCTTCAAGGAAGAAATCGGCCTGGGTGGTGTCGTCAGTCTGTTGTGGTTCAAGCGCCGCATGCCGCCATGGGCGACGAAGTTCATCGAGATGGTTCTCATGCTTACCGCTGATCACGGTCCCGCCGTCTCCGGTGCCATGAACACCATCGTCGCCACCCGTGCCGGCAAGGACCTCATCTCGAGTTTGGCCAGCGGTCTCCTGACCATCGGTAGCCGCTTCGGTGGTGCCCTCGACGAGGCTGCCTCGATGTTCTCGAACGCTCGTGACACAGGTCTTACTCCTCGCGAGTTCGTCGACGAGTCGCGGAAGGCCAACAAGCTCAGTAAGTCGCCTAATTGTATTGTTTGGTGCGTCGCTGATTGTTTGCTCTAGTCAGCGGTATTGGCCACAAGATCAAGAGCGTCAACAACCCTGACCTTCGTGTCGAGCTTGTGAAGGAGTACGTTCACAAGAACTTCCCCAGCCACTCGCTCCTCGACTACGCCCTCGCTGTTGAGAAGGTTACCACGTCGAAGAAGGATACTGTACGTACCTTCGTCTTGACAATCTTATCCATCATTAACTCCTTCCTTAGCTCATCCTCAACGTTGATGGCTGTATCGCTGTCTGCTTCGTTGATCTGCTCCGTGACTCTGGCGCGTTCACCCGTGAGGAGGCTGACGAGTACATCAAGGTAAGGCCCCCCTCGCAGGCGAGTGAACTGTTTGCTCACCTTCGTTTCTTTAGATCGGTACCTTGAACGGTCTCTTCGTCCTCGGTCGTTCGATTGGGTTCATTGGCCACCATCTCGACCAGAAGCGTCTCCGTGCTCCTCTGTACCGTCACCCCGCAGACGACATCTTCATCAACATGGCCGACGTGTCGCAGCCCCGTGTCCTCGGCAAGATGCAGTAGAAGGTCGCGACGAAAATATGTTCCTCCGACTCGGTGGAAAGCGTATCGGGGGAAGCAGGAATCAAACGATCATCGACTCTAATGACTTTATACTTAATGGTGGAGATAGCGCGGTGCTATCGCGATGATAATCATGTGGAGGCTCTTTATAATGTATACCGTACGATTACCCTTTGCTGTGTCTTTGGTCTTTCCTGTTGTGCTTTTACTCACAAAACTGCATAATCGACATTTTCTCTATCCCTCTTTCCCGCCAGTGTGTTGTTAAGGGACCTTGGTGCGATGCGATCAAGCTCGACGGAGACTGCATCAATGGAGGTGGGTGAGCCGGCGGTGCAGCGATGAGCGGAAGCGCGGACCGCCGCTCCGACTCGTAAGCATTGGTGAGTAACTGCAACGTATCTCTGCGACACTCGGAACTTCAGCAGCTTTCTGACATGCAGCTGCTTCGGCAAGTTCTAGCACTGATGATCGCTTCGCATGATGGGGAATGACGTCGAGTGTACGGCCTCAGTGACGAATAAGTCCAAGACCCTCTTCACGACAGCTTGGCTATTCGGCGAGAAGCTAGTAAGAACTACCCTGTCTCAGGCAACCCGGGCGTTTGTCTCAGAAGCTGTTGTGACTTCTTCGGCGCCTACACTTGTTAATAACGTCTAGGAACCCCTCGCGACGTCCGGCGAGGTGTCTCACAATTTGTCGACCGGACGCGATTATGCTCTGTGCATGGTCACCCACCGGCCACCCCTGCAGATCACATAAAAGCTCGACCTCTGCGCGTCTGCTAATCTTCCAATCTACCTTCGCAGCTGAGCCTACAGTCTTTATCAACCACCCACCCTCGTTTACAACCAACCATGTTCGCTCCTTTCGTCGCCCTCCTTCCCATCGTCCTCGCAAGTTTCACGACCGCGGCGCCCGCCTTGTCCTTCGACATCACCGACTCGCCGCAGTGCACTTCCGGCGAGCTGTCCTGCTGCTCTAACACTCTGACTGTACGTATTGCCATTCACCTCTTCCTCTCTCGATACGTAGCTGACGCATACGTATTCGTTTTTTCGGCGTATAACAGCCCGAGAACGCGCAGGGTCCGCTCGGCCAGCTCGGGCTCGGCCACCTGCTCGACAACCTCTCGGGCCAGGTCGGCCTGCAGTGCAACGCCATCACGGGCATCGGCACAGGCCAGGGCGCGACGTGCACCCAAGAGCCTGTGTGCTGCGCGCAGAACAACTACGTGCGTTCTTCTCTCTCTTCCTGCCCCTTCGTCTTTTCTCGGAGTCGCTCATGGGTTTGGTGTGCTTTTGTAGAACGGTTTGGTCAACCTCGGTTGCACGCCTGTCAATGCTGCTGCCTAAGCAATGCGCTCGTTATTCCTACGAGCAGCGCTTCGATATACCCCTTCCATGTCCATTTCTTTCATCATGAGTCTAGTACAGAGTGTATGAGTAGCGCTACCTCAGTCGGTCGATCAGTTCCATGGTTTGAACGCAGAATACGGTCATAGTCAGTCGGATGAGTACATACAATATACCAATGCAGCCCCCTCGAGTTCCTTTTGTTTTTGTTACGTATTTTGTACTATTTGGGATCACAATGCGCGCACCAGTTTGTGTTTTCTGTATTTTTCATCGTGTGATTGGCCAACCCTCAAAATCGATCCGCAATGAAGATTCTGCATGTGGTCAGAAATAATTGTAATAGTTCACAAAAGCAAGCGATAATGTGTTATTTTGAGAATTGTGAGATTTAGTGAGGAGGACTTGTTGCGTATCAGGCTCAGCCGACGTCGCGTCGGTGAGCTTCGGCGCAATGCGAGCAAAGCCAGGTGAACTAGATCATCTAGCAACAAATGTCCAGGGCAGGCCCGAATTCGGAAGCGTGGAAGACAGAAGTGAAGAAGGTTGGGTCTTCCTGAAACAGCTTCGTAACTAGAAGGAACGATTGTCTTCTGGCTAACGTACCTGCCTAGGAGAGACTAGTTTCGTAACTCCGGAAGGAGGTATGGTGGATAAGTCACACCTTCGCATAGCGAGTATGTCAAATTTTTGCTACAATGTCTCAGCAACTACCATTCTACCGAGAGAACCGAGACCGTGCCAGACATTGTCCACACAACGCATCCCGAATAACATAGCGGGCTCGACGCTCCAGGGATGGCATGCGGATAAACATCCAGGCGTATAAAGGCACGACGGCGAGCTCTCGAATCCTCCAGTCCAACGAATCTCCTTCACGCATCTCAACGACCAGAGTTCTCATCTCCTACTTCATCAACGCTCATCATGTTCTCCACGATCTTCGCTGTTCTCCCCTTCGCCCTCCTCGCTCTCGCCGACGGAAACGGACAGTGCGCAACCGGCACCCTCTCGTGCTGTGACAACCACTTGTCTGTGCGTGCCATCTCCTACTTCTTCCTACCTTTCGTTCTAAGAATCTGATTTTTTGGCGATGCGATCCTCATACAGGCCCACGATGCTCAGGGACCTCTCGGTCAGCTCGGCCTCGGTGATCTGCTGAACGGCGTGACCGGCAACGTCGGCGTCAACTGCAACCCCATCACCGTCATCGGCACGGGCCAGGGCGCCACCTGCACGAACGAACCTGTGTGCTGCGACCACAACAACTATGTCAGTATTTTCCTTCGGCACTTTCAGATCGATTCGGTGGAGACTTACTGGGTACATTTCACAGAATGGGCTCCTCAACCTTGGCTGCTCGCCCGTCAACGTTGCCGCCTAAAAGGGCGAGCTTAGCACTGTTCTGATGATATTGACGATATCGTATATCTATCACGAGATGCAATGACCCTAGAGTGTATTTACGACGGGACGTGACGACATGGGCCGGAGAGGGTAGGAGTTGTGCGGACCAAGTACTATTTGTCGCTAGCCACGAAATGTTACGAACTTGTCATGATTCCTCAAGTCGTGCGATCAATCAACGCCAGCGAGGCTGCAATCGAGAACGCTGTTTTTGCTGACATTAGGCTGTGATATTGAGAAACGGTTCGCGCCTCGATTACCTCCCTCTGCATGGCACGGGTGAGTCACCTTTGTCACGATCATAACCTCTTGCGTGAGGGTATTCATCTGTCATTCATTAGTGAAGCACGACGAAGTAAGTTCCGGGTTCCGCCGCCAAGCTACCTCGGAGTGAGACATGAGCAGTGACTCCGCTGTCAACGTTGTTCACATCGGTGAAGCTCGTGTCGGCGAAATTTCTTGCTGCGCTTCTTCGGACGAGACGCGATCATGGACATCCTTCGCCAGCGTCGGTGAAACAGGACATTTCGATGTATTGAAGTTTTCACGGACAGAAACTACAGCAAGACCAGCCGCACCCGAGGCGCAGAGGAACTCAGCGTTATAAATCCTGGCTCGAGCGTTGAGCTCCTACAATCGATTAGCCTCATCGTCTTCAGCCAGCTCATCGGACCAAGCTTCCTTACCATCATGTTCGCCGCTGCCTTTGTCGCTCTCTCCTTTGCCCTCTTCGTCGCTGCCGATGGCAATGGCCAGTGCGCCTCAGGCGTCCTCTCGTGCTGCGACAACTCTCTCTCCGTAAGCCTTTCTCAGCATCACCTCCCCATGCCTATCCAGATTCACTGATTCCTGGTGCTGGTTTGCAGGCACACGACGCCCAAGGCCCGCTCGGTCAGCTCGGCCTCGGCGACCTCCTGAACGGCCTCGCAGGCAACGTTGGCGTTAACTGCAACCCGATCACCGCCATTGGCACCGGCCAGGGCGCAACGTGCACACAGGAGCCGATGTACTGCGACAACGACAACTACGTGAGTTTGATTCGTTCGACGAGCATTCTGGAACGGAGTGCTTACCATCTCTGGTGGGACGTCTAGAATGGTCTGTTCAAAATTGGCTGCACGTCCGTCAGCGCTGCTTCGCGATCGTACATGAAGTGCTCTCCGAATGAGTGCTTCCATACGCCTTTACATAGACCTCTTTCGTCATTAGTGGATCATGTGTTTGGGGTGCTGTCGTCCCTTCGTAGACGGTTTCAGTTGGATTCTTCGTATGGAATGATAACTTATGATGGAGCTTGCATCTCGTCTCACTATGCATTTCCTGATAGTCGTCATCTGTGAAGTTGTAAATTGGGTGCAAGGGCGATACCACAAGATATTACCCAGGTTTGGCAGTATTCCTTCCAACATCCATTCCTGCATGTTGACCAGACCACATCGTCGTCTAAGACGGGTTGCAGCAAAAGGGAAGCGCACTACTCACGCTTCCATGCTGCTATGGTATTGCGTCAGCCCTAGCCATAAGTCTCCATTTCGGGGCGCTCACCTCCAACGCTAGGGCTCGCATGATTTGGTGACGGAAAACGTATAAAAACACCCTCCTGCGAGCGACAAAGTCCTTAGGCTTCATCCTCATCAATCGCCTACAACCACAACGCTATGTTCTCCACCATCGTTGCTCTCCTCCCCTTTGCCCTTGCGGCCGCTGCTCTCCCCCAAGACGGCGGACACAACGGTCAGTGCACCACCGGCACGCTGTCCTGCTGCGACAACGTCCAGGACGTACGTCTCCTCCTATCCACGTTCCATGTCACCTTGACTGACGCACTTCACAGGCGAGCACCGCCGCGGGTGCCCTAGGCCCTCTGGGTCTCGGAGGCCTCTTAGACGGTATCACCGGTCAGGTCGGCATTAGTTGCAACCCCATCACGGGCATCGGCACCGGCCAGGGCGCAACGTGCATCAATGAGCCAGTGTGCTGCGACAACGACAATTGGGTGAGTACAGTGTGCCTTCTGTGAGACCGAAGGTCGGGGTTCTGACTGCGATTGGGGCTTCGCGATTCAGAATGGACTTATCAACCTTGGCTGCTCGCCGATTAACATCATTGCTTAATGCGATCGACGACGGACTCACCTGTACTATGTGATTTCCACGCTCCTTTGATCTGCTGTAATGTTACGATAAGGCCTTGAATGTCTGACTGTGCTTAATATTTATGTATGCGTAACTGTGGTCAGTTATCATGTAAATGAACATAACGTTTGTGCGCACTCTGTGCCCTTGCTTTCGACGGAGGCGAATTCTGAGTTAGAGCGTGAATGATCGGGATACAGCGTCCGTCCTGCCAAGAAGCCAGATCCATTGCTCGTGTCTCGGTATGTAAGAAGCCTCGAGCTTCATATTCGAGCTTCATAACCAAGACGAATCGAGCACGCAAGGAAGACCCTCTGAGACACGTTGCACGGTACGGTCCGGACCCGACTGGGCGACAGATTCGAGAGAAGGCATCCCATCTGACGTTGGTGGTGCTTTGAGAATGCTACCTCCTGCGACGGACTCAGGGTTCTAAGCTGACATCTCCTGGATGAATGGGCACAACAAAAGTTTCGCGATAAGTAGGGGAGTTGAACGTTACGTTGAACGTTAAAGAAGAGGTGGATCACCGGTGAAAAGAGGATGAGACACGATCATGTGATTATTGTCGAGCCGCGTCTCGGACTTTTTAGCACTCTCTTCTCCACCGCCACGACGAATTCAGTGAACCCGACGGCATGCCTTGTTCGCCACCAAACGACACAGCTACTAGTGTTCATGATACTCGCACCCGTTTGTCTCAGGTCTAATGCGAGTATGCGAGCATATAAGCTCTCGATTCCCGGCTTAGAAACCTCCATTCTTTCCGTCCGTCGCAAGCTTGATCACAGTCGAATCCGTCTTTGTCATGTACGCTAGTTCCATCGTCGCCATCGCTCTCGCCACCGTTGTCTTCGCGGATGGAAACGGGCAGTGCAGCACCGGTCCTATTCAGTGTTGCAACAGCATGCAGAACGTATGTCTCTAAATTAGTTTCGATAGTGCTATACTGTCACTCACGCACTTGACCGGCAATTTAGACGACAAACGCCGCCGATCCTCTCGGCCAGCTTGGCCTTGGGCACCTCCTCGACGGTATCACTGGTCAAGTCGGCTTGCAGTGCACCCCTATCACCGGTATTGGTCTTGGTCAGAGCGCGAACTGCAAGCAGCAGCCCGTCTGCTGCGACCACAATAACTTCGTCAGTTGATCCTCTCACCTCATCGTATTTGCAATCGAACTCATTCGTCATCAGAATGGCTTGCTCAACCTCGGATGCAGCCCGATCAACATCAACCTCTGAGGAGGTGTTCTGCGCTGGCATTATATACGGACAGTGGCCTGTGTATTCGTATCTTACGTCCGTATGACTTGTCCTCCCGCGCAACTACTTTGCCCTCTTGGAGCGTTACCAGACCTTGTACCTGCGTTTAAACGTTTCCAATGATTTTGGAGCCTGCATTTAACGTGCGACGATGGTCGTCAACGCTGACTAGGAACTACCAGTGGGCGGTGGGAACGCCAGACTCCGAGTCACCCCAGTGGTTATCATTTGCATGAGCTCCATGACCGAGTCCCGTAACCTCTTGGATAAAACACGTACAATGAGTATAGCTTGAGCAAGGCTGATGGTTTCGATGAGACAACAAACTATGGATAGTGTGAGCTTGTCTTTTGCTACATATTTTCTCTTGTGTCCGTACTGTTTTCCAGTGACACCCCTTCTACCTTTAGCCTGCCCGGTCGACTGAGTTTATATCACATTTATACTGACAGTGTTCAAGACACAAAGGGACATTCAACCTCGGCTAAATAAGGAGATGTTTTGCCAGACCAGATCAAGTAGACCGAACTTCGATAAACTGTCCTCAATCCATGAAATCGAACCCGCCATACAACTAGACGTGCTAAAACAAGTGTCATCTAGTCTTTGTGACAGCTTGGTATACACAAGCAGAAACACAAGATATCCTTGAGCCCATCGCTGCTCGGTGTCCCGCTCCTCTGCTCATCAAGACCTACTCCTGGAGATTCAACGCGCTGCCGAGTCGATGCCGGAGGCGATGGGCTACTCGAGCTTTCATCAGATTCCTCCTCCCGACGCCCAGCCCTGCGATGACCTTGTCCACTCGGTCCGGCGGCCATCACGCGCTAAGCAGAAGAAACACCATTAAAGACGCGACGTGATTATAGTATATTCCCTTACCAGATTGGCCCGTCCAGCACTCACGAGCTCGAGCACACGTCCCATGCGACGATGACTATCTCTAGGCTCATCCGAGGTCAACTCGGTCTTGCGACGCGATGTGAGGCGAGCGATAAACCCGCGGCGCGGCTCTTCATGCGACCCATCCTTCTTTTGAGCAACTGGGTCCTTTTGGCGCGTTCGATAGTCTCTGGGTGCAGATCTCCTAGCAACTGCAGGCATCTGTATCGTTGATCCATCGGCACAGGGGTAAGTTCAAGGACGGAGAACGTACGTTCATGATTGAGTCGTCGTCTACGTCGGCCAGGTTAATTCCGCGACGCGACGGTCCCGGCCTAGTGCCATGCTAATACCAGGTAGATAAATAAATGAGATGACAACCTTCCTGAAGCGAGCTGATTTTCCTACCCCGGCGATATCGAGCTCATCAGTTGAAGGTTTGCCTTCAGGAGACGTGCTATCTTGCTGCAAAAGAAGTAAGTGAGTAAGACGTGTCTGACAACTCGAAACACGAGAAGACACACGCTCACTTTATATAGGAGCATACGACCCGTCACCGCTTCATAGACCTCGAAGTCACCGTACTTAGACCCAACAACTATCCTTTCTCCTCCGGGTGAAAAAGCGAAGCACGTGAGATTTGAAACGTTAGACTGCCATACCGGATCGTCGGTTGCTGCGTCGACCATTTGAATGGAGGAGTCATGGACTGAGTATAGCAAGGTCCGACCATCAGGCGAGAATACCGCCCGGATGCCATTGTAATCTGCATAAAGATGAAGGATGGTTTGGCATGTGTGCACGTCCAGGACCAGGAGTCCCCTCGAGCAGACAAGAAGGCGTCGACCATCAGGGGAAAATGAGATAGAGTGGGTAGGGTCAGACCCGTCGGACGCCATGGAGGAAACCTTTGAGATCACGTCTAGTGAAGAGGTGCTACAGACGAGGATGCCGTCATCTGTGGTGATGTACGCAAATTGTTCTCCATCCGGCGAGAATGCGACATCCAGGACTATGGACGGGTGCTGCACGAACGTCGTGCTGCGGTCACCAAGGACATTGAAAACGAAACAAAGGTTCATATCATATGCGCTGTCAAGTAACATGGCGACAGTGGAGCCATTGGGAGAGAACTTCATTTTGCGGCATGCTCGATCGGGACCATCGAGCGAATAAGGATGCTCATTCCCCGTCTTGGTGTCGAAGAAACTAATGGATCCGATGTAGCACGCAGAGCCAGCCGCCAGCATCGTGCCGTCGGAGGACAGAGCAGTGCATGAGCCGCCGGGGAGCAAGTACTCGCGGACATGCTTTCCTGTCTCGGCGTCCCATGTGTGAATGTAGTCGTCGCTCATGCTGCTACTGATGAAATAGCGCCCGTCGGGGAACCACTCTACGCCATCCACCTCAAAGCGGCCTGCCGCGGTTAGCGGTGGGCCCCCTTTTCTGTCTGGGAGCTGTGTCGAGATATCTCAGTCAGCTCTCCTGAACAGATATGACTGACGTCCACATACTGAGGACAGTACAACCTGTTCGGCGTCAACATCCCATACATGAATATTTCCGGAGTCATCCGCGCATGCTATGCGATCTTTCAGTGGCGAACACGCGGCTGCAGTAATACGACGAATAATCTCGCATCCCAAGTTTGGCGGCTGTCTCAAGGGACCTAGGATCAAGTTTCCAGTGGAGGTGTTCCAGACGAACACATGGTTCGCCACGGAGACATCAATGAGCCACTCGCCGTCGCGCGAGAAGCAGAGAATGTGTGTGTCTAAGAGATGACCCCTGAGCGGACCGTGCAAGACATCGCCGCTCTCAACTTGCCAGATCTGCGATCCGTGAGGTGCAGTTCCAGCGATCATAGTACCATCGTAGGAGCCAACCTGAGGCCAGGGGCGGTGAGATAGGTCGTTTGAGAGATGGATACGTTCTTGTTGCCTTGTCGCCAAGTCAAAGGAGTATACTACTGGAGTGCTTGTAACATCATTGCCAGTAGTGGGACGAGGAAGATCGCGGTAGGCGAACAAAACACTTTGGTCGTCTGAAGCGAATGCAAGCAGACCCACTAGCTCGGAGAGTGGACTCATCTCGACCACATCCATTATTAGCTGGCCTGTTTCTGCGTCTTGGAGGGTAATGAACGAGGATGTCATCACGGCGAAGTGCTTGCAATTGTTCGAGAATCTGACGCGATAGACGCGATATGAAATGTCGTCGGTTTTGTATGCTGTCTTTATCATTGTGTTCTCCAAAATCCCCGGTCCGTCCTCGTCATCTTTGACCTTCCAGATCAGGACGGTCGCGTCTTCGCAGACCGTGACAAGCTGTCTACCTGAGGGGGAAAATGCAAGTGACTCGGCTCCACGAGGCGTGTTGATCTTCTGGAGTTGCTGACCTGTAAGAGGGTCCCAGAGACGCACAGTGGCATCCTTAGATGTGGTTGCAATGAGACGACCGTCAGGAGAGTACTCGATGGCGGTGATCTCCTCCGTGTGGCCTGAGAAGGGCCGGGGTGCGTCAGCTGCATCCGGTGTCGAGCGTGTACCTGACGGCATGCGGGGAAGGGATAGTGTCTTTGTTCGACTTAAGGGTCAATATAGGCTATAGGTATGACTGGGGTGTAGATGGCGGTGATGGTGGTGCATGGCATCGTCGACAGGCGCGCGTTGGCCAGGAATGTGCGTTTGTAGGTCCACCTTCACGGCAAAAATGCTCGGGGAAAGCCGGCTCCAAGCTTGATCCAACTTCGCAGGATGGCTAGCTCACTCTTGCATTTATACCGGGCTTGCCTTTGTGAAGATACGATTCGAGCTGAAGCAAGGGGAGGTGACAGAGTCTTGGTCTGAATTCGGTGGTCAACCTGCTTCAGCGCGCGGGAGGTGTTCCGGTTAGGACCGAAGCGATGCAAGCGGGACCTACGTACCTTAGGCCCTACACCCACTCTCACTAAGTGTTGCGACACATATCCTCAGAACGCTTGATTGCATCTGCTTTCATCCCTTTCGCCGTTTCTTCAGCCTCGAGAGATCATGGCTAACAACCTGAAGAACAAGCCTCTGCCTATGTCTGAGACGCTGCGCGACCTCGCACTCCTACGGGCTTCCGACATCGACCTCGCGCACTTGGCATCACAATCGGGACTCAGCGATGCAGGTTCAAGGGAAGATGGCGGAATTGATGAGGCAACTTCGCGTTCCTACGAGTTTGTCAAGGAAACTCGGGCCACGTTGCGATTGCTCAACGGCGGAGAGCTGGAACGGCAGGGACAGAAGACAGAGGAGGCGCGTAGGGAACTGATGGAAGTGCTCAAAGGGCTTGCTGATGGACCTTAGCTGGAGAAGGAGGTGAATTCTCATTCTAAGTACCGCATATATGGTATAGGTGAGTCGATCATTCTTGTTATATGCTTCATCTCATTCGCGTCGCCAGCTGCTCTCCATTGGAAACCCTCAGACGAGGCTATTCCAAGAAAAGCAGCAAGCAGTCTGCGCGATCCATCTGTATGCACGCTCCATCTCCACTATTTTTTTTGAAGGCGTACGCCTTGCCTAAGCCCACCACAATGCTGGTCCTCGTCTGCGTCCTTCCAGCTGTACTACGAACGCCGTCGTTACCTGCCGTGTCAACTATCAAGCGCCCGCTATATGCACTACCAATCGCTCCTTTTACCCACCGCTATACGGTGCGCTGGTCAGATAGCCATTGTCGAAATGAAGAGACGTGAATGTCGCGCATATATGCTCAGAAGACAGTGCTGTTAACCTAGACATGCCATACAATTCCCGCTACCGTCGTCACGAAGAGCAACATCGCTCGCATGATTCTGCAGTACGTATCTCCCCAGCTTCGTTTTGCACGTCCCCGCGTTTCCGCCCTTCACTACAACTTCCTGCCCCAAGAGCACCCGCCATATTACCTGCCCGACCTCATCGCCTTCGCCTTCGCCATCTTCGAACCTCTCGATGTTGTTATCAAGGCTTTCCTGTGAGCCGATGTCCTCGGCGGCTTTTGCAGAAATGTCCGTTCATCCCTTTCTCTTCCGAATATCTGTTTTCCCAGGTCGTCTAGCACAATCGAGTTCAACCCGATGTGCCATCCTACACCCACGATCAGACTTGGTCATGGATCTGGCAATGTACCCAAGGCTGCGCCGACGATACAATGATCGAGGCCTATTCCTTTGTTCGATGTCCAATGTGCATGGTCATGCAGTGCCATAAAAGAACATGTTTACTAACCTATAATTTTCATATCTGGACACTCAGCCATCACGCGCCGCAGGTATTCAACCACCATGATTATCCACTCCTCCTCGTCATACGGCCTGCTGGCTAGAAGCATAGCGGCCCAACGATACTCTCGTAAGAAAACTCGTGTGTCACACCCAACATAATCTAAAACGCACTAGAACCAACGACCACCATCGCGTCAAAAGCTTCTATCCTTTCCTCCACCTGTATGCTGTATGTCTCCGAAAATCCCGGAGAGCCTGGGTAGACCATTCGAGTGATGTTATACGTCTGTGACATGAATGGGTCCGCGCCCAGCCCGATCGGCGTGGTACGCCGGAGATATGTCTCGAACCGCTGGCACAAGTCGCCATGTTGGGCGATAAAGGCGTCGCTAGCGCTGGACTCACCGCACGAGAGCAGAGTGATGCGGAGAGGCGACGGTGTTGGTACCGGTGATCTTTGACTTGTCTTCATGAGTCTTCGTAGTTGTCTAGAGTTAGCAATACAATGAAAACACTACTCGGAGTCTTTGACTGGCAAGGCCCTCAAAAGGCCCTTGGAGATCATTTTAACCGCAAGTACCTGGAGATGGACGATGCTAATTGTTACTATGTGGATCGAGCGCTTGTGGGGCGTTACAATGCGGTGCGGAATTAGGACTGGATCCCGAATATGAAGCGAGAGGACAGTCTATTTGAGTGCGCCCAGCCCACACAAGTGGAGATGAAGATGAAGCGTGAGTCAGCGCAACGAGACATGTTCGGGTCTTGTGCTGCCCTCTGGCGAATCTCATTCAAGATGGCGTGGGCTCGTCGGTAGCCAGTGAGCCTAGTCGCCTGAGCTAGGATCGTCTGAAGCATAAACCGAACATGCAACGTATAGAGTCTGTCTTTGAACTACACTATGCATAAACGACATCGTTCAATATTATGGTAACGAGAAATCAAGTATTCCTGGATTTAAAGTGCCAAAACAAGTGACATCTAATCTCTGTGCACGCACCGCGGTATGCACAAACAGTAACATAATATGTTCCTGAGCCCATCGCTGCTCGGTGTGATGCTCCTTTGGTCGTCAATACCAGCTTCCGGAGACTCAACTCGAGGGCGAGTTGACGCTGGAGGCGACGGGCTACTCGAGCTTTCATCAGACTCCCCTTCCCGACGTCTATCGCTGAGACGACCTTGTTCGCTAGGTCCGGCGGCCATCACACGCTAAGTAGAAGAATCAGAATCGGAAACCCAATGCGAGTATATATTGTGTGCTTACCAAATTGGCTCTGCCAACGCTAACAAGCTCGAACATCCGTGACATGCGGCGACGGTCATTGTTAGGCTCAACGGAGATTGGCCTGTCAGAGTTGCGACGCGATATGAGCCGAGCTATGAGCCCGCGGCGTGATCCCTCGTCCGACCCGTCCTTGCTTCTGCTGTTATTCCTAAGAGTTTGACGAGCTTGAGAGCCTGCGGGAACAGATCTCCTGACGGCTGCGGGCATCTATATCGCTGATCAATTGATATATAGCGAGAAGCAAGCAGTTACAACGCACGTTTATGAGTGAATCGTCGTCTGCATCAACGAGAGGGACTCCTCGCCTTGATGGTCCTTGCCTACTGTCATGCTGATCCTGCAAAATTAATTGAATAAGATAATGTTTCCTCGAAGCAAACCGACTGACATACCCCAGCCATGTTGAGGGGCTCATCACTTGACGATTTGCCGTCAGAAGATGTGTCATCTCGCTTCAAAAGGAGTCATTCATTAGGATATGACCGACAACTTGAAACATGAGAAGATAAACGCTCACTTTCGGGAGGAGCATACGACCCGTCGCTGCTTCATAGAGCTCGAAGGCCCCGTATTCAGACCCAACGGCTATCCTTTCTCCCCCAGGTGAAAAAGAGAAGCACATAAGATTGGAAACGTTAGACTGCCATTTTAGATCGTCTGTTGTTGCGTTGACCATTTGCATAGGATAGCCACGAACTGAGTGCAACAAGGACCGCCCATCGGGCGAGAATGCCGCGTGGACATGACCAAAACCTGCATAAAGATGAAGGATGGTCCGACCTATGTGCAGGTCGATCACCAGGATTCCCCCCAAGCAGACAAGGAGACTTCGACCATCAGGTGAGAATGAAATAGAGCCGTTATGTTTAGACCGTTCGGACGCTGTGGGGGGAAACTTTGAGATAATATCCATCGACGAAGTGCTGCAGATACAAATGCCGCCATCTGTGGTGATGTACGCAAATTGCTCTCCATCCGGCGAGAATGCAACATCCAGGACGATTGATGGGTGCTCCACGAACTTCGTCTCGCGGTCACTGAGAACGTTGAAAATGAAACAAAGGTTCGATTCCTGTGCATCGTCGAGAACAATGGCGAGTGTCGAACTACTGGGAGAGAACTTCATTCTGCGACACGCTCGAACGGGGCCGTCGAGAGAATGCGGGTGCTCTTTACCTGTCTTCATGTTGAAAAACGCGATGGATGAGAAATAACACGCAGAGCCGGCAGCCAGCACGGTGCCGTCGGGGGATAAAGCGATGCATGAGCCTCCAGGGAACAAGTACTCGCGAACCTGCTTTCCAGTTTCAGCATCCCACGTGCGGATGTAGTCGTCACACGTGCTGCTACCAATGAAGTAGCGCCCATCAGGGAACCACTGCACACTGTCCACCTCAAAGCAGCCTGGGACGGTAAGCGGTTGGACCTGCTTTCTGACTGGGAGCTGTGGGATACCTCGGTCAGCTCCCCTGAATCCGCTTGACTGCCGGAGTTGACGTACCGAGGACAATATAACTTGTTGAGTGTCGGTATTCCATACATGAATGTTTCCGGAGCCATCCGCGCATACTATGCGATCCTTCAGCGGAGAACAAGTGGCTGCAGTGATACGATACATAGTCTCGATCCCCAAGTTTGGCGGCTGCCTCAAGGGACCTAGAGCTAACTTCCCTGTGGAGGTGTCCCAGACACATACAGTGTCTGCCTTGGAGACGTCAACGAGCCACTCGCCGTCACGCGAGAAGCAGAGGAGCCTTGCCCCCCAGAGATGCCCCCTGAGTGGACCGTGCAAGACCTCGCCTCCGTCGACTTTCCAAATCTGCAATCCGTGAGGTGCATCCCCAGCGATCATGGTACCATCGTAGGAGATGGCCTGAGGCTGGGGGTAGTGAGACAGGTCGGTTGAAAGATTGATGGGTTCTTGTCGCTTTGTCGCCAAGTCAAATGAGTATACTATCGGAGTGCTTGAATGCATAGTGCCGGGGCGGGGAAGATCATAGTAGGCAAACAAGACACTTCGGTCGTCCGCAGAGAATGCAAGCATGTCTATGAGCCTAAGCGGCGGGGTCACCTCGATCACATACACGAGTAGTTGGCCTGTTTCAGCGTCTTGGATGGCAATGGACTGAAATGTCATTACGGCGAGGAGCTTGCCGTTGTTCGAGAATCTGACGGAACGAGGAGATGTGGAGCCCTCAGCGTCGTATGTCCTCTTTGTTGTGGCATTCTGCATCACTCCTGATCTGTCCTCCTTTACGTCCCAGACAAGGACGGTCGAGCTATTCTTGCAGATGGTGGCAAGCTGTCTACCTGTGGGGTGAAATGCGAGAGACACGCCTCCACCAGGTGTGTCAAGTTTCTGGAGCTGTTGGCCCGTTAGAGGGACCCATAGACGTACAGTGGTATCCTCAGATGCAGTTGCAATGAGCCGACCATCAGGAGAACACTCGATGGCAGTGATCCTCTTTGTGTGGCCTGCAAACGGTCGAGGTGCGTCATCCGCATCGGGGCTCAAGTGAGCTTCTGAGGACATGCAACGAGGGAAGCGGCCTTGGTTCGAGTAAAGGATCAAAGTAGGCCGTATGAGCGATCAGGGTGTAGATCGCAGTGATGGTGGTGCATGGTCTCGACAACAGGCGCGCGCTGCTGGAAATGTGGGTTTGTGGGTCCAACTTCACAGCAAAAATGCTCGGGAAAAGCCGGTTGCGAGCTTGATCAAACTTCACTGGGCTGTTTATCTTGCATGTACTCCAAATTTACTCTGAGTGTGTATACCATAGAGACAATCCTTAGCTGAAACAAGAGACAGTGACAAAGCCTTGGTCTGAGTTTGGTGGTCGACTTGATGGGCCTGCGCGGGAAGTGTTCCGGGTCGCGCCGAAGCGATGCGATCGGACCTGCGCGACTTGGACCCATACTCACTCTCTTTAACAACGTTGCGACACGAATCATTGAATGCCTGATATGTTTACTTTCATCAGGCTTTGGACGCCTTGGCTAACATCCTGAAGAGCAGATCCCTACCTATGTCCGAGACGCTGCTTTGTACCAGCTGTCCAGTCCAACTTTGCACTCCTCTGCGCTTCTGAAATTGACTTGCACCCTTAGCACCACAATGGGGACTCAGCGATCTCAGGATCGCCACTGCGCGTTCCTACAAGCTTGTCGAGGAAGTTCTTGCGACATTTCGGCTGCTCGACGGCGGAGAGCTGAAGGCAGAGACAGAGACAGAAGACGGAGAGGGTGCGCAGTCAGCTGACAGAAGTGCTCAAGGGGCTTTGACGGAGCTGCCAAGGTGACCCGGCCTAATCCAGTTCAAAGGTGTGCATACATGCTGTGAGTGAATCGCATGTCTTCTTCATTTCCTCTTGCCCTGTTTAACTCGTATTCCAGCACCCGTAATTATCCAGCCACAATCCTCAAGTGAAGCTACGTCGAAGCAAAGCATCATAACTATTCTATCGATATCTCCAATCATATGCACCTGCTACGTTAATGGTTATATCCCGGAAGCATGCGTCATACCTAAACTCCAGTGCGATGCAGCTCCCCGCCTGCGTCATTCGACACCATCAAATTGTCGTACCATGGTACGCTGTGCTTATATGCGGTGTTCATTATCAAACGTCCTGCTAACTCTGTCTCTCATGATTCCCTTACCCCGTCGTTTCTAGAAACACTAAGTCAGCACGCGAACGGCAGCATCAAGAGGCGCGAACGCCACGCATATATGATCAAAACTCTGTCCTGTCAATCTGGACAGACCACGCGACTACCGCCGTCATCGTCACGAAGGCCACTATCGCACCGCGCGCCCTAGGGCAGTTTGTGTCTCGCTAGAAGCACAATGGGCCCCAACGCCGATATTCTCGTAAGAAAACATACGTATCACACCGGACGCAGTCTTGAATGCACTAGAACCGGCAACCACATATATCGCGTCGAAAGCTTCAAACTTGTCCTCTACCTTACACTATCTGTTCTCTCGAAACGCCCAGGTAAAGGTCCTGGGTGACGTCATACGCTTGTAGCACGGTGCATTCGAATAAACTGATACCTATGAAGAACATGGTAACAAATATCGTGCAATCCTGGAATTGGACGCGCCAGAACAACCGACATCTAGTCTTTGTGACACCGCGGTATACACAAGCAGTAGCACAGTATGTCCCTGAGCCCATCGCTACTCGGTGTGATGCTCCTTTGATCGTCAATGCCAGCTTCCGGAGACTCAACTCGAGGGCGAGTTGACGCTGGAGGCGACGGGCTACTCGAGCTTTCATCAGACTCCCCTTCCCGACGTCTATCGCTGAGACGACCTTGTTCGCTAGGTCCGGCGGCCATTACACGCTAAGTAGAAGAATCAGATTCGGAAACCCAACGCGAGTATATATTGTGTGCTTACCAAATTGGCTCTGCCGACGCTAACAAGCTCGAACATCCGTGACATGCGGCGACGGTCATTGTTAGGCTCATCGGAGGTTGGCCCGTCAGAGTTGCGACGCGACGTGAGCCGAGCAATGAGCCCACGGCGGGGCTCTCCATCCGACACGTCTTTACCTCCGCTGTTCTTCCTAGGAGTTTGACGCGCATTAGAACCTCCTGGGGCAGATCTCCTGATAGCTGCAGGCATCTATGTCGCCGATCAGTTGATATCCAATGAGAACTAAGCAGTTAGAACGTACGTTCATGAGTGAATCATCATCTGCATCAGCGAGAGTGAGTCCTCGTCCCGATGGTCCTTGCCTACTGTCATGCTAATCCCAGATAGATAACTGAATGAGATAATGTTTCCTCGAAGCAAACTGATTGACATACCGCAGCCATGTTGAGGGGCTCATCACTTGACGATCCGCCGTCAGAAGACGTGTTATCTCCCTTCAAAACGAGACATTCATGACAACTTGAAACGTGACGAGATAATCGCTCACTTTTGGGAGGATCATATGACCCGTCGCCGCTTCATAGAGCTTGAAGACCCCGTATTCAGACCCAACAGCTATTATTTCTCCCCCAGGTGAAAAAGCGAAGCACGTGAGATTGGAAACGTTATACTGCCATATTGGATCGTCTGTTGCTGCGTTGACCATTTGCATAGGATAGCCACGAACTGAGTACAACAAGGACCGCCCATCGGGCGAGAATGCCGCGTGGACATGACCAAAACCTACATAAAGATGAAGGATGGTCTGGCACGTGTGCAGGTCGAGCACCAAGAGTCCCCTCGAACAAATGAGAAGGCGTTGGCCATCAGGTGAAAACGAGATAGAGTGAGTGGGGCCGGACACGTCGGACGTCATGGAGGAAATCTTTGATATAAATTCCAATGACAAGGTACTGGAGAGGAGGATGCCGTCGTCTGTGGTGATGTACGCGTACTGCTCTCCATCCGGCGAGAATGCAACATCCAGGACGGTCGATGGGTGCTGCACAAACATCGTCTTGCGGTCACCGATAACGTTGTAAATAAAACAAAGGTTCGAGTCATGTCCGCCGTCTAGCACGATGGCGAGTGTCGAACCATTGGGAGAAAACTTCATTTTGCGGCTCGCTCGAACGGGACCATCGAGAGAATGCGAGTGCTCTTTACCTGTCTCGGTGTCAAAGAACGCGATGGATTCAGCATAAAATGCAGAGCCAGCAGCCAGAACGGTACCGTCGGGGGATAAAGCGATGCATGAGCCCCCGGGAAACAAGTATTTGCGAACTTGCTCTCCAGTTTCGGCGTCCCACATGTGGATGTAGTCGTCGCACATGCTGCTACTAATGAAGTAGCGCCCGTCGGGGAACCACTGTACACCATCCACTTCAAAGCAGCCCGGGATGGTTAGCGGTCGAACCCGCTTTCTGACTGGGAGCTGTGAGATAAATCGGTCAGCTCCCCTGAATCCGCTTGACTGCCGGAGTTGACGTACCGAGGACAGTACAACTTGTTGAGTGTCAACATTCCACACATGAATGCTTCCGGAGCCATCCGCGCATACTATGCGATCCTTCAGCGGAGAACAAGTGGCTGCAGTGATACAATGCATAGACTCGATCCCCAAGTTTGGCGGCTGCCTCAAGGGACCTAGGACCAAGTTTCCAGTGGAGGTATCCCAGATAGAAACAGTGCTTGCCTTGGAGACATCAATGAGCCACTCGCCATCGCGCGAGAAGCAGCGGAGCCTTGTTCCCAAGATATGCCCCCTGAATGGACCGTGCAAGACCTCGCCTCCGTCGACTTTCCAAATCTGCAATCCGTGAGGTGCATCCCCAGCGATCATGGTACCATCGTAGGAGACGGTAAGAGGCTGGGGGTAGTGAGATGGGTCGGTTGAGAGATTGATGGGTCCTTGTTGCTTTGTCGCTAAGTCAAATGAGCATACTGCTGGAGTGCCTAAATGCGTAGTGCCGGGGGTTGGAAGATCATAGTAGGCAAAGAAGACACTTCGGTCATCTGCAGAGAATGCAAGCATGTCCATGAGCCTAAACGGTTGGGTCACCTCGATAATATGCATGATTAGCTGGCCTGTTTCAGCATCTCGGAGGGCAAGGGACCAAACTGTCATCACGGCGAGGAGCTTGCCATTGTTTGAGAATCTGACGGAATGGGGATGTGTGTAGGGTTCCGCGTCGTATGTCTTCTTTACTGTGATGTTCTGCATCACTCCTAATTCGTCCTCCTTTAAGTCCCAGACGAGGACGGTCGAATCATTCTTGCAGATGGTGGCAAGCTGTCTACCTGTGGGGTGAAAAGCAAGAGACACGGCTCCACTAGGCGTGTCGAGCTTCTGGAGCTGCTGGCCCGTCAGAGGATCCCAGAGACGCACAGTGGCATCTTCAGATGCAGTTGCAATGAGCCGACCATCAGGGGAATACTCGATGGCGGCGATTCTCTTTGTGTGGCCTGCGAAGGGGCGAGGTCCATCATCCGCATCGGGAGCCGAGGGGGCGTCTGACAACATGCGGTAAAGGGAGATGGTCTTGGTTCGAGTAAAGGGTTAGTGCAGGCCGTAGTGGTGACCAGGATGTAAACGATGGTGATGGTGGTGTATGGTATCGACGACTGCCGCGCATTAGCCAGGGATGTGAGTTTGTGGGTCCAACTTCACAGCAAAAATACTCGGGGAAAGCCGGTTCCGGGCTTGATCCAGCTTCACTGTGCGGTTCATCTTGCATTTACTCCACACTCGATCTGAGGGAGCTGTATGAAGACAATCCTTTAGTTGAAACAAGAGACAGTGACAAAGCCTTCAAGTTGGTCTGAGTTTGGTGGTCGACTTCTTTCAGCTGGGCCTGCGCGGGAAGTGTTCCGGGTCGGGCCGAAGCGATGCGAGCGGACCTGCGCGATTTAGACTCATACTCCCTCTCTTTAACAATGTCGTGATATGAATCATTGAACGCTTGATACATTTGCTTTAATCAGGCGAGACACTGCTTTGCACCAGCTGTCCAGTCCAACTTTACACTCTTCTCTGCGCTTCTGAAATTAACTCGCACCCTTAGCACTACAATGGCGACTCAGTGATCTCAGGATCGACATTGCGCTTTCTTACAAGTTTGTCAAGGAAGCTTGCGCTACATTGCGACTGCTCGACGGCGGAGAGCTGAAGTCAGAGACATACGATGGGGAAGGCGCGCAGTGAGCTGACAGAGGTGCTCGAGAGGGCTTCTTGACGGAGCTACCAATGTGACCCAGCCTAACCAGGCTCACAGGTGCTGAGTCACTCGTCTTCTTCACTTTCCGCTTGCTCCGTTTGACTCGTGTTCCAGTACCCGTCATTATCTACTAGTAGTCGGCAGATTTCCAGTCACAATCCTCAAGTGAAGCTACGTCAAAGCAAAGCATCATAACTGCTCTAACGATATCTCCAATCATCTGCTATGTCAATGATTATATCCTGGAAGCACAAGTCATACCTAAGCTCTAGTGCGATGCAGGTCCCCGCCTGCGTCATTCGACACCATCAAATTGTCGTACCATGATATGCTGTGCTTATATGCGGTGTTCATTATCAAACATCCAGCTAACTCTGTCTCTCATGATCCCCTTACCCCGTCGCTTCTAGAAACACTGGCCAGTACGCCAACGGCAGCATGAAGGGGCGCGAATGCCACGCATAAATGATCAAAACGCTGTCCTGTTAACCTGGACAGACCACACGACTATCGCCATCATCGTCACGAAGGCCATTATCGCACGCGCCCTACGGCAGCTGGTGCAAAGTTTGTGTCTCGCGCAATGGGCCCCAACGATACTCTCGTAAGAAAACGTACGTGTCACATCGGACGCAGTCTTGAACGCACTAGAACCAGCGACCACTATCGCGTCGAAAGCTTCAAACGTGTCCTCTACCTTACGCTGTCTGTTCTCGAAACACGCACGTAAAGGTCCCGGGTTAGGTCATACGCTTCAAGTTGTAGCAGGATGCATTCGAATAAACTGATATCTGTGAAGAACATTGTGACGAAAACCAGGTAACCCTGGAATCGGACGCGCCACAACAACTGATACCTAGTCTTTGTGACACCGTGGTACACACAAGCAGTAGCACAGTATGTCCTTAAGTCCATCGCTACTCGGTGTGTTGCTCCTTTGATCGTCAACGCCAGCTTCCGGAGACTCAACTCGAGGGCGAGTTGACGCTGGAGGCGACGGGCTACTTGAGCTTTGATCAGACTCCCCTTCCCGACGTCTATCCCTGAGACGACCTTGTTCGCTCGGTCCGGCGGCCATCACTCGCTAAGAAGAAGAAACAACATTACACACGCGACGTGAGGATAGGACGTTCACTCACCAGATTAGCACGCCCAACGCTCACGAGTTCGAGCATTCGCAACATGCGGCGACGGTCATTGCTAGGTTCGTTCGAAGCCAACGGGTCAGACCCGCGACGTGATGTAAGGCGAGTAAGGAATCCACGACGGGGCTCCCTGCCCGACCCGTCCTTTGCTCTACTGTTCCTCTGTCGGGTAGATGGGCTGTCGGGTCTGGGAGCAGAACTCTTACGAACTGCAGGCATCTGTGTTGCTGGTTAGCTCGCCTGCAGTGAAACTCAAGCACGGTAAACGTACATTCATGATTGAGTCATCGTCTGCGACGGCCAGGCTAATTCCCCGCCGCGACGGTCCTGGTCTAGAGATATGTTGATCCTGCATGGAGACATAGAAGTGAGATTACAAATGGCATATAGCCTGCAGGTCGGCTTACCCCAGCAGCGTCAATAGGCTCTTCGTCCGAAAGGTTTGCTTCCGATGACATGTCTCGCTGCAGACGACGTGAGCGAACAGTAAAATGTCGCAGAGAAAAAATGCAAAGTCATTACTCACTTTCGGAAGGAGCATACGACCCGAAGTTGCTTCGTAGAGCTTGATGTCACCGTTCCTCAAACCGATGGCTATCCTTTCTCCTCCTGGTGAGAAAGACAAGGTGGTGACGTACGAAACCTCGGATCGCCAAACTGTATCGCCTGTTGCTGCGTCGACGGATTGAATGGAAGTACCATGCATCGAGTATAACAAGGTCCGCCCATCAGGCGAGAATACCGCCTGGATGTCCATGTTATTAGCGTCAAGACGAAGAATAGTCTGACGCGTGTGCAGGTCCAGCACTAAGAGTTCCCCTGAGCAGATAAGAAGGCTTCGACCATCGGGTGAAAATGAGATAGAATGAAAGCGGTCAATTACGCCAGACACTGTGTAGGAATCCTTGGAGACCATATCTAATGACGAAGTGTTGCAGATGAGGATGCCATCGCTTGCAGTGAGGTACGCGAACTGCTCTCCGTGAGGTGAGAATGCAACATCTACGACTGTGGATGGGTGTTCAACAAACATCGTCTTGTGGTCACTGAGAACGTTAAAAATGAGACAAAGGTTCGAATCATGTGCGTCATCAAGCACAATAGCGAGTGCTGAACCGTCGGGCGAGAACTTGACTCTGCGATACGCTCGACCATGGATATCGAGAGGATGCTGATACTCATTTCCCGTCTTGGTGTCAAATAACTTGACGGACCCGAAGTAGGTTGCGCAGCCAGCCACTAGTAACGTGCCGTCGGGGGATAGAGCAATGCACGAGCCGCCGGGGACCAAGTACTCGCGAACTTGCTCCCCGTTTTCGGCGTCCCATGTGCGGATGTAGTCGTCGCACATGCTGCTACTAACGAAGTAGCGCCCATCGGGGAACCAATGCACGCTGTCCACTTCAAAGCGGCCTGGGGTGACCAGCGGTTGGATCTGTTTTCTGTCTGGGAGCTGTTCGAATATACGTCAGTCAGCTGACCTGAGGAGGCATGACTAGCGAAATCCACATACTGAGGATAGTACGACCTGTTTAGTATCAGTATCCCATACATGAATGTTTCCAGATTCATCCGCGCAAGCTATGCGGTCCTTCAGCAGAGAACATGTCACTGCAGTGATATGCGCGTTTCTGCTTGGCGGCTGCCTCAAGGGACCCAAAGCCGACTTCCCTGTGGATGTGTCCCAGACACATACAGTGTTTGCCTTGGAGACATCGATGAGCCACTCGTCGTCAAGCGAGAAGCAGATGATGCTTGTTCCCCATAGATGCCCCCTGAGTGGACCATGCAAAACCTCGCCGCCGTCGACTTTCCAGATCTGTATTCCATGGGGTGCGAACCCAGCGATCATTGTCCCGTTGTACGAGATGACCATAGGCCAAGGTTGGTGAGACAGGTCGGTTGAGAGATTGACGCGTTCTTGTTGCCTTGTCGACAAGTCAAATGAGTATACTGTTGGAGTGCTTGAGTGCATAGTGCTAGGGCGTAGAAGACCATAGTATGCAAACAAGACACTCCGGCCGCCCGGAGAGAATGCAAGCAGGTTCATGAGCCTAAATTGCCGGGTCACCTCGATCGCATTTATGAGTAAGTGGCCTGATTCAGCGTCTAGGAGGGCAACGGATTGATATGTCATCACAGCGAGGAGCTTGCCGTTGTTGGAGAATCTGACGCATTCGGGAGATGTGGAGCCCCCCACGTCGTATGTCCTCTTCGATGTGATGTTCCGTAACATTCCTAATTCGTCCTCCTTGATGTCCCAGACCAGGACGGTCGGATTATTCTTGCAGATGGCGGCAAGCTGTCTACCTGTGGGGTGAAATACAAGACACTTGGCTCCACTAGGTGTGTCGAGCTTCTGGAGCTGCTGGCCCGTCAGAGGATCCCAGAGACGCACGGTGGCATCCTTAGATGCAGTTACAAGGAGGTGACCGTCAGGAGAGTACTCGATGGCGGTAATTCTCTTTGTGTGGCCTGCAAAGGGGCGGGGTGCGTCATCTGCATCAGACAAAGTATCAGGGGTCGAGTGAGTGGCCGACGACATGGTAAGAATGGAATACTCGTTCTAGTTGAGTGTCAGTGTAGACTGCAAGGACGACCAGGATGTGCTGGACGGTGATGGTGGTGCATGGCATCGCCGGCAGACGCGCGTTTGCCAGGAATGTGTGTGTGTGGGTCCAACTTCACGGCAAAAATGCTCGGGGAAAGCCGGAACTGAGCTTGTAGTAAGAACCTATGGTTCGAAAATCAAGCCGGCCTTCATGCATTATGTCTTTGAGCATTTGAAGTATAAGACCTAGGAGTTTTGCCCTGTAACATACGGCAAAGCTTCAAGCTGACAAGAATTTGAGGGAAGCTGACTGGTGGGATTCAGGGGCTTCGGCGGATCGATCCGGTTAAAGGTTCAACATGACGGACGTCGCGACCGACGAGGGCAGTGCTCAATGGTTCGACGTTCTGCGATGCCTCCAACGGCGGCGACGGCGGCAGCGACGACGACGACGACGACAAAGACGTTCCCCTTCACCGACTCTCGCGCCGACGTGATCATCCGTTCATCCGACAATGTCGACTACCGTGTGCACAAGTACATGCTCTCCTTCTCCTCGACATGCTTCAGCGACATGTTTCAGCTCCCCCAAGCGCAAGGCCAGAACGACCTCCCCGTCGTGCCCGTGACAGAGGACAGCGCCGTGCTCGAGAAACTCCTCCTCTTCTGCTACCCCTGCGACCGCCCACAGCTCGAGACCCTCGACGAAACGATCAAGTTCCTCGAAGCAGGCCGCAAATACGGCATGGACAACATCAAAGACGCCGCACGCGCCGCCCTCCCATCCGTGCGCATCGCCTCACCCAACCCGCTCGCCGCGATCGTCGCCGCGCTCAAGTACGAGATGGACGCAGAAGCGAAGGAGATCGCGCGCTACCTGCTCGAAAAGGACAGCATCCCCCTGACCGCGCCCGAGATCGACGACATGTCCGCGAGCGAGCTCGCCGCGCTCATGCGGTACCACGCCGCGTGCTGCGACGCCGCGTCGCGCGTTGTGTCCGACCCGTCCACGCAGGAGCTCACCTGCGCGCTCTTCAACTCGTTCGCACGCAGCAACACGCTCTCCACCGCGTCGTCGCTCGCGGCGGGCGGCGGGCACCCGTGCACGTGCCACAAGCGCCAGTGGGCGTACGGGCGGCAGGCGTTTGATGCGCCGCGGTGGTGGCTCGAGTTCGCGGACGAGGTCGCGTGGATTCTGGGCAAGATGCCAGCGCCGCACGGGACGCAGATCAAGAATGCGTTTCATATGGGCTTGTACAAGGCGCGCTCGTGTGCGTCGTGCTCGTCCAAGGGGTGCAGGTCGCTCGCGCAGTTTTTGGCGTTCATACAGGAAGAAGTCGAGAGGGCGATATCGGAGGTGAGTGTATGCTATATTTCGAGTGCTCGATCGGTCTTACGATGAGACCTTTGCCAGGTACCACTGAACATTAGCGATTAGATGGGCAAAGCCATCCCCTTTTCTTGGATATATTCACGACACCGGGACATCTTACGCGAATTTCCACGAAGATCAACATCCGTGTATCATCCTGCTGGGCAGTACGAGTCTCCCTAGCTTCGCCGTGTCCGTTTTCGGGGTTCGACGTTCTCCACAACTTCCTGCTTCAGGAGTACTCCCATATAACCTGCCCAACCTCGTCGCCATCGCCTCCTTCAGCTGCCTCCCTTCATCCCCGCCCTCATATTCCTCATTCCACGTATCCTTGAACGCATGATCAATGTGGGTGACCATGTTCTAAGCTCCGACCCCTGTCAACGATTGTAGGACGAGAATACGTCCTCCGTATGATAGTAGCGATGTACGTCCCCTCGTCATTGCTACTCTCCATGAAAGCTCACTATGCCTGCTACTCCCCCCATCTTATAGCAACACCACCCTTCCTTGTGGCACACTACAGCGCGACAACCTCAAGCGGCCAACGATTTGTGACTTGGAATAGCACAACGCTCTCAAAGGAATGTATAGCATCGAGTCTCCATTATCTGCCCGTTTTTCTCAAACTCGAGGAGGGGGAACGGAGGTGGACCACAAGAATCTATTACTACAGACGGTGCACGTTATCATCAACGCAAATGCAATGTCTCCGCAAGATCATTTCCACTCCAAACGACAGCTCCTCAAAAAGTGTCAGCTCTGAAAGCATTGGTTGACCATGGCTTCTTGAACATACGGATGGTACGCCTTATTACTCCGTTCCCGTTGACCACCCCAGTCATCTTATCTTACATCATCCTTCGTTCACCGAATCAACGGCACTGCTCCATCCTGCCATCTCAGAGCACACCAACCAGATTGATATATCGCGTTCGTTCAATAGTCCCTCTGGCTCAGGAAGCATGACGGCCCCATCGGGCATTCGGACAACGCCGCTGCGGAGCGTACCGCACTGAGCGCCATCAACGGCAGGGTACATGGTGACTTCGGGCCGTTCCGGGCGTGCGGAGGGTGATGATGTCGAGGCGGACACGACTCATGGGAGGATCAAGGTGCGGTATGTGGAGAAATAGGAGGTAGGGATCTTGACAACGGGTTTATGCAATGATTTATTGGGCTATGGAAATCTCGATGACCATCTTTTCGCGATTTCCCCCCATTGTTGCTCAGTGTAACCTGGATTATATTCGTAAAGAATATCGTAACGAGATTCAAGTATTTCTGAAGTTGAGCCTAGTCTCTGTGGCAACTTGGTATGCACAAGCAATAACACAATATGTCTTTGATCCCGTCACTGCTCGTCGTCCCGCTTTTCTGTTCATCAACATCAACTTCTGGAGTCTCAGCGCGACGGTGAGTCGACTCTGGAGGCGACGGGCTACTCGAGCTTTCATCGAACTCCCCTTCCCGGCGTCTATCCCTGAGACGACCTTGTTCGCTCGGTCCGGCAGCCATCACGCGCTGAGCAGAGCAATCAACATTAGAGATGTGACGTGAGGATAGCACGTTCGCTTACCAGACTAGCTCGTCCGACGCTAACGAGCTCGAATATTGGTGACATGCGACGACGGTCATCGCTAGGCTCACCCAACGCCGGTGCGTCAGGCTTGCGACGCGATTTGAGGTGAGCAATGAGGCCGCGGCGGGGCTCCCCATCAGACCCATCATTGGATCTACTATTTTTCGTTTGAGTGAATGGGCCATTTCCTCGCGCTCGAGAACCCCCAGGAGGAATCTCCTGACAGTAGCAGATGTCTATGTCGCCAATCAACTGGTACGTAGTCAGAAGTAAGCGGTTAGAACGTACGTTCATGAATGAATCTTCGTCTGCATCAGCCAGACTAAATCCTCGCCGCAATGCTCCCGACCTGGAGCCAGGTGGATTCTACACAACAGTATCGTTGAATGTCCGCCTTCCGTTCGGTGACTAGCTCGCCTCACCTCAGCCACGTTGACGGGCTCATTATCTAAAGAGTCATCTTCCGACGAGGACCTGTCTCGCTGGAAACGATGTGAGTGACTAGACTTAGCCAGAAAGCAGACACTCACGTTCGGGAGGAGTATATGACCCGTTTCCGCTTCATAGATTCTGATGTCACCATTCATAAAGCCAACAGCTATCCTTTCTCCTCCAGGCGAAAAGGCCAAACATTCGGGAGCCAGTTTGAAGGCAAGAATTGGTGAAAGAGCACAGCAGGGGCCGTCCATCTGGCGAGAACACGCCCTGGGCATCCTTCACTCCCCTGTGAAGGAGATTGGTCTGACACGTGCGCAGGTCCAGTACTAAGAGTGCCCTCGAGCAGACAAGAAGGCGTTGACCGTCAGGTTAAAATGAGATAGAGTAAGTAGGGCCATGGCCGTCGGGTGCCGTGTAGGAAACTTTTGAGATCACATCCAACGACGAAGTACTGCAGAAGAGAATGCCTCCATCTGTGGTGATGTACGCACACTGGTCTCCGTCCGGCGAGAATGTGACATCCAGGACGGTTGATGGGTGCTGCACAAACGTCGTTCTGCGGTCACCGAGAACGTTGGAAACGAAACAAAGGTTCGAATCATGTGCATCGTCAAGCACAATGGCGAGTGTCGAGCCATTGGGAGAAAACTTGACTCTGCGACACGCTCGACCAGGGCTATCGAGAGAATGCGGATGCTCACTACCTGTCCTGGTGTCAAATACTATGACGGATCCGATGCAGCACGCGGAGCCAGCTGCCAGCAATGTGCCATCGGAGGATAGAGCAATGCATGAGCCGCCAGGGAATAAGTGCTCCCGAACTTGCTCTCCTGTTTCGGCGTCCCATGTGCGGATGTAGTACTGATGTAGTCATCACATTTGCTACTACTGATGAAGTGGCGCCCATCGGGGAACCAATGCACGCTATCCACTTCAAAGCGGCCTGGGGTGACCAGCGGTTGGACCTGTTTTCTGTCTGGGAGCTGTTCGAATATACGTCAGTCAGCTGACATGAGGAGACATGACTGGCAAAATCCACATACTGAGGACAGTACAACCTGTTCAGTATCAACATCCCATACATGGATGTTTCCGGATACATCTGCGCATGCTACGCGATCTTTCAGCGGAGAACATGTGGCTGCAGTGATATCGTACGCAGTCGCTATTCCTAAGTTTGGCGGCTGCTCCAAGGGACCTAAAACCAAACTTCCAGTGGAGGTGTCCCAGATGAACACATTGTTTGCCATAGAGACATGAATGAGCCGCTCGCCGTCACGCGAGAAGCAGAGAATGTTTGTTCCCGAGACATGCCCCTTCAGTGGACCGCACAAGACCTCGCCGCTGTTGGCTTCCCATATATATGCTCCATGAGGTGCGCTCCCAGCGATCATGGCCCCGTCATAGGAGATGACCCGAGGCAATAGGCGGTGTAGCGGGTCGAATGAGAGAATGATGGGTTTCTGTTGCCTTGTCTCCAAGTCAAAGGAATAAAAAACTGGGGTGTCTGAATACGTAGCATCCTCGCCAGTGCCAGAGATGGGAAGGTAATAATGAGCAAACAAGATACTCTGGTCGTTCGAAGCAAATGCAAGCAGACGTATGAGCTCATGAAGTGGGCCCAACCTGGTCACATCCATGACTAGCTGGCCTGTCTCTGCATCTTGAAGCGTAATGAAGGAAGATGACATTACGGCGAGGAGCTTGCCATTGTTTGAGAACCTGATGAAATGGGCATGTGTCGATGCCTCGTATGTCGTCTTTATTGCTGTATTCTGCGTGACTCCTGATCTGTCCTCCCTCACCTCCCAAACCAGGACTGTGGCGATGTTGGCGCTGGCCACACATATTGTGGCAAGCTGTCTACTCGAGGGATGGAATGCAAGACCCTCAGCTTGGTAAGTCGTTTCGAGCTTCTGGAGTTGCTCGCCCGTAGAAGGATCCCAGAGGCGCACGGTAGCATCCTTAGACGCGGTTGCAATGAGCCGGCCGTCGGGAGAGTACTCAATAGCGGTGATTTTCTCTGTGTGACCTGAGAAGGGCCGAGGGCCATCATCCGCATCGCAAGCCGAGGGCGCGTCTGACGACATGTGGCAAAGGGAGAGGGTTTTGATTCAAGTAAAGGGTCAGCGTAAGTGGTAGTGGTGACCAGGGTGTAGATGATGGTGATGGTGGCATGACATCGACAAGAGACGCGCGTTGGCCAGGAATGTGCGTTTGTGGGTCCAACTTCACGACAAAAATGCTCGGGAATAGCCGGCTCCGAGCTTGATCCAACTTCACTGTACGATTCATCTTGCATGTACTCCAGATTTATTCTGAATGTGTATATGGAGACAATCTTTGAGCTGAAACAAGAGGCAGTGACAAAGCCTTGGTCTGAGTTTGGTGGTCGACTTCTTTCAGCTGGACCTGCGCGGGAAGTGTTCCGGGTCGTGCCGAAGCGATGCGAGCAGACCTGTGTGGCTTAAACTCATACTTCCTCTCTTTAATTATGTCGCGATATGAATCATTGAACGCCTGATATGTTTGCTTTCATTATGCTTTGGACACCCCGGCTAACATCCTGAAGAGCAAATCCTTACCTATGTCCGAGACGCTGATTTACGCCGTCCGTCCAGTCCAGCTTTGCACCCCTCTGCACTTCTCAAATTGACTCGCTCCCTTAGCACCACAATGGCGACTCGGCGATATCAGGATCGACACTATGTGTCTCCTACAACTCTTCAGGGAAGCCCGCGCTACATTGCGACTGCTCGACTACGGAGAGCTGAAAGCAGAGGCAGGAGACGGAGAAGGCGCGTAGTGAGCTGACAGAGGTGCTCAAGGGGCTTTGACGGAGCTGCCAAGGTGACCCGGCCTAATCTAGTTCAAAGGTGCGCATCTATGCTGTGGGTGAGTCGCACGCCTTCTTCATCCTCTTGCCCTGTTTAACTCGTATTCCAGCCCCCGTCATTATTCAGCCACAATCCTCAAGTGAAGCTACGTCGAAGCAAGGCATCATGCCAACTGCTCCATCTACAATCATTCTCCATGTTCGCTGTTAGATCCTGCAGGAATATGCCATACCTAAGCTACAGCGTAATGTAGTTCCTCGCCGGCGCCATTGACATCATCAAGCCGCTGTACTTATATGCGGTATTTATTATCAAACGGCCCACTAGCTGCGTTTCTTATCATTGCTTTGATCCACCACTTTTAGGAACACTGTTCATGCCGCCAATGGCGGCATGAAGGGGCGCGAATGCCATACATATGATCAAAAACCCGTCCTGTTAATCTGGACATACCACACGACCCCCGTCATCATCGTCACGAAGGCCACTATCGCACGCGCCCTCCGGCAGTACGTGTCTCCCCAGCTTCGGGTTCCACGCTCCCGCCCTTCTCCCTTCACCACAACGTCCTTCCCCAAGAGCACCCGCCATATCACCTGCCCAACCTCGTCGCCATCGCCATCTTCCCACCTCTCGCCGTCTTCGTTAAGGCTTTCCCGAAGCCGATGGTCCTCGGCGGCTTTCGCAGAAATGACATCGTTACCTTCGAGAGCGTCGACGAGTGCACGTGCCGTTTCTGTGGCAAGCTCGGGATGTCCCTGGCAGGTGAAGATGCCGGCGTAAGCGTTGCTAATGGCGATGTCGTTGGCGTTACCGCTGTTCAAGGGGCTGGCGGACGCTTCGGGGGAACTGTCTCCGCGTTCAGCTGCATTTACTTTATTGAGGTCATCTCCACTGCTGCTGAGCGTCAGTGTAGACGCCCCGCCAGGGAGACTTGAAGAAGTTGATGAAGAGAGGATGTCGGCCGCGCGAAGGCTAATCATTCCTCGATTGACTGCGCTCTCTGAGCGTCCCCAGACACCTAGAACGGGCGCCTGTGACCGCTTACGCTCTCCAAGTAAACGAAGACGCGCAGCTAGTCTGACGGAGAACACCGCGGAGCTAATGAGCTGATGTATTCTCTTTCGAGGTTCCCTTTCGTGAGTGAGAATGTGCGATGAACTGAACTGCCGTACTCACCAATCCGTCCTTTTCTCGCTTGAAGATCCGTTTTCACAGCTCGTCTAGCACAACGGAGTTCAACCCGATGTGCCAGCCTCCACCCACGATTAGACTTGACCCTGGATCTGGCAATGTACCGAAGGTTGCACCGACAATATAGTGGCCGATGCCTATCCCTTTGTTCGATATAAAATGTGAGCGGTTATGTAGTACCACAGAAGAACATGTTTACTGACCTATGAGTTTCAAGTCTGGACACTCCGCCATCACGCGCTGCAGGTATTCAACCACCTCGAGTATCCACTCCTCGTCGTCATAGGGTCTGCTGGCTAGAAGCGTATTGGGCCAACGATACACTTATAAGAAAACCTGTGCGTTACACATAACACAGTCTAAAACGCACTAGAACCGGCGACCACAATCGCGTCGAAAACTTCTATCCCACCCTCCACCTGTACATTGTCTGTACCCGAAATACCCGGAGAGGTTGGGTAGACCATCTGAGTGACATCATATACCTGTGAAACGAAAGGGACCGCGCCCAGCCCGACCGGCGCGGTGCGTTGAAGAAATGTCTCGAGCCGTTGACACAAGTCGCCATGTTGAGCGATAAAGGCACTGCTAGTGCTGGGCTCGCCGCACGAGAGCAGAGCGATGCGGAGGGACGATGGTGGTGGTGGGGGTAATCTCTGATTCGCTGCCATGAGCCTTTGGTATAGTCTTGAGCTGGAAATGCACTGAAGCGTGAATGCCTGACTGATGTATGTCTAAGGGATTGTTCGAGTTGTTATCGTAGCTGGAGATGGACTGGTACTGCGACACGGGGGTCCAGGGCGTATTGGCAGGACGGTGTTGACTTTTCATATGAATTTGAGAGCCTTTGCGACGCCGAACGGTGCGGCGGAAGTAGGACTGTCCCCAAAAAAGGAGTAGGACAGCCCTTTTGAAGACTTTGGATGGCAGCGCCCAGCCCATACAGATGGAGACGAAGATGAAGCGTGTCAGCGTACCGAGGTAAATTCGAGTCATCTGCTCTCCTCCGGTGACTCTCTCTCGAAATGAGAGTAAGCTCATCGTTTATAAGTGGATGTGATAGACTGAGCCAGCCAGGATCGTCCTGGAGCACAAGCGCAGCGTGGGCCCTGCCTAACAGCGCTCCTTGCATACTTCATCACTTGACCGACCTGAACTCACTGGCGTGTCCATGCTTCCAATCGACGCAAGCGAATAACACGTATTTAGTGTACTATAAGCAAACGCACAACAACAAATAAAGTAACATGCGGGAAATAAATATCTATATACGGGATATAATAATCAAGCCTCGAGACCTTTCTAATGCCACGAGTCCTTGATCATCTGAGATTCATTTACGCCTGCTCGTAATATGAAAAGGAGTCAGGATATCAAACTCTTATTTCGCTTAACGCTGTAATATATGCGCTCGGGTCCGGGCCACGGGCCTCACACGTCGTCCACAAGTATCCTAGACGATGAGGAGGCAACAGAGACCCCATCGTCCGAGACAGGCAAGGCATCACCGGCATTTTGAGAATTGTAGAGCTCTTCGTTGAAGGATGCTACTGCTTTCTGAATATCCTTCTCTGGACACAGACCAACGTCGTAAATATCCTTGGCAACTACGAAGGCAATCCACATACCTTCTTTGGGCGAAAGCCCGTCGCAGCGCGTGGTGACGACATTGCTGACATTCTTATCCAACACAAGCTCCCTAATTTCCCCTAGAAAAAGCATCGGTGAGCTGCTGACGTGAGAAGAATCATATCTAGAGAGTACCAATGCGGAGGAAAGGCTGGATAAGCCGGAGTCCTCCTACAATGTCTGACGCCTTTTCTGCGACCAGTATCTCATCAATCAGAGTCTTCAGCTTCGCGAGCACTGCTTGGCGCGTGATGTCTATCCGTCCTTTAGGCGAACGCACATATGCAATGAGTTCTTCCACGCACCAATGCCTGCTAGAAGGAGCAGTGCTTGTAAAGCAAGTTGACGGTCTTCACGTGATTTATCAACGAGATCGTCGACAGCTGCAGAAGCTTTCTGAGCGAGAATGTCGTGAAACTCGCCTGAGAATGTTGAGCTAAAGTCAAAATTAATGAAAGCAAGTAATAACGAACCAAATGCTACCAGGATTGATAGGTTTGCCGTGCCGATGACGTGCGAGCTGTCGGAGGACAACATCTCAAAGGTTGAAGACACGAATTCGTCGGTGACGACTTTTTCTCTGACATTCCCTAGCAAAAGCTTCAGCGGAAGAGTAGAAACTTTTTGAGGGGCGTCTTACTATCATTAAGCAAGCCTTTTGCAACCGCCACGCCATCGACATGCAACTTCTTCGCCTTCTTCGAAATCAGCATTCCTCGAGAGAGCATCCGCGTGATCCTCTTGGTCATGATTGAGCGTAGCATGAGGTCTTTCACGCTGCCAACAAGTGGGGACCCGGAATCGAGCAACTTCGACAGACCATACACAACTTGGAGACGCCCATGCCGAGAAAGCGCATACAGAACCTGGAGATATAGGGGCCCGTTCCCCAAAACGGGACGGCTTCCTTCTAGCACGTCCACGATATCGTGGCAGGCTTTATCAACGGCGTGACAAAAACGTGCATCTTGGAAAAACTCGCACGGTGAGGTTGGGAGACTGGCGGAATATATTGACTTACTGGTAGTAAGGGCTATGATCACATCAGTGGCCTCTTTGAATGTCGATGCAGAAAGGAGCATGCGGAGGAGCCGCAATACAAGGCCATCGTCGATAATTGCCTCGGCCAGGGCGTCTGTAAAAGAGTATGGATAAGTAACTCGCAGTGTGAATAGAACATCCCAATTACCGTTATCCAGTATACGAAGGAATGACTTCGTGGTAAACTCCTTTTCACTGACCAACCAGTCCTCCAGCACCTCTGCCAATGATGATGCAAGTCCAGTGCCAATGGTCGACTTAGCTACTTAAGCATTAGCATCAACGCTCCACCGAGGGAATGCATGACTTTACCTCGATCATGAGGTGCCAAGGCCACGACCAAATCGACGATATTGGACAACACGTAGAGATTCTTGCTGTATTCTTGCAACAGCTCGAATACTCCGCGGATGACATCGTTCGCAATCAGTGCGTCATAGAGACCTTCTAAGGAGGAATGAGAAACAAGTTCATTGGAGAGCCAAACCACTCACGATTCGGTTCAACGTTGATGGGGCAAGAGTAAAGCATAGATGTGACGGCCCGCAAGACTGCGACGGCCACGAGCTGATCTACAGAACGTGAGTATCGGTTATTAAGTGGCCGCAGAGCGCTCACTCTTGTGGTGGAGAAACTTGAGAAAGCGCTCAGGGCCTTCTGGAATCCGCAAGATAGCGGAGGAGCCATCTACACCGAGAGCGTTAACGATTTCTGTTTCTCGCACATGGGATCACTCGCCTATCTGAAGTAGAAGCGAAAGCGCTTGTATGCTGTAGACCTGCGCCTTCTTCTCCTGACGATGATAAGCTGCGTCTAAAAGTATGCGCAGCGTATCCTGGGTCAGAATCCGAGCCCGCAGTGCCTCACGCTGGCAGAGCGGGTGTAACGCGGCACATGCTCGCACGTGGAATTCCAGGTCATGATTCTGCAGCATCTCGATGGTTTTGTCGGCAATATCGCAGAGGGGATCATCGAACTCCGAGGTGCCCAAGTCTATCTGAGACGAGTCCCAGAGGTCGAGCTGGCAGAACATAACAGCAGTGCTCAATCGAATCTGTGGGTTTGCGCTGTGAAGTAGTACTTTCAACTTCGCTCGGAGCCCGAAAGCTTGGAGGTTGACGCTGTCGTTCTCTACGGATCAAGTCAGCATGGCAAAGCGTTTAGCGGAATCAATTGATCTCACCGAATTTTGCCATGAATGCAACCCGATCCACGAGTTCTAGGATATATTCTGTGTTCGACACGTCCGCCTCAGCGAGCTCGGCTAAAAGCGCCTTGACGGCGGTGGTATGGAAAAGCTCCTTCTCCCAGTTCTGATCAAGCGTTTTAAGTCGCTGATGGCTGGAAGGTTCGTTCCAGTAGAACTTCTCAGGCCACGAGCTCCAGTTCCGCTGAAAGACCGCTCTTGGGGAATAGCTTTCGCGAAAGAGCGCTGAGACATGGATCCGCTGACCCGGGACGATGACTCGAGGACCACCTAAGTGAGGCCTACAATGGGTTAGTTTAAAGTGGCGCTTTCAGACGAGCACGCACCCTCTGGCATATTCCGACTTTCCAGCGTTATATGATAGGCGTTTTATGGGGAGAGCCTCCAATAACCACCAAACAAAGGTTAGTGACTCAGTTGGCGGCCGTTCAATGTCCTTAAGCCACGCGAGATTGTTGTTCGCTGACGCTACAAACTCGAGACCAGCCGACTCCGCCTCTTTCTTCATCCAAAGCAACGATATACCACCCATCTGAAGATCGTGATTGGCTCTGTTCCCGCCGCCACTGCTCAATTTGGGATCAATATGTCACTGCGCTCTCCGACGAATGAATAAAACTAACGCACACGTCTGAATGTGTCCCCGGAAACCATACTTCCTTCACGCGATTGCTGTCACTACTGTTACTGGAAGCTCCCGTCTCGCTGTTCCCGCCGTATACATACTCGGGGAGGAACTTGACTCGTCGCTCGTCGAGAGCCAACGCGTGGCGAAACATGCATATATGCTGTGATGACGTGGTGAAAGGTAAGGTCCTGCCTCGGAACGGGCCGACGGATGACACAGTATCCCTATGAGTTGCTAATGAGGTCTATATCGGAAGGGGATTACATCGACAACGTACCAAGCGCCGACAAAATGGATCGAGACGTCAGGTCTACAAAAGGTGCGCTTGAAGACTTTAGCCCGTTCATCGTCCTCGTTGCTTTTCCTTCGCTTTCTGTCATTAAGGCAAGCGTATAGCTCGAATGCGCTGGCAATCGTCAATATAGCTTATAGATCATGTCATTGAGCGACTCACAATGGAATCTGCTCGTTATTTCCCGGTAGTAGTAGCCCGACTTTGGCAATCATGCCAGCAACAGCTCGTGCTTGATAGGCGCCCCGAGAAAACCCTGTAACGCCCGTTATGAGTTAAGCCTCGATTCGGAGTGTAATCAACGCACCAAACATGAAGATCTTATCTCCTTCGTGATAGTTATCCGCCAACCACCTGTATGCGGCCATTATCACCGTCTCTAAGTTCCTAGCGCGAAATCAGGAACATGTAATAAATACAGCGCAATCTCCATACCATGCAATCGCGAGATCAATCTTATTATCTACCAATTGCTTCCAGTACGAGAATGATCGCCACGATGGCCTGGCGTATGTCCCAATGCCACTGTTGTAGTAGGTAAGTTGCTGGTCGGATTTCTTGATTTGACTATACAGCTCGATGATATTGGTGTTCTGAGAAATGGTTCTCAGTATACAATAGATACGGTAAAAGGATAGTATGAGCTCACCTTGACACCGAACTTGTTGGATGTTCCGTCGATGCATACTATAAGATTTCTAGGATTCCCGGAGCCGGAGGCTGTGGAGCGGCAAGGGCATGACGATGTCTCCGGACTGGATACTGGAGGAGGTGACAGCAGTCCTTGATGAGCATTGGCCTCCTGGTCAGATCCTGGCATTGCCCTTTCCGTTAGTCTTGCCAAGAGTAGAGAAGAATGACTTACGCGGTGACATAGACAAAAACGGCGCATATACCGGGCCATGAAGCCCTGAATCCCGCCTAAAGCCGGCGTCGTCAAACCCAAGTGAGTCTAGCGCATGCGGCATGAATGAGAGCTGTCCAGCAAGTCAGATGCGACGTGCGGGAAGGTGAAAGGGAGAGGCTTTCTAACCTAACCCGACCCTAAGCCCATCGTGGTGCAGGCATGTCGCGAGCATGGTTACCGCATGCACAGTGACGGAATGACGAGCGCGCCTTGCGCCAGTATGCTCGCGCTGTGACGGTCATATGTGTTCATGAATCATGAGTGTGCCGCCATAGATGGATTTTATTGGCGCGCATGTAGCCTCGCCGACGGTAAAGAAGGCTTTCGGTAACCCATGTGACCACAAGCGAGCAAAACCAGAGCCCCTTCTCGAGTGCATAACTGCGTTTTCATCGCAAAGGACGTAAGGAAACGCTGTGAACCTGGGCAGAATGAGGTTTCAGGGAGGTGAACGCGTGGTCTGACAGGCTGCTGGTGGATTCGGCAAATGGCCGGAAGGAGTAATTCTGAACGGTGTCGCGTCGCGCGACCGTGAGACAGAATTCGGCAACTCCCGGAAGGATTGTACCGTTTACCACCGAGCCTTTGCCACACTGTGCGCAACTGACATCCATGCCGTGATGCCCTCAGATCGGTATCATTGCACAGTTTTGAGAATGTACATGGTGACCTATGGTGTCGGTAGAGATGTTCACAATGCTCTGGAGTATTGCTGGGTCTCGCGGGAACGGCCTGGCGATGCCCTTCAAAGGTGTTCGTCGCCAGGACCCTGATTTAAGCAGGCATCGGGTGGTGTCTGGAGTCCCAGGACGAATGAAATACGCCTTATAGTATCTTTGCAGTTTCCATCCTTTATTTCATCTTATATTACTATTGAGAGCACTTTTGAGTTGCTCGATCTAGCCCCATAAAATCGTTTAGGGATCAAGTAGGCATTATACTTTCGATATATTATCCCGGTCGAAGCATACTAATGTTTCCAAGGTAAATCACTCATTTTAGTGAAACTTTCGGGGACATCAACGAGTTGGCAATGACTACATACAATGCTGCCCTTTGACAGAAGAGGCGAGATTCTTGAAATGAGAAAGTGTGAATTGACCGAGAACGATCAATCCAGGGGTCCTGAAGCATACTACCGGAGCACGCGATTTGGTAAATGCTGATAAGATCGCTTTCAAACTGACACTCCATGACTATCAGAAAATTTCCGAGGCCGAGGAAATGGTAATGAACCACCTGGACGTAGGGTCACGACAGTTTACTATGTCCGACCCAAGTGATGAAACATGTTGATCTCAGAATGAGGCCAACAGCCACCTATAACTCTTACTTAATATGCGATCTACCAGCGCTGACTATAGTTTACCAGTCACAGCGGCCGCGGATCAGCTTTGGCTGTATGAAACCAATGAGCCGGGTAAAACGAGTTTATTTCTCAAGGTTTCGATACCTCGGATAAAAGGGACGGTGGCCCGCGAACTTGACTGTGGGATGGCATGAGGTCACTAGGAACCGACCAGTGGAGACTTTGGTTAATCAGAAGCAACCAGGTCAATTGTGAGAAGCATCATGATTGCTGCAACCTAGTTTCGCGATTGATCGGGATAACATTAACGGGAAGTTCCATCTTCCAGCACCTTGGTACCGGAAGTTACCTGCGGCATACGTCGGTTCCCGAATACCTACAACTATCGATCGGACCGAAGGTATCATTGCGTGCGTCTTTGGGAGATATCCAGTGTGCCCCTTCGTCCCTGTCGGACCATGTCGAACACTTCGGAAACGGATAATCCGTTGTGTGAAGCGTACAACGCCACTTGACCGCGATGCTCGAAGCGAGAAACCTACCTCAGTCCCGGATTTTGTTGGAGCTGCAGACTCTTCCGACATTTCGTGTTGCTTCCGCGGTTTCATCCTTGCCTCAATACTCCTCCAATGTCTGCAGATATCGCACAATAGTATGAATGCTGTTACTAAGCACTGAGACCTTAGCGTACCCATAGAATGAGACCATACACGGTCTACCAGGAAAAGGCGGTCAACAATCTCAGATCGCCGCGAAGGTTTGGGATTCATATAGCCTGTCAGGTCAAATCGGTTTCACTTCATTTAACGCGTACGAGCGATAACATGATGACGCCACGCGGTACATCCTCGCGTAGCCGAGGCCACTTCGCAGGTGTCGGTGGCGTCAGGTGACGAACTGTGCGAAGCTTAATCCTGGACGGAGAAAAGCTGCGAGTTGTCTGCGTCTGCCTCGTTGCTTCAAAGCCGCGGCTTCCGCCTACGTTGTTGCCATATGAGAAAAGGGCACAGGATTGTGTGCACTCGTCCGAGTGCACTCGCCTGCTCGTGGTTAGATTGTGAACGCCGCACCGAAATGAAAGCGGCGTTTGAGTCATGCAACGCCAGAACGCGTCCGATTCTAATTGGCGCGAAGTTGTAGCCTGGGCTTCTGCAGACCTTCGGAAGCTCCACCAGTAATCGTCATCATGTCGACATGACACATTTCCGTTGGGGCCTGAATCCACAGCGAACAAGAAACAGACCAGCTTACGAGCCACGGGAGCCAGCTCGACCGCACAAAACATAGCCCCGATGTATGGGGAAAGCCTGCGGGCGTGCCTCGATGCATCTTCTCACTCGATGATGGTTGTGAAGTAAACAAACTGGCAAATATTCACGAAGGCGGCAAATTAGTGGATGAATATGCCTATCAGCCATAATTCTACATGCGCCCACAATCCGCATGACTAGAGGACAGAGTGGTAATCACCTGCCACATTCAGTAAACCAAAAAGGTGTTGGGTTTACCATGGGTAAGCGCAAACATTATATTATGTGATATATCTAGACATGCACTGTATGGTCAGGACAAGAAGCGATGCGTCGAAGCCGGCATGGCTCACATTACGATAGTACCCATACTCGAATAGCTCTAAATGCGTCAAGCCTTAAGCTTTGATGGTGATGGGTTGTTAGGTAGCAAAGGCCCGTTGACCCCGCCCATGCGCTCGCATACGTTGAGGGCGGCGGCGTGGAATTCGACAGGTACACCCTCAGGGGCATTAGGCAGGAGCACATGAGGCAGAACCCGGGTATGGAAGACGCGATGCGCGACAGAGCCGCCCTGGAAAGTTCAGTCCTTCAGTCAAATACCACCAGACAGCGAACGGATGAGCTGCGCACAAATTGGTGGTAGATGCCTCCCATCACAGCCTGAACGGCCTCGCCCATAACCTTGTACAGCCCAATCGACCGCAGCCCAGCCAAATGTGACCAGGATTCACCCGTCATATGAGGGTCAGGTCCTCGCGAAGGCGCACCATCAAGTAGGTCTGCTGAAGCCGCTGGACTCCAGATCAAAGCATCACCTAGGGACCACTTCGGAGCAACATGCTCGCCGAGATTGTAGGTGTGAAGTGACCGTGCGAGGATGGCTGCGTAGTCGTACGACTGGTGTTTCGCCGCATTCACATTCGAGTGCAAGAACGATAGAAAGTACATCTCCAAGGCACGGCGGCCTGCAAGCGACAAGTCCACTGTCAGGGGAGGGACATTGACCACAGGCTGAACTACGCACCTAGGAACCCGAATCTCCCACTGTGTCCATGTATAGCGGTTGGATGGCTCGCATGGGTGAGCAAACGCCGAGATATCTCTGGTGGGAAGTCCAAAGGAGAGAACAGACTGTTGAGGTGGTTGGTGCATGCAGCTTCGTACTTGTTAAGTGAAACTTCTGAGACTCCGGGTGCAGTGGTTGTCTCCGTTGACGGCGTAGAGTATGTACGCTTGAGGTAAGGACTCGGAAGACGTGCGGGGGCTCCTGGAGAGCCAGCGGCGGCCGTTCTGTGGATTGCTCGTCGAGGTACTGGAAAACCAGACGCGTGAACAAACGCGCGTAAAATTTGAGGTATTATCTACAAACCTAGCACACCATCATTTTCCAGGCATCTTCTCAGAACCCTCGAGTATGCATTGACCTGCCAGCGAGCTGAGAACATTGGAAAGCTAGTAGAGGAGGCAGGAAGGTCGGCGGGGAGGTCGGACGCAGGAGTAGTCGCGACGTGCGCACAGACGGCGCACGCGGATGCTTTTGAACGCTGAAGCCGGCCCTAAACATTGTCCCCAGCGTCGCATGCGGTGACTTTGATCAGACCTCCGCGTCAACACCCTCGCCTCCGTCACTTGCATACTAAAACACGGCGAGGGGATGATTCATCTTAACAATCAACGGCCTGAAAGACTCTTTGGAGGAATGCCGGCTTGAAGTGCATCGAAACGCATCTTGCCAGTCCGAGACAGGACGCGGCTTCGCATAACGCTTGGATGAAATGCAGTCCGAGGTGCGCATTGAGGCCCCGAAATACAGCGGCATCATCTCATGTAAGTGTACCTATTGACAGACAGATGTCAACTAGGCCCTTCACCGGTAAGTCTTCCGGAGATTTTCTAAGTACAACGTGTACATAAAGTGATGCTGAAGCGATGTTGCTCGGATGAATTTAAATGCTGATTGCGTCCAGAACCCCCAAACAACGGAGCACCTGGCCGCCTCCCCAGCTAGTGCGCTGGAAATTTGTCTACAAGCTGGGACCTACAACTGATGGCCAAGTCGAAATGACCTGCTTTATCGGATTAGAACAAAGGAAACAAGCAAGACGTTTCGCTTAGCGCCAGTGGATCAGCTGTTAGCACGTCGCTTCCGAGCCAGAGAAGGCACTGTTGTCCCTCTCTTCGGGCAACCATCCTACAACGTTTCCGACCTTTAGCCTCTACCGACCCGTGGATTCTTGGCCACCAATGAAATTGTACTTGCTTGCCGCGGCAGACATACGTATAGCTGTGGGGTATCAGGACGTCTACTTTACGCCAACCCGTTTCCGGCATTCTGCCGGTGATCACGGGTGCACGGTGCTGTGAGCTACGAGCTGCATCATTGTGCTGGGGATCACAGAGCCTCAGTATCTTCCATTGCTCGCCTACCCTCGGGTCACAGACATTAGCAATGGGGGATCAACTTGAAACAGTAACAATCTGCCCGATCCGTCTCCCGATTTGAGGTTCAAGTCAAGGTCTGACACCTCAAGGGGACCTTCTGTCATCTACTTAGCCGTACATAGGCTCCGAGGAAAGATGTTGCTCGATCGACAGACCGGGCGAACTTATCTTCGGATCGCTCGCTTGCTGATTGCTCGAAAATATTTAGCAGAAACGACCCTCACGATGGGAGCCGGCGCCCACAGACAGCCTAAAGGTATCCATTTCTTTGTTCAAATTGCTTTCATTGCAAGCCAATGTGTTCCTTTACTTTTGTAGATCTTTTCCCGAGGTCGTGGTAGCGAGATGTTGAAGTGCGTCCGCGCCATATGCAAACCAGTTCGCACCTGGTCCGAGTTTCCGCTTCAAGTTGGGGCCCGCGCGCACGCTATCAGAAGATGACCGGCTGCTTCGATGTGAAAGACACGCGCTTTTAGGGGACTTGACTAGCGTCTGTTTCCGACATTCCAGAATGTCTTTAGCCCTGACGCAACGCTCTCGTCTTGTAGGTCCCTCTGCTTTTTGGAGGCCATCACCTCCCGTGCGCGTGTCCTCGAACCTGTATAAAAGACACCATCGACCTCAGCTCGTCTTTCACCAGTCTCTACCGATCACGCTCTCGTCATAGCAGTCTCGTCTCTCCACCTTCACCATGTCCGCATCTGCTACAGTCATCTTAGAGCCAGTCCAGCAGGCTAGCTCTGACTTCCCCACAAAGACCATTGAACTCTCTGATGGCTCAGACCCGACTATCCTTGGCAAGGAGGGCGGACCTTTCCAGGCTGTATGCCAGCCGGGAAACGGCTACTTCCCGTCGTTCGAGCCGCCTAAAACCGGATCACGCACCTTAAAGGCTTTTCACGCCAGGCTTCGCTACGATGCCGCACAGAGCAAGGTACGTACTGACGTAGGCTGGGGTCTACATGCGCGCCGCTGACGACGGAACACAGGTCTTTATCGAGAATGACGCTGATCATTACGGTTCTTGGGTCTTCAGAAACGTCCCTGAGGGTGTCGACTTTGTCCCCCTTGGTCACGACTCGGGCAAGCAGACGCCGAACTATGAACTAATTGCCCTAGACACCGTAGGAGCTAAGACGGACCTTCGTACGGGGGACATCATCGTGCGCTCCCTTCCTTTCTCGCTCTTAGAAATGATCTGACGTTCGGCGCAACTTGTAGCAACTGGGCTGGAGGCAGCCCGAACCTTCGGCAAACTCCCCTTCTCGCGCCAGTCACCTGCCCGTGTGCGCGAGGGTGACCGTGACGCTCCCGATCTAGGCACCACGTCTCGCTCCATTTAGTCTCTTCCTTTCTGGCGCTTTCGGCTCTTCTCCTCGCACCCTCATTGTACGACACTCTTTCCGTCACGACTCGCTCTGCATCATCAGCATCATCGCCATCCACCAATAGACAGATGTTCTTGCGCTCCTTCAGCGTGCAGATGGCCGTCATACCCGCTTATACCAAACGACAGCTGTGGGCAAGTGGCTTCTCGGGCATTGCACATGACGTTCTCGATACCCCCTAGGTTCCTGTAATCCGCGCATACACACTGTATTTTGGACGATAAGATCACAATAGATTTGTCTGCATGCTTTTCTGCCTTAAGTCCGAGCCTTTTCCGTTTTAGGGATTGATGTGGCCACAGCCGCCAGCCACTGCAGTAGCCAGTCGCGAGATCTCGGGTGATGAGATGCGACTGATCGAGGACCCAGAACATGATGCCATACGATTCGCCTATAGGCTCAGTGCCTTTAACCGCCACAGAAGGTTAGCCGCTGGCTGAGCGAAAGTAGGGGTTGAGTTGGGCTGACAGCTGCTGACAGCTGTAAACGGGTGCTTTGCTCATTACCGCCGATTATAAGACAACGCGCAGTAAGAAACGCTTTCGAACGGGCGCCTAGAGTCCGGTAATGGTCCCGAGCAAAAATCTGTAATATGTCATGACATGAGTATGACAGCCACGGCAGTGCCACAACTAGCCCTCGACGTTTTACGTCCGGAGTAAACTTGAACTTTTAGCCATGTTATCGTACAATGTAAATTACTGCATTCCTGGCTGCCTAACATACATGCATCGCATACACGGCCTCGCATTGCCTTAAAGCTGCCTTGTCCTTTGCACATGCTCTTCCTAGACCTCGTCTTCGGAGTGCAGGATAGCCCTGTTCTTGATCTGCCCGTCTTCCATCCGAATATAGGTCTCGACAACCTGATGGTCATGTTGATGCTTAAACTCAAACGAGCGCACGCCTCTGCCCCACCCTGGGCTATTATATCCCCCGTAGCTGTCAGTTAGCACAAGGTCAGCGACGATTAGCCTTCGCGCCCTTAGCCCAGAATCGACTGTCGCTCACCCCGAATGTTTGTCAAAACAGAACGTGACGCCCTTCTCGGGCTCCTTTGCGCACCACTCGTTCCCGTGGTCTGGTAATTAAAGTGTCAAGTTAATCATCTCGATCGTGTGCACATAAACATATGGTGATCATCGCTGGCGGCTCACTCACCGTGGCCTGAGACGACTGCCCTGAGGTTCCTGACGTGCTTGTTCAACGCATCCCAGAAAGGTCCGTCTTTGCCCGCGGATGCTGATTTCTCCGTCGCTTGCGTTGAGCCCCTCCCCAATTCGTCGGCTATAACGGGCAGGTGCGATAAGTTCCGAGAACGTCTCTGTCAATGCAATGCGGCCTCGCACCGTTCAGACCCGGGCTTTCCGTGCGGTTCAGTCGGCGCTGAACGGCCTCGATGGCATGCCTATATGAACGGGTATGACCTCAGCTGCTCCGCCGCTGACGACATCACCGAAAACAAACAAAAAAGGAAAGCAAACGTGACGCACGGGGGTATGTGCACGAACGCGAGCGCGCTCCTCTCCGCGTCCGCACCCCAGACGTCGTCCATGACGGCTGTCTCGGCTGCGATCCAGCCGGCCACGGAGCTGTCGACCCAATCGGGCATCTGCGCATTATCTTCGCCTGTCGTTCGCCCCCCTGCAAGTGCGCGGTGTGCGCGTGCGCCCATGGGCAGCCACACGACGTCAGCCTCCCATGCTGTGCCGAATGCGCTCGTCCTCAGGCGTCGTGGGCTCACCTCGCGAGTCGAAGAACCAGAGGACCAGCGCCGGGGCTCGATCTGATCGGAAGGAAGACTAAGTATCATAGCTTGAAGGTTGATTTGATCCCTACGTCCGAGGGCGACGCACCGCGGGTGGCTCGAAAAATCTGCACCGGGTCAATTCAGTCCATCTAAAAGTCAGAAGAGATGCGTCATGATGATGTACAGGCACCCAATAGTTTCCAGGCCCTCCTTCTCCACCTACACCAGGTGGCGCAGGGCGAGTGTAGCTGAGTGGGGCAACAGCAACCTCACGGTGGATTTCCTCCAGGTGGGTGATGTTTGCCTGATTGTCGTGGTTCTGTATAGAGACGAACGAATACGTAACGAAAGGTCCGAGGATTTCCGTTGAATAGTCAGCACCCCGAAAACTTTTGGACGAGCTGGAGAGAAGGCACACTCACACCATGTGTGGAGGAAAATGGGACGCCGACCTCGTTGAGTGGCTGCATTATCTGATCTATCAGAGAAGTGGAATTTTCCCGGAACGTGTCTGGCGGTTGGTGTTAGAAGACCCATAGCCTCCAGCCATATTGGTAAACACCGAGCCAAAAGCCAACTTACTTTCTCCAGTGATGAGATCGCCGTTCAAAACTCTGTGAGAATGGCGTTGTTATCCCAATATTTCTGGTTATAGGAAAAAGAGAGAACGAACACATAGTCTGGGTGCTCAGATGCCAGAAGAGTTTTCATAGCTTTGAGGCTCTTCCTATCCTGTTCTGGACCCCAGGCATCCCACGGATTTTCACCGAAGTGCAAATCCGAGAAAACTGTTAATTTGAACGTTCCATCAGCGCGGAAAGTGAGGCGGCGTTTGCCAGGGTACGGATCGAGAACAGCCTGAAAGGCGTTGTCATTGGGTATCCACTGGACTTACATGCCAGGGAGGAGAAACTCGCGCGCTTACGGATTTATTTCCCGGTCCGATAGCGTGTCCGCCCTTGTCAGTCCCATTGCGAAGGTGAAAAGTCGATTCTAAAGAACCAGACGGCATTCATCTATGAGCATTCTGGAGCTTATCATTGGTTCCTCAGACTTAGCGAGAGCCTGAGACTTGCGATTTCCGCTGTCAAGCGCCCAGGATCACTGATGGCAGACTTACGTTGTGTCGGCAGGGACAGAGGGGCTGCACAGACAAAAGCCAAAGACGTCAAAAAACCGGTGAATGATAGGACAAGTTGCTGGCGCATCGCGGTCAGGTACGCAACCTCGGCCTGGTGAGCGTGGTGAGCAAGTTGTCCGACTTCCAAACGGGGTTGTCCCGAGTGGATGCTTTACACGGAGACAAACTTCGCAGCTGATTGTTGGCCGAGCTCCTGCGAAGGCTGCGACGTTCGGGTTGTCTACTGGAGTTAACCTGGGCTGATGATCAGAACCGGAGCGTGTGAGAAGCCTACATTTAATTGTGTTTAATACACTAATTCACGGTGGTGTGCTCGAGCCTGTGAGGGTGACTGGCCGGTGTCAACTCCTTCGCAAAGTGTTTCGGCAAGTCAATGGATGTGCCTTTGGGCGCCTTCCGTTGCGAGAAGACAAGGGATCTGACGTTTGACGGCTGGGCTGATGATGTCGACCGTGGAGGAGCCGGTTGCCCCCAAGCCGACGTCTATTGGGTGCGGAACTGTGAGAATTTGTCTCCTTTCTAGGGCCAAACGGCAGTAAGCGCCCAACTCCGCCACTCCGCTGCTCAGCCACTCAACCCTCACGGAATGTTTACTCGACCCAAAAATCAACGGCGACTTAAAAAAGTTTGTGATGCCCAGTCGGGGCCGTGATCCCAGGGCCACTTCTTCAGGGCATGCAAGGGTTTTTAGTTGAGTTTTCAGCAGCTGCAGAACGCAAGAATGCGTCCAGATGGGACAAGGGAACCCGCGGATGATGAGTGACGGTCAGTTAATTAATTGACATAAATCGAAGTTCGATGCCTGCGGGCCCGGTGACATCGTCCAATGAAGGGAACGACCCTAAATCTTGGGATAATACGTATGCGTCTATGACGGCTGTTCGGACCATTTTACAGAACAGGAAGGCTGCAAGGGGGACAGCAAAGCCAACCTTAGATGAAACGACCCGGCTCAGCTCACCAAAACAACGCGCTGAGGACGAGAAAGACGGGGAACTTGACAGGCCAAGGTTCTGTTGAAATTGATGTTCCAGACTGATGGACAGGCTGCATTGTCGCACCCACAGTCGTCAATAGGTCGACACAGAACCTTCCGCAGCCACAGAAGCCGCATCGGCCAATTCTCTTGATGCCACGACGACCCCCCATCCCTCACCCACTCATTTTCTCTCTTCCGTCTTCAAACTTGGCCTATTCTTCATCAAGCCATTGGCCTCAGCATCCCATACGTTATCTACCTCGCAGCCATCAAACCTTCACATACCTTTGCGGTGCTTTCGAAAAGCCCACGGTTCCATTTACCCCCACCACTTTCAATTCAGACCTTTCGTCCCCTGTACCGTGCATCAGAAAGCCACCACGATTCCTCTCCGTTAGATGCGGTCTCATCAGACGCTCATCAACTCCCACCACCATGACGATCAGTACTCGGTCTCGCCCTCCACCTCAGAATGGAAGATCATCGTTGGCCTAGACGTCGACCATCAATTGACGTAGGCCGTTCTCTTCCATTGTTGTGAAAGGCGCTGGAGATTGACTGAATTGGTTCATCACAGCGGAAACCTCGTGCAAGACCTCAAGTCATGAAGAATACTCCGCCACCCCAAAGAATAGACGTAGCCGCCCGCGTAACAACGGTCAGCTTCCTGCTCATGCTTGTGACTGGGTGAGTATATGCGCACTAGTAGACCGTTCCATGTCCCAAACGCTCATCAGTCCACCCAGAGACAGCATTATCACCGATGGACCACCGTTGGTCGAACTCATGCAGCCACCCGGCATCCTCGTTTATACCCTCACACGCGCCACGACCGTCTGGGCCACCACGCTACCATGTCATCATTCGACCGCTATAACATAGGGGTTACGAGAACCTCCACATTCAAAAACACGTCATGAACGCACCCTACTGCAGTGGCTAGAGCGTAGGACGAGGGTTACTTGCGGTACAGACCATGTACTCATGGTCAGTGTCCCTCCTTCCGATCAAAGCGTGACTGTGGCTGACTGAATTATATCACAGGGACGTCCAGTGACATGACTCCCCATGCACGAAGGATCTTCGTCAGCCAAACGACTCGTGCGGCCCAGCGAGGAACGTAAGTCTAGCCCTAGTCTGGATGAGCCATGTCAGTACTATTTCATCGTATTCAAACGCGTCCTACCGGCTGACTGAATATATGCGTATTTTTAGAGCGCCCCGGCTCTTCAGTCGACGTGCAAAGGACGATCCGTCGACGACCCGCCTAGCCAGCCTGTATTTCATCCCGCCACCACTTCTTCGTTTTCCAGGTCTTCTCAACGCTCTTCACCTGGACCTCGCCGTCAAGCCTTCAAATAGACGAGGAAGCGAATACGACGCTGCCAACGAGGCTTCCTTCGAGGGATCAAATCGGCAGTTAGTCCTTTCTTTGAAATCGACTATGTCCTACTAGCGTGCTTCTTTCGACATCAACATCAGCTTCGCTCGCGAGTTGTTCTTCGCTAGCTCATTTTTAGCTGCTACCATGACGTGAGCAAGTCCGTCAATCGGCTGACTACCGACGGTTGACTGCCCCGTATGACGGGCGGTTCTGGAAAAAGGGCTCAAGAGACCCGCAAAGACGCACTCCGACTCGGAGAGTCCGCACGAGATCAAGATGTCGCCATCGAGCCCGGGAAGCCTGTCTAGTACATTGTATCGCCCGAGTCGGCCCTCATGGCCACCCCAGTCTTTTACGGGCGACAGCGCGCACAAGCCATCCAAGAGCACCAGCCTTTGTTCCTCTTACGCAACGACAACACCCTACCCCAACTCCGATTCCGATTTTACGACCTCCCTACCCCACTCCGCACGCCCAGCGCTCAAACCGCCGTCTGCGCCGTAACGTCCTCCCGCATCCAGAACAAACACCTCTCCACATGCGCATCGCCGAACGCCTCCCACGCGCTCGCCGTTCCCGCTCCTGTGGCATTGGCGGTGGCGGTAGTCGCCTCAGTCAAAACCATCCTCCCGTACCCGCTCGTCCCGCCCCACACCCCAGCGGAGTTGTTCGCGGGCATGCCGTCCCCGGCAAGCCCGGATACAGACGAGGTGTTGAGGCCGTACGGCGCGAACGCGAGCCACTCGGGCGAGCCGGGGAGGCGGAGTGTGGACGGGGAGCCGGTGCTCGCGAAAGACGTCCAGTATGCGATGGCGGTTTGGGAGAGGGCCAGCTCGGTCTTTCGTGGTGTTCGGGAGGTGGAGGCCGAGAGCCGACGAGGGCCGAAGAAGAAGGGGAAGAAGGGGAAGAAGAAGGTTTGAGCCGGGCGGCTCGTTACAGCGAGAAGAAGCGAAACGAGCGCACCGAGTTGAACGGCGTGAATGTGAACCCCGCGTTGTCAGCCGAGCTGTCGGACGCGTCATCGTTCCACGGTCAGCTTCCCTGTTCCTTCTTTTACCGTTTCCAAGAACGCGAAGCTTACTTGGTCCCTTTGGGTTTAGAAGCACCGACGGAACATGTTCGCCATCAGCACGGTCGCAGGTAGCGCGGAGACGAGAATAAGGAAGGCAAAAGAGGCGTACGTACCCTCGAACAAGAAATATATATCGGAAGTGTGCATCGTCCCCTCGTACGGCGCCGCCTTGAGCAGAACGGGGTCGGGCGCGTTCCACTGGAACGCGTACACGTCCTGCACGCCCTTGCGCATCATCTGCTCCGCGAGGAACCAGTCCCTGTTCGGTCCACCGTCAGCGTTCTCGGAACGAGCGTATAGGATAGGATGGCAGAACGCACATGCACGTGAAGATGACGTCGCCGGCCATGATGCTCGCGCGATCGTACTCGCTCGAGAACTCGGCGCCGCTCGCGTTCGACGGGGGTGGGTAGAGCGCTAGCGCTTCTTGGATCGTCTCGTTGGTCTGCCACACGACATCAGCCTCCGCTCTGTCCCTTTACGTACGAGGCGGGATGAACGCACCACACCCGGCCACCGCTTAAACGGCACACTCGCGACCTCCTCCTCCGTCTGCAGATCCTCGGGCGCTCCGCCGACGAACGTCCGCCCGTCGTTGGAGCAGTGACCGCCTGTGAACCCCACGCTCGCGAACTTGCCTTGGGCGATGAGGCGCGAGGGCCGGTCGGGCAGGAAGGCGTCTGCGCCTGCTGCGGCGTCGACGGTGGGCGAGACGGCGCCGAGCGGGGTGTGGTTGATTGCGGAGACGAGGGCGCCGAGCGAGGCGGTGCGGAGGCAGGCGAGGGCGGTGGACTCTGGGGAGGAGGGGCAGCCTGCCCATTGGGTTATGTTGGCTGCGGTTCGGGGTTCTCGTTGAGCACGGGAAGACGGGGGAAAGAGAATAGGACTGGGAACAAGGCGGGAGAGAACGCACCGAAGAGCTCCGCGTTCTGGGTATCGTTCATCATCGGCCCGAACCCGATCGACTGGCCCGTCCCGCGCCGGAAAGGAACCTCCCGCTGCCCGCCGTACGCGGCGATCTGCATGACGACGCTCGCGCCGCCCGCGCTCTCGCCTGCGATGGCGACGTTTTGCGGGTCGCCGCCGAAGCTGCGGATGTTGCGCTGGACCCAGTCGAGCGCGGCGCGCTGGTCGCGCAGGCCGGCGTTGCCGTCGCCCGACGCGAGGAGGGAGGGCGTGGCGAGGAAGCCGGGGACGCTGAGGCGGTAGCCCATGGAGACGCCGACGATTTGTTGGTCTTGGGTGACCCAGGGGTAGAGCGGGAAGCCTTGGGTTGTCTGTAGTGGATGTTAGCGTGCGGGTGGAGAGAGGAGGGAGGGGAGGAGGTTTACGCCTGCGTAGAAGCCGCCGCCCTGTGCTGGATGTTAGATGAAAGGAGAAGGAGGAAAGGGGAGGGGCGCACGTAGATGTATACGACGACGGGGAGGTTGTCACCCTCGGACGCGTTGCTTGGCTTCCAGACGTTCAGGAGGAGACAATCTGTCGACACCCATAATCTGCATCAGCCACCTCTCCCGGCTTGTCTCCTCGCTCACGTAGCTCACCTTCGCTCCCAACGCCAACGACCGCCGGCTGCTGCAAACACGCCGGCCCAAAGTTCCTCGCATCCACGACCTGCGGTTTCCCGTCGGACGCAGGCGTCTCGTCGAGCGGCTGGGGCGCGCGGAAGCGCAGTTCACCAACGGGTGGTTGGGCGTAGGGGATGCCGCCGAAGAAGGCGACGGTGCCGTTGGCCTCGCCGGTGGGTGTGGTGGTGTTGCCTGCGTAGGCGGCGTATCCGAGGTTGATGACGGGGCCGAGGGGGGAGGTGAGGGCTGGGTAGTGGGTTGTGGTGTTGTTGCTCGAGGGAGAGGCTAGAGCGGTGGTTGATAGGAGGGTGGTTAGTAGGAGATGAGCGAGGATGTTCATCGTGGGCTCGTAGTTCGGTCTGGCGGAAACTCAGAGCTGGAATATAAGCTCAGAGGCGAGCAGGTCATGTCAGACGACGACAGGTCTATTATGAGGACGAAGAAGTGTCAGCTGGACTGGGTACGGAGCAGGAGTCGGAGTGCTTGAGAATATTCAGAGGGAGGAGGTCTTGTGGTCCTCGAAGCGGCCCGCCTGAGAGCGCGTCGAACATGGCCTGAGGAGTGTCGGATAATCTGTATGATTAAAAGGTCATGCAATGTCGTCAATAGGAATATGTTATGCTTATGGCGATGGAGGAAGACAAAGCCACGAATGGATCAGGACATTTCCGAGTCAGACAAACGCCCGCGAGCGTCTCTTCCCGTTCCCCGTTTCGTCATCGCCCAAGGGCATATGTCACCCGCATGTTCTTCACTACTCCTGCACTCTCTAACATCATGTCGTACAAGTTACAGGCGCCTCCATAACATTATCCGCTCATCTGCATCCACCTCAGGCACAACTTCCCAGGCCATCCGCACACCCACCACCCTCGGCAGCTCCCCATCCCCCTCAACCACCTCCCCATCCTCCAGCGCCCCTCCATCGCACTCAGACACCTCATCCAATACCCCCACCTCTACCAAACATCATGTGGGACCCAATGGGAGCGCGAACGGTAACAGAAGCTCGCACACATGGCCCCACACCCCCGCACGCACCCGCCCCATGCGCCGCGGACAGGATCTCTCGGCCCGCTGGCACAGGCTCGAGAACGCGCTAAGGCACAAGGCAGCACTCGGTGTTGCGCGGGACGTTCTCGGTGGGCCGAGGTCTGCGATGGAGGGTGCGGGTGTTGAGGGTGGTGTTGTTGATGTTGAGGAGAGGGGAGGAGTGGAGGCTGTTGACGTTGATGTCGGGAGAAAAGACGATACTGTCGCGCGAATAGCGGGTCTCGAGATTCCCGACGAGCCACGGCCGCCTGCGGACGATGGTGCGTTCTCTTCCTCTTCTCGTCCGCCTCATTCTCCAATTGCTCATGCCCGTTTTACCTGTCTGCCAGAATGCTGCATGTCCGGGTGCGCAGTCTGCGTGTACGATCTATACGACGACGCCTTGAACGAATACCGTGAGCGCGTCGAGTCCTTGCAGACTGCTCTGCGGGCCAATGGCGTGCCCGAGGCGGAGTGGCCCGCACGTATACGCACGGCGCCATCGTCGATCACGTCGCCATTCTTTGATGCTCCTGGTGGTACGGGTGGTGCTTCATCCTCTCAGGTGCAGCAGTCACCACAGGCTGCCCAGCGAAGCGCGTCGACGAGCGCGTTCGAGGCGCTCGAGGCGTCGCTTAGAGGTAGTAAGGAGGAGGGTGCAGGTGTCGGGGAGGGTTAGTGAGTCTTGTTGATATGCCATCGTTATTCTCCTAGCTGATAGAAAACTGCGTTCTCATAGGATCGAGCTCGGCGCAGAACTCATCTTCTACCCTATCTGGGGGCTCGCAGCCGCGGCGACAGTTCAGTACCAGTGCCGTGGCGTTCGCTGAGGACTCTGGCTGTGGCAAGAGTGCCTCGAGACCAGTGGGAATGCGCTCTATACCCATTCCTCGCCAGGCTGCGACACATCGTGGCTCTGTATCTGAAACAGACGAAAACGATACCAAGCCTGCCAGCGCTGCCCTCCGATCTACTCAACAGTCACCGTTCGCGGGCGTCACAACAGGCACTGGACGGTCCGTGGTCGAAATGCGACGCAAGCGCCGGTGGCGCCTCCGACCTCCGAGCTTGGGTGAGGTGTACGAGGGCGTGCGGTGGGTGTTATTTGGGCACCGATGAGGTATTGTGGGATTGGGGGGACGCTTGGTGGCTGGTGAGGACGGTGTTGCTGGAGCTTGGATAGAGTTGCATTAGAATGCCTCATAGATTTTATCGTAGACGGGCAGATTAACTCATGGATGGAGGACGTATCACTCCTTTAGATTCTTGACTAGCGACCGTGTGTGATGATGTGCACGATACTTGAATCGAACGGTTTGGAACTTCATTGACGTGACAAGCCCCTGTTTGCTGATTGCGCGGGAGGAGCGAAACGCGCGTCTCCGTGATCGCGTGTGTTTGTCCTCCATCCACCACTCACTCATCTGAGAATCGCACATCCTTTATAACTCTCTTGTGGCTGGAGCGATACACTGAGACAGACATAGAGAGCTTATACAACCTCTCACTCAGTGGCGGCTCGCGATCACACCCTCACCCTCTACCCACATCTCCCACTCCCCTGAACCTCCGCTCTCATAAAGCCCCAATGGCCTCATCATCCAAGCCCCCGCCCGGCGCAACCGGCACCGGCTCAAGCGCCAGCACGAGCACCACTACGAACAAGAATGCAAGCTCCAGCGGCGGCAGCAGCATCTCGACGTCGTCCATGAACGCGCTCAAGACGTTCTCGCTCGCCAACGACGTCTTCGAGGTGCACCCGCAGGACGAGATATTGCGGTACGATGCTGCGGCGCATCGGACGCTTGTGAACAGCGAGCCGTGGAAGAAGGAGTGCGTCTTTCCCTCTTTCTCTTTCTCTCTTCCTTGAATGAATGTTGACATGCTCTTACGTTTATTCACTCTCGCTTGGTTCGCTCGCTCCGTGGTATGGTATGGCGTCCATCTGAATCTACGGCGTTGATCGGACACGACATGGTCGGGTGGCGGCGAGCAGCCCGCATTACTTCAAGTCGTGCAAGATCTCGGCGATTGCGCTCATCAAGATGGTACGCATACACCCTACTTTGCCCTCGTTAGCATTCCTCGACGAGCTCGCTGACTACACCCCCTTTCGCCCCCCTTCTCTCCTTCGTCTCCCCTTTATCATCTCCCCTTCATCGGCACCTACAACCACCCACGAACGCACCCACCAGGTCATCCACGCGCGCTCGGGCGTGCCCCTCGAGGTGATGGGCATCATGCAGGGCAAAGTGCAGGGCGACGCGCTCGTCGTGCACGACGCGTTCGCGCTCCCCGTGCAGGGCACCGAGACCCGCGTGAACGCCGCGAACGAGGCGAACGAGTATATGGTTACGTATGTTTCCGAGAGCGAGAAGGTGCGTCGTCGTTCGCTTTTGTGTACGATTCCTCCTCCCTCCCCCGTTCCTCACTCAGACCAGACTGCGAGAGAGAATAGAATGCTGATCGCTAATGGCGATGATGTAGGTGAAGCGGCTGGAGAACGCGGTCGGGTGGTACCACTCGCACCCCGGATACGGGTGCTGGCTCTCGGGCATCGACGTGAACACGCAGATGACGAACCAGAACTTCCAGGACCCGTTCGTGGCCGTCGTCGTGCGTGCCGTTATCTCTGTTATCCCATGACCGTGCCTGCTGACAACTTCCATACCTACCCGCGCAGATCGACCCCAACCGCACCATCTCGGCGGGCAAAGTTGACATCGGCGCCTTCCGCACCTTCCCGGAGAACTACACCCCGCCGTCCTCGACTTCCACCGGGGGTGCCGGAGGCGGAGGAGACGGATACCAGAGCATCCCGCTCGCGAAGATCGAGGATTTTGGTGTGCACGCGAACCAGTATTATAGTCTCGACGTGGAGGTGTTCAAGAGCGCGCTGGACGAGGAGCTGTTGGGGTTGCTGTGGAACAAGTACTGGGTGAACACGTTGAGCCAGAGCCCGTTGATCTCGGTGCGTTCCACTTTTCGTCGTCGCTACTCTGCACGCCCGCCCGCGTGGCTTTTCTCGGAACAGTGCTGATATGTAGCACGGATACGTAGAACCGCGCGTACGCCGTCTCGCAGCTCGCGGATCTGCATCAGAAGCTCGCAAAGGCCCAGGGTGCGGTCGCGAGCACCCGGGCGCCTGTGCCGAGCACGAAGGAGATCCGCGACAAGGAGCGGGAGGCTCTCAGAGACGGCACCGGCACCGGTGCGGGCTCGTCGAGAGATAAGGAAAAGGAAGCAAGCGGGGCGGCGGGCAAGGAGAAGGAGAAGGAGTCTACGGGTGGGAAGGTGCGTTCGCTCTCTTCGCTGTTGCAAGTCCAGACGAGCTGAGTGGGAATTTGAATAGAAGGATGGCAAGAAGGAGGAGAACCAGCTCGCGAAGGCTGTCAAGGACAGCACGAAGATCGCGGCGGAGGCGCAGCACGGGCTCATCGCGCAGGTGATCAAGGATATCGTCTTTTCGCGGCGCCCTGGGTCCGGCCCTGAGGCGGGCGAGGCGCTGGATACGATGGTTATCGGTTGAAGACGTTGCAGTGAGATGAAGTGCAGTGTAACATACGGATGACGATTTCTTCTCTTTTGCTATCTTTTTTGTGCTTTTAGAAATGCGCATGTGTACTTCTTGTTCATGCGAACGATATTGTGAGTTCGTCATGTCGTGTTAGATTCAACAGGTTGGTATGGGGTACAGTATATACAGACAATGCGTGATAAGTGGAAAGCAAAACGTGGTTCGTCAGGGGTATGATCGTACAAGTGTCTCTGCATCTGGTATATCGATGGAGCCAGGCGATACAAGTGTTCGTGATGGTGGAGTGTACAATGTCCCAGTGTCGTGAATATATCCAAGAAAAAGTGAAGTTGGTTAAGGCGGCTCATGGTTTTAACCGTCTAATCGATGTTCAGCGGCACCTAGCAAAGGTCTCGTCGTAAGACCGAACAAGCACTCGAGAGCCAGCATACACTCACCTCCGATATCGCCCTCTCGACTTCTTCCTGTATGAACGCCAAAAACTGCGCGAGCGACCTGCACCCCTTGGACGAGCACGACGCACACGAGCGCGCCTTGTACAGGCCCATATGAAACGCATTCTTGATCTGCGTCCCGTGCGGCGCTGGCATCTTGCCCAGAATCCACGCGACTTCGTCCGCGAACTCGAGCCACCACCGCGGCGCGTCGAACGCCTGCCGCCCGTACGCCCACTGGCGCTTGTGGCACGTGCACGGGTGCCCACCGCCCGCCGCGAGCGACGACGCCGTGGAGAGCGTGTTGCTGCGCGCGAACGAGTTGAAGAGCGCGCAGGTGAGCTCCTGCGTGGACGGGTCGGACACGACGCGCGACGCGGCGTCGCAGCACGCGGCGTGGTACCGCATGAGCGCGGCGAGCTCGCTCGCGGACATGTCGTCGATCTCGGGCGCGGTCAGGGGGATGCTGTCCTTCTCGAGCAGGTAGCGCGCAATCTCCTTCGCTTCTGCGTCCATCTCGTATTTGAGCGCAGCGACGATTGCGGCGAGCGGGTTGGGCGATGCGATGCGCACGGAGGGGAGGGCAGCGCGTGCGGCGTCTTTGATGTTGTCCATGCCGTATTTGCGGCCTGCTTCGAGGAACTTGATCGTTTCGTCGAGGGTCTCGAGCTGCGGGCGGTCGCAGGGGTAGCAGAAGAGGAGGAGTTTCTCGAGCACGGCGCTGTCCTCTGTCACGGGCACGACGGGGAGGTCGTTCTGGCCTTGCGCCTGGGGGAGCTGGAACATGTCGCTGAAGCATGTCGAGGAGAAGGAGAGCATGTACTTGTGCACACGGTAGTCGGCATTGTCGGATGAGCGGATGATCACGTCGACACGAGAGTCGCTAAAGGGAAACTTCGACGGCGCCGTCGCTGTCGTCGTCGCTGCCGCCGCCGCCGTCGTTGGAGGCATCGCAGAACGTCGAACCATTGAGCACTGCCATCGTCGGTCGCGGCGTCCGTCATGTTGAACCTTTAACCGGATCGATCCGCCGAAGCCCCTGAATCACTACTTCAACCTTCCTCCAAGCTCTTGTCAGCTTGAAGTTCTGCCGTATGTTACAGGGCGAAAGTCCTAGGTCTTATCCTTCAAACGCTCGAAGACATGAAGGCCTGCTTGATTTTCGAAACATAGGTTCTTACTACAAACTCGGCTCCGGCTTTCCCCGAGCATTTTTGCCGTGAAGTTGGACCCACACACGCACATTCTGGCAAACGCGCGTCTGCCAGCGATGTCATGCACCACCATCACCGTCCAGCACATCCTGGTCGTCCTTGCAGTCTACACTGACACTCAACTAGAACGAGTATCCCATTCTTACCATGCCGTCGGCTACTCACTCGACCCCTGATACTTTGTCTGATGCAGATGACGCACCCCGCCCCTTTGCAGGTCACACAGAGAGAATCACCGCCATCGAGTACTCTCCTGACGGTCACCTCCTTGCAACTGCATCTGAGGATGCCACTATACGTCTCTGGGACCCTTTGACAGGCCAACAGCTCCAGAAGCTCGACACGCCTGGGGAAGCCACGTCTCTTGCATTTCACCCTACAGGTAGACAGCTTGCCACCATCTGCGAGAACGACTCGACCGTCCTCGTTTGGAACGTGACGGAGGGCGGATCGGGGGTGATGCGGAATGCCACAATAAAGAAGACATACGATGCGGAATGTTCCACATATCCCGATTCTGTCAGATTCTCAAATAACGGCAAGCTCCTCGCCGTGATGACAGCTCGGTTCCTTGCTCTCCAAGATGCTGAAACAGGCCAGCTAGTCATGCATATCATCGAGGTGATCCTGCCGTTTAGGCTCATGAACCTGCTTGTATTCTCTGCGGACGACCGAAGTGTCTTCTTTGCCTGCTATGATATTCCAGCCCCCGGCACTATGCATTCAAACACTCCAATAGTATACTCCTTTGACTTAGCGACAAAGCAACAAGAACCCGTCAATCTCTCGGCCGATTACTCTCAGCCTCTTGTCATCTCCTACGACGGTACTATGATCGCCGGGCATACACCTCACGGATTGCAGATTTTGAAAGTCGACGGAGGCGAGGTCTTGCACGGTCCACTCAGGGGGCATCTTTGGGGGGCAAGGCTCCTCTGCTTCTCGCGCGATGGCGAGTGGCTCGTTGATGTTTCCGGGGCAGACACTGTATGTGTCTGGGACACCTCCACAGGGAAGTTAGCTTTAGGTCCCTTGAGGCAGCCGCCACACTTGAGGAGCGAGACGACGCATTGTGTAACTGCAGCCGCGTGTTCGCCACTGAAAGATCACATAGCAGGCGCCGATGCCTCCGGAAATATTCATGTATGGGACACTGACACCGGACATGTCGTGCTGTCCTCAGTATGTGGATTTCGTCAGTCATGGTTGCTCAGGAGAGCTGACTGAGATATTTCCACACAGCTCCCAGTCAGAAAACAGATCCAACCGTTAACTCTCCCGGGCCGCTTTGAAGTGGATGGTGTGCAGTGGTTCCCCGACGGGCGCTTCCTCATCAGTAGCAGCATGAGTGATGACTACATCCACATGTGGGACGCCGAAACAGGAGAACAGGTTCGCGAGTACTTGTTTCCCGGGGGCTCATGCATCGCTTTATCCCCCGACGGTACCGTTCTGGCGGCTGGCTCTGCGTTTTATGCTGAATCCATCGCATTCTTTGACACCAAGACAGGTAAAGAACACTTGTATTCTCTCGACGGACCTGTTCGAGCGAGTCGCAAAATGAAGTTCTCTCCCAATGGTTTGACACTCGCCATCGTGCTTGACGACGCACATGACTCGAATCTGTGTTTCATTTCCAACGCTATTGGCGGCCGAAAGACGATGTTTGTGCAGCACCCGTCAACCGTCCTGGATGTTGCATTCTCGCCGGACGGAGAGCAATTCGCGTACATCACTACAGACGATGGCATCCTCCTCTGCAGTACTTCGTCATTAAACGTGATCTCAAAGGTTTCCTCCATGGTGTCCTACGATTATGACCCTACCCACTCTATCTCATTTTCCCCTGATGGTCGACGCCTTCTTGTCTGCTCGAGGGGACTCCTGGTATTGGACGTGCACACATGCCAGACCATTCTTCATCTTTATGCAGATTACAATGACATCCGGGCGGTATTCTCGCCTGATGGTCGGGCCTTGTTGTACTCATTCCGTGCTGTTTCCATACAAATGGTCGACACCGCAACACATGATCCGATGTGGCAGTCCAAGGGTTCAAGTCTCGCATGCTTCGCTTTTTCACCTGGAGGAGAAAGGATAGTTGTTGGGTCTACATCCGGGGCCTTGAAGCTCTATGAAGCTGCGACGGGTCGTATGCTCCTCCCGAAAGTGAGCACTTATCTTCTCATCTTTCAAGTTGTCGGTCATCATATAATGAGTGACTCCTTTTGCAGCGAGATAGCACGTCTTCTGACGGCAAATTGTCAAGTGACGAGCCCCTCGATATGGCTGGGGTATGTCAATCTGTTTACTTCGAGGAAACATTATCTCATTCAATTATATATACGGGATCAGCCTGACAGCAGGCAAGGGCCATCAAGACGAGGGATTGCTCTCGCTGAGGCAGACGACGATTCACTCATGAACGTACGTTCTAACTGCTTAGTTCTCATTATATATCACCTGATCAGCGACATAGATGCCTGCAGCTATCAGGAGATCGGCTCCCGGAGGTTCTCATGCGCGTCAACCTCCTAGGAAGAACAGCGGAGGCAAGGACAGGTCGGATGAGAGACCACACCGCGGGCTCATTGCTCGCCTCAAATCACGTAGCAAGTCTGACACGCTGGCCACCAATGAGCCCGACGGTGACCATCGCCGCATGTCGCGAATGCTCGAACTCGTCAGCGTTGGGCGAGCCAATCTAGTGAGTGAATTCCCTATCCTCATGTCGCGTCCCTCACTCTATTTCTTATGTGCAGCGCGTGATGGCCGCAGGACCGAGTGAACAAGGTCGTCTCAGGGATAGACGTCGGGAAGGGGGTTCTGATGAAAGCTCGAGTAGCCCGTCGCCTCCAGCGTCGACTCGCCCTCGAGTTGAGTCTCCGGAAGCTGGCGTTGACGATCAAAGGAGCCGCACACTGAGCAGCGAAGGGCTCAAGGATATACTGTGCTACTGCTTGTGTGTACCGCGGTGTCACAAAGGCTAGGCGTCACGGGTTTTGGCACATCTGATTCCAGGATGACTTAGTTTTCATTCCCGTGTTCTTCACAGATATCAGTTAATCGGATGCATATTGAGCAGATGTCATTTAAATGACAATGAGCACAGTGGGAAAAATAAAGCACCAATAGGTCATCGCCTGGCCGAGATCTTTACAGCCGAAGAATATGAGAGAACGAATCTGCTTTTGAGATGGTTCCTCCTGCTTCTCCACATATTACCCCTTGATCCACCCACCACTCGCCGGACTCGAGCTTGTCACCCTTCCACTTCCCATGAGACGACCGCAAATCACGCACCGTCCACATGCTCAACCCATCCACGGCGCTCTACGCTGCGATATCGTCATGTAGATTATGGGGATGTAGTGCTTCTTGAGCGCGAGGAAGACTTGAATCAAGCGCGGAATGGCAATCGTGAGGAATACGGCTAGGAATATGGTTGGGGAGCGTGCTATGAGATAGAAGGGTGCCGCTAGTTAGCTGAATGAAGAGCAATGTGAGACAAGGTGACTAGAGTAATCAGCGTCGACGATGGGGTATTGAGGCGTACCATTCATATCCTCGCGGAATGATGTATATGCAAGGCTTTAGACCTACGAATTTCGGTTCGCTGTTTTTTGGAGCAGAAAGTTTCCACAGTGACATTGACAGGGCATCTGCGTCAATGCTGTCGACCGCGCTCCGTCCCCAGTCTCATCCTCTTATGGCCTACTATCCCCGTCATTTCCCTCGAACAATAGTACGGACATGAACGAGTCGATGACATACGATCTCTTGAGCATTGTACCGTTTACTCTTCCGAGATGTATATATGATCGGTTGCTCGAGAGTGTCATACTGCGGTCTGCTGCAAAGAGGCGATTTAGGCATAAATGACAGGGCTGAAGGCGTGGTGAGTTTTCAAAAAGAGCAGTAACGTGCATTGGTTTAAGTTGTTACTGCTACCTGAAGGAACTGTTGGCGACTTTCCATCGCTGACACGGGGCGGCTTGGAGGAGTCTAGAGCCTGATCCCTAATGAGGATCATGCGTCCTAGACTCCTGTAATGCGTAATATGGTGGATGCTTTGGGGACATGAATTTTAGTGAAGGTCACCTACAGGTCCCGCTAAGCGCTAGCGCTTGCAATGCTTCGGTCCGGCCCGGAACACCTCCGCGCACAGACCCAGCTGAAAGAAGTTAACCACCACATTCAGACCAAGACTTTTCCGCTTCCTACTGTGTCAACTAGTCATAAAGGTTTGTCCTCATAAATAAAGCAAGATGAACTACCCAGCGAAGTTGGATCAAGCCGGGAGCCGGCTTTCCCCGAACATTTTTGCCGTGAAGTTGGACCCACAAACCCACATTCCTGGCGGACGCGCGTCTAGTGTCGATGCCATGCACCACCATCACCGTCATCCATAAACCAGTCACCACTACGACGTACGCTGAAGCTTTACTCGAACCAAGACCCGAGTCTCTCTTGCCCGCATGTTGTCAAACGCGTCCTCGTCCTCCGATGCGGATGATGGCCCTCGGCCTTTCGCAGGCCATACAAAGGCAGTCACCGCCATCGAGTATTCTCCTGACGGTCGCCTCATTGCAACTGCATCTGAGGATACCACTGTGTGTCTCTGGGATCCGTTTACGGGTCAACAGCTCCAGAAGGTTGACACACATCGTCGGGCCACGTGTCTTGCATTCTCCCCTTCAGGTACACAACTTGCCACGATCTGCGAAGGCGTGACTGTACTGGCCTGGAAGCTGAACGAGGACAGATCAGGAATCTTGCAGAACAACACAGTAAAAACGACATATGAGAACTCCAGAGCTTTGCATTTCATCAGGTTCTCACATAACGGCAAGTTCCTCGCCGTGATGACAGCTCGGTTGATTGCCCTCCAAGATGCTGAAACGGGCCAACTGATCATGGATGTGATCGAGATGAGCCCAGAGCTCAGGCTCATTACTCCGCTTGCATTTACCTCGGACGACCAGAGTCTCTTGTTTGCCTACTATGATCTTCCCCTCCCCGGCACTGGCGAGAATGTCATGTATCCAGGCACTCCAATAGTAAGCTCCTTTGACTTATCGACAAGGCAACAAGAACGCGTCACTCTCTCAACCGACTTGTCTCACCATCCTTGGCACGTAGTCATCTCGTACAACGGGACCATGATCGCTGGGGACGCACCTCATGGAACACAGATCTGGAAAGTCAATGGCGGCGAGGTCTTGCACGGTCCACTCAGGGGGCATCTATGGGGAACAAGGATCCTCTGCTTCTCGCGCGATGACGAATGGCTCATTGATGTCTCTCAGGCAAGCACTGTTTCCGTCTGGGACACCTCTACAGAAAACATGGTCTTAGGTCCCTTGAGGCAGCCGCCGAACTTGGGGATCAAGAGCGCGCTTATTACTACAGCCACATGTTCTCCGTCGAAAGATCGCATAGCGTGTGCCGATGACTCCGGACACATTTATGTATGGGACATTGCTACTGAACAGGTAGTACAGTCCTCAGTATGTGAATCTTCTCTATCATATCTGCTCTGAAGCTGACTAACGTATCTCCGAATAGCTTCCAGGCAAACCCCAGGCCCACCCGCTTATCACCCCAGGCCGCTTTGAGGTGGACAGTGTGCAGTGGTTCCCCGACGGGCGTCACTTCATTAGTAGCAGCATGTGCGACGACTACATCCGTACATGGGACGCCGAAACCGGGAAGCAAGCTCGCGAGTACTTGTTTGGCGGTGGTTCATGCATTGGTCTATCACCCGACGGCGCGTTGCTGGTAGCCGGCTCCGCGTACTACTTCGGATCTCTCAGGTTCTTCGACACCGAGACAGGCAACGAACATTCGTATTCTCTCGATGTCCCCGGTCGAGCGTGTCGCAAAGTCAAGTTCTCGCCCAACGGTTCAACGCTCGCCACTCTACTTGACGATGCGCTCGAAACGAACCTTTGCTTCGTTTATGACGTTCTCGGGGATCGCAAGACGACGTTTATTCAACACCCATCCACGGTCCTAGATGTTGCATTCTCGCCAGACGGAGAGCAATTTGCGTACATCACCACAGATGACGGCATCCTCCTCTGCAATACTTCTTCATTGAACGTGATCTCAAAGGTTTCCTCCATGGCGTCCTACGGGTCTGACCCTACCCACTCGATCTCGTTCTCACCTGATGGTCAACGCCTTCTTGTTTGCTCAAGGGGACTCTTGGTGCTGGACCCGCGCACGTGTCAGACAGTTCTTCACCTTCATGGATCTAATAACGATGTCCAGGGTGCGTCCTCGCCTGACGGACGGACCTTGTTGTATTCCGTGCAAGGCTCTCCCATTCGAATGGTCGACGCCGCAACAGGCAGCCCGTTATGGCAGTGTAAAGTTTCAAGCTTAGTATGCTTTTCTTTTTCGCCAGGAGGAGAAAGGATAGCCATTGGTCTTAAGAAGGGCGGCATCGAGCTCTATGAAGCGACAGCGGGTCGCATTCTCCTCCCAAAAGTGAGTGGCTATCTTCCTATCGTATACTGGTTGTATTCTAAGACGATTGTTCCTTCTGTAGCGAGACGACTCCCCCTACGAAGGCGAATCATCAAGCGGTGAGCCCCTCAGTATGGCTGGGGTAGGTCAATCAGCTTGCTTCGAGAAAACATAATCTCATTCAGTTGCTTATATGCGATCAGCGTGAAATTAGGCAAGGTCCTTCACGGCGAGGACTCTCCCTTGCTGATGCAGATGACGATTCATTTATGAACGTACGTTCTAACTGCTTTGTTCTCACTACATATCAACTGATCGGCGACATAGATACCTGCAGCTATCAGGAGATCTGCTCCGGGAGGCTCTCAACATGCGCATCAAACTCATAGGAAGTACAGCGGAGGCAAGGACAGGTCGGATGAGAGACCACACCGCGGGCTCATTGCTCGCCTCAAATCACGTAGCAAGTCTGACACGCTGGCCACCAATGAGCCCGACGGTGACCATCGCCGCATGTCTCGAATGCTCGAACTCGTCAGCGTTGGGCGAGCCAATCTAGTGAGTGAATTCCCTATCCTCATGTCGCGTCCCTCACTCCATTTCTTATGTGCAGCGCGTGATGGCCGCAGGACCGAGCGAACAAGGTCGTCTCAGGGATAGACGTCGAGAAGGGGATTCTGACGAAAGCTCGAGTAGCCCGTCGCCTCCAGCGTCAACTCACCCTCGAGTTGAGTCTCCGGAAGCTGGCGTTGACGATCAAAGGAGCAGCACACCGAGCAGCGATGGGCTCAGGGACATGATATGTTACTGCTTGTGTATCCCGCGTTGCCACAAAGACTAGATTTCATTTGTTCTGGCGCGTTTAAATCCAGGAATAACTTGATCTTTTCGTCACAATATCCTGAACAATATCGTCTTGAAATGGCTGGACATTATAGGACTCCCGTACATCTGTATACAAAATTGCTCGGAGACGTTGATCGCAATTTTTGAGGCGTTTATCCCAGAGTTTTGAGGCCATCGAAAACGTGGGGAGTCTGAGAACGTCATCGTGATAACGAAGGTGGTGTTGCCTGGGCTGATGCCGTGGGTAGTAACGAAGGTTAAGAGGTATTCATTGTGCTGAATGAGGCTGTTGAGGTTTGCATAGCTATCCATAAAGTGAGTTCAACACCCTTGGCAGGGGCAACCAATAAAGGCTGTTGGTGGCCTGTCGGCGGGAGTCAGTGCTCCTGATGCTCAGGCTACATCACTTCGGCCCGACCCGGAACGCATCCGAGTCCCGCCCGTAAGCTCTGCTCAGAGAGGTCGACCGAATCCAGACCAGGGTTTTGCGTTTTGCTGGCACTTTCTGTACTGAGGTTTCGTCATTATAACAGTACCTTCAGAACAAATGCAAGCGTGCACCATGCCGTCAAGTTGGAGCAAGCTCGGAACCGGCCTTCCCCGAGCATTTTCAGCGTGAAGTTGGACCCACAAACCCACATTTCCAGCCAGTGCGCGCTTGTTGTCGATGCCATGCCCCACCATCACCGTCATCTACGCCCTAGTCGTCCCTACGGCCTACATTGACCCTTTACTCGAACGAAACCCTCTCCCTTCGTTGTATGTTCACAGAAGCTCACTTGACCTCGGATGCGGCGGATGACGCACCCCGGCCGTTCGCAGGCCATACTAAGGAAATCACCGCCATCAAGTACTCTCCTGATGGTCGGCTCATTGCAACTGCATCTGAGGATGCCACCGTGCGTCTCTGGGACTCGATGACTGGCCAGCAGCTCCAGAAGCTCTACACGCCTAGTGGAGCCGTGTCTCTCGCATTTCACCCTACAGGTAGACAGCTTGCCCTGGCCTGCGATGGTCCAATCATTACCGTCTGGGAGATGAACGAGGACAGATCAAGAGTCTTGCATGACATCCCAAAAACGACGACATACAAAAGGGCTAGGGGCTTTTGTTATATCAGGTTCTCGAACACTGGCAAGCTCCTCGCCGTGAACACGTCCTCATTCATTGCCCTCCAAGATACTGAAACAGGCCAGCTGATCATGCATGTGACCGAGATGAACTCAAGCTCCGATCTCTTAAACATGCTTGCATTCACTTCAGACGACAAGCGTGTCTTGTTTGCTTTCCGTGATCTTCCCCGCCCTGGCACTGGCGAGGATGCCATGAATTCAGACACTGCAACAGTGAGCTCCTTTGACTTATCGACAAGGCAACAAGAACGCGTCACTCTCTCAACCGACCTGTCTCGCCATCCTTGGCCGGTGGTCATCTCGTACAACGGGACCATGATCGCTGGGGATGCACCTCATGGAATACAGACCTGGAAAGTGAACGGCGGCGATGTCTTGCATGGTCCACTCAGGGGGCATCTCTGGGGAACAAGCATCATCTCCTTCTCGTCCGACGACGAGTGGCTCATCGATGTCTCCAAGGCAAACACGGTATGTGTCTGGGACACTTCCACAGGGAAGTTGGCTTTAGGTCCATTGAGGCAGCCGCTGAGCAGAAACGGGCGTATCACTGCAGCGACATGTTCTCTGCTGAAGGATCGCATAGCTTGCGCGGATGAATCTGGAAACATTCATGTATGGGATACTGATACTGAACAGGTCGTACTATCCTCAGTACGTGAATTCCGTTTCGTCATGCTTATTTAGTCCAGCTGACCGCGGTATCTCCACACAGCTTCCGGTCAGAAAACAGGTCCAACCGCTGACCGTCCCGGGCTTCTTTCGGGTGGACAGTGTACAGTGGTTCCCTGACGGGCGCTACTTCATTAGTAGCAGCATGTACGACGACTACATTCGCACATGGGACGCCGAAAACGGGGAGCAAGTTCGCGAGTACGTGGTCCCCGGCGGCTCGTGCATCGGTCTATCCCCCGACGGCACGTTACTAGTGGCTGGCTGCGCAAACTACTTCGGGTCCGCCAAGTTGTTTGACACCAAGACGGGAAATGAGTATCAGCATCCTCTCGACATCCATGGTCGAGCGTATCGCAGAGTCAAGTTCTCGCCCGACGGTTCAGCATTCGCCATTGTGCTTGATGACGCACATGATTCGAACCTTTGTCTCATTTTCAACGTTCTCAGTGACCGCAAGGCGATGTTTGTTGAACATCCATCCACAGTCCTAGATGTTGCATTCTCACCTGACGGAGAGCAGTTCGCGTACCTCACCGCAAGCGATGGCATCCTCATCTGCAACACTTCGTCATTCGATATGGTCTCCAAGGTTTCCTACACGGTGTCTGACGGACTTAACCCTATGCGCTCTATCTCATTTTCACCTGATGGTCGAAGCCTTCTTGTCTGCTCGGGGGAACTCTTAGTGCTGGACCTGCACACGCGTCAGACTCTTCTTCGTCTTGACGCTAATAACATGGACATCCAGGCGGTATTCTCGCCTGATGGGCGGACGTTGTTGTATTCGATGCATGGTACTTCCATTCAATCGGTCGACGCAGCAACAGGCGATACAGTATGGCGATCCGAGGTTTCATACATCACCACCTTGTCTTTCTCACCAGGAGGAGAAAGGATAGCCATCGGTTTGGGGATCGGTGACATCAAGCTCTATGAAGCAACGACGGGTCGTATGCTCCTTCCGAAAGTGAGTAATGACTTTGCATTGTTTCTCTGCGATAATTTACTGTTTGCTCACGTCTGCAGCGAGATAAGTCCTCCGAAGCAAACCGTTCGGACGAAGAGCCTATTGAAACTGCTGGGGTAAGCCGACCTGCATACGATACACAATTTGTAATCTCACTTCCATGTCTCCGTGCAGGATCAGCATACCTCTAGGCTGGGACCGTCGCGGCGAGGAATTAGCCTGGCCGACGCAGACGATGACTCAATCATGAACGTACGTTTACCGCGCTTGACATCCACTACAGGCGAGCTAACCAGCAACACAGATGCCTGCAGTTCGTAGGATCCCTGCTCCCAGACAAAAGGACAACCCGTCTACCCGACAGAGGAACAGTAGTGCATATGATGGGTCGGGCAGGGAGCCCCGTCGTGGATTCCTTGCTCGCCTTACATCACGTCGCACCTCGGATGAGCCTGGCGATGACCATCGCCGCATGTCGCGAATGCTCGAACTCGTCAGCGTTGGGCGGGCGAACCTGGTAAGGAAATTTTACATCCTTATATCGTGTCTGTTATGCTCAAGTTGTTTCTTCTGCTTAGCGGGTGATGGCCGCGGGACCGAGCGGACAAGGTCGTCTCAGGGATAGACGTCGGGAAGGGGAGTCTGATGAAAGCTCGAGTAGCCCGTCGCCTCCCGCGTCGACTCGTCATCAAGTTGCATCTCCAGAGACTGGTGCTAATGAGCGGAGTAGCACACCGAGCAGTGATGGGCTTAAGGACATATTATGTTACTGCTTGTGCATACCTAGTTGCCACAGGGACTAGGGCTAGCCTCAGAAAACCTTGAATTTCGTTACACTATGCTTTACAAATCAGTCTGTTTGAAAGCACATTGCAGAAAATATGATGCAGATTACGCCGAGTGATAATGGGGAAAATAAGTGCGAAGGATTGTCGCCGAGACGTCCACAGCCCAAAGGTTCGATTGCAGAAACCCGCTTTCAAGGTTCCCACTTCCTATTCCCCTATATACCGCACCTTGATCATTCCATGAGTCGTGTCCGCCTCGACATCGTCGCCCTCCGACCCCCATGGGACGACCCGAAGCCACCGACGTGCCACACGCGCCCGCCGTGCATGGTGCTTAGTGCTCTGCGCTCCGCAGTGATGTTGCCCGAGTGCTCGACGGAGTTGCCATGCTTCTTGAGCCAAGAGGAACCGTGAAGCGAACGGCATGTTAATCGTGAGTTATAGTGAGAGCGCTCTGAGATGTCAAGTGCTGTTGACTGTCGGGTCCGAGTTCCTTGAAGCAGCGGCTCGAGAGAATGGTGATGACGCTTGATACTTGATACTGCGCATAAGCACAACACACCATAGTACAAGAGTCTAATGCTGCGTTGTACCTGGTTCTGAGCTGCCATCGGCATGGGAGACGCGTGAGGATAGATGGACAGCAGGTCGCCTGTTGCTTGCTTTGAAACAGCTTCAACCGAGGATTGCAACTTGGAACGGAGGGCATCTGGGGCTGGAGTACGAGTGAAGCAACATAAGAAGATAAAAGACCACGCGGACACGTTACATACTCACCTGTGGCATATATGCACGACTTCGAGTTGTGTTTCACCGCTGTGTCCAGCTAAGCTCCATCAGCAAGCTCTTTGAGCACCTCTCTCAGCTCCTTACGCGCCTCCTCCGTCTTCTTCCCCTGCCTTTCCAGCTCTCCGCCATTGAGGAGGCGGAGCGTAGCCCGTGTTTCCTTGACAAACTCGCAGGAATACGACGTTGTTTCATTGATTTCGCTGTTCTCTCTTGAGCTCGCATCACTGAGCCCCGACTGTGATGCCCAGGGTGCAAGGTCGACGTCGGAAGCGCGGAGGAGTGCGAGGTCACGCAACGTCTCGGACATGGGCAGGGGCTTGTTCTTCAAAGTGTTGGCCATGATTGTGGTACTGAATTGATAGCGAAAGAGCTATGGATCTGATGTTCAATGGTTTGCGTCGCGACTATCTGAGAGGAATATCGACTTGGCTAGTGACTCAGTGTTACACCCCACTCGCTCATGTCACATAAAGTCACAAACGCTACTCGTCGTGACAATTGTGACCCATCACATAGCCCACCACAGCCCACCATCACCTCCGTCTCCAGATGTTAGGACGAGCGTGACTCTATACAGCATCCATGGTGCTCATAAGGACAGACCAAACTTGCTCAGGAACATCTATATAACGTTCTTTGCCACTAAACCATGGACACCAAGTATGAAGCGGTCAACAGCGACAAGGCGTTATTGGACGATTCAGAGGTGCGTCACGACTTGGAGCAAGTACCAAGAACTGATCGTATGGCTGACGTTCTGGGCTTGTATTTAGCTGCCACCATCATATGGTGAATCAAGCGCTGCGGTAACTTCGCCGTGCTCTCATGCACGCGGCTTCCCTCCACCGACGAACTTCCTGTATCGCTCGAGGAGGGCGGATGCCTCTCTGCGCGGCTCCTTCACGATTGATCCTTCCTTAGAAATACATCCTTCCCTTCTTCCTCCCTTGTCTGAAGGAGAAGCGGAGAAAGACCGGAAGAATCTCAGCTTCAGCGCGCAAGATGGGAACATCGTTGCAAATGTTATGTTGCTCCCGTCGACGCCTCTTTTCGGGAGGCGACGCACGCACCTCGCTTTCGCCACAAAAAATGGGGCGATCAACGTGAAGCTGGTAGTTATTCGCTTCATATTCTGACTTCTGTAGCTCTGATATGTTATTGACAGTGTGCAATGGAGGGCACCACCCCATACCTTCTCGACATCACCTCACACAGTGGCGAAGTCGCCGTGCGCCTACCACCATCCTTCCATGGCCTCCTTCGCCTCAGCTCTTCTACAGGCAAGGTGTCGCTGTCATCTTCGCTCTCCGAAATGAGTGCACCGCTGAGTGAGCTTGACGGTGCGGATACGTGGTTCGTCGGTGATCTGTCCTCGTTTGGCCGTGAAGCATGGGCAGGGTCGGAGGTGATCGTCCGGGCCAAGCACTCGAACGTCACTGTATGCTTTGGTGACGCTGACGAGACCCCGGCTAGTTCTATTCCAATATCCAATCCGCCGTTGGAGGGAAAGAAGGAGGTAAGTATGGGGTTTTGGAGACGGTTTCGGCGGAGGTGAGTCGGTTGAAAAGCTGTCTTTTATATTTTTAATGCTTGTATACCTTTCGTTACTGCAACGCCGCATGTCCGAAACCTTCTATGCGGAGCATCATGGCCCATTGCATTTGTAACTTATTTGCAGCTAAAGTTCCGCGACTATGGTTCGCGTCAGTCGAATGACTAGGCTGAACCGTAGATGCCTTTTCTGGGAATCTATCTTTGTTTGGTGATAAGACGCAGGCAGAACCTGAGGTGATTGTACGGGTTAAGAACTCAAAAGGTAATGCGAGGTAAAGTGGTTCCAACGAGATTCCTGTGACATCCAAACTACGGGTTGCCTCCGAAGAAAGTGAGGCGTCATAGGAAGCCTAGACTCTGGTGACTGCTTCCAAGAAGGTAAGTTGGCGCTCGTTTGTTATATTGGGCTGAGTACGGAGAAGATTATGGCGTCTCAAATCTCTCTGTTGAAATCCGATACCCAAGTATGCACATATGCATTACCCGAGGACAACGTCTTGCTCTCATCCAGTTAGGCGGCAGCTCAACGGCAGATGTGTATAAATCACTATGCGGCATCATAGATTTCGGAAGTATCGCCGACTGATACATCTTATCTAGTCACGTACTGAAGAGAGCCTTAGCCTCATGACCTTAGATTGACGAAGCATACATAGCTACTATAAGCCCCCGACTCCTTAATTCAAACTATAAACAGTACGGCCTCGCTTTCTCCTGCCCCCGTCTTATCCTTTTCCGGTTCTCTGTCTTTCTTCCTAACGTCTATGAGCGATGGCATCCAAAGCAGTACTCCCCGCCTTCCATGATTCACAAATCGTCGAGGAAAGACCTGATAACCAGTCAAGCGAGGAGGTGCCATTCTGTCCCCTTTGTCAAAATTAGTTCATAGTCGCCGAGACAGCCACCAGCTTCTGCACCAGCTATCCTTGTGCGGCTTTCCGCGACCAACAAATTATCTAGTCCGGGATGGTGTCTTAGAGAAAGTGTTCTCGTGCGCCATCGATCCTTCAATGAAGATACCTCCGACGTTGCTCCATCCGGATGGGAAGAACTACAACCTAAGGCTCAAGTGGTACAACAAGGGCCCGTCGGTTGATATCTTCCTCTTCGCGGGAAGATGGACGGAGGGCAGTGGGCGCGTGTCTCTTGACATCCAGGCGCTAAATGGGCCTGCGACTGTCGTCCTTGTGCGCTTCTTCTGATAGGTATTTAGCATGCTGCCCCTGCTAACTTTGAGTATCTGATCACATCGTACATCAGCGCACCGACAACTGCACATGTGTCTATAAACTCAACGTTTTCGCGGCTCAAAAGGCTATTGTTTACATTCCACGCTCTTTCCATGGACTGCTGCGACTGGGCGCCTGGTCCAAAGTGCTCGAGCGGAGTCTTCATCAAGTCAGTACACCTCTCAGTCAGGTAAGAAACAAGGACGTGTGGTTCGTTGGAGATGTCGCGGACTTGCCGACAGGCGACGAAGAGCATTGGGAAGGAGAGGAGATCGTGGTGGATACATCAGCCGCTAACGATGACAGTGTCCTCGAGATCAGGTATGCAGGCGAGTTGGTACCCTCTGATCAAACAGAAGTGGTGTGAGTTTGAAATCGTTGTGGGATGTGATGTAGACCAATTGATCAGAATATGGACAGGGTCTAGCGAAATATACCTTCGCAGCTTGGGATTAAATCCACTCTATATATACCACTTCTTGTTTGTTAGTATCCCTGAGCAGAAGTCAACATCGGACAAATCACCCAATGTAGCTTAGCAAGCGTGGAGTGTTAAACACTTGCTACGCTACACTGGATGATTTATTTGTTCATGTTATCAGCAAGATGTAAACGGTGAATGCAGAAGAAAGAATTTGATTGCTTAATCGAAAGATAGTTGAACAGATATCCCATTCGTATTAACTGTCAAAACAACCAACCTCTCTTAGAACCCCAATCACCCTCGCAATCGACTGCCACACCAGCTCTTGCCGTTCAACATCCCTTATCCAGATGCCTCGCATAAACCCTACCGTTGTGCATCTCCGCGTGCATCACGTCTCCGTTCGTCCCTCACCCCCATTGATACCGCTCCATTCCGTGATAATAGGACCGTCTGCGCTGCTTTCGTCATGTCCGAGGAAGTAGTAGGCCGTGAAGTCCTAGCGGGCGAGTGGCACGGCGTTGGCAAGTACATCAGGCCAGAAGACGGCCTCGCCATTACGCTTGGCAAACCACCGCGTAATGCGTATGGTGCATAGGATGAGAAGAGTGATGCAGCCATCGGTGGTGAAGAGGCGGATGGAGGCGAGTAGAGACGAACGTGTGTGCATCTCGAGGGTTGAATAGAGAGAAAGGCGGATGAAGGAGAGGTAGTAGAGGATCCAGAGTAGCCTAGGCGTATGAAACGGCGGTTGAGAAGAGGGCACCGCATGTTGAGGATGCCACTTGGTCGAAGCTAGTGAAAGTGTTAGATTGGTGAAAGGTTGGGAAAGAAGGCTGACGGCGTGCCAGAGGTCTAAAGGGATTCTTCCACACCTCGATCATACGGACACCCGCATGCTCGGCAAGCCTCTATGTCATTACCCTCCTCTGTCCCTACCGAGGTTGCGATGCACGAAGGAGTGCATTCGGTCACCCTGAGGCACCCGAGTCGCCCTCGCCCCTTCTAGCATAACAGTGACTCTCCATGTCTTGATTTACGACCGGTGTACCCTTTCGTCGTGGAGTCCCACGGCGATGCCATCGCTACCCAGGTCGACGAGACGGAAAGTGTGTGACACTGATACAGTGATAGAACGCGTCGGTACCTTGCTGCCATTCAACTCAGCGTGCGATGGTCCGCGTGAGGAGATGGGATACGCACCTATACAATGAATCTGATTAGATTCTTCAAGTCATACTGACTGGCGACGACTGGGCCGGCGAGCTGTAGTTCAGGAAATTATCTGTCGAGTTCGGTGACCGGTGATGATGACGGCGGCAGAGACAACGTGAGGGGAGTATCATCATGACATCAGAGAACGTGTTTCCATGGCTGTTACCGCGAGTGATAACTGAAGTTAAGAGGCGCTCATTGTGTCGATTAGGCCATTGATGCGTACGTGGCAATGAGCCCTTGAGTTTGAAATTTGAAGGCTTGACAGGAGTAACTTGTAAAGGCTGCAGGCGGAGAGTCAGTGCTTACGTCCTTTCGGCCCGACCCGGAACGCCTCCTGTCTGCGGGCTCCGCTCAGAGGTTCACCACTGTTGACCAAATCCATCCCAATATTTTGGTACTTTCTTGTACTGTCGTCTCGTCTTCACAACGGTATCTTCTAAACGAATGCAAGAGTCCACCGTCTGGTGAAGTTGGATCAAGCTCAGAGCCGGCTTTCTCCGAGCATTTTTGCCGTGAAGTTGGACCCACAAACGCACATTCCTAGCCAACGCGCGCCTGTTGTTCATGCCATGCACCACCATCACCGTTGCCTCCACCCTGGTCGCTTCTACGGCCTGTATTGACCCTTTACTCGAACGAAGCCCTCTCCCTTCGTTGTATGTCCTCAGAAGCTCACTCGACCCCAGATGCGGCGGATGACGCACCCCGGCCGTTCGCAGGCCATACTAAGGAAATCACCGCCATTGAGTACTCTCCTGATGGTCGGCTCATTGCAACTGCATCTGAGGATGCCACCGTGCGTCTCTGGGATCCGACGACGGGCCAACACCTTCAAAATATTAACACACCTTGTGGGGCCAAGTCGCTGGCATTCTCCCCTTCAGGTAAACAGCTTGCCGCGGTCTGCGAAGACACGACCGTCCTGGTCTGGAAGATGGAGGAGAACAGGTCAAGGTTCTTGCATGACACCACAGTAACGACGACATACGAAGGTTCCACAGGTTTTTGTTATATTAGGTTCTCCAACGATGGCAAGCTCCTCGGCATCGTGACACCTTCATTCATTGCCCTCCAAGACGCCGAAACAGGCGAGCTGATCATGCATGTGATCGAGATGAGCCCGGGCTCCGATCTTTTGAATATGCTGTCATTCGCTTCAAACGACCAGAGTATCTTGTTTGCTTATCGTTTTGGTGCCCTTCCAGTTGCTAGCCAGAATGTCGTCTATTCAGGCACTGCGGTATATTCGTTTGACTTCGCAACAAGGCAACAAGAACGCATCAACCTCTCGTCCGAATCGTCTCATGATCTCTATCCTCTTGTCGGCTCCTACGATGGTACCATGATCGTCGGAAATGCACCTCACGGATCGCAGATTTGGCGAGTCGACGACGGCAAGATCTTGCATAGTTCACTCAGGGGGCATCTCTGGCGAACAGGCATTCTCTGCTTCTCGCGCGATGGCGGGTGGCTCATTGATGTGTCCAAGGCAAACGCTGTTTGTGTCTGGGACACCTCCACAGGAAACATGGTTGTAGGTCCCTTGAAGCAGTCGCTGAACTTGGGAGTTGAGGAAGCGCGTATCACTGCAGCCACATGTTCTCCGCTCAAAGATCGCATAGCGTGCGCCGACGTGTCGGGGAATGTTTATGTATGGGACGTTGGTACTGAGCAGATTGTACTGTCCTCGGTATGTTGATCTAGTAGCCATCATGCCATTTGAATGAGCTAATCAACGTATCTCCGAATAGCTCCCAGATAGAAAACGGGTCCATCCGTTAGTCGCGCCAGGTCGCTTTGAGGTGGACAGTGTGCAGTGGCTCCCCGACGGGCGTCACTTCATCAGTAGCAGCATGTGCGACGACTATATCCGCACATGGGACGCCGAAACCGGGGAGCAAGTCCGCGAATACTTGTTTGGCGGTGGTTCATGCATTGCTCTATCTCCCGATGGGACGTTGCTGGCGGCCGGCTCTGCATATTACTTCGGATCCGTCAAGTTCTTCGACACTAAGACGGGCAATGAGCACGCGTATACACTCGATATCCCTGGTCGAGCGTGTCGCAAAGTCAAGTTCTCGCCCAGCGGTTCAACACTCGCCGTTGTACTTGACGATGCCTCCGAAAGGAACCTTTATTTTGCTTACAACGTTCTCGGCGATCGCAAAACGACATCTGTCGACCACCCATCAACCGTCCTAGATGTTGCATTCTCGCCTGATGGAGAACAATTTGCGTACTTCACCGCAAGCCATGGCATCCTCGTCTGCAATACTTCGACATTAGATGTGGTCTCAAAGATTTCCTCTGCAGCGCCTCATGAATTTGACCCGGTTTACTCTATTTCGTTCTCACCCGATGGTCGAAGCCTTCTTCTCTGCTCACGGGGAACGTTGGTGATAGACCTGGATACGTCTCAGACACTTTACCACCTTGACACGGATCACACCGGCGTACTAGGGGCATTCTCGCCTGACGGGCGGATGTTGTTGTATTCGATGCACGGCAATTCCATTCAATTGGTCGACGCCGTAACAGGCGGTCCTGTATGGCGATTCGAAGTTTCAAGTCTCGCATGCCTTTCTTTCTCACCAGGAGGAGAAAGAACAGCTGTCGGGTTTGGGAATGGTGACATCGAGCTCTATGAAGCAGCGACGGGTCGTCTGCTCCTCCCAAAAGTGAGTATTTGCTTTCCATTGATTCTCTGCCACATCTTAATTGCTCACATCGTCTGCAGGGAGACAGGTCCTCATCGGCAGCAAGCCACTTGGATGATGAGATCGACATCGCTAGGGTAAGCCAAAACTACGTTACACGCAATCTATCCTCTCACTTCTATGTTTTCGTGCAGGATCGGCATGACGCTAGGCCAGGACCATCGCGGCGAGGAATCAGCCTTGCCGACGCGGATGACGATTCAATCATGAACGTACGTTCTCTGTCCTTGAGTCTCACCACATGACAGCTGATCAGCGACTTCCCAGATGGCTGCAGTTGTTAGGAGGTCTGCACCTAGAGGTTCTCAAACGCGCCAAAGGGATCCGCTTGCTCAAAGAAGGAACAACGTAGGTAAGGATGGGTCGGATGAGGAACCCCATCGCGGATTACTGGCTCGCCTTACATCGCGTCGCAAGCCTAACCCATTCGCTTCGAATGAGCCTAGAGATGGGCATCGCCGCATGAGACGCATGTTTGAACTCGTTAGCGTTGGGCGAGCTAATTTGGTGAGAAAATACCTTATCCTCACTTCGCGTCGCTAACGGTATATGTTTTGCTTAGCGTGTGATGGCCGCCGGGCCGAACCAGCAAACCCATCGCAGGGACAGGCGTCGGGAAGAGGAGTCTGATGAAAGCTCAAGCAGCCCTTCACCTCCCGCGTCAATTCCGCAGCGCGTTGCATCTCCGGAAGTAGGGTTTGATGAGCAGAGGAGGAGCGGGACACCGAGCAGCGATGGCCTCAAAGACATGTTATGCTACTGTTTGTGTATACCCCGTTGTCACAGAGACTAGCTGTCGCTTTTTCCGGCGCATTTATCACGTACTTCAAAGATTATGGGGGGCACCACTTAATTTTCACCGAGCAAAGTGAAGAAATAGAACACCAACGGAATCATCGTCCCACCGAAACTTCTACAACCTAAGATTGCGACTGAAGAAACCCGGTTTCGAGATTGCCACCTCTAGCTCCTCCCAGCACTGCACCGTAATCCTTCTATGAGTCGTGTCCTGCTCGACCTTGTCACACCAGTGCGCATTCTCGTCTTTTCATCGTTGACAAGGGCCGGTCCGACTGGAGGAACTCGGCACTCGGTCGCCAATGATGACCATGGTCACTGGACAATGCTACTAGTAGAAGGTTTGAAAGCAAAGGAAACTAAGGGTAGAGACATACAGGAAAGCAGAAAGGGTAAGAATGGTTTCCCGTGGCAACGTGGGACCTGGGATGTAGTATGTGGATATTCTTTGCGAGTGCCGAAGTTGTATCCGTGAGTTTGGATAGAGGTACGTAAGGTCGCGTTTGTAGTGGTTCACTTCGGCTCGACCCGGAACACTCCCCGACCATGCCCCGACCAGAGTGCTGCGAACCAGCCCTTAGGTTCCAAGATTTCCTTGATCTCAACTCAAGTTTATTTTTCAGAACAATAAGCATGAATCAAAAACAATGCAGCAGGGAACTGATCCTGACCAAGTTCGGAGCCGACTTTCCCCGAGGATGAAGTTTGGCGTGAAACTGGACCCACAAACGCGCATTTCCAGACAGCGCGCGTCTGTCGTCGATGCCATGCACCACCACCATCACCTCCGCCCTGGTCATTAGCTCGGTCTGCCTAGAGTCTTCACTGGCACAATCAATCCATTCACTCCATGTCGTCAGGCGCGCACTCCCTCCCTGATTCAGATGGCCCGCCCCGGCCTTTCGCTGGACATACAAACAAAATCACGGCCATCGAGTACTCTCCTGACGGTCAGCTTATCGCAACTGCATCGGAGGATGCAACTGTGCGTCTTTGGTATTCCCGGACAGGCCAGCTACTCCAGAAGATCGAGACCCATCTGCCAGCGCATTCCCTTACCTTCTCTCCCTCAGGAAGTCAGCTTGCCACAATCTGTGCGAATGGGGCGGCGGCTGACCCACCCGTCGCAAATGTACTGGTTTGGAAGATGAAGGAGGGTGGGGAAGGGGTACTGGAGGCAACAGTGATGAATACAGAATACGAAAGCGATTGGTGGACACCGCATTTAGTCAGGTTCTCGACCGACGGCAAGCTCCTCGCTGTAGTGACATCTACGGTCATTGCTCTGCAAGACGCAGAAACCGGACAGCTGGCGCTTGTTGTGCACAGGAGCGAGCCATCGTTTACTCTCATTCCTCTGTTAGCATTCACTTCCAATAACCAAAGGATCCTTTTTGCCGGCCACGACCAAGCGACCGCCGTTCCCACCGTCAATTATTACCCACCCACCAACATAGTGTATTCCTTTGACTTGGCGACAAGGCACCGAACATGCATCAACCTCTCAACTGACCTATCTGATCATCTCGCGTTGCTTGTTGGCTCTTACGACGGGGCCATGATTGCTGGATATGCAACCCAGGGATCACAGCTCTGGGAGGCGTACGGCGGCAAGGTCTTGCAAGGTCCACTCAGGGGGCATCTATGGGGAACAAGCTTCCTCTGCTTCTCGCGCGATGGCAGATGGCTTATTGACGTCTCCAGAGCAAATACTGTTTCCATCTGGGACACCTCCACGGGAAACATGGTCCTAGGTCCCTTGAGGCAGCCGCCGAACTTGGGAATCAAGACTACACATCGTATCACTTCAGCCACATGTTCTCCGCTAAAAGATCGTGTAGCGTGCGCAGATGACGCTGGACACATCCATGTATGGGATGTTGATACCGAACAGGTTTTACTGTCTTCAGTATGTGTATCTCTTGTATCATGTATATTCAGGCAAGTTGACCGAGATCTATCCCCCCACAGCTTCCAGACAAGACACAGACCCAACCGCTAACCGCCCCAGGACGCGTTGCGGTAGATAGCGTGCACTGGTTTCCGGACGGGCGCCACTTCATTAGTAGCAGTATGCGTGATGACTACATCCGCACCTGGGACGCTGAAACGGGAGAGCAAGTCCGCGAGTACTTCTTCCGCGGAGGCTCGTGCATTGCTCTGTCCCCCGATGGCACATTGCTAGCAGCTGGCTCCGCATGCTACTTTGGATCCATCATGTTCTTCGACACTAAGACGGGTGTCGAGCATCCACATTCTCTCGATGGTCCTCGTCGAGCATGTCGCAAAGTGAAGTTCTCTCCCAGTGGTTCAATGCTCGCCGTGTTGCTCGACGACACACGTGATTCGAACCTCTGTTTCGTTATCAATGTTCTCGGTGATCGCAAGACGACCTTTGTGCAGCACCCATCCAAAGTCCTAGATGTTACATTTTCACCCGACGGAGATCAATTTGCGTCAATCACCACAGATGATGGCATCCTCGTCTGCAGTACTTCGTCATTGGATGTGATTTCAAAGATTTCTTACACAGCGTTCGACGGGTATGAAGCTATTCACTCTATTTCCTTTTCACCTAATGGTCGACGGCTTCTCGTCGGCTCGAGGGGACTCTTGATGCTGGACCTGGACACGTGTGAGACACTTCTTCATCTTTGGAAGAACCACCTGTATGTCGGGGGGGTGTTCTCGCCTGATGGGCGGACCTTGTTGTGCTCAGTGGATACTTTTCCCCTCAAAATGCTGAATGTGGTAACCGGCATTCCGATATGGCAGGAAAAGGATCTGATGAATCACACGTGCTATGCATTTTCTCCCGGAGGAGAAAGAGTTGTTGTTGGTTCTCAGCAAGGCGACCTCAGAATTTATGAGGCGTCGACTGGTCGTATTCTCCTCCCGAAAGTAAGTGTCTGAGTCTGCTTCCCTTTAATTCCCGGCTATATCCCGATTAATTATGTCTTCTCTAGCTAGATAGTTCATCGCACGAACACTGTTCAGGTGATGAGACCATCAACGTCGCTGGGGTAAGTCAACTCTGCTTGATACATGCGTTGTCTCAATCATGATTCCGTACAGGATCAGCATGGCCCTAGGCCGAGACCGTCGCGGCGAGGGATTAGTCTGGCCGACGCAGACGACGATTCAATCTTGAACGTACGTTCTCCGCCCTTGGGTTTCGCCATGCCAGCTGATCAGCAACACAGATGACTGTAGTTGCGAGGAGACCTGGACCCGGAGCCTCTGAAACGCGCCAAAAGGGCTCCTTTACTCAGAGGAAGAACAGTGGAAGCGAGGACAGTGCCAATGTGGAGGCCCGCCGCGGATTCCTAGCTCGCCTCGCATCTCGGCGCAAATCCGACCCATTGGCTTCGGATGGGCCTAGAGATGGTCATCGCCGCATGGGACGTATGCTTGAGCTCGTTAGCGTCGGGAGGGCTAATCTGGTGAGAGAAAATCCTCTCCTCACGTCATGTCTCTAATGGTGTTTCTCTTCCTCAGAGGGTAATGGCCGCCGGATCGAGGGAGCAAGGCCATCGCAGGGGCAGAAATCAGGAGGAACAGTCCGATGAAAACTCTAGCAGCCCGTCGCCTCCTGCATCAACCCAACATCGAGTTGAATCACCAGACGTAGGTTTTGATGATCAAAGGAGCAGGACGCCGAGCAGTGATGGGCTCAAGGATATGATTTGCTACTGCTTATGTATACCGCGTTGTCACTAAGGTGGAGACAAAGCTTGCTTTGCCACACATAGGTCCATCGATTAGTATTATTGCCCAATGAAAGCATGATGTCAATATCCCACGAGCCTGCTCAAAGTCGACTCAAAGTCGATTATCAGGAAGGTTTGATTTCTGCTAGTGACGTTGGATCATTCGTGAAGTATACGAAGGGGTATCATAAGAACTACACCTTGAAAATAATGCTACAGCCCAAAGATTCGACTGAAGAAACCCGACTTCGCGGCCCCCACCTCCTTCTCATCCACATACCGCAGCTTGATGCTGCCATGAACCGTATCCGCCTCGACTTCATCACCCTCCCACTCCCCCTGAAATGACGCAAAGTCACCAATAAACCACATGCTGACGCCGTCCACGGCACTGAGCGCGGTGCTCTCCGCAGCGAGCTCGTCGGAGAGCTTGATGGAACTGTACTGTTTCTTGAGTTTCAGGAAGCCATGAAATGAGCGCGGAATATTAATCGTGAGTGACCCAGTGGAGGAGTGTGCCTTCAGGTGAAAGGGTGGGACACTGCCGCTGGTTCGCTGAACAAGACGGAGCATTAGAAAGGCAGCTGGAGTATTCGATGGCAGTGGAATAATGAGACGTACCAGCCGAATGTTCACGGAGCCATATTCAGACGAGGCTTCCAGTGTTGCACGGTTCCGCGTGATGTCGTCTGGAGCAGCACTGCCCTGTAGCGACACGAGTAAGATGTCCACGTTGATGCTACCGTTCCCCGTCCGCAGCCGCAAATTCTTGCGGTCCAGCTCCGTCTCGTCATCCTCAAGTTTGGGCAAAACAGAGGAAGGAATGGACATGGACGGGTCAATGGCATACGAGCCTTTGAGACTATTGTACTGTTCCGAAATGTAGAGATAGTTGGTTGTCCGTGGATGCCGTGTTAGGGGTTGTTGAGATGAGGAAGCAACTTGGCTGTAAGCTGGCGGGAGCTGCGGCGATGATGAGTCTTCAATAAGAACAATGAAGAGGAAACATACGTCGCTCAGGGTGCCATCTTCAGTGCGTGCTGTTGCCTTTCCATCGTTGACAGGGGTTAACTTGGAGGGATCCAGAGCTTGTTCGCCGGCGATAATCATGGTCCTGGGACGAGTGAAACGAGCAACCTGAGGGCTACAAGATACAAATGGTGGTCAAGAGATGTCAATCATGAAGCTTCATGGGCGCATACGCATCCTGTGCTGCGTTCTGCGGCGCAGTCGTGGTCTGCTTGCTGTATTGGCTGGCTTCGGCCCGTCTCGGCACGCTCCCCCGCTCCACGTGGTCATGACAACCGGATGCCGGTTTTTGCCGAGCTTGAAGATGTAAGGTCCTCGAACAACGGCAAACTGCTCCGAGTTGCCGTGATGACACCAAAATACCTTATGAAAAAGCAATGTAGGAGGCCTTGAGCGGTGCCGCAAGGCTAAGTAATCGTCATTGACTTCGTTCTCTCAAGTTTTCTTGAGCCAATGCTTTTTACGTGTGCTTAGTGTATAAAACTTCTTATTACGCTTTTTGCAGCTTCCGTCAAGCTTCCGAATTGCATACGATGACTTAGTGGGAGGTGCTTCGCTTCTTGGTGGGTGAGAAATCTCGTATTGACTTAACAGTCCTTACGGTGGGAGGTAAATCGATAGCGGCGCTTATATTAGGCGAATTTTGCTTGTCATGCAAACGTTGACCGACTTCAACAGCAGAGCTTCGGGTTCATATATGTGTGACGTCCAGGTAAGTAGTTGGAGATGATATGAGAGTAAAATGGAAGGACATAAATTATCATGAGCTACACAGCTATTTATTAGACTTTAAGATACTGAGGATCTCAGAGAACGGTTCGGAAGGGCCGTCTTCCTCCCCCACCAGGTAAATCGCCTATCAAGACGTCTTCTTGACCTCAAGCGCCGGATCCAAGCTGGCGTCCGGTTGACGATACGACCCGCCCGCACGATCCGCGAACGTGAAATACTGCCCGTAGTTGACGGTGAAGTAGAGGTGGTGTAGTGTGTGGTGTGCAGGCCCGTTGATCACCTTCTCTAGCAGATGGCCAGTGATCATATCTGAGTCGTGGATCTTTTAACGGCGGTGAGCATTGAAAAGAAAAAGGCCTGTTGGCAACTGAAATGGACTTACTAGTATCGTCCAGAAGTTGACGGCAACGAAGAGGCCGAGGTAGAGGAAGCGGTGGAGGGGGAAGATGAATATGAAGAGATGGTACGGCACGGATTGGAGGAATCCGTCTACAGGGTGGAATGCATACGAGGCGAATGGAGTGGGGACTGAAAGAAATTTAACAAAACATCAGCTCAGCAGATCGTCAACAAGGAACATCGCGTGACTGACTAATCCACTTGTGGTGTGGCTTGTGGATTGCCTTGTATATACTCGGATGATGCAAAAGGCGATGTATCCAGTAGATGCCGTAGTCGGTGAAGACAAGGAACCTGCCAATCAAATCAGCATTTTTCGTTTTCCTGAGACCATCCGAGTCGCACACTTACATCGGCACCGAACACACCAAATACATCCACCCGTACTCCCCAACGTCCTCATAAAGCCTCGAGTATCCCATCACCTCTGCCTGGAACAGCGGTACCGTGAGGAGGATCATGCCCGGGAACGCGCGCACGCTCGTTTCAATCTCGAGCTTCACCTGATGCGGCAGGAAACGTGGATGCCGCATCATCTTGTGGTCGAAGACGATGTAGTAAGAGAGCGTGGCGATCACGAAATACAGCATATGAATCCCAACGAAGCTGAGCACGGATAAAGAAATGAGTTGTCGAGGGACGAAGTCACGAGCCCAGGCAGATGCGAAGGGAAGGGATGGAGAGGTCACATTAGAAATTATGGGACTGTGGGCGGCGGTAGGCAAAAGGCGCGCCCAGACGCTGTCAAGGACGTATGTGTCAGCGAGGTCAAGGACGACGTCCATGGCTCGCGGTTAGCTTGCTAGCTTGGAAAGGGGTGAGCACAAAACATAAGTAACGCGGGTCCATTTAACTAGAGGAATATCAGACCACTTTTGCTGGACGCAGCGGACACGAGGTGGGACCGTGGAGACACAGTCGACTTCCCACCTTGTCCTGCAGGGCTATTGGCCCGGTAACTGGAGAGTCGTATGATTTTCAGGGCAGTTTGTCGTACCACTATCTGCGAATTTCAAACTCAGATTGAGCCTACTGGACAGTCCCTGTCGGCCGCACGTTCCGCTTCGTGTTTGAAAACAAAGACCATTACTTTGATCAAAGTTATGCAGAGAAATCATGGGTATGCGTCACTACAGAAAAATACGCGGGTATTGCAGATACAGCACAATTTCTTGGCGCCTTGTTCTAATCGTCATCATCAGCATGTGTAACAAAACAGCCAATCGAAAGACTATACCTCATCGTCGCGATGCCGACTCAACCAATGCCACGACCCTCCCCCTGTCCTTTTCCCAGTCGTCCCAGCAGATAGCCAACACCACCGTGTTTCTACCGGGGCGTCCTTCCTTCGGATCTCCCGTTCGCGGAGGGTATGACGACGTTCCATTGACTAGCTCCTCGGTTTCATGGTGCACGCGGTCCCACCGAAACACCGCTTCTTTCACGAATCCCAAGCTCTCGGCGAGTCGGACGCTCTTGCTGTTCTCGATATATGCCTGCCACTGCACCCGGCGCAAGCCAAGACCGCCATCAGAAGGTAGGTCAAGGGCGTACCGGAGCATCATGCCGGCAGCCTGAGTTGCGATGCCTTTACGCTGGAAGGCTGGGAACACCGTGACGAAACCGATTTCGGCTTTGAGGTGCTGTGCGGAAGCGCCGATCCAACCCATGGTGCCTGCGAACGGGTAGTCGTCACCCTTTCCCGTAGCATCGGCGTTAGTGTTGGCACTGCTTTTGTCTAAGACAGCGTAGAGTGCCATGGAGGGATCGGGTGCGATACGGGTGAACAGAAGGTGGTCGAGTTCAGCTTTGGAGGGACCATAGGGAAGGTGGTGGAACGCCTCTGGATGTGCAGTCGATAACGCATAGAAGAGCTGCTGGTGCAATGTTGGCTATGAAAGCGCGGAAGGTCAGATTGGAACTGCGATAATCAACATCCAACAGCTTACGACGAATGGTGTGAGCTTGATGCGATCGTTTTCAAGAACAGGAAGAGGAAGGCAGAAGGTAGCGTTTATGTCCGCCATGTTGATACAGTATGGACTTTGGGCAGTAGCAACACCAAGTTCTGAGTTGGGTGAGATCAAGGCTCGGTTGGTATCTGCTATCTGTAAGGTCAGCGAGACCACTTTCGGAATGGGGCTCGTTTCATCCGAATTCGCGAAGCTGACTCATTCTCGCCGCCAAGCACGCGGTGAGGCAGCTAATGTTAGGCCATGGCCGGCCCACACATGCACATGGAATAATGGCGACCTTTGAAGAAGGTGGCTTTTGATGAAAAGCAAAGGAGCAAAAACATGGATGGATTTGAACAGAGACAACAGTTGCCCCAAGCTGGCGTTCAACTTCAAGGGACGACTCCAAGTTTTGTGTCAACAGCAGTGACATGCGCCGGCCCTAAATATCCTAAACAAGTAAAAGCCCCTATGTTGACCTTCTCTAACTACCAGCATGACTGAACGCGCAAGCAGCGCCATTGTTGAGAGTCTACTATTATTCTTCAAAATTCTTCAACCTTCCGGAAAATTAGCGAGCAGGGACCTTCATCAGGTGCAAATTAGGCTGAGTCTGAGAACAAAATCAAAACTTGGGTGATGCAGAACTTACAGGTGACTTTCATTACAGGTCTGTTGTATGGCAGCTCCTCCAAACCCCGAGCCCCCGCTCATCATGAAGAATCAATACTGGAAACGTATCCGCTCTTCGGTGTCTTATCGTCTAGATGCCTCGAAGCTGTTTTATACATGACTCATCCGCCATATCACCCTCGCATGTATTGATTTGTCAAATTTATGAGCCCGCTTGAAGGCTCTTGACTTTGCTCTGACTCACGTTTCATATATAATAGTAAAGTCGTTCTGCTCTCCACCCGTGCTGTCGATTCTTGAACTGTTATGCTACTTCAAAGAGGGCTAAATGCCAACGATCCAAACAACACAAACATGCCCCCAGTCTATGCTGGAGCGATACTACACTGCACGGACTCGTGTCTCCCTCCTCAATTCATCGGCTTTTCGACCTGTGCCAGTCCCAAAATTCTCTCCCTCTCCTTCTCCCAATCGTCCCAGCAAAGACCTAGCACAACCGCATGCCTACCCGCGTTCTCCTCCCTCGGGTCTCCCTTCCTCGGTTGCAGTGTTGTATCTTCGACGTTATCAATCACAGGATGCACCCTGTCCCACCGCATCACGCCTTCCTGCACAAAGCCCATACGCTCCGCCAGCCGCAGACTCGCCTCGTTCTGCACGTACGCCTGCCAAATCACCCGCCTTAATCCCCAGCCGTTGGTAGGGGAAGACGGGAGATCGAGAGCCTGGCGCAGGAGAAGACCTACGGACTGAACGGCGATGCGTTTGCGCTGAAAGGCGGGGAAGATGATGAGGAAGCCGATCTCGGCTTTGAGGTGAGCCGTCGAGGCACCGATCCAGCCGATCACCCCTGCAAGTGCATATCCAGAGGCATTTCCGTCTCCAACGGTCGCAGCACTGGATGTTGTCTTGTCCAAGACAGCGTAAAGTGCGAGGGAAGGATCAGGTCCGATGCGTTGGTGAAGCATATCGTCGATGTCTTCAGGGGCTGTACTGATCGGTAGATGGGTGAATATTTCAGGGTGTGCGGCGCATGATGTGGCGAATGCGTTTTGATAGACGGAAGGCTGTGGCACAGCGATAATACAACGAGAGATTAGACGGTACGAGTCTCCACATAAAAAAGAAATGCTTACGACAAAGGGTGTGAGTTTTGACGTTGTCGTTCTCCAGATCGCAGAGCGGAAAGACAAAGTTCGCGTTGATGTCGTACATCACGAGGTCGCTGAAGTCGAAGAAACACAGGAAGAGATCCTAAGGTGGGCTCGTATTTGAGGTATTATTCACTTTACACGAATCGACGAGCGCGGGAAAAGCTTGAAAGAGAAAGAGCAGCAAAGAAACTAGTACAAGGACCGCGAATAAACAACAAAAACCCACAGCGGCGCAGCACCAGGCAGGGTCGCCATCAGAGACCGCAGTTTCCGTAGTCCCCTTCTCCGTAAATTCAGGAAAGCCACGCCTTCCAACAGGATCACATGGCGTATCTGGGCATGGTGACCACGTCCATCAACCGCAGTCCGCAGGCTTCAGCACTTATAATCAGCTGCAACGCAGACTGCACAGTAGCCGCACAGTTCACCTGCCAGCGAACCATCTAGAACCTCACCGATACCTAGTCAGAGTCGAGTCAGTATGAGCCCCAGGCTTGAAGGCCCAGATACCAGCGCACCGATGCTCCCGCCTAGGCCGCAGGTAATGTCACTTGAGGTATGTGTTTTACCCCACTTGCATGATGCCCAACGAGCCAAACCAACTCTTTGCAGGCGCAGCCGCCCGTGTACAACCCCTTCGCCGACCCCAACGACCCCTCCAACGGCGACGACGGCTCCGACGGAACCAACGACCCGACCAATCCGCTCCCGCCCGCACTCGCGAAGCGCTACCCGCGCCCGACCAACTACCTCTACATCTCCGGCGGGGACCACGCCATCCGGGGCGCATACGCCATCGACCCGGCGATGCGCATCCCACCGGCAGTTCTTCCTCCTCTTGAGGACGGCGAGGAGGAAGGCTCGAGGAAAAATCTCAAGATGACGACGCGCAATGGGAGCATTAGCGCTGACATTTTGCTTATCGGTCCCAAGAGCGAGAACGACGGGTTCATTAGGCCGGGGAGAGGCGACGTGAAGAAGCGTGGTAGGGCACAGCTCGAGATGACATCTGAGGGGGGAAGTATCACCGTCAGCATGGTAGGAACTAGTCTTTTTTTCTCATACCAAGAGCCCTGGCTGATGTTGAGTCTGCGCAGCGCAAGATGGACACCGCCCCTTCTTTCAAGCTCAAGCTAACCTCTGGCAAGGGTAGCATTCACACAAACATCCCACGCACGTTCCACGGCCTGCTGCACCTGGCTTCGGGCTGCGGCAGCGTGTCTATCGCCGACGAGCTGCGCAGGAACAGCACGCCCCTCAGCCAGGTTGGCGACACACAGCTTTGGTTCGTCGGAGACTTTTCAGTCTTCACGGACGACGAGTGGCACGGGGACGAGGTCGAGGTCAATGCAGCGCATGCCAGTATCAGGGTGAGGTACGTGACGGATAGGGACGGTGTTGGGAGATGCTGGTTGGCGGACAAGCTGTTCAGCGGGTGCTGCTCTTGATGGAGCGTTGTAGACGTTTTGAGTTTCTGTGTCGTTGTAAGATTAAACCCATATCACTGTGCATTGTTCTTCTACGTGGTCGCCGTATGTCCTTGAGAAAAAATCAGGAAGTGAGATATTAAATGCAGGATACTGTACAACATCTGAAGCAGACAACGCTATCATTATGAGATCTTTGTTCTACAAACACACGACTTTCGACCGTTAGACAAAATGGCAACACAACTTGAGACGATTGATCACCTTCACCCCTGCTTATCCTGCTTTTCGCTCTTCGTCCGCCCAAATATGCGCTCGAAGAACCCTTCCTTCTTCTCGCCCACCTTCTCCTTTTCTTTTTCTTTACCCTTGTCCTTCATCTTCTCGCCTTCAAATTCGATCCAGATCCTAGCGTGTTTGCCGAGGAGAGTGACTTCATCGCCCGCCCAATCCTCCTTCTCTTGAGTGTCGTCATCATCACCTTTGAGTCTCGCGTCTCCAGATCCTCCTTTGCGCGACTGCGACCCAGACGTCATCTTGAAATCGGGGTTGCGCCGCTCTCGAGACCTCTCCCGAGAGCGAGAGCGCGAGTTATTATCTCTGTGAGAACGAGAGTTCGACCTGGACCGCGAGCGGTCATCCCACTTTCCCCTGCCTCGCCCCCGTCCTCGTCCCCCAAAACCAGGTCCGCCTCTACGTCCGCCTCTGTCGGCAAATCTGCCTGTACCCCGGCCTCTGTGCCAACCTCTACCACTTCCCCGGCCTGCTCCTCGACCGAAACTTGTACGTTCGTCTTGTTCTTTGCGCCCACGAGCTTCGCCGGTGACAGTGTGAGAGTCATCTTCGTCTAGGTGTTCCGTGCCGGCGTCTTCACCCATATCATTGTTGTCATGGTCGCCAGTCTCTCCAGCCATAAGCTCGGTCACCTGCTCGGCCCCCTCCACTGTTGTTGGCTCTTGCTCCTGCGCCTCAACGAGAGCTGCGACATCCCCGACAAACCACCTTCCCTGGCCGTGCACCTGACCGAGTGACGTGCACGCCGCCCAAAGTTCATCCGACATCCGGAACTTGCTGTGCGTGCCCGCCTCAACGCGCAGCAGCCCCTCGAAAGTGCGCGGGATCGCAACAGACATGTTGCCGTGCCTACACTGCACCGAGAGATGGAGAGGTGGGAGACGGCCTATCGTGCGCTACATTGGGTTTCAATAGAGCACCGTTAGAAAGACACAGCATAGAGGAGAGGGGACCAAAAAATGAAGCAGAGGGAACGTACCAGCACAAGCTCAATATTCCCATGACTCGTGTCCACCTCCATGTCCACCTTCTTGCGCCCCTCAGCGAGGCTCACATCGAGCTCTCCCTGAACCTCACGCCCGACAACAGTGACATCTGTCTTGACGTGCCCATGCCCTACAGTCCACTTGAGATGCTTTCGCGAGCTTTCGGGTTCACCAGCCGGCAGCGCAGGGAGCAACGCTAGAGGAAGCGCGAGGAATGGGTCTATCGCATACGAGCCTTTGATGGACTTGTGTGATTCGGATAGGTAAAAGTAGTTCGTCGGTTTGAATAGCTGACGCGCAGAGCTCGCTTGCCGAGTCAATTGGCTTGGAGTAGTGGGTGTGGATGGTGAAGGAAGAGAGTCGGATGGAGTGGGAGGCAAGTCGCGGTTGCGTAAGCTATCGCTGGCCGCGCTGGCGTACGAAGGAGGAGGCTACCGGTTCGATTTGAGGTAAATGTTATGAACGCATATATGAGTACATATAGACTCACGTCGAACTCATGCTGGTTATGAAGCCCTGCAACCTGTTCAGCTTTCGAGACGCTGCGAGTGTTGTCTTTATTCGTAATGACAACCATGGCGGTCAGGATGGTTTAACACAAGGAGACAAAGGGCTGTCATGGATGGATATGCGCCTATCAAGGGCCACCGGCGCCTGTCCGTGTCAGATGTCGCGGTAAAAGTCATGCTCAGATCAACTGCGGCTGCGGCGTCGTGACTGCGCGCTGACGAACACACTCGGCATCCCAGCTTAAGCTTATCAGATACACCGTCCAATGTCTCGGTCCATCCCACATGCCCTAGTCCCTGCCGTATCGAAGATTCACTCAGAGATCTCTTTTACAAGCTGGTCATGAGCGTTAAGCACATATATCATACTGCATGTATGCATCGATGGAATCGCGTGAAGTACATGGTCAAGCGAGTGATAATTTTGGTACCATAAACCATCCAACAAGTCCCACAAAGACCAATCAGAACGTCGTTGGCCGCTGAGCAACGAACTTCGACTTCGACTTGGTAACGCGGTGAGGGAGGGGGAACTTGAGGTTGGGCTGGAGGAGCTGCTTGATGTACGGCCTGCGGACGTCGTCGGCCTTCTGGATCTCAACGACGCGGATGATCTATACGATAAGACTTGTGAAATCACACTCAAGTATGAACGCAAATGAGAGCGTACGTGAATCGACCGGAAACGGGCACGGTGCCGTGCAGCCATATCCTGGTAGAGGCTCTTGACGGCGTCGGCACGCGAGAGTTCACGGAACTCCTTGTACATGTTGTGCGTGCCGGAACGCGAGTCGTAGCGGAGCCAGATACCGAAGTTCTTCACCTTCTGCGGGCGCTTCTCGTGAATCTACATCGCATTGCGAAGAAAAAAAGCAAGGGGACGCATTGCCCGTTAGCCTCCCATCCGCCTGCCACTTGAACGGCTGCAAGGGATCAAAATACACACAACGTTGACGCCGATGATTTCACCGGAGGCCTTCTTGACCTTCTTCAATTGCCTACGAGGCCATCAGTGCCGTTCTATAGGAAGATAAATAGAAAGATTGGGCGTACCTAAGGAAGTACCAGAAACGCGACTTGGCGACGACTTCGTTGGGAGCGAAGATGCGCATGCGGTAGATTTTGGGGGTCGGGTCGTTCTCCGTGGGGAGATGGCGACCGACGACTTGGAATTCCTGGAGGCCCATCTGCAAAGAAATTGCAGAACGTCAGCAATCCGTTCATCCACCGATGTCAACCCATCTATCCCCTGCCCGCCCTTGCCATGCATGCATCCAAACCCGACGCCAGCCATCCACGCAATCGGGCCCGTTCGAATGCTCGTGTGCATGTAGAGATGGTCCTGGGATATCAGGATGGTTCATGGCATAGGCTCACCTTGAATTTCGTGTGCTTGAAGGGGCGTTTGGCGTTGTCGACGACGATGACCACACAAACCCTCTAGGTTCTCGGTGGTGTATTTGCGTATATTTGGGGCTACTCCCGGAGCTTGAAACTGGCGTGCCTGCCACAGCCACAGCCACATCTCATTAGCCCCTGAGAAACCTTTGTTACTCGCACTCATCATGTCATTTGTCAACGCCTCCGCAGCCTACGCAGTGTTGACCATACAATGGCCGTTATTTTCTCCATCACAGATGATTATGATGCCGAGGCCGTTCCGCATGCTACCTTAAAGGTACTCTTCGGCACATCGAGAGCTACCGTGTTCCGCAGGGTCTGCAGGCTGCGCAGAGCTACGCACGTCCGACTCTGGCTAACGCCATAAATACAGGACCAGATCCTCAAGCGCCGCTTACTCTCTCTACCAGCTCAACATTTTCTCTAATAAACTCTTCTACAATGATAATTCTTGGTTCGAAGAGACAGCAGGATCAGGCCACGGCACCCGTCCAGCGAGCATTTGACGAGGTACGACAACGCTCAATCCACCGAGCCACACTTCCCTCACCGTTCCCTTCAGATGGACGCGCCTCCCGCATACACTTCTCTAGGTCGCGCTACCCCCATACCTGTGGCCATACCCACTCTCCCGCTGGACCAAACCAACCCATCTTCCTCCCATAACCCCTTCTACATGCCACCAGCAGGCGTCCGCCCAACAAACCACCTCTCCCTCGAGAAATCCGATGGACGGATCGAGGGCTCATTCTGCATCGACCCGTCCATCTCCCTCCCTGCGCACCTCCTTCCACCTCTTCGCGGAGACGAAACAGAAGGCACGCGCCCGAACCTCCGACTTCGAACCAAAGACGGGCGGATCGATGCGAGCGTGTATGTCCAGGGTTCGCCCATTCAAAACCCTGGCGAAGCGTTGAAGAGCTTTAAGTCGAGACGCATACGAGTAGACATGCACACCAAAGACGGTTCCATCTATGCTCGGCTTGTGCGTCATTCGATCTCTCGCTCATTTACTCGGTTCACCTATACTGACTCATTCGTCTTCAGATTCCCCTAGTTGCTCACATCCCGTTCACTCTCACTCTCTACACCGCCGACGGGCGAATCACCCTTCTCCTCCCGCGCAGCTTCCGCGGGCCGCTCGCGCTTACCATACGCGACGGCAAAGCTATCCTCTCTCCCGGTGTGCTGGCCAATGCGGTGCCACTCGGCCACCAGGACCGCACGTCACGATATTTTGTCGATGACGGCGATAATAACGGGAATGGAGACATCGCGGTATGGAGCGGTGTCAGCGGGGACGAGGGGTGGACAGGGGATGAGGTGCGCGCGGAGACTCGCGACGGGAGCGTGTATGTGCGATACTTGGACGAGGAGGAGGAGCAGCTGTCGGTATGGCAGTCGCTCGCACGGATGATTGGAGTCTGAGAAGTTTCAGGTGAATCATAGGGCGAAATCGTGCTAACTTTTGTTTTGATGTAGTCGCCAAGTAGTCGCTGTAGCATTTACTAATACCACTCCGGTCTGGAGGTGACGAACAGTGGAGTCGACGAAGATTTTACTATATTTATCGTCGTCATGCTGATCTATGAGTATGGTCGACTTCAAGATGTCTCGAACGATGTTTTGTACGAAGAAAATGAGGTATCCCCGGGAAGGTGAAGACCAGGCTGAGATGCGTCCAAGGATGCGTCTACTTCAACACAGGGGTTAATTAATCAGTTTAGGGCCGGTAGCGTCTATCTTGGTCCGTTGCCCTCCGACTTGGACGGATACTGAACTCGATGTGAAGTCATCCGACCGCTGGTTGGAAGCACCTCGGTCCTCCATGTGTATCTTCGGTCATATCCACTCTTGATTTCCTTACAGAAACGTCTTGAAAAGTTGTGCTACTTCATTTAGCCGAGCGTTAGCGAACTCGGCGCGTGCGTGGAAATGAGCATGAGTCACTGACGAATCCAGAATCCAAGAGCGATACCGTTGATCTCGCAGTTAGCGGGTATCAACCAACCTTGATCTCACCTAGCTCTCAAAGTCCCCAGTACTTGTCCAGGCTGTCTCCCGCAACAACATGACAGACTTAAACGCCAACTTCTGCCTCCCTCTTCCTGTCCTTGAGAACGATCGGGTCAGGTTGACACCGTTCGTTGTCAGTGCTCTATATCGTTTCGGTGCTTCAAAGCTGATGGTTTTCCATATCTTCGCAGCCATCATTACACCAACAATTCTTCTATGAGGCAGCGGCTGCACACCCGGAGGTGTTCCATTACCTACCCTATGGCCCCTCCAAAGCCGACCTCGACCACCTTCTGTACGGACGCATCGCTCCCGATCCCTCTCTGGCGATCTATGCAGTCTTAGACAAGACCAATGTCAGCACTGGCGTCGACACTACGGGAAAGGGTGGCGGGTACCCGTTCGTAGGCACCATCGGCTGGATCGGCGCCTCCGCACAGCACCTCAAGGGTGAGATCACGTTCGTCACGATCTTTCCCGCCTTCTAGCGCAAAGGTATCGCAACTCAGGCTGCCAGCATGATGCTCCGATACGCTCTCGACCTACCGTCTGCTGGTGGTCTTGGCTTGCGTCGTGTGCAGTGGCAGGCATATGTTGAGAACAGCAAAAGCGTACGTCTCTCCCAAAGCCTGGGCCTCGTGAAGGAGGGAGTGCTTCGATGGGACCGCGTACACCACGAGACGGATGAGCTAGTCAATGGAACGTCGGCATATCGCCCGCGAGCGGGGGATCCGAGGGAAGGTCAGCCGGGCAGGAACATGATGGTTTTGGCTATCTGTTGGGACGACTGGGAGAAGGAAAGGGGTCGAATCGTGGCATTGGTTGGATCGGCGTCACCACGATGAGGTAGAGTCTTTCTGATTTCTGCTAAACTTGCGCGTTCTGACAAAGATGACCAAAACTAGGCACTGAGAGAGAATAGCATCCAATATACCCGCGTTTCTCTGTGTATAAAATTTTCACTTATACGAAACCCCCGGTGGTCTAGCTGCCATCCCAACAATTTCCCTCATAAAAATCTGCGTGCCAGCGAGGCGCACTTACTCGCTGAAAGGTTAATCTATACGTTTGATCTGCATATCAATGAGAACGAAGGATATCTGGACCAAATTTATCACGTTGAATCCCCAGTCCTACGTTCCCTTCGCATTCTATGATAAACGAAGCATACACACATACACCGGTAATTCATCGCCAACTTCTCGCCTTCTCTCAAACCACTGTTAGATGCTCCTGAGGTAGATCTACATCATTGGGTAACTCTCTAAGGCCGCTTTTAACGCAAGTCTGTTCGTAATCTGCAGCGTTGTGAATTGGCCACCGAACGTTACAATATTAGGAAATGGTGGAAATATATGTTATCCCAAAGTGAGTACCTTGAGGCACTTGCGTTGGCCTTTACTAGTGCTTGATGAAGGGTCGTCTAGTCGCTTCGCTGAGACACCCACCCGCTACGTTGGGGAGAAGGGACTCAGACCAGGAGTTTGAAGGGGCGGAATGAGAGAATGATTAGGTTTTCTGAACAGTACTAGTGCAGTTGCGAGGATTTTCGAGGACTGTGTTTTGTTCTGTCGGACCTTTGTTTCCGCAATGTCTACGGCTTCATGCCGGTGGGCACGAGTTATGATAGAGGAATATCTAGTCAGACGATTAGACTCGGAGTGAAGGATTCTCCTTATAATATACTCGATAAAGTAGACCTGACGTAGTACCATCCGTCATGAGGCTATACCCGCCTCCCTTGGACATTAAAATGGAACATTGGCATATATACATATATTCATACATACATAAAAGTGCCTGTGGAACAACTCTATGGATGGTCTCAGCGGCCACCGTGTTTTCTCCACGCGGCCTCACCTTCCTTCACACGAGACATATAAGTTTGGGCCAGTCTCTTTGCCCAATGGGAACGTATGAATGAACCAGAGCTGTAGTGACGAAGTAGATTGTTACGAGCGTCGCCATGTTCAAAGTCATCTGAATCAATTATCTTATGCAAGAAATGGGACGTTTAAGCAGGAAGGTACAATCAGCGACGGGACCAATGTGATTAAGTTGGACGTCATTTACCCGGGACGAAATAGAGTCCCTCTCGGTTTAGTGACAACGTGGGATACACAAGCAGTAACACAGGATGTCCTTGATTCCATCACTACTCGGCGTGCGGCTCCTCTCCTCCTCGGTATTTGCTTCAGGCGATTCAATCCTGTGTTGAGTCGACGCGGGAGGTGACGGACTACTCGTGCTCTCATCATACTCTCCCTCCCGGCGTCTGTCCCTAAGATGATGACCATGTTCGCTCGGTCCGGCAGCCATCACGCGCTGGGAAAAGAAACACACTTAGAGATATGACGTGAGCATCATGATAAGGTATTCCCTTACCAGATTGGCCCGCCCCACGCTAACAAGCTCAAGCATACGTGACATGCGGCGATGGCCATCGTCGGCCTCATCCAAAGTCGGCGCGGTAAGCTTATGACGTGAAGTCAGCCGAGCAATGAATCCGCGGCGAGGCTCCTCCGAGTCGTTCATCCCCTCCTTTAATCTGCTGTTCTTCCTTTGAGTGAACATGCCATTTTGGCGTGCTTGAGAGTCTCCCGGATAGAATCTTCTGGTAGCTACAGGCATCTGTGTCGCTCATTGATTGGCATGCGGTGAGAATCAAGCGGTTGGAGATTAAACATACGTTCATGAGTGAGTCGTCATCTGCATCAGCCAGGCTAAACTCTCGCCGTGATGGTCCTTGTCTATGGCCACTATGATCCTGTTAAGAAGCGTGATTCAGATGATGATTTTAACATAGCAAATAATGTTCACTTACCCCAGCAGTTTCGATGGGCCCATTCGCTGAAGATGCTTCTTCCGATAAGGACCCGTCTCGCTGCAGAAAACGTGAGTAATTATGATGGAAACGAAAAAGGGAAGAAAAACACGTACTTTTGGTAGGAGATTGTGACCCGTCGTCGCTTCATAGATCACAATGTTACCATTCCAAAAGCCAGCAGCTATCCTTTCTCCTCCGGGTGAGAAAGCAAAGCATGTTGGGTCGAAAATCTTGATTTGCCGTACCAGATCGCCTGTTGCAACATCGACCATTTGAAATGGAGAACTATACAAATAGCATAACAAAGACTGCCCATCTGGCGAGAACACACCCTGTACATTATCGGAGTCTGCATGAAGACGGAGATGTGTCTCGTTCGTGTCTAGGTTCAGCACCAAGAGTCCTCTGGAGCCAACGAGGAGACGTCGACCATCAGGTGAGAATGAAACAGAACCAGTACGTTTAGACCATTCGGACGCTATGGGGGGAATCTTGGAGATAACGTCCATCGACGAAGTACTGCAGATAGGGATGTCGTCATCTGTAGTGGTGTATGAAAACTGCTCTCCGTTTGGTGAGAACGCAACATCCAGGACTTTGGATGTGTGCTGCACAAATACCGTCTTGCAATCACCGAGAACATTGAAAACGATACAAAGGTTCTTCTCGTACGCATCGTCAAGTACAATGGCGAGTGTTGAACCATTGGGCGAAAACAGCACTCTGCGACACGCCCGACTGGGGCCATCAAGAGAATGCACATGCTCATCACCCGTCTTAGTGTTGAAGAATATGACGGACCCAGAGTAGCAGGCAGAACCAGCTGCTAGCAACGTGCCATCGGGTGACAGAGCAATGCATGAGCCGCCACGGAAGAAGTACTCGCGGACTTGCTCTCCCGTTTCAGTGTCCCAGGTACGGATGTAGTCGTCGCACATGCTGCTACTGATGAAGTGACGTCCGTCGGGGAACCACTGCACGCTGTCTACTTCAAAGCGGCCTGGGGTAGTTAGCGATTGGACCTGCTTTCTGTCTGGGAGCTGTGCAAATCCCTCGGTCAGCCCGCTGAAACGAGCACGATTGACGGAGTCCACGTACCGAGGATAGTATAACCTGTTCAGTATCAATATCCCATACGTGAATATTTCCGGAGTCATCCGCGCATGCTATGCGATCTTTCAGCGGAGAACACGTGACTGTAGTGATACCATGCGCGGTCTTGACTCCCAAGTTCGGTGGGTGCCTCAAGGGACCTAGAACCAAGCTTCCAGTCGAAGTGTCCCAGACAAACACATTGTCTGCCTTTGATACACCAATGAGCCATTGGTCATCCTGCGAGAATCGGAAGGTTCGTGTTCCCCGAAGATGGCCCCTGAGAGGACCGTGCAAAACCTCGCCGCTATTGACATCCCAAATCTGCGCTCCATGAGGTGCATCCCCAGCAATCATGGTTCCGTCGTAGGAAATGGCCTTGAGCGAGAGGCTGTGAGACGGATCGAGTGAGAGGTTGATGGGTGTTTGCTGCCTTGTAGCCAAGTCAAACGAGTATACCGTTGGCGTGCCTGAATACATGGCATCCTCGCCAGTGACGGAGAGGCCACCGTAACGGTAAGCGAACAAGATGTGCTGATCGTTCGAAGTGAAGGCAAGCAGACCCGTGAGCTCATTGAGTTGGATCGCCTTGGTCACATCTATGACTAGCTGCCCTGTTTCTGCATCTTGGAGGGCAAGGAAGGAACACGTCATCACGGCGAGGAGCTTGCCATTGTTGGAGAATCTGACAGAATGCCCGTGTATGGAGTTCGGCCGGTCGTATGTCGTCTTTATCGTGCTATTCTGCACGACTCCCAACCTATCCTCCTTCACCTCCCAGACCAGGACCGTTACGGTCCTGGCGTTGACTACACATATCGTGGCGAGCTGTCTACCCGAGGGATGGAATGCAAGACCTTCCGCTCGGTAAGTCGTGTCGAGCTTCTGGAGCTCCTGACCTGTCAAAGGATCCCAGAGGCGCACAGTAGCATCCTTGGATGCAGTTGCGATGTGTCGGCCGTCAGGAGAGTACTCGATAGCAGTGATCTTTCCTGCATGGCCTGCGAAGGGGCGGGGTGCGTCGCCTGCATCGGGCGTCGAGTGTGCGTCTGGCAACATGCGGGGAATTGATTTTTCGTTCTGGTTGAAGGTCATGACAGACCAAACGGGCGACCAGTGTGTAGATGGCGGTAATGGTGGTGCATGGCGTCGACGACAGGCGCGCGCTGGTTGGAAATGCGGGTTTGTGGGTCCAACTTCGCGCCAAACAGGCTCGGGGAAAGTCGGCTCCGAGATTTCTCGAGCTTCGCTAATCGAGTTATTCTTGCCATTTGTCCTTAGATCTGCCGTTGATGGGACTCAAATTGAGACCTGCGACAGGAGCAAAGGCCAGCCAGAACTTGCAAAGTTCCAGGGCAATATTAATCCCAGAGCGTGGCTGGCGGCTGTGGCGGTGCTATCCGAAAGCAACCGGAGCCCCTATAACCTCGTAGCTTAATGTTTTGAATCTCGCCCTCCCATTCAACTCCCATTCACGTCTAATTCACGTCAGCGCAGAACAGAAGTGTCCCGAAGTTGAAGAAGATAAGATGGATATGAGGGGTGTGTTCTTTCTATCTATACCTTGTTCTGGGCTAACGAGCCATCTCCTTCGTTCCTCATACTTGCCGTCTTCCCTTCAAGTTCAAATCCATCGAACCAACACCCACGCTCATTACCAACGGAAACAAGCCGATACGTCGACGAATTTATCTCAGCCATACATAGCTTGGCAATCTCGCTCGCTTCTAGCCAATCACACACTCGTTACCCTCTGTCCCGTCCGGGGGCTCCGCGATGTTCAAAGGGCTTGACTATGGCTTGCGATGTGTACGTTGGAACCGCCTCCGTGGACGAGCTCAGGCGTTCCCGGTAGTGACGCAAGCGTCGCAGACGAGTAAAAGAGTAGTATATTCTTCTGGAAGGCGCCCAAGAGCAGCTGAGGAGGGCGAAGAGGGTTGTCTTTATGGTGCGTTTATCTTCTCGTTATATAGCGCCCCTTCCCATCGCCCTCATATCACTTTTCAGCTGCTATTTCATATGATTTCAACCCCACAGAAGCCTCCAATGCGTCACCCCCATCACCCTTTTTCTGTCGAGCCCTTGAGATGCACACACGGTTCTCCTAGTACGCTCTCGACATGCTCTGCCCTTTCCCAGGACGGGTCAGCGCGTCCCACATCCAACCCTTAAACTATTCCCCCAAAAATTGATGCTGTAGATCGACCTGCTTCCAGCTAGCCTTGCTAACGATGGCAAGAGGATGGTATCGCTGAAGATGATATTAGTAATGTTCGTTCCCGCTTCAAAATGGCTCTCTTTGAAAGCGCATACGCCTGCAGCTCCGGCCGTCCTACAGCCAAGCAGCGTTTCCATGTCGGCAGACCGTGACGCGTTCAAGCGACCAGATAACTTGACATCACGGAGTGGAACAACTCTCGGGTTTGTGTGCCCTCGCACCCCTCTTCGTCTGTCCCTCGGTCCATGTTGCTCAAGCTTGAGGAGATGAGGTAAGATATACCACGAAGACATAGGGTTATGGGCGGAGCGTGGCCGCGTCGGCGCGGGCGCCCTTACGCCGAGCTGTCGCACAGCAGCATACACAGTTAAGTTTCAAACGGACAAGCGTTGGGTACCGATGTTGGACCAAACGGGAGCAGGCGGTAACGCGCAGTACTGGCAACCTCGTCTGGATAGGGTCTAGCGAATAAAAGCGTGGTACGTTGCATTGCCGCCGGCGTTGACTGCATCGAACACCTCGTCTAATGCTGCTCTCTAGTTCAGTAGACGACAAAAGGGCACCGTCCCGATTCAAATCACACCTTCCCCACCGGCTCGTTGGCGCTCAAGACTCCGTAGTCACTTCATGGACACCTCTTACTCCAGCATTAGAGCACCGTCAACCTCTCTGACAACCTCGTTGCACAGAATGGCGCCCTGAGCGTCGTATACGGCGTTGGCTTGTGATTCGTAAGTGGTTTTTCTCCATTCCATCAAGAGTTGTGTTCTTATGAGGTTGAAACAGATACGACACCTAGAATGAAATATACGCGATATATTGACGAGTGGGAATGAGGTCGGAACAGCCAGCTATTCTTTGATTGAAATGATCGGGTTGTAGATTTTTAAGGGCTGGGGTGATCTTCTCTTTGTCTTATTGTTCTCGCTTTCACGGGATAAAGTACACCCTAACTGTTATCCTTTTTTTCTTGTGTGCAAAACCAAGTATATTTTCGCTATGAATATCAAATCTATATGATACCACATTCCGGGCGAGCTTTTTGGATGTAACTATCCTGCTTTCATTGACCAAAGGAGGCGATACCAATATATCCTCCCTGAGATGTACGCAATCAAACTGATATTTGTGATGAACACGACTTAGATGTTTCAGAACAAGCAACATCTAGTCCCGGTGACAACGCGGGATGCACAAGCAGTAGCACAGTACGTCTTTAAGTCCGTCGCTGCTCGGCGTGCAGCTCCTCTCCTCCCCGACATTTGCTTCAGGAGACTCAACTCGATGGTGGGCCGACGCGGGAGGCGACGGGCTGCTCGAGCTCTCATCAGACTCTTCCTGCCGAAGTCTACCCCTGAGATGACCTTGTTCGCTTGGTCCCGCAGCCATCACACGCTACATATAAGAAATAGCATGAGAGACGCAACGTGAGTATAATCTGTGTGCTCACCAGATTAGCACGACCGACGCTAACTAATTCAAACATTCGCGACATGCGATGACGGCCATCGCTAGGCTCATCCGAGAGTGGCCTATCAGAGTTGCGGCGAGATGTGAGCCGAGCAATGAGCCCGCGACGGGGTTCCCCATCTGGCCCGTCCTTCAAGCTGCCTCCGCTATTCTTCCTAGGAGTTTGACGCGCATGAGAGCCTCCTGGAGCGGATCTCCTGATGGCTGCAGGCATCTAATTTGCCGATCAATTGGCATGCATTGAGAATCAAGCAGCGAGAACGTACGTTCATGAGTGAATCGTTGTCTGCGTCAGCCAGGCTAAGTACACGCCGCGACGGTCCCGGTCTGTTAGGGCCACGGTGATCCTGGAGCATCATGATTGAGATAACGAGTGCGGCAAGCAGATCTAGACCTGACTTACCCCAGCCACGTTAACGGGATCGTCGCCTGGAGAGCCTGCTTCCGATAAGGACCTCTCCCGCTGCAGACAACATGAGCGACTTGCGCGTGGCAGAGAAACAAATCATATAGTATTGTTGCACTCACTTTCGGGAGGAGCATACGACCCGCCGTCGCTTCATAAAGCTCGATTTTACCATTCTGAAAACCAACCGCTATCTTTTCTCCTCCGGGTGAAAAAGCGCAGCATGCCGGAGTCGAGACATCGAATCGCCATATTGTATCAGCTGTTGCTGCATTGACCAACTGAATGTAACTAATCTTGGAACAGTGCAGTAAGGACTGCCCATCTGGCGAGAATAGACCCCAGTCACCTGAGAATATCGTTTCAAGATGGAGGAGTGTCTGATCCGTTTGTAGGTCCTTCACGAAGAGTCCGTTCGAACGGACGAGGAGGCGATGACCATCAGGCGAAAATGAGATAAAGTCAATAGGATCCAAGCTATCGGATGTTGGGAGGGAAACTCTTGAGATAACATCCATCGAGGTAATACTGCGGATGAGGACTCCGTCGCTTGCAGTAGCATACGCAAAGCGCACTCCATCCGGTGAGAATGCAACATCCAGAACTCTTGAGGGGTGCTGTACAAAGACTGTCTTGCGGTCACCGAGAACGTCGAAAACGAAACAGAGGTTTGAGTCATATGCATCGTCAAGCAACACGGCGAGTGTCGAACCGGTGGGGGAGAATGTCACTCTATGGCACGCTCGACCGGAGCCGCCATCGAGAGAATATGAGTGTCCATTACCCGTTTTAGTGTCGAAGAACATGATGGACCCAAAGCAGCACGCGGAGCCAGCCGCCAACAATGTACCATCGGGGGATAGAGCAATACACGAGCCCCCGGGGTAGAAGTACTCGCGGACTTGCTCCCCTGTCTCAGCATCCCATGTGCGGATGTAGTCGTCGTACAAGCTGCTACTGACAACGTGACGGCCATCGGGGACCCAATGCACACTGTCCACCGCAAAACGGCCCGGTGTGATTAACGGCTGGACCTGTTTTTTGTCTGGCATCTTTTCGGAGATAGCCCTGTTAGCTTTTCCAGACAAACATGACTGATAGGATGCACGTACCGACGACGAAAGCTCAATCTGTTGAGTATGGACATCCCAAACATGAACATTTGTCAGGGCATCCACATACGCTATACGATCTTTCAACGGAGAGCACGTGACGAAGTTGATTTGTTCTACCCCAGTGGCTCCCAGGTTCGGCGGATGCCTCAAAGGCCCCAAAACCAAGTGGCCTGTGGCAGTGTCCCAGACGTGTATAGTGTTTGCATCGGAGACATCGATGAGCCATTCGCCATCCCGTGAGAAGCACAGGGTCCTTGTTTTGAGGAGATGGCCCCTGAGTGGACCACGCAAGACTTCACCGCTGTTGGCATCCCAGATCTGTGATCCTTGGGGTGCACCACCAGCAATCATGGCCCCGTCATAAGAGCCAACAAGCCACCAGAGAGGGTGAGACGTATCAACTGAGAGATTGATGCACGTTTGTTGCCTTGTCGCCAAGTCAAAAGAATATGTTGTTGTAGGACCTTGGCTTGAATATAAATCCTTCAGATCGCCAATGACGGGGCGATGTTCACCTTGGCAGGCAAACAGGACCTTCCGGTCATTCGAAGCGAATCCAAGCAGGCTTATAAGCTGCATTCCGTCCCTCATCCTGGCGACATGCATGGCTACCTGTCCCGTGTCTGCGTCTTGTAGGACGATGAGCAGAGGCGTCATCGCAGCGAGGAGTTGACCATCGTTTGAGAACTGGACGAGATGAGAACCTGTGTGAGTTTCGTATTTTGTCTTTATTACGGTGTCCTGCAAGACCCAAGGCAAGACCCCTGATCTACCCTCCTTCACCTCCCAGACAAGGACGCACCCGTCCAAACATATCGTGGCCAGCTGTCTACCTGTGGGGTGGAATGCAAGAGAGTCGGCCTTACCAGGCGTGTCGATCTTCTGGAGTGGATGGCCCGTCAGAGGATCCCACAAACGCACGCTCTTGTCCCAAGACGCGGTGGCGATGAGGCGTCCATCAGGAGAGTACTCGATGGCGGTAATTCTGTCTGTATGGCCCATGAAAGGCCGAGGAGGGTCATCCACATTGACGGTTGTGTGTGTATCCAGCGACATCCTACAGTGTGGCTGTTTGTTCGAGATGAAGTCAAAGACGTACTTAGAAAGCGGTATGGACGTGGACAGTGGTGATGGTGGTGCATGGCGTCGACGACAGGCGCGCGTTGGCCAGGAATGTGCATTTGTAGGTCCAACTTCACGCTATACTTGAAAATGCTCGGCAAAAGCCGGGGCCAGTAGTCAGCTTGTCTATACACGTCTTTGGGCGATTCACAATCGAAGAGACAAGTAAGGATGCCTCTGAAGGCCAGCGACGAAATTGTGAACTCTCAAATTACGAAGGCTAGCGCATTAGTTTGAGTTGGACTCGGTCGACCGACATACCATTTGCCACTCTCGGTCTGTACAAGCGCGGGTGCGTCAAAACCCTCTGTGAGGGAAAGCTACCGGCCAACTACATATGAGCAATGAGACTTCGTAGCATTGTGACGAACTACTACGTCACATATTGTTACTGCTCACTGTACCAGTCGGACCACCCGTCCCTGTGTTCAACAGCACTTTTTCCGTTCGAGACCATGAGGCTGCCAGTGGGAAGCGCCCTTGGCCATCCCATGACCTACCCTGCTCCAAAGGCCCATCGCTTCCAATCTTCCCAAGTTTCGCCACCCTCTGTCCAAAAGCAGCCATTGGAGGAGCACCGATAATCAGATCCATCGCTGAGAGAGGTCGGCATCTCCCGGGGCCTTTATTTCCCAGAAGCCGCGTCATCTCTCTTTCTTTCTCAACTTCACGTCCCCCGAGTCACTTCAAGATGTCTCACGTTTTCGTACGTTCCACAGCTCAGATACTCATTCGTAACCTGGTTAGCTCATACTGACATGCTGCAGTTAGATATTGCGATTGGTACCGATGCGCCCAGGCGTATCGTAATCAGACTGTTCAACGATGAAGTGCCGCTAACAGCACGCAACTTCCGCGAACTTTGCACTGGAGTGCATAGTCTCCCTGGCACTGGAAAACCTATGACCTACAAGGATTCTACGTTCCATCGCATCATCCCGGGCTTTATGGTCCAGGGCGGGGACTTCACCAGACACAATGGTACGGGCGGCAGGTCCATCTACGGCGAAAAGTTCGAAGGTACGTGCTGTTTTGGAGATTTCAATCGTACATTTTGCTTTATACTCAATGCCGCTGGACAGATGAGAACTTCAAGATTAGGCATACGAAGCCATACCTTCTGTCTATGGCTAACGCCGGCAAAAACACCAACGGGTCACAATTTTTCATCATCACAGACAAGTCGGGTACTCCGCATCTTGATGGCAAACACGTGGTCTTTGGTAAGTCATTGATTGTTATATTCCCGATGAGATGGGTTGCCCATTAATCATGTTCGCTCTTCAGGTGAGGTTCTTCCCGAATGTAATGCTGTCGTCGACGCTATCGAAGCGGTGGGAAGTGGAAGCGGTGCACCCAGCAAAAAGGTTAAGATCGTTGACTGTGGCGAGCTGTAATCACATCCAACGACGAAACGACAACATTAGTGAATATGTACGATTAGCCAACGATTAGCACTTTCAACGAGAAAAACATTTGCACTTGCTGTTCTCGTATACGCGCTTCATTCCAAGAACCGATATACCCCCGCCGATGGCATCGATGAAGCTTTCTCAGCGCTCAGAGTCAATGTTGAGGGCGCGGAGGCGAATGCCCGATCACGGTGAGATTTTTACATTACCCTGCAAACCTCTCATCCTGCTCCCTCTTGATCTTTCTACTCGCCGCCCCCGACACTGCACCTCAAACGACAACAGGAATCGGAAAACCTCCATGACTAGTAGGACACCCACTAAATTCTTACGTTCGCTCACGACTTCTCCTTCTATCCTTCTTGTTGACTTAGTAACGACTGTTGATCAATGGTGTACTTCCTCACCTTTTGCGCGCGTTATCTTGCATTATATACACGACTCGAGCCTCCTCCAGAAGCCGCTTATACCGGCAGCACCCGCCAAAACCACACCCAGCGGGTGACACATTTAGTCACCGGCTCCGCTTACACGGTGCAAGTTCCTGACAATCTGCATCTTATGTCTCAATAATTCATGCATCGTCTGTCCCAAGGTCTGCCCATGGGACAACGCTCCGGATGATTCCGAGTCGGGTGATGTTCAGAAATGATCAAACTAGGATGTCCGTATAATTGGTACACGGTATGCAGTGACTACATGATGGTGAACTATCGCAAGCTAGAGTATCTACTCAGTACTTAGGTCATGCGAACATGTCGACTCCCCCTGTCGGTGTGCAAGTATCAAGCAAGTTTGAAGGAGTATGGAACAGTCGATGTTGGGCGTTAAACATAACGCAGCATAACGCGCATTGAGCATGGCTATGACTCAATCGTTCAGGCTGGATCAGGCACATCCAGTGCTACTGCGCGTCACTTGCCTCTCGGGGGTAGGTTGAAAGCGACATCAAGATGTCGTGATTCCTGGTGATCTGCGGCCTCGGACGTAGTTTGTCTGGTGTTCTTGTGCGACCCGGTGGGCTCGATACCGGCCTTTGCTGCTTGCTTTCTGCAACGTCGCTACCCGGCGCTGTTGGCCTTGCTGGTCAGCGATGGAGACGTTCTCTGAGATCTTTGCTGCCCAACAGATGTGAGTATGAGCTCCTGTTTTCTAGACATACGGGGACTTGTTGACGGCGCTGGTGTGCCTTCGTTTCTAGCCTTCTCCATGCTTATACCGTCTGCCTCAGCTTCAGTGGGTATCCATCGAGCGTACATTCCACCTCTGAGCTTGTCAAGCTGACCGCAGATACGAAGCGATATTATGCTATGACCATCTCATGACCTTCGCTGAAGAGATCGCGTACATCTGGCGACGCCCCTTCACGACGTCGTCCATCCTATTCTTCCTCAACCGCTACGTTGGTCTGTTCGGCAATGCAGCTGCTTTGGCTGCTCTCTTTGTGTCCGCAACCTCGGTGCGTATCTCCTGCCATTGTCACTGCCTCCTTCCCATGCTTTTGGCATCGCGCACGCGAACGCCAGTCCATATTGCCCCCGAGCTGACGTCGGACGTCTATATTCGTGCGCACGTGTTTGTCTCTTGGTGTCCGGTCTTCCTTCGAGAATACGCTCATACCTGATCTTTCCACCACATTGCTTATTCTATCGAACCTTTAGAGGTAATTACCTTTGGATTTTCATTCATATACCGTTCAAGCTAACACTTGTGACATTTGTGTGGCATCCTCTGCTTCGCTCCTCCATGACGCCCGTTCCTTACCATTTGGACACCTCGGGGATCAAAACGTCCCTGACAACGCGCACACGTGGTAGCTGTCAACAGTGGAAATTGTACCACCAACTCCTGCTCGTCACAAACCAGGTGATCGTATGCGGTGGGTGTACGCATGCATGCGCTCTCCTCTCCCTCTTCGGATGTGCTCCCGGGCTGACGCATGTCTTCCGAACAGGCATCCTGACCGTACGGACGTACGCGCTGTACAATCGGGATAAGTATGTGCTGGCGTTCATGCTCACCAGCGCCTCGTTACTCGCGGGAGCAGCTGGGGTGAGATGACTCCATTCAGGGTCAGGTCATAATCCGTGATGGTCGGCTAATCCTATCGTGCAGTGGAGCCTGACAGGCCAGCAATCCACAAGCTATACGCTTCTGCCGGGCTGTAATGAGTCAGACACTTTCATGACGTGAGTTGAATGAGCAATCATCCGGAAGTCGACGACGCTCACGCCCTAGCACTTCCTCTTCCTAGTGGCGTTCGTATGTGCCCTCTTCATAACCTCTGACTCGGAGGCCTAATTGATCGAGCACCCTCACAGACATTGCGACAGCATGGGAAGCACTCTTTGTTTACGACTCGGCCGTTTTCATTCTTACGATGGTCCGGATGATCCGCACGGGTTTTTTTCGGAACTTTACTAACCGACGACGCGTGCGGGATATTCTCTTCCTGGTCTGGAGAGATGGTAAGCCTCGTGAAGTTCATGCCTCCTTTCTAGACTGTGCTGACGCAGAGCAACGAACCACAGGAGCTATCTACTATCTGTGAGTCACTTTGAAGGTGCACATCTCTGTTCCACTAATTTTTGCGCATGTAAAGTGTGATGGTTAGCGTCAATGCGTCAAATATCCTCACCTTCTACGTGAGTTTGTCGCATTTCTGATTAGCTAATTCCTCGTCTTGCTGACCGTGTTGCAACCTGGCCTTTCCTAGCTCGCAAGTGTAAGTTTCGTCTTCAGTATGACAGTATCTTCGCAGGTCATAATGGGTCTACTCTCTTACAGTCATTGAACAGAGGCTTTCTTTCGACGTTCGCCAGCTGGTCAGTCATAGTGCCGAGTTCATTCCCCGAATACTCCCGCTAAACTCTTCTTCTTCACAAAGTGTATCGATTTGCATGATCTCAAGGCTCATGCTCAACCTCCACCAATCCGCCGATGTGGGCATTCTCTCTACCATGTCTCCCGGAGAACGACGGCGTTTCCTCCATCGCCGCCGCCCGTCAAAGTCGGGTGCATTCCCGGACGGCGGTGCGGAAATAGAGGAAGCGACAACTGCTTTCGGTGGAGGGGTGGAGCTTACGACCCAGTTCTGCTTCGATGAGGAAGGGGCATCGGTCGATTACGAGCAGGAGCTGGAGCTGAGGGAGCTAGAACGTCAAAGAGATATAGATGGGGATATTGGGAAGGAGAGTGAGATCGAGACGGTCGTAGATGAATATGGAAGCATCAAGGAAGTGCGTCGGTCAGCAAGTACTAGTGTGTGGAGATAGGAAAATTCTCGAGCGCAGGCGCGATAGGAGGCATTTCATTCCGCTGACTCTTGAGAGTAGTTGTTTTAGCTAGCCTTATCAAAAGTAGTTCACGTATCTTGCCATGTATCTATATAAGCATTTACGCGTGGCGTTGTGTATTATTCTCCACATGGACTAAGAATTGCACCTATCATACTTTACGAGCGACAACCTTAGTCTAGACGTTGGGCAGGATCTCTGAGTCCCACGTTATGTGCGAGGCAGGGCGACGAGCGTCGCATATCATCTGAGTTCAGCACTCTGAGGAGGTACGGCTCCTTGTCTCATAGTTTATGCTAGTTGTATCAGATCCTACCGGTGAAGTGAGGTCGCACGTTGATTTTCTCGTGATCCGACACGACGTCCGATTACGTGCGACCTCCAGCTGGCTGCTCACGCTACGGTAGAAGCAGACGACTGCTCGCGCACAGATCTATATCCCTTGTACCTAGTCGCCAAGAGTAACTCATCAACGTCCACATCCCTGTACCGCAAAACAAGCCTCATATTATACTCTCCCCCCTTCCCTTGACGGAGAGGCGGAAACAAGGGATGCGGTATATGCATTGAGGGACGACTGCGAGCGTACCTGCAAGCTTCCTGCACTTGCTCGTATGATCCAGGTATTTTGTCGTGTGGTAAATATCAGTGGGAGGCGGCGAGGCCATAGCATTAATATCTTTTAGGTTCAAGGTGTTAGTGGGGGGAACCTCGGGCAGTCCGTCCAAGGCTACGGATACGTCGTTTCGGAGACGATGTGGGCGTAAGACGGCAGGGCCTACATATTGGGAAGGTTATAGGCGAGGAGGGGGGATCTAGCATTGAATCAACTTGAAGAGGCGATACGATATGAATGTGCATACCTCCATTTCAACATTTCCGAGGATGCAATACCGCTATCAGCTGTAAGCTGCACATTTACCTTATTTCTTAGTAGACCTGAAGGTCGTTAAAAGGGGGACCCGTGCCCAAACCCGGCCTAGTACTAATACTTGCTGTATGTACCAGTTGCTGGTGAAGGCGAAGACCCTGAAGTTCTACCTTGGCCTAGTAGCACTTGAATATGCGAAGCAGACCTCTTAGGCATTCATACTGGGAAGCCTCCCTTGGTGTTGACAAGTGTGTGCTTAAAGCTTAGAATTCTAGAAAGTCGGTGTCGAAACCAAGTTGGTCGAAACTGGGCGCATGAACCCCGCTGTCGCTTCGGCCCGTTCCGGAACTCCCCCAACCCGTGGATTGCAGCTCTCAGCGCTGAGCGTGGACTCCGGCCGGTGTAAGTGAGATGTCAGTTGTTCAATATAACACAAGAGCTCGCCTTTGACTTTTTCACTCCCATAAAGACGCATGTCCTTGGTACAGGGCTGCCCTACAGAGGCATCTTCGACTTCGAGTGTAAGTGTCCTAAGAAGCCTCGGCAAGCTCAGTGCCGGCTTTCGCCGAGCAGTTTTAGCGTGAAGCTGGACCCACAAACCCACATTCCTGGCCAACGCACGCCTGTCGTCGACGCCATGCACCACCATCACCGCCATCCACGTTCACGTGGCTCTCTCAGTCCTTCTCCACCTTCAGCTTGAACGAACAGCCCGGTCGTAGGATGTCGTTGGACGCACGCGCAGGCGTCAATGCGGATGACCCTCCCCGGCCTTTCACCGGCCATACAGACAGAATCACTGCCATCGAGTACTCCCCCGACGGTCGTCTCATTGCCACAGCATCTGTGGACAACACAGCACGTCTCTGGGATCCTGTGACAGGACAGGCACTCCAGAAGATCGACATACCTGGTCGACCCGATTCCCTTGCATTCCACCCCACATGTAGACAGCTTGCCACGATCTGCTACGGTGCGACCAAGAGTGCGACCGTGTTGGTCTGGGAGGTGAGGGAGGACAGATCAGGAGTCCTGCAGAATACCGTAACAAAGACGGAATACGAGGATGATGCAGGTTTGCATTCCGTTAGGTTCTCGAACAACGGAAAGCTCCTCGGCGTGGTGACACCCTTGCTCGTAGCTCTTCAAGATGCAGAGACAGGCCAAATACTTATGCATGTGGCGAAGATGAGCGAAGGTCTCCGCCTCACGGGTCTACTCGCATTTAGTTCGAACGATGAGAGAGTCCTATTTGCTTCCGGCGACATTCCCTTCCCGACTGCCAGCTTGGGGAGTATATATTCAGGTCGAGGCCCTGCAAAAGTGTACTCCTTTGACTTGGCAACAAGGCGACAGGAATGCGTCAACCTCTCAGTTGATCCGTCTCACCGTCTCTGGCTACTTGTTGGTTCTTATGACGGATCTATGATTGCCAGGAAAGCGCCTCATAGTTTCCTTTGGGAATTCACCCGTGGCGAGGTCTTACGCGGTCCGCTCAGGGGCCATCTATGGAACACAAGGACCCTTTGCCTCTCGCGGGATGGGCGGTGGCTCGTTGATGTCTCCTTCACGAACACCGTATGTGTCTGGGATACATCTACAGGGAACTTGATCCTAGGCCCCTTGATGCAGCCGCCGAGCTCGGGAGCGACACATATCAGTGCAGTCGCGTATTCACCGTTGAAAGATCGCATCGCATGTGCTGACTCCAATAATGTCCATGTATGGAGTGTCGACACTGAGCGGGTTGCACTGTCGTCGGTATGTTCGGTGGGCTGCATGGAACACCCTTGTTCTGGCGAGCTGATCAAGGTATCTCCCCGCAGGTCCCAGACGAAACAAAGGTCCAACCGCTGATTACCCCAGGCCGCGTTGCTATAGATAGCGTCCATTGGTTCCTTGACGGGCGCCATTTCATCACTAGCAGCATGGGTGACGACTACATCCGCACATGGGATGCCGAGACTGGGGAGCAAATCCGCAAGTACTTCTTCCGTGGCGGCTCGTGCATTGCTTTATCCCCCAACGGTGCATTGCTAGCAGCTGGATCCTCGTGCTACTTCGGGTCGATCATGTTCTTCGACACCAAGACGGGTGTCGAGCATCCACATTCCCTCGACGGCCTTCGTCGAGCGTGTCGCAGAGTGAAGTTCTCTCCCAGTGGTACAACACTCGCTGTGTTGCTTGACGGCACACATGATTCGAACCTCTGTTTCGTTATGAATGTTCTCGGCGACCCCAAGACGACCTTTGTGCAACACCCATCCAAAGTCTTGGATGTCGCATTTTCGCCGGACGGAGACCAGTTTGCGTCCATCACCACAGACGACGGCATCCTCGTCCGCAGTACTTCGTCATTGGAAGTTATTTCAAAGGTCTCATACACAGCATCCGACGTGTCTAATGCTCTCCACTGTATCTCTTTCTCACCAGATGGTCGACGCCTTCTTGTCTGCTCGAAGGGACTCTTGATATTGGACCTGAGCACGTGTCAGAAACTTCTTCATCTTTGGGCGAACCACCAGGATGTCCAGGGTGTGTTCTCGCCTGATGGGCAGACCTTGTTGTGCGCAGGGCATACTTCTTCCCTTCAAATTTTGAATGCAGTCACCGGCATTCCGTTGTGGCAGGATGAGGCGGAGAAATACACGTGCTCCGCGTTTTCACCCAGAGGAGAAAGGATAGCTGTTGGTTATCAGGACGGTGCCCTCAGAGTATATGAAGCGTCGATGGGTCGTGTGCTTCTCCCGAAAGTTTGTGTCTGCCTTGCTTTCTTTCTCGACTCCATCCTGATCATGTTATCCGCAGCGAGCTAACTCCACATCAAAAGGGGGCTCTTCAGACGACGAGGTCGTTAATGTCGCCAGGGTGAGCCAAGTCCACTTGCTACACGCAGATTGGACTCCTAAATATGTTTCCATACAGGATCAGCAGAGTCCTAGGCCGGGACCATCGCACCGAGGGCTTAGCCTAGCTGATGCAGACGATGATTCATTCATGAATGTGCGTTCGTACCCCTTGAAACTCGTAATATGCCTGCTGATCAGCGACACAGATGCCTGCGGTTGTTATGAGATCTGCTCCCGGTGGTTCTCAAGCGCACCAAAAGGGCCCGTTCACTCAAAGGAAGAATAGCGGAGACAAGAACGAGTCGGATGAGGAGCCGCGCCGTGGACTCATTGCCCGCCTCACATCGCGTCGCAAGTCTCATGCGCCCGCTTCGGATGAGGTCAACGATGGCCATCGCCGCATGTCACGCATGCTTGAGCTCGTTAGCGTTGGGCGGGCTAATCTGGTAAGGGGATGCATTGTGGTCACGTCGCTTCTTTAACAGTATTCCCTCTCCTTTAGCGCGTGATGGCTGCCGGACCAAGTGAACAAGGCCATCTCAGGGGTAGACTTCGGGAGGGAGAGTTTGATGAGAGCTCAAGCAGCCCTTCTCCTCCCGCGTCGACTCGCCATCGAGTTGAGTCCCCCGAAGTAGATGGTCATGGACCCAGGAGCAATACGCCAAGCAGCGACGGGCTTAAGGATATATTGTGTTACTGCCTGTGTATACCACGCTGCCGTTGAGACCCTACGACTATGCCATTCAGCTCTAGCGCACGATACAGCATGTGTACATCCATCACTGAAAGTGCATGCGCCAGTGATGTTCTCGGAATGTATGCATGCCCCAAAATGCTATATATTCGACATGAATGGGAAAGGGTCGTGAAGATTACAGCACAGAAGACGCAATGGTCACTAAAGCATAATCTCGTGGAACCTGTACCGTACAGACGCAACATGAAAGCGCATATAGCCTTCTTTAAAGCTCGTATATGCGTCGCTTGCTCGCTCATCACCCTCGAGGACCTTCAATATTTGACGATTGGCGCGAATAGTCTCGTCGGCGATGTCTCTAAGTGCTGAAATTTTGCTCGTCCCCTTGATAGCTGCCCTACGCGAGATGTAGTTTGTCGTTTCTCCAGCAAGCTCCTCTTTGTAAAATGACATGACGTCGCTGTGTGTATGTCAGTTATACAGACCTAAACAAACAGCGCTGAAATGAATTGCAGTTAACGTACTTTGTGACGTTGATCATAAGCGTCAAGTCGGGAAAGGCCTGGACGTATCGCTGCAGAGGTACATCGGCCGGGAACATCATGACCAGGTATGCATCAGCTACGCCTGTCAAACTCCGTAGAAAGTACGGATACGATGGTGCATTTTCAGATGGCTAAAATAACCCGCGAAGAATTCAGCCTTGGCCTCCGGACCACACTCGCTAATCAAATAAACCCACCTTGATGGTTTTGCACTCGTCCTCGAGAACACACCCAGTTACGAAGTTGAGAACAGAGGTCGTAATCATCGCAGCCTGCGCGGGCGGATACACGTTCCCCACGTCTCTAAACGCCTTCGCCGCAAACACGAGCTCAGCATCTGCCTGCGTCTCTCCGTTAACGAACCGGATCGGAAAGCTGCGCACATCGTCGGTATGCGTTTCGCTGATGTCGTCGATGTACGTCGCTGCGCCAGTGAACATAGCGATGTACACTTGCGCCCGGCGGTCGTTGAGGTGCGAGTAGGCCTGCTGGGCGATCGTCACGCCGACAAGGATGGCGGACGCCATCTTGGAGGAGGCGGCGTTTGGGTAGCCCTTGTCTGAAGCATAGTCATAGCAATCCTGGAGGAAGACCGGGTCTATGGCCAAACTGGCCGAGGACGGATAGACCATGCCGTATTCGCGAAACATTTCATGGTATATATCACGAATGGCCTTCAAAGAATGTTAGGCGTCGAAGAACAGAGCCGTGATGATGGTCTTACCGCAATGTCTACGGAAGTTAACTTTGGAGAGGCAATGTATTCAGCAGGTGTGTTTCGCATGCTGGCCAGAGGACAAATGGGTAGAAGGGCTTGGATATACCAGTACGCTCATACCAAGCACCCGCTTTTATAACCTCTGCAAACACTCCACCGTGGGTCTTGCCTCAGACGGTTACAACTGAAACCTCCACGTAAAGGAACACACTCGTATAGCCTCATTCGCCGGACTTCCTGACGTCCATTGGAGCCGTGTAGGGAACCTGGCGAATCATCGCCAATACCCACCAATGCGATACCAGAGGGCGATATAGAAGCTCCGGATAACTTGGGTTCACCTACGCTATCTGCAAAGGGCCGGCGCAGAAAGGCGGGTAAGTAAGTAACTGTTTCATTATCTTAAGCAAGCGGCTTACCTGATGAACTTGTAGTTTCCCGATGCAAGCTCGCACATTATCGTGTTATCCAGCTTGCAGGAAGCCAAGTGCCTGAAACGTCGCACATTTAAAAATTCTAGGGAGAGAGAACGTTCCTTCGTGCCCGGTCCGGCTAACGGACCATTCCGAACCAGTCGGGTGTGCAACCTCGAGTATGGTTTCATCAGATAGAAGGAAGATAACGTCCTGTGCAAGAGTAAGAGAAGTGAGATTAGGGCAGAACCTTGAGAAGGAGCACGGAAAACGTTCGAATGAAGCACGTATGACACAAACCATGGCGTCACCGACTTCGAGCTGTTCTCAGAGAAACGCATATGGGGAATTGAGGATGAAGGGAAAATGTATAACAATCCGAAACGATGACTATATGCGCGACATTAAACGTTATGACATGAAGGCAAGATAACGAGAGCAAGAAAAACCGAGAGATTATGTAGATGGGGAAGAAAGGAGAGAGAGAAAGCGTCACGAGACGTGAGTGTATGCATATTCTGATAAACGCGCAGGCCAAGGACCAGGTTGGGAACAGGATGTGTGGATGCGTGCAAGAGACCAGAGAGCATCCAGAGGACGACCAGAAGATGCCAGTGCTAGATGTAAAGAGATCGAAAGCGGGACAAGAACATCTATTGACGTCCAGACTGATGCGTATGAAGCCGAATGAGCGGGGAGAACACGAGAGCCGGAGAGTGGATGAGAAAACATGAATTCCCACGGGTAAAATGGCGACCGAAGCTCCAAGTCGTTCAGCAGATAATGCACCGACATCCGCCCGCACCCTCCTCCGTCTCCTCTGGTATCGCTGGACCCGTTCCACCGACAGGTCCGCCCGCACCTGCAGCGGGTACACCAGCCGTACTCCTCCTCCGCATGCTCAGCCTGCTTCTAGCCCTTGTCCCACCGCCTTCCTCCCCAGTGCCCGGTTCAGATGGTGGAGGCTGGAGAGACTGCCGACGGACACCAACGCTAGCGAGGGCAGCGCTAAGGCGCTTCTTGTTCTTCCCAAGTGAGTCAACACCCTCCGGGGGAGGCGCAAACGCGCGGATCGAGAGGTGAACGATTGTCGCTGTAGGCACTGCAGCGCCTGAATGAAGTGGATTGGGGGTCGATGGTGTCGTTGGTGTGATAGGCGGTAGGGAGGAGGGTGGGACGGCGGTGTGTTGGGCGGGGGAGGAGAGAGCGGTAGGGAATTTGAGGTCTAAAAATGAGCGATAATGTCAGAAAAAATAAAATATCGTAATAGTATAGAAGATAGGGGCAATACGAGGAAAGATAAAACGTACGGGAAAGAGTGTCTTCATCCTGCAAAATTTTGCCCAGCCAGAGGATGCGTAAGTAAGCGGGAGCAGGTGGGCGCTCGTCTTCCCAGTCTGGAAATGATGTGGATGAGATCCGAGCGCGAAGCAATATTGGGCCAGAAAATAGCAAGGATGATTCCATCAAAGGCAAGAAAAGAGGGCCGTCGACGGAAAAAACAAAGCCAGCACCATAAATGCCGTGAAAGGTCAAGGGTATCATATGAGCCAGCAGGGAAACACCAAACGCCATCAGAATCAGAATGGAACCTTCGAGGGAAGCGAAAAGGGCGCACCCGAAGACCACGAGCTCCACACGAGCTCCTTGACGCGCCCGACACTCGTCTCCGGGTCGAATGACATCGTCCGTCGCCGCCCTGAGACGAGCAAAAATGTAAGGAAAACCTGAGGTGTCTGCGGGACGGGCTCGAGTTGCAGCTGATTCTGTGCTTGAGATTGAGGTTGCTCTGGCGACTGCGTTTGTGACTGTGCTTGTGATTGAGGTTGAGGGAGCATCTGCGACGGCGCCTGCGGGGGTGCAGCGACGGCGGTGGCGTTTTGTCCCTCTGCGTTGCTGCCGTACGTCGACGAGACGCTCGCGAGCGGAGGCAGCGGAGGGTATCCCACCCCTCTCTGAGTCCCTCCGTTTCCGCTGAAGTTCCCTCCGTTCCCACCGCTCGCCGCTCCGTTGCCAGCCCCAGCTCCTCCTCCTGCTCCATCGCTCGCATGAGGCTCGGTCCCGTTCCCGTTCATTCCGCCTCCGCCGTAATAACTCTCCGTGTCCACCCTGGTGAAGCTCGTGCGTGCGCTCGCGCTCAAGTAGTGTCCTCCCAGTCCCAGGCTTGCCACGCCCAAGTGCTCCCCAAACCCGTCGGGCCCGAGAATGAACGCGTTTATCGGGAACGGGTTGCTCGATCCGTGGGCAGTATAGGGTCTATCCCGGGAGCGTGCGTTGCGTTCCGAGAGAGTGAGCGTGTGCTGCTGGTGTTCGAGGCTTGGTGAGGAGGGCGAGTGGGGGAGTGTATAATGGGGTTCTTCTGCTCTTGGTGGTGATGATGATGCTTGTGCTTGTGCTGGAGCGGCACCGAGTGTAGGTGCTGAGATAGGGGACAGCTCAAAGGACGGTGATGTGGGTGATGGTGAGGATGAAGGATGCTGGTGGGCGGCACTCATGGTGGTGTGACCTCGACCACGCCGTGGAGTCTGAGGGATGTAGGTTGGAAGGAACAGTGTGAAAGCGACTGATATTCAAAAAGGGCGCGGACCCGGACCCGTGTGTGTCGTGACGGGCGTGGCCGCGTGCACAGCGTGACGTGCGGGTGGATTCGCTGTTGTTCTGGTGGAACACGAATTGTCAATTGCCTCGTCGTCAGTCCAGGCCCCGAAAAAGCTGTCTAGTAACCCAGAACTGTAAGCCTGTGTGTAATGCAATCAAGTAACCAAGGCAGAATGGGCTCACCGGTCTGGATTTGATTTCAGGCCGAGGCGGGGTCGTGAGAGGCCCGTTCCGAAAGTTGCCAGGTAATTTTTGCCGTTGGAAGTTGAACAGCGGGGAAGGATGGTCAGCCGGTGCCTGACTCTGCTTGGGCTCCGCCGGCGAGGCTGAGCGCATTACGCACCTTTGAACCTGTCAATCACCACTCCTCGGTCAAATGGGCTTATCCTAGCTCAGTCCGATCCCCGATGTTTTCGGCTGTGATGACGGATGGACGTCGGGCGGTTGGATGGATGAGGATGAACGCTGGCTGCTCTCAGTCCGGACCGTCGTCTACAATAATATGGTGGACCACAACAGCGGCCTCGTGCGTCCGTGGAGTTCGTGTGGGATCGATGGGCACGAATATGTTCAAGCTACTGGTGTATATATGGAGCGCCCCGGCTGGTCGCACTTGCTCTTCCCAACTCACGATTCAAAGGTTCCGGTGATAATCGAGCTTCGAATTCGTTTGATTGATTAAATCTCTTTCTTATTGATGGTGGGCTAAGCAAAAACAGCTAAAGCTCACGACCAGATAGGTCTAAACTCTCAATCACCTGTGCTCGTTAACGTGAATTATTCAATATGGTCAAGGACATCTGCTGGTTGCTGGGGTACAGACGAACCAGCCCAGGTACGTGACGGGAAGGGCGTAAACGTCATGACGAGTATGGACAAGTCGGCGGAGGTGCGCGAGCAGCACGGACGCGGGGTAGGAGATGATTTGTTACAGCCCCGAGCTACGCCGATGCCCTTTTGAAGCCTTTGACGGCCAAGACACTAGGACACAGCAAGGAGGTTGTCGTCAACTGACCTTTTACAGCCTCCGCCGCTGGGTGGTTCGAGCCCGACTATCCTGGATATGTCAGCCACACGATAAGTTAAAGTTACGGATCCTCTCCCGAACAGAGACTCCTGATTTTGTGCATTGCCATCCTGCCACCACTGTATAGTCCCAACCAGTATGATTCTTGCGGGCGTGATATATTCTGCCTCGTGCAAGATATTTGTAGACAGCATGCATTCAGAAAGTTCGCAAGAAAGTTCGCTGTCTTTACTCCTCACTTCATGCATCATGCATTCGTTTCATGCGTCGTTGATGGAAGAAGACAGCGGTTCTAAAACCTCCGTGACGCAGTGCGGGGTAGACTCAAAAAATTTCGGATTTTCTTTATCCCTTCAGCCTGCTACAAGTAGCAAGTACTCTCATGCATACACCTCATGGACATCACCGGGCCGGTTTGCATGGAGGTGTGGATATGTTGGGAAGAACGTCAGTAGGCAGTTTCTACTACACCTGTGCCTCGATCGCAAAGCTTGGAAGAAAAGATAACTGTCGTCGGCTCAGACTGTTTCGTTCGTGATCCGTTGAATTCCTTGACAAAATCTGATTCCATTGCGTACACAGGATAGAAGAGTATCACACTACACCCTGCAAAGCGAGTAAAATAGAAAGATCAGACATCTCGCCGCAGCGATACGACTCCTACAACCCAAGAAGCCGACCGAAGAACCCAGGCCTCGAGGCCCCCGCCTGCTCGTCTGCATACCGGACGGTGATCCTCCCGTGCGTCGTGTCCGCTTCAACTTCATCGCCCTCCCACTCTCCCTTGAACAACGAAAAGTCGCCGACGAACCACATGCTGACGCCATCGACGACACTCAGCTGGGTGCTTTCCGAGGCAAGCTCGTCGGAGAGCTTGATGGAGCTGTGCTCCTTCTTGAGCCTAAGAAAGCCGTGGAACGACCGCGGAATCTCGACCGTCAACGATCCATGCGGCGATCGCACCTTGAGATGGAACGGCGGAACGGCATCTGCAGTCCTCTGAAACGAAACAAGATGAAGAATGACGTTAGACGAGGTTTCCAGTGCAGTCAACAGCAGCGGGAAATGCGATCGTACCACGCGAATGTTGACGGTGCCATGTTCAGACGAGGCTTCCAGTAGCGTGCGGTTCCGCTTGACGTCGTCTGATTCATCTCCCTGTGGCGGCAGAAGCAGGATAGCCGCAGTGACGCTACCGTGCTCTGCCCGCAGCCGCAGATTCCTGCGGTCCATCTCCGTCTCACCATCTTCGAGCTTGGGCAAGACGGACACGGGGATGGACATGGAGGGGTCAATGGCATAGGAACCCTTGAGAGAATTGTACTGTTCCGAGATGTATAGATAGTTGGTAGCTCGGGGTCGCCGCCCTATGGGCTCGGGTGAAGAAGCTACTTGGCTATAAGACGGTGGGAGCTACAGCCATGGTGAGGCCTCGAATAGTGAGATGATGAAGAGGAAACGTACATCACTACTTTGATCTTCAGCACTTACTGCCCTCTTTCCGTCGTCGATGGGGGCCACTGGCAACTGAGAAGAGTCAAATACACCTTCTGTGATAGTCATGGTCCCTTGAGTTGCTATAGATATCTGGAGATAGTAATCCGAGTGTACTGGGACGGAAGAGAAGACTCAAAGAAGACTATCCTGTGCCGCAGCCACCAGCGCAGTCGTATGATGGACGTTATAGGGGCTCTGGCTGCTTTCGGATGGCACCGCCACCGACAGCTCTGGAACTTATAGGCAATCCCTTGTACGGTCAACCCAGTTCTGGCTGGCGTTGGGCTGGCCTTGAACTTGGCCTTTAATGCTCATGTCGCAGGTCTCAAATCAATTCCCGTACACTGCAGATGTAAGGACAAATGGCAAGAACAAACCGATTGGCGAAGCTCGACAAATCTCGGGGCCGACTTTCCCCGAGCATGTTTGGCGTGAAGTTGGACCCACAAACCCGCATTTCCAACCAGCGCGCCTGTCGTCGACGCCATGCACCACCATCATCGATATCTACGCCCTGACCGCTGTTTTGGTCTGCCTCGACCTGCAACTCGAACGACAAGCCCATTCCCCGCATGCCATCAGACACACACTCGACGCCCGATGTGGATGACCCACTCCGGCCCTTCGTAGGCCATACAGGAAAAATCACTGCCATCGAGTACTCTCCTGACGGCCGACTCATCGCAACTGCATCAGAGGATGCTACTGTGCGTCTCTGGGATCCTCTAACGGGCCAGCAGTTCCAGAAGCTCGACACGACTTACCGAGCGGAAGGTCTTGCATTCCATCCCTCGGGTAGACAGCTCGCCACGATATGTGCAGCCAATGCCCACGCCGTAACGGTCCTGATCTGGGAGGTGAAGGAGGATAGATTGGGAGTCGTGCAGAATAGCATGACAAATACGACATACGATTGGCCGAACTCCACACACGCACATTCCGTCAGGTTCTCCAACAACGGCAAGCTCCTCGCTGTGATGACGTGTTCCTTCCTTGCCCTCCAAGATGTTGCAACAGGCCAGCCAGTCATGGATGTAACCAGGATCAGCTCATCCGTACAAGAAGAACTTACTATGGGCCTGCTTGCATTCGATTCGAACGACCGGAGTGTCTTGTTTGCTTACCGTTATGGCGTCCTCCCTGTCACTGGCTTGAAAGACGCCGTGTATTCAGGTGCTCCGGTATACACGTTTGACTTGGCGACAAGACAGCAAAGACCCATCAATCTCTCACTCAATCCGTCTCACCGCATCACGCCCGAGGTCATTTCCTATGATGGTACCATGATCGCCGGGGATGCACGTTACGGAACGCAGATTTGGGATGCCAACAGCGGCGAGGCATCACACGGTCCACTCAGGGGCCATCTCCAGAGCACAAAGGCCCTCCGATTCTCGCTGGATGGCCAGTGGCTCATTGATGTCTCCAGGTCAAACAGTCTGTTTGTCTGGGACACCTCCACCGGAAGCTTGGTTCTAGGTCCCTTGCGGCATCCACCAAACTTAGGAGTCGAGAGCACGTATAACATCACCGCAGCCACGTGTTCTCCGTCGAAACATCGCATAGCGTGCGTAGATGACTCCGGAAATATTCACGTATGGGACGTTGATACCGAACAGGTTGTACTGTCCTCGGTACGCGAATTCTGTTTTGTTCGTTTCAACAGGCTAACAGAGATATCTCCCCACAGCTCCCAGATAACACACAGGTCCAACCGCTAACCACCCCAGGACGCGTTGCGGTAGATAGCGTGCATTGGTTCCCAGACGGGCGCCACATCATCAGCAGTAGTATGTGTGACGACTACATCCGCACCTGGGACGCCGAAACTGGGGAGCAAGTCCGCAAGCACCTCTTCCGCGGCGGCTCGTGCATCGCTCTGTCCCCCGACGGCACATTGCTAGCCGCTGGCTCCGCATGCTACCTCGGATCCGTCATGTTCTTCGACACTAAAACGGGCGTCGAGCATCCACATTCTCTCGACGGCCTGCGCCGAGCGTGTCGCAAAGTGAGACTCTCTCCCAGTGGTACGACACTCGCTGTGTTGCTTGACGACACACATGATTCGAACCTCTGTTTCGTTAACAATGTTCTCGGTGACCGCAAGACGGTCTTTGTGCAGCACCCATCCAAAGTCCTGGATGTCTCATTTTCGCCGAACGGAGACCAATTTTCGTCCATCACTGCAGACGACGGCATCCTCGTCTGCAGTACTTTGTCATTGGATGTGATTTCAAAAGTGTCGTACACAGCATGCGACGCGCATAATCTTCATCACTCTATCTCATTTTCACCTGATGGTCGAAGTCTTCTTGTCTGCTCGTGGGGACTCTTGATGTTGGACCTGGGCACGTCTCAGACACTTCTTCGTCTTTATAAGGAATCCCCGGATGTCTGGGGGGCGTTATCGCCTGATGGGCGAACGTTATTGTGTTCAACGGACTCTTTTTCCATGCAGATGTTGAACGTTGCAACAGGACTTCCGGTTTGGCAGGACAATAGGCTACCGAGTCGCACATACTTTGCGTTTTCACCCGGAGGAGAACGGATAGCTACTGGTTTTGAGACAGGTCGTCTCAGGATCTATGAAGCAGGGACGGGTCGTATTCTCCTCCCGAAAGTGAGTGTCTGACATCCTTTGTCCCTGCACTATATCCTAATCGGTTATATCTTCCGTAGCGAGACAGCACATCGGATGAACACTCTTCAGGTGATGAGGTCACTAACGTCGCTAGGGTAAGCCAAGTCTACTTGTTGCGCCCAAATGTTATTCTCAAAAGTGTTTCCACGCAGGATGAGCAGAGTCCTAGGCTGGGACCATCTCGCCGAGGGCTTAGCCTAGCCGATGCAGACGATGATTCATTCATGAACGTGCGCCCTTAGCCCTTGAGGATTCTCGTTACATGCCTGTTGATCAGCGACATAGATGCCTGCGGTTGTTAGGAGATCTGCTCCCGGAGGCTCTCAAGCGCGCCAAAAGGGCCTGTTCACTCAAAGGAAGAATAGCGGAGATAAGAACGAGCCGGATGAGGAGCCCCGCCGTGGACTCATGGCTCGCCTCACATCGCGTCGCAAGGCTGACACACCAGCCTCGGATAGGGCGAATAATGACCACCACCGCATGTCGCGCATGATGGAGCTCGTTAGCGTTGGGCGGGCTAATCTGGTAAGGTGATGCCTTTTGCTCACTTCGCGTCTTTAACAGTATTCCCTCTTCTTTAGCGCGTGATGGCCGCCGGACCAAGCGAACAAGGTCATCGCAGAGATAGACGTCTGGAGGCTGAGGCTGATGAGAGCTCGAGTAGCCCGTCACCTCCCGCGTCGACTCGAAACAGGATTGAGTCTCCTGAAGTAAATGCTGAGGAGGAGAGGAGCCACACGCCGAGCAGCGGTGGGGTCAAGGATATTTTATGTTATTGCTTGTGCATTCCGCGTTGCCATTAAGATCTAGATGTCGCTTGGTCTACTGTATCTACTGCTAACGAGAAGCTTGTACCGTTGTCAGATGAGTATGCACACCTAGCAAGCCCGTCCAAACTTGAGCGGTGTGGAAGTTTCCTGTCCACACTAACGAACACATGGTCGGTTCTGTACACATGAAGAAATGGGCGTCACGAGATCTATGTCCCACACAAGCGATTAGAACATAAAAACGAGGAAATCGCAGTAGTACACCGACATCTACAAGGTCAACGATCTGAAAGCAAAGCCTTCCTTTGACCCTCGTAGCCAAACCGCTCTCTCTGAAGCGCCGAAAGATCACCTAAGAAACATCGTCCATGACGGTCACCCCCGACGCTCATGTCAAAGACCTTGATGGAACTCTGCTGCTTCTTCAAAATCCATGGAATGGGTACTGGACCTCGAGCGAGCTTTGAGATGGAAGGGCGGGATAGTGTCGGTTATTCGCTGAAATGAACCAGAGAGCAACCTTAGCCAAGGTGCCCGGTGCAGGTAAGTAAGGCAGAGTTATGCGACGTACCACAATTTTATCACAATACTACGATCAGATGAGGCTTTCAGTAAAAGAGCACCTGAAAGCTGTGCTGGTTCGAGCAAAGATAGCTGGTCGTTTGAATACGTTATGGTCTGCCGAGATGGAGACATGACTTGGCTGTATGACGATTGGACGATTGGGAGCTGTGGTCGTGTGCGGCTTTCAAGGAGAGGCGCGTTAGAGGGGATACTTACGCCATCACCAACACCATCAGGAGTCTCGTCATCCATCTATCGTTGACCAGTCCGGCTGGAAGCACGAAAATATGCGGCAGCAGCTTTACCAGCGAAGTTTGAACTGGGAGATGCGGTACGCGGGTCCGCTCCGGGAAAGGACAGCATGTCAAGGACGCAGGAGAGCTTGATGGAAGAACGCTGATGGCAGCGAGGGATCAGAGGTTATGACGGGTTGCATTTATGTAGGGGCTGAAAAGCGACATGAGGACGATGTAAAGGGAGATAATGGAAGGGGAAGTGAACACACCACGAGTAACACCCTCCTCGTCCCTTTCCCGCTTCGCCCTCCGCTGCTCCCGGAAGCCGTTTAGAGGACCCCGGTCATGCATCCACGGTGATTGCTAGTGCGTCCCAGTCACCCTTAGAAATGCCCGTGCTCCTCCACGTATGCGGCCTCGACGCATACATCGCGTGACGCTCGCGGTAGTCAAGTCCTGCAAGCACCGTGGAGCATCCGCCAAGATGGGGCGTTTTGAGTGAGCGTAATTGTCCAAGTATGCATAGTCCATCTGAGTTCATCAACTAATCGGCGAGTGCTCGTTAATAATGAGCACGGGTGTTATCGCGATGGGTTTGATTTTGACGGAAATACGGGAAGCTAGAAGGAGGACAAAGGAGATGATCCATTAGCACAGAGGTCTGGGAGCGAGTGACAGGTTGAAAGGACACACCCATTCGCATGTTCACCGTTATTCTCTTCAACATATAGACACGTTTGTTATACACTGACATGGAGAAACAAGCTACAAGGCCGGGGGGCCATCGGGCCGTGGTTGATTTCGGAGGGCACCGCCACACCCGCCAGCTCACCGCACTGAAAGTAGTCCGCTCTACTCTGCTCGAGGCTGACCACCTCTGACTAGTCTTTTGCCCCTTCCCAGACCTCAAATGAAGTCTCATCCTCATGACGATAATTATAAGAGAGAACCCAAGAATGAATCGATTGATGAAGTTCGAGAAAGCTCGGAACCAACTCTCCCCGGGCATTTTCGGCGTGAAGTTGGACCCACAAACCCACATTTCCAGCCGGCGCGCGCCTGTCGTCGACGCCATGCACCACCATCATCGCCATCTACGCCCTGACCGCTGTTTTGGTCTGCCTCGACCTGTAACTCGAACGATAAGCCCATTCCCCGCATGCCATCAGACGCACACTCGACGCCCGATGTGGATGACGCACCCCGGCCCTTCGTAGGCCATACAGGAAAAATCACTGCTATCGAGTACTCTCCTGACGGCCGACTCATCGCAACTGCATCAGAGGATGCCAGCGTGCGTCTCTGGGATCCCCAAACAGGCCAACAAATCCAGATGATCGAGACCCATTGGCCAGCGCACTCCCTTACCTTCTCTCCCTCCGGCCTACACCTCGCTACTATCTGCGCAGAAGGCACTCCGACGGACGCACCCGTTGGAAAGGTCATGCTCTGGGGGATAAAGGAGGATGGTTTAGGTGTTTTGGAGGACACTGTGATCAAGACAGAGTACGAGAGCAAGTGGGAGGTGTCATACTTAGTCAGGTTTTCGACCGACAGCAAGCTCCTCGCTGTAATGACATCGACGCTCATTGCACTGCAAGATACCGAGACTGGACAGCTGATACTGGAAGCGTACAAAGCGGAGCATGGATATCAGCTCTTCCCTCTGTTAGCGTTTGCCTCTAGTAACCAAAGACTCCTATTCGCTTGCTACGATCCGCCCGAAGATCCTCCTCTACTCTATCGTCCCCCACAGCTCTACTCCTTTGACTTGTCCACGAGGCAACAGACACACGTCAACCTACCCACCGATCCATCCTATCATCGGCATACGCTTGTAGCCTCGCATGACGGATCGATGATCGCTGGAGATGACCGTCATGGAATCCGGGTCTGGGAAAGCAACAGTGGCGAGGTCTTGCACGCTTCACTCAGGGGAAGCGATTATAGTGCCGCGAGCTTTTGCTTCTCACAAGATGGCAAGTGGCTCTTCCACCCCTCCAGTGCGACACCCATGTGTGCATGGGATACTTCTACGGGAAAACTTGTGCTAGGCCCCCTGAGGTCGAACTCCAGAAGAGATAGGGGGATCACAGCAGCTGCTTGCTCTCTACGCAAGGATTACATCGCATGCGCTGATTCCTCGAACCATATACATGTATGGAACACTGACACCCAACAGCTTGTATTGTCATCGGTATGTGCAACCTTTCTATTAAAGGCCGCCTAGGCGAGTTGACCACGCTAACGGTGCTTGCAAAGGAGCCGTCCCCAGGGGAAGAGAAGAGGCTGCTGACCACCCGGAACACAGTTCACTCTATAGAGTGGTTCCCCGACGGACATCGTTTCATCACCAGTAGTAAAGACGACGACTATATCCGCACCTGGGACGCTGAGACCGGAGAACAAGTCCGCAAAGACTTATTCCGTGGAGGTTCTCTCATTTCCTTATCCGCAGACGGTTCATTGCTGGCCGCTGGCTCAACATGTTACTTGAGCTCGGTCATGTTCCTCGACGTCAAAACAGGCAACGACGTCAAATACTCTATCGATAGCCCCGCCCGCGCATGCCACAAGGTGAAGTTCTCTCCAGACTCCTCGATGCTTGGTGTAGTGCTCGACGATCTGTTCGATCTAAACCTGTGCTTTGTCTTCGATGTGGCTGGTGACCCCAAGACGACATTCGTAAAAAATCCCTCACTAGTGTCTGACGTTGCGTTTTCTCCGGACGGGAGGCGCTTTGCGTACTCAACCACGCGCGATGGCGCCCTCATCTGCGATGTCTCCTCGATGGATGTCATCGCCAATGTTTACTCCCCGTCGTCTGAACCGAGTTACCATTTTGATTCTGTGTCATTCTCCCCCGACGGCCGACAGCTTCTCACTTCATGGGTGAGAGACCTGGTGATATGGGATGTTGGCAAGGGCCAAATACTTCTCCGTCCATTTCGCCCAGAGAGCAGGTTCGTTAAGGCCATCTTTTCACCTGATGGACAGACCTTGCTATGCTCGTTACACAACTCGGTGCACATAGTCAATGTCGCATCAAATGGAGAAGTCTGGAAGGCCAAGTGGGAAGAGAAATCAGTCTCGGTCTCTGCGTTTGCGTCTGCACCTGGCGGAGAAAGAATAGTGGTTAGCCTAGCAGATGGTATGCAAGGTGGTACGATGATAATCCTTGAAGCTGCAACAGGTCGTGTGCTCCTCGTGAAAGTCGGTGTCCATCTTTTCTTCTGTCCGAACCTTATTAACCGTTCCCCACTGTTGCAGCCAAACAGCTCTTCACAAGAAGGATCCGTGTCGAGTGATGAACGACTAAACGTGACTGAGGTAAGCCAATCACCTCGCTGCAGTTGTCGTGCCAAATATATTCTCGGACAGAACTTGCGTAGCACTAGGCAGGGGCCATCGGGGCGAGGGCTTGGTTTGGCTGATGTGGATGACGACTCGATCATGAACGTACGTTCTTCGCTCCCGATTTTCCACGCTTGCCCACTGATCGGCGACACAGATGCCTGCCGTTCTTCGCAGCTCAGTTCCTAGGCGCAAAGAGAGTCCATCTAAATGGCAGAAGAACGGCAAAACAACTCAAATGCTTGACGAGCCCCGCCGCGGGTTCATCGCCCGTCTCACGTCACGTCACAAACCTGGCACAAAGGCCTCGGGTGAGCCCGACACTGATCACCGCCGCATGTCGCGAATGCTCGAGCTTGTTAGCGTTGGAAGAGCCAATCTGGTACGCATGGAATCACCGCCCCGTCGCATCTCTGACTGTGTTTCTTATGCTCAGCGCGTGATGGCCGCCGGACCGAGTGAACAAAACCGTCGCAGGGACACACGTCATGAAGAGGATTTTGATGAGAGTTCGAGTAGCCCGTCGCCTCCAGCTTCGAATCATCATCGGGCCGAGTCTCCAGAAATGGGTGTCGATGAGCAGAGGAGCAGCACACCGAGTAGTGATGGGCTCAAGGACATACTATGCTACTGCTTGTGTATACCGCGTTGTCACTGAGGCAACAGGTGCTTATGAGAAACCATGCTTAGGCGTATGGTTTGCGTACATCCATCGGCCTCGTGTCCATGCATCTTTGATATATTCAATTATCAAGCCATCATTACCGTTCACCAGCTATATCTGCTTTCGACTTCATATGGTTGAGCATGAAAGAATACATCACGTAACTACAAAGGCTCGTGATGAAGTCCTTGTCGGATACTCGTTCAGAATCCCTTGGATTAATTTGCAGCTACACTCTGTCTTCATGCAATAGTTATTTGGCGCGGGTTTATCCACAAACCTCAAAGCCATCTTCCCGTTCCTGGTGAACATCGTGACCTCGCTCCTCTGTCATCCTCATACCATCCTCACTCCATCATATTTCGTACCATCCCCCATTTCGATGAGCGTCGCTGTCAAGCAGGACTCTGCATCGAGACGAGAAAGCTCCAACAAACCATCTTAAGACGACGGGGCCTACATGTTGAAGAGAACAAAACCGACGAAAAGATGCTCAGCATTGAGTCAAGAGATGATACGAACGCATATACCTCCATTTCTGATTTCGTTCGGCATCCTTGACGATGTAATACCATTATCAGCCATATGCGCGTGCGCTATCATATGCTCCCCTGCTCCTTTGGGGGTTCGTTAAAGAGGGGAACTGTTCTAAGGAATGCACAACTTCCCAACACTTACATGATACAAGCGAAGGTGAAGACCATGCTATCATTTGAAGCGTGCATCTTGGGCGGCCTCCCTTCGTCTTGACAAGCGTGCGCTTGAGACCTTGCCTTGAAAAGTACTGGTTGGGCGCTAAGCGCTAAAGCCTTGCTGTATGGTTGCTTCGGCCCGTTCCGGAACTCTCCCTACCACGTGGCCGATTGCGGCTCGGCGTGTGGACTCCGACGCAGGTGAGGGTTCGGTTGGCCAAATACAACTCAAGAGTGCGCCTTTGACTTTCTCATTCGCGTGATGACTTATGTCCTTGCTATGGGCCTTCAAAGCGTCAGAGGCATCTACAGCTGCAAACGGCCCCAAGAAATGAAACTCTGAGCAAGCTCAGTCCCGGCTTTCGCCGAACATTTTTAGCGTGAAGTTGGACCCACAAACCCACATACCTGGCCAACGCGTGCCTGTCGTCGATGCCATGCACCGTCATCCACGTCCCGCTAGCTTTCTCAGTCTACCTCCACCTCCAATTCGAACGAGCAGCCCGGTTGTAGGATGTCATTGGGCGCACACACGGCCATCAACGCGGACGACCTTCCCCGACCTTTCACGGGTCATACAGATAATATCACCGCAATCGAATACTCCCCTGACGGCCGCCTCATTGCGACCGCATCTCTGGATGACACAGTGCGTCTATGGGATCCCGTGACAGGACAAGCACTCCAGAAGATCGACATACCTGATCGACCCATGTCCCTTGCATTCTCCCCCACAGGTAGACAGCTGGCCGCGATCTGCTACGGTACGACCGAGGGTACGACCGTGTGGGTCTGGGACGTGAGGGAGGACAGATCAGGAGTCATGCAGAATACCGTAACGAGGACGGAATACGAAAATGACAAAGGTTTGCATTGTGTCAGGTTTTCGAACAACGGAAAGCTCCTCGGCGTGGTGACACCCCTCCTCGTAGCTCTTCAAGATGCAGAGACAGGTCAGCTAGTCATGCTTGTGGCGAAGATGAGCGAAGGTCTCCGCCTCCTGGGTCTACTCGCATTTAGTTCGGACGACGAGAGAGTCCTATTCGCCTCCGGCAACCTTCCCTTCCCCACTGCCAACGTGGGGAGTATATATTCAAGTCAAGGTCCCGCAATGATATATTCCTTTGACTTGGCAACACGGCAACAGGAGTGCATCAGCCTCTCAGTTGATCCGTCTCATCATCTCTGGCTCCTTGTTGGTTCCTATGACGGATCTATGATCGCCGGGAATGCACCTCAAAGTTCCAAGATTTGGGAAGCCAACCGCGGCGAGGTCTTGCGCGGTCCACTCAGGGGCCATCTATTCGGGAGAACACAGAGCCTTTGCTTCTCACGAGATAGTCAGTGGCTCGTGGACGTCTCCAACGCGAGCGCCGTATGTATTTGGGATACATCTACAGGGAACTTGGTTCTAGGCCCTTTGATACAGCCGCCAAGCTTGGGAGCGACGCATATCAGTGAAGTCGCGTGTTCGCCATTGAAAGATCGTATTGCATGTGCTGACTCCAATAATGTCCACATATGGAGTGTAGATACTGAGCGGGTTGTATTGTCGTCGGTATGTGTAGTGGACTGCATGGAACATCCATATTCAGGCGAGCTGATCAAGGTATCTCCCCACAGATCCCTGACAAAACAAAGGTCCAACCACTGATTACCCCGGGCCGCGTTGCGGTAGATAGCGTCCATTGGTTCCCGGACGGGCGCCACATCATCAGCAGTAGTATGTATGATGACTACATCCGCACCTGGGACGCCGAAACCGGGGAGCAAGTCCGCAAGCACTTCTTCCGCGGCGGCTCATGCATTGCTCTATCCCCCGACGGCACATTGCTAGCCGCTGGCTCCGCATGCTACTTTGGATCCATCATGTTCTTCGACACCAAAACAGGCAATGAGTATCCTCATTCTCTCGATGGCCCTCGTCGAGCATGTCGCAAAGTCAAGTTCTCTCCCAGTGGTTCGACGCTTGCTGTGTTGCTTGACAACACACATGATACGAACCTGTGTTTCGTTGTTAATATTCTCGGTGACCGCAAGACGACCTTTGTGCAGCACCCATCCAAAGTCCTGGATGTCGCATTTTCGCCCGACGGAGACCAGTTCGCGTCCATCACCACGGACGACGGCATCCTCGTCTGCAGTACTTCGTCGATGGATGTGATTTCAAAGGTTTCCTATACAGCGTCCGACTTGGATGGCGCTATTTACTCTATCTCATTTTCACCTGATGGTCGACGCCTTCTCGTCTGCTCGAGAGGGCTCTTGATGTTGGACCTGGACACGTCCCAGACACTTCTTCATCTTTGGGAGAACTACCAGGATGTCCGGGGGATATTCTCGCCTGATGGGCGGACCTTGTTGTGCTCAATGCACTCTTTTTCCCTTCAAATGTTGAACGCAGCAACAGACACCCCGGTATGGCAGAACGAGGACCTAGGGAGTCACACGTACTTTGCATTCTCACCCGGAGGAGAAAGGATAGCTGTTGGTTTCCGGGAGGGTGCTCTCAGAGTTTACGAAGCGCCGACAGGTCGTGTGCTCCTCCCGAAAGTAAGTGTCTGCCTTGCTTTCTTTCTCGACTATATCCTGATCACGTTCTCCGCAGCGGGCTAGCTCCCCATCAAAAGACGGCTCTTCCAACGATGAGGTCGTTAATGTCGCCAGGGTAAGCCAAGTTTACTTGCTACACTCAGATTGGACTCCTGAATATGTTTCCATACAGGGTCAACAGAGTCCCAGGCTGGGACCATCGCGCCGAGGGCTTAGCCTAGCCGATGCAGACGATGATTCATTCATGAACGTACGTTCTCACACGCTAATGTTCGTTACATGCCTGCTGATTAGCGACACAGATGCCTGCAGTTGGTAGGAGATCTGCTCCCGGCGGTTCTCAAGCGCACCAAAAGGGCCTGTTCACTCAAAGGAAGAATAGCGGAGACAAGAACGCGTCGGATGAGGAGCCTCGCCGTGGATTCATTGCCCGCCTCACATCGCATCGCAAGTCTGACGCGCCCGCTTCGGATGAGGCCAATGATGGCCACCGCCGCATATCACGCATGCTTGAGCTCGTTAGCGTTGGGCGGGCTAATCTGGTAAGGGGATGCCTTGTGGTCACGTCGCGTGTTTAACATTAATCTTCTCCCTTAGCGCGTGATGGCCGCCGGACAAAGTGAACAAGGTCATCTCAGGGGTAGACTTCGGGAGGGAGAGTCTGATGAGAGCTCGAGCAGCCCGTCACCTCCAGCGTCGACTCGTCATCGGGTGGAGTCCCCCGAGACAGGTGTTGACGAACAGAGAAGCAATACGCCGAGCAGCGACGGGCTTAAGGATATATTGTGTTACTGCTTGTGTATACCACGCTGCCGTTGAGATTCTAGGTATCGCTTCCTTGACAATCCTGCGTAGTGGACAAGCAAGAAATTTCATACGTGCTTAACAAGCCTAGTCACATACCGTACAGCATACATTGCACCTATGAATTGGATGATTTACGTGGGTATCCCTTCTCCGTCACAGTCCAATTCCAATCATTCGTCCGAACGACTCAAACATGCTCAGTGGGGCCGCATCCTCGTCGACATACCGCACCCTGATGCTCCCATCCTTTGTTTCGGCGTGCACCTCGTCGCCTGCCCACTCATCGCCTTTCCACGTCCCGATGTCACCCACGATATAGCGTGCCGTGCGCTCGTGGTGGCCAATTGGCGTGCTCTCTGCGAGCAGAGCAGGCGACAGTGTCGACTTTTTGTCGTGCGATGCAGAGAGAATAAGCGGGCCGTGGAAGGAGCGAGGGATAGCGATCGTAATGCGACCGTCACTGGAGTACAGCTTCAAGTGAAAGGGAGCAATATTCCCAACTGGAATCTACCTCATCAAAGCGTGAGCAGAAAGCAAGAAGGACAGCGTGGAAAGTAGGTGCACGGATGGGGACGTGGGCGCAAGAACAGGACTCACAATGCGCGTGGATATCCACCCATCCTTCGTATGCATCTCCACTCTCGTTCGTTTCTCCGAAGCACCAACAGCCCCTTCTTCCCTCCCGCGGATCCAGACATCAGCATCGATGTGGCCATCCTTGGTCATGAGATAGAGATTCGTGCGTGTTTCCTCCGTTTCGTCTTTGCGCAGTGGTGGCAGCACATTCACTGGCAAGACCATACTCGGGTCAACATAGTACGACCCGTTGATATTGTCATCTTTCTTCACTAGCGAGAGATGGTTCGTCGGGCGCGTCGGGGGCGGAGGGAGCGGTTTCGCAACACCAGAAGGCGAGTCCAGCCCGTCTTCATGCTGGGTGACGGGAGGAGGAAGCTCGGAGTAAGCAGGAGGCCGAGGTCCGCTCTATACATGGAGGCACATGTGAGTCGATATCAGCCACGAAGAAACGAGCAAAAAGACCCACTTCGTCGGCTTGGAGCCCATCCAGAGCAGTGCCAGCGGTTTCATTGAGCCGTACTTTCGCGTCAGGGGTTGGAATGATCATGGCTATCCGAGTGTCGAACAGGGTTCGCTGCTTATCCAGCTGGCAAAGAAAGAATAATATGCCACTCTAGGAGCCACAGAGATAGCAGAAGAGCAGAGACAGGTAGTGCAGTTTGACGTGACATGGGCAGGAGGAGTACAAGGGCTGCGGCGCGGTCGTGGTGGCTATGCATCGTCTAATCGGATTTTGCCGACGTGGGGACGATGGCGGTCCACGGGAAAATCTCACAAACTTGGGTTGTACCTTCCGAAACTCGGTCTACATATGGTTACTCAGGTACTGCACCGCTACTAGCCATCTGTGGCAGAAACTGAACACGGACATGCTGCTCACAATGTGGCAGCCTACAGCTTACCTCTTTTTCGCGCTCTGGACAAGTTCAGTCAACTTGTTGACGTTCTAAAGTCTTTCGGCCGAGGTCGGATACCCGAACAAGCTTACAGCCACATACTTAGGCTCAGACATATCTTCACATGCATCCGCCTCAATCTTCAGATCTCCTCTTGTCCCTGCACTCCTATTTATACTCGTCAAACCAGGCGAAACGCACCTGACGCAGAGCTGAGTCAATCTGGTCACAACTTCTCGTGCTCGCCAGCTCACGGACCCCGCGCTGCCACACTCTTCTTCCCCACTTCCTCGTGCCTACCCCGGATTTGCATGCTTGGCGTTCGCGTATTGACCCACCCTTGCGTTTCAACGGATCAAGTGGACATGCACCTTGGGTTTACCACTCTGACTGTTTTCCTTTATCTGGACCGGAACATCTTACTTACCTGATGCTGTGTCCAGCGGACCGCCTGTCTTCTGGTGGCGGCCTCGTTTGCACTCACGAGGAGAGGTGAAGATGTCCTCTGACCTGTCACAAAACTCAACCCTGATAAGCCTGCTCATGGCGGCTCGACGGCTCACCACTTGTTGTGAGTTCTCGCCTGTTTGTATTGCATCATAAATTCGAACGAATTTATGACACAAGAACAAGATGTCATCAGAGCTGAGAAAGGACGAAATGAACTTGCCTCTCATCGTTGACTCGCCGAAATTGGACATAGCACGCTATCACGCTCGCGTACGTCTTCTGAGTGGATGCTCGCGCCTACCGTTTTATTAGTATCCTGGTTTTATCTATATTATGGTCTTCACTCGGAGGACACCGCGGCTCCTTTCCGCTTGACCTTTTTTCCGTCTGCAGATTGGGTTTGGAGACTAAATTAGCAGCGTCGCTCTTTCTGACTAGAACACCTTTATTGCAGATACTTTCATTGGCTGGTGAGCGACTTCATATCTCGTCAAACCTTCTGAGATGGCGCACGAACGGTTAAAGCTCTTATCATTGTGATAGCTCTGATTGACGAACCCCACGCATGTGATCGTGCTGCCTCAAACGATGCCTCCCGCCATCAACGTGACTCGCTCGAGCACCCGAGATAGCGATACTGGGAAGACAAAGTACTCATGTAGACGACCTGATAGGCATGGGATTGATGTTTCAGGTGTAATCCTCGCGCTAAAAGGAGCAGCCCTGAAGCGCGGTCCGGCGCGCCTCGATGGCGGCGGGCCGCGAGTGCTCCTGCCAAGGGCGCGACAAGGTAAACTTTGATAGCAGAGTTTTGGAGGAATGCTAATGCTGCGGCGATAGTCCACCTATCACTGGAAACCAGCACGGATTACTCAACAAAGGGCTCCCATGTCTCAAGCGCATGGAAGTATTGAAGGGTATAATCCCGCGCATGTCTCGCGTAATGAGTACACTTGTTGAGAAATTCCCGTAGATCTGGGATAAAGATGATGCTTGATGCACATGCGTTGATGTCGACGATCTCAGGCAACGTGGACGCGATGGTGTGTCGTCATCTCAGAGTTTCTGTCACGTTTGGAGAACCGCAGCGGTGCATCGTGCTGCTGAGACTCAAATGCTCCTAATACCGGAGACAGTGATACCTGAAATCGATGGATTACTGGTACTGCATGCCTGTACATTATCATATGCCTCTGTGGGATCCCGCTCACCACGGAGGTAGCAGCCGTTCTTTCAAGCGCTATCCGACTGAGATTCACCGATTATAGGATATTATGGATCCAGAGCAGTCAGGTTCTGCTTCGACTGATGGAACATTTGCGTCACTGATTGATAATTTTTAGTATGTGGAAAAGCAGGCCGCAGGCCCTGTAATCGATGCAGATGGTTAAATACAGGCACAGTACTATGGCTTCCGCAGCACCGCCGGCAATCCTCTACTACAAATTAAAGTAACGGGATGAGAGAAAAGTCAAGCAAAAGAAGACGAAACGGCTAGCATCTGAGTGGTACGAACATTTGTGAAGTCTACAAACTCCCGCGCGAGTTGCCCGCGAGTTCCATCATGGATTTGAAATGGCAAGTCGCGGAAGAAAACCCCCGCTGGCCGGCTCGGACCGTGAGTTGATTGCGGAGCGTCTCATGACCGGGCCGGTGGTGCGCCCCTTAGTTATAACCTCGCTGGCGCGGCTCGGACGGACAGTTGCCCATCTCCCTCCGTGCCTTCTCTCTCGCCCCTCCGCGTTCTTTAATCGATCTTCTATCTATCTCTTCGCAAGCCTATCCTCATTCAGTTTCAGCACTCAACATGCCCGCCACGAACGGAGTGAACGGCACGAATGGACACCATGTCGAGGCTGTAGTCCGACCCCTGAAGCCCGGCATCTACGCCCCGATCCCAACGTTCTTCCTCCCAGAGTCTGAGGATCTTGGTGAGCGGATGACGCGTATTACCCTTGGGTTACCGTCTCATCGTTGCCAACACGCTCTAATCACGTAACATCAAAACCCACTCATCTTAGATCTCCCCTCGCTCGAGGCCCACGTTCTCCGATGCGCAAATGCCGGTGTCGGACCCCTTCTGGCAGGCTCGATGGGCGAGGCCATCCACCTCTCGCACGCCGAGCGAGTCACAATCATCCAGACAACTCGCAAGGCCCTCGACGGCGCCGGCCTCACTCACGTGCCCATCATTGCGGGTGTCGGTGCAGGCAGCACGCGCGAGTCGATCGAGCTTACGCTCGAGGCGGCCAAGGCTGGTGCGGACTACGGCATCGCGATTGCAAGCGGGTACTTTGCGGGGGTTCTGGCTAACCACCGGGCGGCGCTCAAGGAGTTCTGGCGTGAGCTGAGCGAGAAGAGTCCGATCCCGATCATACTGTACAACTGTGAGCCTCAGAATCCGTTTCGAAGCTACCAATCTTTTCCTCTTTTGCCGTCGGCGACCTTTGCCCGCCTCTTCGTTATATCCATGACTTGACTCTGAGGGCGCTGACTGTATGTGCGCGGATGAAATACGGGGTTTCCTTGGTCTATCTTGTCTTCCATCCGTCTTTGGCTGACCTGAGCCCTCTTCTTTGTGCAGACCCTGGAGCAAGTGGCGGCATTAACCTCGATTCCGACCTTGTTGTTGAAATCGCTCAGGAATGTCCCAACACCGCCGGCATCAAGCTCACGTAGGTGGACCGTCTTCTCAGCTAAACGTATTCAACTCAATGATGTAAAATGTAGGTGTGGTGAGGTCGGCAAGCTCACACGTATCTGTGCAACTGTATCGGACCCCTCTTTCGCATCCGCATATCCTCGCAAGAACAAGAACGTGCCGTTCCTTGTCCTGGGCGGGTTTACTGACTTCATCTTGCCATCGACATACGCCAATGGTCACGGTGCTATTACCGGTCTAGCAAACGTTGCACCGGTACGTTTCATACACTACCTTTGCTCTCATCGGAACCAGAGTGCTGATTTTCATCTGACCTTCTTTGGTTCAATAATTTTCATCGTAAACCGTTCACCCGACTTCACCTCTCACAACCTCAACCACATCTATCCATATGAATCATCATATGCAAACAGAACGCGATCGCCCGCCTCTTCACCGTGAGCGAGGCATCGCGGTCGGACCTCTCTCTGCTCGCCGAGGCACAACGCTTGCAGGGCATCATCGCCCGCGCCGACTTCACCATCGCGAAGGCCGGGATTTCCGGCACGAAGGCGCTCCTCGAGCGCTTGTACGGGTACGGAGGCGTGCCTCGGCGGCCGCTCCCGCCCATTGCACCTGAGGCGGCCGAAGCGCTGTGGGAACATTCGCACACCCGCGACTTGGTGGCCCTCGAGCGAGAGTCCGCTGGGAAGGCCAAGTAAGCGAGCTATTAATTAAGCACAACGGATCATAGAGGAAGTGGCAGGCAGCTGTTGCTCTCGAGTGATTTTGTCACTTCGATGGGTGTATACCTTCAGCGAGATGCACACGTAGGATGGACTGACGATTCACGAGACGTAGTACAGTAAGTAGAAGTCGTGCACACGTTGTATTTTTACTTCATGCAGGATCATATATTGTATGCATTGCTTGGGATTATCTGGCTTGTTTTATGCAGTAGAGATCGCCACCTACCATGGGCAATGTCCTTCATGGTGTTGTTCGACCTGACCTTAACTCGATCCGGAGGCGCATACATTCACCCCCGTACATATCATCATACTTCCCCCACTTTTGTTTGCTCATGCTTGACAAAAATCTATATGAGGGTTAGGGTTAGCGCCGTTTTCGACCTTGAGCTCGTGAGCATGGAGCGCTCGTAGCGGAGACAGCATCTGTTTGACGGCCTTGAATGACGAACACAGCAGAGCACAGCTCGGTGATGCGCGGTGAGTGATTGTCGGCCTCGTCGGTGTCAGCTGAGATGCTTGTATGCGTCGACATCAGATGTCGATCGTCTCTGCCAGTGTGAAGAAACAAACATTAACGCCATCGGCTCACATCTGTTATTGTGGTGCTTTAGGACATTATAACCACATCCTTCTGATACGAATGGCCTTCTGTCGCGTCGAAAGTTCAGTGCGTGGCTAAGCTCCGAGGACAGTGTGTTGAAGATGTGCACGAGGAGAAAGATCCGTGGGCCAAGGCACCGGCGCGCTAACCGGCATCAACTCGCGACGGACTTCGGCGACCAAATGGTCCGCCCAGGTGACACGTCTCCTCGAACACATGCATCCTTAAAAGCTGACTGCCTCTATGTAGTATGGAACGCACAGTGCTGCACAGGGTCACCTCAACGTTTGGTGCCTGTTTGATGCATACACTCGGGGGGTTCGCTTCATGCCAGCAAACGTTCAAACCATTTCAGCTTCCGTCGCTCATTCATCAGTTCGGCGCCAAGAGCCAGGGCAGTCGTGCAGCGCATGCCCCGCCAACGGCATGGGCGTCGGTCATTGAATCTGATGTTCTTTGGCTCATCTCGGGACCCAGCTATTGCGGTCAAAACAGATCGACCACATCTCTGTTACTTTCCGAGGAATCCAATGCGGTGCCGGTAACCGCAAGCAAACTTACAATATACACAGGTGTTCATCAGTATCTTGGCAACACCAATTGTAGTTGCACTGGTCTTGAAGGTCCAGAAGGCTTTTCGGCGGCATTCGCAGGCAGGTTCTCTGCATCATCCCAGTTGCCATCTATTGTCGATCAACGACGGCCAGTCGGTGAGGGGTGGTAGAGTGTGATGCAAGAATTTGAATGAATCGTTCTGATCGCCTCAGCGTATGTACAAATACCTCAGGTTTGGACGCCGAGAGTCTCAGCCTTTTCGTTCTCTTCTAAGCATTAGCTTCACTCGTTTCACCGTACCCCCCTGATCACTATGTTCCGCACTGTCGCCCTTTTCCTCTGCGTCATCTCTCCCGCCCTTGCGGCTGTCGTGATGGTCGGTTCTTTCATCCATTTTTCCTCCCGTAAAGCATTCACCGCGCTGACTCATATTTTATACAGGAGCGCAACCCCTCCCCGGCGGATCAGCAGACCTACCTCAAGGTACACAACGCCGAGCGAGCCAAGCACGGCGCGAAGGCGCTCACCTGGAACGCGACGCTCGCGACCAAGGCCCAGCAGTGGGCGAACAAGTGCCACTTTGAGCACTCGGGCGGGTCACTCGGTCCCTACGGTGGTGCGTCTGCCCTCCTCTTTTTGTATTTTTTGGGGGTTTAAGCATGCATTTCGACAGAGAACCTCGCCGCGGGCACCGGAGACTACACCATCACGGACGCCATTAACGGCTGGGACAACGAGGAGTGTGCGTCCTCTCGAGCAGTCTTCCTTGTCTAATCTTGATCAATTCGACTGCTTTAATCCCTCTTAGCGCAATACAACCCTTCGAGCCCTCAGTACTCCCACTGGACCCAGGTGGTCTGGAAGGGCACACACCAGCTCGGCTGCGCCGAGGCGACTTGCAATGGTATCTTCGATCCCAAGTACGGTGTAAGTGACCATCTCCGTGACATTTACTTCCGAAAGTATTGACTGTTTTTTGTTCTCTGCAGGCCGCCAAGTACTACGTCTGCGAGTACTACCCCGCCGGCAACGTCATTGGCGAATTTGCGTAAGTGCCTGTCGATTCCGCATTTAGGGTATGGTTGTCTGACATCGTGCTACAGTCAAAACGTCCAGAAGTAAGGCGCATACACACGATTTGGGGAGACGTTTTATATCTCCTGTGCCATTCGCTCGGTAGATATTTATGTGGTAATGTAACAGAATTCGGCTTGGAGCCGACTGTTTGGCCGGATGGCAGTGTAAACATCGACCAGCCAGACTATGCGTGACGCAGAGATACTGTGATTGTGATATGAAGGTAGGTTTATGCATATATGCGCCCTTAAGGCCGATGTCAGAACGGCCTTTTGGGACTCAAAAATGAAAGGTCCCTGAGTCGAGTTATCCTGCTAACTGAGAATTTATTATTCAGTCGACAACCTCTAAATGCTCCAGCACAACCTTCTCCCACTCGTGCCTGCCATCCTCATCCACCTCGCCCTCATCCTTGATTGCGCGCTCGAATACCTCCCAGGGGACGCAACCACGTTCAACCGATACTGCAGGCGTCTGCTCAAGGCTGGTTTGTGCAGCAGCGTCTTCGCCTTCCGACTTTTGGGTCACCAGATCATTTGCCTCTGCGGACGCGGGAGGCTTGTGAGGTTGCTCCACGTCCCCGACTTCTGAGACTGCGGGGTGTGATTCCATACCGAGAGCGAAGCGCCCTTGCTGCGAGCGAGTGAGGGTGACGACGTGAGCGGCGGAGCCAAGAGCATGCCCGAGATCGTGCACAATGGAGCGGACGTATGTCCCGCCCGAGACGCGCATTTTGAGCACGAAGGCGGTCGGGTGTTCCGCAGTTGTGTCCGTTGGTGGGGTAATTGGCTCCTCCGCCTTGGACTCCGCCACCCCCGCCACCTCTGCTTCCGTATCCACGCGTGCCTTCTTCCTCGGCGGCTCCTGCCCGTCTCCCTCTCCCTCTTGTCCGGCCTTGACAGCTGTCTCGCCCTCATCCTTCACCTGCGGATCCTCCTCCACGCTACTCAGCGCCTTTTCCAGTGCTCGTTTTTCATCATCCGTGAACCTCTTCTCGGGCCAGACAAACCGATGGTCGGCGCCCTTCCACTCCTCGAGCTCGAGAGAGTGCACGGTGACGCTCCGTCGCTCGATGGGCCGAGGGAGAGGTATGCCCTTTCGTGCGTACTCGTAGAGTGGTTTCCCGTCCATCTTTAGGGCGGAGAATCTATTGTATGAGAGCGGATAAGTGAGTCATCGAAGAAGCAAGGGCGACGCAGAGAAGGCAACTCCTCGGTAGGGAGAAGGCACCTGGATGACATAAAAGGAGGGATAATGAAGACATACATAGGTGGCGTCTGCTGGATCTCTCCCCGGAACTGAGCGAGCGCTTTCTCGACGGCATCCTTTGTGACGTGTTTCCATGGTGCGGCGCGGACTTGTGCGCCTTCGGAGTCGTAGGTATCTGTTTCACATCCTAGAAGAGCTGTGGTTCGATATTCCTAGACAAAGAAGCACATACATGGACGCATACAAGGAGGGAGATAAAAAAGAATCTGGTGAGACGCGGAACAGGATGGGCGAGGGCAGGGTAACACACCTTGACGCAGTCGAGGAAGTCACCCAGACGCTTCGTGCCCTTCCCAATGCCTACCACTGCAATATAGAGAAAGATGTTAATTTTTGACTCGACAAAATGCAGAGGCCGCATGCCTACCTACCGAGAACCCCATCCGCGAGCGGGTCGAGTGTGCCGCCCTGGCCGAGCTTCACTGCATCGCGCCCTCGCTTCTTCCCGCGTCCAAATTTTCCTTTGCCTTTTCCGCCCGACTGTGCATCTCCATCTTTTTGCTTGTCCAGTTTGTCTTGGGAGACGAAGAGCGGGGATGAGTTGATGAGTGGTTTGATAGAGTCGAGGATGGACATGGACGTCGGGCCGGAGGGCTTCGCGATGGCGAAGAGACCGGAGAGAGGAAGGGAGGAGAAGGGCGCTTTTGGCATGTTCGGCAACGTTGAGGGCGAGCTTGTCGACTTAAGATTGGATGCTAAAGATTGGATGCTATGAAATCCACTACGTCGTGAACGACGACGACGAGCCCAAAAGTAAGTCTGAGCAGGCACTGGCAAAAGCGCTCGCGGCTCCTTGAGCCGCGGAAACGCCCCTATCCCACAACCTGAGAGAAACCCCTGCGCGTCAATTTATCTCTTGATTAACACTCAACTCACTCATTACAGCGTCATCCGGAAATCAAAGCGATAGTACATGTTACTCGGATTATCGATGATCTAGGCGTAATCTCTGAGTAGCCTACATACGCTCATTTGCGGCTTCGCGCAGGTCGCAGCGACATGCATGGTTGGTAGCCTCTCCACCACGCTCGTCGGATGCTACAAAGGGCACGTACGAGGCGAGTACGCTTATCCACACGGTCTTAGCAGAGCTTCTATTGGCTAGGTGAACTGCACCATAGAAGTGCACATACTTAGGTAATATTTCTACCAGTCGGCTGCACCCAAGTTAGCTAACCTGAATCGGATGAGGATCAAAAGCATGTTCCGCATATGCAGTGTGAAGCGTTGTAAACACTACCCCCCTTGTTTATGTCAAACGGGCAGGCCACCAACTTGCGCACCCTATGGCATGAGCAGCATGCAATTGCGCAAGGAGCATGAACCAACAGCTTCAACTTCAAGCTTCAAGTCAACCTGGATGTTTGTGGTGACCCGGCCCGACGTGAGAACGAAGCTCTCGCCAAGATCGGAGGCAATGTCACTTCCACGGAAAACCTCGAGGCCTGTCAGAAAAGCGGGGCAACATACCCAGACCACTTCTCCCAGCCCCTATCGATTGCTCAGCCCTCGACGACTCGATGACTGACCTACTTTCTTAGCTACTCACTCCTACTACCACAAGGAAACTTTTGCAGGCATTATGAACGACTGGGTAACCACCACAGCCGCCGCCACCACGGTCTGGATCGCCGCATGAATTGATGCGGAGATCAAAAGACGAGGGCAGAAACAGCGCGTGCATCTCTCGGCACATTTTTAGCTTCTTGTCCCCGTTCCCGCACCTGTCCGTCGTTCGCTTGCCCAGCTTCTCTACGCTCTTTACCTCTCCTTCCCCTCAAGGCCTTACCCTCGTAACACCCAAAACACATACACAATGCTCGGAAAGACTACTTTCGCTTCTGCTGCTGTTGCTGCTCTCCTCGCCGCCGCTCCTGCTGCCGCCCAGTCCAACTCTGGTCTGTCCATTATCTCCCCTGGACCCGAGGATTGGTGGGGTACGTGTTACCTTTTGCTCTTTGAAAACGTCTGACCAATGTTGCTGACTGTTTGTTGGTTCTGCGTCGTTTTTTCAATTCCTTTCAACCATAACGGCGATTCACGAACTTAGTCGCTCAGTCGACCAACACTCTTGCGTGGACTTGCAACTCGTCCCCGTACGAGAACTTCACTATCACGTACGTGTGTCTCTATACTACCCATCCCTTCCATTTCTTCCCCTCCACGAGTTTGTCTCGGCGAAGGCTTGAGTTGCGCCACCTGAATACATGCGGTGTGCTTCTCGGCTTCCCACACTCATCTCGCCCCGCCACCCAATGATCTTTCTTAGTCCTTGTCTCGAGTCTCACTGAGGCATCAAGTTGCCTCTCTAAGGTGCTGAGAACTAGACTTGTGTCCCACATGCCTGCGACCGCTCTCATACCTAGTCTCACTTCATGCATTTGACCAAAATGTACTGACCTGTTCATTTCGACAGGATCGCGAACCCAAACGTTCCCAACTACCAGGTCCCCCAGCCGATCATCGCCGTTCAGTACAACTATGACTGCTCCGAATCGATCACCCAGGAACAGTCCAACCGCCCTGCGGCTCCGGGATATGTTATCGCCCTCGTGAACACCATCAACTCGACCGAGGTGCGTAATCTATCATGCTTACCCATTTCCCTCTGCATCCCAATTTGAGAACTTTCTAACCACCTTTGGTCGCTCACAGGTCTACGCAAGCGCCACCTTCGAGATCAAGGCCCTCGGCGCGGCTTACCCGACCTCGACGCCCTCCGCAACTCAGTCGGGTGGTGCGTCCGGCACTGGCTCTGGTTCGAACCCTTCCTCGACTGGCACAAACGGTGCCGCTGGCTTCTACATTCCCTCCGCCTTCGGCATCGCCTCGGCTCTTGCACTCTCTTGGATCTTTGCTTGAGCTAGCCCTTCATTTCCTGGGTGGGCTTGGCTGGATAGCTCAATGATTTTCCTATGATACCTTTCCCGTTGGTCTCTTGTTCTGTGAAGGACTCCATCATAGACTTTTTCTTCGTTACCTTTTGTTCCAAGTTTTTCGAGAAATGGTCTGGTTGAGTGGACCTTCGGACATGTGGGGCTGACAGACTTGCCAATTGTTGTTTGTTTATAATATGCGCTAGTGACTCGAACTGTCGTACGAGTGGGTTGTGATCGTTAATTCATTGCATGTGCTTATCGTCGTCTAGTTCCTCTGGTTTAATCGTGATGGACTGTTGAATGTATGCGCATACACTCTAAGCACAGCCAGCTGTTAGTTTTCAGTGCGAAAGACGGGTGTCATCTAGCGCAGCTTTACCCATGACCTCAGCGCACACCCGATGTTGGTTTCCAAAGCTTCAAGCGCGCGCTTGCCAAGGCGAAGCGGAGCATGCAAGATGGACGCTCTGGATAAATCTGTTGGTGAATAATAGCTGCTAAGCTCTAACACCATCGACGTTTGGTGATGCACGTTGCAGAGGGCAGAAAGAACTTCCTCTAGGCGCCCAGCTGCCTTGTAGGGTATAAATATTCTTCAAGCCCAAGGCACCGCTAGTAGCTGTGTGCTTCATGAAACTCGCAGTCTCCACCTCCGCTGACAACTAAGCGCTTGGGAATCTGTCACTCCTCACTGGCGTTTTTCCTCACAGCGAACCGAAGGATCAATTGAAGGCATCCTCCTTGGCGCAAACGCATATCAACGGCGACGGGTTAAAAGCGCCCTCAAGCGTGCCCATGACCGGGATTGGGATGGAGGTATGCGCACCCATATCGTTTCTCACCTCGACGCCAAGCATCTTTTCCCTATCCTTGCTACCCTCTCTATCTTGCAGGCTCCGCCGTCCTATGGCCAAAGCACCTCTGAATCCATTGGATTGCGTTCTCGAGAAGATGCCCCGAGCTTCTCCGCCGATGTCCCAAACCGAAAAGACTGTAGTACTACCACAGCCTCGCAACCTCCCAGGTTCTCCCGCGCGACGAACTTCCTGTACCGGTCGAGCGAGGGCGGGATGCTGGCAGGAGCGTTCGCGATCGACCCCTCGATGCACATTCCCGCCTTCCTGCTTCCTCCTCTCCCTCCAGGGAGGGAAGAGAGCGAGCGGCGGAATTTGAGGCTTGTTTCGCGGTGCGGGGGTGTGAACGTCGATGTACTGCTTTTGGCGCCGGGGCAGGAGTCCACAAACGGACAGTTGCCTGCATCCACCATGGCCTCCGAGCAGCCAGCTGGACGACGCGCGTGGTTGGAGGTCGTGTCGGAGTACGGGGATGTCAGCGTAAACATGGTAAGTACGACGCACTGTGCGACCTTAGCTCGTCGACAAGGTCTGATAATGGACGTCTTTGACTACAGAACACAGAACCAGATGCAGGAATATATTTTCTCAAAGTTTTAGCTTCTGATGGGTTCGTGTCCGTCACCCTCCCCCGCACGTTCCGGGGGCTAGTCCGCCTCGGCACGGCGAACGGGTCTGCATCGCTCGGCGAAGCGCTGATGGGCGAATGCACGCCCCTGAGTGACGCAGCCAGCTATCACAGGTGGTTCGTCGGTGGTCTCTCTGCCGATTCTGGAACTCTGCTCAATAACGATGCCAGTCGCAATGGCGACGAAGGCGGAAAGGTTCGTGAAGTGAGGATGACAAAGGGATGGCAGGGGAACGAAGTCGCAGTGTTTGTCAGGAACGGCAGGATACTTGTAAGGTATGCGGACGAAGCTGCGCTGGTTTTATCGCGGAGACCAAGTGCTGCTGCAAACAAATCCAAGGGACTTTGGGAAAGGATCCGTCAGGTGGTGATGAAGACGCGAGGTGAGCTGGTTTTTAGCGCATGATATACCCTTTCATGCTCAGATCTAAGCAGCTAAGGTTAGGAGCCAACCAAAAAATGCCAACAATGACCTAGGAGGTCACTGGATAAATTGAAGATGGTTAAACACCTTGAGAATGATCGTAATACATACGGCATATGCCTAAGCATTGTCACAAGTGCCTTTCCCGGCTGATCCACCTCCTGTACTCCATCCAGTTCATGAATCACGAACGTCACGAACACCACTTTGTTGAGATAAAACCCACCCATCAAATCTCCAACATATCCCGTGACCAGTAAAGAAGCGGAGGGGCCTCTTGCCTCAGTGACAACGAGGTATACACAAGCAGTAGCACAATATGTCCTTGAGCCCATCACTGCTCGGTGTGTTGCTCCTCTGCTCGTCAACACCCATTTCCGGGGATTCAACTCGACGACGAGTCGATGCTGGAGGCGACGGGCTATTCGAACTCTCATCAGCCGCAGCCTCCAGACGTCTATCTCTGCGATGACCTTGTTCGCTTGGTCCGGCGGCCATGACGCGCTAAGGAAGACAAAAAAACCTGTAAAAAATGCGACATGAACAAAAGGCATCTCCTTACCAGATTGGCCCGCCCAACGCTAACGAACACAGACATGCGTGACATGCGGCGGTGGCCATCATTGGCCTCAGAACCCGATGCGTCGGACTTGCGACGCGATGTGAGGCGGGCAACGAGTCCACGGCGAGGCTCCTCATCCGGCTCGTTCTTGTCTCCGCTATTCTTCCTTTGAGTGAACGAGCCCTTTTGGCGCGCTTGAGAGCCTCCGGGAGCAGATCTCCTAACAACCGCAGGCATCTATGTCGCTGATCAACAGGCATGTAACGAGAATCCTCAAGGGCTAAGGGCGCACGTTCATGAATGAATCATCGTCTGCATCGGCTAGGCTAAGCCCTCGGCGAGATGGTCCCAGCCTAGGACTCTGCTCATCCTGCGTGGAAACACTTTTGAGAATAACATTTGGGCGCAACAAGTAGACTTGGCTTACCCTAGCGACGTTAGTGACCTCATCACCCGAAGAGTGTTTATCCGATGCGCTGTTTGGCTACGGAAAATATCATCGATTAGGATACAGTGCAGGGACAAAGGATGTCAGACACTCACTTTGGGGAGGAGAATACGACCCGTCCCTGCTTCATAGATCCTGAGGCCACCGTTCTTAAAACCAGCAGCTATCCTTTCTCCTCCGGGTGAAAACGCAAAGTATGTGCGACTCGGTAGCCTATTGTCCTGCCAAACCGGGAGTCCTGTTGCTACGCTCAACATTTCCATGGAAGAAGGGTTCTTTGAACACAATAACGTTCGTCCATCAGGCGATAACACCCCCCAGACCCGCCAGTCTTTCTTATAAAGATGAAGAAGTGTCTGAGACGTGTCCAGGTCCAGCATCAAGAGTCCCCACGAGCACGCAAGAAGACTTCGACCATCAGGTGAAAATGAGATAGAGTGAATAGCGCCATCCAGGTCGGACGCTGTATAGGACACCTTTGAAATCACATCCATCGACGAAGTACTGCAGACGAGGATGCCGTCGTTTGTGGTGATGGACGCGAACTGGTCTCCGTCGGGCGAAAATGCGACATCCAGAACTGTGGATGGGTGCTGCACAAAGGTCGTCTTGCGGTCACCGAGAATATTAATAACGAAACACAGGTTCGTGTCATGTGTGTCGTCAAGCAACACAGCGAGAGTCGAACCACTGGGAGAGAACTTGACTTTGCGACATGCTCGACGAGGGCCATCGAGAGAGTGAGGATACTCATTTCCTGTTTTGGTGTCGAAGAACATGATGGATCCAAAGTAGCATGCGGAGCCAGCGGCTAGCAATGTGCCGTTGGGGGATAGAGCAATGCATGAGCCGCCGCGGAAGAGGTGCTTGCGGACTTGCTCCCCGGTTTCGGCGTCCCAGGTGCGGATGTAGTCGTCACACATACTGCTGCTGATGATGTGGCGGCCATCCGGGAACCAATGCACACTATCTACCGCAACGTAGCCCGGGGTAATCAGTGGCTGGACCTGTGTTTCCTCTGGGAGCTGCGGGGAGGTACCTTGATCAGCTCGCCGGAACGAGGGTGTCCCATGCAGTCTACACATACCGACGACAAGACAACCCGCTCTGCATCAACACTCCACACATGGACATTATTGGAGTCAGCACATGCGATGCGATCTTTCAACGGCGAACACGCGACTGCACTGATATGTGTCGCTCCCCAGCCCGGCGGCTGCATCAAGGGACCTAGGACCAAGTTCCCTGTAGATGTATCCCAGACACATACGGTGTTTGCGTCAGAGACATCAAGGAGCCACCGCCCATCCCGCGAGAGGCAAAGGGTTCTTGTTTTCCATAGATGGCCCCTGAGTGGACCGCGCAAGACCTCGCCACGGGTGGATTCCCAAAGGAAACTGTGAGGCGCTTTCCCGGCAATCACAGATCCGTCATAAGAACCAACAAGGAGCCAGAGATGATGAGACGGATCAGCTGAGAGGCTGATGCACTCCTGTTGTCTTGTTGCCAAGTCAAAGGAATATATCACCGCGGGATTATGACTTGTATCTCCACTCGCCACGTTGGTAGTGGGGAAGGGAAGGCCGCCGGAAGCAAAAAGGAGCTTTTCATCGTTCAAACTAAATGCGAGTAGACCCAGGAGGCGGAGACTCTCGCTCATCTTCGCCACATGCATAACTAGCTGGCCTGTCTCTGCATCTTGAAGAGCTACGAGCAGGGGTGTCACCACGCCGAGGAGCTTTCCGTTATTAGAGAACCTGACAGAATGCAAACCCACGTCATTCTCGTATTCCGTCTTTGTTACGGTATTCTGCATGACCCCTGATCTGTCCTCCCTTACGTCCCAGACCAACACGGTCGTACCCTCAGTCGTACCGTAGCAGATCGTGGCAAGCTTTCTACTTGTGGGGGAAAATGCAAGGGACATGGGTCGACTAGGTATGTCGATCTTCTGGAGTGCCTGTCCCGTGACGGAATCCCAGAGACGTACTGTGTCATCCAGAGATGCGGTCGCAATGAGGCGGCCGTCAGGGGAGTATTCGATTGCGGTGATATTGTCTGTATGACCCGTGAAAGGTTGGGGAGGGTCATCCGCGTTGACGGCGGTGTGTGCGTCCAATAACATGCTACCACTAGTTGTGGCTCTTCGTTCGAGGTAATGATTGAGACGGATTGAGAGGGCGATCTTGTAGTGGACGGTGGTGGTAGTGGAGCATGGCATCGACGACAAACGCACGTTGGCCAGGAATGCGGGTTTGTGGGTCCAACTTCACGCTAAAAATGTTCGGCGAAAGCCGGGACTGAGCTTGCTCAGAGTTTCATTTCTTGGGGCCGTTTGCAACTGTAGATGCCTCTGACGCTTTGAAGGCCCATAGCAAGGACATAAGTCATCATGCGCTCTTGATTTGTATTTGGCCAACCGAACCCTCACCTGCGTCGGAGTCCGCACGTGGTATGGGGAGTTCCGGAACCGGCCGAAGCGTACAGCAAGGCTTTAGCGCTTTGTGCTCAACCGGTATTTTTCAAGAGTATCGGCTTTCCAAGGTCTCAAGCGCAGGCTTGTCAAGACGAAGGGAGGCCGCCAAAGATGCATGCCTCAGATGATGATATGGTCTTCATATTCACTTTTATGTGAGTGTCGGGAAGTTGTGCATTGACCTTGAACGGTTTCCCTTTTTAACGAACTGCCAGGGGAGCATAATAGCCCGGGAAGATGGATGAACCTGCGCCAAACAAGTATGGCATGGAGACAGAGTGTAGCTACAAAGGAGTCAAAGGGATTCTGAGCGAGTATCCGTCAAGTCGCGACTTCATCGCGAGCCTTTGTAGTTACGCGATGTGTTATTTCATGCTCAGCATACGAAGTCGAAAGTAGATACAACTAGCGAACGGTAATGATGGTTTGGTGATTGGATAATTAAAGATGCATGGAAATAGGGCCGATCGACGTACACAAACCATACGCCTAAGCATCGGTCATTATAGGCACCTGGTGCCTCAGTGACAACGCGGTATACACAAGCAATAGCACAGTATGTCCTTGAGCCCATCACTACTCGGTGTGTTGCTCCTCTGCTCGTCGACGCCCATTTCCGGAGAGTCAGCTCGATGACGAGTCGAAGCTGGAGGCGACGGGCTGCTCGAACTCTCATCGGATTCACCCTCATGACGTGTGCCTCTGCGACGGCTTGGTTCACTCGGTCCCGCGGCCATCACGCGCTAAGCACAAGAAACGCTATCAGAGACGCGACCGGGCGGTGATTCCGTGCTTACCAGATTGGCTCTCCCAACGCTGACAAGCTCGAGCATTCTGGACATGCGGCGATGGCTAGCGTCGGGTTCACTTGAGATTATTGTACCGGGTTTGCGACGCGAGGTGAGACGGGCGATGAACCCGCGGCGGGGCTCCTCGTCGAGCTCATCCGTTGTTCTACTTTTCTTTTGTTGTTCAGATGAGCCTTCTTTGCGTCTAGGAACTGAACTCCGGAAAGCCGCAGGCATCTGTGTCGCCGATTAGTGGGCAGACGGGGAAATCAAGAGCGGAGAACGTACGTTCATGATCGAGTCGTCATCTACATCAGCCAAGCCAAGCCCTTGCCGTGATGGCCCCTGTACAGTGCTACGCAAGTCCTGTACGGGGGTGTACTTGAGATGACCATTTCTGTGCGGCGAGGGGATTGGCTTACCTCAGCCACTTTTGATGGTTCACCACCTGTGATGGATCTTTGTTGTGACGAGCTGTCTCGCTGCAAGAGGAAGGAACGGTAAGTAAGATTCCGACAAGCGAGAAAGGACGGACGCTGACTTTCGGGAGGAGCACATGTCCTGTTGCTGCTTCATAGACCCTCATCGTACCGCCTGTGAAACTAACCGCTATTCTTTCTCCACCAGGCGCAAACGCAATCGCAATGACGGAGGCTCGTTTTTCCTGCGGTTCGACTTGCCAAACTTCCTCATTTGTTGCCGCATTGAGTATATGAAGCGAATCGCGCAACGAGCATAGTAAAGTCCGTCCATCAGGTGAGAATATGGCCTCGTCGAAGTTGCCTTTCGGCTGGGACGGATGGGGAAGTATTTGACTTGTTTCAATGTCCCATATCACCAGGTCTCTCACCCATGACGTGAGAAGTTGTCGACCGTTGGGCGAGAATGACACGGAGTCAGACAGATAAGATGTTTTAGATGACGGGGAGTAAACCGTAGCGACAACATCCATCGACGAGATATCACAAAGAAGGGTGCCATCGCGCGTGGTTGAGTACGCAAAGTGCCTCCCGTCCGGGGAGAATGCAACGTCAGAGACTAGTGAGGGGTTCTTCACGAAAATCGTCTTGCGTTCACCAAGTACATCAAGTATAAAGCACAGGTTCAGGTCGGACGAATTGTCGAGCACGACACCAAGGACCGAGGAGTCTGGAGAGAACTTCACCTTGTGGCATGCGCGAGCGGGGCTGTCGATAGGGTATTTGACGACGTTGCCTGTTTTGACGTCGAGGAACATGACTGAGCTCAAGTAGCATGTTGAGCCAGCGGCCAGCAATGAACCATCTGCAGATAGGGAAATGAGGGAACCTCCACGGAACAAGTACTTTCGGACTTGTTCTCCAGTTTGCGCATCCCACGTGCGGATATAATCGTCGTCTTTGCTACTGGTGATGAACCGTTGTCCGTCAGGGAACCACACTATAGAGTGAACCACGGCTCGCGTGGTCAGCGGTCTCTTCTCTTCCCCTGGGGCTGGCTCCTTTGCAAGCATCGTTAGTGTGGTCAACTTGCCTTAGAGGCCTTGATTAGTTGCACATACCGATGATAGAACAATTTCCTGAGTGTTAGTATTCCATACGTGTATATGGTTGGAGGAACCAGTGCATGCGATACGATCCTTGCCCGGAGAACAGGCAGCTGCTGTAATCCCCGTATCTCCTCTGAAGTTCGACCTCAGGGGGCCTAACACCAGTTTTCCTGTAGATGTATCCCATGCACACATAGGCTTCGTGCCGGAGGTGTGGATGAGCCACTTCCCGTCTTGTGAGAAGCAAGGGTTCGCGGCGCTATCCTCGCTTCCCCTAAGCGAGGCATGCAAGACTTCGCCGCTGTTGCTTTCCCAGACCCGGATTCCATGATGGCCATCTCCAGCTATCATTGACCCGTCATAAGAGGCTGCAAGTGTATGCCGATGATAGGATGGATCGGTGGGTAGGTTGACGTGTGTCTGTTGCCTCGTCGACAAGTCAAAGGAGTAGAGCTGTGGGGGACGATAGAGTAGAGGAGGATCTTCGGGCGGGTCGTAGCAAGCGAATAGGAGTCTTTGGTTACTAGAGGCAAACGCTAACAGAGGGAAGAGCTGATATCCATGCTCCGCTTTGTACGCTTCCAGTACCAGCTGTCCAGTTTCTGTGTCTTGCAGTGCAATGAGCGTCGATGTCATTACAGCGAGGAGCTTGCTGTCGGTCGAAAACCTGACCAAATATGACACCCCCCACTTGCTCTCGTACTCCGTCTTGACCATGGCGTCCTCCAAAACTCCCGAACCATCCTCATCCGTCTCCCATACCATGACATTTGCTAGTGTTCCTTCTGCGCAAATAGTAGCGAGTTGCAGGCCGGAGGGAGAGAAGGCAAGTGAATGTGCTGGCCAGTGGGTCTCGATCATCTGGACTTGTTGGCCCGTATGAGGATCCCAGAGACGCACGCTGGCATCCTCTGATGCAGTTGCGATGAGTCGGCCGTTAGGAGAGTACTCGATAGCAGTGATTTTCCCTGTATGGCCTACGAAAGGCCGGGGCGCGTCATCCATATCGGGCGCCGAGTGTGTGTCTGACGACATGCGGGGAATGGGCTTTTTGTTCGAGTTGACGGTGAAGGTAGACTGGAGGGGCGACCAGGGAGCAGATGAACGTGGTGGTGGGGCATGGCGTCGACAACAGACGCGCGCTGGCTGGAAATGCGGGTTTGTGGGTCCAGCTTCACGCCAAACAGGCTCGGGGAAAATCGGCTCTGAGCTTCCTCGAATTTCACCAGCCCCATTAGTTCTTATAATCGTTCCTAGGACTAATGTCCTGATGATGAGACTCAGTTTGAGAACTGGGTTGGAACTGGAGCAGGAACAGAGTTGAAGCTTGAAGATCTTTCAGTGCGGTGAGCTGGCGGGTGTGGCGGTGCTATCCGAAAGCAACTACCGCCCCTATATATCCCTCACAGCTTTCTTTCCCATTGACGTTCACATCTGGCAGACGTTGAAGAGGATAACGATAAATGGTTGATGTGTGTGTCCTTAGCCTCTTTTATTGCCCCTCAAACCATTGTGCTAATTTGACACATCCTTCGTTCCTCGAAGTTCTACCTTGGCGTCTTTCCTTCAAGCCCGAACCCATCGCTCTAACACCCGTGTGCATTACCGATGAGCAGTCATCGAAACGTCGATGGACTATATTACTTACGCACACCTTGACATGCTCGCTCACTAAACATCCCGTTCCAGCGGATGCTTCGCGGTGTTCGTGAGGCTTGGCTATGGCTAGGAACATGCGACGGGTGCATCAAGACCGCGCACGCAGAGGAGTACTGATGTTCAAGTTTGGGGCGGCTGGTGACGCCCTGGCAAGCACCACGGACGCGTGAACTTGAGCCTTCTACAAAGACTTGAGAAGTAGCTGCTAAGGGTGGATCAAGAGAGAGACGATGAGAGCGTTGTTCATGTTGTGTGTATATCCCCCTTTCATTATATTACCTCCCTTTCCACCGTCCTCATGTCACGTTTCAGCTCTTTTATATGCTTGTAACACCGTTGAAACCTCTGGTCCCTCACCGTCACATCCTCCTTCCACCGAACCCTCTTACGCTTTCGACATGCTCTGCCCTTTCCCGGCGGACCCGCGTACTGCATCTCCCGGTTCAAATTTCGCTCCCAAAGCTGCTGCTGCGGATTGACGTGCTTCCAGCTGCACTCGTCGACGATCGACGGATGATGAGACTGCTGAGGGTGATGGTGATGGTGTAATTATCCGCCCTAACGCGCCTCTCCTTGAAAGCTGAACACGAGCACAGCTCCCCGTTGTCATACAGCCAAGCCATGTCTCCATCTCGGCATATCATAACGCGTTCAAGCAGCCAGCTATCTCTACTCGAAACAGCACAGCTCCCAGGGGCTCAAGCGCTCATGTGCGATTGTATACCCTCATTTCTGTCCCTCCGTTTGTTTTGCCCGAGCTCGAGGACGATACGACGGAGATGATTATAGGGCTATGAGCAGAGCATGGCAACGCCGACGCCCTGCTTCCAATCTGTCGCGCAGTAGCAGATCGGTGATGTGTGTCCCAACAAACCTTGACTACAAGGCGATATTGGATCAGACGTGAGCATGCAAAAACGCGTAGCGTTAGAAGCCTCGTCTGATCGTGGTATCGTGAATAAATGTATGGTAGGTCGCATAACTTCGCCATTCTTGATTGCACCGGGAACTTTAGCTAACGTCGCTCCCTGGTTCATGTTAGCAAATAACCGGTGCCGTCCTACCCTTCTATCTCAAAACAGGGAAGCGTCGTCGAGCGTGCCCTTGTGGGCCGTGACTCGCGGCTCTCTCGATCCTTGGATGCAGACGGATAGAAATTAGCAATATACGAACGATGTTCATCAACCGCGGGGAATACATAGGCAGTAGTAAATAAACGTCCATATCATCACTCGTAGTGCTCCTCCGTTTGTCTTAACTTGCACTGCGGGAATATTCCGCACGGGGACGAGCTCCAACGGAAGGCCACTTCCGCTAAGACGAAGTGAAAGTTCTTCCTGCCTTAGTGACAACGAGGTATACACAAGCAGTAGCACAGTATGTCCTTGAGCCCATCACTTCTCGGCGTGTTGCTCCTCTGCTCGTCGACACCCATTTCGGGAGACTCAGCCCGATGGCGATTCGAAGCTGGAGGCGATGGGCTACTCGAGCTCTCATCGGATTCCGCCTCACGACGTGTGTCTCTGCGACGGCTTGGTTCACTCGGTCCCGCGGCCATCACGCGCTGAGCACAAGAAACACGGTCAGAGCTGCGACGGGGTGGTTATTCCGTGCTTACGAGTTTGGCTCGCCCAACGCTGACAAGCTCGAGCATTCTGGACATGCGGCGATGGCCAGTGTAGGCCTCATCTGAGTTCATCGTGCTGGCTTTGCGACGCGAGGCGAGACGGGCGACGACCCCGCGGCGGGGTTCCGCATCGAACCCATCCTTTGTTTTACTTTTCTTTCGTTGGTTAGATGGGCTCCCTTTGCGTCTAGGAGCTGAACTCCGGGGCACTGTAGGCATCTGTGTCGCTGATCGATGGGCTGGAAAGTCAAGAGCGGAGAACGTACGTTCATGATCGAGTCGTCATCTACATCAGCCAAACTAAGCCCTCGCCGTGACTGCCAATGCCTAGGGCTACGCAAATACTGTACGAGAATATACCTGAGACGACAATACCCATACGACGAAGGGATTGGCCTACCTCAGTCACATTCAGTGGTTCATCACCCGAACCGGATTCTTCTTGTAAAGGGCTATCTCGCTGCAGGAGGAGGGAACAATCAGTAAGATTCCGGCATGCGAGAAGATGGACACCGACTTTTGCAAGGAGCACACGGCCTGTTGCTGCTTCATAAATCCTCATCGTACCACCTCGCTTACCGTCTATTAAACTGACCACTACTCTTTCTCCGCCAGGCGCAAATGCAAACGCAAAGACGGAGACTGATGGTTCTTCCAATTGTACCTTCCAGACTTCCTCAGTCGTTGTCGCGTCGACCATGTGAAGCGAGTGTGAGGAGCGTGATGAACACAGCAAAGTCTGTCCATCAGGTGAAAGTATGGCCACAACGAAGGTACTTTTCGGCTGGAACGGACGAAGAAGCAGCTTGCCCGTTGCAACGTCCCATAGCACAAGGTCTGTCATCCACGATGTGAGAAGTCGTCGGCCATCGGGAGAGAACGACACGGAATCAAATGAATAAGACGTATCGACTGTTGGAGAGTAAACCTTGGAAACAATGTCCATCGAGGTGATATCACAAATAAGGATGCCGTCACGCGTGGTTGAGTACGCAAAGTGCCGCCCGTCCGGGGAGAACGCAACATCAGAGACTAGGGAGGGATTCTTCACGAATCTCGGCTTGCGGTCGCCAGACACATCAAAGACAAAGCACAGGTTCAGATCGAATAGATCATCGAGCACGACGCCAAGCACCGAGGAGTCTGGAGAGAACTTCACCTTGTGGCATGCTCGGGCGGGGCTATTGATAGAGTATTTGACGTCGTTGCCCGTTTTTACGTCGAAGAACATGACTGAGCTCAAGTAACATGTTGAGCCAGCGGCCAGCAATGAACCATCTGCGGATAAGGAAATGAGGGAACCTCCACGGAACAAGTACTTTCGGACTTGTTCTCCATTTTGCGCGTTCCACGTGCGGATATAATCGTCGTCTTTGCTACTGGTGACGAACTGATGTCCGTCAGGAAACCACTCTATAGAGTGAACCATGTGCCGCGTGGTCAGCGGTCGAGTCTCTTCTTTTGTGACTGGCTCCTATGCAAGCATCGTCAGCATCATAACGGTCGACTCGCTTTGGCGGCCTTTGATAGAAAGGTTGCACATACCGATGACAATACAAGCTGTTGAGTGTCAGTGTTCCATACGTGTATACGGTTCGAGGAATCAGCGCGTGCGATGTAATCCTTGCGCAGAGAACAAGCAGCTGCTTTGATCCCTTGATCTCTTCTGGAGTTCGACTTCAGGGGGCCTAGGATAAAATTTCCCGTAGAAATATCCCATGCACACATGGGTGTCGCACTGGAGGTGTGGATGAGCCACTTGCCATCTTGTGAGAAGCAAAAGCTCGCGGCGCTATAGTCGCCTCCCCTGAGTGAAGCGTGCAAGACCTTGCCACTGTTGCTTTCCCAGATCCGGATTCCATGACGGACATCTCCAGCGATCATCGATCCGTCATGAGAGGCTACAAGCGTATGCCGATGATAGGATGGATCGGTGGGTAGGTTGACGTGTGTCTGTTGCCTCGTCGACAAGTCAAAGGAGTAGAGCTGTGGGGGACGATAGAGTAGAGGAGGATCTTCGGGCGGGTCGTAGCAAGCGAATAGGAGTCTTTGGTTACTAGAGGCAAACGCTAACAGAGGGAAGAGCTGATATCCATGCTCCGCTTTGTACGCTTCCAGTATCAGCTGTCCAGTCTCGGTATCTTGCAGTGCAATGAGCGTCGATGTCATTACAGCGAGGAGCTTGCTGTCGGTCGAAAACCTGACTAAGTATGACACCCCCCACTTGCTCTCGTACTCTGTCTTGATCACAGTGTCCTCCAAAACACTTAAACCATCCTCCTTTATCTCCCAGAGCATGACCTTTCCAACGGGTGCGTCCGTCGGAGTGCCTTCTGCGCAGATAGTAGCGAGGTGTAGGCCGGAGGGAGAGAAGGCAAGGGAGTGTGCTGGCCATAGAATCTCAATCATCTGGAGTTGTTGGCCCGTTTGAGGATCCCAGAGACGCACGCTGGCATCCTCTGATGCAGTTGCGATGAGTCGGCCGTCAGGAGAGTACTCGATAGCAGTGATTTTTCCTGTATGCCCTACGAAAGGCCGGGGTGCATCATCCGCATCGGTGGCCGAGGGCGCGTCTGAGGACATGGGGGGAATGGACTTGTCGTTCGAGTTGCAGGTCAAAGCAGACCAAAACAGAGGTCAAGGTGTAGATGGCGATGGTGGTCGTGCATGGCGTCGACGACAGGCGCACGCTGGCTGGAAATGTGCATTTGTGGGTCCAACTTCACGCCGAAACCCCTCGGGGAAAGTCGGCTCCGAACTTTCTTGAAAGTCACTGCTCGCTTCAGTCTTGCATTTCTTCCGAGGGGAAAATCGTTTATGTCATGAGAGGCTACGAGGATGGGACTTTATTTGAGGCCTGAGGAAGGGGCAAACGCCAGGTTGGGTTCTGGGTTCTGGGATGGGGCGGGGCGGGTTGTAGGGTGTGGCAGTGTCATCCAAAACCAGCCAGAGCCCCTATAACCTCACGCTAATCACCTTGCTTTCAAGAGGTCATGTATTCATCGCATGTTATTTTCAGCCTTAAATAGCAGTAAACAGCCCGCCAAGGTTTACTAAAAGCTCACTGGGATAAAAATGCGGCTTGGGGGCCGTCGAAACTCGACAGCGTCGACTCATGGTTCGGGTATGGCTTTTTGCCGTTAAGGCAAGGGTGACATAACCTTGAGTGAGGCGGACATGGTTCATGGGAGGATCGAGGCATATTATATAGAGGGGCGGGAAACAAAATCGTTGAAGCCGGCTTTAACGTCTCTTGGGTTCCAGAAGCCTTAGCAGTGCAACGATGTTTTTAGTACCAGTGATCTCATTTTTGCCGAATGCGATCCAATTGATTCCCCAGTGCATATCATTGATATTGACGGAAACGAGCATATATTCGCTAGCAAAAGTCAAAGAGATTTAAATATTCCTGAACCTCCGTCAAAAAAAGCATAGTCTAGATTTCAGTGGCAACGCGGGATACACAAACAGTAACACAGTACGTCCTTGAGCCCGTCGCTGCTCGGCGTGCTACTCCTCTGCTCGTCAACGCCGGCTTCCGGAGGTTCGATTCGATGACGAGTCGGCGCTGGAGGCGACGGGCTGCTCGAGCTTTCATCAGACTGCTCCTCCCGATGTCTATCTCTGCGACGATCTTGGTCGCTCGGTCCAGCGGCCATCACGCGCTAAAGAAGAAGAAGCATTGTTAAAGACGCGACGTGAGCACAAGACGTCCCCTTACCAGATTGGCCCGTCCAACGCTAACGAGTTCAAGCATGCGTGACATGCGGCGGTGGCCATTGTTTGCCTCATCCGGGGCCGGTACGTCAGACTTGCGATGCGATGTGAAGCGGGCAATCAGTCCACGGCGGGGCTCCTCATTCGAACCGTCCTTGGCTCCGCTTTTCTTGCTTTGAGTAAACGGGTCCTTTGGACGCGCTTGAGAACCTCTGGGAGCAGACCTCCTAACAACTGCAGGCATCTGTGTCGCTGATCAGCTGACACGCGGTGAGACTCAAGGGATGATAACGTACGTTCATGAACGAATCGTCATCCGCATCGGCTAGGCTAAGCCCTCGTCGCGATGGTCCAGGTCCAGGGCGATGCTGATCCTGTACAGAAACATAGTTGAGATACCAACTAACATACAGGAAGTAGATTTAGATTACCCCAGCGACTTTAATGGACTTATCACATGACAAGTCTTCTTCTGATGAGCTATCTCGCTGCGGGGGACATAACCGATTAGGATATAGCTGAGAAACAAAGGAAGGCAGACACTCACTTTCGGGAGGAGCATACGACCCGCTTCCGCTTCGTAGACCCCGAGTTTGCCATCCGAGAAACCAACAGCTATTCTTTCCCCTCCAGGTGAAAACACAAGACATGTGGACTTCTTCTGTTGTTCGACCTGCCACGTCGGATCCCCTGTTGCTGCGTTGAAATTTTGAAGAAGAAAAACATCGTGTGATGCGCACAACGTCTGCCCATCAGGCGAGAATATCCCCAAGACATACTGGTATTCCTTAAACAGATGAAGAAGTGGTTGACACGTGTCCAGATCCAACATCAAGAGTCCCCTCGAGCAGACGAGAAGGCGTCGACCATCGGGTGAAAAGGAGATAGAGTGGATAGCGTCATACCCGTCAGACGCTGCATAGGGAATTTTTGAAACCACGTCCAATGACGAAGCACTACAGACGAGGATGCCATCGTTTATGGTGATGCAAGCAAACTTGTCTCCGTCTGGCGAGAATGCGACATCCAAGACCTTTGATGAGTGCTGCACAAAGACCGTCTTGCGGTCACCGAGAACATTGGTGACGAAACAGAGGTTCAAATTGGATGTGTCATCGAGCAAGACAGCGAGCGTTGAACCAGTGGGCGAAAACTTGACTTTGCGACACGCTCGACGAGGGCCATCGAGAGAATGCGGACGCTCGACACCCGTCTTGGTGTCGAAGAATATGATGGATCCAAAGTAGCATGCGGAGCCAGCGGCTAGCAATGTGCCATTGGGGGACAGAGCAATGCACGAGCCACCACGGAAGAAGTATTCGCGGACTTGTTCTCCCGTCTCAGCGTCCCAGGTGCGAATGCGGTCGTCACTCATGCTGGTACTGATGATGTGGCGCCCGTCCGGGAACCAATGCACGCTATCTACCGCAACGCGGCCTGGTGTAATCAGTGGTTGGACCCGTGTTTCGTCTGGGAGCTGCGGGGAGATACTTTGATCAGCTCGCCGGAACAAGGGTGTTCCATGAAGTCTACACATACCGACGACAAGACAACCCTCTCAGTATCAACACTCCATACATGGACATTATTGTTGTCGGCACATGCGATGCGATCTTTCAATGGTGAACACGCGACTACACTGATATGTGTCGCCCCCCAGCTCGGCGGTTGCATCAAAGGGCCTAGGACCAAGTTCCCTGTAGATGTATCCCAGACACATATGGTGTTCGCGTCTGAGACATCAACGAGCCACCGCCCATCCCGCGAGAAGCAAAGGGTCCTTGTATCCCAGAGATGCCCCCTAAGTGGGCCGCACAAGGCTTTGCCGCCAGTGGCATCCAAAATCTGTGACCCTTGCTGTGACCCTTGGAGTTTATTCTGGGCAATCATGGTCCCATCGTAAGAGCCGACAAGCATCAGGTGATCGTAGAAGGAGTCAAACGCGAGGTTGATGCGTGTTTGCTGCCTTGTCGCTAAGTCGAAGGAGTATACTGTCGGGGGAGTTGAATAGGCAGTCTTGGTGTGGACAGGGCGGGGAAGGTCACGGCAAGCAAATAGCACGCTCCGATCGTTCGAAGCAAATCCCAGCAAGCTTATCAGCTGGTGGAGCTCTGGGTCCATCTCGGCCACATTCATGACTAGCTGACCTGTTTCTGTATCTTGCAGGACGATGAGGAGAGATGTCATCACGGCGAGGAGCTTGCCATCGTTTGAGAACCTGACAGAACATGAGCCTATGTAGGTTCTGTATTTGGTCGTTATTATGGTGTCCTGAAAGACCCCTGATCTATCCTCTTTCACCTTCCAGACGCGGACGCATCCGTCTGAACATATCGTGGCCAGCTGTCCACTGGAGGGGGAGAATGCAAGGGAATCGGGTCGACCAGGTATGTCGATCCTCTGGAGTGCCTGTCCCGTCACGGGACCCCAGAGACGCACCGTGTTATCCAGAGATGCGGTCGCAATGAGGCGGCCGTCAGGGGAGTATTCGATTGCGGTGATATGGTCTGTATGACCCGTGAAAGGTCGGGGAGGGTCATCCACGTTGATGGCTGCCTGTGGATCCAATGCCATGCTAACGCTGGGATATTCGTTCGAGATGAAGGACAAAGCTAGTTGAGAGAGCGATGTGGACGTGGACGGTGGTGATGGTGGTGCATGGTATCGACGACAGGCGCGCGTTGGCCAGGAATGTGGGTTTGTGGGTCCAACTTCACGCTAAAACTGCTCGGCGAAAGTCGGGGCTGAACTTGTCTAGACTTCTTAGGCCATTCTCACTTGAAGATGCTTTGAAGGAAAGCATTGAGAATATGAGCCTTTACGGGAGTTAGAAAGTCAATTGGGTGAACTCTTGACTTAGATTTGGTCTACCAACCTCTCATTGAAAAGTTACGCTGGCCGGAGTTCAAATACTAAGTCGCACTCCACGTGGTGGGGGAGTTCCGAAACGGGCCGAAGCGTAGCAGTACAGGAAGGCATGGGTGACCGACTTTGTCGTTGACTTTCTAAGCAAGCGCAGGCTTGTCAAGATGAAGAAAAGCCTTTCAAGCTAAATGCCTTGGATATATACGTATTTGGCGAATTGTAACTACCAAGCTTGGACGCATTCGACTGAGGATAATGCTGCGAAGGGCAGAGCGACGCATCGTACAATTGCAAGAGGTAGTATGCGCATTCGTATCATTTCTTCACTCGATGCTCAACAACCGTTCGTCGCTTCTGCCCTCCTCGACATGTAGGTCCCGCCGTCTTACCGCCAAATCGCCTCTGAAACGCCATACTCGGAGGCTCAGTCAGACCATTCAAGCTCTTCCGGTATCCTGAAGAACATTACTACAGCCTCAACGGCTCTCAAACTCCCGCGCGACGGCAACTCGAGCGAGGGCGGGACAGGAATCCATGAGCAAGCAGTCATCTGAATACACTGGGGCACGAGCAGCAGGTAGTAGATCGCGCCCGGCTGGAGGTAGTGTCGGAGTACAGGAGCGTCAACGTGAACGTGATATGTGCGATGTGCTCCGCGATCTCAGCTCGCCGATAAGATCTGATGGTGGACGTTATTAACTACAGAACACAGAAAACGGCAAAAGGTGTACCTCGGCCCTGCGAACAGGTCTGCGTCGCTTAGTGAGGCTCTGATGAACGAATGCACGCCCCTGAGTGACGCAGGGAGTATCGCAGGCGGTCCGTTGGCGTTTTCTCTCCCGAATGTAGAGTGCTGCTCAGCAGTCACGTTGTCCGTAACGACTATACAAAGGCTGATGGAGTGAGAGTGACGGAAGTCAGGGGAACGAGGTCCAGGTGCTCTTCAGGAACAGCAGGATAGTTGCGGGGTTACGTAGATGAAGCTGCCTCACTCTTATCGTGCAGAGAAAGTGCTGCTGGCAACAAGTCCATAGAGTTTGGGGTGATGATCCTCGGATTATGTCGAATGTGGGAGGTGAGCGGACTTTGGAGCGCAATATGTATTATTTCGTGTTCAATCGTAAGAAGTTGAAAATTGGAGACGATAAATGAGCGATGATAACGACTTGGAAGGCTATTGAATAAGTTTATGATGAATTAGACATCGGAGCGATGGAGATACACACAGTACAAGCCTAGGCATTGGTTATCACAGGTGCCTTCCCAACCCACTCTCCATGCTCCAGCTCGTGGATCACGAACGAAGCGTATGCTGCCCTGTTGAGATAAAACCCTCCCTTCACGTCCCCAACATACCCCACATACCACTCCTTCCCAGGCCCATCCTTGAGCAGAGGCACCCTCGGCAGCGTCCACTGCAGCCCTGCCGCCTCGCCCTCCTCCCGCACCACGCGCCCGACAGCACGGATGTCCGCGTACGTCGTCGGCGACGTGAACCGCATGACGCCCACTGCGAGCGTGTTCGTCAGCGCTGGCTTGTCGAGCGGGTCGTCGATGGTGGGTGTGCCGAGCGCGATGAGCCGACGCACGCCGGCGTCTTTCATGAGCCGGATGAGGAGCGAGTGCGCGTGACCGAGGGGCTCGCCTGCCGGGTGCGGGTTGAGCATGTTAGTGCGCGGGCCGAGGGCGCTGAGGACGGCATCGACGGGGGTAGGTGGCTGGGTTTGATCTTGGTTGGAGTTGTCTTGTGCGCCGATAGATCCGGAGAGGGCGCGAGAAAGCGCGGATGCGTCGTCGAGCGTGCCCTTGTGCACCGTGACTTGCGGATGAGACGCGAGGTCCGCGGGGAGCTTCTCGGGCGATCGAACGTACACGACGACGCTGTGCGAAGCGGCAAGGGCCTCGCGGACGAAGAGGGTGCCGCAGCGTCCGGTTGCTCCGAGAATGAGGACTCGCATGATGCTGTTACTGTCACAGTCGTACGTCTTGATGTAGCCCGAGGGTTACTACGAGAGAGTGGAGGCTGAGGTTTGTCAGGCTATATATCGCGCACAGCACAGGACCAGGCTTACCACTGGTCTCACTAGTGAGACCCTCCTCGAGGAAGACGATGTTGCGAGTCCATAGCCCAAGTCTTCATTGACATTTGTACTTCTTCAGCCCTGCCATATGGAGAGGGTCGATATGGTTTGCCGTGAGCGAGAACATGAGATCGACGAGTAGAGTGTCATTCGCTCAAGTTTCTCGGTGGGTGGACAGCGATGGTGGCAAGGAAAGGGGGCCGTCCGAGGCGCGTCCTAACCGAATCGGTCGAGGACGCGGAGGATTTCGTCGCTGGTTTAGGTTATCACGCTGACCTATGCAATTGTCCAACATATTGTTCAAGTCAGCCAGTTTGTACTAACATAGACACTAGGCAGTTAGAATCAACCCAAATTCCAGAATCGAGTATGACACGGGAGACTATGCCGACTCTGAGCTCAGTACTGTTCTGGAGCACTTACTCCTGTTGAATCTTGGTTACATCCTTGTGAACCGAATCACCATCGCGTACTCGATTTAAACTGGTGGTTCATTCGACAAAGACAAGTACTAGTCGATTGACTCGGGCTTCCCCCATAATTATCTCAAACTAATATCCGCTAGGTGTCTCATCGACGCACAAACGAACAGCGGTGGTACACGACATCCATCACAAGCATGATGATCATTCTCCACCTCTCAAGAGAAGTCCCGTGGGCATTTACGACATTACTCCCTCGTAGTATATCGCTGTCCCTTTGGAACTTTACCGGCAACTAACTCATTTGCACCGCAAAAAGGATGGCGCTTTGGCCGTGGGGTCAGTGGCAAGTTAACGGTAACCATAAGATCGCAAAGGAAAGGATGCTGTAGAGTGAGGCTATGCGTCGAAGTTCAACCCACCCGGGCCGTCGCTTCGTACTTAAACGCAGAGATCACCGCCAGCCGTGAAGGAGTCATTTCTTCCCCACATCACGCCTTCCGTAAGGTCGTGAGTAATGGCAGATAATCATGTTCTTAACAGTGTCTCCTTATCTTCTGAGGTGGACGATACTGGGAAAGAGGTAAGCCCGCATTTGTCATTCTTCCAAGTGCTCCTCGAGTGCTGCTGCCTCTGATTCTAACGCCTCGCAAGCAAGGCACCACCGCCCTACAGACAGATCGGTGCATCCAAACCTCCTGTCAATCTCGAGAAATATGTGGTCTCGGGCACCACATTCTCTCGCCCGACTAACTACCTGTATCGCACGGATAGGACGCTGACAGGAGCATTCGCAATCGACCCTGGAATGGACGTGCCCCGTGCACTTCTCCCTCCCCTTGAGCCGTGCGAGAAAGAGGACGAACGGCGAAACCTACGGCTTACTTCGAAGGGTGGCTACATCGACGTGAGCCTGCTCCTTCTCGCGTCCAGTGGACCAGAACACCAGTTGTCGGTCAGCGGCACCAACAAGGGAGAGAACCGATCTGAATCGCAGACATCAGCTGGGATATCGCAGCATGACCGACGGGCTCGGATCCTCCTCACGTCGGACCAAGGCAGCACCACCGTGCGGATGGTACGTGTCCCTGGTCAGAAGTTGCTGTGCTTTACCCAACAACGCGACACCTCGAACTGAACGAAATGAACATAGCACACAGCCGAGAATGCGGGCCCTTACCTACTCGAAGTCGTCGTTGCCAAAGGTTACGCAACGGTCATACTCCCGCGCACGTTTCGCGGCCTTCTAAGGTTGGGTGCCACGTACGGGAGATCCGTCACGCTGAGCAAAGACCTAAGCGACCAGTGCACGCCCCTTAGCGACATCGGAAACTACCGTAGATGGTTCGTAGGTGATTTGACGGAAGCTGGATCCTTCGTTGGGGGTGGCGGACCGAGCGAACCGAAATGGCAAGGGACTGAGGTAAAGGTCATGGGCCATGGTGCGTCCATCGACGTGAAGTACGCGGATAGGGAGGGTGGGTCAGGGCTATGGGCGAAGCTCATGGGGCGATAAGAGTTTTGGAAAAGTCGGATTCTAGATATCCGGACAGCGTGACACTGGCAAAAAGCAGAGCGGCAGTCGAGTCATTGGCAGAATCCAAATGTAGAATAAACGTGTCGATGTCAATGCATACACGGAACATATACATCGTAGACGGGTAACCATGGTCAAGCTTAAGTGCGATACAAGAAACAGTGCGGTGACTTCACCTCGTCTTTGCGTCCAACCGCCCGGCATAATCTGTCCAGTCCCCGGGTCTGCTCTCTCCATACTCCTGCTGCAACCTCTAGCCTACTTCTTGCTAGCCTCGATAGCGTCTCCGTTCTTGCACGCGATGATCTTTATTCGCTCAGCGGTGACCTGCTCGTTCCCTTCCATCTTGAACGTCGGGTTCTTGATGATAAACGTCCACACATCGTCGCACAGGCGGTAGGTGCGGAGGTGGCCCTGTAGTGCGCGGCGTCACCACATCATGCATGGAGTGCGCACAAGAATGATGGACGGCGACGGATGCAAACGTATAGCTGCCGAGTGGCGAGTCAAACGCGCGAATAAGCGAGAGTACAGACCTTGAGCGAGGTCTTGGTCTTGACCTGCTTGACCATCGTGTCCGCGAGGGACTTGTCGAACTGCTGTAGGACCTTCATGGCCAGCTGAGGGGTGATGGCGCCGCTGGTGATCAGCTCATCCAGGGAGTCCGTGAGAGCCATTCCGATCCTTGAAATCACCAATCAAAAGAAAACGAAGTAGGAGAGGAGAGGAGTGCAATGGGGTGGATGACACGGTTCTTCGGTCAACTTTCATGGCCTCGCTCGATCAAACTAACGGTGTACGCACGAAGACCCCCGGTAGAACTCGTAGTAAGCTGAAGCCATGGCTCAAGGAAGTAGAATTCAAGGCGAGGAAAACGTTGTTGGGGTTGTAAACGAAGTTGGCCAATGGCGACTGGTTGGCGCGTAAAGCAGCGCGGCCACTGTCTGACCAAGGATCCGGGTGACGTGATGCTCGGTGACCATAGAAAGTGACACTTCGGTCACGTCACGTCCTCCCCTCTTTCCTCACGCGCACTGACGACGAATGTCAAGACTCGACGAGCATGTCCCAGCAAAAGGCCATTGCTCTTAGGGGGCGGTTAAATGCGAGCACATCAAGGCTTCACTTATGTTCAAACGTTTACACCCGATGTGACTATGTCGCTATATTTATGGATTCTCAATGATAAAACTTTATGCAAGTACCCCAAACACGCAATTCTAGGCACCTCTTCCCCTCTACCAAGACGACTTTATTGCCGACCACATGGAATCACTGAGCGTCGAAGCGTACGAGCTTTGGTCTAAACCAAGGGGGAAGCCAACAGACTTTCCGGGCCCCGACTCACAGCCACCCACTTCGGTCTATGGTAACATTCGACAACGAACGAATGTCGTACTGGAAGTCCTCTCCGACTCCATGCTCCAGTTTCTCTTGCTTGTATTGCACCCCTGCAACATCAGGTGCCGCCGACACTTTGAGGGTCAGAGCGATGGTGGGCCTAATTTCTAAGGTGATAATAGCCGAAGAACGAGCTGTCGTGGAACACATATATGCGCTCGAAACTCGGGGAGACGTACATCTTGTCCAACAACAGCGGGGATCTCAGTTGGTACTGATCTTGCAGGTGCATTGGGGTCGGATGACGGACAGTGCTAGGGTGGCTGGCGAAGGGTTGAGATTCCTTCCATTCGCCGAGGAAGATCATCGTCTTGAGGAAGTTTGGGCGATATAAGAAACGAAGGGTGGATTTGGACGGGAGCGAGAGATAAATGTTGGATGCGTCTCCGCCCAGCGCTGGAAGCAAATCCAGGCTGTGACCAGCGTTGATGTCCCAAACGACCACTTGTGATCTCGCACGACTCTCTTGTATCCAGGCTATTCGCAACTCGTCGTCCGAGAAAGTCACTGTCTCCGCGTTCAGGTCTTCGGCGGGAATACGGGCCACAGCAGTTCCCGTCCTTATCCTCTAAAGCTCGACTTGTTCTGTGTTGGCTATGACGAAGTACTCAGACCGCGGAGATAAAGCTCGATAGCGAGGTGCACTGCGTTCGTCAAGTCGCTCCTTGGACTGAGAATAGACCTCGGAGATAAAGCTTGGGTCAGCAGTCTGGATGAGATGAATGCGATCCATATCCATGTCTTGATGGGAGTATACATCCATGCGTTGCGCGATTACGAAACAAATTTGAAGCTGAGATAGCCCAATTTGAGTGATAAGTCGGGCATTGGTGTGCGGCTCCTCTCCGAATGTTTTAATGGTACCAGTCGAGCCAGGCCTGTAAGCCGCCCATGGCTGATGTACCTCCAAAATCGCAGCATGATACATTGATTGGCTAGATGAGGGCAAGAGCTCCATGCGCAGACCGTCGCTGTGGGGGTCGTGCACACTGAGAGACAGCATGTCGAGAACGTTGATGTGACGTCGCGTCTCGTTATCAACCTGAGTACACATCAAGGGCCTCTTCGATTGCGCCGCTCCGATCCACAAGCCGAGCTCTCCGTGGCGCGAAAAGACCGTATCCGCAACCTTCATGATGACCATCCTTCGATTGAAGACGAAGGGGCGGATACCCGATGCGGGAGATTCGAGGTCAACAGAGGTCAGAAGCGGTGACAAAGGTGTGGATCGATATACAGAAAGAGAGGCAGGGTGTGGGTCAATGTGTATGGTGCCTTTATCATCGGCGTCGAAGAAATGCCAAAAGCGAGGTAGAAAGTCGTGGTGGATGGTCCGCATGATTGATCCCTTCTCCGAGTCTAGGAAGTATGCACCGCTCGAAGTTGTAGTCAAGATCTGATCATCGTGGTGAGAGTACACGCTGCCAAATTAAGTAACCGGAATTGGTAGCCCCTATTCTGTCCCATCGGCCAACAAAACATACATACAACTAGTTACAGAGCACCAGTGCTCACGAAACTTTATAGTGGCAATCTTATAGATGTTAATGGCTCCCAAATAGAATTTTAGGAAAAAATATCAAGTAGAAATACATCAATTGCTGCGACAATTTCAAAGTATGCAGATATGGGTTGTATAACTTGCATCTGAGCTGTGGAATATTTGTGAGGATAAACTGTATTATTCAAGTGCACAAATTAGTTTAACTGATCATGTAGAGTACATCTGTAAACTATCAGTCCATCAGAATATGTTCTTACAGTATTGATAGCATTGGAATTTTGCAGCATGTTCTTCAGCTACACTATGAGGATAAACATAAAGTGTCCACACATTTTATCGGGGTTAAGTAAGGCATCTTGGGAGTTCAGCTGAAGGGATTTATCATCTATACCATTGCTAGATGTATTAAGATGTGATTGAGACTGACACAAAAGTGAAAACAGGCTAATGTGTCATATAATGCATGCTATGATATTACTTGTCAAGTTTTCCATGCTAATCATTCCGTAAGAGCATATTCTGGTGGACTGATAGTTTACAGATGTACTATACATGATCAGTTAAACTAATTTGTGCACTTGAATAATACAGTTTATCCTCACAAATATTCCACAGCTCAGATGCAAGTTATACAACCCATATCTGCATACTTTGAAATTGTCGCAGCAATTGATGTATTTCTACTTGATATTTTTTCCTAAAATTCTATTTGGGAGCCATTAACATCTATAAGATTGCCACTATAAAGTTTCGTGAGCACTGGTGCTCTGTAACTAGTTGTATGTATGTTTTGTTGGCCGATGGGACAGAATAGGGGCTACCAATTCCGGTTACTTAATTTGGCAGCGTGTACAAGTAAGACGGGCGTTATTGCGCGAGAATGAAACTGCACTGGTTTGGGGGCGTTGGATTATCCACGGTAGATCGGGAGTACGAATGTGTATCTTCCTAATTTCAGCTGGCATAAAGAAGCTGACCTTCGTCTGCAGATCAATATACTGCCAGCAGTCTTCTGTTTCACCGCAAAATGCGAGACATTTCTCGTTATACGACCATACGAGGGTACCTCTGCGAGGATGGCAATGAAGGTACGTTCCGAGGTGCATACCGGAAGACAGGTTGAAGAGACCGATGCCGTTGCGAATTGCCGCCGCGAGGAAAGATCCGTTGGGAGAAACTGAGATGAACTTTATGGGTGTATGATGGGCGATTGCATGCATCACGCAATCCTAGTGGTCGTCCAGCCCACTTTCGACGTAAACCTCATTGTTCTGATGGATCAGATGCTGGTATGTCTGGCGAATCTGTGAGCGCGCTGAGCTGAAGGCGAGGGCAGATTCGTAAAGATGGAGCGCATATTCGCCAATAGGAATGTTGTAATCCATGACGAGCCGAAGGGCGTCGTTGATAAGGGCCAAAGAGGTCTCCTGCGAGCTATAATTATGCCAAACCTACATCAATCAATCAGAGTAGCTCTTAGATTTGACGATAGACGACCTACAGATATGCCGTCGTGGGCAGCCCGGAGAGTGTCTACAGCGTATCCAGGCCTGCCTGTAAGACAAGAAACCTCTATAGCAAACAACAGGTTTTTATGGAGGAATGCAGTCAAGAGCCTTTGGATTTCGAAGTCGGTCGAGCTACGAATGAGGTGAAGACCCCAACTAAAAGAGCTGTACTGCAGAGCCAGCGGAACAGTCTTCTCGAACCTTCCCTGTGCTTCCAATGTGATAGAATGTTGCGCTGATGCATCTTCCAGCCTGTAAATGTTCCTCCTGAGAGTACGAGCCATGACCATGAAGCATGGCTGAGTGAGCCGTCGATGAGCCACAGAAGTTTCAACATAAAACTCTCGCGACCGAGTTGGATCTAAAAGGAACTCGACAAGCGATGTGTGGTACACGTCTAGCGTAGATGTTGATCCAGGAGGGGGTACCGATATAATGGCAGATAGAGGTAGGAGGTAAGAGCGTAGATCGACGCCAAGCAGGTTTCCAGTTCAGGACACGAAAGGGCTCTGTGCATATGTGCGATTGCAGCGATAGAGGTGGTCAATGCTGTGGTATTCGTGTGTCTCCAGTCCACCCTGCAGCATACGACGCACGAATGCTAGACGGTCGTCCGGATGGTCGGAGTTGACTAAGCGAACAATGGTAGCTGCAAAGATGAACTGACCATGGGCGTATCGAGATAAGAGATCACCTTCTTCCTCAGTGGGCCATGGTCTCTGGTACAAGAAAGAAAGCCCATGCGAGCGGTCAATGTCGATGAGAGAAAACTGAAGATACCGCTTGACGTCTTTAGCAGCATCGTACTCTGACATGAGGACGGGCTCGACAGCAGCTTGAAATTGTTGTTCATGGTGGAACATGGCATCCACGAGAGGCCACGGTCTGCTCGTTATGACGATCCCGGTGATGGGAAGAGTGGGATCTGTGACGAGCTCAGCAAGCATTGACAAGAGCGGCTTCATCTGGCTGTTCTTGTTCGTCTCGCCCTCGTCGGCAGCATCCACGATGATGATCATGACTTTTCCGGCGATAACAGTGCTGTGTCCTCAGCGATAACCTTGCCGATTGCGCCCCTGGCACGCGGGTGGAGGAGGCCGAGCTGGTACGCAATCGTGAGGAAGAACGTGTCAGTGTCGTTGCGCTTGACGTGTTTGCGCGAGAAGAAGAAGGTCGCCGCGAGCGAGCCCTCCTCACGAAGTTGGTCCGCTAGCGTGTGGGCAATCATGGATTTGGCACAGCCGGATTCGCCGCTTAGCCATATGATCTTACCCGAGCCTTTAGCGACGTGCTGCCTGAGATCGGCGGGGAGGTCCACTCTGGTATCTGGGAGGCACTGAGAGAACGGCTGCCGCTTGGCGGAGTCACATATTGCTCTGTGAGAGCATACATGAGCAAGCCTCTGAAAGTTTTCGAGTTCACCCTGAGCGGGTGCGTAGGCTGTTGATGTCACTATCAGTTATGGGCCTCTAGTTGTGCTCTCGACTTACCTTGTCCCATGTCCAGGCGCAAGGGTGAAACGCAATCAACGTTGAATCACCGGCGCTTATCCGTTACACGTATGTGAAAAGTATGTGAAAAACCTGTGTAGAGGCAGTGAGTCCGATGACTCGTGCGAACTGCATGTTGCCCAACGACTTGAATGACCATGTTCGTGCCAACTATCTTGTGCAGATAAATCTTTTGCCGATAATTGAGAGTGAGATAATAGTGCCAAAAAGCCAGAATCAGCTAGAGCACATTACTATGCTAAAGTGTGAGGCGAGAGGAGGTGAATGGAGGCAGGCGGAAGTCCGCCATGGCTGGAGGAAACGATGAACAGCGTCGCGCGACGAGCTGGCAAGGACGCGATAACCCGTGGGAATTTACGTAGACCCTGGCTTTCCCCTGAACCGCGCATACAGCCTTACTCCTCTCTTCTCCTCCTTGCCGTCGGTTCTTCGCCTCTTCTCCCCTGCTCGTTGAACCCTCCTCGCAGTCTGTCTTAGTGAAGTCCAGAGCTGAGACGATGAGTAACCCTTCCAATACTTATCCCACGGTGACTATTGATGTCGTGCGTCATCCCTGCTATTTCACCTTATGCCTGATGCTAAAGTGGTTGATGTCCCTCTCAGGTCTTGGACAGGCAGACAGCGAAGGAGGTCCTCCGTGGAGTGCTTCACTCCATTCTCTTCCATCGCCTCTTTGGAACCGTAGTTCCTCAGACGTTCGAGGTCCTAGACGTCACCATGGTGCGTCTTCCTTTTGATGCTTTCGCTCAGACCTTAAATGTCGTTATCGGTACTAGCCCGGCATATCAGATGCAGATATGGAACGCCTTATTGACGAGAAGGTGAACGCATTCTGGAAGGGCATCGAGAGCGGGACGAACCGCCGCGGGCAAATCGTCCTTACGTTTTCGGAGAAGCGCCCAAAGAAGTCGTGGTTCCAGATCTACGAGGAGGAAGTGCCATGGGAGCAATGGTGCGTTTTCTTCTTGTTCGAAATCCTGCCCGCCCGCCCCGCTTTCTCTACACGTCGTCTAACCACTGTACGGACAGGGTTGTCAATGCCGAACTGCGTCAGCTGAAAACCGAGCGTGGTATGTCACCTCTCCCACTCTCCTCTTCCCTTCATCGGCCAGCCCGCTATTCACGCCCACGTCTGATTCTGACATGTTTCGCCATAGATCCCCAAGCATTCAATGCAACACTCAGCAACTCTCTTACACACGCCTTGCGCGTGATACTCACCCACACATCTTCCCTGCGTGGTCGCACCGCCGTACCGCCGATCACCAAGGTGGATGGCATCTCGCCCTTCCCCCTTAAGATGGCCGTCCGGATGGGTGGCGTCGAGATTGGATGAGCGGAAAGCTAGGTGTGGGCGTGTTGGTGGCCTTCGTGAACTTGATTCCCACTTTGCTGGGTAACTTATGCTTTTCGCGAGTGGGCGGCTCTGGAGGTGGGAGCGACGCGCCCAAGGTGATAGAGCAGCAGAGGGTACCTAGTGACACCCCCAAAGTCACGCATTTAGCTGATTGACCCGGGCTCTGGCCTCCTAAGGCGGAACGCGGAGTAGTGGTGATGAGAGCCAGAGCGGCAGTCGCTACCGATCCAAAGGTGTTGTTTCGTGACACTACATCGAGATATGTATCGGTGACTACATCGAAGTACGTTCGTGCGTGTGGCATATCGCATCTATACACCTTCTCGTGCATAATGAAACGTATTCTTCATTTGGTCATACGCGCTGCCTGCTAAGAAACGTCCTCAGAGCAGCTACGAGGGCTGCACTTATTCATACATGCGAAGACAAACATGCAAGATTCTGCCAGCGATTGTGTGTAGTGCACGTTCGTACACGCTCAATTTTTTGGTAATTGATCAATTTGCATGAAACCCCGACGCATTCTGCTGGTAGGGAGACTCGAATTGCGTACTGTCCAAGCTTCAAGCCCCTGATGACGTGATAGGACCTTGGGACCAGAGATTTCCCACGGGTATACACGGTCTTTGTCCCCTAGCGTTTGCCGCGTTCTTTTGCTAGAATCGTTTGCTATGCTCAAATTCGCAGGGAACCGCCCTCCATCTCCTTCAATCGCAGAAAAAGACTTCCTCCAAGATGCGCTACGCAAGAAGCTTCGTCTCGATGGGCGCAAGCCAATGGACCTCCGCCCCATCTCGTTCTCGTTCGGACCTGAGCTCGGATGGGTCGACTGTAGCTTGGGCAAGACGCGGTAAGCTCTACGAGTCTATTTACGGGGTCACCATACCAATCTTGCGTTTTTTGCGTAAAGAGTGCTAGCTCAGGTTGATGCAAAGATGGTCAAGCCACTTCCGGAGCGACCGTACGAGGGCCTCATCACTATCCACTCGGAAATTTCGCCGATGGCGGGGCCAGAGTATGACACCGCCCGGTAGGTACGGCTATCCTCCCCCTACTTTCATATCAGAAGTCGCTAAGCGCGTGTCTGGTCGTACAGGCCATCAGAAGAAGAAATCGGCATCTCGCGTATGTTGGACAAGATCGTGAAGCGGAGCGACGCGCTGGACAAGGAGTCGTTGTGTGTGCTTGCAGGGCAACGCGTGCGTGATCTCCCTCTTTCCCTCCCGTACTCAATCGATATCAACTCATGTGACTACGTTAGGTCTGGCACCTTCGGCTGACTGTGCACTTCATCTCTGACGCAGGCAACATGCTGGACTGCGCCGTCCTCGCGAGTATGGTTGCTTTGCGTCACTTCCGAAGACCCGAGGTCGAGGTTATTGGGGATGAAGTGATCATCGTGCGTCTCTTCACATCCGTTTACCCTCTCCCATGTGCTTAACTCCGACTCCGCAGCACTCGCCATCGGAACGCGCACCCGTCCCCCTCGCACTGCACCACATCCCCCTCTGCCTCACATTCGCCTTCTTCCCCCCTCCATCCAACCCCACATCCAAAAACAACGAAGTGCAGGAGGAGACTCCACCTCCAATCGTTCTCGCCGACCCGAACACACTCGAGGAGCGCCTCGCGGACGGTACGCTGAGCGTCGCGCTCAACGTGCAGCGGGAGCTTTGCGTGCTGCACAAGGCCGGTGGACTACCACTTGAACCGGCGGAGGTAATGAAGGTGGTGCAGCGTGCGACGTTCCTTGTGAAGGAGCTGGATGAGCTTGTCGAGGCACGACTGAGGGAGGACTGGGAAGGGAGACATGTTGAGGTGAGGTAGAGTCGGCTGATTCCTCTTGTGGACAAGTCAGCCATGCACCATCTGTTCACCCCTAAAACGTCAAGGTGTTGATATTGACAATTCGACCATCTCTTTGTGCACCATCTTCCTCAACGGCGCTAATTGCAGGACCCTTGACTCTCGCATCCACCATGCCATCAGGACAAAAGATCACGATCCACGCGTGGTGACTTTCTACTTGATATTCCCTGTACGCATGACCATCCTGATAGCGCCAGCGTTCAAGCCACATGTATCGATATCAATAGCAGGATCTGACGGCAGGATAACCGCCAACGTAACTACGTCTGCGTCGAGGGTCGTCAGGGCTTCCGGGATCGGTCTCGTACTGTTCGCGACAGGGATAAAAACAAGCATCATATGTGCCGTCGAAAACATCTTCGCCAGCCATGTTTTTTCCTCGCCTGCCTGGTTAGACACGCCCACACAGGGAGCATCAGGCGCGTGATAGCCAGCTACGACGTTCCCGTCCCGAATGGTCCCGTATGCATCGATCGACCGCTGGCATGCGATGAGCTCGGTGCAGTTATGCTGAGCTCGTCTGCGATCGGGGGAGGCGTTCGATGCTGCTGTAGCTTGAGCTCAAGCCCCAGACGTTCGCAGGAGTGTGATCGCTGCGGATATAGTCAACTGTGCTATAGAGGATAAGCAGAGTTTGAACTCACTGGGTTGCAATCTCCAGCCACAAAACGGCGTCTTTTGCGGAGTGCGTCCACCATGCACATATTAGCTCTGCACAGGGTTCAGCACTTCTCTTCTCAACCTTGGATTCGGGTTGAGCGCTTAGTGACCGGCAGGGAGACGATCGTACTAGTACGGACGATTACGACAGAGGGCGAAATGTTGAGGCTGCCTGGAGCAGCAGAGCCGGCATATATGAATGGATGAATATCCGCCTCAATGACGCCTTGAGTGGCAGTTCCGGACTCTGGCCCCCTCCCTAACGCCATGCAGCTCACTTTGTTTCCTCTAAGAGAACACGAGGTCGGCGCACGAACCACTTCAGGACGTTACGTTGTGATATTTCAGCTAACCTTTGACCGTTAGATCACATTACAGACAGCGCGAAGCAAACCAGCGAGCACTCAGATAGTACAACGTAATCCCTGCGAAATGAGTACCCCAACAAGAAAAACCACCAGGAAGAACATATAAGCCGCGATAAAAACCGTCATGGAAGCTCCGATAAAATGACATTGCCCCATCTCTATTCGAAGAAAAAACAAGCGTTGGCATAGGGTTATGCCAAAGGTTGTTAAAGACCCCATGGGTTAGTGATAAAAGGTTTGAAGATTTTGTTCCGTCTGGCTCAAAACGAGGAGCAGAAATATGCAGGTGATAACCGCCATGGTTGCGCCAGCAACGCACAACTTGGGCACCGCGCTATGTCGTGGCGTGGCATTCGTGCGCTGACCTTCCTCTTGCTCCTTAGCCTTAGCATCTGATTGTGCGATTGGAGGATCAGCTTTAACTCGGAATGGAAGCACGTAGCCAATAGAGAGTAGAGATAACTTACCCCTTTCAGGCGCAAAAGGCCATAGTTCACGTTCAGGCTGCAAGGGACTGGCCGAAGCTTCGACGGCTTTTGCGCGCTCGGGAGCAGAACAGATGCCTTGAAAAAGGCCAGAACCGGTATCGAGCAAAGGTGTTCTCTCGTCAATGTGCGCAATTGACGGAGCCGCCTGAGTTGCATCCGCGCTTTCTCGGAAGTCGTCGCGAGATTCCCGAGAGGTTGAGTAGGTCCAAGACATGATGTTGAAGAAGTAGCGCTGGACACTTATAGTCAATGTTGGGGTCTGGTCTTGACGCTTTGCAGTGGCAGAAAGCGGTGAAAGGAGATGATAGACCGAGGAGGTGCTCTCCTAAACCACTTTGCTTATATGCATTTTTAGCACAAGCACGACGAGCCGCACGGCAGGGAAGCGAGACCGTGTGAAGATAGAGGGTGCCGTCCACGGCCGTCAGCTATAGTTATTAGCTAGAAAGTTTCCAGAAGATGCATCCACCCGGTGCCGACACAGCGGAGCAGCATCCACGTCAATTGTCCTCGGTACGGGCCTCTCTAGCTGGAGATCAGTCAGGAATAGCAAGTGCTAGTGAAGGATTATGGACATTGGAGGAGCCAAGCGCGAGCTGAAATCCAGGAACCATGGAGGTTGGCAGGAGTAGGCCAAAGGGAATAGTGCTGCGACTGTTGCTGCGGCTCCTCGGTGTCAAAGACAGAGAATATATATCGCAGTTTTTATCAGACACTGCGCGCAGTCCTGTGCGAAAGATGAACGAAAGATACGCTGCGGAAAAAGCACGGTAAGCGCACAGACGCGTAACTTTACATTTTAAAGCGGAGTTAGAAATATGTCCGGCGTTTTCCGGAAACCCATTCTTCGCCGCCCGAACCTCGCCGATTCTGTCTTCAGACGTCTGCGTATGCATGAAAATTCCTCACTATGTCGGCGCCTCTCCGAGCGACGTATAACAGGCCGCGCCCCTTTGATTTTCGGCTCGGCATGCCCATTGGGCAAACTAGGAGTCCACACCTAGGGCCAAATGCGCCGAAAGTGCGTACATCTTGAAGTCTGGCCTTCTGACTCGGAGGCGCCTCAAGCGCATGGCTTACTTCACACTCACATCAGCTGGCTTTCTTGGAGTTTTCTTCTGAGTCTGCGAGGAGAAAACGAGACTGCTTACCTTTTCTCCTTAGCTGCACTTTGCTCTAAATACTTCCGCTCAGTCACACACCCAAATACGCCATCCTCCGACTAGTCGGTTTGACAGCATATATACTTGATTTTAAGCAAGCTCAGGATTGCGGCTCTGCTCTACGTCTTTTGTCGGTCTATATTCTCGAGTTACTATCGGTAACCGACTATAGACCTCAACCAGCCGATTTGATGACGATTCATCGCTAGCGTACTTCGAGCTTGCTTCGGTTGGAAATTCGGAGGCAACACCTTTTTGAATCCGGCGCTCGCTTTCCTGCACTGCGACTCACACTTTAGTCCATCTACTGAAGCTTCGCGACATCACATGCCCAAACGTCACTTCGCCCGACACCATCCGACGCGTACAAACTCGGCGCCCAGCAAATAACTTTGTGACTCTATTCCGAGCGCCCTCGTCGGGCCCGCCTTCTTGAGCGCCGAGTGCGCGCCGATGAGGGATCTTAGTAAGCCGATGTCTATTCATATGATAGTATCTTTGAATATGATCGAGGTGCTCAATTTTAAATTGATTTTCCATCGATCTTTCCAGACAAGCTTAAGAGAGGCATACATGGTATCGATCACGCAGAAACTACGCATACTTGTCCCAGGAGAGTGCTCGATACGCATGAGGTTGCCCCGGCCGATGATTCTGATGCCTATCGCCTGAAATGTCTTCGCCTAGTCTACCCACTAGCCTCGCATTGCACCATCAAGTCAGTCGCTCACTCAAACTCAACATCGTCCGACACAGTCCGAAACGGTCTAACTTAGTAACTTATCAGATAATCTTACGACTCTATTATCGAGACCCCGTCGTCGGGCCCACCTCGTCAAATGCCGACCACGTTCCGGTGAGATCTCAGCAAGCCGACGTCGCCTATTCATATGACAGTCTCCTTGACTATGATCCGGACGGCCCGAACCCTATGTTCCAGCATAATGCACCGGCCCGAGGCGGCATCCTTCGGTGCCGCTGGACCTGTTGCGAAAATTTCATGCTACCTGGTGATGAGGCGATTGTCAAGCGATTGTCGTCGTGAATACGTCATGGTTCAGTAGGGGACAATGTCGCGGGCCGGCGGGGTGAGCTGTTTCAATGGTCCGAGATTATGGGTGCTGATTGAGTTTGAAAGTGTAACCTCAAACCGTGCATCGGTCCCATTTCTTTGACGAGAGTCAACGAAAATGAGCAAAAGCTCACGATGATCGTATGATACAAGGCAGAGCCGTCGCTGCGCTCCGAAATTAAGTCCCACACTTAGAGAGAAAATAGTGTTGTGATAGGTTCATGCACGGGCTGGCCACGAACTTATATAATATACATTATGCTACCAAGTCCCGGTAGGGTACTCCCAGTTCCAAGCCTGCTCGAACACAGAACTGAAATCATCCCTGCAAAAGATTATCCCCCTGACGTGTGTTTCGGACAGACGCTCTACATCGAGGTAGTAGACCCAATCGGCTGCCAAGTCAGCCTCTGCGCCGGTGTCCAGCATGTGACAGGAACATAGTCGTCGTAACTGGGGTCGGATGGATTGCCAGGGATGATAGTGAGTTGGATGCAGTCCAGGAGGACAGTAGAGCAATCAGTGGGGAAGAAAGCTTGCGCCATGACCTCAAAGACAATGTCGTCAGGGAGTAGGAGGTCAGTGTACCGGGCGTAAACTCTCAACTCGGCAACGATGGAGGAGTTGTCTGCACAATGGGGAGTGCATTCGTAATTGAAGTAGTGAGCGATATGACCAGATGGCTTCTTAACGGACGTTCACCTAGGCCGATCGACGCAGATGTAGCCACGAACGTGGCACACACACATGAATGAAGACGATGAGGAAACAAATTGAAGAAGATGGTCGGAAGGACGCGAGCAGCCTCGGTATAAGTAGGGGAAAAGAGAAAGACAGCAGAAAAGCGTACGAGAGATCATGAGGAGAGGCATTGGCCAATCAGCGTGTGACAGATAAGTATCCAGCCAACTGTTAAGTTGCGAAGAGGTTTAGACTGAGAGCGCATCATGACGGACTGCATGTCGACATGCAAGGGAAACGTTACAACGCCAGGAACGTGCACGGAAGACATGGACAGCTGAGGCGAAAACGGTGCAGAGAAAGCAAGAAGCGTTGAAGAGATAACGCAAAAAGGGAAAGGACAAACACGACCAAGCGAAAGCCGGGCACCTGAGTAAAGATACGGTATGACCCCAGGAGGGTGTATGTTCAAGTTGTCCGATAGTATTTTCGTTGATCGGGTCGTACGTCGCTATACCGTGGCATATTCCGAGAGCGTTAATCTCAACATAACTTTGAAAAATTGTGTCAACGGCGACATACTCCGAGAAATGGAAATGACTAGGCCTTATAAGGTGCTATTTAGACACTAATGGCGACACAACGGTTACCTTCCTTGATAGGCTACGCACGCAGAGGTTCGCCGCACATAACCGCGACCTGTGGAGACATATTATCCGCTGCAAAAAACCGCATGCAAGTCAGTAATGTGGTAAACAATTTAGAACGTAGAAGAGCTCGTTATCAAGCAAGAAGAAGGGTTACTCACTGGTCGCTGCGGTGAATCCTCTAAAGCCGCTGACCTCGCGGTGAAAGCGGATAGTTAGCGCCGGAAAGCCTTGTTGGTGAGTACCGCCTGGTACGTGCCACTTGCTCGCCACGATAGGCTCCACCAGAGAGGACCTCCACGGTTACCTCCCATGGACCAATCTCGGACAGTCCAGAGTCCAGATCGAGGCACACTCCAGCTGACAGCTGAGGAGCGATGTTGACGATGCGGGGAAATATCTCGTCATTAAACCTCGATGAATCTGCATCCTCACATACGCTACAGATGTTGTAACTGATATCTTGACTACTGGACGAGGGCGACGTACCGCAAGATGTCAAGGTACGAGGGCCAGATACATTGGACCCATTTCGTGATGATCGGATACGGGTGAGAAAAGCCTGGGGTCGAGGGGCAGTAACGATCATATGGCAGAGTCTAGACATGGGTGCATACCGTTCTATCAGGACGCTGAAGCTTCTGGGGTTTTGATCAGCATCCGTGTGAGTGTCACTGAGTGAATACTGGTGTACCGTCCTGGAAAGAAGCTGGCGTTGTTCCTCCTGGAGTTAATGTTCCCAAGGGGCATTGCTAGTAAGATTGAACACTAACTACTTATCAACGCCGTCCCGCCCGATAGCCACAGCGCGCTGATCTGAGCCTGTGCGTTCGCCAAGTCCCGAGACATCGTTCCAATTTCCGACGAGCACACAAGGCAACAGCTTTGCCATGGACGGACGATCGAAACGAAACGTGACCATTAACGGTCGACTATACTTCCGCGGAAGAAGCCGCCGCGCCAAGGAGCTCGGTCCCAAGCCAAGCACGAGAGCCAAGCACGACAGTTTACAAAGATGGCGGCGCGGCTATAGAGTTGTTGGCTTTTAGACGTTGATGAACTTCCGCCGACGTGTTCGTTGCTGTCGTCGGACTCGGTCGATCAGTTAAAGAGGCTGGATTGATTGGTGTGGCGTTCTTGTTGGACGTAGTGTTGTTCTTGGCCTGGCCTAAAAGCCAAAGCCAGGCCAAGCCAAGCCACATTTTGGGCCAAGCCAAGCCAGGCCAAAGCCAGTACCGGGCCAAGCATTGTTGGCCTGGCTTCACCACCAAGCCAGGCCAAAGCCAAGCCAATAGGCCATGGCTTTGTTAGACACTTATTATAATACTATATATCAGTAACTACAGTTGATGTTAGCTTGTTTGATACTTTTGTAAACCTTGTACACCTATCCTTATCTAATCCTTGTGTAATCTGCAGACCCCGCTTATTTGTGACCATGGGAAAGTCAGTGTTGGGAGGGCGTCCTCTAGAGCTAAATAGTTTAAAGCCTAAGTCTCCATCAATGGTGATTGACCCTGCACTAGGCTATTCTGTAATGAGACTACTAACTATCAGAAGTGATCCTTGACTATGCTGTCCCTCAAAACATACCCAACTCTTGACATAATCTATTTTTTGGAAGAACTAACCTTTTATAAAACTAATGTGTAGTAGTGATAATCCTGAATAGGCCTTATCCTTGGTATAGCTATTGTACTACCAGTGCTTAGTAGGAAGCCTGATATTCAATATACTCCTTAGTGCTTAACAGAAATTATGCCTCATTACTTTCATGTTTACTTGGATTGCTAACAAGAGACTTATGATCTACCAAGGACTATTTCAGTTAAATGTTGTTTCTGTCAAGGGTTAGCCCTGTCAGGGATTGGTTCTGTCTATGGTTAGTTTTGTTGAGCTAGTGTTGTTAACAAATTTAGCTAAATTGGTACAGCAGTTGTTTTTGAGTTCTAAGAGTTAGCTTTGTATTATAGGATTAGGTGATTTCTCGAGGATTACAGCTAGTTGCAAATGGAATGACACCTGGGCTGAAATTAGAAAACTGTGAGATGCGGCAGACCTGTCTGATCCGAGCTGCTGGAGTGCGGCTGTGAGATCCAAGCCCCGGTGCTCTGTGCTTGCAACACGTGGAGTACCTGTACACCTACACATCCCTCAAAAGCTCTTCATCCCATGCATGGCCCCCATTTTTGATGCCAAAACCTTGAGAATTCTCGGACTGGAGCCACTGGAAACCTCCCCAAGTCCACCCCCTCTGAGCCCTCAACCATCTAGGAAGGCCAACTACTATGCTCCGCCATCTGACTTGGAGGATGACATGGACAACAAAGCTTCCGAGGATGAGGAAATAGCAGATCTGGCTCCAACTCAGGTGAAAGGGAAGCAAAAGTGGACAGGTATTTGACTAGGTTACATCTCATCAGTGCCTAACTGTATATACAAAAAGCTGACAATGAGGGGCCAATCACCGAGATTGAGGTCCTCCTTGATATCACCCCTGTAACTGAGATGAGCAAGCCCAAAACCAAGCAATGCATCAAAAAGATGACCTTCCATTTTGCTCTCGACAAGCCGTGGACAATTGTTGAAGCCTTATTGCAGCTACTTTGACATTGGGGGAGATACAACGATTGCCCATAGTGTATGAGTACAGAGAAAGCGTAGCTACACTGCTCTAGAGGTTGCAAGTCAGCATGAAGCACCGGAAATGGGTACGGACCGGTGGCCGATATAATTTTTGGCATTCATGGTGGTGTCATTATTTATGCAAATAGCTGTAATTACCATGTTTTCCTCATAGTCAGGTGTTTAGGCATAAACAAGTGTTCTCATAAGGACTTGGCAAGGCTCATATCAAGCATATTTAATAGCAGCTGCTCACAAGCATATAGTATTTACCACTATACAAGGGCTAACCTGCAATTAAAGCATTTGGCTATATTTTGTAAGTAAATTTGTAGTGTAGTTAAAGTACCATACAAAAGCCATGGCTCGAGCCAAGCCAAACCAGGGCCAAGCCACAAGCCAATAACTTTGGCTTGGCTTGAGATTTGGTCAGGCCAAAAGCCACTTGAAGCCAAGCCAAAGCCAGTGGCTTTCAGGCCAAGCCAAGCCAAGAACAACACTAGTTGGACGTGCCCGCGGCGCTTGGCGCTTGGCACATGGTATTGTACAAGCTCGTTCGCGAGCGAGCAAGAAAACGAACGTTCTGGAAAGGGGACTTGGCCCTTGGCAAAGCACGGAGATGAGAGAAGACTTGGAAGCCCGAGGACTTGACGCTGTTCGTGAGCTTGAAATACGAGTGATTGCGTGCGGTCTGGTGCGGTGTCCAGTCGTAATCCCGTGAAAGGTGCGATCGTGATGGCGTGCCCCCTGTTCGTATGAAGAGTCCGACGTGTTAGGCCTTAGATCTATCGCCATCCAAGAGGCACTTTGCAATTGTGTGTGGGAGAGCAGCACGATAACCACTCGCGCCCGGCCGACGCTAGCCACGCGTGTGTAAGCATCAGCGCTACCCAAGCCCCTGTATCTGGACTGGTTATTTATAAGCCACGGCTAGCGTGGAAGTGAACTGGGCGGGGTTAAGCGAGGTTGAGTGAGGGAAAGTTTGAGAGGATGAGAGTGGGAGGAGTCACAAGTTTAGTAGCCAGCGGCTCGGGCGGGATATTCTTATCGCGACGAGAAGCCGACGCGGGGTAAACCAGGATGGCGACAGCGCTTTCGTGCGGCGCCAAGGCGGCGTTGAGATCCTCCAGAGGGCTGCCGGTGGGACCGCTGCAGGAGGGGGGAGCGTGATAAAGCCCCTGTGTGTATATAAGAGGCGGAAGTGGCAACGTATGTGGTCCGCTGATAATCCCCCTCTTTGGTGCCGGGTCCTTGTGCTATTGACTTTGTCTTACACAGACCGCTGCCGCGAAACACGAGCGAGTTGTGAAGAGGACGATATGCCCGTTCCCGTTCCCGTTCCCGTGCTGCCGGCGGTGTCGGTTGGGGTGTTCGCCGAAGGGGGCAAGGGCGGCAACAAGGCCAAATACGCGGCTCTGTCGGAGTCGCAGGAGATGCTGATGATGCACAAGCAGATGCACAAGCTCGCTGACAGGTAATTAGCCTCCCCCATCTTCCGTCCAGGTCCTTTTTATTCATCAGCCTTCCGTCATCCTTTTCTGCGCCTTTCCTTCCGCTTCTCCACGTACCACGTCTCTCTCTGCCCGCAACCTCGCGCTTCGATAAGCACACCGACCCCTGCCGCATTGACAACGCCAAGTTCATTGGCAGTCGCGACCCTGCCTGCAGCCGAGCCATCACCCTCACCCTCGCACACTTCACGCTATCTCTCGGCAACATATTACGAAGACCAGCACCAGCGGGAAGCTTCGTGTCATTCTGCTCTTGCACTTCAACCGCCACAACCACCATTGCAACTTCAGCATCATAGCATGCATCCCAATGGCGTCTTCGCGCCCATGACCTCCACGTTTCCCCCTGCCTCTGCTCTACCGGGCACGTCGCCGCTCCCGCCTCCGCCGTCGCCTGAGACGGCCGCATCTAGCGGAGCCCCTGTAGAGTGGGACTGGGACATTGAGCACGCCGACCGCGCCAGAGAGAACAAGGCGGACGCGGCGCAGCCGCTGCACGACGCTGCTGTCCCGTTCCAAGTGGACCGGAGAGTGCTCAAGGACGTCGTCCGCGAGAAGACGGGCGCGGAGGTGGGGAGGATCAAGTTCATCAGCTCTGGTGAGTCGCGGTTCTCTGTGTGCTTTGCTGTTCCCTTTGCCCGGCCTCTGCACCACTTCACGTCATGTTCTACGCCATAGCCCACGCGGAGCGACCACTCTAGGGCTGGGGCGGATAGCGTGGCGAGTGGGACGGGTTTATGCTGTCTAGATCAAAGTTCGCGTGCTGACTATCATCTGTGTTTCATTGTATGTGCTTCGCGACATGAATGAGCAGGCACGTTTCACAAGGTGTGTATGAGCTGCTTCTTAGCCTTATCTAGCCCAAGCTGACCGTATCGTCGTCGATAGGCTTATCTCATCACGCTAGTCGACGGGCGGGAGCTTGTTGCGCGCGTAGCACGGAGGTTTATGCCCCGCCTCAAGACGGAGAGCGAGGTCGCGACGATGGCGTACCTCCGCGAGCAGGCGGGGATCCCCGTGCCCGTCATATATCACTACGACGCGAACCCGTACAACCGGCTGGGTGGGGAATACATTCTCATGTCCAAGGTGAGTTGTGTCTGCCGTGCTGCTATACCCCAATGGGAGAATATCGCAATCAGCTGCGGGCAGTTGCAACACCGGGACGTACCAATACCGGAACGCACGGGCGTGTCTAATCTAATCCTGTCTGTGGCTGAGGAACCGATTTGCCTTTTGCACAAGGCACACTCTATTTCAGCTTCTATTTATAACACTTGCTCCGGGATTAAACTTAGCTGACCCGTGACATGCTTCTTATCTAGGCACGTGGAATGCCCCTGTCCCGCGTCTATCACTCCCTCTCCAACGAGGAGATCACTCGTCTGTTCGAGAACCTTGCTGCCATCGTGATACCGCTCTTTGCACTCCGGTTTTCTCATCTGGGCTCTCTTTACTTTGGCCAGCCACCGGCGGAACAGGCCGCGCGGCCACCTACTTCTTCGACATTCGCCGCGAACGGGGTACCCCAAAATGTGTTCTCAGTCTCGCCGGCGATAGCCTCACCAATGACGCCTACACCAGCCCAGAACAGGCTTAGCTCGTTCCCATTCATCCCGCTCATGTCACCCCCAAGCACGAGCACCCACACCTACACACAGCCTACCCCGGCCATCGCCACCCCCAAACCTACCACCCCTTCCGCATCCGACACGCAGAAACCCTCGTCTTCAAAAGGAACGTCATCACAGAAGCCGATCGTTACGCCCGCGGGCTCTGAGTTCCACATGGGCCCCATCGTCTCCTGGCCCTTCTTCGGCAGCGGCCGTGGCTCACTAAAGCACCCTTCGGATATAGACCGCGGCCCGTGGCGCACGACGTCCTCCTACCTCTCCGCGTGTGCACGGCGTGAAGTCGACGGTGTCGCGCGCGAAGGCAGGGACGAGGCGGCGTCGCACCCGCTCTCGCTCGACCCGGGTGTGGTCGCTGCGTCGCGGCACCACCATGTCTCGGGTATCCCTGACGACGAGTCGGACGAGAGCGACGAGTGGGGCGCGCAGGAGAGCGAGGAGGAGTGGGACGGGGCGGTGAGGACGGGGCTGTATAGCGATTATAGAAGGATGCAGCGGAGCACGTTCTTGGTTGCGCATATGAAGCAGAGGGAGGAGCGGGTGAAGCGGGAGATGGAGAGGTGGATGCGGGTTATGGGGCGGTTGATTGAGATTGAGCAGGGGGCGAAGGTGGATGCGGGTGGGGAAGCTGGTGGTGGGCCGGATGGGGTTGGGGAAGGGCTGGTTGGTGGTGAGGAGGGGGAGGAGTTTGCGCTGGATTGTCATGATATCAGTCTTGAGAATGTGTTCGTCGACGAGACGAACCATACCGAGATTGTGGGTGTTGTCCGTTTCTTTGGGCATTTTCGCTCCTGCTGACTTATATTGCTCTTACAGACGTGCATTATCGATTGGGAAAGCACAACTACCCGCCCGCTCTGGGCATGTGCCCACCTTCCCGCGTTCCTCCAGTCGAGCCCTTTCCTCGCCCGCATGTTCCGCGAAACCGTCGTCCGCGTCGCCGCCCGCTCGGCTATCTCATCGTCCCGCTCCTCTCCCAACGCGTCCTCGCACTCCCTCAACAACCTGGGCAACCCGCCAACGCTACCATCGACATGCGGTGGCAAGCCGTTCAGCGTCGTCGCACGCGAGTGGTTGCACCACGAGGCCGCGGGCGCGCGTCTGCGGCTCGCGCACCGCTGTGCGGAGTGGGACGGCTGGGAGGAGGGGCTCGTGGAGAGTATTCTTGGGCCGGAGGAGGGCGAGGACGAGTGGTTCGCGGACGAGTGTGTGGATGCGTGCGGTGGGGCGTGTGGGGACGATAAGTGTGTTGTTGAGGTGCTGGAGGATCACGAGGAGGGTGTTGGTCCAGGTCCGTCGTTGGGGAAGGGTGTTGGTGTTTCTGGTAATGGGAAAGGGGTCAACGGTGCTGCTGCTGATGCCGACGCGGATGCGAGGGGGAGGACGAAGACGACGTCGAAGCGGGCGAATGTGGCTGTGAACGGGTCTGCGAAGGCGAACGGCGTCTCGAATGTTAACGGGTTCCTCAAGCCCTCTATGAACGGCAATGGAAACGGTACATCCCTACCCCTCCGGTCGGAATCCGCCCACTCGGAGCTCTCCGACTTGCCGGAGAACGACGACGGGGTGAACGGTGCGCGCGCGGCGCTGGACCGGCGGCGCGGGCGTGCGGGCAAGCTCGCGCTCAAGCGGGAGAAGGAGCAGGAGCAGACGCTTGACACGACCGGCGACGTGTGCGGGGGGCGCGGTGGGGAGCTCGGGCGCCGTTTGGAGGCGTGGCTGACCAATGAAGGGGAGAATGGGAAGGCGAGGCGGATTAGTGGCGAGTATGGGCACGAGCACGGGCAGGGGCACGGGCACGAGCGACATGCGAGCGACGCGGATTCGGAGGGTGGGGAGGATATGGTGGTGGGTGGGGGTGGGGAGGAGAGCGACTGAGCGCGTTGGATGGTACGGATACCCCCCGTCGGCGTGGACGTCGTCACCAGCATCAAGGATCCAGGAAGCAACGTTTTTTTTCTCGGCCATCGCACTTTCTTCTTCTGACTTTGCACTTTTTCCTTCTTTGAATCTTTGCATGTCCGTTTTACCATTTAGCCATGGGGACGTATGGACGTTGGGTTTGGTTTCGTGACGGTTTGGCTTTTTGCATGCAGAAACATAACTATAGAGAGAAATTTGTACGTTACTACACATCTTTTCGCATGCACGTCGCACATACATATGGTTTCGGGTGGCACATATTTGTAGTATACGGCTATAATCAATCAATATCAATTTGCAGCTGTTCGTTATTTGGTGTGCTGCTGCGGTTACGGGCGGTGTCACTTTGGTTTTTCTCAGCGAACAGACAAGGGCACGGGAGGAGTGGGTTGACCGAGCCAAGACGTCAGGATCGACGTGGCTGTGCAGCTGGGCGTTGGTCAAGGTGTCACTCGGCGACACCGTCTGCGCGCCAAGCATCTTGCTCCTGTCGTTCAAGTTGAAGGCTGTTTCATCGATATGTTGGCCGGCTCAGCTGCGTTATCATGTGCATCTAGGTGCATACGATACGCTGGGTTGGTGGTAGGTTATAAGCGGGGCCCGCTCGGGAGAGGATGATGCCTTGATTTCGTCCGACTGGGTGTCCTCTGCGGCTTTGTGACGACCTTCGACGATCCAGTCATGTCTGAGGCCTCTACTGCGTATCCTGCATCTCCTGCTCCCGCTCTTATATCCTACGAGGATCCTGATGACACGAAGCGTCGTTCCCTCTATCCGCCCGGAGGTGCGGTATCAGACGCGCGGACTCCTCAGCTGGCGAATGTCGTCGACCCGCCGCGGCCCGAGCTGTGGCTCTTCTGGTTCGGATGGAGTGAGTTTCTTTCTCTATGGTCGCGTGTTGTGCCCCACATTATGAGTACTTACAAGCTCATCACACCGCGCGTATAGTCTGCCTTCCACTCTGGTTCGTCGGAATAGGCCTGTGGGCCGTGCGGCGCAGACGAAGCCCCTATGAACTCGTCATCCGTGTGTCGGACGTTCCCCCCTCCTCGTCAGTCCACACAGACTCGGCGGCAGAGGACGGGCAGAGCGGGTTTGAAGACACGGTCGTCGCGATAACGAAGGAGCAGCTCGAGCGTGCGGCGGCGCAGCACCGCGCCGCGCTCCGCTGGGGCGTCGGGTGCCTCGTGATGGGCATTGTCGGCTGTCTCATGCTTATCGGGTGGATGGGCTGGGTGGGGTGGTATATTCGTCATGATCCCTGAGGATGATTGATGTTTGGCTGGTGGATGTTGATGCTTTGAATGAACGGGATGTGTACGGCTTCTGGACTTGCTGACTGGAACATGACTTCTTTACGTGGCGGCTTCATGCTCAAGGACGATTGTCGCTTTCTTCATACTTCTTATGACATTTATATCCACACCGTGACGTTCCTCATAGTTATATACCCTTTGTTTACACGCATTGAAAACTACTCTGACTGTTCATGGTGAAGTGATAAACTCCCGTCTCTTCCTTGTGGCGCACTGTACATGACATCTACACGGGAGAAGAAACTGTCCGCCGATCTAACCATCAGTGATCGCAGGCGCCTTGCCCACCCACTCGTTATGCTCCAGCTCATGAATCACAAAAGCTGCGAACGCCGCTCGGCTGAGAGTGAACGCGCTCTTCCCATCTCCGACATATCCAGCATGCCACCGCGTCTCCGTCGCATTCGTGAGCATCGGAACGCGTGCGATCGTCCACTGAATATCCAACGCTGTGCCCTCGGTGCGGAGAGTCCTTCCGATAGCTCGAACGTCCTCGTACACGGCATTGAGAACATACCGGAGGAGACGCGTCGCTAGCGCGAACCGCAGGCTCGCGCGATCTTCCTCGTCTGTGATGCTCGGTGTGCCGAGTGCGATGAGCCTGTGGACGTTCTTCTCCTTCATCACGCGTAGAATGAGCGAGTAAGCGCGTCCGAAGGGCCGGTCAGTAGGATAGGAGGTCGTGAACGAGGCGTTAGGCCCCAGCGCGCTGAGCACGGCGTCTACGCCGTCCATAGCATCCGATAGTGCAGCTTCCTCGTCAAGCTCGCCTTTATGGACTGTAACGTGGGCGTTGATGGCAAGATCTTCCGGCAGCTTGTGGGGTGAACGAGCGTAGATGGTCACTGCATGTGAGTGCGCCAGTGCTTCTCGGATAAACAGAACACCAGAAGGACCGGTAGCACCCAGGATGAGCACATGCATAGCTGAATGGCGGTGCGGTTGACATCATTCAACGCTCTGATACGGAAGATGTGTTTCTTACCTTCTGATTTTCAACTCAGCCTTTGAGTGATGATGCCAAGAACACGGAGGTAGAGTTGCGAAACCACTTTCTTTGCTGGGATGTGGACACGCGTTATTTATGCTGGACCAAAACAACCCGTGGAGAAAGTGATTAGCAAAGTGTGTCGCAAGAGCCAATCAAGAGCGAGTGAAATAACGACATGCCGCGTCAATTCCCGGCCCCCGCGGACTTGCGTAAGGATTGCCGGTTAACGAGGGTAAAAACACAAATGCAAAGTCAGTGGTTATTACTTGTTTCTGGTCACTGATGATCGTTGGCAGGAGTCTAGGTACTAGAGAGAGTCACCTCATGACGGTCAAACGGGCAGCGGCTCGTATGTGTGACGTCTACGGAAGATGCCGAATGTTCATTGAGTTCCGCTTCAGATCAGACACTCCATCCCGGCTCTTGTCATCATAGGCCTTCCATCAGACATAGAACAGCTTGAACTGCCTCTTACCTCGCGCTCGTGGTGGACACCAGTTCTCGAGTGGGTCGCTGCGCCAAATGACTATGTTATATCGTGATCGCGGTTTCACAAGTTGCCGCACCGCGCCCAAAGTGTGCTGCGCAACGAAGACGGGCTTTGATCCCCGCGTCATACAATTATGGGCAGATAGACACACCGGTGAGTCTCAGTGGACAGCTTTGACCGACATGTCGAGCAACAATATAACCACCAAGTGTTCGCTGCCGGTTCCTTGCTCTGCTTCCACTCACAACGCGAGCTCTTCTCTAGTCATCGTGCCCCATTGAACAAGTCAAACATGTCTTCTACCTCCGCCAATGCACCTGCTTGTCCCGAGGGCTCTTACACAAAGATGCTTGAGGCACAGAAGGACGTCAAAACCATAGAGGACGTGCCTACGTACGGCGACGACAAACGGCGTTCCCTTCCGCCTGCCTACGCTGCGGCCAGCGGAAGCGGCCCTGTCTCTGAGCCCGCAAAGACTGTTGATTCACCCATGCCAGAGCTGTGGATCTTCTGGTTTGGCTTCAGTAAGTGCTTTGTGCAAGCCTCGTTCCACATGCCCATTCTCGGCCTTACATACTTCCCACCCAGTTTGTCCGCTACTCTGGTTCGTCGGCGCGGGCATGTGGTTCAAACGCCGCAGGACGTCCGTCCTCATTGCCAATGTAGAGGTGGTAGTGTCTTCTGTGGACGCCGAGTCATCAGGATCCCGCGTTATTGTGCTCACCAAGGAGCAAGTCGAACGTTGTGCTGTGCAACACCGGAGCGCTCTCAAGTGGGGTGTTGCCTGCGTGTGCATGGCCGCCGTTAGCTTGGCCCTCGCGATAGCGCTGGCTGGCTGGATTAGCTACTCTATCTATGACACTTACTGAATGCTTCAGCCTGCTCATGCTGAACGATGTACATGTATTAACATTGGACATTTCGGGGCCGTCGCTAGTATCCAACACCTTACTTACTCTATCTTATCATTATATCCTTACTCTTACAGATTACAATCCCTCACGAACAATGACATATACATGCGTATCAGATTCGAAACTCACATTTTCTACATGTAGTGAAGTTTTCATGATCTTTGGGTTGCACCAAAACCCTCTGCGACTACTGCAGTGCGAGGCCCAAGCGAGGCCCTTCGGCAAAGTTGGCGTCGTGTAGACCGTGGCTGTGCACCACCTGCTTGCGTGCTGTACAATGGCGGGGTTTCGAGCCCGAACGATGGCATTGCTTTTATGGAAACTGCTCTCGGCAGACATGTGGATCAGAACTCTCTGCTGGCGTAAGTAGGAGAGCGTTGAACGTCTTGGCATGTCGAGGTACAAGCTCCGTTCGTGGCAACTGGCAAGCGCGGTCCTATATTATCCCTTCCGTCTCCCAGCGCCCGCTCAGCTCGCCCACCATGTCTACGACTCCTGATGCTCTTCTAGTAGTTGGATTACCCTCGAAGGATGCCGAAGCACTGCAGGATGCGGCTCGGAGAACATCCGATGACCCTTTGTACACCGAAGAGGGTCACGATCTGTCGTCGTGCTCCAAATCTCCTCAAACAGAACCCGCGAACGTTGTAGACCCGCCTCGGACGGCAATGTGGCTCTTCATTTTTGGCTGGAGTGTGTTTCACCCTTTGATCAAATCATGACTCGTGCTGATACCTGGCTTTCGGAAGTTTGTCCCTTCTTATGGATGGCGGGCACAGTCATGTACTTTATGGAACGCATGTCGCCTGTGGTCACCATGAACCTGACGATGGGATCATCGGATGCTGCTATGGGAGGTTCGTATGTCGTATCGCTCTCCAAGGACCAGATCGAGCGACGCGTAAGGCAGCGCCGTTCCGCTCTCAAGTGGGGTCTCGGAAGCGTGTGCATGTTATCCATTGAGGTGCTCGTCGCAATAGCAATGGTTATCATGATCGGGGTCGAGACCAATGGCAGGTTTGAGTATTACTAGCTTGGTGCTCAACTGTGTATTCTTTGGACCCTCCACAGATACTACGAGGGATATCGAATTCTTCCAGCATGTACTTTACATGGATATGGACCTTGACGTTCAATGGACTACTCACGAAAATATATGACATTCATACTCTATTTTCTAATGGATGATTCCCGAACGACGAAACACTTGGTATCTTAAGGGTAATGAGGGGAGAATAAGATGCCTGATTACTCTGACACAGCGATACCACCTCGGATGTTTCCCCAGTTTCGTCCATGTTGCTCTTGCGTCGGGAACTAAGACATCCGTCATGTTCATATTCACAGGCGCAAACGATGAGCCTCGCATTCATGATCGCAATGATTGGCTCTATCAATCTTAGCATCCATTCAACATCGTTTCGTTTCATAGCTGAATAATCCTTACATGATGCCAATGATCCAAAACGGTCGCTTTGGGTATACGCTCAGTCGAGACGTGAAACGACAACAACAAAGCCACTGACCGCAGATACAACACCGAGAACAATGTTTATCAGGCGCAATACTATGCCCAATGTTCATGATCTCACTCTCCAATAAAGTAGCTCGTCTCACTGACCTAGTGTAGTCTGCGGAATCCCAGTCAGTTTAACCTCGCACAGATACAGAACTTTCTTACCACCAAGAATCCTAGACCCTGTCTGCGAAGAACCGTAAGTATCTGGGAGTTGTGCGTTCTTGGTATGTCCAGGACGTTTTGAACGACCAAAGCTGCTGCAAAGAGGTCAAAAACAAACTGAAAAACTCCATGTTAGCGCCTGATAATACTGATACTTAGCAAATCGATAGCTGCACTGCGGTCTCACCTGAGTAATCAATATGCTAGGCACAAAAATATTGCGTCCCTGCGTAACTACACACGAGTGTACTCCTGGCAAGGATATCCACCGTTGGCGATCTAGCATACATCGTTGAACGCAGGATAGATGAGAGAGGATCTGTCTGCTCACTGGCGATAGTCTTGTAAAAATATACTAGAAATGCTGAATTGCAGCCCGCTGTCATTAGAGCGCCCAACATAAGGTAGAAAAGTTTCCGCTGATTCTTGTCCCATAGTAAGAATACTCGGGTTACAGCAAAGACTAGAAAATATTATGAGAAGGCTGTATGGGTCCTGCGGGTGAAGGTGTTGAAGCCACTCACAATTTCCAAGCGCATCCGCAGCTACAAAGAGGACATCACTGGCCAACTCCAGTTTCTGGCAACTAAGAAAGTGCTTAAAATGCATTATACTACGTGCTCGCGCCATTGTATTTTCTTACTACATCAATGGAGATTTAGCATCTAATGAAGACCATTGTCCAAAGTGCTTACCCGTTCGTCGCTCAAATCTGTGATAGAAAACAGCCCTATCGTCTTCACTTTAAGCGCCAGACCCACCTCATCCGCGAGGGAAACTCTATACCTTTCATCCACGGCATAAGCATAACTACCGCGCTTATCCTGTTACATGACAGCGCGATCCTGAGGATAATATTATTTGTCTCGCGCAAGGCTCGAGCCTCCCTTCTAGACATGAGAATACTATCCCATACAAGCGCAGTCATTCCAGCCGCTGCGCCGAGCCTTCGTTAAACGTCAACTAGTTTTAGAGGGAATGTAACACGTACTAATCAGGCATCTGCAGAAACCCGGATAAACGAGACTTGCGCTGTGTAACATCTGGGACATGACAAGGAGGCCTGAGCAGCAGGTGGAAGGGAAAGGGAAACGGGATATAGTTTGAGTGGGGCTTGGACGTCTTCTTATTCCTCCAATAAGACGCTCAAGCGTTGGCACGTATGGCAATGCTCCCATGGCGCTAAGCAGTTGATGGTAGCACTCAATGTAATGTTCTGGGAGCAAAAGGTTTGATTTAGCCTCAAGTGTCCACACAGAACAGAGCCATTCACGTTCTCAGATAGGGAGATGCAATCATTCGACTTTCAAATGCTCGTTACAACCAGAAAGACTGCTGAGTAAAAATGGTCTTTCATTACGTTGTTTGGCTAATTTCGAAGTGGAAAAGATGAGGCTCATTGGATCGCACGTGTTGAGAATCTCTCTGATGGATGGCGTCGAAAAGGAATGGTGAAACCTACAATTATGATTTGACTATCGCAGGCTGGATATTGTATAGGCCGAGCCTTAAGACGATGAACGCCCAAGAATTCTCCGCTTTCGATGAAGAGAGTCCTAGTCATCGATTCATCGCGGATACAATCACACATTCGATGCTCTTGGAAGAAATTGCTTCGCGGGGGGCCACTGCCTCGTGTAGCCTTCCCTTGGGGCGGATCGTAGTAGCACCGGACTCGTGTCTGAAGATCTGATGGACAGGACAGTCGGATGCGGGTTTCCTATTTTAAAACAGATAAATTGTCCGTTATTGCGCAGGGAACAAGAATATACAGCATGTAATAATAACCCAATGCTATTGGTTCGCCAATCTGCATCGATCTATTGGGTAAGCCCTTCTGAGTCCTTTTTTCATGGTAAGGTCCCATGAGATAGTACGAACCTAGCTATGTTGCTCGTCTGTTTGGTGACATGAAGACCGTTTGAAGGCCTGCTGAAGGCTCCGAGATTACAATATCACTCATATAGTTCTAACAATATGTGAATGGATACCGGTAGTCTGTGAGATGCCGAGGCTGGGGAACGAAGCCAGCATCAAGCAAGTTTTAGTGGGGTCAATTCTGGCTGGAGATTCTCACTCCGTGTGAATGGTTATCGTACCGCCTTACTACTAGGTTTGTAGTAAAACACACTGCAGTTCTATCGACGCGATCGCTTGCCCATATTTCTTGGATTATTTGTCAAGGAGAATAATACTGCGGGAGGCGTTTGAGTGGTTCAAGTTTCGAGAGTAGCCATGCCCCGAACGTGCTGATAAATCACCTTGAGACACTCGTTCTTCTCCGAACGACGATCTCTTTATGCACCCAGCAACGTTGAATTGTTTATCCAATATCAGTGGTACTTTGGTCTCTGAGTGGGCTTGGCATTATGAAAAGTAGACTACTTTTATTTGCGGATGGATGATGGCCCCGCAGATTCGCATCATGGTTATACCGCGTTTTCGAACGGGTTCCTCCCGAATGAAGCTACTGTGGGAATCTTGACGATAACAACAGGAACAAGTGTCAGACAGTGACTCTTGCTCAACGACGTATCCACCACTTCGCCCTCGGCATTGCTGCATTCAAGGAGCCCGCGTCGCATCTCTTCGTCAAACTCACAGGCACGAACAATGAGCCTCGAGTTCAAAACTGCGATGACGGCCTCCACAAAGCTTCGACATACAGTCATTGAGGTATGAACTACCAGAAATACATGCAAAAACTCACATTATTCCAATTACCCAGTAACTTTGCTAACCGTAGCCGTTCAGTATTTTTCAGTGCGTTATACGATATCTTTCATGACGCACCCCGGGTACAATGCACACAACGATGTTTAGAACGCGAAAACCTGTGACGTCTCGTCGATCAGGAGACATATAACTGTCAATTTCATACTAGTCACCTAAAATAAGCTGCGACGACTTAGCTAGAGTTGTACATCCGTAATGTGAACAAACTCACTATTAATATCCAAATACCCTGTTTATGAAGTAGCTCGATTATCTGCGAGTTCTTTGTTCTCGGTATGTCCATAGCGTTGAGAATCACCAGAGACACGGCGCAGATGTCATATAAAAACTGATTAGATGCGCATGAGTAAATGATCGTAGACGCTTTGATTCACCCACGTCGATCACATATGCAGGAATTATTCAACAATTAATGTATTAAATCCACACTATAATAATAACTCACGGTTTCCCATTGTATTTGCAGCCACATAAGTCACGCCGGCAGCAAGTCCTCCTTTCAGACAACTAAAAACCATATCATGAGTTGGGGAACGTCAGGCCGTTAAGTTTCACTACTGTGGGACGACGAGATATAAGTAAGACTCGTGTACCATAATTTGAAGACCGGAGGTGTACACGCACCTTTGCATCGTCCAAAGCTACGGCAGGAAATATCTCTGGCCGCATTTGGCTTCAGCGATGAATTTTCTATGCATTCGAAGGAATTACTCCAAACCTTGGAACCATGGTACAAGCATGATTATGGCGCTAATCCTATTACATGCAAAAGCCGCTCTCAAGACGAGGTTGTTGACCCTTTTGACGGATTGCATTTCCCTTCTTAGCATCATGATACCGTCCCAAATAAGGAGAGTCATGCTCGACACTGAGTTTGTTAAGCACCTCCAAAATGCCCACTTAAGATATCAACGTACCAGCCAGGTATCTACATGAAAACAAAAACGAGATTCCGGCGACCAGCGTTTGAGACATGAGGGACACTTGTCGAGATGGAGAGAACCTGTCCCTAGGGCGTGCAAAATGACGGGGTCACCGAGCTATCATGGACCCCTTTAAGTCTTGCTTGATGGTAGGCACTGAAGTGCTCACATGCCTGGCGATTTGGATATGACCCGCCTTTCAGCATAGCACCAACCTTGCGCCCTGTCTGAGAGAGCCAATGGACATGCTGATCAAATTGGGGACAAGGATAAGTGTACATAAATATACACTACTCACGCGTTTGGCGATGCCAGAAGCAATGGACCGCCTTAATCTGATTGTAATTGCGGAATGTCCAATGAGGATGCCTACAGCGCTCCCGCGCCTGATCTTGTGGACAAAGGCATTGCATTGCTCTGATCGATGGAAATCATATAAGGAATAGTATGTTTATGTGCAAAGATGGCAGCGCTGCCCCACCCTATAGAGGAGACCGTGATAGCGTAGAAGTCACAAATCGCCGTTCTGAATGCATCGATAGAACACTGCATGAGATTTCATGATGATGGGACTTCCATAACACCCAGCACGAGCATTTATTTTGCTTTAGGAAGATCACTTTCTAACGGACTTACATACCTATGCCAGCGGCTGGATGTCATTTGTAGCGTTCGAGCCTTCTTGGCGCGAGCATGAAACAACATGAGGTACAAAGATCTCGAGAAAATGAAGACGCCCACGTTGCCGGTGAAGTAAGTTATGTTCGCTGAGCGGTGCGCAGAATCCTTAGCAGGCGGAGTTTAAATGGTTTTGGCGTCAGCACTGCCCAACACTGCCACACATACATTGGCTTTTGCTTCTGTACTGCGCACTACGATATCTGCACCTTACGTTCACGGTCGTCGTTGCCCGACACCATGATATCTTTACTCAGAGATGAAAAATAGGGCGGGAACACACTGCGCATCTTGATGGACTTCCTTCTCTGCAGCCTTCTGCAGCAATCTTCAAGCACTTGAGTCTTCCACCCTTCGTCGCCAACTCCCTTGAGCCTCCTGCTACTCCGAGTCGCTTGCGTAACCTCAGAGGCCAACGTAAGATGATCGTGCTTTCACCAGACAAGAAGAGCACCGAGGCTACGGCTTCACCTGCCAGCGACTGCGCATCCGTAGCCGCAGCGAGTATCACAGTGCACCACCGGCCTACACCCAAGATGACGGTACTAGTAGAGCACCATCATATCCTCCCGACTCGGGGTCTGAAGACACAGAAGAGGAGGAGAAAGAGCCATACACAATCTTGAGATCCTTCTTTTGGATTGGTTTCCGTACGTTCCTCTCGGCCCTCATCACATTTAGCGCACGAGGCTAACCCTTTCTTGCCAGTTCTGGCTTGTCTTTGGTTATGGGGCACATTCGTCTTTATCACGCTTTGGTCAAGGTCACCAGCCATACGCGTCAAGTTGGATGCGGAGGGACAGCAGGTCATCATCACGAAAAGTGAGGTGCGGCTCTTGCGGCGGCGACACGCGACGGAGCTCAAGTGGGCACGGCGCTGCGCTTTCGCATTCCTTGGGATCCTTGTTCTTCTTGCGATCGTCATGGTTTCTGTTTTCGTTGGGTTATCATCAGGCGGTGTATAATAGGGGCCAGAGTCGTTTTGGCATGCTACTGTCGTATGTTGCCGTTTTATTCACTTATCTTCCACACTGTCACCTCATCCTATGTTCTGTTACCGGCGTCTGCAATCTATCGTTGCTTTTCAGCTTCTTTATGTCCTTAGAATGTGTTGTTCATTTTCACTGTCCTGCGGCTATAACGCGCGTCGGACTCTGTCTTGACAAGTTATGTAACGCCGTGGGCGCTTGTCCCGTTTGAAGTAATTTCCCTGCTTGATTACTTTTGCGTTTCCAATTCCTGTAGGTCTTGTAATTTCGGTCGCTGAATTATCTGAATCCTCGCGTAGCCGACTGTCAACGCGCGTCGCAGACGGGGAGTATATAACCGACGCATCGCGTAATGACCGTGCTCTCTAACTCCTCCGCCTGCTGCTCGTTCTTTGTCCTCCGCTCTAGTCTTTTGTATCTCCTCAACCCTTCCGGTCCTTACTGACGGTCTGAAACCTTACAATGGCACACTCCACATCCGCATCCTCCATCTCTCATGTCACCGCTGTCCCCGGCACCCAGTGTTCCGCCTCATTCACTCACGACCTCGAAGTCCAAACAATCGTCGGCGCACACAGGTCAATACACATACTCCCCAGCAATCCCGCTGCTACCACCGTTTACGGAACATGGGGACCTGCATCCAACCAACCCGCTTCCGGACCCTCCACGGGCGTCGATGGCAACCGTGAATCGCGGACCATCGCCGGCACCCGTACACTCGAACGCGTCCTCGACCTCACCTCGGCGCGCTTCATCACGCACCCTCGCACCCTCAGCGCGTCTTCGCGCCCTTATAACTACAGCTCACTCCTGACTACGGAAGAGGATGACAACGACGATGATGCCAGTGACACACTAGGCCCACCACCGCCACCATACTCGCCGTCTGACGCAGAACTACCCGACTACACCTCCGAGGATCCGAACGCCCCGCTTAGGGTGACAGGCACGCTCGCTGAGCACCTCTTCAAGTTCGGCTTCTGTGAGTAACACCTTTCAAGTTTCCGCCCTCGCCCTTTCCATCATCGGCCTCGGCTCACATTTTGCCCCCATCGTTGCTCAGTCTTCTTCCCACTCTGGATCGTTGGCACCGTCATCCTATTCTCCCCTCTGTCTGCGCCCGACGACTTCGAACCAGGGAAAACAGAGGCGGAGCGACAGCACATCATCGACACAATCCGTGACGCCGAGCTCATCTGGGCAAGGCGCTCCGCATGCGCCGTGTTTGCGCTACTTGTGCTCGTCACGTCGGTGGCTGCAATTTATGTCGGCATCGTGTACTTGTGAAGAGTGCTCAGGTTGTCGTCTTCCTTCATGCATCATGGACCAATTTCTCTAATATACTTGGACCTTACCTTCATTCGCCCACTGGTTTTCATTCGAGTTCACGCTTACATCCCATTAATCGAATCACTTTATTACACGGACTATCCAAACACTCTTGTAACGTCGCACGCACCATCTATCAAATAAAAAACACGCATCCAACCCGCTGCCTGGAACCACTTTTCTCAGCCAGAACTCGTCGATGCGCACAAGCCCCCGTCAATCCGCAAATAACGAGCTCAATGGTAAATCCGTGACATTATAGCCGGTGGGTGTAGCTAGAGGAGTACAATCGTGTTTACATCACAACCAAAAGCCCGAAGAAATGAACAATTGTATCAAGTATAAGATGCTCCACCGCAGAGTAGCGTGCGATGTTGATTAAGGAGATGGATATTTAGAAGGTGCTGATAGCTCACGGCAAGGTCAAGAATACGGTGTTTGATAGGCGAAGAAAAAAGTTCTGCCTGGGATTGATAGCTGAATGTGATCGAGGAGGAAAACGAAGATGAGAAACGAGAAGTGACGTATAGGCCGAAAATATTGATAACGGGGTAAGCGATAACAACGAAGAAAAGATGCATCGGTCAAACTGCTATAAGAAAAGACGGTAGGCAAAGGATACCAATGGGCGAGAATCTAGTGCAATGAAGAGGGAACGTTGACCTTGGCGACCGACCCGCTCTTGGTATCCTCCGCGCCTGATACGCCGCCAAAGTTGTCCTGGTGGAAGTAGGGAGTGGTAGGGCTCAACGTTGACGGAGAGTTACTGCAGTATGTGAGCGCCGGCGAGATGGCCGGAGGAGAGCCGGAGGTTTGCTTACGGTCCTCTACTGAAGTCACTGCGTGCGGTTGGTCACGGGTATAGGGTTCGCGGGGAACATAGCTGGTATTGTTGACGCTGTGCTGCTGAGAATGAAAGCCGTCCTTTGACGAAGTGTAGCTGTTCGAAGCAGGCGTAGAGTTTGAAGCGTTAGCGTGACCGGAAATCCCGCTATTATAGGAGAAGCTGTTGGAACGGATATCATTACTGGTTTGCATGAAATGGCGCTGGGTTTTGGAAATGGCGGGAGAAGGAGACGGAAGGGTCAATGAACGTGACTGGGGCTGTGAGTGAATGAGCGAAGCAGACGCATCGGGCGACCCCGACTTGCTATGACGACGGATCTTCTGCCATTCGCTGCCTACGGGCTGTGATTGATCACGGGGAGCAACAATCTCGATAGCTCGACTGGGGGGCTTGACGAAGGAGCGGCTGTCTTGATTAGCCCCCGACGAGGAAGCGTTGGACGAATCGCCAGACTGGAGATCGACGTGCTGCGCTGCTCCGGCGTGGAACTCGTCTTCCGAGATCGGGGGGAGCGACTCCTGGAAAAGTCGGCCCCGCTGCGAGGATGCATCGCCAAAGGCATGGGCCCGCTCCGGCCGGGCCGCAAAGTCGCCGTCAAGACGCTGAGAGTCTGATGGCGCCCCGTGATGTTGTTGTTGCTGCATTCGAGCATGAGCTTGGAGAAGAAGCTCCTCTGCCGGAGTGAACCCGTTCCGCGCCTGGTTATGAGCACGGGCAGACGACAAGGATGCGTTGGCATTGGCGGAGAGAAGAGCAGCGTTCGCGTTCATCAAAGCCTGAAGCTGTGCCTGTTGGATGGCAAGAGCGTTGGCGCGGTACTCCGCCTCCAGAGAGCCAAGACCAAGTCCACTGACATCATAGCCAGCCCCAATATGGGCATTGTTCTGCAAAAGCTGAGACAAACGCTGAATGTCAACGTTGGCTGGGAAGTTTGGTAACGTCTGCTGGGAAGAGCCAAGTTGATGGGTTGGGTTGCCCGAGAGACCCAGCAAATTCCTACTCGAGGCCAGGATCTCGGCGGGGGAACGAGGAGAAGAGAAAGTGCCAAAAGAGTCTTGTAAGGGTGAGCGTTGGCTCGCCGGCGGAAGTCTTTGTTCAGTCGCTGAAGAAAGAGGTTTAGGAAGTTTATTCGGTTGCAGGTTCTGCCCGCGAAGGTTGAGAAGTGCAGCTTGGGCAATGGTGAGACGGGCAGGTGACTGCTCTCCGTCGCCTCTGGGGACTCTCTCCGTTCGCTACAGCAGATGTCAGCTGATGGGTCACGAAGAGGCCGAAGATACTAACCCGAAGCTCTCGTTGTTCAGGACTGTCGGCAAAACGAACTGAGATCCTGCAACCAGGATCATTCCATCCGCGAACCATTCTACCGTGTAGGCGCTCAATAATCTCTTCAGCTGCGTTGCGATTTTCCAGACTGCAATCATGGTTAGCGACACAAGCGGCGGTGGTAGAAAGGATGAGAACTTACCGAACGAATGCAATGATGCGGGGAGGGTCACTAAGCTTTGTTTTAAAGAAGCGGCTACTCTTGATGACGTGGGGCTGCATCAATGCCGCTAGACTCTGCGCGGAGGTGAGAGAGTGCGCAGGCCGACAGTACGACGCTTACCTCTTCATCAATCGACATCGGCAGTCTGTAGGGATTAAGTTAACTTATGCTTCGAGTAGAGAGTATGTAACTTACCCTTCAATGTACAGGTTTGAAGACGCCGTATCCCCCAGCCTATTCATACGCGACTTGAAAGAATCAGCGTCTTGCTCGGTCGGCGACGAGTCTCCCTGCTGAGCATAGGGAGTTCCAGGTATCTTATGAATTTGCTGCGCAGAGTGGATGAATATACTATAACAAAGAAAAAGATAGGATCATCGCACCTTAGAAAAGGATGGATGGATATTGCGAAACTTCTTCAACCCTGCAATGCACTTGGCCGCCGATTCAATGCTGTCGTAACTAGCGGCGATATTAGGTTGGTTCAAATGAGACGCGACGCGACATGACTTACAGCACAAAGCCGTATCCACTGAAAGTCTCCTTTAGCACATGTCAAACGAAGAGGCGGGAGACTTACGTGGGCTTCTCGCTAACGTGGCGTGTGAATGACCTTACACTCTTGACTTCTCCGTACGGTCGAGCGAGTTCATGAAGGTCTTGTTCCGGGAAGTGCGGCGGAAGGCCGTTGATGTAGACGTTCGGTGTACGTTCTTGGTCGGTGCCTTCAGAGAGCTTGGGCGACGACGGGCGTGGGCTTGAAGAACTTTGCGATGTGGTGGTAGATGAATCCAAGGCAGAGGAGTTGCTGAACGCAAAGCTCGCAGCGGAAAACGAAGTGCTAAAAGAAGCTTCGCAGTGCATGACATATTAGGCGTATTCAAACAATGGCAAGTGATGAAAAACTCACGAATAGACGAAACTTGAGTGCTGGGGAAAGATATCGACGACTGTAAAGTAATACCTTCGTGATTGGGTGGTGCATCGAGAGCACCGCCGAGAGGCTTCATGGTGATAGGACTAGAATGGGGTGCAAAATCTACGGAGAAGGTATCGTGTTGAGGAGAGCTCTCGTCAGAAGGAGAGATCCTGGATTTGGAGGCTGCGAGAGAAGAGGCGTTGGCCGTGCTACTGCGAGAGGAGGAGTCAGGAGGGGTAGGTGGCGCTGGATGTTGTCGGGTAGGCGTGTTGAGTCCAGTGTCGGGGGCCTGCTGATCAGCCAAGGGCTTGACCGGCTGAGGCTGGGTCGCGGGGGAATCATGCGGAGAAGCACGAGGAGGCGGCGTACGAGGATTCATCTGGCGAATCACGAGCGAAGATGGAAGTTGCCAGAATAGAGTGTTTATGTAACGGTGCAGGCGTCCTACCCTTGGCCGCAGTTAGAGGGCTGGTGAATCCGGGAGATAGCGAAATGAACACGAGAATAACGGTGATGAGCGTGCAAGAAGTGAAGGTGGAGAAAGACGAGGAAAAACGAACGTCGGCAGCGAATGGGGCGTATATATACGACAGCGTTCGACTTCGACTTCCTCAACTCGCTTCTTTCCGCCCAACGATACCTTCGTCCGAGGAATCTTCGCCGTTCGTCCATGGCATCCATTCCACCTAGTATGGGCAGGTTTTGTCCATTCGCGATCGTGCTGCACCGATTCAACGACAGGAGCCATAGCAATCGAATATTCCAACGTCGACGGCTTCTAACAAGCTTGCCTACGTCCCGTTTTAGCGCATCAGACATGCTTCTTTCACTTTGAAAGAAGATCGAGGATGGATGCCTCTTCCATCGCAAGCATCCAAACCAAATTAAATCCAATTGGCACGTTGGACGTCCGATAGCGGCCAGCTCGGCGACGGCAGCGATAGGCGGCACCGCAACGTACGAGCTCATCCGTTTGTCTGGGGTCGATTGTGTCAGGACCTCAAAAGCATCGAAGAAGATTGGAATACCAGTTGCGATTTCTCCAGATTTAGAATCCTTGCTGAGACTGCTTGCCGGCTCGAGATTCCCATATGCATGATTCAAGGTGATTGTGCGGACACCATCGACTTGACAGGAAGTAAGCGTCAGCCCATATCAGCTCGCTCGGCCGCTCGATATTGCTGTAGCCGTCGTCAGGCCAGGCCTCAACTCGTCTGGTCCATCCAAGGTCCATCTCGATTCTGTGTTGGATGTCCATCGAGTCTGTTGTAACCACCTTCACTCACTCCGGAGCTGAAACAGTACTAGTATTCTGTGTCCACAGCTGGGATACGAATATCGAAGGAAAGGGCTACAGACGTAGAATGCAAGTGCCAGCAAAATGTTCGAGGCACTCTGCGTCGATTCCTCGGATGTTCGGATGTTGATAGGCTCACGGCCGTGTTTTTCCCACGAAATGAAGGCTTCTGATTCGCTGGGACAAACCTGAGACACTTCTCACCAAATGATCATGATGTCGAGGGCTGTCGAGGGATCGGTGAACCTGTCTCGACCTCTCGTTCATCTCCATCGAGACCCAGGAGGACGAGGGAAGATGCTGGTGACGATGAACGTGTGTGATCCTTTTATCCGCCTGGGTGGTGAATCGGACGGCTGCGCCGCCCTATGGGCGTCAAGAACGTCTTGCTTCCGTTTGGATAAAACCATTCGTCGCGGTCTTAAGCTTGTCTGCTTTCAAGTCGCCGTCAATCTCCTGCTCTCCCCCCGTCCCTTGATATTCCCTTTCGAAAAATTTCTATCCCCTCCTTTCGTCCCGCTAAGTATCCTAGCAGGCGACCTACAGCGACAGAGCATGCTGGATGGGGTCAAATGTGTATGTAGTAGTTTGCTTCTTATATCTTTTCACCAGGCGTCATGCTAACCCAACTACGGAAACCAGTGATGCAAGGGCGGTCGTCAATGTTATCGCGCAAAGTAAGTCTTCTCGAGCATCGTGGGGCCTCCCGAACTGACAATCCGACTGCCACTCTCGTCGCGTCAGCCATCCTTGTCTGGGAGTACTTCCTCACCCTAGGCGAAGAGATTCAGTGCTACTGGATGTGCTTCGCGTTTACCTGGGCCAACTTTCTCTTCTTCTTCAACCGGTACTACAACCTCGTCATGCACATCCCAGTCGTCGTTGAGATGTTCTACCCCACGAAAAGCCTGAACTCCTCCGTGAGTCTGTCCTCCATTATTTTCAAACGCGGTGACGTGATCGTTGACCGATCAACTATGCTTCGCAGACGTGAGTATCTAAATCCTGCATTGGTTTGACACATCTGAGACAGAGCACGTATCCCCGTTTTCATCTCAGGTGCAAAACGATACGGTGGTACAACCAGATCAGCATCATGATCACGCAACTGGTCGTCGGAGGTGTGTGTCTCCCGGTCGGGTCGGCTGATGATAGTCAGCAACAGGGTCGGTGCAGCGGGCTGACGTGGCCATCCATCCTTGCTTGCAGCGTGCATGATCATGCGGGTATATGCGATTTACGGGAAGAATAAGAGAGTGCTCTGCGGGCTGCTCTTACTGTTTTCTGGCGTTATCGCCGTGGCCGTGGTGAGTAATGTCGCACTTCTGTGCCGAGTGAGTGACGAGCACTTACGTCACTTTGAGGGCTCTGTCTTTTTCCCAGTGAATCCTTATGTTGCTACTCAGCAAGAGGTTGATCGCGGTTTTGGCTGCTTGGACCCACAATCACCTACTCAGTACGTTGTCACATGTCGCCACTCGAAGACTGGCGCTGATAATTGCCCTTGTGGTCATCAGAGCGCTGCGTATGATCCATCTTCTAGCCATGCTACAGATACTCGTTCTAACAGTGATGCAGAGCTCGCCATGACATGGCTCGCTGTTTTACTGGCTGACCTGATCTTCTTCGTCATGACGGCTTGGAAGACCATCCAGTTGCGCTTCAGTACGAAACGTGCATTGGTCGCCGTTCTACTCAGAGATGGTCAGCGATGTTAGCTCATTTGATCTCTGGAAAATTCATCAGAACGTCACAGGATCCATGTACTTTATGTATGTCTTTGATGTTACCCCTTCCTTGTTTCTTCGTATCGAACTCCGCTACCAGGGCGATGGTTCTTGCGAATCTCATGAACGTTTTGACGATCTTTGTACGTGACGTTTCCTCCGATCACTATATAAGCATCAACTAACGTGTATATGATTCACAGCTGGCCGAGGTAACGTCCAACAGCACCTCCCTGCGTATCCATAACCCTTATACACGGTTTACCAGCCAATCACCAAACCGGCCGCAACTGCGATATCCGGCACGTACGTTTACTTTTCCACTTGCGCACCAACTTGGCTACATATGACACTTTCTGACGCATCGACGACAGCTTGTCTTCGCTGATGGTCACCCGGCTCATGCTGAACCTGCGCGACCCTGAGCTAGCCCGTCAACATGCGCGGGCACCGGCAGGGGAAGTGTCATCTATACCTCTCGAGGGGATTTCTGCGTCGAACCCGGACGATGACACGCTATTCTCCGAGTCTTACTTTTACTCGCATGTTCGCTCTCAATCCGTATCCGGGTCAGACTTCATGTCCAGACCCAGTTATGCAGCTGGCGGTTTCGGTACCTGGAAGCGAGTGCACGCCATAAAGGGGGGAAGGACGACGTGAATTGGCCTTTGATAACGATTGCCACCACTGCCATCGTTGATCCGTATCCTTTCCGTTGTTATTCCGCAAGAACTTTGAGCCTTAACAGCTGCAGAACGTGACATCTTATGGCGCCAACCCAGCAGATCAACTTCGCAACTCCATCGTCTGGTATAACGATCAATCCTACCATGCGAGTCTTTGAGGATATCACTCACCGACCTTATATGCGTGTTTGTGTCCCCACAGTCGGGGCCACGGCAGCATAGGAAACACATCGGGCTGAGATAATAACCTTATATCTATACACAGCCTGTAAATCGTATATCGACTCCGTTGGCGTCGACAGCTATCCGGCCCGGGGCAGCGGAGAGAGTAACAGTGAATGATCCCGGCAACGTGGGATGTCAGGGCGACAGTGATATGGGGAATATGTCCCCTCTGTGTACACATATTTGCCGCTCACAAAAACATCGTCTCCCCCGTCGGTGCTTCGGCTCCTTGGTGAGTGCGCTGAGTATTTGTCGGGCGTCTATTAGCCAGGTTACCAGCCGTCTTTCCCTCCACTCTCTTCCTCTTACGACGCGCACGTCGTTCATTACTGTGCTTCCCAAGAGGACGGCGAGACGAGCTTGCTCAACACGCCGGGATTGGGATAGGGGGACAGCACGTCTCTGCGCACGTCGCGTGCTGGGAACTGGCCACCATGAACTCGCAACTGTGCGTTCCTTTTCTGGTGCCTGCCTCTGCCAGTGCAGGGACAGCACTTTCCCCGAACGCATCAGCTTACCAACCTTTCATCGACTGTAGAGACACGAGTGTTGTGGCTTATATCGTTCCGTTCAGTGCGTTTTCCTTCATTGTGCCGCTGCTGCCGTTTCCCCTTCTCCTCGAGCGGCTGTGGCTGCATCGTTTACTACGGTTGCCTGACTGACTTCTAATTCAATTATAGCCATGATGATTTACGACTTCCTCCTCACGTTCTCCCTCGAATACGACCGCGTCTGGACGAAACGCGAACGCGCCCTCTCGCTCGTACACGTCCTCTTCTTCATGAACCGTTACCTTTCTATCATTGTCCGCGTTCCGATGGTCATCGCCTCGTCTTGGCCTGGGACACCTTTAACCGCACACGTGAGTATTTTGGGATGCCTCTGATGGAGAACCGGCTAACGCTTTGAATATCCTTCTGTATAGACGTTCGTCCTATTGAGTTCCGCGTCGTGGGTGAATGCAGGCGCTGATGGATTCACAGGTGTATTGATCTTCGGACGTATAACCAACTGAGTGTAGCGGTGATGCAGGCGGTGATCGGAGGTGAGTGTGCTCTCTTCTTACTGCATTCACGCTTGAATGAATTATTGTCCCTGGTTTCTGACCCATACCCGCAGTACTGATGATCCTTCGGGTGTATGCGTTGTACCAAAGAGATAGACGCGTTCTGTACAGTCTCTTGGTGGTCGTGGCCTTCGCGGTTGGAATATCTGTCGTGCGTCCTTATTTGCCCTTTGCGTTTTAGCGTGTATGCGTAACCTCGGGCGCCGGGTCGAGTAGTGGGGCCTCAACTCCCAGCACAGACCCGTGATACAGGAGGCCGTTGGAGCCAATGGGGGATGTGCTGTAGTTTTGTCGGACGCTCAGTACGTCTGGTTTGCACATAAGGCCGCTCGGTCGCTGACACGAAAGTATCACCCAGAGCTATACGTGCGTATCCTCCCACTGAGATAGGTGGCTTATGCAGGATCTTTACGCTCTTATTTCGACGTAGGCCTTATGGCTGCCTGGTGCGGGAGTGTATTTGCAGACGTTGTATTCTTTGTTTTCGTCTTGTGGAAGGCGCTTCGCGTTAGGGGTCGGCACCGTTCGTTGATGAACATTCTGATTCGCGATGGTTTGTTGTTTCTCGGTTTTAGTGGCACTCCTGACTGATGCCCAGTGTAGGCGCCATGTACTTCTTGTGCGTCGACTTTTCACGCTATGTGGACATGCAACTTACCGGATTGGACACAGATGTATTACTTTAGTCAATATTACTAACATCATGCTCTTATTGGTACGCTTGGTCCCTCCTTTCTGCGATGTTCATCACTCAACCCATCCCATATAGCTATCCCCCGTGCGTATCTCCTTTCATCATCCCCAATAACAGATAACCCTCAACTCTTATATATATCTAGCCCGAAATAAAAGGAATTTCGGGAGAGTTTGTCAATGCGTGGGTATGGTACACTTTGCTTTTCCGTAGCTAACCAGATGTGTGCAGGATCTCGTCCATCCTAATGACTCGACTGGTGCTTAACCTGCGAAGCCCGAAATTGGTTGCATCTACAGCGAGGACTGCGACCAATGGTACGGCGGAGGACGAAACACCAGTGGTCACGACGATCACGGGGTCGTCTTTGTTCCTCGAAACTGAATGTAACCCAACGGATGAGGTGCGATTGACTGGTCTCCTTCTGAACGTGTGGCAGGCTCATCGGTGGGCCGGACATTCACAGGAGATATGTTTGACACCGAGGTATAGCGGGAAGTTTAGCGATGGAAGATATAGCGATGGAAGGTGTAGACCGCATAGTTAATAACATAGCACAGTCCGGCTGCGGACCGATGTGCTCATCGCCTAGTCATGGTGCCTGTGGGCTAGTGGCGTTCCACCAAACACGGTCGAAAGTTTAGGCGCATGCGGCGCACGCGATGCCGCAATTGCTGCAACGACCTGCTATGCGCAAGGGGCATTACTGAAGGAGGTTTGACTGACCCGTGTCTGGTGTCAGGTTCTCTGCCTACACCATTGGGCCATCCTGTATCAACCCTTCAAGAGCTCTCGCTGGTTGCGTACGCCAAGTTAGCTCTTACATAGATATTCTTCATTCCGTGCCTTACTATATCAATCTTAACGCTAGTCATAACGTTATGCATATAATAGTACACACAGCTTCAGCACGTAACCAAGTGCTAATATTTGTTCAGGGATCATTGACATTGACGGGTTTCAGGTTGATTGGATTCGGCTGTCGCAACTTATCGTTATATTTGCCGCATCAACAGTGCACTGCTCCTGGCCGTGGCGTTGGCTTGTTCACCCTTAATAATAACAGGAAGCTCACAGATGCCAGCGGAAGGAGCCGCTCTCGACAATGACTTTACGTTTACTAATTCTAATCCAAGTGTATGCTCTCCGAGGAAAGCAGCTTGATATGTTTTCTTGTGTCTGTGTCTGATCATGAGTACGTGGCTCCGAGTCGGGACTTGGCAGGAGGGGATAAACGATCAACTTGCCGGATGATCTTCCCGCGCACCTCTTCCTCCACGCGAATCGGAACCTGTCGGAACCAATGGCAGACGGCGGCCATGGGGCTGACAAGTGCCACAGCCTGTCATGTCACTGGCCGGACCGCTGGCGCATCATCACCACAGATCACCACAACACCATTCAAAACCGGCTCAACTGATCATCAGCCCCGCAAATCGCATAGATCAAGGGGTGAGACGAACAGGCCTGCAATACACGATGAACAAGAGTTGACCTCTCGAGTCTCGAGGACGCTGTGAGTCATGCATATCGACGACGGTCAGTGATTCGCTCGCCTATCTGCAGGCGCATCAAAGTTGCCGCAAGTGCCGCATAAGCGATGGAGGAAGTGGGATTCTGAAGCACAGCCTTGGCGTCGCTGTCACTAGCCGCGCCGGGCGCGCTGATGAGATGCGTCGATCAGAGCTTCCGAAGGGGCAAAGTGGGGGGAAAAGGACACAGGAGCGGCAAAAATGGCGTTGGGTGTGTTGGCTTTTTCAAAGTTGGGCGCTTGTTGCACGCCCTTTAGCCACCTGGCTGTCAGACTGCTGGTGTCCAGCTGGTGCCCGTGCGTCAGTCGCGCCAACAGCCAACCCGCTGCCCCAAGCCAACAGTCCGCTGTTAGCCCTGCAGGCGAGGGCGTGTCACTGCCTCGGGGCTGTCTGACAACTATTCATTAACTTGTCTTACTCTTCATTTCGCTTCCCTTGACGGTGACCCAACGGCACCACGTCCTTTCCGACTTATCCTCTCCTCTCCTCATCCTGCCATCTCCCTCACTCCCCCCTCCGCCCACCCCGCATACATCTACCCGCTGGGCTGGACATGAGTTGGCGCTTCACAAGTACTCGAAGAAGTGATGTCGTCGGTCTTGTATGTGCTCCTTCGTGAATCCATGAAGCATGCTCACCCATCCACGTGCATTTTGCCGTTGCAGGCATCCAGACGCCATAGCCAATCTGTCTCCCTTTGGTGCGTCTTTCGATGACCTCTCGCCGAAGCTTTTGTACTCATGGCTCGATTGCACAGTACTCTTATGTTATGAATGGACCCTCACGCTCTCAGAGGAGGTGGACCGGTACTGGATGCGCCCCAAGCTATCCTGGGCCGCTCTCCTCTTCTTCTCCAATCGATATCTGACGCCGCTGGGTCATGTGCCGATCGTGATGGAGACGTTGATGCAGTCGGCCATACCGACATCTGTGCGTACCCGCTCCTTTTTGTTACAAGTTCCCCTTGACTCATTGAAGTAACAGTCGTCAGTCAACTCTTCGTCTCGCTTTTCTTTTTCCTCAGCTCACATGTGACCCTACATCTGCAGCTGCCAGCGCATGGGGATGTACAACCAAGCCATTATCGTTATCATTCAGCTTATTGGCGGAGGTACGGGGCGCTTTCTCTCTCTTGGCTCCCACTTAGCGGTGGTCGTCCTCGACCCCCGGCAGACGCTGATACCTGTCTGCCCTTATAGTCGTGATGGCGACTCGAGTCTATGCCATGTACGATCGATGTCGAAGAATCCTCGCACTGATGGTGTCTGTCGCTGCCATTGCTCTCACTATAGGCATCGTCAGCCATTTCCGCTCATTTCCAAGCACCGACGATGAGCTGACGCGACGCGCTTTCACAGTGGGCTATCCTAACGGATGGGTCGGTCGCGCCGCATGTTCCACCTCCACCATCGGGTAGGGGCTGTATTCTACCTGTGTCGGGCGCATCGTATGTTTTGTTTGTTTTGGTCTCACCGGAACAGTGTCTGATGCCGGTTCTCCGACGCGTGCAGTGCAGCTCGTGAGTACAGCTCTTTCCTGAACGGTGTTTGCGCCATTCAACATTGGGAAATATCACTGACTAACGTAACGTGACGCTCGTGCAGGATTGTCGATAGCATGGGGTGGACAGACGATCTTTGACGCGCTCATCTTTGGATTGACGGTGTGGCAGTCATGGAAGATGCATGTGCCCGGGTCCAAGCGGATATGCGGTATCCTGCTACGTGATGGCGCGCTGTACTTTTGGTGAGTGCCTCTCCGGCCTTTCGATCTCAGTGTTTTCGTTGACGAGTCTTTGAACAGCATTATCACCCTGACCAATGTTGCCAACATTCTCACCCTCATGGTATGTCTGTCCGACGTTTCTCTTCCCTTGCTTTGTTGTTCTTACGACGGACCCGATCAGCTTGCGGACGACAACACCCGCGCTAATTGCACCACTCTCACCAACATGTACGCCTTATCCCTACCTACCCTACCTAAATCCGATTTTAGCGCTGACTGGTACTTCAACCTGTCTCCGCTTCATTTTCATCATCGAACAGCATCTGCTCCATGATGATCTCCCGCTTGATGCTCAATCTCCGCGATCCTAAGCTCGCATTCACCACCGCCGCATTCACGGATGCCGCGTTCACCTCTGGCGCAGCTGCCAGCGAGCTATGCGCAGAAAACTATCCGGTCGTCACGACGCATTCAGGGCAGCCCCTTGCACAGGGGGAAGACACGCGGTCGTACGACAGCCTCATAAGTTCGGTTCAGTTCGCGGATCCGCTATGGGATACATCAGGTATGTTGTTGCTTATCGGCATTATCGGTTGTATGCGTGCTAAAGTCCCGGGTGACGCAGACACGGATTCTTCCTTGAGCTTACCTCCGAAAGCGCTCACGTCGCCCTGCAAACGCGCCTATTTATACGCATAATTTATCACCTCGCTACCCCGTCAGCTTGCAGATCTTTCTCTGTTGATGTTCACCGTTCATCTCATCCTGCGAATAGCCACATTTGTACTTGTATGCATAACCCGCACTGCACATACCTCATTTCACCTATACCATCGCCATTATTTACTCATTTAGAGATCTTTTGTTGTTGTTTGCAAGCCTTACTACGCACATAGGTGGTTCACTGTCATGTACTGCACAAATTAACGCTTTTTTTATTTAGTTAACGTAGTGGTGAGAGGGACAGGTAATGTACAACGGGCATCCAGGGCGATGATATATGGCGTAACAAGAGCAAAGTAGTAATAATCTAGTCCTTGTCTAAGGAGGACCAAACGCGAGGGCGGGCGTGGATGCTCAAGCGGGTTGATGTCATGACATGTCCATATCGTCGTCTTCGTATACTGAGCCGCCGTGCGTAGCGGCTGTGGATTGCGTGGGAGAAGGGGGAAGTGGGACGTCATCGTTGTCGCTCCACGCCGAGAAATCCTCGGCAGAGAGGTCGAGGTCTGCGAAGTCCTCGATAGCGGCATGCTCATCTGCGTAGGCAGCTAGTTCTTCTTCCTCCAGGTCTTCGAGCGTCAAGCCCGTTGCCTCTCCTCGTCCTGTTGTTACGTTACTAGGATCGGGGCGGGAACAAAGACAGAGGGGACGTACGCTCGAGCTCCTGCTCCCATTCGCCCACGTCTTCCATGTCGGGATCGAACGACGAGCCAACGTCATAGGAGTAAGACAGCCGGTAGGAGTGCCTCTCCTTGTGTTTTGTGTTCGATATTATGCGTCTGAACAGCTACAAACGCGATCCGCGACCCGTCAGCTCGGCACCGCGCTGAAAAGCGCGAACGAGACGCACCTCGTCTTGCATGACGGTCTCCTCGTCTTCCTCCTCCCCGTCCGAGCAGTCCATCGCCCCGCCCGCACCCGCGTCCGAGTCCAGGAAGACGTCATCGGAGCCGCTCGCGCGCCGCTTCTTCACGGACTGCTCCCTGTTTCGCGCCGCGCGCTCAAGACACCGCGCCTTGAACCGCGCTCTGAGAAACGTCGTCTGCGGGTCCTCGCCGCTGCCCAGCGCCGCGACGGTCCCGAACACGTCTTTTGCCGAGCCTGATGCCCTTCTCCGCGAGCTCGACGCGGATGCGGATGCGGATGCGGATGCGGATGCGGATGCAGAAGAGGGGGTTGCGAAGGAGATGGAGGAGGGCGTTTTGGACTTGTACTGGGAGCGCCTGCGTTCCTGGACGGCCATGATAGGAGAGGAGGAGGGTGAGGCGAGGGGTGAGGACTGTAGAGGCGCGTAGGTTTTGGTGGTGTAGTACGAGGACCGCGTTGAGGGAGTTGCGGGCACGAATGCGGTCGGACTCGAGGCCATCGTACGGTCTATCTCCAGAGAAAGAGGGAATGGGAATGCTGGTCTGGGGAGGCTCGTAACGTGACTCGTTGATGCGTAATGTGGACGCGTTTTTGTTTACGGCTGTTGACGCGTCGAGCTGAGATTGCGCGTCTCGTACCGGAACGGCGTTTATTCTCGACCTCCACTTATAGCCACTTTTCTTCCTCGACACACACGGTGAAGCGCATATGAAGCGTTCAATGCCCATGATTTGAGGGTGACTCTTGAATCCCAGGTCTGGTCTCCCACTTATCGGCCCTTTTGTCTCGGCCACTCCTATCGCTGGGATGACAGGATGCTATCGCGTCCTAGATGTAGTCACCCAGTACCATTTGGTCAGACACGTTTCACCATGATCAATGTGATGGATGGATGACTTTTGCACGCGATGCTTCATTGGGTGGCTTGCCGGTGCTGATTGACGACTACCACCCACCTCACGCTTTCGAGACCTTTGCCTGATACCGGCGTTTCAGCTAGAAAACGTCTCTCGGGAGAAGGCGACCAATGATGCATTGATGACCGAGTTGCTTCATCACTCACGCGGATGCGTGCCGAAGCTAGGGTGCGGCGGAGTTTGATGTGAGTACGTTGTGCTTCTGATACTCACAAGATCAGTTAGATGACGCACCTAATATAGAGCCATGAGATATGAGACCCATCTTGAGCTGCCAGAGTATTCACTTCTCCTCGACCTCGGAGACAACTTAGCTTATTCTGGGTATACCCACTTTATCCCAGCCAGACTAAATTGGGCCTCCTTCGGGCAACAAACATCTGTCTTCCTTCCGAGCTACCGTGAGCCAGCGTCCCCATTCCCAATAGATTTACCCTGCGTTTCTATCACAATCCCGAGAGTGCAGCCTCAGTTACCCGTCAATTCAAAGTCATCAAAGGTCTGTTATCCCCGGAGACTGTTACCTCATGACCCGCAGACAAGAGGCCGAAGGTCGAAGACGATAACACCCCGCTTGTGCGCCTGAATTGCGGAACTTTCCGTTCTTCCTCGGAGTGCCAGGGTTGACATAGAAGTACAGGTCTGGGCTTGGTACGCATCCATGTTGCCATGCCCCGAATTACAACAGACGCTGAGAATCTTCCATAAGTCGAAGACCCCCCTCCCATACTGGGCTGGAATGTTTACGCCTGCTTCGAATTGCCACAGACATGGTCGTCTCTTTGGGTATAATCGCTCGAAGTCCGATGGTTATAAGGGAGCTAACGCCCCTTTTGCGCTTGTTCATTTCACGCTGGGTCCAACTCCCTCATTCCACTCGTTAACCTTGAAAGAAAATGTCTGCAGACGCCACACATCTTATGTTTATGTGCCGATGCCTTGTGTGTGAGTCCATTAGCTAGGCTTCAGCTGGCCTTTCCTGGAGACAAGCCAACGGTTGCTGACGAGAACGTAGTGGCTAGCACTACCGTGCTCATTTGGGATGGCGCCCTTATGTTCAGACGGGAGATGCGAGCTATTTGCAGCATCGATAACCTCGTTCTGAGGACCGCCTTCGCTTGCAATAGAATCGGGACGATCGTCATGCTCATACCCTGGCTAAGAGGCACGACGGACTGCGTTTACCTGCGGAAGCGGCTCGCTGACTTGGTACGTATACAAACAGGAATATTCCCTACTTCTGATTTGGATAACGAGAGGGTGAGTGGACTTAATGAGGATATGAGCGGCGTTGTTCACGGCTCGGCGCTTTCACCGTTTGGTCATCGCAGTATTTGGTCTCATAAAACCCCTGCATTCGTTCCAACCCGTTACAGCTGCTTGCAAGGATCCCTCGCTGCTGGGATTTTATACGTCGTGGCGGATGCGTGTGGCAACCGTTAGTGCTCTATTCCCTCTTCTGACCCTGCTCGTGTTCACGATTGCATATAGTATCTGCCGTCGCTAGAGTATTCCTGATGTGGAACAAAAACCCGAGAACCTTGCGATACCTTATCGGAGGCGCCTTGGTCGCCCTGTCGTGCAATGTGGCGTTGATGATCGCTAACAACAATACTGCTCCAGGTGAGTAGCCCTTACACCTTTATTCAGTTGTTGTGCGACGTGAGTCTAGGCCAGATAACTTGGGTGTCTACGCCTGGGATACACGCATGTGCGATAACAAACTGGAAGAACCTCTTCATCACTGGGGTTTTTATAGTGGAGGTGAGACGGAAAATGTAGTATTGACTCTCATATTCTTACTATAGCTCAACAGCTTATCTTCGACCTCTACGCGGCGTTCTTAGTGTTTGTTAACGTCATGGACATACCAAGGACCGACGACTCGCAGATATCCGGACTCCTACATAAGCAAGGGTTATCGTTGCTAGCTGTGAGTCCCCGTGCCCAAGTCGAGTCTCATTGTACTCACTTCATGGATCGAAATAGTTGACGTTGGGTAATTGGCACAACAGTTCTTTCCGGAACGTTTGACTGACGGTTGAATAGTCTTGCGCTCATTCAACATCGCGTTGAGCGTAATCCCAGGTGTACGTTTACACACTTCCAGCTATGATATTTCAAATGACTTACTTTGACACCTATCTCGTAAACCAGAGCCTATGGACTCTTGCGATAATGTGCGTCTTCTGCATCCAATACATAAGATCTAAATAATCAACACACTGAAACTAGTGTGGTGGAACCAATCATCGCCGTAGTGAACTCGAGACTCATTGTCCGAGCTTGCGAGTTCTGCGAAGGGGCTGAGATCGGGTTTACGAGACCTGATATAGAGATCGAGCTCGCATCATTCAGCGATAGTCCCCAAAGCGACTACTTTCCTACGCTGGGGTTTGCTGATTGAGTGGTGAGGTTTGCTGCATGCTTCATCGTTGGGATTCCGTAGTTGTGTAGATCATGACGTGTATATGATTGACATCGCTTTGTTGTACGTACTATCCAACATACTGTCGTTTCTCGTTTGTGCTTTGGTATGGAGACGTGCACTCGGCTGATGGCGTATACCAGCACATACAGACATCCTTTTAGTTCAATATACCAATATCCGCTCCTCTCCAGCATCCAAGTGGAAGCCCGGTTGGGGGGCATATCAGTACTAAACGAAGGGCCGCGAATGTCAGAGTTCCGCACCCCTAAAGTACGCACCATGGCTCCCTAGTGTAGCGACTCGCACGTGAGCCGACCGGTATCTTTTCGAGCCCTTGATTATCCCCCGGGCGTTCTTCGCTCTTTCCATCGAACTCCCAAGTGCGTTTCAGTGTATTCAGCCGTCTATACATAGCTCAATATATTTGTCCTTTCCGTCGAACTCCCAGGTCTTGCGTCGGCGCCGCCCCTGCCGATCGTGAGTTCACTCGTCCCTTTTCCGAAGGTAGACATGGTAGGTTTCTGTTTGCTGCTATATTTTGACATCACTAAGTGTCTCTTATCGAAGGTAAGATTCTGTTACTTACGGCCTATCTATCGTAGATAAATCGTGTCAAATATTTGAATCACCTTAGTTTGAACGGATGTCACTTTAATACTTCAATGCCAACTACGCTGCGTGACATTTTGGCGTTTCTAAGTTTCAGAGCCTTAGAAATGAGCTGTGATAGCTCAGACTCTACGCCAATCATGCATCATGATTCAAGGGCCGTCGTGTTTTGTCGCATTGATGGTGATTCTCTCGATTTTTCTGAGGTGACATGGTCCCTTTTCGTATCAATCGGTCCCTGATCAACAACACGCTGGTCTGGTGGCACGGTCATGTTTGTGACATCCAATCATTGGCACAATTGCATGAGAAAAGACGAAACCTCCGCCCCCCGAGTTCCTGAAACAACATGGATGAGCTATGAGTGATTCCAATGAGTACCGGGCGCTGAGCCGGCATGTTGGCGAATGTCAGATCTTCAAAGGCGAGGGAAGGAAAGGTCTTCGTCGTCACCTTCCCAGGGCCCTCAGCGAGCCCCTACAAACGTCTGATGCTCGCTTTTGAGATAGTATCTCACCTCGGTCGAAGGAAGGTAAGAAAAACACCCAGGAGCCCTATTTTTACGTTACATAAATAGTCACCGCTCTTGAACTAATGCTGCAGTGCGTCAGCCAACACTTTCCCTCACCCTTTCCACCACTTTAGTTAATCTAACACTGACAGCGGGCCCGCAGTCATACCTTTTAACTCCTTGAGTACCATGTCTCGGCCTGATGTAGCAGAAGTGCGGGCATTGCAGATGTCTGGTTGGGCACAAAGTTCGTCGCTTCGACTCTCTTCTAGCCACTGTCAAATCCAAGCCATCCCCATTTCAGCAGGAATATCTATCGTGCTAGTTTACAGGATCCGTGAGTGTTAACAGGCTGATAAAGCTCAAATTATTCAATGCCATACAACCAGTGCTGAACCTGGACCAGGAGGTACGCTGCGTCTCGTTACAGGATCCTAGCAAAAATGTGGCCCACACTTATCTCCTCATGTATCAGGTCGATTTAATATGGGTACGCTTTTACAGTGCTCTAAATACATCGGAGGCGCTGCATCTCATCCAAGTCAGGATCGTGCCCGAGGAAAATGAAACTACTCTATGGAATGGTAAACTTCTCATCATCGAAGACCTTTGTCGTGTAATCACTGTATCGACAGCTGAATCTCGGAGGACTATGTCAAATAATGTAGGTGTATGAAAGGCTCACATGTCTCCTCTCCCACGCTGAAAAATACCCTTAGCTTATCTTTGAGTGAGTAATTTACGATCGATGGATACACTGCATATGAATACATGGGGGCAGTCGGCTCCGCATCACCTTCTTATAATGTAAGTGGGACTTTCCGTATTTTTTTTTTGAAGCTGACTCCAAATTTTGAAGCTGTGAGTGGGGAGTCCGGATGTATCCAAACTGTGCACTGTATTCAGCCCACGTTACTTATTTCCTGTTTGGTGACTAGATGTCGGAGCTTTTAATATTCCGCATTACATGTTTTTCTGATTCATGGTCCCAGCAGGTGTAGCCAGCATTATCCTGGGTCAGAGCATTTTTATGTATGGGTTGATCTTCGGTGTACACGGTGAGTAAACAGAAAATAGTACCTAGCTATCAATCATAAATTTCATAGCCATGATGGTTCAGAGGGTCTGTGCTATGTACGGCATGGCCCCAAACGTGCGGGCATTCTTGATCGTCTGTTTTGCTACGGTGCAATTAGTTAATGCTGTGGCATTTATAACCCTAATGGCGACAATGTACTACGTTGACAATAGTCTCCGTGCGTTGTTACGCATCTTTAACAACCTAGCTATGTGCTAAACCAGCTACTCAACCTACAGAGACATGCACATGGGCTTTTCCAACAGTTACAAGTAAAATTATCGCCATCAGCAGATGGGCAAGGGCCGGGTTGGAAACCATCTTACTTGTCATGGCACTATATCAGGCAGTAGTGCACCTAAGGGACAGGTTTCGAGGGACACAGTTCAACCTGGACACTTTCGTGGCTATCCTTGCTAGAGATCACATTTTCTACGTTATCGTGTAAGTAACAAGATCGCTACCTCTACCGCATGTATTGACTTTACTTGACTAAGGGCGTCCATGTCATGGACGGTAGACGCAAGTTCGTTCTTAGGCACTTACCCTGAAGTTTTAGTAAGCATTATTCTAGCGTTTCTCATGGACAGTTCTTATTCATCAGTGTTCTCAAAGATGAGTAACAGTCCATGGCTCATATTTCTGAGCGTCGTATCCGTTTTTTGTGTTTCCATGCTGGGCCCCATCATGATACTCAGTATTCTGAGATTTGACGATGGAAGGGTTCGAGGAGAAATGACCAATGGGGTACACGAGATAGAATTAATATCAATTCAATTCGCTGCTGGGCGGGGCCATTCCCAGCTCAGCGAACCGATAGAAGGCGTAATCACGGATAGTTAGAGCAATGTTGTCTGCTTAATCGTGCTGTCACGTGGATCGCACTCGTTACATGTCATGAGCCGTTATCTCGTAAAGCACGTCATTCATGTACAACAATAATCAACGTCATGAAAAGGCGTGGACTCTCAAACCCATCCCTGGTTCGCAAGCCCGATGACCACCCCAGAAATAATCCCAGAGACAACCGCGCCGACAACTACCGCCCAAGCACAGCACTTCTGCCACTTGCGCTCCGCCTTGTAATATCTCCACGTCTGCGCAATGTCATGCTTGTGGACGGCATAAATCTGATCTACGGCCCCTCCAAGTCCGATGGGAGCGACCGCGATGTTGACAGTCGCGGGCCTCTTGCGGTGAGCAAAGAACATGATTCCGCCGGCGACCCACAGAATAGGACACACTACGGAAGATGAATAAGCATACGATACCGGGTTGATCGCAAGCACCACTTACTGAAGCCAAACCAGAAGAGCCACACTGCCACCTTTCTTGGGCGTTTAACGTTGGCGTATTCGGCTTGCACGTACGGGCGATCGAAGTGAGACGCTTGGGAAGGACTTCGAACTCTGTTGTCGCCGAGGTGGGTTTGATTGTGACCCTGGAATTGTGCCTCTAGCTCGTCGGGCCCTATTGCGTATGGGAGGGGCTTCTCGACGTTCGAGACAAGAGGGGGAGCTTTCTCGTCTCTTGGCGGACCTATGTGAACTTTGTCACCTGTTGCAAAACAGATAGAGTGGGTGGAAGACATCGCAGCGAAGGATTTTATGGAAGAAGGGAAGAGTCAGGAAGACCACGCTGTCACTTGAAGGCTATTAGAGAGTTCAGTTGTAGTATAAGTAGCAGATGAACGATCACCTGCTGCGCCACGGAGCTTCGTTCCCGGGCCCTGCCTGCGCCGCAGTGATCTACACACGTTTCTTGGCGCAACTGCGCTTGAATGATTGCGAGAAGTACCAGACTCTAACGCAGCTTTGGGGAAAATCACAGACAGACCCGCAAAGCATCAAAAGAACGCTTACATGTTCTACGAGAGAAACACATATGGCATGGTGCTGAATCCATGTTCTTGATTCGTCCAGGGGATATTCGTACTGGCGAAGTAGTGACCTTCAATGCGACCCAATTGGTCCGCACACTGATCATCGTGTGACACGAAGACATGGGTGAGCTTCGAGAAAGAAGATAACATGCTGTGCACGGCTCCATGGGTGAGATGCGCGGGATTATACTGCTCGGAACAAGTTGGGTCATAGTATTGGTTCTGGGGCATCGTGGCCGATTAATCTCACACACCTGGCAGTACCTGGCCGAAGCATCGAGATATGGAACAGACAAGCTACGCGGACAACGCAGCTCACCCCACGCCCACAGAATCAAAGTAGTTCTGCTGGAGCCCGACGAAGAATACTTTACAGCATAACTCGGACTTAATTATACGAAGCGACTGGGGTAGCCTCGAACGAGGTAGCGTGGTCTAGCATTACAAACACCATCAGTACATAGATCATTCGTACCTCCATCAAGCACATATGGTATCGCCATGTATATTTCCGTCCCTAAGATACAGACATTTAATGGCAAACCCCGAGCGAGTGCAATGTAAAGTACCAACCTGAGGTATATTGATATCCTGGTATGCTATCAGTTTCTGAGGGGCGCATCGACCCCCGTTTGGGCTTCCAGAGACACCACGTTCTCGAGGAAGAGTATCCATCGCTTCTCCCATGCCTCCCTCGCCATCTTCTTCTCGTCCTCCGACATCATCGAGTGCTAAGCAAAGTTCCCGTGAGCGATACTCTGGCGTCACTAATGGGATGAAAAGCTTACTGTGATACTATCGCGTGCAAGTTCTGCAAGCGTTAGGAGACCGGTGACATCGCTAGCGGCGATGACTTGGTACATGTCATACGTAATGCCAACGTTATTGAAGAGCGTGCCATCGTCGGAGTTCAGCGTTACTGGCACACCGTTATTCAACAGGATCGGAAGAGGGTGCATCGGCATTGAAGCAGTGAGACGTAGTATCTCGTTGCTATGGTGTGTGCACTCGATATGAGTAGGACTGGGGAGGAAGAATGATCAGTACGTACGAGATAGGGCAGACTTCAAGTGCCACATTTCTCTCTCTGCACATCTCCATCAACTTAGGATGCTTGACTATTGAAAACCTTAGAGTAATTCCGTTTGAGAAATCAGGGAAAACTAGCGAGTTGGTATACCTGCACTTACCCATGAGCGATCCGCTTAGATCCTAGTAGCAAGGCATCGTATAAATTCACGTCCGCGTGTGAGCCATCACCACACGTCTCGCCGGCATGGAAGAGGAATGGAATGTCGAGACTGAGCGAATCGCACTCTGCTCTAAAGGTCAGAAGCGGAGACAAGTAATAGATCAAGGGACGGTTAGCGTTTTCATCGCCAACAAGGTCAAAGCCTAAACCGTTGTTACACCAATAATTATATCTCCCATTAGAGAATTGACATACCTGCAATCACATCTGGAAACTCCTGTTTCATGGCTATGCAGTCCTGGAGATACCATTCTAGTTCTCCCGGGGTTACACGACGGATCACCGTATAGATCATCTGAGACATGGATTAGGCCAAGGCCTGACGGAAATAAGCAAACAAGATACCTTCGCGCCAGCAAACTCGTCGCCTCGACCCTGCGCTTGTAGTTCTTCTTTATATTCCTTTGCGACATCCCGGAAGACTTTGATCCATTGGAGATGGGTGGCGGTGTCCTGTCCCTCGGCATCCATGAAGTGCCTGGGGGTAGTTGATAAGCAGGTGATGGAACCTAAAAGTACTAACGGAACTTTGGAGTGAAATCGAATCTGCATTCAGCATACGATATGCCATCCTCTACGATCTCTTTGAAGAACTGTTTGATGTACTCTGGCCACATAGGTGCATAGTGTGTCATTCCCTATGTGCGACGAGGTCAAACGCGAGGCACGGATGATACACCTAGACGAGACACTAACGCAGACTAATTTCGCTGACTCAGCGAACTTATCCCAAATCTTTGCAATGGCCATGAGTAAGGTGAGCAGCGACAATAGCTGTGCTTGCTTACTTTGATGTTGTTATTGTGTGTATCGTAGGCGGCAATCGAGCTTATTGACATCGACTCCGTCAGCCATTTGTCAAATCCCTCGGGTCCGCCCATGTTAGGGCTAAACGACTCGCGCGCAAAGCGAAGGGGAACCCATGAGTCACCCGGATAGTTCGGATCTGTGAGGGCAACGGTACACGCAGAGAAGTCAGAGGCCTGTGGCATGACCCGAGGTACAGTGCTCGCCAGATTAGATGTGGTGAGTGCTGGTGGCACTTGGATGTGGATCGCAGGGTGGTGAAGAGCAATGTCAAGCGTGGCACGCGGACTGACGGAGAGGTCTACATGTGTGTGTAGAAGAGCACCTTTGGGCATCTTCAAGAGGCCATAGTTTGAGTCTGAACACGTCATACAAGTTAAGAGGGTGTACCTTGCTCAAAAGCTGGAATAACTTCGTCTTAACGACGATCTTCTTTCCTGTGTTTCTTCAAGACTTCGCATCGGTTGCAGGTTATGCTTACATACCAGTGATGAACTCCATTCCTGGGAACGGGCTCGGGACATCGTCATGTTCCACGCCCCACACAGTGCGCGCCTCTTCTGCGCGGATCGAACGAACGATCTGGTCTGCTTTGATCTCCAGGACCGTGTGGTAAGGCCCTCGGATGCGGTCGACCCGCAGCGCGCGGTCAGCGTCAATAAGAGCAGCCCGTTGGTCGTTGTATGCCTCAATTAACTGGCTCATGGACGCAGACATGATGGTGGGCAGAAGTGAGGGTGGACCTAACCCTAGATCGAGGTTTTCTCGTATGAGATTGATGCTCGGATGTTCGGACCGCCCTTCCATCGTCTGTGATCGAGAGAAACACAAAAGAAACATCTCGACTTTTACAATAATATGTCAGAATATGCCATTGATTCTTCAGATAAATCCATTTCATATTGAGAACCTTCTAGGTAAGCGCTCTTGATTTCTTCGCGACAACCATTGATATTGGTTCTAGGTCAACTCTAGATAGTACCCACCACCCTAATCACACTCGTTCCCGCACCCAGATCCTGGGTTAACCTTTTAAAATACTCTCTATTAACTCTTGTGCAGCTAATACCAGGCCGTCTTCAAAGCGCCGAGCAATCACTTGCAGCGATACCGGAGCGCCTGCAAACGCTGTCGGTTCATCTAAAGGAACAATGACGGTCCAATCAGTTCAGCTTGCTCTCTCCATCGGTGTACGTACAGAGGGAGCGATTGTAAGCGTCTGCGTCGCTAATGCTAACGACAGAATCCTCCATGGCGATGTCGATAGAGGGTTCTGCTGTCAAGCCCGTAGGGAACACTACGCCAGGGTAGTCGACTAGGTTCCAGATCGCGGTGTACCTGCCGGAATAAAACATTATCAGTGATTTCCTTCATCCTCTTGGTGCACGTCGCGGATGACCTACCCCCAATATGTTGAGGTGTCGTGTCGCGCTGCGACTCCAGGGAAAGGAGGACACAGAACCACGTCGCATCCTTGGCTTCGCCAATGGTCTGAATACGCACGCCGAAATCTCTCCCGTCTGGCATGTAGCTGACGTCGTTACAACAGCTTAGGTTTATCTTCCAACAACCATATAAGCGATACTCACCTCCCAAATCGCGGTCGCATCATGGTCCTTCACGTATGGCGGACTTATCACCCACTCGGAGAGTGGCAAGATGTTCTCTTCTCCGTCAGCTAGCATCCGACGCAAGGTTTTACCTCCGTCCTCGTAGTAAAGCTCTCTCTACGTGCGTGTAAGCTCAAAATCAACCCGGCGTGGAACATACATACGGCAATGCTATATCCCTGGTCGTGTTCATAGGGCACGTAATCCATCAGCTCGACAGCATCTGATGTCGCCAACTTCTCCTTCGCCAACATCAGCGCCCGTAGCATGGGCGGATGTGGAAATACAACGCCATCGTGCATCATCAGCCCTACCCTGAGCTTTCGTCCGAAGCCAGATCGAAGGTCCGGTAGTATAAGGCGCACCGGGTAGAGGCTTGGGTCTAAACTCGCCGGGCGGGCCGACAATATAGCGGAGAGGAGAAGACGCATGTCCCGTGCTGAGCTACACATCGGACCGGTGGAAGGTAAGACACCATCTGCTCCGTCTTGACTATAAATATTGCGCGTGAAGGGCCATTCAGTAGTGCTTGGGTAAAGAGAGAATCTGGCTCACGAATTCAGATATCCATCCATGGGCATTGTTTTGCATGTCGGCCGGATACCGTATAACCCACAGTGAGCGCACGGAGCTCTGATAGAGCCTCCTCCATCTCTGCGGGATCGCATTTAGAGTCGAAATAGCATCCGATAGCATGTTACCACTTACGTTCCTATGCCCATCGGAGACCCCTTCATTGCGATAAGGGCAGCTTCCCCTCCAGAGGAGCCACCTGGAGTGAGGTCTGTATTATGAGGGTTCAGCTGTTTGAACTATGCTTCAGCTGATGTAACTTGAGATTGAGATTACTGCTCACTCACGGTACGCCCGTAGCATGATTGAGACTCAAGGTGCATGATGGTCTGTGGCTGATTTGTCTTGACGTAGAACACTGTCCGCACTCGTATTGAGTAACACAAGGATACACCAGTCATGCAAGACCCTACCGGCTCCAAGTTCGCGCAGAATCCTTGTCATGTCACAATCATCTTTGGAGATCTCGGTATTGCTGAGGAATCCACCACTACCCCAGTGTCCCTTGATGGGTATATGGTCCTATATAGCGCTTTGTTATTATATTCGTCATTAAGACAACAAGACGAACCTTGATGGATATGGGCAGCCCGTGCAGAGGTCCAATAACCTTTCCCTCCCTCTCTAAATACTCGTCGAGCTCTTTAGCACGGGCGATACCTTCATCAAGGAAGAAGTCCGTCAAGCACGCCGTCACTTGGTGTGCGATAGCAGCCCGTTTTCCAAACGCGCTCACAACCTCGACCGCGCTCAGCTCTCGCGCAGCCATCTTTTCGCACAGGGCCGTTGCGTCCAACGCTGTGATCGCTAGCTCGGCTGGCGTGAGGAGGCCACACGATCCCGGGATAGTCGTCACATTCAGCGGAGCTGGTATTCCTGTGAGCAGAGTCGCGGGAAGCATGAGAGATGCTGGAAGCTGTGACTTTACGCGAGCACGCAAGGCGGATGCGGTAGCCTCGAAGGCGGGTGACCCCGTCGCCGGCTGCATCTTGTCGACGAGAGACATGATGGGCAGACGATAGCCAAGGTCAGCGCCTGGGAGAGCGAAGATAACGCAGTAACTTTATAGCTAGCTCAGAATGTCAGCACCTGTAGAGAGGGTGGCTTCTTAGAATTTCTGGACGTGGTCATGTGGATCGTCTATCGTTGTCAAAATAGCACAGAGGACGATTACTCACGGTAAAACGTTATGGGAACCAAGCTTTCTTAGCAGACCGAGTTCAAACAGGTAGCATGCTCGAGAATTTGAGCTTAGCTGAGGTTTAAAGTTGCAGTGAGCATAACCCTCCAGGCTGTTGCCGGGTGTTGCGACGTTGAGCGTGATCAGTGAGCTACGTTCAAGCCCTAGGTCCTGACGTGTGCTCAAGGTACGCTTGACCGCCAGCTCGCTAGTGAGATTTAGCATGAATGAAGAGATAATCATGTGTCGTAGCGTGAATTGACAGGAAGCTTCAAGACGATGGATGAAACTGTCTAAGATCCAGTGCGGGGCGCGGCGCGATGGCCCGTCGCCAAAGTACCTACCCTAAACCCTTGTGAAATTCCGCGTCCCCAACGCTTGCGCGTCTGACGCGTCAGTCACCATTTTGACATCGACATCTTAATAATTTGTCAAGCTTAGGACAGTCAGAGCTGGAACTGAAGTTTTCCTTAAGTAAACACTCAATGCCTCAGGTTCGGAAACAAGAGATACGCTTGGGACCTCGATCTTACGATGCTTGCAGCTTCTGACAAGACTGTTCATTCTAGCAACAGCTGGCGAAGTCAGGTATGTATTTCGTCGCTCGATGTCGGCTTGCGTGTACTGAACAGCTTATCTAACGTCACTAGAAGTCATAAAATATTTTCATGGAACATGCGTTACACCACAAAACACGGGTCCATACGGACCCATATGTATCAATCAAGCTTCTGGCGTCCATAATCTGTCAGGTTTTTTGCTTCCGTCGTCTTGACGCCGCAACTGCGTGCACCAGGTGGGTCTGGATGCATCACCGTCCGCCTTTCGGTACAACGTAAGCCTTGGTTCGAGCTGTCTAGCTTGGGCACGATGGTTTCATGTGACCTAATCACTCACCTTTCTTCCTCGGAGCAGGACGAGGAGAACTCGGGACTTGGATGACATTGCGGACAGCTCTCTTTCCGAGGGTTTGGCAGCGTTCATTGGCGGACCTGACGCGAGGGGCGCTACTCGGGTCCGGCGCTGTCAGGCCCTCGACAGTGGTGTTTACGTACCTCGCCTAGTCCATTCAGTCCTCCGCATCCCGCAGGTCTGGACAGCTGGTCATAAAGCGACTGTGAACCCATAAGCACTCACCCGCTCTTCTCAGCTCCCTTCAGCCTCGCCATCTCATTCATCCCCATGGTCCGACTTCCTCCGCTCCCTCTACGCCTCTACGTCTCCCTGGATCCCATCCCCGGAAGCCCCTACTTTCCTCTAAAGGAGCTTAATGTGCACCGAGGTGTCATCTCTCCCACCGCTCTCGGAAGAGACGGCCGCGGTACCGCTTACAGCGAACCGTCAACCCAAGAGAACGGGTACTTTCCCTATGTAGCGAGTGGCGGGGAGGATTTCGGAGATCTCGATAATCTGCATGCCCTCATGAGCGTTGAGGAGGTTGTCGATCAGAATGGCGACGCCGTAGGGGTCAGTGATAATACTCTGTGGCCTCCGGGCGAGGTTGGAGTTTGCTGACGAGTCCTCGTCGTTGTAGCTGAAGGTTCTAGTTGAGAATGCGGCCGAGTCTGGGAGCGTCCTCATCATGAGAGGTGTTTCCATCAACGATGAAGAAAACTTCATCAAAGACAGAAACACATCGGACGATGGAGAGCCTCTCATCATCCCTCTACGTGGGGGGAGGGATACTGAACTACTTCCTGGGGACATACTGGTGAGCAGGTATTGACTGTTGCGTATATGTTTCTGACAAGAGTAAACGTTTAAACCTTGTCCTAGCATTTTGGCAGCAAGGATGGCCAGTCGTCAGGGATGAGCGCAAGGGTTCAGATCAAGGATCACAGCTGCCTCAAGCGGTGGCAAGTCTCGTCGTATCGTAAAATCAAGCGCCGCTTGCCCGACGCACCATGGGAAGATCTACTCCAGATGGCTCGCGATATATTCTGATCTTCCCTGATCTTTTTCCCATTCGTCCCGTTATATCCTCGATACCTAGCTTACTTCAGTATCCCATCGTCACTCATTTGGTTCCTTTCTCTCTTTTCTTGCCTCGGACGCCCTATATATCCACATCCAACTTGGACGCGAACTCCGCCCGCATGGTTCAGGCCAGTTCAGGGTTTCAGTCGATCTACCATCGACCAATCCTTTAGTTTCTAGCAGTACTCTGCTCACGTGTCATTCCTTTTCTCTTTTCCCGGATCTTATTCGCTGCCCAGCATTACTCGTTCCGTCTTTCTTCGTTTCCAAGCTCGGCCTTTGCGTTCTTTGCATGGCGTCTATATCTGAGAAAAAATATGCCTGTTGTTACTTTAGCTTCGCCGCTACCTTTTGTGAATGGACATCTTTGACAATCGTCATCCTCGCCAACGCGGTTGCGCTCCTCGCCGTGATAACACAGCAATGACGTCGTATAGCTCAGCTATGATATTCAGTAGCGTTCAGACGAGTATTTGGTGCCACTTACTCATTAACCCCTCGCAGCTTGTCATTTCTCTGCACGGAGGAGAGCGTGAAATCCTAACAAATTATCACCGGATCGCAGCATCGAAATATGACCTGGGGACATTCATGACCGCCTATATTACACGTCCTACCTCGGCTCGGATAAATTGATCGTTTATCCGGTGGCACATCTTACTTTGTCTCCTCATTCACACATTGCATTGTACAGTCGCTAGTGCCCGAATCCGTGGCTATATCGGCGTTTCTTGATAAATAGGGCTGAATAGTTACGATAGGCACTGTCTGTATATGCGCACACGTCAAGCCGTGCGCTATGGATACCTTTTGATAGACGAGAATGGGACACGCCTGTGGCGATCAGAGCATGTCCAGACGGAAGAATCGCTCGCGTGGCTGGCTCGTGAGCACCGAGCGCTTATATGGGAAGTCGAAAATCTGTTAGTGTTTTGCGTGCATATACCCTCGTCAATGGCAGGAAAACTAACATGGAGAGAAAAATGGAGATGAAATACCATCTCAAAGTGCACCGCGCTGTCGAGGTCGACCTTGAGCATGGCCGAGTTGTCGAGCTTCGGCTCGCTGATGACGCGATCTGTGCGTGAGTCCGCGAGGAAGCAATAATGAAATACAGCACGGTGCCAGGCCTGGGCTGTAACGGTGACGTGCCAAGCGGGTAAATGCGAGCGAGGGTGGGTGTATGCGATCATTTGAAGGGTATATGCGTGACAATGGGACAGCCGTACAACAGTTAGTTATAAGCGCCCGAGTGAAAGTAACAGAGCAGACGCACTGCGCGCAAACCCGCGAAACTTGTTTTCACCGACGAGGACGTGAATGCCCCGGTCGTAGTCGCGTGCACCACCGGGGACGTACGGTGCGGTGTGGTTCTCCTATTCCTCGCCGTCAGTTCCTACGCACAGAAACACCACACCCAATGCGTACCTTTATCCACACAAACTCGACATACCCCATCACCTCCCCGTCCCAGCTCATGATCATCGGGATCACATTGGGATTACTATTCAGCCCCTCGAGATACCTGCGATGATGCTCCTTGCTCCCTTGCTCATTCCACCCCTTAATAACCCTCGGATAGTTATGCCACTTGTGGAACGCGCTGAAATGCGCTGTCTCCTCATCCGCGCTAGAACCAAGATCAAAGTGCGCGAACTCGAGCATAGCACCCGCAGGCTCGACCCCAGGGCACCACTTGCGGTACATCACCTCGCCCGGTGCAGGCTTGGTCGGGCGCAAGGGGTGCGACGCGATGACGGTGTCCGTGCGTGTGAAGGAGGGCACGAAGGGAAAGGGCGGGTACACGTGCGTGCCGCTGCCGGTGGCGCTGTCGCTGAGCGAGGGCGAGGACAGCGAGGGCGGGATCCAGCCGCGGGTGTGATACCCAGTTGTGCCTGCCCCTTGCCAGAATGTGGCGCGCATGAGGAACAGGACTTGCTCATCTGAGTCTTTGGCGCGCGGCTGGGCCCGGCGCGCGAGACCGGAGCGGAGGAGGTACTCGGTGAGTTGGGCCTGATTCCGGATGCTAGGGCCGAGGATAGCAGGAATAGTCTCTTGCTCATGCAGAAGGATATGCAGGGCATAGACGAGTGCCCAGGTGTCCGGGATCGAGATCGACTGAGAACGGGGTGCGGCGTTCAGCTCGACCACGGGAAACGCGGGAACATGAGACGCGGTGGGCTCGTGTGGTGTGCCAACACCAGACAGGACAAGGGCAGCTTTACGCGTGAGGGTGCCCCAAAACGCAGTGGGGACATCATTGATACGTATATGCGTCTCTGGAATACTGTCAGGGAGAGAAGAGGGGGTGTGGATGTGCACGTGGGCGCCGTCGGGGAGGCAGAAAGCGTCGACGGGGTTCTCGGCGGCGGGGCGGATATAGGTGAAGGCGGACTGCACGGCGAGCAGACGGTCTTTCGGGTTGCCCATGGTTACGAGTTCGGACCGGGAGAGCTTCGAGCTAAGTTAGTTTTGAGTTGGAGGTTCGATGGAATGCCTGCAGAGATCCAGGGGCTATGAACGAACTCCAGATGATGTCGATTATAGCGGAACGGGCCGTAATCGAGGGTTGTCGCGCGTCGACGGTGTGTTGACCGAGGACTTAGCTGTCGGGCGCAAGTCGGGTGCGAACGAAGTCGTCTGAACAGAGCATGGTATGGGTGAATATATAGCGATGACGAGCGCTAGCGACCAGATGCTGACATCCAGACCTAATCTGATTCGATGTACGATGTACCGCTGGGCGGGGTTAACGACCACCTTATCCATTCGCTACCGTTTTTGTCCCATTCCTATTGGTTAACAAGTTTCTTGAATCACTAGAGCGCTTCGCTGGTTCAAAATAGCGAAATGTTATGATGGGTCGCGACGAATGCGTGGGGCAACGCTTGGACGTGCTAGAACAAGGTTCGGAACGGCTACAGATCGGCTGTGCCCATTCGCTTTACCACATAAATCTGATAATGACCACCTGTGCCTTTATCAGATAAGATCTATAACTGTGGGAAGTCGTAGCCACGTGAGCCTTAGACTGCATCGGGTTGAGATTGTCCGTCCGACATGTGTTAGAATTCTCTCTCTCCGTCCGATGTGTTGCGAGTTTGCTGTGCGGGACCGCGACTGGTATAATAAACTAAACCTCGTTACAAGCCACCCAATCATCGATGTTCAAACCTCACAGACTCGGCCGTGCTCTGTCTGCTTTCGACCACGCCGGGTGTCGCTGGACAGCCATACCTCTGCGCCCGCACGCCCCATCCACCCATGGGCCCTCTTCTAGTCGCCCAGAAGACCGTCACGCCATTGGCAAGCAGCTTTCCCTCACATCCTGGAACATCCAGGCCTCTCCGTCAAAGCTCGCCGAGCGTTCCGAGCTCATTCTCGACCATATCCTCAAAGGGCCCAAGTCCTCCGACACCATCGTTCTTCAAGAAGTTGCACCCAGCGTTAGGCAATTACTACTCGACGACCCCAGAGTACGCTCGAGCTTCCTAACGACCGACGCCGAGGACAACACGGCTTTCAAGGGTGTACCATTTGCGACGATGACGTTGCTCTCCAACGAGCGTTTCGTCTCTCCGTTGTCGCTCACGGAGACGGACGAGGGCGAAAGCGAGAGCAAGGGAGAGGGAGAGAGGGAGGGAGGCTCCATGATGGTGCTCGACAGCGTCTTCCGCATGACGCTGCCCCGCAGGTACGGGAGGGACGCGCTCTGCGTCAATCTCCGCGACCCAGCCACACCTGGCGCGGTCATGCGCCTCCTCAACGTCCACCTGGACTCGCTCGACTCGTGGTTCAGGCGTGTGCTTGAGATGCACCTACTAGACGACCTGCTGCGTGAGGACGGATGCAGCGGCGGCATCATCGCAGGTGACGTCAACGCCATCCACGCCAACGATGATACGCTCGCCAACAAACACGGGCTGATCGATGCCTGGGTTGCGCTGCCACGGAGCAGGACGGGGTCCAATGGAGGCGCTACGTGGGGTGTGGGCGTCAAACGCGAGGACGGACGCAAGCCGCGCAGGTTGGACAAGGTCGTCATGTTGGGCTTGGAGCCTGTCGAGATCGAAGTCCTGACGCCGGGTCTTATCGACACTGGTACACCCTGGAGCGACCACTGCGGACTACGCTGCACTTTCACCGTCTAATCCGGTGAGCAAGGTTCTCTTCTTCTCGCCTGTTCAACGCCTATATAACCAACCACCTGCTTTGTCCCCCCTACGTAGATGTTTGTACAGAAAGCTGTTAGAACCGTCATGTTGTTTTGGTTTCCTTGATCTTGTTTCTAACGCCTTTGCGTCAGTCACCACTTTGACATCGACATCAATAATTTCCGATTGTCAAGCTCAGGACAGTCAGAGCTGGACCTGCGCTTTTCGTTAACTTAGAACGCTCAATACCTCAGGTTCGGAAACAAGAGATACGCTTGGGACCTCGGCCTTACGATACTTGCGGCCTCTGACAAGACTGTTCATTCTAGCAACAGCTGGCGAAGTCAGCTATGTATGTATTCCATCGCCCGATGTCGGTTTGCGTGTACGGAACAGCCTATCTAACGTCACTAGAAGTCGTAAAATGTTTTCGTAGAACATACGCTACGCCATAAAACACGGGTCCATACGGACCCATACGTATCGATCAAGCTTCTGGCGTCCATGATCTGTCAGGTTTTTTTGCTTCCGTTCGTCTTGTTGCCGCAGCTGCACGCACCAGGTGGGTCTTGATACATCACCGTCCGCCTTTCGGTACACCGTAAGCCTTGGTTCGAGCTTTCTAGCTTGGGCAGGATGGTTTCATGTGACCTAATCACTCACCTTTCTTCCTCGGAGTACATAGGACGAGGAGAACTCGGGACTTGGATGACATTGCGGACGGCTCTCTGTCCGAGAGTTTGACAGTGTTCATTAATCATTGGCGGACCTGACGCGAGGGGCGCTACTCGGGTCCGGCGCTATCAGGCCCTCGACAGTGGTGTTTACGTACCTCGCCTAGCCCATTCAGTCCTCCGCATCCCGCAGGTCTGGACAGCTGGTCATAAAGCGACTGTGAACCCATAAGCACTCACCCGCGCTTCCCAGCTCCCTTAGCTTCACCGTCTCATTCAACCCCATGGACCGACTTCCTCTGCTCCCTCTACGCCTCTACGTCTCTCTGGATCCCATCCCCGGAAGCCCCTACTTCCCTCTAAAGGAGCTTGATGTGCACCGAGGTGTCATCTCTCCCACCGCTCTCGGAAGAGACGGCCGCGGCACCGCTTACAGCGAACCGTCAACCCAACAGAACGGGTACTTTCCCTATGTAGCGAGCGGCGGGGAGGATTTCGGAGATCTCGATAATCTGCATGCCCTCATGAGCGTTGAGGAGGTTGTCGATCAGAACGGCGACGCCGTACGGGTCAGTGATAATACTCTGTGGCCTCCGGTCGAGGTTGGAGTTTGCTGACGAGTCCTCGTTGTTGTAGCTGAAGGTTCTAGTTGAGAACGCGGCCGAGACTGGGAGCGTCCTCATCATGAGAGGTGTTTCCATCAACGATGAAGAAACATTCATCAAAGAAGGATACACATCAGACGATGGAGAGCCCATCATCATCCCTCTACGTGGGGGGAGGGATACTGAACTACTTCCCGGGGACATACTGGTGAGCAGGTATTGACTGTTGCGTATATGTTTCTGACAAGAGTAAACGTTTAAACCTTGTCCTAGCATTTTGGCAGCAAGGATGGCCAGTCGTCAGGGATGAGCGCGAGGGTTCAGATCAAGGACCACAGCTGCCTGAAGCGATGGCAGGTCTCATCGTATCGTAAAATCAAGCGCCGCTTGCCCGACGCACCATGGGAAGATCTACTCCAGATGGCTCGCGATATATTCTGATCTTCCCTGATCTTTTCCCATTCGTCCCGTTATATCCTCGATACCCAGCTTACTTCAGTATCCCATCGTCGTTCTTTTGGTTCCTTTCTCTCTTTTCTTGCCTCGGACGCCCTATATATCCACATCCAACTTGGACGCGAACTCCGCCCGCATGGTTCAGACCAGTTCAGGGTTTCAGTCGATCTGCCAGTGACCATTCCCTTCGTTTCCGGTGATACCCTAATCACTCCACCATCGCTCCTTGCCTCATCATCTAGCAACGTCACTCGTTCCATCTTCATTGCCCAGCTCGGTCTTCGCGTGCTTTTGGTCCATGTACTGGACAATATATATCCCTTGCGTTCTTACAATCTCATGGATGGATATCCCTGAAAAATGTCTTCCTCTCCATCGTGCCTGCCCTCAGACCCGAGGGAGCCCTGCAGTGCCCTTTGATATCACTGATTTTCTTTATCCTCTCTAGGTAGACGGTTAGACATAAGCTCGCAAACCGTTAAGTACGCCAAAAGGTTTGTGTCGTTGCGATTGCTCAGGCCGCTTGATTTGCACCGTTGCATGCTTATTCATTTAGATTTCCATTATGCGGAGTCATCATGCGAAGAAAGAAAACGATACAAGGGTGACGATCTACCGGAACCTAACTGACGCGTGCACAAACACGGCAGGCGGCCGAAACTTTTGATGGTAGTGACCAATGAACGTTCTGAACCCACAGATGCTTGCTCCCACGTGTCAACTCCTTGAAAGCAATTCATAAGCTTGGCTCACGAATCCACCAACTTATTAACGGCCTGCTAGAGGACCACGTGAGAAGGGCTCATTTGATCCACCTCGACTCTTCTTAACTTGCCGTTTTAGTCTCACGCAGTGCGGGACTGGCCTGGATAAAGAACGGTGACCTGTCGAGGCCGCCGACTGGTGTATTCAATTTCACCAAATATTTAGTCAGGACTGCGCATCTGACTATAAGGCTGACTCAAGGACATGACGGACGAGCCGAGAGCAAACAACGGGTATATGGATTTAAAGGCTTTCCGCTGACGCTTGTAATGGACACACGTCTCTGAAGGTGAGTTCTGCATCCACACTCGGGAGGTGCACAGACTCTAGTCACTCGGTAGTTCACTTCAACATGTCTCTCCCCAAATTCCGCGTAGCTATTGTGTGGGTCATTTCGCTCCTTACGCATGGCCTGGCTCAAACCATGGTGTGCACAATAGCGGAGGCGGTATAGGCGGACTTGTCCTTGCCATTGCTGTCGGGAAATACTCGAACACACCGATTGATGTCTATGAGGCGCAGCCGATTATTACCACAGTCGGAGCTGGGGTTACGCTGTGGAAGCGCTCGATGGAGGTCATGCGGGAGCTCGGGCTATGGGACGACATTCTGAAGGTGTCAACAAGGACACCTGATATGCCCCACGGTACGTCGTATGTCATATACCTGAGTTGATGCTCAAAATCGCAGGCCCTGTCTTCCGTGTTTCTGACGATGCAAGCGGAGGATATGAGTGGTTCAAGTACATTATGCCGCGTCAGTATACTCGACGATTACACATTTTCCGCTTGCTTACCACTCGCTCCCGTACGCAGACGGTCCCTCGAGCATGCACAGATGGGACATGATGGACCTCCTCCAGCGCCACCTCCCAGCGAGCTGCACCATCCACCTCTCCAAACGGTTGGAGTCGTACACCGAAACGAAGCCCGGCGACATCGCTCTGCGCTTTGCAGACGGCAGTACCGCAACTGCAAACGTGCTCTTCGGCGCGGACGGCATACACTCTCCGACGCGTCGGTCCATGTATGAGGCTGCCGTCGAGCAGAAACACCCGTTGGTAGATTCTGCCAAGATGGACGAGTACGTCAATCCACAGTGGTCGGGGTGGCGCATCTATCGTGACTTGGTCCCAATGTCGAAGTTGTTGGAGATGTATCCTGAGCATCCTGTATCTGGGGATATGCACATCGTAAGCGTTAGCTGCTTGCTGGTTCAAACCTAACGCTGACCACTAATGTTGCAGCTGTGTGGACAGGGGAAGGTAAGCTTAGCTCTCAGAACCCGGGGATTGCGAAGTACTTACTGCTTGCACTCGAATCCGCACATACTCGCTTGATCGTCTAGCATGTCGTCCACTACCCAGTCAACAACGGCGCCAACCTCAACATCGCATACTTCATCTATGACAAAGAAAACGCCGGGAAACCATTCGAGGGTCGGTGGGTCGAAGATGTTCCCAAACAAGAAATCGTGGACAGATTCGACGACTTTGAGCCCGAGCCCAAGCAAATTCTCGAGGTAAAATCCCCACCTCCATATGCCATTGACGAGCCGCTAACACAAAAAGACCTGCGACAACCTCAACAGATGGGCACTGCACATCGTATCGGAGCTGCCTATCGTCACCCTGGGCAACGTAGCCCTCTTCGGAGACTCGGTCAGTCACCCTTCCCTCGCCGCACGCTGTAGTCTTGAATTACCGATCGCTGGCTGACTCGTCATGACGGCCCACACAACCAGGCACATGCCATGGCCCCACACACGGGCGCGGGCGCCGGGCAGGCGATCGAAGACGCGTACATCATCGGGCGCCTCCTCGCGCACGACAAGGTCGACACGCTCGCGCGCGTGTCGCTCGCGCTTAGAGTGTACGAGGACGTCCGCCGCGAGCAGGCGCAGCGGTTCGCGCGGTACAGCATGGACAGCGGGCTGCTGTACGAGTTCAGCCATCCCAGCCAGGCGGGGCGGGAGAGGTCGACGGAGGCGCTGGAAGAGTGGAAGGAGGCTATTCAGGAGAGGTGGGAGCGGTCGATCGAGAGTGGGGCGCTGGAGGGGTGGGCCGAGGCTCAGAGGAGACTGGAGGAGGCTATTCGCGTAAGTGGGGGAACCAACGGGTTGGTAGATGGGGCGGACTATGTTCGTCCGAGTCTTTAGCGCTTGAGATGTATATTTAACACATGTTCTCATGCTTTTATGCCTATGATGTCGTCCGTCTTCTATCTAGGCCAGTCGAGATAGATAAGCTCGAGGACGAGTGTTTTCGCTTTCTGCAAGACACTGACGATGCTGTGGTCCTACATATCACATCTGCGTGCATGGTAGGCGATCAGTTTGTTTCCTAACACAGAATTGACGTCCAAACACTTACGTTTATAGTCGCCAAAAGCAGCATGAACGCGAACAGCGTCTCGCTGATCTTGACCAGCGCTACTACGAGCCCTTCACCGCCGACGACAAACACATCCTCTCCCTCCCCATCTCCGCCATAGTCGTAGGTGTCAACTCCGCCAAGCTCTTCACAAGAGACGTCCTCTTCGCATATGGCAAAGCGGCCCGCCTCGCGCACCTCCAGACCAACTGCCTCACCGAGGTCATGCTCTCCTCCGCCGAAGGCTGGGCCGACGCCGTCGCGCAGCAGCCCTCGTCCACAGCCCGACCACTCGCGGGCGTGCCCGTCTCCCTCAAGGACATGATCGCGCTGCAAGGATGGGACGCATGCATCGGCTACTCGGCGCACGTCGGCAAGCCGTTCAAGGCGCACAGTGCAATCGTGCGCCTCCTGCTCGACGCGGGCGCGGTTCCGTTCGTCAAGACCAACGTGCCCACCACTCTGCTGTCCTTCGAGTCGTCCAACGACGTCTTCGGCACGACGGAGAACCCGCACAAGAAAGGGTTCAGTCCCGGCGGGTCGTCGGGCGGTGAAGGCGCGCTGCTTGCGCTGGGCGGGTCGCGTATTGGGGTGGGTACCGACGTCGCGGGGAGTGTGCGTGCGCCGGCGCATTATTCGGGGGTGTACACGATCCGGTCGAGCATGTATAGGTTCCCGAGGACGGGGAATGCGACGTGTATGCCCGGGCAGGAGGCCATTCCTGCGACGCATAGCCCGATGGCGAGGACGTTAGAAGATCTGGAGACGTTTTGGAGGGCGGTGATGGAGATGAGGCCATGGGAGTATGACCACTCGGTGAGTGTTTATATCTACTGAATCGATCGAGAAAAAAGGTTCACGGGCTCCGTGATAGGTTATCGAAATGCCGTGGCGAGATGTCAAGCTACCAACGGATAGGCCTCTGAGATGGGGTGTGATGTGGGACGACGGTAAGGACCATGGAGTGAGTGTCAGCAATTATTGTGATCAGACTTTGTTGTAGGCATTGTGGCGCCCTCGCCTGCATGCTCAAGAGCACTGAAGATGGTTACAGATGCACTGAAGGGTGCAGGGCACGAAATAGTGACATTGTACGTACGCATCCTAGTGTCGACATGCCCAAGGTCTCTTGCGGCAGCTGAGAGAAAATCACAGACAAAGTCCGAGCCCATACGAAGGCCTCCAGCTCGCTTCTCAGATTCTTCTGGCAGAGGGAGGGAAAACAGCGGGTGGCCCACTCCGCACGGGCGAGAGAAACAGCGCAGGGATAGCGACGGGATTCATTGCACTTGGTCTTCCCCAGTGGGCCCGGCGCATCTTCGCCTGGTACATCCGCTACATCCGCAGAGACCCCATATACGCGGGTCTCATTGAGGGGTGGAGGGAAAAGACGGTTCAAGAGTACTACGCTCTGATTGCGAAAAGAGAGGAATACCGAGCGCAATGGTTCAAGGTCTGGCGTGGAATGGACATAAGCAAAGCTAGCGGCGAGGGAGTCGATTTCATCTTGACCGTGCCGAACGCGTTGCCAGCGGTTCCCCATGGAGGGCTGAGACATGGATGGAAGGCGTGTTGTTACACGTTCCTATTCAGTCTAGTAAGCGTCGTTGTTGTCCAAGGGGTGTGGTTAGCATACTCACCTTATACCATGATAAGCTCGACTACCCATGCGGAGTAATGCCAATCACCAAGGTCGAAGGTGTCCTGGATTCGCTTCCCGAAGGATTCCGCCCAAGGAACTTGATTGAGAAGAAGAACTACAAGATGTACAATAGTGAGGGAATGGATGGTCTTCCTGTCGGTGTGCAGGTCATTGGCCAGCGCTTGAACGAGGAGCATGTGATGGAGGCGATGAAGCTCATCGAAGAGTTGATGCGACGAGAGGGAAGAAAATATGCAGGCTTGGCGCTTTTCTAAGATTGGTTACGTTGGTTTTTGAACAGGTGCTTTTACCGTACATCGACGATAGCAGGGGAGACACCAGATGTATAATACAATGAATCCTTTGAATAGGAAGAAATACGAGAGAGTGGACACCCGCTCATCATGGACGAAGAGGATAATGAGGGGCGTGTCGCGGCAAACGCCAGAGACAAGACTCGGGACGCGTAACGCGTTCTTGTCCGCTCCGCCTGCAAATTGACGGGCGTCTACTTTAACCGTGACGCGCCTCGCCTCACTCGCAACAAGGCTCTCGAGCCGCCCCATCCATGTCCTGCTACCGACATCCGTCCCTCTTTATCCTCATCTGCCTCAGAACTTAGATTCGAGCCTTAGAGGAACAACGCGACCTATGTCCACTTTCGCTCGGGCTATCACACGACAGTTTTCAGCAGCGAGACCAGCGCGAACAACACTCTTTCGTCCCGCTCGCATTCCCCATGTCGCAACATACCATGGCCAGTGGTACGACAGTCGTCCAGAACAGCCCCCACCACTTGAGGTTGAGCGTGTGGTGACACCTTGTCTATATGACGTTCTCAATGTTCCGCGGGATGCTACCAAGGAGCAAATCAAGGTGCGTGCCACCCATCGCTTCGGTTTCACAAACACGCCTGACGAATGATACAGGAGCAATATCGAAAGGTAATCCGACTTCACCACTGAAACCATCCGACCTAACGCGCTCTCATATAGCTCATGTGGAAATATCACCCCGACGTCGCAGGCGGCCAGCGCAACCCGCAGATGTTTCAAATCGTGACAGACGCGTACGATGCACTTTTAGACGACAACTGGAGGTGCGTTCTTGGCTATCGTCCATCAATCATCCTCTCATTCAGAAAAACATCGCGTAGGGCGCGCTACGACGCCGACCTCGCTCTCTTCGAAAAAGTGCTCAATGACGGCATCACCCGCGTCGCGCACGACATCACCCAGCGCTCGCTCGACCGTATCCGGAACGAAGTCGCCCACCTCGGCGGAAAAATGAACATGAACGACCTCGTGCTCGCGCAGCGCGCCATCGGCGACTGGCTCGAAGCCACCGACGTCATCCCGATCGCCACCAAAGAGTGGCTGCACCGCAAATACCCCGCCGTGAAAGGAAAGGAGCCGCAAAACCCAGGCTTGTACGCGTTCCCGCCTGCGTGGGCGCATGCGCTCGAGAATCCGTGGCAGAACGAGAGATTAATGAAGACCGTCCTCGACAATATCATGCGGCGCTTCGACGACGAGACGTGGGACCGTGTTACTCGCGACCCCGCCTCGGGATACATGTATCCTCTACCCTCGGAGTCGTGGTGCCGCGCGGTCGGGCTTCCCGAGAAGGAGCTCAGCAACTTCAGCATGATGGCGAAGCTCGTGGCCGACCCATCGGTGCTCGATAGCTTGCGGCACGACAGAGAGGTAACGTTGGAGGAGTACCCAGATTCGATTGATTGGGATGTCCTCCAGTCGGAGAATTACCGGAGGCTGAGGACAGGAAGCAGGGCAGGATCGTCCAATGAGGAGGTGCCCAAGGGTGAGGGGAAGGTGTCGATCAAATTCATGGTGAGCAGTGTGATATGGCTCGCTATGGGAGCGGCGGGGTTGGCGACTGTTGGTGGCCTTTGGGCTGGGTATAAGTTCGTTTACAAGTGCGTCTCCTTTCGTGTCGTGGGTAATCTCTGAGCTGATCTTCAACGTCACAGACCCCTGAAAGTGCGTATAAAGAAAGCATTGGGAGACGAGACGCTGGAAGACGCGATGGTGGACGGCGCCACGCCCATCGAAGAAGAGCGTCGCGAAGAGACTCCAACCCAGTTGTCGTCATAACCCTCGCATATCTCGCCAGTGTCGCCCAGTTCGCCGAGTCGCTAGTTCCAAGGCGGTTCATTTCCCGTACCTCTACGTTGCTGGTGGTATCAGCGTTCGCGCAGGCCGAAGTCTTCCCAAATCCAAGGGAGCTGTCATACATCTTCAAGCCGACCTCAGCACATTCGACGCTTCGCAATCTGACGGATGTGCATCTCAGGATAGAGTGCTTGGATAACATAGAGAACCATGTCGTACAAGTGCTGTTACGATATTATCACGAAATACAGCTAATTTCTGGACTAGAACCCGTTCTCTCTGGCTGTAAATCACTGAGCGGCATAGGTGTGCAGCTTATACCATCAGCCAATTTATCGACTGCCATAAATTGTGGTATTAGGTCTGCCGAGGGAGACTAGATCGAAGACGAGAAAGAATAGTCCTTCGGTTTCTCGTCCATGCGTATGGGACGACAGAGAGACTTCTGTAAATCCACCAGGCCGGCGGTCTGCTGAGGGCGCTTAAACTCATGGTTCTCGAGCGGTTTACCGGTTATGCGTGGCTTCGACGGTACTTGCACGCAAACTCCCTTTGTGCAACTTATCGGAACAGTTTCTCATTTCTGAACCAGGATTTATCAGCTCCGACACCCCGCAAGTGATTTACAATAACAATTTCGGAAAGAAGTATGGTACTTACTTTATCATGATCCACTGCAGATTGCTTCAATCGCCGTCACGATTTGGTCGCAACTGTTCGAGGGTTCTCGATGGCCAGCCTACTTCAACTTTCTGGACTCGTGTTCGTTATCTTTGACCAGTAAGGCCAGTGGGAAAGGAATGAACTGAAGGCTCAAGCCCTATGACCATGCATTCGCATGCGGCCCGAGTTTGATAATCCCTGTCAACTCAAAAAAACGCCATCTTTACCATCGTCAGGTTCGCTCTCTCATCCGGCTTTTCCCGTCGCTAACAAGTTTCAAGCGTGCCTTAGAAAGAAAGTCGTGCAGGGCACTACACCCATTACTTGCCAAGGAGTAGTGTTCTCGCAGACTATTTTGTACTTGGTTTCTGACGGACCTCTGGCTTCCACCTGCTCACTCTCATGATGCATAACCATGGTCACTAAGCCCCTATGATAGAAAGTCACAGCGACGATATAGGGTTGGAGCTGTCACAAGCCGATTACGGGAAACTTCTGACAGGTGTCATAAAAACACATAATACGAGACCAGGGACGATGCGTTCGGCCGTTCGGTTGTTCGCTTACCATCACGACTCCAATCTCCGGGGGCATCCATAAAAAGCCTTGATGGCGGCCAGATGAAGTCGGAGCCGCAAGGTGGTACATTCCGTGCTTGATCCGCGATACGACCTGCCACCCTGTGTGACAGAAGCCGACTTGTGTCCCGGGGCGGTGGTAGCGAGAAGCTGTAGGGAACGGAATCGTAAGTTGACCGCCGCCGAATCGGACTCAGGTATCTCTCATTGTGTCGAGAGAAGGTCATGGGACGGTCCTCAAGAATATGATCGAAGGACATGGAGCACGTAGCGGCTTGTGAGCGGCTGCCGTATTGCTTATTATCATGTTGACGCTACCCCACCCGTGACGAGTCTCTTTTGCTCCCTTCTGCTCTGAAGCTTCACCTCTTTCTCGCTCACCACTCAACGTCCGGGGGTGCAATGTCACTGAATGTGCCAGACTCGCATGCTCACCTGCGGCCGAAGAAATCTGCTAGTTCTTTGTCGTCAGCCTTCAAACTCTCAGCTAATTTCGGTCCGAGGAAAGTAAAGAGCTTGCTGTCCTTCGATACGGGTGCAAACAAGAACCTATCCACTGTCGCTGCTATCACTCTCAAACCTGTGCAAAGTTCTAGCGCTGAGTTTCAAATAAAGGTTATTGTCCTCGAGCTCGGCAACAATCTATTCCTGGGGAAAGAAGGTGGCCCCGGTCGAAAGTGCGCTATGGACAACGGGTTTTTCCCATCTTTTGCTTGGTGTCAAAGTGGCTCGCGCACCGTCAAACCGTACCATGCCAGGTTATGGGTAGAAGACGACCCCCCAGAGGTAAGCAGCGGAGTCAGACGAACTAGGCGTACAGGATTCTCATAAATTTCATCCTCGCAGCCGCGACTCTACATTCAAAACCTCGATGATCACTATGGGACTTGGATCTTCAGAGGCGTATCCTCTCAGGACGAAAAGGACTTCTTGCCTCACGGGTGCGAAACGCGAGACTTGCCTAGAAAACATACCATGATTTCACTAGCCGGCGTGCAGCTCTCTACAGCCGAGGTCAAGTCCGGGGACATCATTGTACGTCATTGTCTCCTCATTGACGCATCGTGCTAGTATCATATATGAGATGCTGAACTATCGCCTGTAGCAGCTTGGCGTTCAAAAGAAAATGCCTGATCTGTCATGGGGAAGCAGCACGAGTTACTTGCCCGTCTGCGCCCGTGTAACACTCACAATTAAGAGGAGATGAACGAGCGATAGTCAGCCAATGTCAGCAAAGGCGACGATGTATAGTAATAATCGTGTCTGTAATTTCTTAGAGGGCGCCAGGCCACAACTTAAGACCATACACTACTCTAGCACATATCGCTCTTGACTCTTCTACTTCGCCTCGCATATCTATCGTAAGGGGGGCGCGGAGAGTCGACTTTGATGTCCGTGGTTAGCTCGATCATGTATACTATGTCTTGACCCTCGGGCGAAGGAGAGCGCTCAGCGGGTTCATGCTCGCATGTCTGAGCTATGAGTCTCGCGTTGAGAATAGAAATCAGTGGCTCGATCACACTGTGACGTCTGAATCAGTATAGGGGGAAAACTCGAGGACTATATCTTACATGATGCCGAGAAGCCAAAACGTTGTCTGTAAGCGACAGTTAGCATGCTTCTTTGAATTAGTGCTGGTATGGCACCTACCCAATGAAGTATGGCCAAGAGGAGATTGAGGAGTCGCAGCACTAAACATGCCATCAGTTCCGTCCCTCAGACGGTACTATTGGCAACTCACCTAGCGTCGCCTACATTTTCATACATGAGCGGATGTGCACTATTCTTGAGCGTAAGACTAACTCACCAGCAATAGCCATCCTCCTTGAGAGCGGAGAGCACCAAGGATCTGCGTGTTCACGGTCCGAGGCATATCCATAGCGTTAATCAAAACCAGAATTGCAGCGTAGACATCAAAGCAGAGCTGACAACGATAATAAGAGTTAGCAAAGAACCATAGCAAAACTAGTTCGGAGCAAACCTGGACTGAATAAATACCGATGATATACCGGCTGTAGTCCACTACATAGCACGAGTCAATCCCTGCGTCGGGAATCCACTTGATTTCGGCTGTGGTTCACAAAACATTCAGTGATAAACCGGCAGAACGCATGGCTCGCTTACTAAATCCATAAACAGAATTCAGTACCATCAGGACGATGTTGCAACAGAAGGCGACCACCGCTCCGCTAAGCAATAAAGCCAAGGTTCCAGGCCTTCTGTTCCACAACAAGAAGACAGTGACGACCGCAGAGACTGTTATACGTGTTCAATTTCTCCTTCAAAACCCATATGACAGTTGACAGGCTCACGATTTCCAAGAGAATCGGCGACAACGTAGAGGATACTGGCAGATATCTCGAGATTTTGGCATCTAGAAGAAATAGCATCAGTCATGAAATCCGCAGCGCCGAGTCAAGACGAGTAACTGTTGCTAGCCGATTAGCATTCGTCCGGATGAGGCTGAAACTCATACGCTTACCATTTTGTCAGTCAAAGGCCGTGGTGAGAATAGCCCTGTGAACAGTTTCTGTCGTAGATATCCCATGAAAGATGATTGGGTGGACATACCTATCAAGTACGGCGACAGCGAAAACAACACGCCGACCCTATTCCATATGAACGCGCAGCGGTAGGCGAGATTATCCATCTTGCGGATCGCCTTCAGCTCCCTGGTGAACATGAGGAACCCGTCCCAGACCAGCACCGTGAAGCCAACCACTACCACGTCGTCAGCAACTCAGCCACCTTCACACCTACGCCTACTCACATAAAAGACATCGAAAGAGAAAGAGAGCGTGCGAAACCTCGGCCGGCGAATGGTATAGATGTGGCATCACGGTAGTGTTCATGATGAGACCACCGAGTCCTGGAGTAGCATGAGACTCCCCACAGTGATGGTACGGGGTGATCCAGGCGGAGGTGCAAAGTCGTCTGCGCCGCCTGCCATGGAGACTAATATAGCGTCTCCAGAGTCTTCCCACCCAGCGCGCAACCGGGAAAATAGGCTGGGTTGCGTACGTAAAAGAAGCAACAGTCTCGAGGACACATGCAATCAGTTCTCCCGCGCATATCGGGTTGGTGGTCTCCGCTTTCCCCTCGCGAATGAAAAAAAACTCACGTTCTCGATCTCGAGCCAGCCGTCTGACTCCTGTGGCAAAATCATTTTCATGCGCGTATGCACGAGTACAATGAGCGTTCCCAGGCCTCTCGTGCTTCAAACGCGCAGGTCGCTATACATGGGATCAGAAGCCGAGGCTGTGAGCTGATGCTTGATGTTACTTAGTGATAAGCTTCCTTATAGGATGTTCATCAACGGACCTGCGAAGTTAGCGCAACACAAGGGCTGTCGTAACGTATGTTGGTGGGACAACCACCAAGAGATAGGCTGTGACACAGGAGAACAGTCGATAGGCTTGTCATGTTTGTGCCGTTGAATGTTCATGTGAGGTTCGACCGTGTTGAATACCGTAGCAACGGGACTATGAGTCTCCCCACCCGAGAACTCCGCAGTTTGGATTCAAAGTCTACGGAGGTTTACGAGCGTTAATTGATATTGGATCAGAAGTCACGATCTACCTTGATAGTGGTCGAAAATGCGTAAAATCTTGTGACTTGAAATGAGCGTGGCCATTGTATAGTTAAAGACTTGGTCAGAGACACCAGAGAAGACAAGAAGCACGCAGAGCTTTTCCCCTTCGTTCACCATATAAGTCCAAGTGATTTTGACGAAAGCAGATACTAAGCTAGGGTGATGTGTTCTAGGTTTGAACTTAAACACTCACCGACCGTCGCCGCTGAAGCTTAAGCGCTGATCGAAGGTGCGTCGTGAAGGCGATGGTTGCCCCTAACGAAAAACGCGTGTGCGCCGGCCCTAAACTCAACGCGCCAGCCCGTCGCGCCTATTCGCGTCCTAGATTCTTTACACCCCGGCCGCTGCTAGGCGCCTCTGTAACATCTCGTATAATTACTAGGAAACACAAAGAAAATATGCACCTATTTTACTTCCCCATATCAAATGGAAACTTGAAGCCCGCTTTCCCGCATTCCTAACATACTGTTCGAACTTCGCGAGCGACCCATCTCAAGCCTCGGATGGCACCAACAACATGCATCACATTAACAAACTACAGGTGAAACAACGCAAGATATACAATATGGGATGAGACAGACGACGCCCTGGATGGGTGGCTGGATTCGAAACGCATACATGTACCGATTCAACTAGCTAGCTCAAGAAAATCGGAGATATGACTACGAAGACGCAAGAAATGAGATCAGGACAGACGGAGGAGGATGACGGGAGATTCGAAGACAAATGAGTAATGACTCCACAAAGCCTGAAGGAGGGATATCGATTAATGGAAACCCCCTGTTTTGCCCCAATGCAGCCCCAAAGCCCAAAGACGAGAGAAAAGAAATGATGAAGAACGAACGACATAATGCCCCGGAACCGGGAAGCGAGAACGGAAACGAGATGCGTGTCTAAATCGAAGAATGGATGAGCGACTCAAAAACGGAAGGCGCGATGTATGCGTGAACGCGTGCAAAGGATAACGAGGACAATGGGTAATGTAGTGGCGTGTCTTTTGGTGAGAGATTCTTCCACATGAATATCTCCGGAAACAAATATGCCAGGTGTTTGCGAAGGCATGCAAAGATAAAGGTGCAAGATGACAACAGCAATTAAGGTCAATCGCTTCGGAAGAAGATGGGGTGCGACGGCCGCAGTCGACAGGAGACGTGCCGGGCCAGCGCTGGTATATTTGAGCATCAGTGGTAAGATGAATCACAAAAGGTAGACCAACCGAGTGAGCCGCGACCCCGGACGACCCAAGCGTCCGTCCGCCACCAGGGTACAGTCCTCCCGTTCTTGAACCCTCATTCAACTTCGGGGTTTCCCTTGCCGGCGCAACACAGCAAGCGCCTCATCAACTCTATCAAGTCCTAGCTTGAGCGATACGAGTGGTAGTATCGGCTCTGCGTGAGACGTCTGAGCACCGAAAAGCGCGCACGAGTCGAGTTTGGGGCACTTACCATGGTCCCGTAACCAATCCTCCAAGAAAAGCCTGAGCGGCCTCAACAAGCTCGCCTCAACGCTCTCGATACTGCTTGTATCCCTCACTCCAGTCTGCCATATTGTCATCAGCTCAACATGTTCTACGCGCATACACGCACACACTCACCCGGTTGTCGACATCCCTCTGCACAATCACGTAATACAAGCTCAGACTCTCCGCGATCCGCGACGGCTCGAGGCTCTCCTCCAGATCAGCCGCGCAGCTCACGTTCACCAGATAGTCGTCCGGGATCGTTCTGAACAACACGGGCCCGAACGCCTGCAGGAGTAAAGGGGATGCAAACGGGTTCTTCGCCTTCGCGTTCACGCTTCGTGACGATGAAGTCTTGCGCGAGCCGGGTGATGCTAGGCCCGGCCTCGTCGGAGAGCCATCGGGGCTACTGCTCCCTTCTCCCCCTCCTCCAGGTAGTGGAGGTGGCGGAGGAGAGTGGCCGTCGCTCACGCCTGAGCGTGGCGACCCCATCGATCCACTAGACCCACTCGAGGCAACCGACCTTGGAGACCCATTCGCGGCGTCTGTAACCGCACCTCCACCGTTAACACGCCCACTTCCTTCCCGCTCAAGCGCATCTAGCACCGCCTCCTTCACGAGCCCAATCGCGGCAGCCCGCATCTGCGGGATCGCGCTCTCGCTCGTAAGCTCAAGGAGAATCTCGAGTCTGAGCGTCGGTGGCGCGAGCCAAAGCAGCAAAGAGAAGGTGCGCAGCGTGACGTGCCGGATAAACGGGTCTGTGTGTGTCGATGCGAGCGACGGGAGGACGGTCGACAGGGAAGAAACGATATCCACGGGTAGCTCGGCCCGCGGAAGGGAGGCCGGCACGGATGGAAGACCGCCGTTGTTGTTTGGGTGAGCAGACGTTTTAGATGAAGGCGAGAAGGCATGTGAAGGGGGCCGGGCCGGGCCGAATACGGCAGTCGGAGTGGTCGCACTCATGTGGTCAGAAGATGTAAGCTGGGACAAGGCGCGAAGGCGCGAGAGTGAGGAGAGGAGGAGAAAAAGGGATTCGTCGAGAGCTAGATTCATCTGAATGGAAGTGAGCAGCAGGCTGTGGATGTTGTGTAGTAGAGGGATGGGTGGTGGTAGTGGTACCGGCGAGTGTGCGAGGTAAATGAGCTGCGAGAAAGCTGGGGTAGGTGATATCATTCCCGGTGTGATACCGATTACAGAAAGAGCGTTCTGTAGGCGATGGATGTTTCGTTAGCATACACACACCTAGAGTTCTGATTTTTTTTTTGCTAAAGGTGAGGTCACTCACGATGACTTGCAACATTGCCCTATGGCCTTCTTCCCAATCAGGCTCTACTGCGGACGTAACAATGAGTCTCGAAAAGTGCTGCTCGAACAACCTCGCCGCGAGCGACGCGCGAATGCTCCGTACGCACGCACGCACGGTCGTATCCGCGAGGGTGCTGAGGCATATCTGTCAAACGCAAAAACGTAAATAGCCGAGAACACCGATGGGTAAAGAAGATGGCATACCTTCGTCTTGGCGGCGTCATCAGGAGTACCCGAGGTTTCGACCCACCGGAAGAGGGTCGTGATGAGAGTGGAGATCTCCCGGAGGAGCCGTCGACCATCTGCTTTGACCTCAACATGGCCGACGGTGGAAATAAGAAGCTCGAGGTTGGCCATGACGGGTTGAAGGATGCCGTAAGCCGAAGTTCGGCGGATCCGAGAGCGTGGTAGTGCTATAACATCATCGCGTTAATGAGAATGAGCAGACGTGAAAGGAGGGCATACCTCTAGCACATAGTATAACAAGGTGGATAATCTGAGTGACAGGAGCTGAGGTCCCATCCGTATCCTCCTCGTCGTAGTCAATGGCAGACTGCAAATACTCCACGACTTCCTGGATGATGACAACGATCTCCCTTGGGTCGACCTGGTCCGCTATGAGCGTGACGAGGTCGACAGTACCCATGCGCGTACACGGGAGAATCTCGGGTATAACTGCGAAGGCATCCTGATGAATGTGCCGTGTTAACATGACTTTCGCCGAGGTGAAAGATGGTACGGCGCGAACACGTACGAGAAATTCGATGCCATCGTGCTGTGCTAGTGCACGGTATATGTCCTCGAGTTGTATGAGAGGGTTCTTGTCGTTGACTGCAGCCTTGACAAGCTCTGTGAGCCTCTGAATGGTTTCCTGTGTGAAATGGGTGTGAGTCAGATGAAGACACGTCAATGAAATTGGTGATACAGACTTCATTATCAAGATCGGTGTCGTCCTGGCTGAGAGCGGCGAGAAGAGGGCGGGAAGTGGACATGACAGAAGTGAGTTATTTTGTTTAGGTTGGGGAGAGAGACAGCATCTGGATATACGTGTATCACAGGGCTGGCACTGCGGTGGAGGTAACGGAGATGTGGTAGGGATGCCTCCGCCCGATCTGGACACGACCAGCAGCGAGCCAATCCGCAACACATCGGACCGCGGTGATCTTAACCCGATGCACAGGCTCACGTGGCTACGACTTCCCACAGTTATAGATCTTATCTGATAAAGGCACAGATGGGGCACAGCCGATCGGTAGCCGTTCCGAACTTGTTCCAGCACGTCCAAGCGTTGCTCATCCTCCCCGCATTCGTCGCGACCCATCACCCACTTCTTGTCCGATATATGCTATTTTGAACAGGCGAAGCGCTCTAGTGATTCAAGGAGCTTGTTAACCAATGGGAATGGGACAAAAACAGTAGCGAATGGATAAGGTGGTCGTTGACCCGGCCCAGTGGTACGTCGTTCATCGAATCAGATCTGGTCTGGATGTCAGCATCTGGTCGCTCGTCATCGCTATATATTCACCCATACCATGACTCTGTCCAGACGACTTCGCTCGCACCCGACAGCTAAAGTCCTCGGTCAACACCCACCGTCGACGCGCGACAACCCTCGATTGTGGCCCGTTTCGCTATAATCGACATCATCTGGAGTTGAACGTTCATTCATAGCCCCTGGATCTCTGCAGGCATTCCGTCGAACCTCCAACTCAAAACCAACTTAGATCGAAGCTCTCCCGGTCCGAACTCGTAACCATGGGCAACCCGAAAGACCGTCTGCTCGCCGTGCAGTCCGCCTTCACCTATATCCGCCCCGCCGCCGAGAACCCCGTCGACGCTTTCTGCCTCCCCGACGGCGCCCACGTGCACATCCACACCCCCTCTTCTCTCCCGGACAGTATTCCAGAGACGCATATACGTATCAATGATGTCCCCACCGCGTTTTGGAGCACCCTCACGCGTAAAGCTGCCCTTGTCCTGTCTGGTGTTGGCACACCACACGAACCCACCGCGTCTCATGTTCCCGCGTTTCCCGTGGTCGAACTGAACGCCGCACCCCGTTCTCAGTCGATCTCGATCCCGGACACCTGGGCACTCGTCTATGCCCTGCATATCCTTTTACACGAGCAAGAGACCATTCCAGCTGTCCTCGGCCCCAGCATCCGGAATCAAGCCCAACTCACCGAGTACCTCCTCCGCTCCGGTCTTGCGCGCCGCGCCCAACCGCGCGCCAAAGACTCAGATGAGCAAGTCCTGTTCCTAATGCGCGCAACATTCTGGCAAGGGGCAGGCACAACCGGGTATCACACCCGCGGTTGGATCCCGCCCTCGCCGTCCTCGCCCTCGTTCAGCGACAGCGCCACCGCCAGCGGCACGCACGCGTACCCGCCCTTTCCCTTCGTGCCCTCCTTCACACGCACGGACACCGTTATCGCGTCGCACCCCTTGCGCCCGACCAAGCCTGCGCCGGGCGAGGTGATGTACCGCAAGTGGTGCCCTGGGGTCGAGCCTGCGGGTGCTATGCTCGAGTTCGCGCACTTTGATCTTGGTTCTAGCGTGGATGAAGAGACGGCGCATTTTAGGGCATTCCACAAGTGGCATAACGATCCGAGGGTGAATAAGGGGTGGAATGAGCAAGGGAGCAAGGAGCATCATCGCAGATATCTCGAGGGGCTGAATAGCAATCCCAATGTGATTCCGATGATCATGAGCTGGGACGGAGAGGTGATGGGGTATGTCGAGTTTGTGTGGATAAAGGTACGTGTTGGGTGAGATGTTTCTGCTCGTAGGAACTGACGGCAAAGAATAGGAGAACCACACCGCACCGTATGTCCCGGGTGGTGCACGCGACTACGACCGGGGAATCCACGTCCTCGTCGGCGAAAACAAGTTCCGCGGGTTTGCGCGCAGTGCGTCCGCTCTGCTACTCTCACTCGAGCGTTTATAACTAACTTTTGTACGGCTGTCTCATTGTCACGCATATACCCTGCAAATGATCGCATACACCCACCCTCGCTCGCATTCATCCCCTTGACACGTCACTGTTACAGCCCAAGCCTGGCACCGTGCCCTATTCCACTACTGCTTCCTCGCGGACCCACGCACAGATCGCGTCATCGGCGAGCCGAAGCTCGACAACCCGGCCATCCTCAAGGTCGACCTCGACAGCGCGATGCACTTCGAGACGGTACGTCCTGTCCTTTTCTCTCTTCATTTGTGTGTTCCTGGCGCTGACGTTATGCACGCAAAACACTCACAGATCTTCGACTTCCCATATAAGCGCTCGGTGCTCACGAGCCAGCCGCGCGAGCGATTCTTCCGTCTCGACCTGCTCTGATCTCCACGGACGTGTGTCTTTGTCGTCTATCAAAGGATATCTATAGCGTGCGGCTTGACGTGTGCACGCACACAGACAGTACTATCGTAAACACCCAGCCCTATTTATTAAGAAATGCCGATGTAACCGCGGACTCGGGCACCAGCGACCGTTGAAGTGGGTGCTCTTGGAGAAGATGACGACGAGATATATCGTATAGCTTGGATGAGTAGCTACGAGCACGCGCGAACACGCTATGTATTTCCAGGCTCTCCGTGGTTGTTTGATGTATACTTGGTCGGCGAGGTTCTCTTGGAGTCTATGTGTTCTCCTTTATTTATGAAGACGCTCTTGGTCCTGACCGTATTCCGTTTTTGGATGCGAACATTCAGCTAGACTGACAGTCGACGAGGAATTAGGAAGTAAGTCGAACCAAAGGGTCGTATAAAGGCTACTGAATATCATAGCTGACCTGGCATACGACGTTGCCACTTGATTACCGCAGTTTGAAGCGCGGCAACGCCAGCGAGGAGACAATTGTCAAAAATGTCCACGAGATGTAAGAAGCTCAGGTATTACAGGTATGTATTGTCGCGTATACGCACGCAAACACCACAAAAAGAATGAAAACAGTGAGCTCAGCAACGGAGAAAGGTGAAACGAGTGACAAGTATATCCGGGAAAAGAGACAAGGAACGACGATGAGGTGATTAGAATGTTGTTGGATTGGCCGTTGTCAGACCGACTGAAACCTAGACTACTAGTCTGAACCATGCAAATAGAAGTTGTGTTCGAGTGAGATGAGGATAGGTAGGGCGTTCGAGGCCATAAAAGAACGAAAGAATCAGAAAAGAAAGGAGCGACTAGAGCAAATTGGAGCAAGCTCGTGGTATCGAGGATATAACGGGACGAATGGGAAAAGATTAGGGAAGATCAGAATATATCGCGAGCCATCTGGAGTAGATCTTCCCATGGTGCGTCGGGCAAGCGGCGCTTGATTTTACGATACGGTGGGATTTTCCACCGCTCAACGCAGCTGTATTCCTTGATCTGAACCCTCGCACTCATCCCCGGCGACTGGCCGTCCGTGCTCCCAACATGCTGAAACAAAGCAAGTTTTGCTCTCGTCAGGTACATTGAAGCTGCGGTCACTACCAACTCACCAATACATCCCCTGATTGCAGGTACCCACGATCTCCAAAGCGTAAGTGGGTGACGACAGGTATTTCACGATCGTCGGAAGTGTTTCCAGTTTCGATGAATGTTTGTTCATCGTTGACGGAAACGCCTCTCATAACGAGGACGCTCCCGGTCGGGGTCATGTTCTTAATCCGAACTTTCAACTACGATTCCGGAAACTTGTTAGTAGGCACAATCACCGGCTGAATGTTATCACTGACCCATACGGCTTCGCCGTTCTGGTCGACGACTCCCTCAATATCAATCCACGCATGGAATGGGTCGATATCACCAAAATCCTCCTCACCGCTCCCTGCGTAGGGAAAGTACCCGTTTTTTTGGGTTGACGGTTGGGTGGCCCAGAAGGCGCAGCCGTCCCTTCCGAGGATGATTGGAAAGTTACGATACCGTTCCAGCTCAAGCTCCTTCGGAGGGAAGTAGAGGCTTCCTGGGATGGGGTCCAAAGAGACGTAGAGATGTTGAGGGAGCAGAGGAAATAGATCCATGGAGTCGAGTTGGTCGGAGAGGTGTGCAGAGGTGAGAAGAGCGGATGGGTGTTTATGGACTCGCAGTCGCTTTATGACCAGCCGTCCAGACTCACGGAATGCGGAGGGCGGCATGAGCTAGCCGATGTACGTAACAAGCGTTGTCGAGGGCCTGATAGCGTCGGAACGTCCGCGTCAGGCCCGACCCGAGTAGCGCCCGTCGCATCAGGTTCGTCAATTGAACGCTATCAAAATTTCGGACAAAGAACATCTGCAATGTCACCCAGGTCTCGAATCCGCTGAGTCCTGATCCAACGAAGAAAGGCGAGCAATAAGGCCAGTAAACCTAAATAACCTGAGCTAGCCAGCTCGACCCAATGCTTACATTTCACCGAACATCAAAAAATAACACATCCACACCCATCCGGTGCCCGCAGCTGCGGTGACAAGACGACGGAAGCAAAACGGCTTAACAGATCATCAACTCCAGAAGCTCGCTTAATACGTATGGGTCCATATGGACCCGTGTTTTGGGTCTAGCGAATGTTTCGCGAGAACGTTCTACGAGGTCTATCGTCTGGAGCGGTGAAATGCGCACCCATCATACTTTTTCTGTTCGCTAGAACAACCTCCTTCAAAGAAGCTACACGTGCCGTTGCCAATTGGCCGAGAACTTAGTATATTCCCTGATTCGTTGGTGCGAATAAGCAGATGTAAACCTCGAGTCTGAGAGCTAAACGATCAGAGTGAAACCGCAGCTCTAGCTATCTGGGACTCGCCTTAGACATCATGGGTCGTCCGGGCGAGCGATTAGCTGTGCACCCGACAGGGTTGCGTGAGCTTATCCAAATATCGTATATCTAAGTAAGCAGTCATATATCCATTCTCAATGCCGCACATGACGTATAACACACATTCATGTACGCTGGGAATGTCGGGGTTCGCTGAACGAGCCCGAACGTGATAGCAAGCGCACGAGGGATGGAAAAACAGAAGAAGACCTGCATAAACCGTTTTTTCAAGATAGAATCGGTGCTGTAGTCGAGAGTTGAGAACATTCGAATTCAGAAACATCATGAAATATGACCAGTGTCTCCGAAATGGTTATGATTTCTCAGGAGCAATCCATCCCATCGTGTTCAGCGTGGCGTAAGATTCAAAAATTAAAGCTGGGATTATGACGATTAACGACGGCACAAGAGTTCTATCATAGGCATAGAATAACAGTCCAGAATAACGAACGGGGAAACTAGGCAATAAAGGGAGTGCACGCGTGGAAGCAGGAGGTGACAACGGAATCGGAAGAAGATAGGGTGGTCGGGATGAAGGGTGAAGCAGTGTGATGATTGCGAACGCTGAAGACCTGCGATGTTCCTGTCGTTGGTTCCACTAGCATGCGTTAGAGGGCCTCCATCCGCGGACCAACTTGTTCGTTGACGTAGAGCAGGCGTTACTTCATGTCAATGAACAGGTCGGCGTGGTCAGTATGAACCTCGACTTGGTGTTTCAACGCCGAGTCGAGGTTCATACTCGCTTGGCCTCGTCTCTCTGCTGGTCGACCGCCACCTCCGCCTGGATCCTAAACGCCTTCTCGCCCTCCGTGACCTTCTGTGCTGTCACGACGGCGTGGAGAGCCTTCTTCCTCCTCTCATTCGCGTCGTACACTTGCCCCCTCAAAGCGACCGCTTCCTGATGCTGGATCCTGATGTGCTCTCGGAGCCTGTCAGCGGCCTGTGTCTTGAATGCGGAGCACAATGTCGCAACCTCAGTATCCAAAACAATATTGGATGCCTTGGTCGCGCCGAGCTCGTTTACCATGATGCGTACGTCCAGCTCGGCGCGCTTGAGCCGCGCCTTGAGGTTATCGATCTCGGAAGTGGTGGACGTCCTAGTGTCGATGTCAGCGAATGTTCCCGGTTTCGAACCCTTATGCACTCACTGAGCAGGACTAAGACTCTCTTTCTCGAGTCCTTCCTTCGGTAGAAACCCTGCATCGAAGGTGAGCTCATGGCGCACATAACGTGGAGAAAACGGTGCTCACTTGGGAGTCTTTCCGCAAAGCACAATCGCCTCAACGCCAATCGCGGTAACGAGAGGTTTGACGATTGAGAACGCAAGTCCGAGTGCAGTATATACAGCAACGAGCAAGTTGTTGAATTTGGGAGACACCGTTGAACGTCGAACGTTGAAGAGTGGATGAGGTTTTCTGCGAGTGGGCGAGGAGCGAAGGTTGGGCGAAGATTAGCGAAATTTTTATAGAGACGAGAAAGCTATCTCTCCTCATATACGTTTGCTCGTCCCGTAGTAGACTGGGTGGTTGAAATATGCATTTAGCGTGCCGACCTTGAAAGGCCGGCGGAACTGTATGTCATGGAGGAGAGTAGGTCAAGGTTTCTGGTCAGTAATGTGATCACAATTAATTTTCAGGCTATATGCGTACCAAACTAGACCGTTCGCGAGGATGACATTGGGTTGCTTGTTGGGTATACGAAAAGGAAAGGGGAAGAAGGGGGTGACACGGGGAAGCGAAGGGGGTAGAGAGAGAGACAGATGATGGTAGACGAAGAAGGGAGGGAGAGCGACGTACCTGGAAGCCCGCCGAGAGGCGGGAACAATGAGATCGGACAAACACAGAGCAGGGCGGCGCTTTGTTGCAGCGAGGTATGAGAGGGTACAATGGGTGCAATGCGAGTAGTTGGCTATCGAAAAAGAGTCCGCTGTATGCGTATAAATAGTATAAAACCGAATCGCAAGAAGAAGGTTACATCTGGAAGAACGAATGCCGAAGGCATGAGATCGAGTAGCCTGAATGTTAATGAAGCAAGATCGTGAACGGAAGCAAAGAAGTAAAAAGGTATGTCGGTCTAGAGCGCATAGGATCGCTGGTTCGAAGATCAATGGTCGGTGTTCTCGGTGTGGCGCGGTGTGGCGCGATGTAAGTCCTCGGGCTTACAGTACTGTTGACTTTATGTCTTTGAACCTTTGGGATGGTGGAGCAACCCCATGGTATTTCAGTTGCCCAACGCGACTTGCGATGCCGTCGCATGCGACTGATTTTTTTTGTCCGGCACTAGGGTTAACGTTTGAGTCCATACCTGCTAGAACGCGAGAAGTCTCGGATTCCCGGCGCGAGCCGGAATGACACCTCCCATTGTGGCTGGGGTCCCCAGGGAGATCAACCTCACGTGGTGCGTTTGTGTCTCGCCAACTAGCGCGTCAAAATGTCCGCTGTGTCTGAATAGGCCCAGGCGTGAGAGGAAGCGTATATGCATAGGGAAAGAAAAAGAAAAAGCTGCCCAAACCGTTCACTCAGATTAGCATCGGTTGTGCGGCCTAAAAGTGAGGATATGCGGAGCAGAAATGAACGCTGTGTCAGAAAAATCTCAGGGGCAAAAAACCGGATTCTAGCGCATTCTAATGCCCATGTACACCATTATAATATATAAAAATGAGTTTTTCGTGAGAATGGGTTGCCAACGGCAATCGAATGGCAATCGAATGGCATTATTTTAAGCTCTGAACTGGCGGTTTGGGATCTCTTATTGGTGTGTGCAGCAAAATGTTGCTATTTGAATCGGTTATTTTGGCCTGACAACAATATTACGGCATTTCCTTGGCATTCCAATGCGATAGAATGTATAGCACTCAAGGGAGCAATCAAATCCACTTTTGGAAATCTCCGATATGAATAGTAGACCAAAAAAGGTTGTGATTTTTCAGGGGAGACCTATCGTATCATCATGACTGAGCGCGTCGTAAGATCAAGAACTAAAGCCGTAGATTATAAGTAGTAATGACTGCGCCATCTGCGCCAAAAAAAACCTTTGTTCTGTCGTAGACATAGAATCAAACAATGCAGTGGAACAAAAGAGGAACGGAAATCCAGAAAAAGCGTCTAGGGAAGTTGCCAGCAACTACCCTGAGACCAAATTGCGGAGACCATCCCGGTGAACCAGTCTACATCATCGAACGCCGGTGTCTGGAACTTGACGAGCCGACCGATTATGTTGATTGATGAGGTGGCGACGTAGAGGGAACAGCGGTACAACAGCGAGTTTCATAGCTCTGGGTCATACGTGTTAACGAGCGGACACTCGTTATCGTCTAGGCAGGTCACCGAAGGCGTTGATGGTGAAGTCGGCGGAGAGGTAGATCGTGATGAAGTTAGAGGAGTGAACGGCAATGTAGGGGACGACATCAAAGATGAGCTAGATGATGCCGCGTCCGTCGAGTACTCCGTGTCATCGTCGTCTGAAGAGAGAGATACTGACGATGTGTCACCAGTGACACATGTTGAACCCTCGGGCAGATCTTCCTCTGCCTTCTCCTGTCCTGCGCATGCGTGAACGTCGACACCAAACGAAAAATCGGCTAGGTCGCGGGGTGATGGGTCGTAGCCCCAAAGATTCAGTAGCGGCCCATCGACGATGGGCCGATCGACGTCGGAGACAATTTTACTAACAGCTAAATGAGAAGGCCGAGTCAGGCTATGCCTTAGAAATGGCTTTAGATCCGCTACTCACCCATGTGGTCAGAGCTAACCAATGCAGAGGTAGTCGACGCGGACATCGGGGAATAGAAATAGTTGCGTGTTGAGATCAGCCGGCTGATATTGTCCACTCCGCGCACCATCCCACCTTCGGGCTGGGTGAGGATGATTTGCGGAGACGCGTGAAGGCCTGGACAACGAACACAATACATCAGTGGCTGCGTCAGAAACGTGATGAAATGAAAACGCACTCTTCCTATCCGCGATGTGTTTCTCGACATCCTCTAGCTCCTGCTCGTCAAGCGTCTTGAGAATGACGCGCTTAATGATATTGATCTCCTCGTCATTGGCAGCGGGTGCCTGGCCCACGGAGAAGATCACCTCCGTGAGCTGCATAGCGATGGATAATTGGTCGCCTAGGTCACCCTCGAGCTCCTGATTAGTGTACTCGAGCGCCTGGATCTTCGACTCGAGAGACGCGACGAGCTGGTCCAAATGATGGATGTGGTCGAAGAAAGCGGTGTCGATCTCGGCGGGGTCATGAGAGGGATATAAGAGGGAATGGGGCGCGGAGGCGGAAGACGAGAAGAAAGCCTTTGGAGAGAAACCGGAGTGCACGGATAAAGTGCAAGAGGGTGATGGACAGGATAAGGAGAGTGCGGGAGTGGAAGGAGAGATAGTTACCATATTAGAAGATAGCGGTGGAGCTGATGTAGAATGCATGGGGAGGATGGGAAGAGAAGCAGACGAGGTCATTAAAGAAGGAATACGGGGAGAGCTGAGATCGTGATCGGATGAAGCTTGGGCGATCTGGGCAAGGGGTATTAAAGTAGAGGGCGATATTGAGGACGATGTATAATCCATGGAAACGATGGGGAGAGACGAGGACGAGATCAAGGGAGAAGGAATGCGGGGAGAGTTGACGACGGAATTGAAAGAGGATAGGGCGACGGGGGCAAGGAGCGAGGCAGCATGGTGATCGCGAACGCTGAAGACCTTCGATGTTCCGGTCCTCAGCTCCGCTATCACGCGTTCGAGTGCCTCCATCCGTGCGCAGACCTGCTCGTTAACATGAAGCAAGTCCTGTAACACCTGTCCAGATAGCTCCGCGCGGTCGGTCTGAACCTCGACTCGACGGTTGGCTTCGGTGAGAGCCGTCTGAAGGGCTTGGATGTCGGTGGAGGGAGAGATAGAGAGCGACGGGGGAGGGGGGAGGGCAGCTATGCTCTGCTCGGAGTAGCTCCATGCGATGGAAAGAGCCAGAAGCTTGCGTTCGACCCGACGGGTGTGGTCCCTCTGCTTGTCGCCCTCCGCCTTCTCGTTCCTCCTCCTCTCGTTGGCGTCGTACACCTGTTCCCGTAACGCCTCCACTTCCTCGTCCCGAATCCTGATGCGCTCTCGGCACCTGTCGGCCTGGATCTTGAACGCCGGACGCAACGCCGCGAGTTCGGTCTCCAAGACAGTGTTGAGTGCCTTGGTTGCACCGAGCTCGGTCGCGATGATGCGTTCGTCGAGCTCGGCGAGCTTGAGCCGCGCCTTGAGGTTGTCGAATTCGGAAGTCGTGTACGTCCTAGTGTTGACGTTAGTGGATGCTTTATTGGATTGCGACACCGAATTCAAAGACACTCACTCAGTAGGACTGGGACTTTCTTCTCCAAGGTTTGCTCCTTCGGGAGGAGCCCTGCATCGAAGGTGAGCTCGGAGTACATGACAGGACCTGCGGAGAAGGCAGTACTCACTTGGAAGTCTTTCCGCAGAGCACCATTGCCCCAACGCCAAATGCAGTGACGAGCGGATGGACGATGGCCAACGCGAGCCCAAGGGCAGCAGAGACAACGGCGAGCAGGTTGTTGAACGTGCGAGACATTGTTGGATGTTGAAGCGTCGATGAGATTTGCTGTGGGTGTGCTGAGGGCGATGTTGGAGCGAAGAGCAGGTGGTGAACTGAAGAAACTCGAAGAGCTGGCCCTCTTGATATACGTTTGGTGGTCGCATGTCAGACTGACCGCCGAGACTGAGATCTACAAACAGCCAGTCGGTCTCGAAAGGCGGGCGGTCTGATATGTTATGACACAGAGTAAGTCTAGCCTTTCAGTCAGTACTGAGATCGCAAGCGAGATTGAGACCATACGCGTACCAGAAACCGTTGACATCGAAATCTCTGATGTCATTCAAGAGTCTATGCAGAAGAGCGGGCTCCGAGAGGATTGCAGCGTCGTTGGAAACCTCATCCTACATCGGCGTGTCTAGGTCTTTGAGCCTTGACTGGGGATGGATGTTTGCGTGAGGTCGATGATGCGGCTTGGGTGGGGCATTTGGACCTCACGGACATACAGAACGGATAAGTACCCAGAGGATGAGAACGAACACTGAATGTACGCTGGTGTGATATGATGAGAGTCAAGGGGCAGATTTGTTTGCATATGTTTAGACGGCCGAGCGCTTCGTCAACGTTCAACAATCCAACATCCACTACGCACCCTTTCGCATCGACTCAATGGTAGAAGACAACTCGTCGCTCAGATTGCCTTACAAGACGTCCGACATGCTCTCACTGCCGCGGTCATAGCTTCAGCCGCCGATTGCAGAAGCTTAAAGATTGAAACATTTCCATGTTCTCTTGCGCTTTCGCGAAGCGGATAGAAACGCGTCTAAAGAAAACTACCCGCAGTTCTGCCTAAATGATTGGCCAAGTGGAATACACCAGTCAGCGACCTCGCGAGACCGCCGCTATTCATCCAGGCCAGTCCCTCATCGCGCGAGACGAAAGCGGCAAGTTGAAAAGAGTCGAATGTTAACTTAATGTTGTGAACTTGTTTGTGGCGAGCTAATTTTCCTCATCAGTCACATTAACACCTGATGCCTCTAGTGGTAACAAAGACAGCCCGCTCATTCCGCGCTGGCGCTCTCAGAGCCCCGAGCGATTCGTCCCAGTTCGCCGTTCCTCACCCTCCCACCCCTTGCCTCTTGGAGCCAGTTTTTCTTCCTAGGCCGCTACCAAAATGTCCCTGATAGCACTCGCACGCCTCCTTTTTCGCTCGCGGCTCTGGCCCTGCACCGTAACTAGTAAGCAATGCATAGGCAGGAATTCAAGTCTAAATATCTACCTTACTAATCGAATCATCATAGTCGATGCGCACATATACATGGATGACTTCAAGTTGTAGGGTGCAACTTCAAGGGAAAACGTTGTCAGTCGGTGACAGCGACGGCCACTTCGGTACCCTAGGTCCGTGTTGTCCGAGAGTTGCCTCTGTCCACTCTGTGTTATTGTAAGCCCCCTCGTGTCAAAGTTTCAGCCTGGATAGGCCTCAAAAAACGGTTGCAGCGTAGTTGACGCATCTACGGGGAAAGAGGCGGTGTATTCCGTGCTGATAGGCGTCACTGCATCAGCCACTGATGTCTTCGGAACAGTAACGGTGGCAGGCACAGCTACAGTTTGATATCATGATGATCTGTTACCCATTTCCCACACAACTGTCTTCTTAGTTGGACTAGTACCATTAGCATTAATGTTCACCATTATCCAACTGCGCTGATGTTTGGTTGACGGTCATCCTCTGACGGAGCTCTTAGATATCTTCGAACAGGAGATCTCTGTTGGCTAAGTGGTTTGCACCATCGAATACCACTTCAAAATTTGAGAGGTAATGATACGGACTTGATCATGATGGGGAACAAATCTACCGGTTGTTCAAAATTATAGTAGATGGCATCATGATTAATACTGAGGCTGTAACAAAAATCCTTCACGTAGTCATGCGAGCGCCAACAACCTAAAGATATCTTCTCCGATCAGAATATGACACTGTCCACAAACAGTGCCACGCTGCGGGGTTCGCGTACAAGAGGTCAGCGAAGGCACTTGTTGAAGAAGACCAACTCCACAACGAGGACGGACATTCAGCATGACATTTTCCTCGGATTCCCCATCCTTAAAACCTGTTGTTGTTGAATATCAGGGACTTAACTACCTTGCTAGTGAGTTAGTCTAATCAACCACAGCTGCTGTGTTCCTGATGAAGTGAACTCAATGCCGTAGTGCTCATGTTCACGGTGTTGATTTACGATTACGGTCAGTCAACATATGCTGCATTGACCTGGGTTGTGATGCCTTTTAACCTAGTTCTCAACCTGGACCAAGAGGTAAGATTGCTCGCCTCTATTTCTTGTTGATTTGTTCTTTGAAACCTGACCTTTGAGCTGAGCTGCTTTAGGTACTGCTGATATGGGTGAGAGATTGGTTCTCTTCTACATCGAACGTAGTGAGTAATGATATGGACTGCCTTATTCCCTCAGCAATACAAAATATCCCCTATGACGTATTGTTATTTCTTGGTGAGCAGTTTCATACCTCCGATTGTCTACCAAAGATAGCTGAAAATATTAAGCTTCGCTATTTTACCTTCTTCTCCCCTATGTGCGCCATGAGACAGCCCTGGTCTACTCCACAACTGCTGACCTCATCCATCAGATTGTACTTTAGTTTGTGTTGTTCCATCTGTGATTCCGCATAAGCACATTGACATTTCCCTAGTTTATGTGGCCCCCATCGTTCTGTCAGATGAAGTAAGTGAGAAGCTTAATAAATGCTGTCTGATACTTACGGGGTTGTCTCTCATAGGCGTAAGTGTGCTCACGGTTATGTCATTTTTGGTCATGATTCTGAGCTGCCAGATGTCAAACCGATTGGTGCAGTTGTTAGTCAATTTATCTTTGGTATATGGTAACTTCTCACATTCACAAGGTACTGTTATAGGCATATTCAATGAGGCCATTGTTCCAACCGCGCTGATGGTGGTCGTTCAAGGTAGATTGGGTTTTAACCGCCTAGCTTGGCTACTAATATGGATGCAGGAGTCATGACCGCTCGACTTTCTGCACTATATGAAAACTCAAAGAAAGTCGTTGTCTCTCTCAGCAGCATTTTTATCGCTTTGCAGCTGTTAAATATATCGCTTGCTATCATCGGGTCTCTCCCGCCGGATGCCTATGATTGTATGTTCCTCAATTGCAGCTGCTTTATCCTTGTCTGTTGATGGGTTTGGCTAGACCAAGAGGGAAGGTTACTTGGAACACGGGAATGTGTTTCTTCTGCTTCGAACAAATCTTCCTGGATTTTCTATATCCTCGCGAGTGGAAGTATTTGTGCGTATGAGCTGCTGCTCACTATAATGCTCATACACCGCTCAGTGGTGCATATGAGAGAGAATGGAGCGACAAGTTCCCCACCAGAGCTGATGAAAGTGATAAAGATGTTGATCGGTCAAGGTTTGATGTACTTTGTTCTGTAAGTGACTCCTCACCAGGCAAGGAACCCTTGTAACATTCACGCAAATTACTCAGGATATTCACCGATCAGGCTCTGTCCATGATAAGTTCCTTACCAAAGTTCACTACTACTGTAAGGAGCACAAAGATGACTATGAAGTGGCGTGGAGATCTTACTAATTGATACTACAATTCTAGGACTCTATAGCTGGAAATGTTCTTTCAGACATCGTTGCAGTACTCAGTGTTGGTATTTTTGGCATTTTGGGGCCGTGGCTAATTCTCTCCATTCGCCAAAATCATTTAAGCCACGTTAATGGAGGTACTAGCCTAACTAGAGGCATAGTTAGCAGTGTCGAATTCGCAGGGCCAGTGTCAGTTCTCAGTGAACCAGAGACAACAACCAATGTGGCACCTTTTCAAGGGCAAAACAGCGAAACCTGACGGCGAGGAGATAGCTGTCGGCACTCCAGCACACAATACCAAGGAACAAATCCTCCCCTGTATCTAATTGTCCTGTACAGGCTCCGAAACCGTTGTAGTGATGAGCCCAATTATAACTTGACTGCCGGAATTTCTTCTTCTTGAGTTTACTATAGATCTCTTGTTCTTACAGTGTCCCAGTTGTCTATCATATGAAAACCGTGTATGCCGCGCTAAATATGCTTTATGTATTACCATAGTAGATCTCGAATTTCCGAGTTTTATATTAGTATGTACGAATAGAAGAGTTGGTATCAGTACCTTAAGGAAGATACGGTGTGGTGACATGGACAAACGTTCAGACTTGAGTGACGAAGCGCCTCTAGGCAACCATATGTCGGAGTCTGTAGGTAGGGTCTAGCGACAAGAAACCGGACTCATGTCATGTCACATGTACGGCGAGCTCAAAGGCCTTTGGTGACGGCGGTCTCACTTCATAATGAAATTTTGAGAGGTGCCATACGTCTACTTCTGCAACATGGCAAATGGCCTATAGGTTGTCCGCCAGTTTCAGCTCGGTGCGGGACGGCGTTTTACATGTCACCGAGGGACGCGGGGATGGCATAGAGAATCACGGCTCTTTGAGCAAAGCCTGAGCCTGAATATTCGCAGGAGCCGGATGGATATGAGGACGAGGGCCATGTCGAACATGTGCGCGATACGTCATATTGTACGTATACCTGGTACGTGATTCGAGTCAACACTAACTTTGCGTTGGAAATGCGAGAGGAATAAGAATTGAGATAGCCGCCAGACTCGATGCTAATACGCACTCACATCAATCAAGTCGCTCAAGATGCACCTAGTATTCTGGTGGTTCAACGTGTATGTATCCCTCCAGGGTCAATGATGGTGTACAACGTGACCACCCTGTTCATCGCGATTGGCCGTTTAGATCATAGCGAGCGCCAGGAATGCTCGCGCTCAGCATAAGTGGCATAGAGGGGTGGATGAGCTCAGACTCCCTGGGTGCTAATCCTGACTAAGACGTGCGCAGATCTTCGTATGGATGACCGTCACCGGTTAGAGCGGGAACCAAGGCTATCAAATGGTCACCCTTGGTGCGCTCACGATACGTTGACGGTCTCGGCGCCGGGGTTGGGCTGGATCCAGACACATAGACCAGAAGGGCCTAGAGCGTTAACCGCGGTCGAGTAGTTGATATGCGTATAGCGAACAACCTCAACAGAGGGTCGCGCTCTCATATAAGGATTGAAAGATAACAACCCATATGTCGCACTACAGTGTACGACCTCGCAAACCTATAAATCAGTTACAGTAGCGAGAGTTCTAAAATCAAGAGCCTTCCTCAAAACTGCTGATAGCATCAATTTGATGCACCAGGGCGAGATCGCCCCTGCAGATTAGCGTGTCCAAAAGCGACGGCCACCACGGCTCACAACATGATTATGAGGAGGCTCCGTGGCTAGATAGGTCAAATGAAGGAGCGGGAAGCTAGCAACAAAAAGGCGCGTGCAAGCTAAACATTAGAACTAGAATTTATAGCTGTAGAGTCAGTTGTAATATCGGTCAAGTTTGCCGCGTCCGTGGCCGAAGATAGCACCATGCCCGAGCTCAGGCAGGTATTCAGGTCGACGGTGGTGAACGTTACCCCGTTGTTGTTGTTGGACGCAGAGGCCGGGGAAGCTCGATGCCGCAGTCGGTCTTTTTTAGCGTGTCCGAACAGACGCCACGACCATGACGTGATAACGAACATGTTCGAGATGGTGAGAGCAAATGCAGGCTGGAGTCGCGTTAGCTGCGCTTTTGTGTACAAAAAATGAGTGAGCAAGTGACCTTGAGGTTCATAGTCAAGAGGCCTAGTCTCCCCCTCGGAAGGATAACTTCGACCGAGTCAAAAACGATAGCTGCTGTGATGACAGCTGTAGAGATGCAGACTGCAACGAGTGTCATCTTGCGGTCCCGAGGCAACTTGGAGGCGCCGAATGACCATATGGGCAGTGCGACGAGCGCCACATCGCATACGAGCGCGGCTAGGGGCAGAATGTGATCAGCGACATATCAAAAGCAGTGAATGGACAACCATAGCAATCCTTACCAACGATCTGCAATATTCCCGTTAGCTGATCGGAGCTGCATGACGCATGCGCACAGCGGATCATTCGCTGCACGAAGATCACGACCCAGCACACGACGAAGCAGACCGCCGTCGCGCACGCGACGCGCCGCTGTAGGGACTTGGGAGTTGTCATGCGGATGATCGAGCACAGAATGCTCATGCGCGCCATCCTGTCGGCCCATTAGCAGTGAGGAATAGAGCGACAGAAGTCAAAACATGCATGGCGTACCAAACGACATCTTCGGGTAGCGATGCAGCTACGTAAAGCAGGGGTGGTGACCAGGAGGACTCGAGCTCTGCGAAGTTGGCCCGGAGATGTCCGTGAGAATACATCGTCGCGCCAAGGAACGGGAATAGGAGAGCAGGAGAGGAGGAAAAGTTGAAGTGGCTAAGACTCACGTCCGTATGGCCAGTGAACCCAGACGAGTGCGAGGCAGATACAGTCTCCCGCGAGCGCGAGTGCAGCGCATGCGTCTTCAAGCCAGAAGCGTCGAGTGTGCAGGCGGTAGGAGAGTCGGAAGGATGTGGAGAGAATGGCGAGGACGTGGAAGACCGTACAGACGGCTGGACAATATCATGGATGTGGGATAAAACAGCGATGATTGTATGCGAGTTGGCGTTCAACACAGAGATTTACATACAATGGGTACAGTGTACAAGCCAACGCACCTCGCTGAAGGGCTGTCCACTCCAGATCAACCGTCGTCGTCATTTGTTGTGTGCCAGTGAATAAGCCAGTGTGTGTCGGTCAGGCAAAGTCGGAGCTCAACAACGCGAGCGTGAGAGTTGCCGAGTACCATACGATGGAAGACTAGGTCCAAGATGCGGCCCAGTGCGGGCACAGCGACAATATTAGTATGATTATCCACACCTCCTAAATTTCCATGGGACAGGAGAAGCTCTCTAGGGGCGCTGAAAGTACGTAAGTGGCTGTGCACCCGCCCCCAACAAAGTTTAGCGCCCGACGGTAACCAAGGAGAGGTTCATTCTTTCAAGCTTCTTCAAGTGTGCTTCATGCACGGTGTTTGTGGATGGAGCGGCTTCGCCTTGCTTCCAGAAAGGCAGGCACGAATCATGAAGAACATCAGACGGAGAGATGACCGGGAAGCACTGGATGGTGAAGTGGTGAACGGAAATCGGAGCGCGTGTAAGAAGACTGGGCGCCGAAGATTTTTGGCAAACGTAAATTTGCTTTAACCTCGCATCTGTATTGCTACAGTGACCTCCACGTGACGAACGTGCCTCGAGGCGGGAAGTGCACAAAACATGTATTCATACGCCTGCACAAGGCAATTCGTCTCGTTTGTAGTTGTCCTGGTTGCATCAAGTTGGCCGAGGCGGCAGTTCTTTTCATGGCCAAGACGCGCTGGAGACGCGGTCTAGATCGGCGCTATACGACCCTAAGGCTCAGCTGGAGAGCACCCTAAGAGCCACTCCGGTGAGCATAATACGCAAAGTCTCCATCTCATTCGTTGTCGCGACATACCTGGCTCCTTGAGATAAATGGAATAGGATTTTATTCATGGAGCCAGCGTTAGCTCGACGAACTCAGAGTAGAAAGGAAAGAAGCCAGAGCCTTCCAAGGTTCCCCCCCTGATCGATGAAGGTCAGCAGTCTGAGCCAAGAGTGTCGTTTAGTCCTGTTACTACGATACTAAAGGAGCCAACTTACGACGACATTACAAAGGTTTTGCCAATTCGTGCGAAGTGCAGGTTTAACGTATTCAACCTTTGTGCCTTGAAACGATACACGGATTTCTAACATCTCAACCAAGTGGAACTCTCCGATATGAAAAGCCCTCAAGATGAACTGAGCGGCGACCTTGCCTCGAGGCCCAGGTAGTAAACTTAAGTCCAGACCAACCTGCGCGTACTTATAGACGCACCTGCAAATAACTGAGACCTTATCAGCGTTGTGAGGGACACAGACGAACCACTATCCGGGTAAACCGCTTCGTCGATGTACTTGGTACTCTTTGGTACTCCACAGTTATCAATATTACTACTATATTACTGTAATAACATCGCCATGCGCAATGGACGATGCTGTCCCTGTGAGAGCCAGATCTCCGACGGAACAACGCTCTTCCGCATAATGAACAGGATCCCGCCGCTCGACGTTGCCCGAGTCTATTTGCGCGTGCGCCAAAACCAGTATCCGTCTTAGGGTTGACGTAATGTCGAGAACGATGCATCGTCTAACGCAACTGGAAAACACACAAACAGTGGCTTATTTTTGGTCTTGCCAGTGGGCACTGGGCAACCCATAAGCAATGCTACAAGTACTGCACTGGTGGGTTAGTAGATCACGAACAAGCCTGAGCATCGCACCGGTGATCATCCAGTTTTCCCAACGTAGCTTATCTCTACCAACGATGCGCACATCGCACCGCACATCAGCTCTCCACATAAAACTGTGGCGAATCAGTGGAACCGGGCCCCACCGCAGATGTCATCGATATCCGCGCAGGTACCTGCACGCGAGCACCGTGGGTTCGAGCTTTGTATGCAGCGTTCCTGACCATCTCCCCCCGCTTTCACGGAGTTGGCTAGCATTGGCGGAAGCTGATTCCCACTGCTCATTCGTAGATCATTCTGAATAGAAAAAAATAATGAGCGACTTGAAATCGAGCTAAAGAGGTGCACGAAAAACACACCGGGATATTCTGCGCCGATACTGTACTTATTAGCCTCAGCGTCAAAATGCACGTCAGTCGTCCAGGAACGCAGCGCCACAGATATGAAGGTTTGCACAGGCACCGAGAACCAGTGGACACCGACCAAGAGCAAAAGGCTTATCTACATCCACTAAGTTCAGTGCACGTAAGCTTCTGATCCGTCCAGAAAGGCCGCCGAATGCGAAAGCAGACCCATCGAGACACAAGCGGGAGCCAGAATGAAGGCCCACAAGAGTCCCATCAAAGTCCCATCGGCGCCCCACCACACAAGCGTACACGACGATCGCATAAACTTCCAGACGCGTAGGTATTTTCTAAAATTTGGTTCCTTCCTGCGTGATCCTCTTCCCCGCGATCATTACAAGAACCCTCCAAGCTCGGCACGCTCTGAGCGCCGCGGACGATTCTCGCGCATCGTTGCTCATCAGGCGATACTGAACCGAAGAGCAAAGAGCAATCGAGAGCAACTGACAGCCGACATGAAAGGGAAACGCAGACAGCCCGACGGCCCCAGCCGGCCACCGGGCGAAGCACATGGTCCGAACGTTGTCTCGCGAGCACCTGCGCGTGGCGCGCTCGCCTCTTTGATAGCGCTGTCTTCGGGCGCGTGCGAAGTGCCGCTGAGTTCGAATAGCGTTTAAACTCAGCTCGAAAGTGTTTGACGCCCTCAAACTTGGGACGGTTATGTCGCGCGAACAATGCATGCATGAGTTGATGAATAACTAAATTCCTATGTACGCCTGCATCGAGCAGTAACAAATCTGTCAAACGCAAGCCCAAGCTCGAGCTCGAGCTCAAAAAACAAATGAAGAAAGCAACGTATCCTGCGCTTGCGAAGCCGAAACCGCATTAGCACTGGCAAGCTCAGCTTTCCTTCTCCTTCTCCTCCGCTTCCGCATCGCCCGCGCCCTTACGCTCCTCCGACTCATCATGCGCATGTACCCCCTCGTCCGTAATGTCGCTCTCCGGCGGATGATCCGCAGCGTGTGCGCCCGCCGCTGCCTCGTCGAGCGCCTCGGTATGCGCCTTTTCCTTCGCGGGACTCGGCGCGATATCGCCTTCTTCCATCGGGACCTCCAGCTCGTCTTTGGCGGGGGGAGTAGTCGGCGCTGGAGCCTCGTCAGCCGGTGCGGTTTCCGGCGCGGCTGACGCGTCCGGAGCAGGTTCTATCTCGGCTAGTGGCGCTTCGGTGATGATTGTAGGTCCTTCGGCGCTGGCATCCTCAGCGTCTGCCGGCGCAGCAGCTGACGAGTCTGTCGAATGTTCTGCTGATGGTGCTTCTTCTTCTTCCTCGGCCTTCTCCTCAGCCTCTGCGCCCGCATCCGCACTCGCCTCCGCCTCCGCCACCGCCTCCGCACCTATACCCGCGAGCGTCATCGCCGGCAGCTCCTCCAGCGGCGGGGAGCTCGTTCCAGCGCCCGCGGCCTCGACGATCTCATCGACCTCGTCAACATGACCCTCAACCTCGCCCTCTCCGTCCTCATCATCGTCATCATCCATATCGTCGCCATACTCGTCTGCATCCCCAGGCACATCCAACGCGCTGATATCCTCCGGCGCACCCGCATCGCGCCACGAGCCGTCCTCCATCTGCGGAAGATGCCCCCTTATCGTTCCTGCCGCACTCGCATGCGAATGCGGCAGCGACACAGCAGGAGCTTGAGTTTGAGAGGGCGACTGGTCGAGCAACGTGCTGCCACCCGAGGAGGCGGGGCTCGCCGAGCCCTTGGCGAGCTCCTCCGCGACCGCGTAGCCCTCGCTGAAGATCATCGTGTCCGTGCGACTGCGCCCCATCCGGCGCGGGCTGTCCGTCCCGACCTTGTCGTACCCTGACGCGGGGCTCTTGGGCGCGAGTACGCTCGCGGGGTGCTCTCCCCGCCCCTCCGCCCCGCCCTGCGCCTCTGAAGTTTGATGGTCGCCCGCCTCATGCGACACAGCCGCACTCGCGAGCTTCGGCGGCTCGACGCCTTCCCCGTCCTTACCGTGTGCGTCGGGGGAGACGGCATGCTCGGGGATGACGAGGAACTCGGCGGGGACGAGGTCGAATTGAGAGGTGAGTTTGAGGAAGCGGGCGTAGAGCGAGGACTCGGCTTCGGCCTGCTCGAAGGCCTCGCGATGGTGGAAGTAGGCGTGCGCGAAGATGCGGCCGAGGCGCCGCGCGAGGGAGGAGAAGTGGCGGTACGAGGTTTGCGGGATAGAGAGACTGTGGGAGGGCGGAGGTGTTAGAGTTTAATGGATCATCAAATCATTGGATCAGGTTGAGGGTTCAAGGGGAATGGAGAATCAGGGGGCATGAAGGGGTGGGTATGTGCTAGAGAGCAATATGAGGGACATACCGAGATGGGAACGCACGCGGAGAGTTGAGGAGTGCCGTCGCGCTGTCGAGGGTATGGAGGATATAGTCGATCGCGCAACATTGCTGCGTTCGACACCAGAATTCGAGGAAGTCGCGAAGCAGAAGCAACAGACCCAGAAGCCAGAACAAAAGAGCAGAAATGAACGGGTCAAGCCGAGCAAGATTGACAGCAGAGCAGAAGACTGACCTCCATAGCGCCGTCATTACCGTGGGCAACGCACAAATAGAGCCATTCGCCCGCCTTCATCTCGCGGCACGACACCCGGGTGCACTCCTGCTGGAGCATGGTAATGAGCGGGTGGGTGAGGTCCTGTGCGAGCCGGCTGAGGCGCACATAGCACCATGTTAGCTTGGAGAGACACAGCGGGCATGTGAGTGACGCACCGGAGATGTTCGTATATCCAGCACGCGCGGTCGACGGCCATCTCGCTCTTTCTGTCGCCATCCTTGTCGTCGCCTTTGGCCTCGTCCGCGTCTATTATCGTCTTCTCATCGGCATTGTGCCGTTCGGGGAGAGCGACGATCCTGTCGACGTCGTGTACGTCGTGTCGGATGAGAAGGGATATGTACTCCTGGATCTGGAATGCGGATTCGAGAGAGGCGAGGGACGGAAGGGACTTGACGGGGTAGAAGGAGGCGACGCGGGAGCCGCGCATGGGCCGCTGTATGGTCGTCGTCACTGTCGTTGTGCTCATCGTGGTCGTGTAGGGCGGGGGAGGCGCGTCGGCTTCAGACTCGAGACTGCTGCTGCCTTGTGTCAAACACTCGACGTGTTGAAGTTCCCAGAGGATGCCGACAGTCTGCCGAAGCGGCGCCTCAAATTTGCGGAGGCATTGAGATCCGAGTTGACCGATCAGGGACCAAAAGGGCTCAGAAGATAAGGAAAAGAGATGGGCCCCTGATGATGACAGATGACAGATATGTTTATCCGCTCCGGCAATTTTTGCTAATGCGAGCTTGTCTTTCTCTGCTCGACCCAACTCTCTTTAGCCACACACTCCCTTATAATATCTATCCCCGGCCACACCCACCTCCGCTCTTTTTTAGCCCCTCTCCCTTTCTCCCCAACACTAGGCCCTCAGCCGCCACACCCAGGCGAGCCCCGATACCATGGCCGACGAGAAGCACATCAACATCGACGTGGAAAAGGCCTCGGCCGCCGACTCCGGTGCTTCCTCGCCCCAGTCTGCCGCCCTCGCTGCCCTCCCGAGCGACTCCCCTGCCGTCTTTAAGCAGGGTTGGGCAAAGCGTCTCCTTACCTGGGGCATCGAGTCTCGCGGTTCGTTCTCCTTATATTGCGTGGTCTGCACGCAAGCTAATGATGATCCCGCCACGCAGGCATCGTGCCAGTGTCGGCCTCAGAACGGACAGACACCAAGTTCTTCAAGATCTTCTTTGTCTGGTTTTCGATAAATTTCAATATTCTTTCGTCAGTTTACCGACATATATATGTGTGTGATCCTTGCTCTGACTGACTACTATCCACTGCAGCTTCTCGACGGGTGGACTGGGTCCCGTCGCATTCGGTCTTGGCCTTCGTGATACCTCCCTTACTATCTTATTCTTCAATCTTATTGCATGTCTTCTCCCTGCTTACATGTTTGTCTCCCGTCTCCAATTTTCATTTCGCCTCTGCTCACCATCCTCTCCGCAGGAACACATGGGGACCCAAGACCGGTATGCGGCAGATGGTCCACTCGCGTTATAGTTTCGGGTGCGTTCGCTTTCAATTCGCTTGTTACGCGAGCAACTTATTTACTGTTCATCGGATGATCAGCTACTTCGGCATCATGCTCCCCGTCCTCCTTAACCTCATCAGTCTGTGTGGCTTCAACATTCTCAACTGTATTCTCGGCGGCCAGGCTCTATCCGCAGTAACGGATAACCAAATGAGCTGGACGTGAGTATGGTTGATTTTCATACCGATTTTCCCTCGCTCACCCGCATCACCGACATCATCCAGCGTCGGCATCGTGATCATCGTGATCATTTCGCTAATCGTGAGTATTTCGCTTCCCCCCGCCTTCCATCATGCATCCGCCCATTTTTCTCACATTTAATGGTGCCGTTTTAGCTCTGCTTCATGGGCTACACTGTCCTGCTGTGGTTCGAGCGCATCGCGTGGTTCCCCACCCTGCTCGCCTTCCTCGTCGCTCTCGGCCTTGGCGGCAAGAACCTCTTCAATGGCCAGCCGGTCGAGCCCGCCACGGCTGTCACGATCTTGTCGTTTGGCGCCGTGATCGCGGGCTTTGTGATCACGTTTGCTGGAATGGCGTCCGACTTTACGATGTACTTCAAGCCGGATGTTTCTAGGTGAGTCTACTGCCCCATAATCTACAGTGTGCGTGCACGCCGTACTGACGCATCGGTGATTCCGTATCGCAGGACGAAGATCTTCTGGTACGCGTACATCGGCTACCTCCTTCCCATTGTGCGTACTGCGCCCTCTCCACAATTCTATGCCATCTTCTCACGCCCTGATTTTGGCTTTATGGCTCTGGTGCTCTTATCTTCCGCCTTGCAAACATCTCTCCAATTCACCATCTCACCATTTCGCGACCGCTATCGTCGAACCAAAAACGCAGGTCACGCTTGAAGTCTTCGGCGCCGCAGCGGCCATCGCCGCGCCGACGATCCCGAGCTGGAACGACGGCTACGGCACGGAGGGCAACGTCGGTGGTCTGCTTAACGCAATGCTGAGCCCCGTCGGGCGGTTCGGCAAGTTCCTGACGGTGATGCTGAGTCTGAGCGTGGCGAGCAACATCGCGGCGACGCTCTACTCGATCTGCTTCAACTTCCAGATCCTCATTCCGCCGCTCTCGAGGGTGCCGCGATACGTGTTCTCGGTCGTCGGGTCTGCGATGTGCGTCTTTCATTTTGGTTTTTATCACGCATCGATGGGCGTTATGAAGTTATTGATGCTGATGCTTTAATGTCGCGCCACACAGTGCTCTCCCGATCGCCATCGTCGGCGCCCACCGGTTCTACGAGGCGCTCACCAACTTCCTCTCCTTGATCGGCTACTGGGCCTCCGCGTACTGCGGCATCCTCATCGTCGAGCACCACTACTTCCGGCGCAACGACTTCAGCACATACGACCAGCGCGACTGGGATGTGCCCGGTCGGCTGCCGTGGGGCGCGGCGGCGCTCGGTGCCGGGATTCTGAGCTTTGCGCTGATTATCCCGTGTATGAACCAGATTTGGTTTGTGGGCCCGATTGGCGCTGTGACGGGCGATATTGGGTTCGAGGTTGCGTTTCCGCTTGCGGCGGTGTTGTATATCCCGTTGAGGAAGATGGAGTTGAGGTATCAGAGGATTCCGGAGCGGGATGAGTGAGTGTGGGGTGGGGTTGGGAGGGATACCTTGGTGGACAATGTATCTCTGCGTACTGGTGTCCGTGCCGCACATCACACGTACTAACTTTACATACGTGCATGCGACTGTAGATACCTGGATCTGGATCTGTTAGGCTGTGCGGTAAGCGCGCTGGACGGATGGTTTTGGATTTATCTTACATACTATCTGTTGTTTGTTGTTTTTGTTATACGGATCGTCCTCAATATTCTCGTCGATGTAGCGCATTCCTGTCTCGTCGACGTCGAGGTTTTGTCGAACATAATACGTGTCCCAAGACAAAATTGGATACAAGAAAAGGGAGGGTGTTCATATTCGTGAAAATCGCAGGAAGGAGAAAGGCGGAAGGAGACAAGCCACCGTAGCCAGGACTGAGTATGGCGTCAGCTTGGAACCAATTTAGTGTCTCCAACTGTATGATCTCCGACAAGTACTTGGTGTGTAATACAGCCGATAGGCCGCTTGCTCAGGCAATATTACGTGAAAGGAAAGAACAACGGTAGGATACCTGTTTCCTTCGTCCCCAGGAACGAACTATCTAAGCTACTGTATCCGGGCGGGCGAAGGGCATTGGGCAAAACAATGGGACCTTACCTTAGCAAAAGGCTTCGTACAGCTCTATCCAGCTAACTTTGTGCGAGTGGACGAGACTGTAGACTGAGAACACTCTGATTGCACGTGTTTGAAACTTTTACTCAACTCGAGGGCCGAAGAGGTATCAACTTTTTTGGGATATTATAAGGGTCCGTCTCCGCGATGTTTCTGCCCATGAGCTGAAGGTCGATAGCGAAGTGCTAACCCTAACACTCAGATACATTTCTGCCCAATACGAGGAAAAGCATGAATATACGAGTATTAAGAATAATACCAGTTTTTCTGGGCGTGCATGTTGATGCGTCGGATGTGGGACTCGTAAAACGGGGGTTAGATTAATATTTGCTATGGTAACACATATTCTTTAGCAAGGAGGGGGCTTAAACAGTGATTATGTAATACCTAATTGCAGCAGTCTAAGTACGTACAAGGGATCTACGGTGAATTCAAGAAATGGCAACAGTTATATTCAAGCTCTGATTGAGCTGCTAATTAAGGAAATGGTCTCGAAACTGGTAGAGGATGATTCGACATATGGGAGAACCAGATAATATGCTAGCCTATGCTGGAGTGCTGCCAGATATCGCCTTCAATAGGCTATGTTGGTTCGTCCCCGAAAAGGCGCAATGTTTGTTGACATCTCTATCTCGCTAAGAATTGATAAATGCCCTCCAAATGCAATAGCACTGACTGTGCCTGCAGTGATGCTTGTACCTCCCGTCATATGAGCCATGTGGTTTCGACGAATAGATAGAATTAGCCATGGCCCTAAAATGCAAGGGAGCGCAACATTGAGGATAATGTTGAGTTCAATAAGGTTATTGTTCACTGAATCCTAGAATTGTAGCATTGTTCGGTGAGGTCTCCACACAATAATATAATTGTTTTTGTGCTGCTTACAGAGATGAGGAGCTGTGGTATGTTCCCAACTGTGGACAATACCTCATATGCAATTATCCTAGACCACAAAGTTTACTGTGGTATCGTAGAAAGTGAAGAGACTCACTTACAATACAAAGTACAGTAGACCCTGACCCAATAACATATTTATCAAGCCTTTTAGTCCTGATGTGGGACTCGGCCTTCTGTTCTCTCTCAAGTACGTCACTGAGCGGTAGACAAACAGTGTCACGAGTAGCAGCTCATACGCGCACACACCGACATTTCCAAGGACATTGAAAATCCAAGGTAAGGACTTCTTTGGAGCCCAATAGTTGCACTGCCGTATGTCATTTATTTCTCCTTCTGGCCCTGACCAAAACAGTTCATCAACAAGCATAATTCGCGTGTGATTGAGATACGCACCAGTATATAAGGAAGTTTGTAGAGACACTATGATGTTAAATGAAACAACTAACAGCTGTGTGATGATGAAAGCGCTGGAGAAAAAGATGACAACTTTTTTTGAGCTTCCGTAGAGCGTACAAACTCGGGCGGTCATGACTCCTGCAACTCCCGTTTTAGCTGATGAACTCGATAAGTAATATCTAACAATACCTTGAATGACCAGTATCAGCACTGTTGGCAAATATTCACCAATTAATACACCCGTAATGAAGCCTTGTAATTGCGAGGATCAATATTTTTATCGCAATTCAAGAGGGCATGACTTACACCTGCACAAGCGGGTTTGCCATTTGGCAGATCGGCATGATGTCCGAACACGAGAAGACCGTAAGCAGACTCACGTCTATGAGAGTCACGCCCATCAATGTCAGTTGAAAAAAGCTGAACTGCCCACTTACTTTCTCTGACAGGACGATGGGGGCCATATAAACTGTGGGAATGTTAGCCTTGAAATTGTGCAAAATCACAAGTGGAAAGACACAAACAAATATACAGTCTGATGGATGATCCGAAGGTTAGCATTTATGGAACAGCCAAGCCGGTGACATGGTGGCACACATAGGAAGCAGGAGGCCAACATAGCGAAGCTTCAAAATCTCAATCGTCTCTGATGAAAAACTGAGGGTACTATGCAGATTACTCACCGTGAAATAACAATATGTAATGGTGGATCTTCTATATTGCTGAGGTATCAAAGCAACGCAAATTACCATTGGCTTTCTGCAGTGTTGAAGAGAACCAAGTATTCACCCATATCAGCGACACCTAACACGGTTCACTTCAAAGTACAGCGCTTTCATTGCAAAGGTCCTCACCTCTTCGTCTAAGCTGAGAACTAATAGACCACAACCATAAGTCGAACAAGGCCGGCACCTTCGCTCCGCTCCGGGTTTGCTCACATGATTACTATTCCCAGCTTGGCGCTGGCATTGTACATATTTGGTACCTCGTTGGTATCAGGTATCTCGTCTCGGTGTTAGTACGCATTATATGGAATAAGAAAGTTATCACCGAAGCCTTACGACGTCGCGTATACGATTCGGACCATGGTTGTATTACAGGATACCTTCATGCTAAAACATTCGAACAAAACAAACTTAGTATTGTTTTACTCTCGTGACCTATGAACAGCCTAATACGGATGCTTAGCGCTTTCCTTGCGTATCACTAGCTACGAAATGAAGCCTGAAAATCGATAGTAAGACATATGCAAGCACGAATTGAGATGAAAGAATACGTACCACGCAGCATGCACCGTGGCTTGAACATAAGCTTCCACACCGGTACGAACTCCATGAGCGAAAGCAGCATTAGAAACAATACTGCAACCGTCGTACTGAAATGCAATCGTACTACACTCTGATTGACAGTGTTCGAATATCGCCGCGCTTCGCATCTTAAAGGAGTCCGTGCACGTAAATGTACCCATCATGTAAGTCTCCCCGTACTGCGTGACGTCTATGGCTAACACGTAGTTTGCCAAATGGTGGTTAAAGGCAGCGTTATCAAGAGAGGATGGTGCATCTTTGGCGACGAGGGGGTAGACGTTTTCTTGAGTAAACAGAAACACGGCCGCAGCGAGCCGAACCGCTAGCGAAGGCACCCCGTTAGCACCGATATAGAAGTGAATAGTGGGATGGCCGATGAGCAGCGGATCGGTCCATATAGTGAGGAAAGGGAAGGATTCTGCAACAGGAAGAGCCAAAGGACGGACAACGGGCTAGCGCAAACGTAAGCCACGGATCTATATACCCAACGCACACGACAAACCTCCTTCAAAAGCTTCCCCATGAACTCCGAATACGCTGGCCAATGTTCGTGACTCTTTCCCACAAATGCGACAGTCGCGCCTAAGGCCTCATGGGCGGAGACATCATCTAACAAACGAGGCGGAAAGTTATCCTCCGCGGTATCCTCTACATTAGTATAGCCCTTATCTGCACCGGTATGGGATTGTCAGTGTCAAAGGATATAGTTCAACAATGTTATTGAACTTACGGGACCATTTCAGAAGGGCCAATAAGGGATGTACGGTAGTCATATCGAGTGTTCTTAGTGATTCAAGCTTCAGTCGATGTACACGTAGGTCGTTGAGGGAGGGAAAATCGCGCTAAGAAAAAGCGGGCGCACAAAGAGGTAAAGAGCGAAGAACCGTCGTTACTTGAATACATGCGGTGGTTAAAAATAAAGAGCAGAGGCGCCGATCTCAGGGTGAACAGCTCCGCAGCAATGTGGGAACATCTAGTGCAGTGTTTCAACTACCTAATCAGGATCGCATTGCGCCTCCTCATATCCGGCCCTAAAGCAAGTCGGAATGTTTCCCCAAACGTTCCATTCTGAAATGCGATTGCGTGAATCGAATCATGATTTCGCTCAATTATACTAGAGGATCCAAATTTTCTTTGAGATTGAGATGTTCGTCAAGTAGGATAAGTGGAGACTTATGTATCATAATCGTGCAGCAATAACCGTATCGATAGCTACACTACCCATTCGCTATGTCTTTGACTATGCGCCATGTAAGAAATTGGAGAACAAAATTTTCTAGGAAGTTTCGATAGGAGAATCATTAGCGAAGAAAAGCCTGCACGAACAATTAAGTAATCACAGGCAAAATAAAAGTGAATTCGGACTAACCAAGCGGCATTAACAACCAGCGCCGCACAACGTTCAGCGCCGACAAAAGGCTGTCCGAAAAACGAGAGATTCGCAGCGACAGCGCATTCGAGGTATCGAAATATACGAGGAGTGGGACGTTCTTCACTCACACGCCAAATGTCGACAGCACGCTGTCGCAGAAAACCCGAACATACGAATGTACCCGTTAAGTATTCATTGTTGTAGGATGTGACGTGGACGTATTGAACGAAATTTGCTAGGACGTGGTCCAATGATATATCCGCAGGGAGGGTCAGTGAATTGACGGAGCCAGCGTCGATGAAATATCTGGCAAAGAGATATATGGCGGCGGCGAGGCGGATACTGAAGGATTTGATACCAACAACCCCAGCAACGTAGAAGTGAACAACAACAGGACCGTTATCGGAAAGTTGTTGCCACACGGTAAGGAAGGGAAAGGCTTCGGGAGGTGGCAGGATCTCAGGAAACTCAGAAAGCTTATGCCTGTCAGCGTTCAAATAAGACCAAGTTAAACGCTACTTACTTCACCGAATGCTGTATACAGGAACTTAGCATACGACGCCCATCCAACGTATCCTTCACCCAGCAAGCCGACTGATACTGCCAACACTTCCGATGTAGGAGAGGCCATAATCTGGCTAGGAATGACGAAGTTATCCGCGCCTTAATATCGATTAGCTTGTCTGGAAAACATAATCACATATACGAACAACTTACCGTCAGCATTGGGCAACGAAACTGGACCAGAAAAATTGGCCATTGTGAGAGTGGTTAAGGTACTTGACTATGGATGAAGTGGGGCTCCGAAAATATGCACGCACGCATGCGACAAAATGGAACCAAGTTCAAATAAGTGACGGTAACGAACCGTGTGTCACGGCCCTCGTGGACAATTTAAGCGAATTCGCAACACAGCGTATATAGAATAACACAGTCACTCAGTACGTCAAGGTCACGCTAACAGCCTATGCTTCCGACGGAAGGATCCCGGCTAGGAAAACAACAGTGTAACATGCTTCCGAGACAAACCCCAACATTTTCATTCTTAACATCAAAGAAAGACATATAGACCGTTACTTCGTTCCCGATTCGAGGCTTCCGAGGACTAGAAGTCAACTGATGAACAGGTATGATGAACAATATGCTCGTGTAGATTCTACAGCGAAAGGCAACGTTTCATATATGTTCGAACGACATTAACATCCAAAACAGTCATTTGTGCAACATGAGTTTACTTTATGATTTGAAAGAAAGAAAGAAAAGACCAAGTATCAATTGGTAGCGAATCGAGCAGCGTTAAGCGTACTTTGAACATATAAATCTGTGGTATATACGGCATACTTCCGGAACGCGTCGTTGAGAAGTATGCCATTCCCGTCATACTGAAGCGAACCCTTAGACTCGGAGGGATTCGCATCACGAAGAGCCAGTAGACCGTCTCTCCATCTCCGTAACCCATCCGAACATACAATAGTACCCATCAAACACTCGTCTCCGTCATAGTTAACACGAATATCAATAGAATTGAAATCCCAAGTCAAACCATGGTTGGAAACCGCGGAACGGAAATGCTCCTCTGCGAAGATAAAAGCAGCGGCGGCAAGACATACACTTGACAGGCATATACCATTGCAACCAACATAGAAATGTACGTTGGATTGACCAGGTAGCGCAGCAGAATGCCACACAAATAAAAGCGGAAACGTGCCAATAGGCGGTAAGACCGACAGGTAACCAGAGGGCTTATTAATATTCGATTAGCATGTCTACAACGCATAGGCGTGTGCATTAACGCACCTCTCGGTGCATAGTATTCACAAACTGAGCAAAGTACTTCCAACCAGGAGCACCATGACCATTACTATTGAGACCAATAGTCAAGGCCAGTACATTCAACATAGTCCTCCTCCAAAGAGTACCCGTACAACCATGCGAAGCTTGACTGATTCCCTCGCCGCTACGTTCTGCACGAAAAATATAGTAAAATTGAACAGCATGAAGATTGATTGGAGTAAATACCTTTCATGGCTAGAGAATCCGTCCGATGTTTCTCGTCTTATCTTCGCAGAACGAAGTTGTGAGTAGTCGACGGAGAGTTGTAAAAGAGGGTAGCAAATAAAGACACAAAACCGCCAATCGGAATTTGAGAACGGGCACTAATCAGGAACTCATTCAATCACAAAAGGAAAAGGTTACGTGTTCTGATTCGGGCGTAGCCTTTACGGCAATTGAAACTCAGAGACAGCGTGTTCCTAACCCGAATAGCAACCACCGAGTTTAAACAGCAGGCATAAACCATAGGGTGCAGATATACCGGCTTATATATACGCTACGATTGTAATATCAACGGGGGGATAACGCCAGCTGAGTATCAATAATATCTTAGTGGCAATCAGATAGTGTTATTTCGCCTTGTGATTACTCTAACATTCGGAAGCAAGGAGACGTATGTACACGCTCCCAAACTAAGTTATCGGAATTCGGAAGCCTGATGCATCACATCCGGATTCCGTTTACATAGTTTGAGAGTGTGTACACAGATAACGACTTTAATGTGGCAATGGGAAGTAAATTGAAAGTCCGATGATTGAACTTATATCCCACGTGGTTTCTGCGCCAGGCTGGCAAGCGTTTCGCGACTGGCGCTTATTCACACGTGGAATTAGCCGAAAGGCAATGCAGAACAATGCTCGGACTAATCCGCCCCACGCAATCTTCGCAACCCCTATGTTCTAACTTTCATCGTTCAAGCGCACTACCCTGCTCTACCTGTAACTCTAGCACGTCGTCTCGGAATCCCCCGCATTGCAACCCGTGATTCGTCCCGGGTTTCCAGCATCTCAAAATGCATTCTGAATTCAGAACGCTGCGTGCATCACGGATTGAACTTCATAGTTAGGGCCTACCGCTCGCTTGTATACGCGCTTTTATATGCCTGTCCTTCCGGTCAACAGCGGAAGGAGATGTCTTATTACTATTCGTCGTTTTTAATAGAATCGTTGGATATCAAAATGAACGATGTGCGTCACAATGAATTGTCCATATTGTGAAGTTCGCAATCAGTAATATGTTGCAGCTGCAAGCTAAGCTGACCAAAACCCAAGACCACCGAAACTTCCTTGAGTTACACTAAAGCTAGCACATATTTCATGTGCACGAGTTACCACAATCTGTTAAAATATTAAGCTGTTCACACTGCGCCGTGTACTTCAGTTTCACATTCCACTTAAACCATGGTATAGGTATTGTATCAATTTAGTACGGAACAACGTAGGTTTAAAACACACTAACACCACACGTTTATATACACATGAGCAGATCAGGGCACTACATCGTACAACTAACAGTGGAAACCTGCAGTATGTTATAACGTCTAGCAGCGTATAAAGTACGAAGCAAAGACACATTTACAGATAGGCTAGCATGATCAAATAGCAAAGTATTAGCAGTAATGTACCGACCCCAGTACATGCTCTCGTAGTCAGATGTTAAAGTCGAGCAAGCAGCTGTAACCATCTCGAACTTCTGGCGAAACGATTCGGTACACACAACAGTACCTGTTAAATAGGAACTGGTATGTCTTGTAATAAAGACTCCATACACGCAACCATTCAACGACATTCTCCCACTGCAATCCATGTCAGCACAAACCGAATGCGTCATGCAATCTGAATGGAGATATTCATGGGAAAAGTGGTCCATCAAAGCAGACAACCTTAATGCCTGACGATGACCTAGACCACCGCCGTGAACGTGGAAACTAATAGAGAAAGCGCCGTGCTCCCGGAAACGAGATTCATCAGACGACTCATCCCAGACGAGTAAGACTTGTAAGCTCTCGGGTGGTGGTAGAGTATTGATAGGAGAGGAGATTAGCTACACCGTGAAATGGATTATCAGTAATCGTACACAAAATACTTTGCCGTTTCAATTTAACTCACCTCTCCTATATAATCATGAAGAAGTAAGTTATATGTTATCCACGACATAGACCCATCTTTATCCTTATCCTTATCCTTAACATCATTGAAGGCTAGTGCGACTTTAAAAGCCAGTTGTAGATCAAGAGGTCGCTTGTTTGCAACATCCCGCCGTTCAAGACTCAAGTTACCATCAAGACCTACGAGAAATCAACCATCGTATTATCATCATCATCATCAATTGTCAATCATCCTATGTTTCGAGACCAATGGGACACGTACAATAAGGGCGAGATCTTGTTGTTAACCCAGTTGCTAATCTTGATGCTATTGCTGAAGACATTATCATCAGCCTAGAAGCTATGCCAGCGTAATGGGCACCTCTGACAGACAAAACTAGCTCTGATTATATATGGGTCGAGTTGGATTGAGTACCAAAGAGGGAGGTTAGATCTTACATAGATTCAATTACGCATGGCACGGGTGAACTCAAATATCATTCAGCAGCAGGCGCAAGATCGATTCAGTCCATGACAACACCTACCTTTACCATAAACGCGTAGTTTTCCATATGGAAAGGGCACCAGTCCGTGGCATTCGGACTCGGATACACTAAAGTTAACATGCATACCACGCAAAAGGGTATGAACCATGAGACATACCTCAACCGATTCATTCTATCTATAGCATGACATGTGTACATCGTTTAGCGCATTTCAACGTTATATTCTATTCTACAACCTTTTAGGATGTTTTGCGCATATACGGAGATCATATGATCAGATAACGTACTGTGGGTAATGTTCACGTATGTCATCTAAGGTAGCACGCAAATACTGGTACGAAGGCCTGATACTTGTTGGAGTAATAGTAATGAACCGACCATCAAAGACAAATGCATTATCAACGCGCTCGGATTGGCAATCATTCTGAATGCGCGCAAAGGTAGGGGCAAATATATCTCGAAAGTGGATCATACCAACCAAGCGCCTCGAATTGTTGCACTTCAAATCGACATATGCCATTGCTTCGTCTGGATATTGAACGACTGAATCATGCACACTGGTGTTGAGCATTCTGACCAATCTATCTGCCAATGAAGACACGCGCAAAGATGCACTGTGCGCGCTACCGCCGCCAAAAACGTGGAAGAGCATGACATACGGAACGGAATCGGACATGGGGTGCTGATCCGGCGTACGCATCCATACAAAGTAAACAGGATAATCGATGGGATCAATCGGAATGGTTATGGGTAGACTCTGAACAGATATTAGACATAGTAAGCAAACAGAGGGAATACACGCACAAATTCGAGAGCAATACACGTAATAGCTGCTAAAGATTCCCACCTCAAGCGAGCATCAATAGCATAGCCCACAGTCATGATAAAACGTTGAGACATCTCGTCGGCTGTCAGTTGAGGATAGACCATGTGCAAAATAGGTTCAAGTCGCAGCACTGTATCGAAAAGGCCGGTACAGTCAGTAAAGGTATAAACATGTGACAATTATACGAACAGACCTTGTCTAAGACGAGGATGAACATGTATGTTACGGTCATTATCAACACGACTAGGCACACGAGGTCTTGGGGTAGAAGGAGCAGGTACTGGCATTGAAAATGAAGATCGAATAAGGCGAGTATAAGGCGTGTACAAGCGTATAAGTTTACGATTGAAGACACAGGCTTTTATATTATACAGAAGACCATTGCACATGGATTGAGCAACTGCTCAATACTTCCACAAAAATACATGGTACGCCTTAGTTCAGTGACAATGCAGAAGACCGACACACAATACCCTATTACACTGTCCTAATGTCGATATGAATTTGCGATCACACACCTTTACCTTTCATAGTCATGACTCAATGATGCATTACCTACACGCTCCCAAACCAAGTACTCGGAATTCGGAAGCCTGACGTGTCACTTCCGGATTCCAGTTACTTAATTTGGGAGTGTGTATACCAAATGAACACTTGTACCAATACCCAAACAGCACATATCAGCTTCTTACTGAGCGCATCATGCATCATCTGTCATTCGAAGCATTCGCTCGCAAATCGGAGATAAACAACCCAAGCTGACTATCCGCCACGTACTATGCGTGATGAGAACTCAGCTTTGACAGCCATCTCAGCAAGCCCGTGAGGGGTTGAGGGATTAATCGATTATCCGCCACGACCATGCTCAAGTAAATTTGCAACGGTGCCGTAGGTGGAAGTACCATCTGATCGGATCAGCCGCCTGAAACCCACATGTCTATATTAGGCCATATTGCAGATGCCACACGCCACCAGCTCCATATTTCAAAGTTCCAAAAGAACAGGCAATGGGGTCAACAGATCTAAATAAATCACAGCACATATAACCATCGTAACATGTACACAAAAATGCACGCGTTGTCTGAGTACGGTAAAGATCAAATACTCACAGCGCCTGAAGCTCATCACAGCAGAAACAGGAAGTACGGTCGCGGCGGATAAACAGAACAGCATTATTATGATTACTCACCGAAGTTCGAACATGTATTCATGTTGACTTGATCATGTGCCTGATAGTCGTTGTACACGCTCCTAAATTAAGTAACCGGAATCTGAAAGTGACGCGCATCCGAAATCCGAGGACGTCAGAGGAATGAACTCCGCACGGTGCCGCGAAACTGATTACTCTGACTTTGTGCGAATTCCGGTCACTTAGCATCTCAGACGGAAGCTAAATTGAAACACCGTGTCCACTCCCCCCTCCGCCTCATCTTAGAATTCCTTCCTTAGGTAGATAAAAGGCCGAGTCACCATATACAACTTCACATACCGTATTAGTTAAAAGGGGCAATGTACATACTTGGCTCCAACGCCCAACAACTTCTTATTGTAGTCATAGTTAACAGTGAAAAAGCGCTTGACATGGGATATAAGCAAGATTTCACACACTCTCTGTGTGTCTCTTTGTCTCATTCTCAATAGAACAATTCCTCACAACCGTATACCCTATTCTATGCATCAAGTACGTCGGCACGACACCAAGCGATCGCGACTGTCAACACACGTCACGCAGACGTTGAACTCTGTGAAACCGAGCTCGTGAACATACATACCGTTTGCGAGTACCCTTGACGCCTCAACGGTGCGTTTGTATTCTGTAAGTGTCTCTTAATATTAATATTCATCCATGTTTCTTGATCATTAGTTCAAGCTCTACATGGAGGTGATCCAGATGCGACGAACCCCGGAATATGACCCGGAGGCACTATCAAAAACGTTGATATCGGCATTTGACCGTCTCAACGGGGAAGATTTGAACTGGACTGAGCTTCTTAAAATGATTCATGAGACAACCGGCGAGGCAAGTGAAAACGTTTTACATAGCTTGTGTCTTTCTCACTTGCTTTTAGAGTTCAATCTACCTCCCGGTGGATGATTCCCAATTCCACATATACCTCATGTGGAGACCAACCCGTCCAGATTCAGGATTCTGCTCGAAAGCTCCATACACAGTAGACTTCTACGTTTCTGCCAACAATGGCTCCAATATGGCCTCTGCATTAGCGGGTCTCGCTCAACACTTCGTATATGAATTCCTAGTAGACCATACAGGTCATTGGTCTTGTGAACCACACGACTGCATCTACTACGTTCAAGTCGCGCACCATTGTGATGCTTACACTGTCGGTTCTCTTTTCTGCACCAAATATTTCAGTGCTCAATTCGCAACTACCAATCTAGAATGCACTCAAAACATCATGCCACTTTACTTCACTTACAAAGGCATCACTTTGACCGCTAACCATATTCTGCTTCGCTTTGCGTCTCTTTCCGTGTTCCAGGCGGTATCATTGGCTTTTAAATGCACTTGAGGTCTTTTAAACAGTTCACTTATAATAGCTTCTTATGTTAGTCATCCAAAATACGGATATCACGTACAAATGAATCCAGTGCAATCATAAAAGTCGGTACAGAAATGACACGGACGATGTGGTTCTGTTTGGTTGCCGCCCCTCTCGGACCGGATGTTGCCGGCTTGCCTGCATCGACCCATTGTGGCGCCTCGAATACACGTTCCCGGATTCCGGTTACTTACTTTGAGAGCATGTATATACAGTAGAAGGCGTTCTTTCACCGCGAGCGTCCTATTCTTTTGGACGCTTGGCATCAATGATCTTTCCCATTCCCAGGCGACCCGTCTAATAAGAAGTACTTCGAAATCATTCCCAAATACGATCTTCTACTCCCGTTTACTGCGGGTCAAGTTAACGATCCCTCGACTATCGATGCCATTTCGCTGTATTTACACCGCTTCGACATTGCAGTGCCAAAATATGTTGGAAACACAGCACAGCATGGCAATTCCGAGTACGTTTATTAATTATCTACCCATGTCTCTCTGCTGATCAATACGATAGAATGGTGTACAATAGTGCGACTTTGCGGTGGTCGAACACCCCTAATCCTGCTGTTAACAGAAGCATGGGTGCCTTGTGCTCGATCACGGGGAAGACTTCGGACGAATACATTCAATTCGAGCTTCTTTCTTTGGCGCTTAACATATTAGGCAATGCCGCCGTTGGAGAATCAAGTGGACTACAATCGCGAGCGGTGCCTTCGGTACCTTCTCACAAACTTCCTCAGAAAGGACCGTCCCTCTGCGCGAGAGAACATCCCGCGTTCTGTATGGTACGACATTACTTGAGGCAGTATATTGATGACTTATTTATGCTTGACATAGCGGCGGGAACAATGTTCTTGATGGAGATCACACTGTAAGGGGTGGTTCTCGTCAGAAGAATGAAAGTTCGATGTGAGTACTCGCACAGTCCTGGTCTTCCATCAAATTGAACATCGTTTGGTGGGGTAGAAGAAAAACCCGCCGAAGCACTCGATTCTAGCAGGCGCGCCACCACAACACGACTTCTTCCCGAAGCCTATTATCATCGGACTCCATCGCTGCATGTGAGTGATTCTACATCCACCGTTACATTGATTCCAGAGGTGGTCTATCACAGTTTGATGCACACCAAGTGCAAGACCTGGTTGCAACGCTCCCGCCCAAGGGCAGTGGATCGGATAAAAGGTGTTCGACCTCCCCAGCCGAACTCGTCAAACGCTAAAAAAAGTAAATTTGACTTTGCACCGTATCACAACATCTAATCCTTATCGCACCGATTCTTTATCACTAGAACGTACAAACGGAATGGAATAATGCTGTGTGTATTCAACTATACTAGCTTCGATTCAGAGGGATTGAGAAGGATGTGTGCTGGTACGCGACGTGAAGTTCTGTGATTAGCATCTTATCTGATGTGAAATAACGGACAGGCGTAACATTGAATACACGGGTATCTAAGCGCTTCCTTACTAAACATATATATTGATCCTTTTGTCGATGTGAGGCTCAGAAGCGTGTTGCGGCAACTCGTTGGCGAAGCAACAGTTCAAATGGGTAAGGGTTTCCTGCAGACACTGCTTCGAGTCTATTTTGGTCAGCAATCGGCAGTTGCCGTGTCACTGTGGGCTCGGTTATAAAACCACGCACGTCAACACCGACTTGACCAAAGACTATAGCCATGGTGTTGATCAGAAAGCCGCAATCCAAACTTTATGACCTCATGCGTTGTCGTTTGATTTCACAGCCTCTGATGTTGAAGGTGATGCGTATGAATGCCACAGATTGGAGTCAGTTACAGGTAAGCGCGCCGCACACGATTCTTTGTACTCTCAACGCTTCGTCTGTTATATTAGAAGACCACTCGGCCCCTCGTCGAGATTTATCTAGACAGATCTATTCCTTTCGTTCAACAGCCTGAGGACCACGTGTCGTTGGTTGTGTCAAAGGTAAGTGTCCCTCTCCCGAAGCGATTGAAACATTTACCGGCTATACAGGCTCGCCGAACACTTCATTTCATGAAGAAGTACCCTTTGAACTGGCCCTTGAGGCTATACATCGAACTCAACATATACGACCACATCTTGTATACAGAACAGCGTCGCCGGTTCGAACTATTCGCAGGATCACATCATGAGGACCAACGTTCACTTTCTACTGGCATGTCTCCTCTGACGGTAAGCGAACTCTTTATAACACGACTTGCGACTAACGCACTATTCCATGGCAGTCTCTTGCAAGCTCAAGCAGGGAAAGTGTGACATTGATCAATCTTGACAGGAGTCTTTCTCCATGCGACACGTTGTCTACCTTGGTAAGCTTTCGACCATAGCTGACATCGGCACTTATCTCTGGACAGACGTCTATCTCTGGTGACAACGAGTATTTGCTCGAGTAGACTAGCTGAAGCCTAGAATATGACATGCGTACGTGGAGCTTCGCTCAATCGGTGGCGCTCAAGATAGTACACTCACGCGACTTGAAACGTTGGCTGTGGTGGTCGGTAACGTGTATGTATATAGCAGCAAGTACTAGATAGTGTATGTGCGATTCAAGGTCTGATACAAACATCGAGACTGTTAGAATAACGAGGAAGTGTTCCAGTTTGAACAGTACAACAACTCAGTGTTACACGCTAACAACCATTCAATGTACATTTTTCAAACTAAGTTAAACCACCTTGCTTCGTACAGCGCGCAAGCCATATAATCATCTAAGAGGCGAAAACTATTATGGTTAACATACCCGTCACTAACAGTAACATTGGTGTCTCCATACGTAAATTCCGAGACTGAAGCATTAGCGCGACACCTCGTAGTCACCTGCTCAAACTGTACACAGAATTTCTCTGTGCAAACAATAGTACCAGTGAGATAGGTTGATGCATGGTGAGTGATGAAGAAACCATAGACGTATTCTGAAGGCAGCACATGTGTTTCATGAACAGACCAAAAGGGCTCAACGTATCAAATAGCAAAATGATAGCAAACGGCTGCAAGTCGAGTCGGCATACGCCGCGCCAGACCTCCACCACTTGCATGAAAATGAAGAGAAAACGGACCCTTATCCCGAAACTGAGAGGTTGGGGATGCATTCTCCCACAGAAACATAATGTTAGTTTCGTTCGGAGGCAAAGAACGGGCACTAAAAGAGATAGCCTGAAACATGTTAGAACGCGATGTACCACCCGTTGCAAAGAACAAACAACATACCTCGCCACATATCCTATGCAACCATATGAGATAAACCCGCCATCCCACTGCACCGCTCAATAGCTCATCTATTGTAAAGGCAGTTCGAAGAGCAATGTTCATAGGAAGTGAACGGGCATTCGCAACAGGAAGGTGATTGTTCCTCAAGGGAATAGGTCCTGTCCAATGTCATGAGTTAAAATCGAAGCAAAAAGCAGCTATAAGCAATCGGATGATTGGGAATAATAACAAAGGTGGATACATATGTTTCATCGTCGTCAGCAATTGGAAGTGATATCGGGAAGAAGAACGAGGGGCGATGAAAAATAACAGTGTCTTGTTATAAGGTATTCCATAACGAACAGATTAAGAAATATCGCTGGAGCGTGAAAGCCAGCCGCAAGGAGACATCACACGAAAGCGCGTATACGATAGCGCCGGTTTGACGCATGAAATGATATATCATCATCATCACATCACATCAATAGAAAGATATGTATGTACCGTACCTGAAAATAACTTAAGCTGATACGTGATAGAACGGTACAATAGCAACCCGCTTTTACAAATTTGGAGTACTGCACCAAAAAGAAACACAGGGATGCGTCTTAAACGGGACAAACATAGCGACATAGCGATATAAGAACAACTGAAGGATTAGTCAAATACATACTGGAGGGACAGATCGCGCCCGTAATAACTCAATAGCATAGTATAACACCGTGAACGGCGCTAAACGATAAATCTCAGTGCAACGGATCTGATTACCGAGAGGGCCGATATAGCAAACACAAAGTGAACAGACATTATGCCTCAATACAGTAATCTAACGAGCAGTCCATTGCATCGTTGTTCGAAAAATGAAGCCGTCACACCCCATATCTTTTCAACGTGGATAGCCAGCGAAGTATGCAGCAATGATATCATAGAGTCGACACACGCCGGAATTTCCCATGGCCCCCACGTTGACTGGCTTATGTATTAATCCGATCCCACAGTGACGTTCCCTAATATAGCCAAAACCATACTACTGTAGCCGAAAACAAACTCAACTACCTTTAAAGCTTTGTCTTTGCGCCCGGGCCTATGGTCAACGTTCAACGCTCAACGCTTCAATCAATTCCAATCATTATAACGGCGATCACTTGAGTTACTGATCATAAAAACACACCATCCCGGGACCAGACCCGCAAGGTTTCGCCACAGGCGTTCGATTAAACGCGTTGAACGAGAAAAGAGATTTTAAAGAGATACAACGACAGCATTGTCAATTAACCACGCAAATATTACGAAACTGACTACCACCCACGAGCTACCACAGCCAAGGAACTGATTAAAACGCATGAACGGCCGTGTGGCATCCAAATCACTACAAATTCTGCGAATGACATAGTGTAAACGACTGCATAGTATTGCGTGCTACGATTTCATCATTACATGTTATAAAAGAGTCCTCTGAGGTGAAAAGTTAGTGACCGCTCATAACAAATCGACCTTTACTAACCTAGCAGCTCGCAATACTGATCCTATACTAAAGTTGATGCGATAAGCCTCTCCCAGTAAGGTAGTATCATTCACCGTAACGTAGGAAGAAGAACGAACAAATGTATTCGGGGTGGAGTTCATCGCGCAAAGACGTATGACACTGTCAAACCTACACCTGAACTGTTCAGTACACACGATAGCGCCGGTTAGCCAGCAGTTTGTGACCCGAGAAATGAATACACCGTGAACATAATCGGATGGTGTTCCACCAGGGTGAGTACTGGTAAGGATAGGTCGTACATGCTCGAGAGCAAAGTGGTGAGTCAAGGCAGCGACACAAGAGCCTATCTGAGGACCCCACAAACCCCCGGAAACGTGAAAGTGAACACGAAACGGGTACTGCACTTGTAAGGCCCATTCGACAGGTACACGTTCCCATACGAGAATAATACGAAAGTGCTCGGGGTGCATGACCGGGACGTACACTGGCTGTATGGCAATAGATCAGTATCCGCGACCGGAACATCAGCTTGTAGAGATCACCTCGTTCACAATAGAGTGCATAAGAACATGATACGGAAGCCAAGCGTACGGATCCATAAGCAAAACATCCATCGCGATCACCATTTGCTGAGAGACTGGCAGAGCGAGATTTTCGCCTTGATCACCGTCATCATGATCGAAAGAAACTACTGCAATTGAACTCATTCCCTAGACTCAAAGTAGGCGATCAACTTACTGGTGAAATCGTTAAAATACGGGATCAAATCATCCATCATCCGTTGATACAGAAAAACGCGAGTTGAAGTGTCTCTGAAGCGCAGTAAGCTTCCATGCGGCCAACACTTTATAATGACGGCTTTCGTTCACCGGCGAAGACCGTGGAACAGAGAGGGCTGTACGAATTACATACAGAATGTACAAAAATAGAAAAGAACGCAGGCACGATGCCAAGACAGCTGATATGCAAATCAACACGGATCACAGCAAACTAACATACTCACATTTGTAGAATACACGCTTCCAAACTAACCGGAATTCGGAAGCCTAACGTGTCAAGTACTTCCGGATTCCGGTTGCGAGCGTCTATATGATACTTGAGCGTGATTGTTCACTTGTCATTGGCCATATACCATTGCTTTACAGAGTCTTAGAATATGAAGATCAATGCACAGATCGGTGGATCAAAGGTAAGAGAACATATTAGACAGGAGCTCAGCCATATTGGGTTACGTTTAGTCAGCATTAACACAGACGCGCCGCGAGAGCATGGACATTAGAGCATCTTGGCGAGCACACCCGGTCTGCACAACTTCAACGTACATTGGACACGCTCAGGCAGATAAACAGACAGCCATAGCCATGCAAAATCACTGCGAAAATTGTAAGAAAGAAATCCCATGTTCGATTATGCATAAAAGGCAGTAAAATGCGTATTCAATGTGCGAAGAAAAGGACCACGTAAACATCAGACCAGATTGTACCACCTATCGAAATTCGTTGAGAAACATCAAGATGAAACAGGATATGCTTACATACCTGGCTGCGCGTAATGTACGACATAAATTGCCACCAACACCCGGGAAATATGTGTCACTAAAAGCACGATTGGCAGTTACATACCGGTCCCCATAAGTAAATGCGGTAGAGCTATTGTTCATCAAACAAACTTCTGTAACCTGTTCAAAACGCGCTCGAAACTCCTCGGTACAAACAACAGTGCCCGTTGTAAAGTAAGGAGAGCGTTGAGTAATAAACACACCATAAATATAACGAGAAGGATGAGCAAACTCGGTCACTTCAAGCGCAGCGTCGCGGTAATGCTGCACATACTCTGCACAGAAGTGCCATAACAGAGCGGCAAGATGTAAACCTACATTCGGACCAATGCCTCCTCCAGACACGTAAAAGTGAATAGAAAAAGGTCCGTGATCACGAAACCGAGCCGTGTCAGAAGCAATCGACCAATCTAACATAATCTTCAGATTCTCAGGGGCCAGAAGGTCATCCGCGCACGGAGAAAGATCCTTTAAAGAATAAACATGTGTTGTACCAAAGCAAGAAATGACAACATACCGCGTCTGCGGCGAATTTACAGAGACGAACATACATAGGCCAGTCTGCGGAGGGATCTACTGTATAGCCAGCGGATTGAGCGGCCCACAGTGCCAAGTTCTCTTCCAAAGAACGGCGATTGGCATTTCTGATGCATCTTTCGGTCATGTTAGTGCCAATTGCTATTCCCATGCATTTTTTATCAGTCGCATAACCCAGGTGTACGGAGCGTAGGCAGTGTAATGTTACTCACAGTCAGTCAAAGCACGGTGGATAGAAACCATAGAGGTGTTATAGGTGTCCATGCTAACGAGCGGAAGGCCAGAATGCGAGGAGTAGGGTGGAAACTTAGGCAAATAGCTGACTCGTTCCCTTGCTTATATTCACAGCACTGAAAAGTGAACGTATAGAAACGCGCGGCCCTGAAATTTAACGGATGTTAAATCGAAAGAAAGGTATATCCACCATGGCAGGTATACCGAATGATCGAGAAAGTTAAAAACTGTATAAGTCTTCCAATCACGCATGCGAATCCATACTCCCATCATTATGTACGAAGTCACAAACTACAGAACGCAGGAGTTCAATAGGATAGACCTAACGTCAAACAACCTCAGGTTTAAAAATAGAAATCACGCAGCGGAGCGCCCAAATGGCTCTTAGCTGCAACATCCGCACATCACTGATTCAGGAAAAGATCGCGCTCTGCGGTAACCAAGATTACGCAATCATAACACAATGTCCTTCTTCCTTTGGTGAAGTTTCGGCATCAAATCGAATACAGCGGCTCCTATTAGACGCCTTGCAAATCTGAGTTGCCACATCGTGCCGCTCAGTATTATGATAAGCCCCACTCGGTACCACGATCATCGCACCTTAACGATAACTAAGCGCAACGAACAAATGGTCACCAACACAACAGCAGGACACAATGACTTTGACATGAAAACAGATCTGTTCTACATCCAACAATCCACCCGATTTTGAACGTAAACCTTAACAACACATTTAAACCTAGCGGAGCAACGTAATCTAAAGAGGAACGCGGGGAAACATGATTATACAACATCCAGCCCATCCATAATGTAGTACTCCGTCACTCAGACGGAGAGCTACATTCCTTATCAGTAAAACGGGCTACTAATAGCCCTGGTTGAAAGATACGTACGTTGTGACATCCATGACTTGGGCAAACGCTGTGTCTAAGAATGATTCGTGCTGTAACCGCATAGTGGAGTTGGAAGTAACACATTCACCGTCCCGCACTGAACCAAAATTCCTTGTGCCGTCAGAACACGCGATGACTACGTCATCATACACCTCCTCCAAATGATGTGAACACCATAGTGTACCTGACGTAAAGGACATTCCATGAACAGCAAGATCCACCCTACATATGACCTGACTGGGTAATGCGGACGATAAGACCCAGCAGAATATCAAATGATTCAAACTGAGGTAATAACTGAGAGCGGCAAACCGGAAGGACAGCTCACCGCCGCTGCCGCCGACCCAAAAGTGGATAGCGTACGGATAATGTTGGGTGAATGAATCATACTTCCTCCAGATGAACATTAGACAAACTCCATCTGGAAAAGCGCGCACTGTTCGCGGGATAGTCTACATCACACTAAGCATCAGAGTTCAACCCAAGGATCACACAACGGCATACCTCGTGCGTCAAACGAGACACAAAAAGAGACCAAGTATACCAATCTATAAACCTCTCCACAAACATATCCAATGAAAAGCGCAAACGGCGAAATAGATCGACATGATTGATATGCTGACGACCCACACCATTCACTATGCTAGCTATATAGACATAGACATATAGGTTATAAGGGAATCGAATAAATAAATGTTTCGAAATGCTCACTGTATTCGGAAATGAGTCCAACAGCCAGTAGACCAAATAGGGATTCAGCGGGCCATGCAGGAGGTGAACATGAACTGACAGCCATAAGAATGAGAACCTTAACAATTGAACGAAAGAAACATTTAAAAAAACTCACCGTGTAGCCATGAAGATGCGGGATATAGCCTGAGACACAATGACACTGTTTCTGGAAACCCACGAGGTATTGACCGTCACGTATCGGCCATCCTGCACAAATTGCGTGGAGGATGGGAACTCAGTGGCAGTAACAGTCACGCGTTTCCACAAAGGTTCAATTGCACCCGTGCAGTACACGGTACCAATTGTTCGCACCCCTGTATGCTGCGCGATAGATATTCCGCGAACACATGAAGTGGGTAGAACGTGCATCGTGGTCCAAAGAGAGGACAGAAATTGGGAGGCAAGATAATAGCCCAAGCCCGCAATACGAGTTGCAACGTGATATGTCCCAGCACCAGTTAGTTGAAACCGAATCAGAAATGAAGTTTGGTTTTCATGTCTCCATTGACGAGGAGCACGCTGCCATACAAAAAGGACCTCCACATCCTCTGGAAAGCAAGGAAATGAAGAAGGTGGGAGCTACCACTGTTCAGTACACTTATATATAATAACAATAATGATAAGCTAACAAAAGCAGACACACCTCTTTTGTCATGAACGACAGTAGTAAAACATACGTGATCCAACCACTTAATCCATCCACAACAACGTTGAAAGTTTGAAGCAAGCGCTTGTTAAAATTCATACTGTTGATATGTCTTATCACCGCAAGCTTCAGGAAGCGATAATGACCGGACGAACGACCTAAACAGAGTCAACTAATGCCAAAAAAAAACCGCATAGCAGGCCGACCATACCACGAAATAGTGACAAATTGGGTGTATTATTGGGTAGTTCTGATACAGCTGAATCTCGTGTACTGTCGGATGAAACTTCGTGTGAGGACATGGCCAAGTACGCTGTGAATAAGATCAGAATAATCAGTACCAGGACTTGAAGTACCCACGTCAACGAGAATAGACCCTACCTGTGAAGAGTCTTGATTGACAGTTAATGGGGTCAATAAACAGCACACGGCATTATATACCATACCAACTCCATGAACAAATATAGAAAACCAAGTGATGCCTAAAGTAGGATATACTGGGAGTTTGTAATGCGTACATTTCAAAATCGAGTTGATCACTCGCAAAAGTATATAGTAATAGTAAAGGAGCTACAATATACAGTTCAACCAGTACTTGCTCAGCGTATGGGTGTTACATTCGACCTCATGGTTGAAGGGTTCGTACATTGGAACTCGTATCTTACTTTGATGAGTTTCATGACCGGTGAGGTACACAAAAGCCTATTGTCGTGTCAATGAATTCTAACATATTCATCATGTGTCATATTCACATATCATTCATTCAATTTTGTCAGGAACTGCCTATGCCTTTTCCACCGTCCGAGGATGCTGTTGGGGTGTTTCTCGTTTGGCGTGAGACACCTTCTGACTCGCCCTTCTATCGAGAGGGTCCTATTTCAGTTCATTTTTATCTGTCATCCGTGGTTGGGGACTCATTAACCGTGCGCTTGGCCGGACTGGGACACTATTTCGGGATATATCATCTATCTACCCATTATATCATTTGTGGTAGCATTCCGAGTTCATGCCTCTTCCAAGTATGCGTCGCCTCGCACACAAGAGAGAGTACAATCGGAACGTTGTACTGTAGGGAGTCGTTCCGACTTCGATCGGTTGCTGTGTGTAACCATTGTCTGGCTCATCCGTCCAATACTTCTTTTATTCTTGCTGGGGAACATATTACATTAAACGGTGGCTTCCTTGCAGCACATTCCAATGATATCGCAAGAGTTTTATCCCTTATATTGGTGGCATTCGGGTACGTCATCTGGTTGATTCTTTTGATGTATTTATTGCTGTTGTTTATTGACTATATTTGGCTCAGGAATTGAAGGTATACGTTAACTTCAGCAGCTTTATGTATGTCGTATATATAGATAATTAGGTGTGCTGGTTCAGGTTTTCGGTACGTTTATGTACATGATACGCTTTAATATTGTATTGTTCCGGTGTATAATGCATGAATTCGGATGGTCGTTCATTGATCACAACTCTATATGAGGTTTAATACACCATTCGTTCTTAGACAGAGGGCGCTCCGTAATTCGTGGACATGTGATCAGCCTGATAATGTCATCTATGAATGTATTTGAAGCTTTTTTACTCATTTTGGTTCCTATAATGTATGGCCTCGTAAACGTCTCATCAAGGCGGTGTATTTAAGTCGTGCACTCTGAATATCTAATGTTATATGCAAGAACTCAGTTCATCAAAAATCAACAAATAATACGAACACACTTACCCCCGATAACATCGGCTAAAGAACGGCGAGGAGAAGTGAACACGTTACTGGACACATCACCGTGATTGGCATTGATCGGATGTGTTAGCCCTTCAACGCTTGGTCGACTACTCTCGTAGACATAAAGAGGAGTTTCTGGTTGAGAAGTTTCAAGAGGCGGTTCATGATCTGACATGATGAGGGTGTTGAGAATCAGTTATCACAAAAGGAGAGCACGAAAGGTGAGAAGAGATCAGATCACTTGCTCTGTCTACATATCTTATGTACTTCTAGTATTTTATAAGCTATATCTATATAAAGTAGATAGTATGTGCGGTTGACGCGGACGCACCGTCCTCGTGCGTGCATCCATATTCATTCTAACGAGCGTGTTATTCGATTGTGTACTAGTCTATCCGCTTCCAGCGGACAACTCGGGCGTCTTCTGTCCTTACACGCAGCACCTTGACAAAGCTATCATGCATCATGTGGTTGTATTGCGGCATTGGCCGGTTTAGTCACGTAATAACCAACAAAGCACAAAAAATGACATGACACACACCGGCATACCAGGAACTCTTGGTACCATATATAGGCAATGAACAAATAGCAACGCATCATGAGCGTGTGTAATGCAGGTATTGCATTTTACACTAATATTGCTAAAAGCAGTCACAAAAGGAGAACTCGACATGCTACACCAAAAAGAACATTTTCCAACACACGAAACGGAAACACACATTATATTAACCAACTATGCATACCACAATAACACTGCTTATACTGCACAAATCGGTACAAATCGCCAAGTATGCACTACCACTTATCTTCTCACACGCATCCCTTTAACGACATATTCCCTAATAAGTCTCTGCCCTGAAATTTCCTTTCTTTCCACGTGGGTACATGCCTTATCACTTTCCTCTAGCTCCCCGCGAGGGAAAAACAGGTAAGGAGTCTGTGGATGCCAAGCCTCGGGCGGAAGAACAGACGGATACCAAGGAGGAGGGCCTAAGTATATTGGAACACTACCGCATATAAGCAAACATAGTACACATAAAACATAGTTGAAGCGCTGATGATACTTACAACGGTCGCGAACGGTGATAGCTACCCGGCACGCAAACTCCCAGCATGCTACTGGTCGAACTATAAAGAGATGAACAATCAGGCTAATCAATCAAATACAATATCAAAACATACGTTATGTCAATAGAACAGGTCGAACCAGTGAGATATGATCTGAGTTTACCATGCATTAGCAGATGAAAAGACTGGTGATCTTACAGAGTTAAAGACGTACGAAGAAGGCCATGTATCCATTGACCAAGCCTCAAATTGCTGAAGTCCATTCGGCAATAGTCCAATCACAGGCCCTGAAACTGCAACAGCAGCACCAATAGACAAACAACTTGATGCAACAATAGAACATGAGTTCCTGGAGTAAACAAAACTAATAAAATATCAATAGATACAATGATTAAGCATGATACTACATACTGTACAATAGAACTTCTTGATCCACGAATCTTCCAATCCGTAACATCTAGGTCAAACCACATAACTGGTGACCCAATCGAAATGCACGTAGACAAAGCGATGATGTGACCAACAGCGTACAGAACAGGCTGACACAGCTGAGTTGCGGGAAAGGGACACCACTTCTCGAACGACCTATTCATAACAGGCCGAATCAGCCGGGGCTGTGTCTCCAGTATAACACCGTGTTTATAGAACGAGGGCTTAGCCAACATGAAAACAATCATATCGGCATATAAACGCCCTTCAAATTCTTCACCAGCTGACTGCAGTGTCGCGCTACCCGATAATGTAGTATCACCAGCATAGACGAAGTCGGCTCTGTAAGAACTGGAAAAGGCATCAACATTTGACGCATGTCGCAGTGCAAACATCCCGAATATGTATGAAAAGGACATGGGAAATAGGAAGGAATGCGAGATACTAGTGAAGCAAAACGAGAGCTCCGAACATTCAAAGCTTTATGAGAGCAGGAATCGATTCAAGTCAAGAGGGAACGCACTGCATTAGTATCCGTATCCGTACATCACACGGTACACTGACACACCACCGAACACACAACCGCCATTAGAACCCGGAGACGACTTTTTTTTAGCAGGTGCTACGTTCACATATGCGGGAATGAAACAACGTCTCAAACAATATACTCTTCACCATTCGCAATGGTAAGATATAGAATCAGGTCTGCATTCCACACACATAGTACTGAAGACATACTGCATTACAATCAGCACTAAATCAGCACTAAATAATTAAGAAGGCATTTAACACACGCCCGTGTTCGAACGAACATTTAATTATTAAAGACATAGCACCACATAGATGAGAGAATGAGTGAATCGAGTTGAGGACGAGAAACAACAAAACTGAGCATACCATAATTAGGAATGCACGTTGACCTTATAAGAACCGAGAAACATAGTAAAAGAACATGATGGAGAAATGCGATTACAGACTGGTATAGGGAACGCAGACATCACGAACAGCACGAAGAGCGTTCATTGTGCATATCGTATGCATAACTCCGAAAACACTTGTCAGTTCATCAGAGAATGGAAGCACAACTGGCGATGCCACTATCCTAAAGCAGAATCACTATACACGCTCCCAAACTAAGTAACTGGAATTCGGAAGCCCGACACGTCACTTCCGGATTCCGGTTACTTAGTTTAGGAGTGTGTACAAACGCACGACTTATAACTTCCACATGCAACCATGTAACCAGTAAACTTATGCAAACGAAATGGGTCTGAAGACAGAGTTTATAGCACCCGAAAATGAGCGGAAATAGATTTCGCATTAGATTTGTTTTCTAGAACATTACCCGATCGCGGAACAGTTCACGATTTCTGCTCACGCGGTTTTAAGGTTACTCGAAGTTGTCTATAAATGGGGAACCTCACCTACTGATTAATGATTCTTGAGCGGATTGCGAAGAGTATCCGGAAAAGGTTATCTGACCTAATATTCTCAACGCTTAGGGAAATCCCGGGAACATGAAACCAGTCTAAGTCATTTCCGGGACCCAAATCTAGTGTTTGTCTGTCGTGTGAGTCAAATTCAACAAACAAAATGAACGCCGAGCCGGCTATTACAACACTCGACCAACTATCAACTATCAACTACACACATTACCAAGCATGCCTTTAATCGACCACGAATAAAACACTCTCGGACTTTATCCTACCGGCGCATATTAGCCTTTCGTATCACCTCGCTTTCACATTTGATCGTTTTAACGTCGGAGTAACGTTTCTTGAAACTGCTTCTTCTTATCACACCACTCTATGTATTGTAACTGCCTCTGCTTGAACGCATAGTGAATATATGTGTACAACAATTATACGGTGTCACATCCCGAGAACATGAAAATACAACACGCAACACAAAGTTCAAAAGAAATAAACTACATATCCGCAGGTATAGTACCGAGAAGGAGCTCGTGGTACGTAACATTGACTGTGTCCGTCTTCTCCGGGGGTAATAGAACAGTAGCACATCTTCGGTTTCTGATGCGAGATAATGCAGTGTATAACTGGCCATGTGAAAATACTTCGCGGGTAAGATCGACCCCAACAGCATCTAAAGTCAAACCTTGACAACTGTTGAATGTAGTCGCATACGCAGGGGCCAAAGGAAACTGTCTTCGAACGACAGTATAACCAGATGGAAGAGTGCTCTCGAACATGATACGCGGTATGAGGATATCTTCAGAATCGACAACATTGACGCCAGCCAGTCCGCGCAAGATACGCACGGTGACTACCCTCGAACCCAGATCCACAACCACGACGCGGACATTCTTAACTAGCCTCCTGTCAACCGAAAAGTTACGCATGAGCCGAAACACGCCATTGCACTTGAGGCGTAAGATTTGAGGAGGAAATCCTGGAGGGCAGTGCTTCGCCACATAATCTAGAACACTACTAGGGGGCACCACACCACTATCGTCCGCTTCCTTGAGGGAATCAGCTGAGATGTACGTACGCTCATAACCGATAACATCGTCCAGGATAGAGTCATTATAATTGTCAACCTGTCGGTTTGTAGGGGCCAATATTGCACGTTTCAGACATGAAGCGGGATCAGCAACAATATGCCGAGGGTATACAAAGCGCACTAGCTCGTCCTGACTTTGAACACGATCAAGGTCTCCAAGGTCGACTACGGGTCCAGCACCATCGCCTATAGAATCGACAAAAGAAGAGAATAAAGGATCCTCTGCATTTCTAATAGGCGCAGTTAAAGTATAAAGCTGGAACAGCGGCCATAGGTGAGAAGATCTTATAGAAGCATCAACAACCTGAGCACGAGATCCTCTCCGAATCACAGGGCAGGTCTGCCGAAAGTCACCTAGCAAAACGATTGGTTTGCCTCCAAAGGGCTCGCTGATACCTGTGACACGGCGACAAACATCGTCTACGCATGCAAGCACAGTCTTGTTAACCATGGGTGCTTCGTCCCAGAAAATAACGCCAGCTGCTTTGATTAATGTACCACGCTGACTCCCTGGCTTGATAGGAGATTCAAGAAGCTCCGATCTGTCGTTAACAGGAACCTAAACAATGACATTAATACCACAGTACAACCTTCAATCAGCCATGAATACTAACCTTAAAAGTTGAATGAGTCGTACGTCCTCCAGGGTACAACTGTGCAGCAAAGGCTGCAGTCGCGGTAGGCAGCACAATCCGACCGTCAGACCGTAAATAATCCACAATCGCATTTACCACGAATGTTTTTCCACGTCCAGCTTTACTGTCGATGAACGCACACAGCGATCATTCCTGAACAACAGCACCCACAACATCATCAAAGATTCGCTTTTGTTCGTAAGTCATCCGTTCGTAGGCAACGTGTGCCCGATTTCTGAGGGGAGTAACAGAAGAACACCATCTTGAAAGCTCATGTTCAACTTCTCCGCTCACAAATTCGGGTGAGGGCAGACCGTATCCGGAGAGTGACTTGCCATGACCTTCTAGAATCTTTGAAATATCGTCCAGCGCCCATTGAACCGCCATATCACCATTGTTCCCGAGACGTAGATAGAAGTCATAGGATAGAGAATCTGAAAATTTCTCCCAGAGATCCTTTGGGACGAGCACACAATCATTGACGAGCATATGAACAAATAGCAATCTCAGCTGTTTTGGTGTTTTCTGCGCAGTCACAGATTCGCGAAGTGCGAGTTCGGCTTCTCTCTCATCAGCAAACAAACCCATAGCCGATGCAGCTGCTTGAAACGTCTCGTAATGTTTGTTGTCGACCAAAAGAGCATCGTCAAAAGAACAAATAGCACGAACATTCAGGATGCACCGCAGATAAAACAACTCCCCTCTTGACGGAGAAACAGCTTCCAACCGAGACAGGTGGAGACGAAGCGATTCGCGCTGAATAACGATCATTGCAGGACATCCTGGTATTGAACCAGACTCACGGAACGTGGTAGAGTTCCCAGTCGATGTACCAACACTTGTCAAGCGAAAGGTGGTGTAATACTCCGCGTAAGTAAGCTCGTCAAAGCTTCGAAATGTACCATTGACGGTGAAGCCTCCTGATGGCCGAATAAAGTATCGCTCAAGCAGGGACAGCGACGTAACAGAATCACTACGATGATACCGTCGACGCTGATGGACACGCAAGTGAACCAGAAGTGATGTAACTGCAGGGGTCTTCTTTGATACGTGAAAGCCCAGAATACGCCACACAGCTTCACCTGCAGAAAGATACCGACCATTCCAATAGTCAGCAATCTCGTCCACGGGAGTGGTAGGATCGCCGAGCCGATAACGAGCTGTGTCAGGTCCTGTTTATTCGTGAGAATGTTTAGTAGATGAAAGAAGAAGAATAAAAGCCAATTAACGAACCTTTGTGAATATATTTGAATAAGTACTGAAACAAATGAGAAGTACTGGCAATCTCGAAGTTAATGTGGCACTGGAACTTGCGGAGCAATGGCAGGCAATGAGCCACAACCATTTCATCGCCTGGATGACGCCGACGATAATGCACTCTCCCATCATTATCGATTGTAGTAGTATCTTGTAGTGGCTGAGGATATTTGAACCGACATACACGAGTTCCATCAGGAAGCTCGCGCTGGCAGTATTTAGACGGAGGCCTGTTGTTGGAAGGATGATTGTGTCTCATAAAAGCATTAACGAGCAATATGTCTTCAGGCCGAATAGGGACTTCAGCAGATACGACAGAATCAATAGCAGAAGGAGAAGAACAGTCGCGTCGGTATTTAACCAGAATATGTGCGTGTGGAAGACCTCTTTTCTGGAACTCAACAGCGTGTATGACATAAACAGGGCGCCCAATCCTTGGGAAAAGCGAATAGAGTGTCTTGATCAAAATGGATAGTTTGCGCTTGAAAACGCGCACAACCACAACAGGAGTGCATTACATGTCATAGTGATGAAAAAGGTAGGATTCCCGTAAGCAGCTGCAATTGCAAGAGAATCGGCAATTTGATCCTGAGCCCACGCCCTAGATCCCAAAAATGAAGCAGGAAGGTAAACATTCTCAGTTGGCTCCAACACCTCCTCATCCATAAGAACAGCATCATCCGAATGGACAGCATGTTGGTTACGGCTGATGTAATGTAGACGACATTCTAGATCCCGGCTGAAAACGTCGACAGCATACTCGTTGGTAAGCCGCCCAAAGATGCTGAACCTATGTTCACGTAACAACCTCGCACGGTAGAACCACATCTGAGATGTCACAGTATTAGTATCTGCCGCATCAGCACCTAGCTCCCCTCGAGAAATCCCAGTATCGACTATACCCCAGCCCAAGGTCCCATGCGGAAATAAAAGCGGATATGCAAGCGGTTCCCATAAACGGCTGACAGTGTGAATAGACTGATTGCATGCATCGCGACTGCGTGTGATAGTCAAGCGACGAGCCCTGACTTGACTGGCAGACGTGTTGTCATAAGACATAATTGCCGCCAGTTCCGAAGCACCACCAACATCGTCGAGCGTCAAAGTAGCATCTGAAATTCCGATTTCGCTCAAATGAGCTAACTGACGAAGGCCAGATACAAATGGGTTGACGCTGTCGAGAGAAGATCTAACTGCATTAAGCCAATCAGAAGGGATAAGAGAAGCCCATTCAGGGTATGGAACATTATATGAAGCTGTCGTAAAGCAGCCATCGCACAGATGAATTGGCATGAGTCGGCCTGATTCGATGGTATACTCTACCCCATACAGCAACAAACCCGCGAGGGCCATCATTTACGGGAAACGCATGAGTTGTCTCGAGGGCCGCAAACGAGAAGATAAGATTAAGAATGCGCGACTTCGACGATATATCAGGATCGTTGAGGAATATACCATATTGTTCAGGAAGTGGCGGCAACGAAGGGACGTCGGCATAGCGAGAGCCATTGGGCCCACAGCAAAAACCTCGGCGTTCCCCAGTGAGAAATAATATTCCGCATGTAGGACACGCATGGCGGCGGCCGTTTCGAATGTTACCCCAAACGAGAGTAGTACTAGGAGTACGGCCGAAAGCCCACTCAGGAGCAAGAGACATGACGATCTATCTAATGCAAATAAGAACCAAATATTCTCACTGAATACACAAAACACTCACCCTCCCAGTATGCAGCGAGACGCGAGAACGTATAAGAATTATACAACGAACCAGTATCCTGATCAAGTTGGGGAAAAGGAATGATACTATAAACATCAAGTTCATCATCACCAAGTCACCAAGGTCAGAAACATTGAGACGGTAACCAACACCAAAACGTACCAACCGGTACAACACAGCTGAATTCACAACAGTAAAAGTAGCAATCAACACACACTGTGCGCGTATTGGGAAATAGGATAGGAGACTGATTAACAGCGAAAACGTTCTCGTGTCAAAAGAGGACATACACAGGATAAAAAACAAAGGCTCACTATCAGCAACAAATTTTTCAGTAATAAAACTTGAATTCGAGATCACACAGCTAGTTCGCAGAAAAACCGTGTATATATACGAAGAGACTCTAATGCACTGTGACATAAGCAATTTAAAGCATACGGGTGATACACCCAGAAAGGAATCTCAAACCGTAAAAGCGACTCAAGGAACAGAATGCAAACGAACAATCAACATGTACAATTCTGTACATTATATGCCGGACACCATCTTCAACCTCCAAACAAATGTATTGCCCGTATATTGACATATAAGACTTACACACCATAAACAGCAAGCCACGTACAGTAGACTACACTACTAATACTAACCAGCCACCAGCGTATTCGATAGACCTTCCCGATAGCCATCTAATAACACAAACACCGCATCACAGCTGTCCGATAACAAAACACAGACACAATTCCCACGCCATCGCATGCCTATTATGGTAAACAGCCGATGAACAACACCGATTTCCTCATTTCCAAGATAGCCAATTGCACCCGCACTAACCGCAACATAACGTATGCATTCCGATCTCCAACGTTCCGGTAATAGCAGGATACAATGAGGCACCGAGCTTCGAATACATCACTAAGCGCAAAAAAACCGAAGTTGATTATCTAAATATGGCAATGGCATGCAATGACGCTTCAACTCCACAAACTACTGAAATGCCCATAATTAGTAGTATTGGCGTATGGTGTATAAGCTACAACAATATAATAAACTAGCAATGTCTATATGCGTACATGTGACCATCACTGACTCACTTTCAGCACAGCTTGAACGCAATAGCGTGGTTATGCGAACACGGACTTAGAGTTTCAACGTATACCATTGCCATCCGAATCAGTACAACCAACAACCCGAAGCCAATGAAACATATATAACCTGAAACCAGCCGCAACACCACATCCACGAACAAACCACAGCAGCGTCACAATCTCTATCTACACTGCGAGTTTCGCATTCCCATAACTTTGTTTCGCTCACCATGCCTATGATATGGAATACCCACCTACTGCAACCTGCCGATCACCCACAACACAATGAAACACACGCCGAGACGGGCACAATGACACCAAGTACACATGAAGCGGGGTATGCTATTTCAAGTGATTCGTCCGATTCGGATGATGGCATGCCTCTCCTTGAGAGCGTCAGTGAACTAAATTTATACGATTTCCCACACGAAGCAGGTACGCATCTGAACTTTTCTGTTACTCGTCCCCATTTCTAACTAAATCAACTAAAACAGATATCCGCATAATTCCTATCGGATCCATGGGTATTCTCCGACCTATGGAGAATCTGAACACGCGCTCCACTATCATTCTATGGGAGATGAACACTCTCATGAACCCTGCACACGAAAAAGACTGGTTTGACTTCGCGGCATCTCTACTCCTCGCACTCCACACGGTATGTCCATCGTCGCTATCATTCAATAATTCACCTGAATAACAGCGTTTACCTCTTGTAGTATATCCCATTCAATGTGCCGCGGTCTCCATTACTCATGACTGTGACATTCATATGGAGTATTACTCCCCAAGACGATCGCTTCACTGATGAGCGAACACCTTATTGTGTTTACTTTCACGTGAAATCGTCACGTTATTACAATGTCGACCTCCACATGGCTGCGCTGAGTTACGCACTCGCAACTTGCTACATCAAAGGCGACTACGCGCTGACGCAGACATTGCCATCACAATGCATCGATCAAATAATAATGACCGGATGCGAATCCGATTATACAGCTGGAGTTGTACTCGCCAAAGCATCGTTTGGACCCATCTTCCGAGCAACGGTACTCAGCTGCAGTGGCGTTGATCGCAGCAGAAGCCCGAACTACTTTATGCTCGGAACCCATTGCATCACAACCCCACATGCCGCTGAACGGCCCGATATGGGCAAAGTTCAACAGGCTACTGAAGAATCTCTAGCAGCCGCAGAGTATGTGACTGCATTATGACATATGTTGATAAGTATTGAATTCACTCAATTGCGCAGGCATGTACATCTAGTATAGCAGGAAACATGATCCGTACTCCACGATCGGTACTCCGTGATCGGTACTCCACGATCGGGAATAATTCGACCCCATATCAACATGTAGACACATTTCCGCGTTATAATGTATGTCCAAGTCAATGATAGATACTATGATCAGTATTATAGCACGTTATCAACGGAACAATACTAAAAGTAACGGTATTGAAATCAAATCATGAGCTTGGTGACTATACACTATCATTAAGCGGTTAATCAAAGAAACAACAAACATAGATTGTCTATCAATGATGACAATGGATATTTCAGCCCGTACATTCATTACCATTCGCCATTAGTTTGAGCATCAGACAAATACTCGCTGAGCACGCAAACAAAGAATCACAAATAAAGTCACAAACGCCACCCATACGCAACATCAATTAACGACCTCAAGGCCTGTATATGCGATTCGCATCGCATAAATAACGTTTTTCGTCGCTTACACATCTGTTACACACCATTCTTATGATCCAACTAACAAACAAAGAACATCAATGCAACTCGAATTTCCCTACGTTAACGTACAGCACACTACATATTGAAAGTCGAAAAGTGTATCAACTCGACAACTGCATTAACATACTATTTCTTCGACGTGTTCCTCGACCTCCGCGTCTTCCTGGTCTTACTACTCTTATCATCTGCAGGAGGGGATATAGTAGAGGAAACGGGTTGAGAACTCTCTGATGCAACAGCAGGAGGACCTTGCCGCGCACTCAGAAGAGCTTGAATCTGAGCGTCGTTGAGAGAAGCAAAAACGGACGCCAGTGCAGGCACATTTGCAGCGGGGTTCCCGTTTACATCTGAAGACCCGAGCGTGTTCGATGAAGCCAAAGCTGAGCCGTGAGACGACTGACCGCCGTCATCACTAGCAGATTCGTCAGCATCATCAGGCACACTAAAAAGCAAATTTCGAGACATTATTAGCGCATGAATCACCAGACAATGACTGTGAAGTCGACGCGACCCACTCATCAGTAACCTGATCACCAGATTGAGCCGTTTTACCGCCCGCACGTTCAACAGCTTCTTCGCTACAGAACGCGTCGCGACATTTTCAGCAGGATGACTATTATTAGCCACCATGTCAAACAGGAACAAAATGAACAAAGAACATACCACGTAGCATCCGTTAACACTGGACCAGTCGACGCAGACGTGCCAGGATTAGTCACAGTCTGTACAGACACAATTCCCCTACACGAGTTCAGAACAAACGTCAAGCGGAAACCATAAAAGGATAAACATCAAGACGCACGGTGCAGTCTTACGAGGAGAAGTCACCGGATAAGGAGAAAACCTAGCTCCCTTCGAAATCGCACCCGAATTACCGTCATTACCACCAACCCCTCCGGCTTGAGAAGCAGGAACGATATTGGCAGAAAGCTGAAGGAGCTCAAAACGGATGAGACCATTGGGCGATACTCCAGATGCAACAGCTAGAACAACGACTGTACTATTCATTTGAGGCATTTGCACGTTGGCCCAGCGACTGGTACCCCGGTCATAGAATATCCTACAAAAAAAACACGATCATTAACTGACAAAGCCAAGGAATGTGGATATCACATAAACGTACTGCACAACAGAAGCACGGCGAGAATTGCGCACAAACTCCGCGATAGATAGATTGAATGTTGCAAGGCCGTCGGTAATATCTGAAGCCTCGGACACCCTTCCGACCGCCATCAAAAACGGATGCTGCAAGTTGGGAGCCTGCTCAAAATAAGACGAAAGGGTGGGATCCCCTGGGATACGGAAAAACTGCAGCGGCTGAGAATCAAGCTGTATAGTAGAACCCGGAGCAAAAAAGGGCCTTGCAAACACCAATGCAAGCCCGTTGTCGGCAACAGGCTGATCACCAAATGGACTATACACGCGGAGCTCTGTCGCAGGACGATTTTCGTTATTGCAATTAAATGCAGTGTCGTAAAAACAGTGAAACGTTGTCACTGTAGAACTGGGTGCGGACGGTTGCTGAACGCGGCGAGACCTTCCTTTTCCAGCAACCACCACCTGCTTGCTCTGGCACCCCGAGGACCCCGGCTCTTACGCCCTCCCGGACCCAGACTCGAGTTGGTTTAGCTGAGTAGAGGAATAGATATCCATTAGCAAACCCACAATTACCTCCCCCTCGCGCATCCCAGCGCTCAAAGCGCCCAACAAGCCCGACATGGCCCCCCCGGTCGTCGGCAGAGGTTCCACCCCGCCCACCGCGACCCAGCCTCAACCCGGCAAGAAGCAGTCTCGAGCACGCCCATCCGCACCCGCCGAGAACCGCAACCCCCAGGACATCATCCAAGCACCCACAAGGAGCTCGTCGGTCACAACGCTCCAAGCCGCCGTCAAGCTGCTCGAGGTCAAACACCTCTTAGCAGAACCCCACGTCGCCAAACTCGACACCCTCGCCGACAGCCTCCTCTACCTCACAGAGGTATCAGACACGCTGGGTGCCACCCTCTACGATTCGTACCGTGCCGTCGCGATAGTCCTCAAGACCATGGCGGCGGGGGACGGGTCCAGCGCACTCTACAGCGCGATGGACAAAAAACTGGGCGACACGTCAGCGGGACCCCTGGCACAGCTAGCTGCCGCGGGCGACGCGGCAACCGACCTGATGTCAGCCAACGAGGATGCCAAGCTCTCCCTCCTCGACATGATGGAGACGGTCAAGGCAGAGACCTCCGCACTAACCAACGCAGCGAAAGAGCTACGGGAAGCCGCCCAGGCGCCCCAAACCACCACGGCCCCCTCACAAGGCCCCAGCGCAGGAACCTACGCGTCGGCGGTGGCGAGCCCCCCTGCACAGGCGAGCGCCCACGCCCAGGCAATAACGCGTCACCTCGCCCAGACGCGCTCGGTCCAGGTCGTCCTGCCTGCCGCAGACTCCTCAACCCTCAAGCTCACCGAGAAGCAACTGGTGGCGAAGGCGGAACTCGCCCTATCTGGTATGCGCAACGATGGGACGGCAGTGCCGGAGGGCACGAAGTTCGTCACGGCCCGCGTCCTCACGAGTGGCACGATCACATACGAACTGAGCACCAGCAACACCGCATCCTGGCTCGCACTCCCGAACAACGCGACTGACTTTGCTAACCATTTCAGCTCCGACGCGGTGGTACGCCGCCGAACGTATCCGCTAATCGTGGAGAACGTGCCACTGTCCTTCGACCCCGCATCCGACACCGAGCTGCGCCGAGCCGAGACACTCAATGAGCTGCTGCCGGGATCGCTTGCGTCGGCCAAATGGATAAAGGACGTAGGTAAACGCGAATCGTGGCAAAGCAACGCGTACGTCATGCTCCAGATAACAACCAAGGAAGTCGCGAACCAGGTCCTGAGGGACGGAGTGGTTCTCGAAAACAAGAGGGTACACCTCCGCAAATCCCTCCCTGAACCCACGAGGTGCCTGAAGTGCCAGACCTACACGTCTGGACACCGCGCAGCGACGTGCCCTGTGCAGCACGACGTCTGCGCAACGTGCGCAGGCTCGCACCGCACCAAGGAGTGCAAGATCGCTGACCGCGCCAGGATGCACTGCGTCAACTGCAACGCTGACGGCCACTCGGCGGCCGACAGGCAATGCCCGTCCTTCAAGGCAAAGAGGGACAAGTTCCTGGCTAACTACTTAGAAGCTCGTTACAGATACTACCCGACCGAGGACCCGGCGACATGGGTACTAATCGGTGAGCGGCCAACTATGGCACCGGCAGCCCCACCGCCACCCGCCGTGTTCCCTCCCCTGGCCCCCACCACCAAAGACGAGGGCCCACAACGCCCCGCGAAGGCGCCACAAAGGGCCCCACCGAACGGAGCGAAACGGACACGCCCGCTCAAAACGAGCTCCAACGCGATTCCGCTAGGCAAACCCAGGGCCCCTGCTGCGGACAGCCGCTCAGACGCCAGTCAAAGCGAGCTGGCCGACTTCTTCAGCAACCTGCCACGCCTGCCGAAGCCCACGGCTTCTTCCCGCGCAACCACGGCAACACCTGTGACGTCCACCCCACGACGCGGACGCAGCGAGAGCGCACCTGCCACGCCCGGCAAATCCGTCACCCGACGCCCATCTGCGGGGCTGGGAGACGATGCGCCCGAGGAGAGCTTCGCCACGTCACTAACATCCACCCCTAACCAATGACAGAGCCCCAATTCACAACAACTGCCGCCCGGTGCGGCATTACCATCTGGCAACAGAACATGAGAAAATCACAAGACGGGCATCACGACTGGATCAATGCCCTCGACCCAAAAACATTCGACGTTGTAGCCGTGCAGGAACCGGGCTTTAACAGCCTGGGACTTGTATATGCCGGCTCAGCCTGGACAGCAGTATACCCCCCGCGTCACCACGACTCGGCATCACGAACCCGCTCCATCACGCTAGTAAGCGGCCGCCTATCTAAGAACAACTGGAAGATCTTGCCCATCGACCACCCCGACATCACGGCCATCGAGGTGACGGCGGGCGGTAAGCGCATTCATATCTACAATATTTATCTCGACAGAGCCAGCGATGAAGCGCTCCAGTCCCTTGAGAACTTCATTGACCGCGAAAACGAGAGGCAGGAGAGCGACGCAGCACAGCGCCTGCGAGACGGCGATGACGCGCCAACAGCGCTGGAGATGATTTGGCTAGGCGACTTCAACCGCCACCACCCAATGTGGGATGACGATGCTAACGTTCAGCTTTTCAGCGAGGCGTACGATAGAGCCGCCCAGCCTCTACTCGAGCTCCTCGCCAACTACGGGATGCAAATGCCCCTCCCGAAAGGTATACCCACCCTGCAGGCGACGTCAGGGACATGGACGCGCCCGGACAATGTATTCTGCTCATCAGAGCTCTTCGACGACTTCACATCGTGCAACGTCAGACCCGACCTCCGCCCCATTGTCACTGACCATCTACCCATTATCTCGAGACTTGACCTCGACCCTCACAGAGCCGAGCCCCGTCCGCGCTGGAACTTCCGAGCCGCGGACTGGGAGAAATTTGACAAGGTCTTCGACGAACGCATGCGTCGACGCCAGCCAGGCCCCATAGCGACGGCGGCCGACTTTGACGATGCGCTGGAACATGTCACGGACAGCCTCTTTGAGGCGGTTGTGGCATCGGTACCGGTAACCAAGCTCACGCCGTACACCAAGCGCTGGTGGACGGCAGAGCTCTCGACGATGCGAGCGGCGGTCCGGTCGCTAGCACTCCGCTCGTTCCGCGCACGCGACGTCGAGTCGCACCCAGTTCACGAGGACTACCACTCCTCCCGCAACCGCTACACCAATGCTATCAAACGCGCGAAGCGAGACCACTGGGAGGAGTGGCTCGAGACCATCGACGCCGAGTCCATATGGACTGCGCACGCGTACCTCAACCGAGAGCCCACCGACGGCACTCGCACCCGTATCCCCACCCTCAAGTCACCAGGCACCGGAGCAGCACAAGCGCACGCAGTCGACGACAACAGAGGGAAGGCCAACCTCTTGTTCGAGACGTTCTTCCCGTCCGAAGCAAGAACCCCTGCACCGACTGACACGGCGTACCCCGACCCAATCGCGCCATTCGCGCCCATCACTGACGAGCAGGTTGGTCGCGCAATCCGCCGGCTCTCGCGCTTCAAGGCACCCGGGCCCAACGGTATCGGAAACGCCGTTCTCATACGAGCCGCCGACCGGTTGGTGCCACACTTGGGCCCAATCTTTCGCGCAACATTCGAGTTGGAAATATACCCCCACGCGTGGAAGACCCACACAACAATCGTGCTACGCAAGCCCGGCCGCCCGGACTACAGCGTCCCGAAGGCGTACCGCCCGATAGCGCTTCTCGACACAATCGCAAAGGTCCTATCATCGTGCGTGAGCGAGGACTTGGTGAACCTCGCTGAGGAACACCACCTGCTCCCGAACACGCACTTCGGCGGACGCCCCGGCCGAACGACGATGGACTCCCTACACCTGCTCACGAAATTCACGCACGACGCGTGGGCAAACGGCGACGAGCACTTCGTATCAATGCTCTTCCTCGATGTGAAGGCAGCCTTCCCGAGCGTAGACATCGACCGCGCCCTCCACAACATGCGCATGCGTGGCATACCGGCTGAGTACACAGACTGGCTACACCGCCGCCTGGAGGGGCGGGTCACGACCCTTTCCTTCGACGACTACGACTCGGATGCGTTCCCGGTGCGGAACGGTCTAGACCAGGGGTGCCCACTCTCCGTCATCCTCTTCCTATTCTATAACGCTAGCCTGCTCGAAACAGCTGACCCAGCCCGAGGAGAACTCTCCCTGGGATTTATAGACGACGTCGCGCTGGTAGCAAAAGGCAAGACGCCGGCTGCCGCCAACCGCAAGATCAAAGACATGATGGAGCGCCCTGGGGGCGCTCTGTCATGGAGCTCCTCACATGGAGCCGAGTTCGAACTCGACAAAACGGCGCTAGTCTGCGCCACGCGCCGACGCCTCCCCAACCCATCTCCCTCCCACCCTCCGACCCAGAAAACCATACCATACCCACGCCCTCCCATCACCATTGGCGGCCACGTCATCCGGCCATCAACATCGCACAAGTTTCTTGGCATCATAGTCGACCAAGAACTCCGATGGCGCGAGCAAGTCGCCCGGGCCGTCGCCCGCGGAACAACCTACTCCATGGCGTGCCAACGCCTCTCGAGACCAAGTAAGGGTGTCCGCCCTCGTTACGTACGATCTCTTTATATTTCCGTTGTTATTCCACGTATGCTCTACGGAGCTGATCTTTGGTGCGCGTCGCTACTAACCCGCGGCAGAAGCAGATTCCACGACGGCTATGGACCAAGGGGGGCTACGAAGCAAATGGGCAAGATCCAACGCGCAGTGGCACTGCGCATCACCGGAGGACCGCGATCGTCCCCGACTGACATGCTGGACCTACACGCCGACCTGTGGCCGGTCCAGCAACTGGTAAAGAGGACCTGCCTCCGGGCGGCGGTCCGCTACTCAACGCTGCCTCCCGCACATCCCCTCTCACGCCACGTACGGGCGGCTACTCGCTACCGCCGCCGACACCAATCCCCTCTCCACGAACTGCTACACGCGTTCGCCATAACACCGGCGGTGGTGGAGACCATAGAGGCGGTTCACCACTACCCCAAGTGGAACCCAGACCACTCACTCCATGTCCCCGAGTCAGTCGACGAGGCCCTACTTGCTCACGAGGCCGCCTCCCACACGCTCAGAATCTACTCCGATGGCTCGGGATACCAGGGCGGCATCGGCGCCGCCGCGTACCTGTCCTTCCGGGGGGAAGACATGGCTCTACGCTTCTACCTGGGCCCAGTGTCAGACCACACAGTATATGAAGCCGAGGTGACGGGACTCCTACTAGCCACACACCTACTCCGCCACCTGATCAACGCTGGCCACGAACTACCACCCATCACCTTCTGCATAGACAACCAGGCGGCCATCAGGGCAACCCACAACCGGGCCCCGCACCCGGGTCACCACTTGATCGACGCCTTCCTCGACGACCTAGCCACACTTGTCGACCGACTACCCACTCCCCCCTCCATCCTCTGGACGCCGGGCCACAAGGGGATCGACGGCAATGAACGCGCCGACGAGGAGGCCAAGGAAGCGGCACAGCGAAACTCCAGCCCACCTGTCTCACTCCCCCCATCACTCCGCGCCGGTCGGGGCACCTCCCTCCGCGCCCGTACACTCCCCACCAGCGCCTCAGCGCTCAAACAACAGCGCACAGCCGCCCTGCTCGCCGAAGCAGCCGCCGCCCTGAGGGCCTCACCGCGAGCAAAACGCCTCGAAGCGCTGGAGCCCAACCCGCCTCGCAGCCGCTTCCTCACGCTCATCGCGGACCTCCCGCGCCGACACGCCACCATCCTGTTCAACCTCCGCACGGGGCACGCCTACCTAAACCACCACGCCTCTCGCCTCAACCCCACCATATCTCCGGCGTGCTCATCGTGCGGAGCGGACAGGGAGACAGTGCACCACTTCCTGGTCGCCTGCCCGACATACAGACCACAGCGGGAGCGCCTGCGCCGCGAGGTCAAAGCCTACCGCGAGCTTTCCATCACGGAACTGCTCGGCGACCCGGAACAGACTCGTCCACTGCTCCGCTACATACACGCCACAGCCCGCTTCGCCCAGACATTCGGAAACCTCGAGCCCCCCCCTAGCCCGGAAACCCCTGCCTGCCGCGGTACGTAATATTTCTCATTCTTCTCTTCAACTTTCTCGTTTCCATCTCCTCCCCCCTGCTCCTTTTCTGCTTCTTTTCTTTTCTTCCCCTATCCTTCCTCAAAGCGACGCGCCGCTTCTCTCTCCTATGACTACGACACACCTACACGAACAAAGAACAACACCAACAAAAAAAAAAAAAAGAACTACAAAAACCGCCCACCTACCCTACTTTACATATACCGCACTATACCGTCAGAAACCACCAAAGAACCCTCACTATCGGACACCCATACACAGAGTAGACCCCCTGGCCGCCGACGCGCTCCTGCGACGACGGCGGCTCTTTGTTTTCCGCCTCCTAAATTATGCTAGACCTTCCTCCTTCATCGACTACCATCCTCTACATTACATTCATGTTTAGTCTACCATAGGGCACTGCCCCAGAAGACAATAAACGAAGATTACTACTACTACTACTACTGAACGCGGCGCCCGTTCACCAAGCAAAACACGCCGACAACAATGGCGAACATGAGTGAAGCCGCTTGCGAGGAGTGATGTGATGTGTGATGATGTAAAAGAACGAGCGATGAGATAGCTAAGAAATTCAGTGAACCAGACTCGATTTATATGAGCGAGTTGAACGAGTAAACACCGCCCCAAACTCAACACACTTTCCTTATTAGACGTTCGAAACGGAACTCCGGAATTCCAAACCAACTGATTACCTTCATTTCAACGTTTATACTCAAATAGACATTCCTCATCACTTGGAGCTTGAAAACCGTTGGCCTTCGAGTTCTGCACGAACAACATCGGTGGCTGAACACTGCCTTCGCTCCATCCTTTTTCCTTACCCAAATAAATATACATTACTCACTGCGCGGAGATGGAAACCGATGACTCTTCAATTACACACAAACGGATAATTGGACATATACAGCATTTAGATTGCTTCATTCTCTTCATTAAGTAACTCAAGCGGCGCAACGTTAACAGCTGCTGCTTGACTGCTGCGCTTGCCAAATCAAATTCAGATCGCCACTATACAAATAGACGCAAACAAAAGAACGGTCATAATTTTAATGATACGGGGGATCAGTGCAACAGAGTTTAACCAACCATAGTCATAGATCACCACTGTAAGAAGTGACACTATCATGATGGCATTGAATACGCTTCAGTGGGTATGCAATGATTGTAACCGATATTACTCGCTCACCATTGACGTAGTTTTGTTCTTGGAAGGCAAAAATAAGAGGTATTAACGCCGGTGAGCTCAAGACATAAGGCATGTTGATTATCTGCCCTCGTTGCGAAGTTGATTCCCAATATTGAGTGCCTTCGATGAACTTTTATACGTGAACACTACAGCATTGCGCCGTTCACGGATCACACCATATGTTGACTAAAGGTGATATTTTGGGGTTCTCATTGCTCGCATGGGGCGCGTTGAAGATGTACGTTTTAGCCTCAATTATGATGAAACACGGACATCAATCTCTTCCTTTTAGTTCAAGGTTCCAAAAATTCTCAGACAGGCGTCAATGCTAAGGACATGAGTATCTGGAGAAAGAACATAGTTACATAATTGGGGTAACTAGTAGGACAACACGAGGGCTATGCTTATCAAGGCACCTTCCATCGCAAAGATGAGGTGGTACTATATTGCCCAAGGCTGCCCAAGGACAAGGAAGATATATTCGGTTCGCTACCCTTTAGCCCCAACCATAATGGCAACCATTCAGCCATCTCTTCATCATTGCATTCTGTTTCAGTCCTTGGACTTTCCATTTGAACATGTTCGCGTGTATCCCTAAACAGTCCCTCTGCAATAGCAGTGGCAGGCGTAAAAACATTTAGACCCGCTGAGGCGCATCATATATCTCTCGCCACTACAAATTGCGTTCGCACATGACATATCCCCCAGCTCTCGCCGTGCCGCAACCTTGAAAAGGGAAAGGGCATGCCATGACTAACGCCTCTCTGGCCTCACCGAGGCCGACAAGGTGCGCATCAGCAAGGGCGCGAAATTGTGCGATAAGGCTCGGCGAGAACGCCACCGAACGCCCCCGGCCGCCTCGAGCTAGTAATTAGCGCCCAAGGTGACAAAGCCATGCCCGACTTGGTGGGTAAGCCCCTGTCTGCTCACCCAGCAACATTGATTTGACTTGGGCGAGCTGACACGATTACCGAGTGCTTATGTGCAGCAAACGCCAGTATAAAGGCAGGCATGGAGCATTGACAACAGATAAAAAAAGTCAGCTCTTCCGCCAACCACTCATAAACTTCCCTTCAATAACTCCCACAACAACCGAAGCAACTCACACAATGTCACCCCCTATCCCTTCCAACATGCGTGCCATCGTCGTTGAGAAGTACGGCTCGCCCGACGACGCGTTCGTCATCAAGTCCGTCCCTACCCCCGTCGTCGAGCCTGGCCGCGTCCTCATTCGCGTGCGCGCCTTCGGTGTCAACCACGCCGAGATGCACATGCGAAGGGGCGAGTGGGCCGAGGACATGCCCATCATCGGCATCGAGTGCGTCGGTACGGTTGTCGCATCTCCCGACGGCAAGTTCGCCACAGGAACGCCTGTCGCTACTTTCATGGGCGGGCTCGGTCGCACGATCAACGGCTCGTATGCGCAGTACACGTCAGCGCGGGTGAACAACGTCGTCGCGCTCGATCCAGACGCGGTCGACCGGCTCGGCTGGGCAAATGTCGCTGCTATTCCGGAGACGTACGCGACTGCGTGGTCGTGCGTGGCGCAGAATCTGGAGGTCAGCAAGGGCGATAGGCTGCTCATACGCGGTGCGACGAGTGCGCTTGGGAAGGCGGCATTGAAGCTCGCCATCCAAGCTGGTGCAGAGGTCACGGCGACGACAAGGAAGGAGGAGCGGTTCGGGGAGCTGGAGAATATAGGGGCAAAGGAGGTGTTGCAGGAGAGTCCGGGTCTGGCGGAGAAGGTGGCGGGGAGGAAGTGGGACAAGGTGTTAGAGCTGGTTGGGAGCAGCACGGTCGTAAGCTCGTTGAAGCTTGTCAAGAAGGGTGGCAGATTGTGCCTCGCGGGCTGGCTTGGTGGACTGGAGCCAATCAAGGAGTTTAACCCTCTCCTGCAAATGCCGAGCAGTGTCCACTTTAGCCTTTTCGGAAGTTTCGTACTCGGCGAGGAGGACTTCCCAGTCAGCGATATTCCCCTGGGTGACATCCTGAGGATGATTTCTGATGGCAAGTTCGAAGCCAAGCCCGCGAGGGTGTTCAAGTTTGAGGAGATCGCGGAGGCGCACAAGGTTATGGAGGCGAATGAAGCCAACGGAAAGATGGTAGTTCTGGTAGAATAAACACTACAGTCCCAGATTGAGTTACGACTGTTTGTTATCGAACTTGTATTACGAACTATCGCAACACCTGACCATGATAGCTATACGAGAGCGACAGAAAAGCCATTGGGATTTGAAGGTATGCAGATCAAGCAGAAGTTGACATGCGACGCTAGCGCTATTCTCTTCGGGATTTCCTCAGCTAGTAGTTACTCGTGGCAGGGAACATTAGGGCTGAAGCTGAAGCCTCTGTGTCTCCAAATGGTCATTAGTGACAAGAAATGCGCAAGAGCCTAGCTTGAGCCTAGCGCGTGAACACAGGAGCTACAGAAAGTGGGTCGAGGTGTCAGATCTTCCGTTGGCGGAGACAGAAAACGTGTGCTTCAGCTGGTGACCGTGCACTGCTCAAACGAACACAAACAAACCCATCGCTTGCACTCAACTCTCACCTTCCCCTTGGTGGTCCTTCACATCCTCTCTACAAAGATCTGTTTCCTATGTCCATGGCGCAGAGAGGCTCTAGCTAAAAGCCCAATCAAGCTACTGCAGTGCCCGAGTCTAGGCCCAGACGTCCGCGGCAAGACCAGTCAACATCCATACGTTGCTCTCGTCCGAAGGTTCGGATGGCATAGATGGTTTTTGGTACGCCCGCGGTCTAAACGTCATGATTGCATCATTGACTAGAAGCTTAGATCTGCTCTTCGCCATGACATACAGTTCTGCCGGCCTTTCAATGTCGACGCGCTAAATACAGATTTCAATCACGACACCCAGTTCACTATGCGATGAGCAAGCGTATATCAGGAGAGACGGTTCTTCACGTCTCTTCAGTTCTTCCGTTCATCCTCGCCCAACTTTCGCTCCTCGCCCACTTGCAGCAAACCTCGTCCACTCTTCAACGTTCAACGATCAACAATGGCTTCCACACTCAACAACTTGCTCGTTGCTGTATCTGCCGCCCTCGGGCTCGCGTTTGCCATGGCCCACCCGCTCGTCACCGCGATTGGCATTGAGGCAATTGTGCTTTACGAGAAGACTCCCAAGTAAGCACCGTTTTCTCCGCGTTGTATGCGCATGAGCTCACCTCCGATGCAGGGTTTCTACCGAAGGAAAGAAGCTCGAAGAAGAGAGCCCTAGTCCTGCTCAGTAAGTGCATAAGGGTTCGACACCGGGAGCATTCGCTGACATCGACACTAGGTCAACCACCACCTCCGAGATTGACAACCTCAAGACCCGGCTCAAGCGCGCCGAACTCGACGCACACATCATGGAGACCGAGCTCGGTGCAACCAAGGCTTCCAATATCGCTTTGGATAGTGAGGTTGCTGCATTGCGCTCTGCACTCAAGACCCAGGCCGACGGGTTCCGAGAGCGCATGTGGGTCCAGCATGAGGAAGCGGACGCTTTGAAGGGGCAAGTTTACGACGCGAAGGAGAGGAGGAAGAAGGCTCTCCGCGCCGCCGCGACAGCACGGAAGGTCGCGGAGGGTGAGAAGACGCTTAGGATCCAGGCGGAGGCGGCGGTCGAGCACCAGAGAGGCCACGCCCGTCGTGTCGAAAACAAGCTGCTGGCCCTTTCCATCGCATGGAGCTACTCCGAGCATAGCGTGGCTATCCTTGCGTCTCCTCCGTCGCTCTCAATCTCTCCTTCCACCGACATCGGAGTCCTTCACACCGCTCTCACCGAGGCCACGCACCAACTCGAGGTTCAGACCGACCGCGCCGAGCTATCCGAACAGGCGCTCCAGGCTTTCCTTGACGTCAACGCGCAAGTCGGCGCACGGATGGAGGCACTCGAGCGCATGCTAGTGAAACCGAGGACCGGGACATCGCAGGTCTTCAGCGTCCGCGATCACCATGCTGCCTCTCCCTTCATCCCGATCACCCTGTCTACTTGCCATTCCGTTGTCAGTTCTCTCCTTATTCCTCCTCAAATGATCTCGTCCTGGTCTCTCCCCAAAGTTTCCATGCATCCTACATCACCTTTAATTTTATCTTCTATTTTAATACCCATGCTTGCATCCACACCCGCATACCCATTATTGCCTACTTCACCTCCTTGCTTGTTGCCCAGCACTTTATATTTTCACTCCAAATTTGCTTCCAAGTTTTCGGCCTCTGCGCCCTATCCCCTCTTATATTTATCCCATGAGACCGCCTATCCCAGCGCCCCTTCTCTCTTCTCCCACGTCCATCACCTAGACGAGCCCATCACAGTACTCGAGCCGAAAGCTCGGATGCTCGAGTACACGCTCGAAAGACTCGAGGGCCACCTAGGCGACCAACTATCTAGCGCCATGCAGCTCTCGGAGACGACCTGTGCCATCGGCCAAGAAACGGCGTCCAATGTTGAGGAGATCAAGATTATCAAGCGCGTCACCTTCAAGAGGCTTGGTGGGGAGGAGCTGGAGAACGTGGAGTACATCGCGGACAGGAAGAGTACGATTTCGGTTCACCATGTTTTTGACACATCCGTTGACGCAATTTATTCTCTGCATAGGCACCCATGCGTACGTTGACACTCCGCAAGTCGTCCTCACCCAGCCCGAGGGTGGGACTGTGCGGGGAGTGGATAAGATCAGCCGGCTGATCTCAACACGCAATTCTTTCTATTCCCCGATTTCCACGTCGACTTTCTCTGGATTGGTTGGGGCTAAGCACTTGGGTGGGTGGCGCCTCTGAGCTACTTCTATGGCATACGCTGACTTGATCTTCCCTTTCAGCTATCAGCAATGTTTCCATTTTCTCCAAATTCGAGCCCCTTGTCGACGATGAGCCGCTGCCGAAATTTTGGACCGACTACCCCTCAACACATGGCGTCATCCTTCGCAGTCCGGCCAATTCTTTATCCAAATCCAACATCAACAAATGCGCCCAAGAGGAGAAGGCAATTGAAAATCAACTCGAGCGCTCAATGTGTGTTCCCGATAACATGGCGTCACCGTCCCTCTCTTTAGAAAACGATGACACCGAGCTTCCGGAGGACGAGGGATCGCCCAGTTCGTCTACGACGTTGTCTCCCACCTCGCTGTTTACTACGCCGACGTCGTCACCGTCGTCCTCTCCGCCAACGTCGCCATCAATTACTTCAGTGGCTTGTCCAGAGGACGACGAACATTCGTCCATGAGGACTTACAAGTCGAGGTTACCGAGCTTCCTGTCGTCTTGCCGCTCCCTCTTCGCCGTCCCGTCATCGATGCCTACATTTGGCCGGGACGTCGAGTTCCAGACGCCGGCGTTCGACGATGTGGACTGGTTCGCCGGGATGGCATCCGCAAGTTGGTCTGAGGGTGGTTGCTGGCAACTGCCCTGATGCTTTAATGTGGATGACGTTTCCCCGTTCGTTCTTCTGGATGGTTGTATCTTATGCCTATGGCAGAGAGCAGATGTCTTTTGTCGCTGTTAATGGTCATAATCCCAGGTTAGTTTTAAAATTTTCCGCCGCGCTGAGTATGGTGTGATGGGTCGCTCCTGAGTATCATAATCTTTCGAGTCCAGTGGTTATTTTTCGCAACGTTGCTGAACTCAAATATTCTCATTTCTCGACTGCAACACCGACTCCATCATGGGTTTGCTTTTGTTTTTCCATCTCTCGTACACTTTCTCTCACGTTCGGGCCTGTTCAGATAACCCCGACACTCGCAGCTTAAATAAATGTGTGTTACGGGGTATGAGCTTCCTTGATGGTACTGAGACTGGGCGTCTGACTGCTTTCTCAAATACACGGCCTTGAGATAAGGACCAGAAACCTTTTCAGTTCGTTGTTCGTCCGGACGGCTCAAGCTGTCTAAGGCGAGTCCCAGATACCTGAAGCTGCGACTTTTCTCTGACCATCTAACACTCAGACTTGAGATTTACGTCTGCTTATTCACACTGACGAATCAGGGAACATAAGCTCTCAGTCAATTGACAACGGGGCGTGTACTAGCTTCTTTGAAAGAGGTTGTTCTAGCGAGCAGAAAAGTATGCCGGGTGCGCATTTCACTGCTCGGTATTAGCTTATACGTACTACATGATGACCGCGTTGTTGTCACCAGACCTCGTAGAACATCCTCGTGGAACATTCGCCAGACCCAAAATACGGTCCATACGGGTCCATACGGGCCCATATGGACACATATGTATCAAGCGAGCTTCTGGCGCTGACACTGCAAGCAATTCAAGATGAAAATGGACTTATTATTTGAAAGATATCAAAAAGATATTTTAAACGGGGGTTATCTGGGCTCAAGTAAATAACTTGTTTTTATCTAAAAGTATTATCAAAACCACCCTTGCCAGCTCTCAAGTAACAATGGCCTTAGATATTTGAAATGTTATCAAAAAGATTATCAGGAACCACCCTATCGGCTTTTGAATTACTGGAGCCTGAAATACTTGAAAGATTACTTAAGCAGTTATTGTAAAGCCGCTTTTGGATAACAATCTTGATAACCCTGCCAAGATTATTGTGAAATTATTGAAAATGTGCTGGGATGTCAGTTCAAATAATCTTCTAATAACATTCTTTATAAATAGCTGATGCTTATCCAAGCCCAATTTGGCAGGCTTTGTCTCTGGTAATTATCTCAGAATTACCTTGAAGATATTTTGAAGCACATATGATGGTAGATG